ACTGATTTTAGCCCAGTCGTCTAAGGACCATTGGGCATCTATTAAACGTCTTTTAGAATGAAAAATGCTTGGCGGGTTGTGAGCAAACTTGATGGGCATTATCTGGTTTAAACCAAGCTGGATCTTGATCTGTGGCTGGAATGACAAGAAACTCTGTTTTGGACAGGTTGAGCAGAAGGTGGCATGATGAAATTTGTCCTTATGGCTATGGACAGTTCTTGTCTCTTGCTAGTGTTCGTTTTGCTTTTTCTTGTTTTGTTCGTTTTGCTTTTTCTTGAGCACTGCAGGGGCCTTCATTTGTTAACAAAGTTATCAGTTTAATTTTTTAAATCAAATAACTAATCAAAACTAAAATTCTCAGAAATAAAAACTTCAACGTTAATCACCATGAGAAACAACTATAATATACTATAATATAATGACAGAGACATTTATTGGACGTGTGTTTAAGCAACATGTAGTATGAGTTTCATTACTTCATCATTGATTTATGCTTCATAGTTTGAACAACGTTGAAGAAGGTTTTGGCCTATGCTGCAGCCAGTCAGTAGGGGGAGCTTTGAATCTCTTGGCTTCACAGGAGGTAAACACTTATGATGTCCATTTAAATATACGGTCTGTGGCTCACTTCGGTATCCAGCCTCCAGTGGTTATTCAAGGAACTGCTGTTTCAAGGAATAGCTTTTTCAATAAAGCTAATGGTAAGTTGGAGTGATGTCCTGGAAGTTTAATAACAGTCTATAAGCTGGGACTTTCCAACTTTGCAGCACACATAGTACTTATGTCTAGAGGGGGTGAAGATGCGAAAGATTTCCTGGCGAGTTCAGCTCTCTTTGGATGTTATTTTATTCTTTTTTACTGTCCACTTCCTGAAGAGTAGACTTGCCTTCATACTGACAGCAAAATTGAACTCCAGTGGAGTGTACGGCGCTGTCAAAGGTTCATCTTGTGGTTACAGAGCATGGTTTGTTGGCTCTTTTTGTGTGGTTTCATCATGAAAGATTATCTCTTCAGAGGTACTGCCTTTATTTGAGGAGAGCGCAGGAGGAGGAAAGGCAGCAGGCCAGCCAGGGTTGAAATACTTTACATGATTGAAAATGGGGGGTAAATCTTTGCCTCACTGTGCCAGTTGGTGATCTTTAGCCATAGATTTTCAAGTAATCCCTAAAATTTCACTCTGGGCTATGTGGTTCACTGAAGAGGATTAGTATCAAACTCATCATGTTCACTGGGGAGGTTTTACTGCGCACAGGACTGAGAGAGAAGAAAGGAAATTTAACATGAATTTTTAACCTGGGAGTCAACTGAGATCTTCTTCTCAGGGAAGAGTGTTGTGGCGTCAGGGTTATCCTGGTTCTCTCAGGGAAGGGACAGGGTCTAGAAGCAGGCTGACTGGCCGAGTGACCACAAACACAGCTCTCCCTGTTAAATTCCACCGTCAATAGGGGCTTTTTCCAGGCCCGGTGTACCACAACCCTCCTGAGACCCTGTGTTGACTGTATTTGCAGAGACTGAGACAGAGTTGCACTGCATGCAGAGTTACCTCCCTTCTTATTGAGAAAATTACATTAATGATTGGGTTGTATTTTTCTATGTACAGTAAGTAAATGCATGTGTTGACTTTTTACTACGCAGAATAACTGAGGAAACTTTAAGACATGAAAACAACACAGTTTGATTTTAATAACCTTCTTACGCAGAACAGAGAACATCCACTAATGCCCAGCACAAGGCAGAGGATGTAGCTTTCCTATAGGTGGAAAGAGCGCCACCCACAGATGCTTTTAAGCTAATGAGAGAAACTTCTGGAAAGATCATTACCTTCCCGTGCATGCTGTTTGACACACAGGTGACTGCAGGGACTAGAGGGCTGAAAAATGAAAACAATAATGCGCCAATAAAGACACCCTTTTTAATGTCCAAACTTTGTCCAGGCCTTTCGGGAAACCTAGGAGTACTTATCTCACCTTTTGTCCCATATTTCACTTTTTAAGTGCTGTGAAAATCCACCTTTTCCATACAGACTATACAGGTTTTCCATGGCTCATATTTTCTCCCTCCTTTGTTTCTGAGTTCTACTTTCAAGGAACACAGTGACTGTAAATCATCTTATTCACGTCTGTTTATAAAACAAAGCCGTGTGTGTTCCACCTCTATGCATTCATCGCTGCCACTGTACAGGAGGCCCCAGGTTTGCTTAAGTGTTTGTGCAAGAGCAGAGCACCATCTTATGGTGAAATCCATGTCTTACACTTGTTTAAGAATGAGCTCAACCTACACTGTTAAAGGTGCTCTTCACAACTTCCATGGGACGTAGGATGGCTTTATTGAATTTGAGATAGGCTACAGTTGGAGAGGTAGGGTTTCAGCGGAACCACTATAGCTATGCCCTAGCTGAGGACAAGTGATTGAATGCACAAGTGGACCCCCCACCCCTTGTCCTTCCCCTTCTGTCTTTGTTGTTCCTTCCTCTGTGTTTGTATTTGTCTTTTTGCCCCCCCACCCTCGTGTTTCATTTTTTTAACATTTTTTTAATTTTATGATTTTTTCTACTTTTTGTTCGTTTGTTTTACTAAACTTTATTATTATTATTATTATTATTATTATTATTATTATTATTATTATTATTATTATTATTATTATTACTACTTTTTTGTTTTACTGTACTTTATTATTATTATTATCATTTTCTACTTTTTTTGTTTTACTGCACTTTATTATTATTATTATTATTTTTCGTCTCTATTTCCCTTACATGGTTCTTTTGTTTTATTTTATTTGCATTGTTCCAGTATGATCTGATCCTGTATGATCTTGGCAGGTTTTTTACTTCGATATCTACAGATTGATTCATCTAATTTATTTATTTATTATTATTACTTTATTTATTTATTCTTTTATTCTTAGGTGTTGACGTGAATCTCTAGTGACCTGACATTCGCTGTTGAACTACATCCAAGGAAAACTCAATTAAAAAAAAATTGAAAGAATGAGATCAACCAACAGATTTAATTTTTTTCACCTTGTTTTGTTTTTTATTTCACAACCTCTGTTTATATTGATTATGAAAGTAATAAAAGGGGTGTTAAATACATATTTTTGTACAAGATATGAAGAGTTTTAAAATATGCTCTAAAATGTTATCAGCAGACGTGTTATAGAAACGGGCAACAAGTGTTCCTGCTGAAACTCCTGAACCAGAGACATCATGAGTGTCTCACCCGGACTATGAAGAAAAAACAATCTGGACTATTGCTCAGTGGTCTCTGATCAAAGTCAGTTAAGCATCTCACTTGGAAATCATGGTCCCAGAGTCTGGAGGACTTGTTTTACATAGTATAATCCTGTATCTTATAGTCATTTTGATAGTCGCCAACAGATCTTTGATGCAAATGACACCAACTTCGAAAAAACAGGACAGAGAGCCGAAGAGAAAATATATGTAGGCATTTTATTGTGTGGATAATTACTCTGTGAAAGGTGAGAGTTGATGTAAAGATCAGACGACAGCATAAAAACCATTTTCAAAGTGACACACATGAACATTTGAAAGAGTTGATTATCTGACACAGGCGCCAGAAACAGAGCAGGCTTTCACCTGACGTTTGACATTTCTTGAACAATACTCATAGCTGGTGCTCTATGAAATCTGTAGAGTCAGAAGAACAAGACAAACATGACATGAGGTCTATGTCTATTGTATTGCACATACAGAGAAAAAGGCTTATTCAAGTTTGCATACAATGATTTTGAAATATCCCCAGAAGAATCAAAGAGAAGCAAAAAAAAAAAGGCCCAGATGAAACCAGAAAGAGTTGAGCTTGACAGAGAAGAGACACATGAGAGTAAATCTTGCACAAAATAAACATTTTCTTGATATGAAGAGCTGTGGCTCAGGTTTCACACTGATGGTTTCATTTTATTCCCTCTATGATCTCAACTGCTTAAAAAAGTGTGCCAGGAGCAGTGAAGGAAAACAAAACACTTTGAGCTTCAGAGTTAAGTATTCTAAAATTTGAGGATTTCAAAACAGGCTTCATTTCCACAAATCAGGTCTCAATTCTCATCTGAATCTGCATATCTATTCTGGGATGTAACCTGAATATGAAACGAACATGGCCTGAAAGTGAGAGAACTGCGAACAGGCAGAGTCGAATTTCACTGTTTCTCTGTTAAAAGATAGAAACATGAACTTAATTTGATTAAGTTACTTAAGTTTCCTATTTATCTCTATTTTTGAAAAATAAAATCAAGTTAAGTCTTCAATACTGCGAATGCTTTTGCCAACATAGTCATTGGGACGATGTAACACATACTAGTTTACAGCATCTATAAAGCTCAACATGTCCACTATGTTAGTTCAGCTCACTTACACTTGCATATTAGTTATTGGATAAACTGATGATAGTCTTGGTTTAATTAAGTTGAATTTGATTTTTAAAAATTCCCATCAGCCATGTTTTTCATACATGTGGACTGTGGTCCAGCTGCCACACGGTAAAAGCTGCTGTACTTTATACGTCTCAGATTTGAGAATTAATGTCATTGTGTCAGTCGACAAGCAAGATATGATTAATGGGAGCGAAGACGCAAAAGCACTCAGACATAAATATGGTTCATCACATGATCGGGGGGGGTCTTCACTGGACACTCTCAGGCGCAGTATGGTTCAGTATAAATTTAACCACTGTTTCGAACACTCAGACTGTCTGGCCCAACGGTATATTCAGCCACCGTAAATTCAAGGCAATTTCGTCTGTGGCTGACATGTTTCAGTCCTCTGGCAGCTGCTGTGGTTGGTGACAGAGCTAAAGGCTTTTCTAATTTAAAACAGTGGTTCTCAAGGCCCACTGTCCTGCATGTTTTGGATGTTTCCCTGTACCAACACACCTGATTCAAATGATTAGCTCGTTATTAAGCCATTACAGAGCTTGATAACGAGCTGATCATTTGAATCAGGTGTATTGGAGCAGGGAAACATCCAAAACATGCAGGACAGTGGGCTCGAGGACTGGACTTGAGAACCACTGCTTTAAAGGATGTCTGAGAGTCACTGCAGTTGTACTGCTTTACAGAACAAGAATGCTACCATTGTTCAGGGGCGGACTGGGATATTTGCAAAACTGCGCACAAAGACATGATTCTTGACTTGTGAAAGGTAACGCTTTAATTAAATTCAGTTATATATCATTTAGCTGAGCCTTTCTCCTGCACACGGAATTCACCTGAGAACTGTTAAAAATGGCGTTAGTATCTAGCATCAAGCAGAACAGACTAATAGAAATGGAGCATAATATTCACAGGTATGCTTAGATTTGACTGCGATCACCTGACTGGATATTCACATTTCTACACACACTGTACCTTTAATCTTAAGGTCTGTAAAAATAAAGGTCATTTGTTTACCTGCTACTAATCCACTATGTCTTTATTTCCTGCTCTCTAATCAAGAGTTAACTCTAGAATTTTGACTGACACGGATAATAAAGAGACACTCCAGAGATCTTCAATTTCTTTTGTAAGAAGTTGGAGAACTTGTAACAAACAGATTAAAATAAGAATGAGTGAATTAGACCCTTAAAACGCCAAGAAAAACTTGACTTTCAATCCCTTATTTAAGGAAAACAGCAAATAATGGCTCCTACATTTCCCTTGATGCACCTCTCCCACAGAAGACATTTATATATCCCAAGTAGGCGTCAGCAGGTGAAGGGCTGCTGCCTGTATTCCACTGAGAATCAAGACCTGATCCTGCTACTGTTGCAGCTCTCAGCTCAGTTTTTTCCATTCACCACCCCTGACATCAAGCTGCTCCTATCAAAGCCGTATATAAAAACATGCAGCTGTCTGCTGGTGTAGAAAGTCGAACATAAAATGTGAGTGAATGAATGCTGGATCTACATTCAGCGAGTGGAAGTGGAAAAAAGGACAACTCTATCAGGGTTGTGTTGCTGCCCCCTAGTGGTCATCATTAAGTGGTCAATAACGCAGTTTAAATTGCATTATTTTTGCATTTCCCTAGAGATTATGATATGATTGAATGCACAGCTATGACTTCTACGCTAAAGAAACAGTCGTGTCTTTGTAAGCTACGTCAAACTGAAATGTATCAGAGAGGCCAGATATATATTCCTTAAGCCCACATACACACACATACACACGCACACACACAACACACATGCCCAGGCATCCTCACAAGAAATATTTCCTCACCTCGGATTCTTGAAGTCATTAAAAAAAGGCAGCAATAACAGCTCGGATTGATCTAAAAGTTCCTGAAAAAAATACAGAAGTCTTAGCCTAGCAGTAAAACTAGCATCTCTCAGGACATTAACCCTTTTTATTTTTTGTCTTGTAGAAGGCACACAAACTACCACAAAAGTATAGTCATATTCAAATGTGCAAAAAAGCTCAGTTTACAATATTTCCTCGATAAAAGGAGAGAAGAAAACAGTTCCATATCTCACTCTCTGCACTCCTCTCCTGTGTCTGTGGAGAAAAGGATCGCAGTGCAGAGTGAACGGGCGTCGTAGCAGTAATGTGCTTCTTAACCATAACAGACACCTCTGCATTAACTTCCATTGGCACTTTGTTGGCATCAGTGCAGACACAGGTTCAGAGGCAGAGTCTGCAGTGCGGCATGATGTGCACACTGTGAATGTGGCTGCACACCTTCGCGGTAACTTCTGCTTCTGTTGGAGATGGTTGAAAAAAGACAAGAGGACGGCTATCTTCACAGTTAGTGTGGCGGCTGCCTGGATTCACCGACAGATCAGACCCAGCAGACTCACAGAAACAACAACATGTGGTAGATGAAAGAAAGCAGCACTTCTAAGTTTCTCCCTCATGTTTTTGTTCCACATAAGTTTCGTACCTTTGCAGTTTGATTTGATTTCAATAACAGTAGCTCTTTGAAAAAAAAGTTATCCAGCACTTGGAGGCACCTCTGGTCTTTCTGTCTGCAGCCCACTACACCACCACTGTCCATCCGTTCTCTGTATCCTCAACTATTCAGAGACAGGCGAGGAGGCAGGGGTGGTGACGGGTGATGGCTTGGGGGTTTGGAGGGCTTGTGGGTTGACGATGACCTGGATGACAAAGTCCTTCTGGATTTTAGTGTCCTGCAGCCGCGTCTTGTCGGTCAGGAGCTTCCCAGAGAAGAACCAGCGCTGGTGGGTGGCATCGAGGTCTTCCTGAGCCTGGAGCTGCTTCTTCAGCTGCCCGATGGTGTCAGCCATGCTGGCGCTGAGGCGCAGGTCTTTGCCTGTAGAGAGCCGCACCTTAAAAAGGAAAAGAGATATTCGTAAAACACTGACTGTAGTCGAATGCAAAATGTGACTTTGGGTTATAATCCAAACTTTATCTTGCAGTACCGGCCACTGGCATTCTGATGGAATACAAAGACTGATGTGTAACAAGAACAAACTAATGGTTAACAAGCATCAGGGATGTGTTATGTTGGCAAAAAAATCACATCTTGATGATATTCAGCTGCTACTGACGGTCCCATATACAAGGCTGAAGCTCAGAGGGGACAGAGCGTTTGCTGCTGCTGCCCCGAAGCTCTGGAACGAGTTGCCCTTGAATATCAGACAGGCCTCCTCATTTCCTGTTTTTAAATCCCTTTTAAAAACACACTTTTACTCCTTGGCTTTTGATACTTTTTAGTGTTACTTTGTTTTTTATCATTTTAGCACCTGCCGTGAGCCTGCTTATTTATTTACTTATTTATCCCCTTGCATTAATGTATTTCTGCTCACTTTATCTTGCTCTTTGTGTTATTTGTTTTATGTACAGCACTTTGACTACCCTTGTGGTTATTTTAAAATGTGCTATAGAAATAAAGTTGATTGATTGATTGATTGATTGATATTTAGAATCCCTAAAAAAAAATGGTCTAAAAAATAAAATCAACAAAAACATGTTCCAGCTCGCTACAATTAAGTCACTTTTATCAGATGTTGTTCATATTAAGAAAAGAACACATTTTAGAGAATCAGATGTCCTTTATCGACCTAGAACTGATCTGTTAAAGGGATATTCCAGCATAAAATTAATTTATGGTCAAACACACCGTAACACCGAGTTAGACACCCCCTCGAGAGATGAATGTTGCTGATAGCTTGCTTCTCTAGTTATACCAACTTCAGTAACGACCGCACGATAGCAATACACAGCAGCCTGAGAAGCAATAAATAGACCTCAACCAAAACGCCACTCTATAGCCACAAATAATGCTCAGAACAGCACCTAACTTCATCAACAGAACATATAGGGTCCCAGCCATAGTACTAGCCACCAAACATCTTTTAACTTTTAACTAGGAAAGAGACTCAACACAACTCACCTACTCTCTTCCAGCAGCCGTTTGTTTGTATGGAGAGCTCAGGCGAATTGGTATAACTAGAGAAGCAAGTGGTCGGCAACATTCATCTTCCGAGGGGGTGTCTAACTCGGTGTTACGGTGTGTTTGACCCTAAATTAATTTTACACTGGAATATCCCTTTAAGTAAATCCAATACCAAACACAGAAACGACCAAAGTAGGTTTTGAAAAGAAAATATTATACAAAGAGTGAGTAAATCTTTGTCTTCGGTCACTGCTCCTAACTGACGGTCACAGGTAACCACTACTGGAGTTCACAAAAGGATGCTGTTTTGAGGTGTTTTGTGATTTGTTGAGAGAGTCACTGAATGCAGTGTTTCCAAAACCCACAAGAGGGTCTATGCATGCTATTTGTGCTGTGCTTCAGGTTTCCTGGTCTACGTTGGGACTTTGGGTCAGAATGACTTTTAATTCTACAAGTTCTACATGAATAGTAGGTAATGGTGATGTAAAAATTTTGTATATTTTGTAGATCAGACAGAAATCTCATATTTTCAACTTGAATAACTAACAATTACTGCAGCCAATTTTCCTTTGAGGTTGTTCTGTTGATACTTTCATCTTGATGCTATCTTCAGTATGGTATCATGCTTAAAATGACAGTGCCAACATACTGATGTTTAACAAGCGTTATACCAATAGTTTTCACCCTTTAGTTTTGTTAGACATGCCAACATTTGCTATTTAGCTCAACACAAAGTGCAGCTGGAGCTGATGGAAAGTATCTAGCTTGTAAGTCATTGGTCCATGGTACATTAAGAATCAAACAACATTTTTGATGAGATAAGAGCACTTGAGGGGAATTTAAGAAATCAAAGGTTTTTAAGGTCAACTTGGAATTATTTCTGCTGGGGACCCTGAATGCCAAAGATGCAGTTTCTGCTGTCAGACCTCTGACATGTCTGTGATTTAGTTAACAAAACAAGCTGACGCATTTGTCTGAATTATAGACATACTTGAGTTGAATTACTGCTCTCATATATCTGTGTACAGGAAAAAAGAAGATTTGCTACTGTACTTTGAGCTGGAATTCCTTCTTGGGTGCCACAGGGGGCTCAGGGCTGTCACTTGGATCCTCGTCGCTGCGCTCTGAGATGAGGTTGACTGGTGGAGCCAGGCAGTAGACGGGAAGTTGGTAACGGTTCCCAAGTTCATCATAACACTCTGCTAGAGTCCCTGGAGAGGGAGGATGTAGAAAAAAGAGAGAAAAGTGCCTTTAAATCTAGTCACTAACAAATAACCTGACCTGTGGCTGTTTTGTGCATTCTAGATTTGGGTTTGGTTCTTTGGTACGGGAGTTTTCTGTCCTCACCATGTGGCAGTGTGATGCTGGCTCCATCCACTATGGCCTGAGCCAGCTCGTGGTCATTGCACTCCAGAGCTACAGCTGCAGCTTTCAGGGCGTCCCAGATCTCCTTACGGCCCTCAAAGGCTGGGGCTGTGTCCCAGAACTCGTCCCGCTTGCTCCGCAGCTGTCCCTCTGTCATCGGATAGTCGCTCTTCCACTTTGGACGATCTTTCTTCAGAGGCTCGTTTCGGCCTGCGATGAGAGGGATAAGAGAGGGAAAATCAGCCCACTGGAAAAAAAAGTCTGTGGTTTCTTCTGGCTGAAAGAGACCACAACATCTCGTATACAAACAGTCACTGGTACCTGGAAACCAAGAGCTGTGCTTTTAAACAGGATCTGTTTGTGTTCCAGTTCAGATGTTTCAAGTTGTGACCCAACCAGTATAGCCAGCTTTTTGTGTCTAATGTTACTTAATCGATTAGTATCATCCACAGGACTACAACTTTGATTTATCGTGACCTTACATGTTGAGGACTTCAAAGTGTGCAATGAAAGGAAAGGTCACAAAATGGATAACAAAATCACTAAAAATGATCAACATTTGCAAATCCACATCTGTGTGTGTGTTGGCATGTTACTTAAATGGTCAAGACTAATTCCTGAGATGAGTTTCTGTTATTCTTTCAACTAAGAGACAGATGTTTCATACTTACAGTTCAAAAGTCACTCCGCTAATTTGAAACAGGCACGCTAGCAACAAGCCAGCAACAAAGGAAAAAGAAAAGTTGAAAATAAAGAGAAAATGCTGCTGACTGAGAGTGAAAACACCTCGGAGTCAAGTCTGCATCTCTGCAGGCCAAAGAACCATTTAAAGTCTGAGTTGTTGTTGGACTTTTCCATAATAACAGACTGAACGTTGATACGTGAAAAGAGTCTATACCAAGCAGAGTTTATAACATTTAGCTTATACAGCAAACAGTTCGGGAACTTTTTTTCCCCTCTGGAAGTCAGTCAAGTTAAAAAGTATACACACAGACAAATGTGCTGTTTTGAACCTTATATTATAACTTTAACCATATTCTGAATATACATAGATATATCATATTAAGATATCATAGATGTGCAACAACATGCCAACTTAACAATCCAATTTTAAACTAGTAGTCAATTTAATAAATCCTCATCCCTGCACCAAATGAGGTCTCTGAGGTCCAAACAAACATGTTCAAGTCATATGAGGAAGCTCCTATAAGTTTTACATACATTAGGGCTGGGCGATATGGCCTCAAATTAATATCACGATATATTGAGCATTTCACCTCAATCATAAATGGATGATAACTACTCCACAAGCAGCTCACCACCTCCCACATTAACTTTGTCTACTTCGGTCGCCACTCCAGCCACTACAAATTTTTAACCGATGCGGTGGAGTCACGTCTCTGACGTAGGACAGCGTCTTAAAAGTGACATGAGACCAAAGCCTACCTACACACATCCAAAAACAACTTTTATCTATGTATTTTCTTGACACTGAATATACTGATGTGGGTAAAATAACGTTGGCTATTGTCGTCAGTTTCGGTATCGTTAAATCTTTGGTTTACTGCCCAGCCCAAATATACACATCAATTAATTTTCCCAATACTGGAAATAACCGGAGGGAGTTAGGTGTCAAATCTAATCTATTAGTGCATTTTTAGTGCCACTGACAGAGTAGATTGAATTCCCGATGTTGTATCACTGTGTGTTAAGTACAGGAATAATGTTCAGTTAGACTTAATTTTCATGTATGAATCATATTTATGTTACCTCTCTTAAATCTTATGAACAGATGTGGCAGCAGAGGGAAACACGAGCCCTTACCAGAGTCATAGAAATCCCATCCCAGTCCGTCTTGTTATCCTGATCTAAAATTAGGAGGTCATCCAGAGTTTGCAATATGCATGAAGCATGTGTAGCCTAAATCTGTCGTGTAACTTTACCTGTGTTTCCCACCATTCAATATTAACACGAGGTATACCTGCCTGGAGACCGTGTATGTTAGTGGAGCCATGAGGGTCACAAACATGAAGACAATGGGATGAAAAAATCAACTCTGGACAACGTTTTGATGTAAAATGTTTGAATATTTAGATCCGAAAACTTGTGGTTACCCGACATAAACACTACGATTTACCTTCTCAGTGTTATCCAGTGATTTAATAAACATTCCCCACCCCAAGTCTAGTGAAATAACAGTGGATTTGTTTTCTAAATAGTTGCCTACGGGCTGCCACATCAGTCTACATTGTCGGAAAGATTCTAAAATACTTGTGTGAACGGGTTCAAACAAGCCAAAGCTTATGTTACCAAAATGCCTGAGAGGCAGAGATACCCGTCATTGATAGAGATGAAGAGCAGTATGAGAGAGAAGACAGCGCATATCCAAAGGGTTACATTTCTTCCAAACTAATTATTTATAGAGCGAGAGCTTAGAGGAGCGATTTAGAGGACAGGAGGTGGTGTTGGATTAGCACTTGAAGATGAGGGAATCCTGAAGTAGAGTAAATGGGCTTCATCAGAATAGAAGTAGGAAAAAGGGTTCAAGGGCAACGTCTGGTCGAATATTATCATTCTTTGAAATCACACAAACAAAACCACCATTACTCACTGAGAAACACAGCAGCCAGGTATGAATCACACCGAAGAAGCTGTGGCAATTAAATGTTGGGCACTTTTGGTACAAACTATTGATTAATTATTAAAATACTTGCCAATTTAATCACATGCCCAACAGTTTGTGAATAAAGCAACAAATGACAGCATCTCTATCAGCAATCTGGTGTTGGTGGTTATCTGTGAGGAAAAAGAGAAAATGTTGCTATCTGATACGAATCATGCTAAAACTGTACTTGTCAAGTTCATTGTGAACTCACTGACCCCTTGGCAAAATGATACTTCCTGTTTAAATGAGGGCAGGTCGTGTGTGGGCCTCGTGTGTATGACAGGTAATCTGAAGTGCAGTGATAGTATCCAAGATATACCATCGTGTCCCCTCTGCTGTAGCATCTACCACGTGTGATGCAATCTCTTGAAATACACCTGTACCGATTTTAAAGTAAGTTCTGCAAAAACATAGAGGTAAAATGACTGATTCCATATACTCGGGTTTGCTGTCATCATCGTAAGTCAGAAAGAGATAGTCAGAGAGCAGGACATGGTGTGGACACAGCTGATCAAGTGGAGCAAAACACAACTACGTCCTTATTTAACAAATTCAACAGTGCTGATTTTACACTTGTAACTTCTACCTAGTTGTGGGCCTCGGTAAAGACAAAGCCAGTTACAACAGCCAACATGAGGATGCTAATCAGCACAAATCAATCAAGGTCCTGCTTGATTTACATACCGTCCATGTCTCACGTGACATTAGGGCTGGGCGATATGTCCTCAAATCAATATCACGGTATATTGAGCAGTTCACTTCGATAACAATAAATGGATGATAACTACTCCACAAGCTGCTCACCACCTCCCACATTAACTTCATCTACTTCAGCCGCTAGGGATGGGAATTGGTAAGATTTTATCGATGCCATTATTGATTCAATTCTTTAACGATTCCCTTATCAATGCCTTTCTTCGATTAAAACAGGTTTTCACCGGTTAACTTAAAATTTTATTGAGTCTCTGATAACAGAAACAGATGTATGCCACCTTCAGTTAGAGTCTAAAATAATCAAACAAAAATGCTATTTGTACAGCATTTCTGGCATGCATTGTGCTTATGTAAACACAGGACATATGTTAGGGTGAACATATTCTGAATCCCCAAAAAGAGGACACCACTTCACGGGGCAGACTTGTGTGTGCAATTTTGAGGGTTTTTTTCTCTCTTTTTGTGGTCGGGTTGAGAGTTCTTACACACTTTTAACTCTTAAGTTAAATGTATATTCTGAATTCTCAAAGAGAGTGCATGCGCGCGTCGCGTCAGTGGCTTTGCTTAGAAGTGAGCAGAGGGGTGGAGCTGTAGAGAGCACTGATGCGCTGCACTGTTTTATAATCAATGGATACATGTTCCAGACATTTTATGAACTCCCCTGGAAAGCCCCCCAATAGAGAACATGTCCAGGTAAAAGAACACGTATGGTCACACTATCAAATGTGCCTTCAATGCTGTGCTGAGAAGGGGCAGCAGCGGCTGACGACCGGTGTTCAACCGGTGTTGTGCCGTAGAATGTACCCCTGCCAGGAGCGCGGTTAAAAGTACATAACAAGGCGGAATAATCGAAGTTTTCCTTACCACTGGGTAGATTCAAAAGCGTGTGCCTTTATTGATTTCATTCAGGCTATCATTAAAACTTCTCATCCCTATCAGCTGCTGCTCCAGCCGCTACAAATTTTAAACTGTCCTCCATCTCCTCACCTGTCTTTCCCTCTTTGTTACGGACTGGATGGGGTGGAGTCACGTCTTTGACTTGGGACAGCGTCTTAAAAGGGACATGAGACCATAGCCTACCTTCACACATCTAAAACCAACTTTTATCTTTTTATTTGTTTGTTTGTTTGACACAGAATATACCAATATGGGCAAAATGACGTCAGTTTTTGTCGCATATTTTGGTATTTATGAATTTTCGGTTTATCACCCAGCCCTACATGATTTCATTTTTTACAGCCTGCTCATAAACACAAACAGTTAATATGGCACATTGCTGTCACTTTAGAACAATAATCGCTATCAAGGTTGAAACAAACATCAGCAAGGACACTTAAAAGTTCAAAGTATATTATAGCAAACAGATTACATGAGATTTGATGCACATCTTTAATCAATTCAACATAATTATTAAAACTTTTGCCTCTCTGTATACACACACACACATGAACACAACTTCCTACTCTGTAGTGCCTATTTCACAATCACTTCTGTTGTGAAATTGTAAAAGCTGTTGTGTCATTGTGGCAGACTTTTGAAGGACCCTGAAAATTCAGTTACAGTGTGCCAATGCCTCCCCCTGACTGACAGCACCGACTTGTTATCTCAATGTGGCACAGTGACTGAACAAGACAGGAGGACTTCTACAGAAATGTCGAGCTTTATAGCTTAGGACATTAATCATAAGTGAGTGAGCTCTGCAAAGAAAATACAGAGCAAAGCCATCAGCTTAGAATCTGTATGTTATATGAAAACACTGGACAGAGACACATGAAGCAATGCATTTCTGACATATGAAGCAACATGAGGGTGTTTTCCTCCAGCTGGGCTCATAAAAGCAGGTGCCAAGTGATGAGGCTTCTATATAGCCTGCTGTATATGCAGGTTTGACTGTTAATAAGGTGAGACATCAACACGACTTCTCTGACTCCTATATCACTCACAAACATAACAACACACCCTACAGCCATAAGGCGGGTGTTAAAGAATGACCTGCTCCTGGGAAAGAGCATGTTCAGCTGCAACAAATAATGCTGTGTTGGCCCAGCAAAGACACTGAACCGACTCCAACATTCCCCTCACATGAGGCAAGCCATAAATTTGGGGTGTTTTCAGTGTCCCTCTTTAAAAACGAGCAACAGGGAACATGTCTGGAGCCCATCAACAAAAGGGAAGTGCTCTCTGAAACCGGACACAGGCTGAAATCATGCATGACCATACTGAGTCAGGGTTCATGAGCACAACCCCGCACATGAGGACTCATCCTCGTTGGTGGTTATCTTATCACGCCACAAATGGCCATTCAGTAGATAAAGCAGCTGTAGTTCTAAGAGAGCAGTCTCTGGTAGTGTACATCATGTTACTTTTGAAAACTTTTTAACCAGGTGAGCAAAAAAAACTGAAATATATCCTGCGGCTGATTTCTGATAAGACGGCACACGATGTTTCCAAGACACGACTGTTAATCTTTGTGGGCTGATAACTCTGTTTTCTCTATGGGGTGTAGTAAACAGTTAAAAACCCCTCCTTTTTATCTTTATGTCAATGTTAGAGGAGGTCAAACCCAGAGACTCTTCTTGTCGTGTCACAACTGGCATGAAAAGCAGAAAATTTGGTACTGGCAAAGTGAGGACTGTTTTGAAAGATGATGTTTGCGACCCTTTAGCCATAACTTTTGATGGGCAGATTTTGCAGACTGGGGTCGACTGTCCCTACACTATTTTTGATACTTAATTTCACTCCGTTAGTTCAGTGGTTCTCAAGTCCAGTCCTCGAGGCCCACTGTCCTGCATGTTGGATGTTTCCCTGCTCCAACACACCTGATTCAAATGATTAGCTCGTTATTAAGCAATTACAGAGCTTGATAACGAGCTGATCATTTGAATCAGGTGTGTTGGAGCAGGGAAACATCCAACATGCAGGACAGTGGGCCTCGAGGACTGGACTTGAGAACCACTGTGTTAGTGTATAAAACATTTAATACAAACAAAGAAAAATCGTGTAAATGAAAAGCAGCAGAAAGAAGAAAAATCTTAGAGTCTGCCCCTCTTTCATAAGATATTAATCAACTAAACATATAATAAAAAAAATAATAATGAAGAAAAAGTCAGAACCACTGTGCTGAGAAAGGGAAGAGCCATACAGTTACGGCTCATTAAGAATATAATGGAAATAACTGCCCAGACCAGAAGGTAACACTGGTTTGTCTTCAAATTAAGTCACTCCCTCTGCATTTTAATACATAATGCTGCTTTTTTTTTAGTTAATGCACTTTTAGTAAGCCAAATCATGTGTTGAACATTTGGTTGAATCTTGGAACAATTGTTGCAGCTCCATAACCTTACTTTCCAGGTTGCACAAACACTGCAGGTTGAGACTCTTGTTGTGTATTTGCTGCTTGATATGCATAGTGTTGCTCTCCACTGTCAGCTGTTAGAGTATGGTTAAGATGTTGTTGAATATAAAAGGTCAAACAATGTAAAAAGAGCAGTGTGTGAAAACGGAAGGATTCCTCATGAGCATGCTGCTTTCACCTGTCTGTCTGTCTGTCTGTCTGTCTGTCTGTTTGAGGGTGTGTTAGGTAGAGTTGACTCTGTCCCATTTACGGAGTCAGTCAGTGATGCAGTGGAACGTGATGGGACTTGTTCCTTTTGATAGCGCCCTAGTGTAGTTGGGAGGTTTTATGAATCTGGGTGGGGAACTGCCACGAGCCAGAGCCAAAAAAACCTGGACATTTTTTGCTGCAAGGGCCTTAACTCCAAATCTTGGCATCACTGACAGTTTACAGAGAAAGACAAGTTATTTGAAGATTATAATCTGTTTAGACAATAGATATCAGATGTTCATTATGGAATGCATCCACGAGGCCAAGGCTGAAAAAGTTGACCTTAACTTTCCTAAAACTATTGCACAAAGCTCGACCGAGTCTTTGAATGTTCTGTCATCTTTCTGATTTACACCAGAGATGATTTCTGCCGGTCATAAAAGGCTGAAAAACTTTCCATTAGCAGAGATGCAGGAAACAAAGACGACAGAACCTGCATCCAAATGTAAAACAGACAGATTCCTAAACCGTCACATAAAAGGGAACTTTGCTTCTTTGGAAATACTTAACGTGACAGTGATGCAGTGAACTCAAGTGTATTTGTGTAACTGGCTGGTAGAAGTGACTACATAACTGACCTACAAGGCTTCCCTCCATCTCTAAAGTGCCCAATGCTTGTTTTCAATCCTTTGTGAGTTTATAAAAACATTGATGAATGTGAATACCATAATAATACAATGAGAAATAGACATTTCAATGAGTCTCACCATAAATTTTATTAAAAAAGAACCCAGACTAAATAACACTGACATTGTTGGCTTATGTTGAAACTATGCAGAAATTCAGTGTTTGCCAGCCCAGCTGTGCAGCGCCTGGTCGTGCAGTATAGTCTGGCTGTAAATGTAACATTAATTCTTAGTGAGTGCTGAAGCTGCAATCTAAAACCTATCTGTCACTATCGAGGACAAGTGTAAAGAGCAAATGATGGCAGCTAGCCACTGTTTATCTTTGGATGAATGCTATCCTCTTGGAAGGTGAGTTACTTCTGGACATGATCGCAAGAGCCTCATGAGAACAGGCAACATATCAACGACTTTTGAAATCAATGTATCGTATTTGTGTTAGCATTAGTGTTGCTGTTAACCCACATGGTCACTTATTAAAACAGCGATGTGGTGATTCAAAGACTTAGGATTAGGTGCGAAGCTTGAAATTGCTGGATAGAGAGAATTGCCAGGTTTTATTAAAGTGCAGTGTCGGGAAAGTGGAGGTGTAGTGGGGGGTGCATTTTTCAGTGTCAAGTGAATCCAAGATAACAAAATATATCCAGGTGCAAAACTTAAAACACACACACACAGACACGCAGGGAGAGAAACACAATAGGGAGTTACATCATATCCTGTATGTTGTGTTTGCAATTTCAGAAAACTATGTTCTCACAGCAGCATGAAAAGCAGCTGACCAGTGTACTGTCTGCAGACACACACACACACACATAAGCTCTGCATCAGTTAGCTAAATCCAGGCAGCCAACAGTCGAAAGTGCATTACATTTATGCTTACAACTAAGAATATGACACCAGTAGTCATACAGACTGGCTATCAAAATTCGTGAAAAGGGCAGTATCTGTCTGTGTCCCTCTGTTTTATTAATGGTTGTCATTATTTGTCCTAGACACTGCACAATGTCATTGGCATTTCAGTGCACCTAAATGATGTAAACTTTTGGCCTGATCGTGCTGATAAATTAGATTTTTATAGAGAAAATTCTGAGACTTTTAAATGCTGTTATGCACCAAGTCATTTCTGTTTGCCAGTTAAACAGTGCATAGAAAAATAAAGGTGTGCAAGGAGGTGAAACCCAATCACAAGGTGGTTACTTGAGATACTTCGGAGTGAGGATAGGGGTAGCACTCATTTTCGGCTTCACGTGTTACAGTGCTATGGTTGCGTGTAGCTGCAACCTGCTACTACGCAGTTGTTTGCTACTTGGTTCTAATTCAGCATGATTGGTTCAGCGCGGCACGACTCGGAGCAACTCCCCTTTTCATCGGCTATTCGTATAGTCTACCAAAACATGGCAGAATGCCGACTGTTGAAAAGCATATTACGACCATGTTTCATATTGATATCGAGGAAAATTTATTTTTGATCAGTGTTGTTTTCGTTGACGAAAATATTTCGTCAATGCCCCTTTTTTTCCACGATGAAGATGTGACGTTGACGAGCTAAACATAAGTCTTAGATGTCTAAAATGTGACGAGACGAATGTGCGTTTACGTTGATGAGACGAGACTAGACTAGACAAAAACGTTAGCAGTGGATGACGAACAGAGTTGCAAAATTCATGAGCATTTCATCAGTCAAACACTAAACATATGTTCTGCAGTGTTGTTTCGTTGATGATTACAAAATACTTTTGTCAACGTCATCGTCAACGAAAACAACTGTTTTCAATATATTTCGTTATTGTCTTATCGCTCAGCCCTAGCATCAACCATCTCTGGTGCTTTTTTACACAGCTGCGTGTATTTAACTTGTTGGGAAAGTGCAAGAGAAAAGCAGGATCAGAATAAATGTTCAATGAAAACAAATGGTCTGTGATTTTTATGATACAATAAGGCATCTCCAAACCAAACAAAGTCTCTGCTTACCTCCTCGTCCTCCGTTCCTGGACGAACCTCTGCTCTGTGTGTCCTCCCAGCCTTCCCAGTATCTCCCCACACATCCTCCCATAGTTAAAGGGCTGCTGCTGATCTACAAGCGTCGTACTAGCTGGACAGGGGGGCCATTACTGACGACGATGATGAGGATGATGATGATGAATTAAGTCCGATGATAGTAAAGGTTCTGCTCGTCCGATGCGACCCTGATGGAGCTGGTTGTTCACCCGCAGAAGTGCACAGGGAAGGATTTAGATCGTCCTTGGCGCTGATCTGATCAACGTCTAAAGGACAGACGTTTAAAGTCCGTTTTCACAGTTTATAAATCAGCTGTTTTCTTAGACTTTACAAGGTTCAAAGCTTGTGGCCCACAGTAAGAGTTAGGAAGCCAAATCAACGAGCCGTCACGACATCTGCCCAACTTTGAAAGTGTCAAGATACAACCAGCAACTTGAAACCTCCTAACTTATCTGTCAGGTTTGGCTTTAGTTACCCAAATATTGGTGTTGAAGAGCCACAACACCGCGCACCTACCTCGCTAACAGGCTAACTGGGCCAACCAGCTAGCTCTCACATCAATAAACACAAACTTCTGCGCACTCGGCGGTCATTTCCCCGGCGTTTAGTTTCTCCCAAATGAAGAGTACAGATAGAGTTTACTGAAGTCGCCGGGGCATCAGCTCCAGTCTTTGACAGTGTTCTCACGCTGTTTTCTTTCAGCCCCTCGGACGTTACTTCCCTCTTTGCTGGTAAAAAGGTGACTAGCAGCGGAGGAGCTAGCATCACCCAACTTTTTTTTTACGCCTGCGCATGAGCCAGGAGGCAGTTGTTAGGTTCACTTACATCCGGACGAAAAGGAATTATGATTAAATGAAACTGCACATTAATTCAACGCCCACTAAGCCTCTCAAGGTTTTTACTTACAGCAAAACACTGCTATTTTTGACGATTTACAAGAAAAAATACACCGTTTACGTCTATAAATCAATGATATTTCCACGTATGCTCCTTTCACCCTGCGGTTTTACAGAATTCGGACAGCCCCTGGAGGCAACACCAAAAACTCCGGTAAAATTTAAGTTTTTCATTTTAGCTTTAAGCAAAAGTTTATATGTCACGCTACATGCACATGTGTCGCTAAGTTCTGCGTTGCTTCAATAGTTTATAAATATTAACCTGAAATAAAGCCACTTTTGCGGTTCACCCTTAACTTTTCGCGCATGCGTGATATTTGGTAACAGGCACGATGGCTGCGGACAGTACCTTGCTGCTGTCTCTGGTAGAGGAATATGTCTCTGGACTACAGGACAGCAAGGCCAAAGATACAGCAACTGGTAAATAACGTTGAATACTTTTCTTGTCATCCTTTCAGAATAATTCGTGGCCAAGGAGTGTCTGTTAAGCCACAGCTTCAAGGATGCGCCGACACAGCATGATGGTTAACTAGCTAACTTAGCGCCACAACATCCTGTGTGAGGTTACAGCCTCAATATAAGACACACACGCATTTAAACGTTTTGTCTGTTCATTTATCATGAGAACAGCACACATTTATAATGTCTTGGGTGTTAAAAGGTGTTGACATTCGCTTTTTAATGTTAATACCGGTGCTATAGTTGTGTGGTTTTCTTGCATGCCCCCTTGCTAGCTGCTGTGTCTGTGTCCTTAGTTGCATCCTGTCAATGAACTCTGGACCTCTGAACTCTGCTGCTGCCACTGCTAGTTATCTGTTTTTAACTTAAAGTCATGTTTGTAAGATGATATACTTTAATTCACTGAACTTTGTTTAGGTATAAAAGATGGACAGTTTACAATACTGCAGCTGGTGGAAGCTCTGGGGTAAGCATTTTTAGCTCTATACAAACCATTAAATAAGCAATACAGAACAGTTAATGAAGTCTATGTAACTAATTTCTCATAATGGTGATGCATCTGACATATTATTCAAAAATATTAACCTGATCATGTTTAGTTCTGCCTCTGGTTTTAATTTAGTAAATCTTGAATGTACCCGTAATTGAAATTATAGTTAACATGAACATTTATGGCCTGTTGTAGACTCAGCCTGACCAGCTCCCAGCCTCACACACGGGCAAGAGGAGTCCAGCTTCTCTCAGAAGTGTTGCAGGAATGCCATGAAGGTCTGACAGAGGGAGAAGGTACACTGTCTCTTTGTTTGATTTGAGGCAACAAACAGATTCTCATTTTGTAAACATGACTTACATTTTAAAAGCAAACTTAAAACATACCTTTTTAGTCTTGCTTCTAACAAAATTTCATATCATTAACTCTGTCTAAATGTTTTAGCATTTATCTATTCTAGCTTTAATCACAGGATCGTCCTTTATTGAGCTATTTTGGTACTCTTATTTTAGTATCTTTTGCTGTGGTTTCCGTTTCATTTTATTTATTATTTCTTAAATTTCATTCTATGTTTCTTTGTTTTTAGATTTCAACCTAAACCTCCAGTGTTTCCTTATCTTGAGTTTTAAAATGACGTTTCCTCAGTGCGCACATTCCTGTTTCCATGAAATCAAGCCCTTTTTAAGTTCATACATTTTAACACTGTTTCTGTTACAGTTAGAATAGAATAGAATATTCGTTTAGAATAGAATTTCCTTTATTGATCCCCCAAAGATAGTGCAAAAATGCAGTTATAAAAATAAAGATGGTAATATTAAGAACTTAAATGCATTAAGTAATAATTAAAATAAATAATTAAATAATAATGAAAAATAAATAATTTAATAAAATTTATTAATAATTCAATTAATTAATTAAATTAAGTACAATTAGATCGTGGGGTGGGAATGAGGGGCTGGGCTGGGGTAGATTTGGGTATTCTTTGTTTCTTTTTTTTCCTTTCTCTGTGTAAAGCAAACATTTAGAATCTTGTTTTGATGAGAATGTTTTCTGTCTATGTTTCCGCAGTGGAGGTTCTTATTGCCTTCTTTGAAAACCGCCTTAAGGACCATTACGTCATCACACCTCCTGTCTTACAGGGGCTGAGAGCGCTGGTTAGTGTCTCCCTGTGTTTTATTTTCAGGGGAAATTTTAGAAACTTCATAGATAAGATTTACACACTGCAAAGTGCAGAAGATAGTTGTTCAGAAGTTACAGATATAACAGCAATCATGCTTATCTTTTGTTTTTGTTTCTTATTTTCAGACTAAATGTACAGTGTTGCCTCCTGGTTCAGCAGTGTCAATGCTGCGATCTTTGTTCCAGGATGTTCATGTTCAGGTGAGGCTGGACTTTTTATTGGATTAGAGATTAGGGGTGCAATTTGTAAGTATTATGTGTAACTGGTGTTTGGAAATGCTCATGATCAATTGTCAATTTTCTATAAAAAAAATTTGATTTTAAATTGGCAAAAACAATATGACTGACTGTACTGCATAGCTTCAGAATATATAAAGGTTTACAAATTACTAAAATACTTTATTATCAACATTCTGAATAGTCACATCAAATTACAGGACATAATACAAATATAACGGAATCTAAAATGAGACTGAAACTACTGACATCTAATGACTAAATGTGGAAATGCTGTATCAACAGTGTACTTTTTCAGTCTGCTTATTCTCACTGAGGAAATTAAGCGTATTGTAGAGCGTATTTCAAGCAGAGTGTAGGGGTGCATCTGTACCAACTGTGGAAAACACACTAAATGTACTGGCATTGATACTGGAGAAATTTTCATTTAAATCTAATGCTGACGATGTGAGTTGTCCCGGTTAATAAAATTGACCAATGTTCATGTCAAACCTTACAATTGTGGGTAACAAGCTGATGTGAAGTGTTTGTTTTCCAACAGTCATTGATGCTGACAGAGAGATCTTGTGTCTACAAAATGCTCATCAACCTCATGGAGAGCAGAGAAGCCGGTAAGGGATTACAGGTTTGAGGCTGACTCAAAGCAGCTCAGAGAAAACAGTGACGTACTGACAGATTTCAATAATGACAGAGTGTGACAGGGTAAAGGAGAGGTTTGTACTGAAGACGTAGGTGATCAAAAATTACAGAGAGTGAGTTGTGGATGCAGAAATCTCAGCAGCCTGCTCAATAGTCTCTTAAGTCATTTTTCACCTTGGGGAGGTTCAACTCCTCCCAGCCCTGCAGTTACGAAAACGCTGTCACACCTTCACCTTTGCTTAGAAGCTGAATGATTTACATACACAAACAGTAAAGCATGCAAATAAAGCGGTGAGAGTGATGTGCTCACACCCCTGTCTCTTTGTTTTGTAGTAGAGGCAGTGATTGTGTGAACACAATAGTCCACTGTGTATCAAACAGTTCATTCAAAGATAATAATCATGTACATGAAAATTATGGCTCTTGGCTGCTGTTAAACCCGCTTAGGCACAATACTTGCTCGTTGCTGGTGATACATATTCTTTTTTTGTCAGTCCCAGACAGGAAAATGAACACCCAGTGGTCAGGCTTTACCAGATATCAAGTCAGATGCCACAATGTCTGTGTGGTTGTTCTTGCTTGCACCTCATTATATGATGATGTCTGTGTGTCCTTGTTTCACCCTTCACAGAACTGAAGGGTTTGGGAGCAGACTTTGTTTTTGGTTTTCTTCAATCAATGGACGGAGAGAGAGATCCTCGAAACCTCCTTTTGGCCTTTCAGATCGCCAACAACATCATCCATCGAGGATACGATCTAGGTGAGAGCACACATGAGTACATACATCCACTTTCTCTCCCTTTGTTTTGTTCCCTCCGTCTCCCTTTCTTCACTAATTATATCACAGCTCAAACTTGGCTTTGTCTCTCCCCCCGTTAATTTCCTGTCTGTCGCCTCAGGTAAATTTGCAGAGGAGCTGTTCGAGGTGACGTCCTGCTATTTCCCCATCGACTTCACCCCTGTGAGTCCCTGTTTATTCAGCTGCTTGTGTCTGTGAGACTGACGAAAGCAGAGAGGGCAGCAGACAGAAATGTCATCACTGACTTCCTGTGACTTCAGTGAAACAATAACACAGAGTCTGTCTCCTCATCGGCTCACGCACATTTCCCATGTCTGCATGACAGAGGAGTGCACCTCAGGACAAAGCAGCACACCTATGCAATAACCATTATCTGGAATGCTAGTGTGCAATTAGGTGTGAACTTTACAGTATGATAAAAAATGGAACATCTTCTAGCACATTGCAGATAGTCAGCAAAGTCTCCAGATTGTCTAATTCGGATGTAGCGTTGGATGGATTATTAAAGGGAATAGTCTGACTGTTGCGTCTAGTAACAACAGATCAAATATTTGGGTTTAATTATCATCAGTTAGTCAATTCTGTTTTTTTTTTAAGCCTAAAATCGCCAGTGTTTTTTACACGCAGAAATGAAACAATGTTGTTTTACTTTCATTTAAAAGCTTGAGTCTCTTCTTGCCTTTACTTTATCCCTCATATCTCCCCACAGCCTCCCAATGACCCCCATGGCATCTCCAAAGAGGAGCTTGTCCAGATGCTGAGGAACGTCCTCACTGGGACGCCAAAATTTGCAGAGGTACGACTTTGAGTTTTCACCTGCATTTTTTTTTTTCCATGGTGCTTTTAATCTGAGGAGATTTCCAAAACATAGTACCTTGAGAGCCACACTGTTATTTATAACCTGTTTTTCCCCCTCACTCCTACAGTTTTTGTTACCTCTCATTATCGAGAAGCTTGACTCAGATGTTCTGAGCGCAAAGCTCGACTCACTGCAGACTCTGGTGAGAAATGTCTTCTATTTCCTAGCAAGTGTGTCTGACAATATCAGCGGTCTGTTTTATGCTCATTGTAAAACATTTGACTCCGAAGTTCTCATGTTCACTCACTGCTACTTCATGTCCGTAAACATGTTTTTAACCTAAAGATGTTATTCTGAAGCTTCTCAGTCAATCATTACAACCAAAGACAAGCAGATAAGGGTTGTGTATCACTTCCGAAGGTGATGCAATGCGTTGTTTGTTTTTCAGACTGCTTGTGTGTCACAGTATGAGCACAAAGACCTGGCAGAATTCCTGGAGGGGCTGTGGGCGTCACTACGCAGAGAGGTAAGCTGTGAGAAGTGATTGTGATTTTGATTGATATGTGTTCATGACTTCATAAAAAAATGATCAATGGTCTGTTTTTCTCTGGAGCTGGATCATTTATTTAGTGTGACTGAAAACTCTGTTCTACCCACCAAATCCTGGGAAATCATACAGGACAGATAGAAAAATAGGTAAGGAGGTAGGCAGGCAGGTTGACTGACAGACGAACAGACAGGTAGATAGATGGATGCATAGATAGATATATATATATATATATATATATATAGATAGATAGATAGATAGATAGATAGATAGATAGATAGATAGATAGATTTATACATAGATAGATAGATGCATAGGTAGGTAGATGCATAGATAGATAGGTAGATAAATAGAAATATACATTTATACATAGATACATAATACATACATAGAGAGATAGATACATTGATAACTACATACATTGATACATAAATACATAGGAAGATAGATAGATACATACATAGATACATACATAGATTCATAGATAGATAGATAGATAGATAGATAGATAGATACATAGACATACATATAGATAGATACATAGACATATAGATCGATAGACATATAGATAGATACATAGACATATAGATATACAGACATAGACATATCGATAGGCAAAGACATAAACATATAGATAGACATATAGATATAGACAGACATATAGGTAGATTTGGACATTAAACATAGACATTTAGATAGAAATTTCAACATGGTCATTAATTTGGCTCAGAACAGGTGCCTCATAGTCCTCCCCACACTTGTTGGGGGATTGAGTCCTTGTCCTGACAGTATTTGGTGCATTTCACGCCCACTTTCTTCCTGCGTTTCCTGTCTCCACTTGTCTTGTTACATAAAGGGTAAAAGCCCAAAAAAGCAGCTTGTGCTGTTTGTCCAGTCCAGTTAAAATGAAACAAACACATCATTAAATGTGAGTCAGAAACTTCTATCTGTGGGCACCAGTTTGGCCTGTTTTATGAGGCTGCAGCCTTTGTTGCAACTCTAGCTGGTTGGCATCAAGCCTTTGCTGCACATCCTCCTCTACTCTCTAACCCCCACATTACCCATCCCTGTGCAGTTAACTTATTGGGGTCATAAAAAGTGTTTCCAAATTTTTTTGTGGAAAGAAAAGTCCAAATATAATCTTCACATGGAAAGGCAACAAAACAAAGTGAAGTCTGGACCGATGCTGATAACCATCGGTGTTCTCCTGTTTTCTTCCAAGAAGATTAAAAACTTCTCAAGTGTCCTGTGGGCACCAAAAAAATCACTGTTGCAAACACTGATTATTCACAGAGTTATCTTTGAAGACTCTCCTGTTTCTAAGAAAACACGCTCGATGTCAATGCCTCCAAGTGAGCCTGAAGAACAGTCTAATAAAACACGCTCAACCCCTCTCGTCGTTTTATTGCAGGTGTTTCAGACGTCGAGTGAGAAGATTGAGTCTGCTGGCCTCGATGCTCTAACCGCAATCACTTCCTGTCTGTCTCGCTCAGTCCTCAACTCTGACTCTGAAGACTCCCTCTGCACCTTCCTGGATCTGGTGCTCAGAGGTGAAACGCTGCAGAATCCACTTACTAAGGATGAATGAACTGACGTGTGTATAAATGATCTGAGAGAAGAGAAAATCGACCACTGGAGTGATTAAAGTGAACATAATAAAGGGGATTATGTTAATAAATCTTTAAGTGGCAGATTCAGAAGGGGGGGCGGTGAAGGAGGGTCAGTATAGGTCAGTGATAGCTCATGAAATTCAAAGAAAACTGAAATGGATATATCAGAACTGTTGTAATTTAGGTTTCTATGTCACTGTTTCACCGCTGTAAAGGCAGCAGTGATCTGCCACAACAGTTTCATTGGCAGGAAATTCTACCATGATACCACAGTGACTGCTGACTTCTTCAGTGTTAACCAGCTGGAGGTTCAAAAAAACACAATGCTTCCTGCATTCTTCATACCTTGTTTCTTTACTGCCAAAATTAGAAATGAAAAAAATCTTAGCAACCATTGCAAATGAGTGTGAATACAATGTAAACCCTTTGAGAAAATATGCCGAACTATAATTCTGATGTAGACACTGAGATTTTGGTAGAAATAACAAAGAGATTACTTATATCTAAAAACTTAATGAACATTTCACCCTGAATGGAATTTTTCAGCTAGCAGCTCTTGATCGGAAAAGAAACTGCTACACTTTTTAATTTCATCTTATCCCAGTATTACATACAGCGTTAAAAGTGCAGTGGATAGTATTTAGCAGAACAGACTCGGTAGAAGGCATCCAAACTCTTTGTCTATGTGACTGGCTGTCTGAAGTGCACCAGTTGGATTCCTGGAATTGGTATGGCTAAATGTTTTTGGAGGGTAAGACTTATTGTGCATCACAGCAGCTTCTTGTCCTTAAAGGCCACCATCGCTTCACCAACTTCTCGTTAAATGTCCAAATTTCTACGCACTGTACCTTTAACGTATTTACTCATCCCTTTGCGGTTGGTCCAACACTCTTGCGTTGTTATTACTGACAGTGTGATTTTTTTCCAGACTGCAAACATCATCTTAGTGAGCCGGACCTGAAGCTGGTGTGGCCCAGTGCTAAGCTGCTGCAGGCCGCCTGCAGCGCCTCCAACAGGGCGAGCCACATCATCACAGCTGCAGTCATGCCTTCTCTGCTTGAGCAATACGACAACAGAACCCAGGTGAATATGGAAACATCCAAATGTGCATTTTGTTCATATAATCAGTGTGTGGCAGCTCTGTGAGTGTCATATTGTAACCTCTGGGACATCTTTCCGACTTTAGTATCTTTGAGTTTAAATCTGTGCGAATAAAAACCTGTTGTCCTCATGCAGTGCTCTCACAGACGGACGATACTGGAGGTGGTGCAGCGGTTCGTCCAGTCTGTAAAAACCAGCCAGTCTGCTGAGAAAGGCAAGTGCTGTTTGATTCTGTCTCTCTCGTGATCTCTTTGTCCTTTGTTGATGTAATTATATTCAAATTAATGGGTAACAGAGCTCACCTGTGTGATGTTATTAACAGATAAGCTGTTGCTGAGTCTTTTTAGGTGTCTTTGTGTGGGTATACTTGGATGGTTTGATACAAAGGACTTTATATTATGTGTATGTGAGATTTTCATCCATCTCTTTCTTTGTGTTTCCTTCTCCCACCCCAGAAGAGAGCGTGTTTGTAGCCTTCCGTCCATCCCTGTGCACCATGGTCTTTTCAGCCTTAAATGAGAACAACTCCAGTCTGCAGAAAACAGCCACATCTGTGCTCACCTCACTGGCACAACAACCAGGTGAGATACAACCAACTCTTCCACTCATGTTCTCAGCAGAGTCTCAGTAATGTGTCTGATACATCAAATCTGCTGTCACCTTCAGGTCTGCTGTTAGACTCGGACATTGAACTGGCTGTGGATCACCTGACCAAACTTCTGCTGGCAGAGGAGGACGAGGGAGTCAGGTTAGCCTCCATCTGTTTTCCTCTTCTCCTAAAAACAAACATTAGATGTTTTTAGTTTGAGTGCATGGCTGAATGCTGATTGCTGTGTTTCTGGCTCCAGTCTTGCTGTGGTGGAGTGTGCAGGAGCCCTGGCAGAGCTGTACCCAGAAGCCTTTATCACAAAACTGATCCCAAGACTAAAGATGGAGATGTTTTCTGGTGAGAGAAAATCATACACTGAAAAATAGGTTAAGAAGAGAACGAGAAAAGAGCTTAAAAGGATGGTATTTTCATTTCTTTGACTTTAATCATGGTTTTATTTGACACTTGAAAACAAAAATATGCTGAAATTTTAAAGAAAAAAAAAAGACTGACCTCAAGCATTTGCCAGGATTGAAATAAGATGAAATAACTTAATGAAGAGCAACATTTTTCTCTTTCTAGAGTTATGTTTTATTTTTGCATGAATTTACCCCTTTTCTTCTCCCTCTCTAAGATCCCATAGATCAAGACAACAACAGAGCAGTCTCTGAGCATCAGTCCCATCATGCAGTGTGTAAGCGGTGTCTGTCTGCCCTAGCCGCTGTGTCCACCCAGGCCAGGATTGTCCACGAAAGCACCCCTGTCCTCTTAGAGGTCCTCAGTTCAGCACACACAGGTAATCTGTCCAAAGAGACGGTTTTCTAGCTTCAGGTTTGGACTCATATTTGATTGGTCAAGTCAACGTCCTTTTGTTTTCATGGTATGTTGCATGTTTTTTCACCAGTTTTGTTACTTGTTTTGTTTTAGTTGAAATTCACAGGCCTTGTCTAAAATACTAACTGACCAAGATGAAATATATTCCAGTAGAAAGTCAAGTCACCTCCACATGGTTTTTTTGTTCCTTTTCCAGGTAGCGTTGGTTTCTCCGTGGACCAGGTAGTGTTAGCGTGTCGCAGCCTTCAGAGAATAGCAGAGAAGGTTCAGGACACCGAGGAGACGGGACGATGCTTCCATGACCTCGTCATCCCACGCCTGCTGTCGCTGTCGCTCCAGGCAGCTCTGCAGGGTGAGACGATATTTGTGTATTTTAATGTCATGACTGCTTTTGAGGAGAACTTTCTGCAAATACAAGAACAAAACTGATCCAGCCTACCACTAATAAACAGGTGACCATATGATTCACTCATTCACAGACTCCTTTTTTTGTTTACATTTCAACTGTCCTGATTTATGAACATTGAAAACGTGGAGTACCTCAAGGCTCACTCCTTGGTCCACTTCCATTCCCCCTTTACAGTTATGCTGATGACACTCAGTAATACCCCTCTGTGCAACCTACTGAATACAGTATAAATAAACTGGTTACAGGTAAAAGCTACTTAACTGATGTTAAAGACTTAATGTCACAATACTTGTCTGTGGCTCGGTTCAAAACTTGGGGGTTGATCTGATCCCAGTACAAAAAACAGTGACCAGTCTTTACATAGACTTGCAACTGAATATGTAAGCGAACTTTTAATGCCTATTGCCCAAGATGAGCTCTTACATCAGCTGCACTGGCCTGATGACTGAACCAGAGTCTCAGCTGCAGTCGAAGGATGATCAGACTTTTCCTGTGAGACAGTCTTTCATCTTTATGTTCAGTCAACAGAAACGGTTTCTGCTTTCAAATCCTAATTTTTACAGACTTTCCGTTTGGTTGGTGGTTAACTGTATTATAGTTCTGATGTGCATATTTCAACACTGTTTCACTTTTTATTGCCTTATCAACACCTATCATACTTTTATATCTATATTTCCATATTTTATTGAGAATTAATTGGATTTTTTTTTTGTGTAAAATTTCATCTTGAATTCTTTTGTGTTTTGTGTCTGTGATTTGAGCTGCTGTAATGATGCAATTTCCTGAAAAAAAAGACAAAAAAATGATAAATTGAACTTATTCTTTGTGCTTTTGTAGGTGAAGAGTCATCTGGTCATCGTAGTCCTCTTCTCGAGGAGTCAGTTTTGTCTGCCATGGTACCTGTGATCAGCACCTCCTGCTCCAGACTACAGCCAGCGTCAGTATAAACTCTCTCTAAACCGTCCTTTAGCTGGCATCTCTTTCAAGAGCGTTATAGTATCAAGTGCAATGATCAAGATTGTATAGATCAAGATTAATAGATGTGTAACAGAGTGCTGCTCTAATGAAACATCATTACCTCATGAATCTTGTTTTCATTGTTTAGTTAGCACTTACTCAAAAGCTGGAGCGTTTAATAAACTGATTTAAGTCGTATAATACTGACGTTAAATAGCAATTTTTAAAAATTTTAAATCCTTTGAAAAACCTTTTCCCCCCTCCTGTCAACCTCAAAAGAACCTAAACCTGCTGCTAGTTCCTGTTTGTCTCGTGCTTTTTCTGATTTTGTCAGTTGCCCCGATTTAGCTTTTGCAAAGCAGTGTCAGGTTTGTTCCCTCACGAGGTTTGTGTGGTTTCCTGCTCTGGTGTTTTCAGGTTGGCAGAACAGACGGCGTTGAAGGCTGTCTCTCTCTTTTTGAACGGTGATGTTTCCTCTTTGCCAAACAACTCTTTCCCCTCGCACATCCAGCTTCTCAAGGTATCTATGAGCACGAATTTGTGTACATGGATGTTCAGATAAAATCTCTCAAAATTGTATTGAGAAGTGTAGATATTGAGAGATGTAATGTTTTCCTCAAAGCAGCAGGGGGACTCATGGAGCCAGTCTCAGCTGGTCTGTCTGCTCATGGGATGTGTGTGTTCATTACCGCGCAGCGTAAGTGTCAGCCGCAAAACCTGCTTCTACTTGATCCTAAATTCTTCATTATGGAGGCTTTCATCAAAGTGTGGTTCATGTCATACAGGTGGAGGTGCCTCAGGTGGAGCAGCTGCTGTCAGAGCTGGAGGAGATGAGCTGCACCTGCACCCACCCTCTGTCGTACACCTCTGCCGCAAAGTGCTTCGCAGGCCTGATTAATAAGAGGCCACAGGGTCAGTTTGTGTCTTTACACCGTCATATATCAAACTTTTGACTCCGTTACTAAGAGCTCCGCTTTTCAACTTGTTTGGCGTCTTCTTCAGGTGAAGATCTGGACCGCCTCATTCAGAGAACGATGAAGAGAGTGTACACTGAGCTGGACTCTGCATCTTCATCTGCATGCACTCAGGCTTTCACCCTCTTGGTCTGGGTACGAGTTCAACCATATTTGGTGATTGATTAATTCAGAACTTTCAATCAATAAAAATCAACAAAGAAGCAGTAAAGTTGCTCTGATCTGCAGGTTGCCAAGGCTCTGCTCCTCAGATACCACCCTCTGTCTACAACTCTGACAGACAAGGTAACAAGACAGAATCGTGGTGTGACTCCACTCATGCTGCTACAGAGTCGTGTTTGTTTTAATTCCCTCTGTTTGTGTTCTTGAAGCTCTTCTCTCTGCTCGATAACGCCGACCTCGGTCCAATGGCTGCAGAGAGCTTTTCACTGCTGATGAGCGACACGACCGACCTCCTGAACCGGGGTTGTCATGCTGATGTTCGCATCATGTACCGCCAGCGCTTCTTCAGCGAGAATTCGGCCAAGCTGGTTCAGGGTTTCAACGCCGCACCACAAGGTACACGTCTGCAAAGACGCTAAGTGAAGAGGTTATTTAGATAAACTTTGAAAAGTTTGAATTTGATGGTTTGTCACAGATTTGGTCACTTCTTTTAATCAAAAGTAGATTCACTGGGGAGAAATATTTTGTGGTTAAAAACTCACATTTTTCAAAGTTAAAGAAAACTCAAATTGGAAAAGGTTTTCTGCACTGTGGTATTAAAAATGTAAAAGAAAAAAGAAGGACTGACAGACAGAAATACATCTTTTCTTTATCTATCCTACATCCTGATAGAAGAAGAAAGTGCACACTTTATTTAAAAAGACAAACATTGAAGTATGACAGAGTGCTCTCGTCTAGTCTCAGCCAGTGTGAAACCTTCCAAAGATGCTCGCCAGTAGAAACAAATCTACACAGCTCTGTAGAAAGGCATAAAAATGAAGGCGTGGAGGTTTCTGACTTTTTCTTTGCTCTTCCCCTTTAAAAAGTTGTTGAGGTTTTTGTAATAATAATGATTTTTTTTCTGCCTCTACAGAGAAAAAGACCAACTACTTGAAGGCTCTGTCTAACATAGTCAACAACCTGCCCAAGCAGGTCCAAATCTCCGAGCTCCCCAGAGTGAGTAAAGCGTACACTCTCTCAGTCATTGTGAGTTAATTAACATAAATTAAACAAAGTCCGTTTAACTTTCACCTTTTTTGGGGTCCAGCTCTTGTCCCTGCTGTTGGAGGCTCTGTCGTGTCCTGACCAGGCCGTCCAGCTGTCCACTCTGTCCTGTCTGGAGCCCGTTCTCGCTGACCCTCTACCCGCTCTCATCCAGCAGCTGGAGGCTTTGATCAACAGGCTGATCGCTCTCAACTCCAGTCCTGCCATGGTTAGTGAGAGAGCTCACCTCACTCAGACTTAACTCTGGACTCATACTTCTTTTATTACGTGATGACTGAAAGCAGTTTAAGGTCAAACTGTTGATGGTTCCGGTTCTTGAAGCCAGAACAAAATAATCGCCCGAGTTGCTCAACAGTAATAAATTATGGAGCAGGTTTTGATGTGTGTGAACTCTTTGAGCATATTCAAAAGTTTAGTCAGAGTCAGCTGCACGTTTAACAGGCTGAATATGTTGAATAGACAGAAATCTGATTGCTGTCATGTTTGTGTCTCGCAGAGCGTAAGGATTGCTTCTTTACGCTGCATCCATGCTGTGTCCCACTTCCCTGAACACGAGGTAAGTCAAGGTTAAAAATGACGTTGACTTCTTTACCAGAACTTTTTATCCAGACTCTCTGTGATCTTCACTCCAACAGGGATAGCGAATCAGAGAATTTTACTTCATTTTTGTAACGCATTTTTGACTTTTGTTCAAGGCCTTCATATTTTTTACTATCTCGTGTGTTAACAACGGCAGTCTTGTCTTTTATGAATGACTTTTTAAACCAACTTGTTTCACCCATTAGCAGTATGGGTGTCAGCAATGAAGTTACTCTTTGGCGCACTCTGCCCCTGAAGTCTTAAACCTTGGATGAGTTCTAAGCTGTTATTATGTTGTGTCGATTTAACTTTCATAAATTTTGCATCTCTACTTTTTAATGTTTTAGATCTTGCCATTTCGTGCCAGAGTGCTGCGAGCTCTGGCTCGACCTCTGGACGATAAGAAGAGGCTGGTGAGGACGGAAGCTGTTCGGGCTCGAGGAGAGTGGTAAGACAGACGCTGCTGTGTTCACATTCTCAGATTAGTTTTAAAATCTGAATCGGTCACTACACATTTAACCTTTACATCAAGTTCAGTTTTATACAATTCATCCTAGGGCTGGGTGGTAAACCAAAAACTTACCGACACCAAAATTTACGACAATAACCGACGTCATTTTGCCCATATCCGTATATTCTGTGTCTAGATAAATAAAAGTTGGTTTTAGATGTGTGTAGGTAGGCTATGGTCTAGACGTGACTCCACCCCATCCAGTCCATAACAAGGAGGGTAATACAGGTTGAAGAGATGGAGGACGGTTCAAAAGTTGTTGCAGCTGGGGCGACAGCTGAAGTAGATGAAGTTAATGTGGGAGGGGGTGAGCAGCTTGTGGAGTAGTTATTGTCCATTTATCGCTATGGAAGTGAACTGCTCAATATATCGTGATATTGATTTGAGGCCATATCGCCCAGCCCTAATTTATCCACCTTCTAATGCTTAAGCTGTGAGATCAGCATTCTGTGTATATCTGAAGTGGGTTTTTCTTAAACAGGTATCTCATTTCTTTTTTTAGGTTCCTCTTAGGAAGTCCTGGAGGAAGGTGATTTTATCCTGCAGCTCCCTCCGTCCTCCCTAAAGCTGGAAGAACACAGATGTGGGAAGGTCAAGCTGAAGGATCAAAGCTGTGCAGTTCCCCACAGCAGCTCTTGCTCTTCTGTCATTTCTGATGTTCCTTCAGCATCTCTTCATCTTTCTACTCACATCTTCCCCCTTTTCACTGGATTATTGTCTTTGTAACTGATCTTCTTAACGCACAAACCAATAAGAATATACAGAGTGACTGTGGAGCAGTAACTGAGTAAAAAGAACGAAAACGACCAGATTGTTCAATATGTAACATGCCTTATTTATAACAGGATCTCTCTTGGAGGAGTTAGGTTGCATGGAGGCTTTTTGCTTATTTGTAGTTTTAAAAATGTGGTTTTTGGTGCAGTCTCAACCACAAAACTATGCCAACCAAACAAGTCTGCAAAAGGTTTGCTTCACTGTCATAAAAAAGCCCTCCAACCATCTCCCCCTCAAAAATGAGAGAAAAGTTACACTAAATTACAGAGATTATGATGGAGGACAGCGTTGGTAATAGTAAGGTTTATGGAAAAAAACTTGAGATTTAGGATTAAAATCAGCTGCTTTTCTTTCATTAAATCGATGACAAAAAAATCCATTCCAATCTTTTACAGATCCGCCAGTCAAGGTGAAAAATTTAAAGATTTCAATATCGTCCGTTAAATATGTCAGTTTATATATGAAGAGAGAACAATTTCTACACGTTACTTATGGGCTAAAGATGATGAGTGATAGCCTGAGCTGAGGTGTCAACATTTCCTTGCTTGTTTTTTTTTTTTTTGTCTTAAAACTATGTTGATTTTTTTTGCTGGTGGACATAATCAGAGACCTCAAATCCAGCTCCAACCAACATGTGGACTCTACAGCCAAACGATAGCAGCACTGAACCTAGCAGGCCCTGACAGCCTCTTCTTATTTCCTCTGTGTGAATGTGTAACCGAGCATTAATGTCTTAATCAAATCAGGATGTTTGATTCATGTCACTCTGGTGTGCCAGCGGGGTGGAGTCATCGAGACATTGGGATATTTGAGTCAAGCACTTCTTCAGTATTCCTCTCTTATATACTATACTGACAGTTTTTTAAAGATTTCTTTTACGTAATTCAGTTTCTCTGTTGAGAATAAATGTTGAATGAAGATTATAAATTATGTGAAGTACGTGTCAATCATCTTTCTTTGACTCTCAATGTTCGAACAAATCTTCATGCTTTATCATTGAGATTGTCATTTCAGTGGAGTGACTGTCAGCATATGCCAAGGAAAGAGACAGTATTTAAAACGTCTAACTTAAAATGTCATTAAAAATGTTATTTGTAAGGAAACAAAAAGCATTCGTCTTTTGTTTTGTAAATCGATCAATCAATCAAATTTTATTCATATAGCGCCAAATCACAATAGTTGTCATCTCAAGACGCTTTTCAAAGAACAAGAGCAGGTCTAGACCACGCTCATTGTTTGATGAATTATCAAGAAGCAACCTAAGATGGTATTTAGCCCATCTCATCTAACATGAGTAGCAGTGGCAAGAAAAAACTTCCTTTTAACAGGCAGAAACCTTGAGCAGGACCAGACTCATGCCAGACCATGACGCTGCTGGGTTGGGGAGGAATGTAGAGAGATAGAGAGAGAGAGAATGAGTAAGGGAGGGGGAGAGAGAGACAGGGGACAGCAGCAACATTAAAACAACAACAGCTCATGTAATGGTGAAACAAAATGAATTCAGTGTACAGGGTTGGGATATGAGTGATTATGGACTATGTTCAATTAATTTAATGTGATGTGTCAAGAAAAAGCCACATTTGAATATCAAATATGATTTATTAAAAAAAACACAAATGGAAAAACCGGAGCTCAGCTCCCATCACTTACAAATGATATCACAGCTGTATTTCACGTTTCTATGGCAACTACAGATCCAAACAATTCACAATTAAGACACTGGATGAGCACACATGATGAGAAATATCAAAAGGATGATAACATCTTGAATCATATCACACAGTGCCTGATTCACTTAGTTATTCACTACCTCAGTTTAAAAGGTAGGACAGCCAAACAAGGCACACCATGATTTCCTGTCTCTGTAAGAAGAACAAAGTTCAGTGATGCTAAACTGAGTTCAGTGCAGGGTTGTTTTCCTCCGTTAAAGTTATAAGTAAGCAACAATTCAAGTCATACAGTGAAAACAATGAAATAAAGCTCTTAGTTGTATGCTTTTGCACACTGGAACCTCGGTTTAAAGCACTCCCTCTCAAGCTCATTAGCACACGCACCAAAAATACACAGCAGCAAAGTAAAAGCAAGAGTCCGCATGCTGAGTAGTAAAGCTTCAACTGTTTTTAAAAAAGACAGTTATGAAATTATCACCGGACAAAATGGTTTAGAAAATTCCTCAGAAAATTTGCCTCCCTCATGTTAAGAAACACTTGGATTTGTCTCCAACTCACAAGACAGATAAGACACACACACATAATGGACAACCAGTCAAAAGTGAAGACCTCTACAGGCATGATGTGGTCCACGCTCTGATCCCTGATTAAACACATAGTCAGGGATCAATACAGAGTCAATAATTGATGGTGCTATGGTCTGCATTTTTTTTTTTTACCTATGAACAATCAGAACAGGATTTCTGGCACATTAAAGAAGTAGAAACAAACAAGAGCCTCTTCGAGTAGAGTGTCACTCTGTTTACAAAGGTGTGGCGAGATTCTCCTGGATTAAACTGGATGAAGATTAAAGGTTGGTGTGGGGAAAACAAAACTATTTGCCTCTTAAACTGAAGATCAGGCGAGCCGATTTTCCAGGAGATCCTCAGTTGAAGTCTTATCATTCCTGTCCCTCACAGGAGCTCAAACAGTGAACTTTAATTTAGGTTTTAATGTTAGGAAATTCACCACATAGCACCTTTAAAAAAGTCTGAATTTAAAGCTGGTGTTCTTACAAACTCCTGTCAATCCTCCTTTAATTCACACATGAGGCTGTAGTGTTGGTTTGAGATTTTAAAACCCCAAAAAACACAGAGTGCTTTGAGAGTCGACAGCTGTCCTGCAGCGTTATTAATGGATGTCATCAGTCAACAGTGCTGTAGTCACAGGGAGGTGTCAGTAGATGGCAGTCTTGATGCGATGTGCAGAGAGGACTGAGGTTAGGTGGAAAATAAATTTACTAATGGTTGCTTCTACATGGTTCCATCTTCTAGTGGTAAAAATACCAAGGCCAACAAAAACCTCCTTGTTGGTGTTATTGAACAGTTTCCTCTTTTGTATTTGATTGTTTACAGCAGCAGACGAAACAGATGAAGTAAAGCTCTTCTTCTCGTGGTTGGTCACAGCAGTTTCAGATGCCGATCCTTGCTTGTGGTATGAATGCAGGCGAAAAGTTTCACAAGTTTAAAGTTTAAAGGGTGGAGGTCAAATAGCCATGGGACCCCTTCTATTGAAGATGCAGTCCCACATGATGCCGTCTCCACTAGGGGGGTGGCTGGAAGGCAGCAGGACCCGTGTGACCCAGTGACTGAGGAAGAGAAGAGCAAAGAACCTGGATCAGAGTTTGAAGTGATAATGGGACAATATCAAACACAGACAGACTGATTAATTGTTCAGTAAATGGCATTTTGACATTACTGGCATCATACCAGTATCGGCCCTCACAAGGCCAATATCACCATTATCCTTACTGAATAAAAACTGATACGATAGCTACGTTTACATGTGCAAAATTTCTTGATCCAATTGAAAATTTACGGGATCGGATATTGTGAATCAACCGATTATATGGGCGCAAAGTCAAATAATCCGATCATGATGTGCGTATACACGCACCAAGTTTTATTCAGATTAGAAGCAGTTGGACATGCACAGAGTTGTCTGATTTCGCTAAAACATCTGCAGAAGAAGAAGAGTTGTATTTACGTCAATAAAACAGCAAACATGGTAGTGGCTTACGGCATCCAATTCAGGAGTTTTCCCCTGTTAAATATTGTCACTAGATGGCGCCCTTGCGTACTTATTTTACTGTTCTGTCAAAGGTTGCCCTGTGCGGGCAGATACGGCTCCTGCAGTTTTGATTTATGACAGAGTGTTAATAATGAAACCTCCTGTACTGACCTCAGTAAATAAACCAAAGGCGTAAGAGTGGCGATCAAGTCAGGTAAGAGAGTCACGATTGGAATAAGTGCTTTTGGATACATTTCGGAATAACAATGGGCAATAACCACCCCTCTCAATCGGAATACGTTTTCTTTCCCATTGAGCCAAACTGGATCAGAATTTTCCGATCGACATGTTTACATGACGCTTTTTTATTCCGATCAGGCATTTTATTCTGATTATTTGTGCCCATGTAAACGCAGCTTGTGATAATCATAGAGAATCATAGAAATTCTGTGCACTCTTCATAGCAGACCTGCATTATATAATGACTAATGCAAACCAGATATTTCTAATCGCTGTTGTTTAAAAAAAATGGTCTGTGTGGCACATTTGGGGTTACAAACACACCGGTAATAAGCAGATCTTCCTCTGTCTAAACCTCTGAACGTCAGATTCTGCTGCACTGTCAGCTAAAACATCAGTAACCACAGCTGGTGCTGTTTTAACCATGACTGGATAAAGGACTGGTGCAGGTACTTTTTGAAGATACTTGCTACAAAAAAGGTTACCTTTGTTTTTCCACACCAAATAGTATTTTCAGATTGTTCATCCTCCCGTGGTGGAAGGGATTTCTGAACACCTGTGTACAAAGAGAGGAAAATGAACAACCACTCGTGTGTCATTTTCAAACGACTTTTTGCACTTGCAGAGTTGTTAATGTTTTTACAGCTCTTTGCACGACAGTCTCAATCTGCATTAAAAAAGTTTGCAAGCATGCAAGTTAAGGATGGATAACTGATCAACTGTTAGTCATTAAAACTATAATACATCAACACATCTTATTAACTTTGGGTTAACTCAGTGGTTCTCAAGTCCAGTCCTCGAGCCCCCACTTCCTGTATGTTTTGGATGTTTCCCTGCTCCAACACACCTGATTCAAATGATCAGCTCGTTATCAAGCTCTGTAATGGCTTAATAACGAGCTAATCATTTGAATCAGGTGTGTTGGAGCAGGGAAACATGCAGGACTGTGGGCCTCGAGGACTGGACTTGAGAACCACTGGGTTACAAAATGTTCCTAAAAGGTGCAAGCAGGAAAATGTGATTAGCGCCACCCTGAGGAGTCATCTAGAAATGACGCAAGGAATCAAAGTGAATGGGAAGGCTGTACTGTCTTTAAATATCTTTGTACCAGGGATACTATCATACTACTCAAATCAAGATGACTATATTTAGCTGTTTCCACATTTTCTCAAACAGTAAATATCTGTTGTTCCCAAATCCAGATATAGTCCAGTTGTAAACACGCACATGTACCTTTCCCTGCTCTTTCAGTCTTTTGGTCTCTTTGCAGTTGATATGGCGCTCCACGCTGGTCTCTCCTCTGCTTATGAGGATGACGTGCCACAGGGTGAGTCCTCCCAGAGCTACTGCCACTGAGCTGCAAGAGAGAGACATTACAACCTATCAGTATAACAGTATTAAACTTTCACTGAGGATAATACTTGACATGGCGGTAATAAAATCTTCACCTTGTCAGGACCCAGAGGAAGATGATGCTCTTGTGAGCAGTGGTATCTGTGTAGGTTTCAGTCGGAGGTGGAGTCTGATAGTAGCTCTAGAGGGGACAGAGAATAGAAAGACTTCACAAAAAGAAAAAGCCAAACATGCCAATCTTTTTGCGGGATCTTGTGCACAGGGGGCTCCAGAATATGTGTTGGTTTCAAAGCGAAAAGGCCTGAAGTTGTTTGTTTAGCAGCTGGTGCACGATCTTCTCTTAGATGAGGTCATCCATGATCAGAGGAGAGAACAGAAAGCAAAGATCACTTACAGGTCTCCTGTTTCACTTGTCATTTGCCATCTGAGCTCCACTTGTGCTTTTTACCACCCTTTAGCAGGCATCACAACATTTCACCTAAACCCAACTCCACCAACCTCCATGAAATCAAGAGTGCAACCATCTAGATTCTCTAACAAATTTACTGGCAAATAAAAATAATAATAGAGTTTTGTTTGCAGAGTGATTCTCCTGCAGATTATTGAGTCTCACCTCGATGGCATTGTATGCCTCCATAAACATGTTCCTGCTGCTGATGCTGCAGTAGATGCAGCCCAGGGTCATATAGATGCAGAAGCAGAAAAAGTAGCGGTGGTTGAAATGGCCCACGCAGTTATTCAACCAGGCTGCAGACGCGGTCAGGTCAAAGTGTGCAAATATTGAATGAAAAACACTTAAAAACTACTTAAAACGTTCAATTTTCATTCATTTGACATGTTTGTCAAAGCCTCTGAAAAGGATACGACAGTGGTGGTCCATCTTCAACACACACCTGAAAAGAAACAGAATTTTAAAACCAGATCAAATTCATCAAGGTGAATAAAAAACACGTGATATTTCTCCATGAGAATAAATGTTTGATTATCTTACATGTTGCAGATGCTACAGTGGTGCGTCCTGGCTGGTTTTGGAGAGATACATTTCTTACAGATGGACACTGAAGGGATATGAATATTATCCTGAAGAAACAAAAAGAGAGAGTGTTATTGTCAGCCTAACCAGACTGATTCAATCACGATATAACAAGGATAAAATTAAAACAAAACACTGGGGCGCCAAAGCTCTTGAGAAAATTAGAAGTATAACCAAAACAGCTCTAGTTTGAGTCCTGATGAGGATAGGTGTGTTCCAGTTAGAGGCGAAAAAAAGACAACTGAAGAGCCCAAAAATGTTCTTTATCTGTGTACTATCCATGTGATTTTAAGTGAAAATAGATCAGTAAAGAAAATATATATTTATGCAAAATTACTTATTAAAACACAGCTTTACATACCCTCAGATTAGCTTGAAGTTAATTTTTTTTTATTAATACAAAAACATAAAATAATATCTAAGAGGTCTTTTTTTTTTAAAATGTTCTTTATATTTAGAAATCGAGTTTTGAACATCCTCATTTGGTGAACATCAATTCAAATCAAAGCAAACTGCTGTAAAGAGCAGAAACATGAAAAGAAAACAAAAGAAAAAAATACAAAAGATATTTAATAACACTAACTGGTTAAAGTGGTGAAAAACTCCATTCAACTTCTCCAATAGTCCTCAAACACATCACTCGCCAATCTCAGTGTTATATTTTAGTGGTCTTACTAGTATCTGCAGTCAGAATTATATTATTATTATTATTCATTTTAATAGACCCAAATCCTGCATCTTTAAAAAGTGTATAAGCGTTATCTCTGAGGGGCTGGTACCTTGGGTGGGTGTCCTGGAGAGGTGGTGGTGGCCTTGTAATAATGGAAGACCACCATAACGAGAAGCCAGTGTCCACAGCAGAGGTGCCAGATGATCCAGTACACAGGGTAGGTGCTGAGGATCATGGGTATGACAAACAGATAGACGATGACCACGACTGAGGTTGTCAGCAGAATAACAAGAGTGACAAACACCTGAGGAAGGAGGAGGAGAAAGAGGGTGAGTGACTAAATTTGAGGATGAAAAGAGAAGAGAAGCACCCAGATGAAAAACCAACAGCTCACCACTCCAAACCAACGGGTCACGTTGTCCACGATCCAGTAGACGGGTTCAAACGCACAGTCCAGCAGAGTGTCCGAGTTCGTGAGGCTGTTGAAGTAAAGGGACTTGAGCAGCAGTTTGCTGTAGCTCCACAGATCCAGAAACCTGCCGCTGATCCAGGGTTTGGTTCCCCCGCCTCGGCCCCCTCTGTGCGGACGGCACCAGCGCAGCGTGAGTCGCATGGCCCGGGAGAGCTGCCACCTCCAGCTGCTGCCCAAACGCATGCCAGCGCCGCCTCCTCTCCTACACACTCTGCCCTCAAGACACACACAAACACACAGACACAGACCCCAGCAGTTACAAACACAGGCGGCGAAAAACAGCAGCTCCTCGTGGTATAGCTTGATGACTGGTGAGGTCTCCATGGTCATGTCTGCCTTCTTAAAAAGAGCTCCAAGATTTAGAGCTTCTTGTACAAGAGAAAAAGCCAAGTAGGAGGACTACATGACGACTAGAAGGAACCAGTGACCATGAAGTTCGGTGACGGCATCTCCTGTTGGACACATGTCCATCTAAGAAAGGAAGAACAGGGGCTCTCAGGTAATGAGCTGCACCCATCAGCTCCTACAAATAAACTTCTCCTGTAAATAATTCACAGCAAATCCAGATCTCCAGGCCAAACCCCTCTTAGAAACTTGCTGTGGAGATGCAGAGTGGTAACCCTGTAAGAGGGAATGCAAAGGGTGAATATCTAAAGAAGGAAATAAAGTGGTTACCTGATCGGAGTGTCATTTCATGAAAGTGAGTATTGGTTACACAGATAAGGCTTGTTCAGGTTCTCCTTGATAGAGTGGCATTAATAATGAGAGACCAGGACCTTTTAAAGACTGTAACAGTAAAGACCGACAACCTGAACTCTGTTGGTTGTGGTTAAATGATTTATAGTCACCTTTCCTAACAATTCAATACTATTACTTTGCGCACACATTCAAAGAGCCAAAGTTAGAAGGGTGACCCTGCAAAAACAAATATGCAAATGTGACACACGTCCCATCTGTCGAGGTCCCACATGACAACACTGATAGGTTACCCATTTGATCCTCGTTAAAAGACGCTACGTGTAACATGCATAAATAATGAACCCTTTACTTCAACATTAGTCAAATGACTTATTTGCATATTATTTTACAGCAGAGAGACTGTGTCACATTTTTAATCTGCTCTGCGTACAAATAAAATCCAACATAAGCTGTGGTTCCCCTATTTAAAGGCGAGGTCCCCACTGTCCTGAATGACCAAAGATCTATTTTAACTACAGTGTTTGAAACCCTGGACATTGATGTAGTATAAAAGTACCTGGCTGTGTTTAATGTTTATTTGTCCATCATGATTCTGTGGAAACCACAGGACTATTACTGCTGCCATGATGGGGATAAACTATTTGATTGAAGCCCTGGATAGTAAGATCCTGTTTCACTTTAAAGATTTCTCCAAGGCCATTTTATCAAAACATCTTAAAGCTACTGGGTCAACAGATATAATTGTTTTACTGCTTTAAAATGTGCTACCTCAAAGGCACTTCAAGTTCACAAAGGTGCACCACAAGGTTTGGTTCTGGGCCCACTGTTATTTATTGTAAACATTAAATGGCCTTGAAAGAAACATCCAAACTCTGTTTTTGTTTTTATGTTGATTATACTATAATTCACCACTGTGCAGCTCCATGCAAATGTCTAAGTTAATACTTAAAATGCTTTAATAAGTGCTGTATGACTCAGACTGTTTTTTTAATTTTAACTTTGTGTGAAAAAAAGACCTCCAAAGGAACCAATCTGTCTGAATAAAGGAAACCTTGATACACTGTATGTATTAATTACTGTTACGACCACGATCAATATTTCAGTATTGAATATTGCTTTGCATGTTTTTCTCTGGCCTAGCTGTGTCTAATGTGTGTGTGTGTGTGTGTGTGTGTGTCGTGAGTTTGTCGCCGATCTTGTATGTATATTGGGTGTGCCTGTTGCAGAGCTGGGTTTTCAAGCGTGACGTCACCACCGGCCCAGGAGGGGAAACCCATGACATCCTCATCCCAAACGCCAAGTCAGTTTAGAGCTGAAATGTATCCCTTCTAAATTTAATCCCATATAGCTAATAAAGAGAACATTATTTTAAAATAAAAAAGTTATTACTGTCATGTGTTGAAAAGCAGCAAAATGATTACAGTATTAATAACTGCTAATAAACTGATCATTAAACTGAGGCTCTATTCATTATGACTGGCACAAAGTTATCTGAGGGTTAATCTTTACTAAATTCAAACAGTCCTTTTTAATGAGACAAGGGTTTAGCATATGACCTCTTTTTGACCTCATCTATTGATCGATTTTTTTTTCTATGAAATACATAAAGTTGACATATCAAGAGTTATTTTTTGGTTGATTTACAGCCCAAAACCATGAAGATGTTGAATGAATTGTAAATGACAAATAAAAAAGGTTCAAATCACAGTTTGAAAATAAGTTGATCGAGTCACTAATAAACTTCATTCTAAATTTAAGTCAGTTGAAGTAAAGCATATTTGCTGGATACTACTGGATTTAAAAGAATTTCAAAACACATTATCAGTTTGGTTCTTGATAAAGTAGATGGGTTGGCTTGACTTGTAAATCCCCCTTTTGGTTTAATTTCTACACAACAATGGAGCTTTACTGTATTGCAACAAAACATACTGTTTGCGCATTGGTTTAGTGAGTCTGTGGCTACTTTGTCATCACTTCCTCTGAACACTTTCAGATTTGGTTTACCCAATCAATATTCCTGTCTTCAGTTTATGGAGCCAAAAGTGTAAAAAAAGAAACAAAGCTTGAATCAGCAGTCGAAATGAAAGCTTAAAATTCCTGACATCTCAAAATCTAGACTTGATATCACTCATCTCTATTTAATGAAGTCATTCAACATTTCGCCCTTTGTCTTCCTCATGGCAGAATGTTAAGAATAAGAGGTATTGGCTTAAATTACCATCCTGAATTGAGAAGGAGAGAAAATAAGAGTCATATAAACAGTGCTCAGCATCATCTTTGCTCGTTGCAGAGAGAGGTTGAGGAGACAGGAGTTTACATGCAAATCTAGTGTCTATGCTCTGTACCTGGCAGAAACAGAAAGAACATGAGAGAGTGGCACAAAGCAGGGCAACACAGTCGCTATGGCAACCAGCTGTCCTAAATCTGGTCTTATAACACACAGAGATCACTTCACTTCCTGTGAATCCCACTGTAATAAGCTTTACCTCGTCCTGCTGTCTCTGCCATCTGAGAAAAACAGGGAACGATACATCTGCTGAGTCTAACCTTCAGACGGACTTTAGACCTAAACTTCAGACTGGTTAAATAGAATCATGTCTCCTCCATAAATGATAGTATTTGATTATTTTATTTTGATCAAAGACTGCATGAATATTTTATATCATCATAAGGCAAAAATATTAGAATAATAAAACGTTTTTGATCCTCTTGAAATTTCAGGACTTTGAGTTAAACTATTGAAACTGATAATTGAAAATTTAATTTGGTATTTTGAAAGTAATAGCTGATACTCCAACTCTATATTTCTGCTATTGCATAATTAAATATCATTTATAAACCTCAATAGTACTGACTTACTGACTGTACCTATGGCAGATGTTGTCGGTGTAAATAATCAGACATAAAAAAACAGAAAAACCTCCATTTCATCCCACCACAATTCAAGGTTGCACTGTTGCTATAATCCTGGTGTAAACAGGGTTGTTTTTAACACAAAGTAATCTATTAAAGCATTAAATGAAATCTAATTGTCCATCAAAAAGACTCTTTAAACACTATAAATATCAAATAGTAGAAAATTTTGTTTAAGAAGTCAACTGTAAATTAACAGTTAACTATTTACTTCTATTTACTATCTTCTGATACGCTTCAGTCAAACAATACATGATTTTTTTCTAACACTAAATAGTTAGTTCATTTATTTTTTGGATGAAATGTATAAAGTAACCCCTGGTAGAACAATGACTCCTTATTTTTAACATAAATTCATAGTAACTGTTGCATGGTGTTCAGATATTTTTCTGATGCTGCTTCAAACGTACATCTTAGAGCCTGAGGGGCCACATTACTTACATGTGATATCTTATCTGAACCTACAAATTAAACTGAAAAGCATCATTAAAGCCTACAACAATCAAGAAAAACTAGAAATTGTCTCTCAACAATTCTCATTTACTCTAGATTGGATTGTATTTGTGTCCATGTATGTCCCGTTTTGTAAAGGCTGATATTTAATTGATATAATATTATCCTGTCAGATATTAATCTGGTTCTACAACTAAATATGTGCTCTCCAGAATATAATATTTCCTTAAATTACAATATGTCCTGCTTTTACCGGAGCTAACTGTTAGCTGCCTCCTCCCTGTCACCTTCAGTCTGTCTGTGTTTGGAGTAATTTTAGGTAAAAACATAAAAAACCAGCGAGGACCGAACTCGGCATATATACACTGTACCTGGTCAGGTGAATCAGGTGGACAAGCCCGGAGCACTACGGTCAAGTCATGGTCAGGCTAAAGGGTTGTTAGCCGGTCCCCACTGACTGCTGCTGCAGACCCGCAGCATGAACTGAGGCGCTCACGAAGATCATCTATTCAACAGAAGTACCACTCAATAGTTCTTACAAATCTATATTTCTGGTGGAATTATTTGACCGGTGACCACGGGCTGAAAATACGATACAAAATAGTAGTGTGGGTAAAATAGTGTTGTAACATAAACAACTATTTGCCCAGCAGGTTCGACAATAAAAGCCCCTTCAAGTGGGAGGCGCCCGAACATTAATTTCGAAGTGGGACATCTTCTTCAAGCTCACCATCGCGCGCACTGTGCTCTGGGAAATGAAGTTATCTGTTGCTCATAACGGTTCAATAAAACGTCTCCCATTTCTTGCGGTTGTGGTTACAAAATAGTAGAATGACCACGAGTTGGACATTCACAAAATAAGATTTGCTATAACAAAAACTGACACATAACAGACTTCAAAACAGAAACGAAAATGAGCGTTTTCGTAAATTTGGCGTGACCCGGAAGTAAGGTGTAGTAAAGCAAGTGGTGTCATGTGATTGTGGAAAATGGCTGCGGTGCAGTGGTAAGATTCTTCTTTCCTGATTAAAAAACAAAGTTTCATCAATACGAGATGGTAAAATCGTATTTTGGGGAAATATTGTGCAAATCTTGTAAATGTGCATGCACTGTTAATATGTGAATCTTGATCTTAGCTGTCTTGTAAGTTTTCTCTTCGACATTATGAGTTGTTGTGATAGCTGTGATCCAAGGCCCTCCTTAGCTGTGGTTGTATTTGTAGATTAAATGTACATGAATGGCTTTGTCGCTATATGTCAGCCCATTGCACGACGAGTGATCAGTCCAGAGTGTCCTGTGCCTCTTACTCAATCACAGGCGGGTTTAGGAGCCAGCTACTCATGTACACCATCACCACCTTCAGTAAACATAAAAGTCAAAATATCACCTCTGTGATCATGTCAACAAAACCTGAAAATGTAGCCTCCTGAAAGGGTAGTAGTTATAGTAGTTCTAGGGTAACTGAGAAAGTAAAGAAGTATGATGAGAGGATCAGAGTTTCAGTTCAGATTGTTGAAATGTATTACTTTTTTTATTTAAAAAGCTGTGAATATTCTGAATCACTTAATGGCATTCTCATGTTAAAATGTTTTTTTTTCTTACAAAACAGCAGTTATATGCAATAATAATAAAAAGAATTATTGTACCTGTTGAATAGTGTATGATACATAAAAATACACGTGGATGTGAAGAAATGACTGTTATTTAGAAAGAGAGAAGGTGAGGGAGGGCTGGGGTGGGGGTTGTAGGGATACAACTCAACTTACCCTATGGTCAACTTACCCCATGCACGGGGTAAGTTGACCATAGGAGACCACTTTTTTGTCATGCTATATTATCAAGACAGTTCTGTTTACACTCATTCTGTTGGTTTGCACGGATGCACAACATCTTGAAATATATCAGATACACTAGTTAGAGACAAAACTATGATTGCCTTGATGTAGTGATCAGAAATATGAAAAATGGCTCATCTTACCCCACTCTCCCCTATACCTTTAACTTTGATAGTCTTCCATCTCTCTAATTTTTTTTTTTAACTAATAATTTATCTGTATCATTGGCTGAAATTTGCCACCACAGACCTTCATCTTTGTGTTTCAGGCAACATAATAGATTCTAGTGAGACATAATTGGAGTATTTTAAATTTCAAAAGCATTGAATCAGTGAATTTATTTTTAGCAACATATCTTTTATTATGAGTAAACAAAGAGTATGCTCTCTGGAGGTAGGTTTCTGGTGTTGGACTGAGTTTCAATGCACTTGGTAGAAACAGGTGTGTTCAAGTTTGTCTCCTGTCTGTATGTTACGTGAAAAGGCGTTCCCGCATGCGCAACTATGAGGCGGAGCTGCAGAGATGCCGCCCTGAAGCTGCTCTGGTTGAGTTTGGAGACTACCACCCACTGAAGCCCATCATGGTAGACCATCTTCTGTTGTCCGTTCTTTTTACCCCATGACAGAAAACATTGTCACACTCTGTCAAAATATCACAGCATCATACATCTCCTCCTTCCTCATCAAATTTGAATATGATCTTTTTGTTATGTGATACAATTTACATGTGGAAAGTTTTATTCAGTTCTTCTTGCATTTTAATGTAACTGCTAACTGCTCTGACTCTCTTCTCTTCCCAGGTGACGGACACAAAGACCCGCCGTGGGGCTCGCAAAGGCAGCACCTCCTCATCTTCATCCTCGTCCTCCTCTGCGCCTGCAGACCCCCTCAGCTCCATGCTGGATGGGACTGACCCCCTCTCCATGTTTGCTGCAGCCTCTGCCAGTGAAGCCCCCGTCATGTCTCACAGTGCCTCCACAGGGGTCAGCTCACCATTTAGAAAAAAGAATTTATTTTAGCTCAAATACTGTCCCACCTTTATTAGAAGTTATACACAAGAAATGAGGAGACAGTGTCCTTAAGGTTGTTGTTCTTACAGGACCTGGGGAGGAAGAGGAAGGAGAAGAGTGAAGAGGCAGTGGGGCTCGACTTTGAGCCCTGGTCTGCAAAACGAGGAGAGATTTTAGCAAGATTTACCACCACTGAAAAGCTTTCGATTGTGAGTCATTTTCTTTAGATGTGACGTCAAAATAGTTCAGTCTGTTCCTGTAAACAGCCTCTGTGTACACAGCCATGCTTAATAAGAGAGTAATTAGATCTCATTTCTGTTTTTCCTCATAGAATCTTTTCATGGGCTCAGATAGAGGTAAGACATGTGTTCATAGTTATCTTTTTAACTTGAATAATATGTGCAGCACTGTAAAAGTAAACTGTGATGTGGGTGTACTTACTCAAAATTGAAAGTTAGTTTTATAACTTTATAAGTTGGTAGTATATCTGTGTTGTTTTAAAGCATTACACCCTTAAGTAAGCATTAAAAAACAATGATGAGCATTTTCATGTTGGAACTTTGCTAATTAGCTTCTGTTGCTGCTGCAGGTAAAGCTCCAAGTCCAGGATCATCAGCTGTTTCAGAGAAAGTTCGAACTCGCCTCGAGGAGCTGGACGATCTGGAGGAAGTATGTTTTTGCCTATGGGAACAAGTTTATACATGTCTGTGTCTGTGCATGTGTGTCTGTCTGAGTGTCTGTCTGTGTGTGTGCTCCGATACAGTGAGGCAGAGTGTGGCACTGTTACTGTCAGGTTTAGAGGTTTAGCCACAAATAAGAACATTTATTTTAAAATCCCGTACCCCTGCCGCCGACATACATCAATTGAAGAGGCTGTTTCTTTCTTCACATGTACAAACATTTTCACCTACCAAACTGCAGCACTAAAAACATCATATAATAAGCACTGACTTGTTTGGTGTTGTATTTGCAGGGTTCCCAGAGAGAGCTGCTAAACCTTTCCCAGCAGGATTATGCAAACCGCATCGAGGAGCTGAACCAGTCCCTGAAGGAAGCCTGGGCCTCAGATCAGAAGGTCAAAGCCCTGAAGATCGTCATCCAGGTGATTTGACTGAGTCATGTGGAGGAAACTGTGGTCTCCTCTTTTGGGAAATGCAAGTGCTGATCCGTGTCTTGTATTTCAGTGCTCTAAGCTTTTGTCCGACACCTCAGTGATCCAGTTCTACCCGAGCAAGTTTGTTCTCATCACTGATATCCTCGACACTTTTGGTGGGTACAGAAGCTCTCCCTCTCTCTCTTGCTTTGTTCAATTAAAACAACTTTACTCACTTACTTCTATTGTATGTCTTTGTAGGTCGGCTTGTGTACGATAGAATCTGGACCATGTGCTCAGACCCAAGACCTCTACCAGGTGCATATTGGATATTACCTGCATGGCTTGTTATTATTCCCATTTCTATGGCGCTTCACACTCTTGATTCACGCATGTATGTTTTATGTCTCTTGTCTCTGGTTTGTCCACTTGGTGTCCTCCCATTTCAGACTCGTTCACAGTCGACGATGTGAACGACACAGCCAAGGAGACGTGTCTTAACTGGTTCTTCAAGATCGCCTCCATCAGAGAACTTCTGCCAAGATTGTATCCTTCAACAGCGTCATTATTTTGGTCATTTTCATAGCGTGACTCAGAAAAGACACACTCTACGTCTCTTTGACCTCTGTGAACAGATACGTAGAAGCTGCCATCCTCAAGTGCAACCGCTTCTTGAACAAATCGTAAGTTCAGATCTAAATACAGCCAATTCGACTTTCTTGTTAAATATTCTGCTTTTATTTATTTCCATATTTGTTTTCCTTAATATGTAAAGTGTGTAATCGTGGCTTTTCTACTCTTAATCTGAATGACATTTGTGTCTTAGATACAAAAAATAGGAATTAATCTGTTACCATGGACCTTCTTATAGTCCCAATAACACAGCTTTGTTTTTTTGTATTTCACAGCGGTATCCAAGAGACACTTCCTCGGTTAACAGCCATGATCAGAGGGATTGGAGACCCTCTGGTGGCAGCATACACCAGAGCTTACCTCTGCAGGGTGAGACACGATCTCTATCCTGCATTTTGTACTTTCTTTCCTGTCACTTAGAAACCTCTTATCTGCTGGCAAATTTTCACGAAATGTAGGCGGTAAGAAATATGGTATAAGAATATTGAATTTCCTTTAAGAATCTACAAAAGTTCCTTTTTTTGTTTGTTTTTTTTTTGTTTGTTTTGTTTTTGCTCGAACCAGCGAATTTATTAAAGTGACTTATCCAGTACCCTATCAGAAAAATCAATAAAACAACTGAACACAACAACAAAAAGAGGCTACTGGACCACAAGAGATATAAAATATAAAATAACATCAATAAACAACTGCAAGAGCTCTTAAAGAAACTACAAAAAGATGCAGATAAAAAGCTCAGACATGCACAAGAACTGGAGAAAAATACCTATTGATGATTGAAGGATGCACACAATATACATCATATACAATACTGATAGGCTAATAGGCTAAAACCTCATGTAAACAACTTAACTTATCAATAACAGGGAGATGATACAAAGGAAAAGAAATACAGTGCATCAATGAATAAAGTATTTCCAGCTGTATTACGTGTAAAGAAAATAAACCTTTTATCACGAGTAGATCTGCGAACACACCAACACACTCTAACATATGTATGATGACACTTTCAATCTTCTAGGAGGTGAATTTTGACGTTCATGTCTTTGTAATTTTGGGTTAGGGTTAGGAATAGCAAATACCCAGAAAGATAGATTATAATTGCAATTACATCAAATACTCAGAGGGACTAAAGCGAAAACAAAGACTTAAAAAATGATGCAAAACTTCAACAGAGACTCAAATGGCAAAAATCTGCAGAAAACTACTGGAAATACAAAGCCTCTACTAAAGAGCAACAAATCTCAAAGAGAAATAAATGAGACATAAGGCGATAACAAACACGCAAAACCACCACAAAGATACACATTTGAAGACAAAGACATCCAAATGACTTTTTCAAAGTTCACCACTTCCATTTGGTTTTGACATCAGAAGTGAACAAATAAAAGCCTTCACTCCTCACTGTTGTAATGACAGGTGGGCATGGAAGTCGCTCCTCAGCTGAAGGACAGCCTAAACCGAAACTTCTTCGACCTGCTGGGGACCTTCCGGCAGATCAGCGGGGAGAGTGTTCAGAACCAGCTGGTCCAGCAGAGGGTGGAGGTGCCTGAGTACTTGACACTTTACTCACCCGCCATCAACTGGATCCTGCAGTGCATCGCCTACAGAGCTCCAGAGGCAAGCGGCCACACGTTTCTGATGTCTTATTTAGCTGGAAACTGAATGATTGTGAAACTTTGCAGCTTCAAAAAGGCCAGGCTCAGTTAACAGCGCTGTTTGTGTTTCTGTCAAGGCTTTGCTGACGGAGATGATGGAGCGCTGCAAGAAGCTGGGGAACAAGTGAGTAGATTGTATAATAAGTTGAGTTTAAGTGGGTGATGGTGAAGAAAATGTCCCATAAGATAGGGTTCCGATGTAAGTATGTAAAGTTTGGAAAAGTATGGAAGTAATTTGATCAATTTCCAGGTCTTAAATGGTATGGTAAATGAAAAATAAAGTATGGAAAAATATTTAGGTTTCCAGACAATTACCACAATAAAAAAATACAGTTTTCCTAAATAGAAAAGTAGGTCTTTCCAAAAATGATTTTAAAAAGTAAGGTATGGAAAAGTATGGAAATTCCAACTGTGTAGGAACCCTGATGAGAGCAACAGTCTTACAACTCCTCCTGGGGGAAATGGATGATAGTTCACAACCTCTACTTATACAAGATCCATTTTAGAGCTCATTAAAAAATAATCAAGAAAAAGCAGCCTGAGCAACTTGTAAAAAAACATTTTGTATAGTTGTTGTGTATTCTCAATTTAAAGCACCAGTAGGGAACTTTAAGAGTAAGTTGTGACACAGTTTGGCTTTATTTTCAAGAGGTTAAAAGTTAAAAAGATTTGGAAGTACTGATTAAAACTTAAGTTTGTCCTTGTTTCCTGTAGCACCCTGCTGCTGAATTCAGTCATGAGAGCGTTCAGGCCGGAGTTTGTTGCAGCCAGAGCCACGGACTTCATCAGTATGATCAAAGACTGTGATGAAGCCGGATTCCCGAAGGTCAGAGGGCATAAACAGTAGAAAGACAGTGATCTGATGTGATTCAAAAGTTCATTTTTGTCTGTGATTTTGATGTCTTTGTGATCGTCTCCTCTTCAGCATTTGTTGTTCGGGTCTCTTGGTCGCAGTCTAGCCTGCGCTGACCCTCCAGAATCGGAGAGGCTTACAATCCTGAATGAAGCCTGGAAAGTAGTCACCAAAGTCCGCAGTCCCCAGGTACTGAGAGACCAATTCAGCTCACTCGCTCATGCGTCACTCTGTTTAAAATCGTTAACGTAATTTGCCTTGTGTTTTTAGGATTACATCAACTGTGCTGAGATCTGGGTGGAGTTCACCTGCCGACACTTTACAGTGAGTACACCAGAGGGCAGATGAGGAGTCTGGACACTTTTGAATGAGTGGAATTCAAATTTTGCGTGACTTTCTTCCTTTTCTGTCAGAAACGTGAGGTCAACACTGTTCTGGCTGACATCATCAAACACATGACCCCTGACCGGGCGTTTGAGGACGCATATCCTCAGGTCAGCAGCTCATTGGCTCACAGGATCAGACACATCCTCCTCATCCTGCTGTCAGCTCTGTACTGACTTGCTCTTGTTTTGTTTTGTTTTGTTCTTCATGCAGCTGCAATCCGTGATCAGGAAGATCCTCACCTACTTCCACGACTTCTCCGTCCTCTTCTCCATGGTCAGCGAGCACGACATCAGAATGATAAAACATTTGCTGTATGAATGAATCACAGTTAACTCATGTGTCCTTTGTCTTTTTTTTTTTTGTTCCCCAGGAGCGCTTCCTGCCGTTCTTAGACATGTTCCAGAAGGACAGTGTGCGGGTGGAGGTCTGCAGATCCATCATGGAGGTCTTCATTAAGTAAGACATGATGGGATTCATTCTCAGCTGTAGACACATCCCTGAATATGTTCTCCCAAAAGTCCTAAAGATACAGATCTGGTCTCTGTGATTTTTTTTTTCTCCTGCAGACATCAAGTGGAGCCGACTAGAGACCCCGTCATCCTCAATGCAATGCTGCACATCTGCAAGACAATGCACGACTCTGTCAAGTATGCTATTTGCTATATTTGTGTGTGAGGGTTACACTTTGATTGACTTCTGTATATTCTTATATGTCCAGTAGATCATTAGTGAGATTTGATATTTCACCGAGCAGCAGCTCTCCTGGTCTGTCCGGTCAAAACTGTTAGTCAGTTTCTTATCTGCTTTCTGTATTTCAGTGCTCTCACTCTGGAGGACGAGAAGAGATCTCTGGCGTTGCTGATCATCGGCTTCATTCGCATGGTGAGACCCCCCATACTTGAGTCAAAAAATTAAGAGGAGTGTCATAAAACAACCCCGATCTTTAAAAATCTGTGATACAAGATGTGTAAGACGTTGATAACAGCATTTGGTGATTGCCAAAGATTGAAACTGAAACATTTTATTTTTTGAGGACAACATATATGCTCATTTTTAATTTGATTGGTCTGGACAAGTACAGGGTTTACCCTTGTGTTGAATCACCTCTTCTTTGAACAACACTCTGTAATTGTTCAAGAAACAGTTTCTGTGATTTTGAAGATAAATGTGGCGTGATTTTAGATTTTTGCCCGTTATAAGATTTTAGCTGCTCGTCAGTTCAGGGTCTTGTCTATTGTATTGATTCATATTGTCCTAAATGACGTCATTGAGTAACAATGCAGGACTGCAGTCAGGCCTGTTAAGCACCCGCATATGTTGCATGAAAACCTGTATATCTCGTTCATTGTAAATGGAACCTTTCCATGCCATGAGTACTTAAACAACCCTACACCATCACAGGTATAAAGGCCCTTCTTATCAGGCTGCCTCTCTACTTGAGGAAATGTCTGTTTTTGCTTGTGCATAATGTTCAGGAAGATGTTCTTAGTGGAGAGGCTGTGAATGAATACACCTTTGTATCTTTTCTGTTGATATCAGGCAGCAGGGCTGCATAATGAATAATAGATTGACCTGAATAAACCACACGGTGGTGAGAAAGCACAGTGTGGTTGGTTTCTGTATTTTAATGATTTTCTGACAACAATGGAGCCGTCTGACACCCAGGACAAAAGGTTCAACACACTTTGGATGGGTTAATATTGTTGTTTTGATGAAATCCCACAGTGAATTCTCTATTTTTCCACCTAAAGCCAACCAAGATGACATCGAGCCAAACTGTGTGTGAGACGTTAAAGGTTAAAAAAGTGAACTGTATAAAAAGTATTAGTGGAGCAAACTGCCTCTTTCCTGTTTCATCTGACTTGTATGTGTCTGTCTTTTCTTTTCTGTCTTCAGGTTTCTTTTGGTCGAGACTTTGAGCAGCAGCTCAGTTTCTGTGTGGAAGCCAGAGCAACTTTCTGTAACCTGGAGCCAGTGCTGGTGCAGCTCATTCACGTCAGTAAAAAACTGTGTGTTTTTGTGAACTAGTGTGTGGTATCCAAGTTTAAAGGTGGACACCCCTTTAGATGCTCTCCTTGTCCTTTCCAGACTGTGAACCAGCTGGCGATGGAGACCAGTCGGGTGATGAAAGGGAGTCACTCCAGAAAAACTGCGGCTTTTGTCAGAGTGAGTGAAACACGCAGCATCTGATCCCTGCAGACCACAGAGAGAAAGTTATCCCTGCACTGACTTCAGATCGCTCAATCTCTGATACTTCAGGACTGTTATTGTTCCCTCTCCTCTAGGCGTGTGCTGCTTACAGCTTTATCACCATCCCGTCACTCAGCAGCATCTTCAGCCGTCTCAGCCTCTATCTGCTGTCCGGTCAGGTCGCGCTGGCCAATCAGTGTCTTTCTCAAGGTAAGCAGCTGCTACTGTTTGACATTGTAGTCAGGAGTAAAATTCCTGATCACTTTCAGGGGTTAGAAGATGAGAATACATGACGATGTTTCCCTTTTACCTAACATCTTGGTTTTGTTCTCCTCATCTTTCCTATCCTCCTTTCTTGCTCTTGTTTCCCTCTAATCTAATTTTTCTCTTCATTTTCACCCTGAATCTTCCCTCTCTCTTTCCCTCCTTTGCTTCACTGTACTTTACCTCCTGGTTCTTGCCCTTGGTGCCTGCTCTTCCTTCCTCCTTCCTTCCTGTCTACTGTGAATTGTTTTACCCCTCTAGCGGATGCCTTCCTAAAAGCAGCAGTCAGTATCCTCCCAGAGGTCCCTCGCAGCATTAGCATTGAAGGGAAGCTTCGCTCCTCTGAAAGCTTCCTGCTGGACTTCATCAACAATTTCCTGGCTACACTGCTGGTCGTCCCGGTAACGTCACTCCTTCTTGTCACCTGATGTGGGTTCGAATCACAAGTAGATAAAGCGAAGAGCAAAGTTACATTTATAAGAGTGTGTTTGATTGTGCTTGCAGGACCATCCAGAGCATGGCGTGCTGTACCTGGTCCGAGGTCTACTCAACATGGTCCAGGATTACACCTGGGAGGACAACAGTGATGCTAAAGTGCGGGTCTACGTCAGCGCTCTATCGCTGCTGGCAGCTATGAGCCAGGAAACCTACCTCTACTCCATCCCTAAAGGTACACACACGAATGAATTTGCGATAAATGAAAGATTCTGATTTATTCCTGTCTTGATCACTAAAATGAAACCTAAACCTCACTTACAAGATTTCAGATAGTTCACCTCTTTTAAGTTAGTTTAACCTCTTGGGGTTTTTGTCGAAGTAACTGTTGAGTTACTGTTGAGCTACAGATTAACAAACTCTTCCCCTCTTTCCTGATCTCAGTGGACTCCAACGAGACACTCTATGGAGGTGATCCCAAGTTCTTAACCGAGATCAACAAGCTGTGTGAGACTCTGATCGGACAGATACTAGACCACCTGAAGACTCTTGGTCGGGACGAGGTGAGAGAGAGGAGTTTGTTGTCCTCGTTTGCTTTTATTTTCCTGAGCAATGACAACTTCAGAGGTTTTCATCATTACCTCAGACAGCTTTGCTATTTGAGTTGCTACTTGTATTTTTTTGTAATTTTTCCACCTCCATGAAAATAAACCTCAAAAACCTCAGTATTATTTTTGATCATAACTTACTACTGAATAAAGACTCAGGCACACAAGTGACCAGTGTTGGTAAAAATGAAAACACAGATGTTAATCCAGACTCAGGTTTAAATAAGCTGTTCTTTCCGTATCTCCGAGGTGGCATTTAGGTACAGGAGGGAAAGTCCAGGCCTGCTCATTAATCACATTGCACTGACATGTTGTCCCCCTCGCAGCAGAGCACACGGCGCCAAGGCACTCTGGCCTTCTCTCTGTTCGGCATCCTGCTGTCTCACGGTGATCTGAGGAACAACAAGCTGAGCCAGCTGTCCGTCAACCTGTGGAACCTCAGCCACAAACACGGATACTGTGAGACACGGATCTCAGTAAGTCCACACACGAACACATCAAACTGGGACACTTGAGTGTGCAACATGTTGTGAACACACCCTCTCCCTTGCTGCAGGTTCGGACACTGGAGTGCATCAAACACCAGGCTCAGCAGCCGGACATGGCTCACCTGACAGATACAGTCCAGAGGCTGGCACTACAATCTCGCACATGAACGTAATAATATGTGTGCTCCCTATTTTTGTAAATAAAGAGAACGAGCAGAACAAAGAGGTAAAAATGCCTTAATGTACATGTGTGATGGCACTTTTTGAACATTTAAGAGGTCTAAGTATTCAAGGAGCGCTGTTAAAGAAACATTACCACTATTAGACTGAAGTTACACAAACCTATTTCAGTGCTTACATTCCTTTACTTTGTCATTTAAAGACCCACTCCGATGAAAATCATGTTGTTCTTGTTGTCTACATGTTCATATGGCATTTTTCTGATACTGGAGGACATATCATGAGAAAAAGACGGCGAAATTGCATTTCTGAGTATTTCTGCATTCAAATCACTGGCAGGATCAGATACAGTGAGATTTCCTATGTCACAAATCCAAGCTCCGCCCCCGGAGCCCCGCTATGCAGGCCAGGCTCAGAGAAATAGAGAGGACGATCACGAAACAAGCATCTGCATTTGCGGATTGCAATGCTCGTAAGAAAGCTAATTATGATATTAACTTTCATCATGCCTTAATGCCTAAAGACATTAGTGTCCGAAAGCTGAATAGCTCCTATGTTACCTGCTACTTCTACTACACCTGCAGTGTTAGGCTGCAAGCTAACTCGAGGGGAAGTGTGCAGAGGCCCACGACTCAGAGGCGAATTGCTAATGAGCCACTGGAGCTCTGCAGAGGAAAAGCCCTTGAAAATAGCACAGGTAATGTGATTTTGGCTAAAGACTGAATAATCGCAGTTTAAAGAACACTGAGAACACTTTAAGTATTTAAAAAAAACATCGAAGTGGGACTTTAAAGCCTTTTAACAGTAACCCAAACAACTATGATGAGACAATAAAAGTACACTGATTTCTTCTTTTTCAGTGTCAACATTTGGAGGTACTTTAATAAAATAAGCTGAGAAATACTTCAGTGTGTTACTCGGTGGTTCAGAGTGAAAACAAACCAAAATGACATGTATTTGAACCATTTCTAGTCCTCTTAAAAAAACATACCAGCTGTAGTTTCAGTCTCATTTTTCTGTCACAGATGTTGGAGGCTGTTGTAACATACTAAAACAAATAGCTTTAAATAAACATGCTAATGAATTTAAACACATCTGTTCTACATTGTTTAGTAGTGTATTTGCTCATGCTAGCGTTTAACATATTGCAGGTTTTAACGACATGCTTCATTTGCAGAAATAAACACCTTGCTTTGTAAATAAATAAAAAAGATTTTGGTCTTATTTCTAATTTTTAAGTTAAACGATTGTAAAACCTTTTTAATACTTGTGCATATTTCATATTTAAGAGTGGTTTTTTTGTTATTCTTCAATTATGAACATTACAACGACGCAACAAAAAAAAGAAACAGACTGGACAATTTTGGTTTCAAGACATTCTCAAACTCTTCTCAGTTGTAGTTTATTTACTCAATTAGTGAATCATTGAAAAGGCAAACACTCCTCTTTAGTTCTCAAAGGAATATAATTATCAAAAACAAGCAGCTATAATGATGTTTTCAGACACGGACAGGCCTTTGGTCACACACCTTTACACTGCCGGGTATTAAAACATGAATGAGTACCAAAATGTGACTTTCAGGTGAGTATGAAATAACTTTAAATATAAGTCAAATCATAACAGTTGAGAAAATAATCAATAAAATGTGTGAATTTAGTGATCAAATGATTGAAATAGGAACAGTCACTTTGCCTGGGTCTTTCTCACACACTTCAGCTGCTTCACTTGGAGGCCCACGGGGAGAGAAGCTCCTCCTGCTTCAGAAAACTATTTCCAAACAGCTGTTACACACAACGCTGAGTCACTGAAATATGTGCAGTCCTCTACTCTATCTGTCCATCTGCAGCACTTTGAATATCAGTCCAAAACAGCCACTGTTAGACAAGCACCTTATGAAACGAATGATTATAATTACAATGAGTTAAACCACTGTATTTTTGGTTTAACATGGTTATTTCAACAACACAGTAATTTCTGTATATTTTAGGTCTAGCCATGTAGTGATCCATGGTCCCTAAAGGATAATTACATAGCAGTTAATAAACATTAGGCTACATTTGAAGACCTCTGGACTTTGCTACTTCCCTAATTCTTTAACTTATATTTGTTCAACAATTTTAAATGAGCTGAAGCACAGCTATAAAATCTAAGACCGTCAAAGCCGAGGCAGATCAAATGTCAAAATGAGGACAAAATGAAGCAGAGGACTGATGAGAGAGCAGGATGAGTGTGTTCTCCGTGGGCTGATAAAGTTAACACTGATCGACAGGAGCAGCTGTATGAATCACACTTCTGATTGTGCACTGGCTGAACTGATGCTGAATTACTGATCCATCTCCAGGAGGAACTGTTCAAAAGAGGTACAAAGTAAACATCTTCAGAGACTAGAAGTAGTCAGGTAACAGGCTTGGTTGGATGTAAGCATTTTATAACATGAAAAGCAAGCTCGACTCCGACAGACAGGTTATCACAGTGTCTCATGACTTAACAAAGTTAGAGGAGGACCCCAACATTTGACTTTTTATTTTTCACAGTGACACACAGGCAGCAAGAGCCAACATCCAGCGAAACCTAAATAATAAGCGCTTCAAACTCCCCACTGCAACTCATCACTCAAGACTTGAAAGCTGTAACAATAAAATGTATAACTTGGATTTTTCCACAAAGTTCCTCTCTGAGATTCAATCGAGCTGATGACCAGTTCAGGAAGTGCACAATGAAACTTAAAAGGATCCAGACAGCTGGATGTTTGCAGACGACTGGAAATGACCCGTGAGGCAGAGAAGGAACTCTTATTATATCTCGCAGTCCTATTGAGGTTTTGTCCACAATTGAGACGATGAAATAGAAGGTTGCCTTGACAACAGGAGAAATTTTTATTCACTACCCAAAGAAGAGGCTTATAACGGAGTTAAGTTATTGAAATGTGCCAATATCAGCAGCTCCTTGTGGCTGTCTGGCAAACAAAGCAGTTGGATAAATGTAGTGAGTTGACTAAACCCTCTCATAATGACCTTCATGATAAAGACGGGTGTGTGTACATGCGATGCTGTTCTCTCCTATGGGAGACTCAAACCCTGCCTTCCTGTTTGGAGCAGGTTTTCACAGGGAGAGGGCAGCTGGGTATGAGTTTAAAAAGCAAACACCCTAAATAAAGAGAGTCCCAAACTAACAAAAATAATGAGCCAAACAAAAAAACATGATCTTACGATTAATTAACAAAGAGTTTGCAGTTTGATGCAGTTAGTCCCGGCAGTGCTGAAGGGAAGGATTTTGTGGCCTGATACTTGCTTTGATTTTAGACTTTGATGGGTTGGAGGGGAGGGGGGGGTTGGAAACAGCACGCCTCTGAAAACACAGGCTGGCGCCTCACTCCGTCCTTGTTGTGGAGGTAAAGGACAGAGGCGACGACGAGATCTTCCTCTTCTTTTATTCTGTTCATTTGTTCTCTTTGTTAGGGTGTCGTGGGCTCAGTCTAGCTCTATGGGGCTGCTGTCCTCCTGGGCTTCTTCAGCTGCATCATCATCCTCGCCTGAACCCATCAGGCTGTTCAGCAGGTTCCCTGCAGGATCAATCAAACTGATCAATACCCCCTGTACTTTAAAGTGCAGCGGTTTAAGCAATATTTCTTTCACCATTTTAAAGGCATAGCACTTCTCTGTTTTTTTTTTTCTTAGGAAATAAACTCATTCAATTAAGACTTTTTATTTTTATTAAAATCTAGATATTTAAATTTAAAAAATCCCACAGGGGGAAATTCCAAGATTACAGCAGCATAAATAAAAAAAACAGAAATTAAAGGATGAACTAAATTTAGGAGTTAAAAAAGATACATGGGTCAATGACGTATAAGGTTTTTAAACATGCCAATTTTAAAATAGCAAAAATAAGAATATATTTTGCAAAATTTCAAACACTAAGGATGTTGTGTATACAAATATTAATGTTACATTTTTAAATTTCGCAATTTTAGAGTTTTTTCATACAGATGAATTGCCCGTGGCTTTAAAAAATGTCATGTGGTGCGACCATCATTTATCTCAAAATAATTTTTTTAACATACTTAATAGTTTTTTACAAATTGTTTCTATCTACTTGATATTACTGACGAAGTGTTTGCATTTCATTTGAGTTTTTGCAAATAATGATCTCACATTTTAGCTCTATAATGTCAGTCACTATATTAAATGTAGTTAACTGGCTTAAATTGCATAATAATGATAAAAATGTTTTAAAACTACCTTTCACTTAAGCATATTGTATCAGGTATTAATGTTTCAGTTACGGAAATTAGATATTTGAGTTTGTATGCAATACAATTAATGTTATTATTGGTTGCACCGCATGATATTTTGACACTTTGAAGTTCAGAAAAATTACAAATAAGACCTGATTTTTTAAAAGTTGAAGTGACTACATATATGAGAGAGATACTACATATAGAAAGTTTATTTTTGTGCATTTAAACCTGTTTTAACTTCAAAAAAATACAACCAGACAGAGTATTTAGGCGTCACGTCATCGACCCATATGCATGAGTGTTATTTACAGCTGTTATGTACAGTTTCTGATATATTACAGTTAGAAAAAATTTGTATATTTATATGTATGACTATTACTATGACTATTGTAGAGAACAAAAAAAAGAAACCTTCCCATCAACATCCTGTTTTACTCACCTAGCAGTCCACCATATGATGGAGACTGTTTAGGTGGAACTCCAAAGAAAAGCTGTCCTATTCTGTCCAGATACTAGAGGAGGAGAGAGAAAGAAAACATGGATTTAAAAGAAGATACTTTCCATGAAAAAGGGGGCTGTAATCATCTTTACTTAGCGAAAGTTATAAATAAATTAGGCAGGAATATATCACATGATAATGTAATGCAGCTGCTGTCACATGACTGAAGGCCAGAAATGATTCATGGAAAGATATCACTGAGCAAAGCACTCACCTCATTATACATGGGATCCCTCTTCAGGGAAGGTTGATATTGCTCACATAACACTGTGAAAACTGTTAATTTACCCCTGAAGAAACAATTAGACACATTTTTAACACTAAAAGTCAAGCTATTTTAGAAAAACAAACAGAGGAGTCATACATAAGAAGACAATCCTATCTTTAACAGCTTTTTCTAGGCTCATTATGTATGAGTGAGTAATATCACATTGATGCAGGTTGGACTAGTTTGAGTGTAAAATGATCTTTTCCTCACCCATCCACTGCCAGCAGCAGAAACCAGATAAAGTTTAGTAGAGGCTGGACGAAGGGAGGGCCCTTCTCTATGGACGGGTGTTTTTCTGTGTATGTGCTGAACACCACGGAAGCGCTGTTTTTGTTCTTTAAGCAGAGAAACCTGGAGGGTGGAGGTTTGCAGGAAGGAGGGACAGAAATAGAAAAGAGCCAGAGGATACAAACAAAAAGGAGAGGATGAGAAAGAAAACGTGACAGAGTGTGAACCACGGGATGAGAGGAGAGAGGAAAAGATGATAGAGGAGAGACGTTAGAGTCGCTTTAAAAACGCTGCTTAGGCAGAAAAATTATACGACTGCAGGTAAACAAGCTGGTGGAGGATACATCACTATAAATTTTAACACCACATATACACAAATACAGAACCATACAGTCTTAATATTCTTTCTAAATGGTGATTTTGTGTTTACACTACGATGCCACAAATAGATCTCTGTGTTCAGAACACAGCAACATCACGACACTTACTGTAAGACGGCCTGCGCCACAAACATGTCGACCTCGCTGCGGAAGCCTCGTGAGGCTGAATACTCCACCAGCATCTGCGCACAGCCCTCCCCATCAGATGAATGCAAGAAGTGGTAACGAGACTCACTGTAGTTTTGCTCTGGACAAAAAAAAAACACACAACAGGAACACATTATTTTGATTTAGAGTGTTCTGAGAAGTTAGGATGAGTCACTGTCATGTTGTGAAGTTACTGTCATTGCCTCACTTTTAACCTGGAAATGTTGACACACAGAGCACAACAACAAAACTCTCTAAACTTCACGACAGAATGCAGCTCTTCTGTATGTCTCGATAGGGCTGGGCGATATGGCCTCAAATCAATATCACGATATATTGAGCAGTTCACCTTGATAACAATAAACAGACCATAACTACTCCACAAACTTAATCCCACATTAACTTTGTCTACTTCAGCCGCTGCAACTTTTGAACCGTCCTCCATCTCCTCGTCTGTCTTTCCCTCTTTGTGACAGACTGGATGGGGTGGAGTCACGTCTCTGACGTAGGACAGCGTCTTAAAGGGACATGAGACCATAGCCTACCTACACACATCATAAACTAATTTTTATTTATTTATTTTTTTGACCACAAATATACTGACATAGACAAAATTATGCTGGTTATTGTCATAAATTTCAGTATTGGTAAATTTTTGGTTTATCGCCCAGCCCTATGTCTGTATAAAAAGTTTTGTGTTTGAGGGTTGTTTAAACGAGCAGATTAGACAACATAGGAGGCATTCACTTTTTTCCCATTGCAAATCCAAGGCAGGATATTTGCACCCATATAATGTCTCACCTTTAATGTAAATGTCACAGAGGTAGGATGACAAAGTGGTCCCACCAGTGTGACAGCATTGGAGGAGGTTACAGAGGCATTACAGGGACAAGTCGATATCACTGTGAGCCAGTGGTAGGACGGTGCTGCGTGTGTGTGTGCATGTCTGAGCGTGTGTGTGTATACCTCTTTTGCTTCTATAATACACACAACACTGCGGTAACACAGGGAGAGACACTAAGATTATGTCATAGCGAATCAACAGAAGCATGATGATGGCAGAGCTGCTTTACAGTCCTACTGCAGACTCAGAACATCAAAGTGTTTGAAATGGTTTAATGACATATATGAATATTAATATACTGATTTATCAAACACAGCAAGTGCAGCACTCTTTCTGCAATTCATATGAAAACAGTCTTGCTTGAAACAGTCTTACTTCTTGCTGATTCACCTTGAGTAGTTATCAACAAAAACAACAACTTCTTCTACAGCCTTCAATACGATCTCTTAATTTTGTGGCTGATGTAGAAATAACACATAGATGACATGAATACTCCTTTTGTTAGCACAACACCAGGTGGAGGAAAACCTTTGTGATGCCAGGTCTCTATGGAGGGGGTTTTCAAATTTTGTCAAACCGGCTAATTAAATAAGAAAGAAAAAGAAGAAAGTCTGACTCTGTCAAATTTGCTTTGTAGAAGAACCATTTGAACAGCTTCAATGTGTCTTTGATTAAAGGTCAGAGGCAGGCATCGGGGCTTAGTGATGGATTTGTTGATGGAGTTAATGCCTATTATACATATCAATCAATTGATCAAATTTTACTGAAACAGCACTTTACTCTTTGTCATAATATATTAGCCACTGTTTGTTAAATTCTACTTGACAAAAGTACCTTGAGAAAATCAGACTTTTGACAGACGCAGATGTCTGAATAACTGAGATTATTTTAACAGTTTAAAAAACATCATTTTTAAAAGTTCAAATACTGAACACAGTCTTTCATGTGGTTAAATCTTGCATGAATGTCACCTGTGATAACAATTGGTTATTACCCTCTGCACTTTATACACTCAGTGATGGATGGATTACCTTTCCACAAGGTGACAGCCAGCAGCTGGTGTAGTTTTGGGTGACCCAACTTGCCAGATCCTCCTGTGGACCATTTCAAGGCTCTGGACACAAACGCTACTCTCTCTGGGGAGTTCTGGTCCATCCGACTGAACAACTTAGCCAAGCTTTCTGCTCAAAACACACACACACACACAGACATAACCCCATTACAATCAAATGATGTCCTTTCTTAAGTGACATGTGCTATAATGCTGTCTTCTGTCACTCAGAGCTCTCTGAATGTCGACAATTTAATGCTGATGCTCACAGAAGTGATTCTCCAGATTACAGCTGTTTCAAAAGTTTCAAGCAGGTTAGTACAGTATGGCCAAGCAACAGTACATCATTATAGTTCATTTACACAGAGGCCAAGCCATAATAAATTAAGAGCTGTCAAAAATGCCTCAAGATACAGAGTAAATAAAGCGAACACTGTCAACCCTCTTACAAAAGGGAATCTTTTTAGTCAGCATTTAAAGCGATGAATGGATGCATTACTCTTGTTAAGCATTTTATACAGCCATAAAATGAACAGTACTTTCTACATTGCTTAGAGTGTGTTTCAAAATATCTTCCAGTGGCAAAGAAATCGTTTTTTTTTACAGATTAAAAACATTTTACTGATTCATTGTGCTCCCATATTGATGTAAAAACAGCTTTTAAGTAGTCTTAACAGAACAGTGACACATTAGGAAGCATTGTCACCACACAACTGATGAGGTCAATATGAGGAGATTAAATATAGAATGTACTACTCATAAACTACTCTACTTACTAACCATTCTTCCTGTCAAAAAATATCTGATGGTTCTAACTTACCTAATATATCATCTTCAACTTTTGTCTCAGATTTCTCCAACACCTCCAGAACCAACATGGACAGGTCTGCTGCACTGTTTTGCTGGAAACAAACACACAACAAAAATTATTTAATAATAGTTATGATGGTTCTGAACACAATTGCAAACAAAGATGGACCTGATAAACATTGACATATGAGTTAAGTTGTTTCATTTGTACATTACTAAAAGGACATTACTTTTTGGATTATATGAAAACATAAAACTAACAGTCACTCAGCTGTTTAGTTTCACACATAGTATTGGCACACTTAACACTTTCCATAACAAATTTTGCTATAGAGAAATCTTGATGTGCATCTACCTGGTTATAGCTGAAGAAGAGTAGAGCTCCATTGTACATCAGCTCCCTGGCTTCAGCATGTTTTGCCTGTGACATGTACCTGATGAGAGAGAAGAGAGCCAACATTACCAATAAGTTGATATTACCCACTACTGCTTACCAAGATTTACACGAGCTTTGTTTGCATCGCTTACTACTATCCTGATAAGGGACAGCAACATAATGAGTGTTCACCCTTGTTTGAGATCTTAGACAGATTTGAATTAGGGCCAATAGAGTAATCAATGAGACGGCTAATTAACGGCAGTTGGACATAATCAGCATCGACCCTCACAAGGCTGATATCACCATTTTTTTAATTGATAACACATCTTTCCCATCACCTGTTAGTAGCATATCAAATCCAAAACAGTCACTGATCAGTGTTGTAAGATAGTATTGTATGGCACTGACATATTGGCTAAGACAACCATGTCCGATTATCATGTGTACGGAATAATGAATCTGTAAATTTGACCTCATATTACTTTTCTCACGCAACAATTTCAGATTGCTGGACAGAATTGATTGAGGGGGATTTTGGACCAAACTCTGAGAGAGAGTGGGGTGCTGACACGGCACTTAAAGATTTAAAAGAATGGCATATGTGTTTTGCAAAATCAAATATGAAACTTGGATATCTATACATCAAAATATTTTGACTGGACATAGAGTACCTCTTTAAAATTTATGATCATTTCTTCATTAAAATGCAATCAGACCGAGACGCTTAGGCAGAAGAACTACCGCGTCTGCAGTGGAAAATCATAAACAGGGGGATTATTACTTCAAGGAAATGATAAAGTTATGATCATAAATGTTCTTCCTTGAGCTGCGTCACCACGCAGCAGTCCGTAATGGACTGGCCCGAGGTCTCACTACAAACAAGCGGCTACTGCTGTGGCTAGGACCCAATATGTGCTGCTGATGAAGTTAGGTGCTGTTCTGAACATTATTTGTGGCTATAGAGTGGCTTTTTGGTTGGTATTTAGAGAAGCAACCGGTCGGCAACATTCACCTCTAAAGGGGGTGTCTAACTCAGTGTAACGGTGTGTTTACTCTAAATTAAATTAATTTTACACCAGAATATCCCTTTAAAACCAAAAATCTTGGCATTGTTCTTTTGCCACACCCCTATGTTTTGTTATGTTGTTTTTATTTACTTACTTATTTTGTCATCTTTATTTTATTTTGCAGTTTGTTTCTATTTCCTGTATTAGTTTTGCTCTATACTTTTGCTGTGTATTGTAATCAAGTGGAGTCTTGTTAAGTTTGGTTTGGTTTTGTTTGTGGACAAGTTGGTAAAAAAAATAGTTGAAAACGCTTCTCTGGTCTGAGTTTGATCAGTCGGTGGGTCTTCCGGTCGGCGTGAAGAGCAGTAGCCTACAGTATATAGCCTACAGTATATGTGTATATATATATATATATATATATATATATATATATATATATATATTTCTGTAACTTCATTAAAAAAAACATTCAAAAATCGGTCGATTAATCGGTAATCGGATTTCCCCCCCTAATAATCGGTATCGGCATCGGCCCCCAAAATTCCATATCAGTCGGGCCCTAGTTAATAATGACGTAAGGTGGAAACAATCATTTATATTGAGATATTGAGTAGCTAGATTTGACTAGCGTCACTATCCTCATTGAACAGAAATATGACTATCATCTAAACAGCATCCATATTGTTTAATATGCTGTTACTGGTATCTATGAGTAATCACAGGTGTGTGTGAGTGTGTACAGGTAAACAGGTGTGACTGTTTCAGGTAGAGTCCCTGGTTCCTTGAATATTATTGATGGCCATATAGGCATTACAGGCTTACATTCATGACTGAAACAGACATATTTGACAGCAGGTAAAAACAGGTTTTTCTTTCTTATGTCAGACTGTGATAGTGTTGCAGTGTATCGGTGTATAGACTGTCTGGATGAATGCTAACACAGCTGGACAGCCTCAACGACGTTTGGGAATTTCAAACAATAAACAAAGATTTAATTTACACACACTGTAAGTATTTCGTGACTGTCACGTCAAATATCTTTACAATGAGCTCACCACAGTGTGACTGACTTTTCTGCATTTGTAGTAAAGCTAACTCGGTTATCATTAGTTGTGTTGCTAAACACGTAGCTAGCACACTAGCTGTGGTTGACAGTCCCATTTTGTGACTGCCGCAGATTGACATCACAGCTGTCCACTCAGACATGCTTACCGACATGAGTGGGTGGGTTCTCTGTGATTTTCGTCCAATCATAAAACGACAGGCATATAAGCAAGGTTGACAGCAGAATGATCTGGAAGAGGCAGGCCCCAAAGCCAAATGACAATTACAACCGAACCAACGAACCTAAATCAAGGACTTACCTAAAAAATAATGTCCTGTACATCTGGTGTGCTTCATAGTAATCCCCTTTTTCTACGCTCGCCCGCAGTTTGCCCTCCACCCTCTGTACGCCTCCACGGTTTCTGGCGCTGGAGAGCCTCAGAGACTCCTGCTCCGACATCGTCGTTGCTCAGCAGCAGCGCGACAGCCAAGTGTTTCATCAAATCGGACCCTCCCCGCTTGCCGTAGCCGGTGCGTTGTAATGCTCTTGTCATGAAGAAACATTGGCACTCCTATTTGACTACCTATTTAACTTTGGTCTGGAGGAAAGCGGGGGGCGAAAGGTCAAAACACTCCTGTGTAAGAGGTGACTATTATAATATCTCTGTAATCATAGTTCATTCTGCAAAAAAGTAGAATCGGTTCACTTGGTTTATGATGTTTCCTTTTTTTTCTTTTTAACAAAAAACACATTGATATGAGTTGAAACCATCACAAATAATAGGTAAATATATACCGTAAAAAATAACAACTGTTAAAAAATTTACTCACTTGCTAAAAGTGGAACTCTCACAGTAGGGGAGGGTGGGATAAGTTAACCCAAAGGGTAAACTGAGCCACCCCCTGTTTTTTGGAAATGGTAAAAGAAAAAATTGATCATGTGACCAAATATTTAGGAGATGGGCATCCATTCATGGAGTCTGTGAAGGTTAGAAGCACATGGGTGAAGGGGTTAGACATTTATTTCCAAAAAAACATTTTTCACTCTTGAAAGTGAATTTAGTCTGTCATAAGTTTAATTAGAATTGTGTTCAGACCAAAAAAGATCATTTTAAATTTGTTTTATACATCAATTGTACATGTGTAACCTGTCTATGTACTTAGTTGTCTGCACCTTATGTTTTCACTGTCCTGACGGGAGTGGAACTTTGTATAAGCCTATCGGCTTCATTCCCTCCTTGCACTGTTTTTAATCTGTGCTAAATAAACAAATGCAAATACACATACAAATTGTGGTATCTATGAGCCACAACATGCGGTCAAAAACCTAGCATAAAAGTCCACCATTTTAGCTTAGAGGACTAATAAAGTCATAATAGTAGTTCTGGGCTAAGTTGAGCCAGTGACTCAACTGAGAAAGTAAACAAGTCTGATGAGAGGATCGGGGTAGGGTAGGGGTACGGCTCAATTTACCACAGTTATGTTTACACTTATTCTGTTGGTTTGCAGGGATGCACATCTTGAACACTAGTTAGAGACAAAACTATGATTGCCTTGATGTAGTGATCTGAAACATGAAAAATGGCTCATCTTACCCCACTCTCCCCTACTATTAATCATTTTGAAATTTGAATGAAATGTTTAAATTACATCTTTATCAGATATGATCAGCATAAAGTAATTCTAGAGCTACTTTAAAGGGGCTTGTTCCACTGCACTGTTATTTACTTGGTGCATATGACACAATAATTCAGAAGCTGTCCTATGTGAAATACTGCTTTTGCAAACGTAGTAGACCACTAGATGGCGCAGTTCTTCAGCCTATTCCATATTCAGAAAACCATCAAAGATTTAATCATAGACTGTATGGATTTAATCAAACGATCTAAATTTAGTGCCCTTAAGAATGCCATCCCACAATGAGGCTTTCTGCTGTTATTTGCACTTGTCAGTATTTTGAACTCTAATGAGCAAAAAAGTTGTATTTTTCTTTTAAATTGGTTGCAAAGCTGATTAAAAAAACACTCAACCTATTTTTTTTTATTTTAATGACTTTTCATATTTGAGCACTAACTCATCCCTCCCTTCACAATGTTTTAATGTTTGTTTCAGAATGAGAACTGGAATTTAAAGATTCCAGGACAGTATCGGATTGACTGTAATAGCTCTCATGATGCTGTTTATAGACTTTAAAGGCAACATAATCTGTCAGAAACTACTTCCTTTTGAACTTCTTGAAATCTCTGTTCCACCAGAAACTGAAGCGTATGACAAGTCAGTGTCACAGAGTCGACAATAGACTTGGCTACCATGTATACAGACTTAGTTTTGATGGGAAGCCAAAGCCATTCACTGTGCCAAGGTCGGCATTTCAGTCATTCACTATGTTTATTTTGTTGGTATTCACAAATTCTAGGTTGGTGTCACGGCCTTGACTTTCACCGAAGTAAAGTTCACTATTCCATAATTCAATCTGATTATATTTTTCAGCACAAAAAAGAGCCTGACAATGAACTTTTTCCCATTGACTTTTCACAAATCTTTGACTCTAATCTAATTCTAGTTTTTCTGACACTTCTCTTCCACACATACTCCCAAAACTAAAGACATGTCTTCATCCTCAACTCTAACTTGTGTTAAGAGCAAACAGACTAATGCTGAATGTGTGCAAACAGTCTTTACTATGATGATGTTCAGAAAATACTCGGTCATGTTGTCATATTTCATTTTTAAACCTTATCTCTATTACTCAACTGCAAGTTATGATTATCACATGACCTGAGCGACCTCAGAGACCAGATGAGTTCAGTCCAGTCATCTGAAATCTGCACTCTTATCAGTTTGGTCATATCTTATTAAAGGATTGTTTGATTTCTTGGAATGAATGTAAAGGGTTTTTGTAGATGAACTCACCTCATCTAGTGCATCATAAGCACATTTATGAAGTTGTATCAAAACATCTTTAAATCCTTAATACAACCTAACATTGAACATACTGCCTTAGAAAGGTGTCATTTATAATGCAGTATACCTTAATACAAGATAAAAACTTCATAATAAAAAGAAAATATTATTGTTGTAATGTATTTTTTGTCTGATACTTCAATTACGGCCTAAAAATACTGCTTATAAGTTGTTACAGAGGTTTTTTAGGAACATATAATTGTTAATAACTTCATACACTGCTGTCACTTTACTTTATAATACATTGAATAAGTTCTTTATGAACCTGTAAAACAGGGTAAAGTTGTGAGTTATAGAGTGTAATTAAACCAAAATAAAAAGATTCCCTTTTGCATTAGATTATGAACTATACCTTTATAAGACATTATGCTCACTGTTAATAACACTTTATAAACATTGCTATGAGCCATTGTGAATGACTTACAGATGCATTCATGAGGCCTTATAAATGTGCGTATGATGCATTATAATACAGTGTTACCAAGATTTCAAGCAAACAGTAATAACAGGATTTGGGTAGTGTGACCTGATGTTTCTATTCTGTTATTTTTTATGTTCACATACACTAAGAAGTAAAAGCCTAAAGGGAAACCAAACTTAAATTCTACTTCCCTAAACTTATAGAGACATGAAAAGTATATTTAAAGCTGGTAAGATATTGGCTAGGCACAAACACGTGAGGAATTTCAACTTAAATGGACATCTACAACCACATAGAGAGTTTATATTGACATAATTATGAGAACAACTAAAAGCCTGTTTTCACATTGCTTGCAAAGAGGAGGACTCATCTAATTATTTAGCTTTTATGTATTTTGGTCCAACACACAAAGGTACACACTGAAACTGTCACTTTAGAGAACCTTTACTGACTTTAAAGCATCTTAATTCAAAACCACAAATTTTAAGTACAGATTCAAGCATAATAAAAACTTAATTCAAAGTTATAGTTTGTTCAGGTGGATATTTGTCAGATGGTAGGAGATTAAACTTTTTATACAAAAAAATAAATACAACCCAACTATCAGGCAGCTATAAATTATCTGGCTTCATACCATGATCCAAACAACTCTCTCATTTTACCTTTACACTTCTAATTACAGACATACAGTTTTTACTCTGTTATCACTGTGAATCAACATGACTGACAGGATGTTCATATTGTGGTTTCAGCGTGAGCAACACTGAGTGATTGTGACCAGAGTTTACATCCTTTCACTGAGATAAGACCTAGTTGATCTTATCTCCACAAGGCTCTAGTGTTGTCTAATCATTACTGAAACATGCTTAAAAAAAGCAAACACAGAATCCATTTCAACTGAATAAATTTACTAGTAAAGGAAAGTCGAATAAAGATCAAAGTTCAGTGTCTTTCAGAGTCACTTGCAGTCTGTGTTGTGGGCTCATATTGACAGTGTCTCTCTGTAGATGTCTTTAGAGGACGAGGCGAAGGTGTTGTCATAGATAGTAGAAAGAGACACCTCTGCACCTGGTCTGTTACTGTCCTCTGTGGATCTGCCATTTTTCCTGAAAGAGTTCCTGATCCTGTTGGAGAGGCGTCCGGACACTTGCCTCACTGCCCGGCTGAGCCCCTTGTTCCTCTGCTTCATCATCGCCACGTCGTCCTCCAGCTCCTCAGGTGGCACATCGATGTTCCCGGAGTACCAGAACACCCACCAGATCAGACTGAGGAAGATGAGGATAGCCCCCGCATAGATGAACAAGTCGTGGATCACCAGCCCTCCAAACACCCCCACCATCATGATCATGACGCCGAGTATGTCATGGGCCACTGCAAACCAGAATGAGCACTTACAGCGGCCGACTCCTCCGTAGCTTTTCTCCATGACTGGCTCCACCTGCACAGATATTTTCAAGTCTTTTTCCATTTTGAATCAAGATGAGGGAACAAGTCAGAGTGCTTGCAGCTGCAGGATAGTTTGGAGCTTTTTCCTCACTGACAGAGAAATCATGAAACAACCAGCAGCAACACAGGTCAAAGTACAGAGTTGTTATCAATGTGAACACGCCCGCTGTGTGACTGCTGTGGATGTTTCAGAGGAAGAAGAACCTTTTTATTTCCTTTTCTGTTTGCTACATTAATTTCCTTTTTTTCTCAGTCCATTAAACCCAGATGAGTCTGGTCCTGCCTGTGGTTTCTGCCTGTCAAAGAAGCTGTGCTTGCCTCACTATATCTTAAATTATTTGGTGCAAAAAATAGGAAGTGGTTAATTGATCTATTTTCACTTACAAAATTAGTATTTTGTGTTCCAGTATGATTTACATCCTGTATTCAAATCCCCCGGCTGTACTGTTTCCGCCTCTGCTTCTCCTTCAGAACTGGGATCCACACCAGCCCCATCACCACAAACAGCAGCCCTATGGACAGGCACGCTGAAGCCACAGAGCGGGGTGCTTCGGTCGCCCCTGATGACTGGAGCAAGAAGAGGAGTCCACCAGTGGCACACATTATAGACCCCATCACCATCACAATGATGGGCTTGTGGAGGTAGGCCCATCCTTGGGCCACTGTAGCCCCTCTGTGAGGGTCCAGATGAAAGCTTTGACCCCCATAGTCTTCTGAAGGTGAAGTTTCCACTATTGTTCCCATCGCTGCTTCACAGAAAAACACTTTTTATCCCTTTGTGTCTCCTCTCTAGGATCCTTTACTTCATGAATAATAAAAACATCAGCTGCTGAACATCCATAGACCCCAACTTTCTTCCTGTAGTCCGCCAGAAACGGTCTTTTCTGCTCAGTTGTTTGAGCTTCTGTGCTCTCAAAAAGAGTCTGTATGGTGCAGCTTGTTTCCATTCTCCTGTTAAGTAACCCGTGAACACTGTAATTCCATATGGCCCACCACACACAAGGCTTGGATGAATACACAGACCCAGCCCACCTGTTGACAACATTATCATCACCTCTGATTGGCTGGCCACTTAGTGCTCATCTCATCAAAAAAGAAATACATATTTTCACTGTTGAGACTGAGGAAATTAACGTTTCTTCATCACATATCAGCCTCTGTATAAACTTCATCTATACAGCATACAACATAAAGATGCTGCAGAGCTTGCAGTCTTATGGGGAACATAGTTCTGCCAGTGTAGCATTATTGCATGCAAGTAGTGAGAGCAGCTGTACAAGCCCAGGCATAATCTCATTAACAAAAGGCTGGTCATCTGATACACATGCTCAGCTCTGACGGCAGGGAGCTCTCAAGGCTAATACACTTCAGGTGATGAGAGTACACAAAAGGTGTATAAAAACATTCAGTTCTCAGTTTAGTCAGGCAGAAACGGTCTTTGTAATGTTACAACACCTCAAATTTTTTACTTGGTCGGCAGAGAAGTCCAGTGGTGTACTGAGGGGGGGAAACTGAGCCCTCTGGTAACCTCATGTCTGAAATGAGGCATCAAAATGGGTCATCTTGGATCCTTCAGGTGGCTGATAAGACCTTATTAAACGTCCATTTGAAGCCCTTTCAGTGATCCACGTACTCCCATAGCTGCCCCTCCAGTAGAAATACATAAAAAGTACCCTCTGAATGCATTTTCAGAGGACAAAACATAAGAGGGTGGTACGTTACAGTGCTCCCTCGATGCCCTATCAATACATAAAACACAGAAAAGGCCCAACAGATGCTGTGAAGAGTGGATTGAATGTAAACCAGTGCCCTCTACATGACCCTCTGGCAGATTGAACAATGAAGATTTTCCGGATGCCCTTCCAGCTGATTAAATGACAAAACATGCCCTCTTACTGCCATTTCAGTTGATAATACAGAGAAAGTACGATTTAGATGCCCTGTAGATAAAAAGTACCCCGTTTGAGGCCCTCCTTTAGATTAAATAGAAGGCACCTTCTACTACCTTGTTGTCTAGGTTTGAATATCACGCAAGTTTTGAGAGTTTAGTTCCAATACTTTAGAGCAGTGGTTCTCAAGTCCAGTCCTCTAGGCTCACTGTCCTGCATGTTTTGGATGTTTCCCTGCTCCAACACACCTGATTCAAATGATTAGCTCGTTATCAAACTCTGGAATGGCTTAATAACGAGCTGATCATTTGAATCAGGTGTGTTGGAGCTTGATAACGAGCTAATCATTTGAATCAGGTGTGTTGGAGCAGAGAAACAACCAAAACATGCAGGACAGTGGGCCTCGAGGACTGGACTTGAGAACCACTGCTTTAGAGAGTCTCTCTATTGTTGTTTTAATTTTGACTAGTTACAGGATCCTGCATGTCTTGCACAGGCAAACTTACAGGGGCATAATAAATATTATTTATCACACTTAAAAAAATTGCATGACACAAATATATGAAATGATTAAGAAGTTTACTGAAAGAGACAGAAAAACAAAGCAACAAATAGTATGATACAAAGTTTATAATTCATTTGATTCATTCTTAAGAGACAAAAACAGACTGAATACACAGTACAGAGCACTCTGTGAAGGGTCTGGTGCTGTGTTAAGTTTAACTTGTCCATGTTGAGAGAGCCATGCGCACCAAGACTCACTTCACTTTCGGAACTTTTCTCTTGACTTTCGCTTCAGTCTTTCCAGCTTTCATAGTCACTTTGTTTGGGGATTTTTTTCCTTTCTTTGCTGCAGCAGCTCTGGGTGCTTTCTCCAGCTGCTTCTTTTTGACTGGCTTCTACAAAAGCGAGAGAGATACAAGGTTACAGATGATATTTTTCAATGATAAATTCAAATATTTCTGTATTTTAAAAACTGTTTTCACCCCTAGGAAGTGAGAGTATGACTGACCTCGACTTTAGCCTTTTTACTAGGTGTTACTATGGGAACCAGCTGTGGGATTTCTTCCTCTTCCTCCTCTTCCACTTGTTTCTCTCCCTCCACAGCAGCATCTGTTTCCTTTACAACATCTGCTGTGTTTGTCTCTTCTTCCTTTTTGGCTTCCTGGGAAACAAAAACACATTTTTATTATTTTATGGACTATTCCTGCGAGTCTGACTTAAGACACAAGATGTGCACTTGTCCTTACCTTTTTCTTGGGAGTCTTGGCAGGCTCCGTTTCCTTCTTCTTCAGTTTCTTCTCCAGTATGGCAATGTTGCTCAGGGATGATGTGTAGATGGGCAGGGCCACTGATCTTTGACTCTTTAAATGGATGACCTTTATGAGTGGTCCTTTCTGTTGTTCAAAATGAAAATATCATGTAGAGTTATAATAAATACACAAACACATTTCATATTAAGGGTCTGGGGTATCAAAGGGTTAAAAAAGCTGTTTAAACTGGAAAACTGGACATTCAATATACGGGACAATGAGGGCAAAACAAGCACAAGTACACCTGTACTAACCAGACGTAGTTTGGCAACTACTGTTTGGACTGTCGCCTCAATGTTCTCCGTCACCTCATCAGCGGTCATGCCAGAGTGGGCAACACGTGCCGTGCTACAAAAGAAGACAATTTATTAAAAAAAGGAAGCATCACCGTATTAATCTGCAAATAAAAATCCCTTAAAAAGACATCGACATGCAGGAAGATTTGTATTTCACTTGAGCTTGACATTTCATATTGTGTTTCAAGGTTGTAGAGACAGGCTCCACAGGGAGAGGAGGTCCATCTGGATTTACATTGAATCTCTATAGCACCAGCTTTTGCCCGTATCAAACACTAAACAGAATCGACAGGGTTTGCTTTGAGGTGCTATGCAATCAAGAAAACACAAAACATTCAATAACACATTTCTTTTTGAAGCAACACTGTTGGCCCAAAACTGAGAAAGTGTTGGTTTACAGTGACAGGTTTTACCATAAGAGACAAAATGAGCAGGAGAGGAAATCTCACCAGCAGCAGCCCCTGTTGGAAACCTTTAATCTGGTGCCCTGAATCACTCTCTCAATGTCTCTGGCCAGATGTTTGCTCTCCAGGTTCACACACAGGGGCTCCCTGATGAGGAGAGAGATGGGGTAACATCTATACACGGCAAGTTCTGATCAACCAGATACAAAGAACAACGAGGACTGAGAACTACAGATATTAAAGTGCCTTAATCTGGGATGTCTGATGTGCTGTTGTGCCCTTATGATGGTTATGAGGTTGTTGTTTCTTTTTTTTTTTTCCTTGTTTTATTTTCTTTTGTCGTTTTTTCTGTGTGTTCCGTATTAAGTGGATATAGATTTTGTTTTGTAATACAAAGTCATGAACGCACTTTATTTATCTAGACTATCTATTTAAGTTGCAAGGAAGCTTGGTGTAGGTACTATCTATTTAAAAAGGGAAGGGGTGGAAGTTCACAAGTTATTCTTCTCACTCCTTTTCGAATATGTATTTCTGTGTTTTTATGTTTAAATGCTTTGCCTTATTTTTCTTGTTTTTTTATATATATATTTTTGGTTTGCATATTTGAAATAAACTTCAATCAATCAATGGTATACATTCTTTATCTCTAGGCCAATAGATGACAAGGCTCAAATTTGTCATCATTGGTTTACTGTAACTTTTAAAAATTGTGATAATTTGTTTTTGTCAACTCCAATTTAATCATCATTCATATGGTGGCAAAGCGAATCAAGAACTTCTGCCTACAGAGTTAAAGATCAATACACAACTGAGCTGTACCAATGTCTCCTGGTAGAAAACGCCACCAAAATAACATCTTACTTTTTCGTTAGGTAGAAATGCTTCCCGATGTGGGATGGCAGCAAACGACGGATGCGGTCATCTGACAGGAACAGGTCAAAGTTCCCCAACAGGCGCCGTTTGGCCTCATACGGTTTGTACTCTGTCTTCAAGACTTTGTATGGGATTATCTGCAGCAGGTACAAACAAAGAGTCATTAGAAAATACTTAATCTTAATCAATAGTGATTGATCACAAGCCTGTGCAGCTGGCCAACCTACTCTGGGATCACAAATGTACATTACAGATCACTGCAAACATTTACACACTAGGCCACAGGTGTCAAACTCAACCACAGCAAGGGCCATAATCTGGATTTAAATCTAACCTGAGGGCCAAACAGGGTCAACATTTCACCAAAACTTTAAACTTCCTTTTCAAAAATATAAAAAAAGATAAGTTTAAATGCAATCTGTGATAGAAAAGCTTTATTTTTTATTCTAATTTGATTTATTAGTTCAAAAGATCAGAGCATGATATTAAAAATAGAAAAATGATGCTTTTAAAGAGCAATCTTTAATCTTAATCTGTAATCTTGAAATGCAACATTGAAAACATGAAATAAAACACCAAATATTTTTCCCTCCACATTCTTGCCTATTTATCAAATCTTCCTTACTCTTTAATTTCCCAGATTTTCATGGTTTATTAAAGACATTTTAAATAATGGTGCTAAAATTTACATGATTATACTGGATGAAATCTGCAGACTTCACACTGGTGGGCCAATAATAATACAAATATGACATGATCTTGTGGGCCAGATATAATTGTGCCACGGGCCAGATTTGGCCCCCGGGCCTTGAGTTTGACACCTGTGCACTAGGCTACAAAAGTAAAGACCATGGCAGGTAGTTTACCTCAGTGACGTTTTTGACTCCCTTCACTTCCATCAGTTTCTTATAAAATCTCTGTGTCTGTTCTGAGGTCATGTTGGGCTCATCTCTCGTGAATAAGCAGACCTCCTCCGTCTCTGTCCGCTGGCCATGGGGCAAAGGACTGAAGATGAAAATTAGAGTCACAGTCTGTACAGTCAATTCAACAATAACGGGAAAAAAACGTACACAAAAATAAAACAGATCAGTATGCTTTATGATCTAGTCTGGGGGACTCACATGCGGATAGTCTGGGCCCTTTTGGGGATCTTCCAGAGGGTGAAGAGCAGAGTGATCTGCTCAGTGTCTTCCAGCAACAGAGAATCAGGAGAGGATTTGGTTTTCAGGTAAGCCTGGAGAGCTTGAACCGCCTTTTTCACCTGATAGACGAATCGAGACCGGATACGAGACTTCACCACAGTTCAAATGTCTAATTATACTGTCATTTATCTTAACCAGCAAGAGTTAGCTTCAATGCTAAATTAAACACACTAGCTGTTAACACAAGTTAGCTTAAAGCTACCGCCGCTGCAAGACTATTCCAAGTGTTAAGTTAGTCAATGAGCAACAACAGACAGTTTATTCATGAAAAGTTTGACAAAAAGTTAGTTTTACCTGGGCCCGGTCTAACACCACTTCACTTTCCCCAGCCATGCTGCCTGCTTCACGTGTTGCCAGAAGCTGCGCAGGCGCAACAACTGTACTACGTCACGATACAAAACTTTATTTATAAGGGAACCAAGGACAGTTCAGAGAAGAAAGTTGGGCCTTGAGTACAAGTTTAGAGGGTAACATGTGGAGCTGGTTGCAGTCCAAAAACATTGACTTCCCTTTGTCAGCAGAAACTATTTTGTTTGGTGTTTTAAAGAGGATAGGAACTTGGATTTTTTTTCTAAATGCTTTGTTGCTTTTGGGGTTCTTCATTCACAAGTGTGAATATTTTAAAACAAGACCTTGCCTACCTCACTGGAAGAATGAGCTGCTACTTTTTTTGTAAATCCTTAAAACTTGTTACAGACAAAAAAACCCTACGCCTATTTTCAAATTGATATAGAATGGCCTCTAACATTGAAATTGTGCTGTTGTTTTTTTCTTTTTTGATGTTATTCCTGCTCAATCTAAGGCAAATATTCCATAAATTTCTTTTATGATAAATAAGTTCCTTGTTTGTTTGTTTGTTTATAATTCAATTTAAAAAAAAGTTCAGAGGGTAAGCCCGGGTATTATAGAACAAATATTCGAGTCTCTGCACTTATTTGCAAAATGTTCATAAAATCTGGGTTTATTTACTCACTTATGGCAGGTTTAAGGCTGGCCAAAAACACCAAATTGTAAATCATGGGAACTTCACCAACCAGTCATATAATTATGAACACTTTGGCACTCCAATGCAATTCTGTACTAAAGCCCCGCCACAGATAACACTTTTATGAAGCCTCCACAATCTCAGTTATTGTTGACATGGTGATAGTTGATCTGTAAATGAATGATATAAGTTACAGTGGATGTTGGTGCTGTACTTGAGATCACTATATTGAAAGGTCCTCCTTAACTTTGTTACTGAAGTAGGCAGCATGTTGAGAGCACATTTGAATATTACAAAACCCAATTCCATTGAAGTTGGGAAATTGTGATAAATGTAAATAAAAAGAATACAATTATTTGCAAATCCTTTTCAACCTATATTCAATTGAATACACGACAAAGACAAGACAATTTCCCAACTTCAATGGAATTGGGTTTTGTACATACTCCAGTGCCACCATCAGTCTTATATAAAGTACCATCACCTGTCCTATTATTGCCTATACTCATATTTATAAAAGAACAACAAACACTTTTCTGTTGCAGCTTGATCATTTATTTCCATTTATATTATTTAACAGCTGTTTGTGTCTGTTTGTGTGTGTGTGTTTATCCATGTTTTATCAGAGAAGTATGTGAGCTCAATCCAATTCAACCATCTCACATGGCGAGAGACCAAACTTAAAAATTTTGGTACAGCAATCCTTAAAACCAAATAAAATGTTCACTGGATCCTCTATCCCACTCTTAAAAAGGGAGATGAACATTGCAAATCAGTATTACAGGCTTACACTGGTCTTTAGCAGGATATTTTTCTCTCTCTTCCCCCAATCTCACAACACTGCATCCATTTCCATTCTAAAAACAAATGGCGTGGCCAGCCGACATTGCGGTTAGCCATGGGAGTACAGAAGGGGGCATGTAGCTACATTAGTGGCATAGCTGAGCTCTCAATATGAGAAAGCTGACACACTGGACTTGGTCTCTCATTACATATTGTTCACCATAAAAACTGATTCAGTCTTGATTCCTTCATTTGATGCAATTTTATTCTCCTCTTTGTTGATCTCCTCAGCATAGTTGTGTGTAAAGAGAGAGTAGCTGTTGGGGTCGGCTCTAGCAGCGTTTCTCCTCTGGTAACGACTGGAAGAACTCCATGCACGCTGCCACAGTTGCATTTAGTCCTTTTCTGGCACCAGCTTCAGCACTTTGCCAATGGCAATGGTTTTGCCTGTTGGAAGAGAGTTGAAATGAGAGTCGTGAAGAAAACTGTTTTGTTTTTATAACAGGTAAAATAAGTGAGACGTGCCAAAGCCGATAAATGAACATTTTTATTTTTTCTATCTTTGCTGTAGCTGCTTCTGTGAACAACATACCTGCCAGCAACATTTCAACAGCGGTCTTACCTTCGTCTCGCAGCGTGAATCGTCCCATCTGTGGGAAGTCCTTGAAGGTCTCTAAGCAGATGACTCCTGCTGCCCGGAGCCTGGCGATGCACACCTGATCCTGCTTAACAAAGCGTGGCCGTGTTTTGCTTTTGTCCCCTGTCTTCTTGTCCACCAGACAAATTAAGGCCTGCAAACAGGATAAAGAGGGTTGATCCACATTCCATCGAGAACATAAAAACGGTCCAAAACAACTGTCAGGGCTAGTACTCACCGTGATCTGCACTTCTTCGATGCAGGTGTGGATATGAAGGACTGCATTGTAACCAGGACAAATGATTGATTTGTGCTCAATGATGACGATCTGAGAAAAAGGAGCAGATACAAACAGCATGCAAGTTAGCAAGTTAGTTCATGTGACATAATAATGACAACAAATAAAAAATATTGAAAAATAAAAATGATATTGTCAGGGATGGGAAATAGTATTCAAACACTAACTAAAGCTATTAATTCCCATACACTTCACTACATTAACTTCTGGAGTCAGTTTACAAGTTTTATTTTACTCCAAAAACAGAGTTCCACATAAATATGGACCAAACTGCCAATTATTTTTTAATGAAGGGGAAAAAATGCTCATTCAGCTGTATAAGACAGACTTTAAGTTTTTAAGTACAAGCCTGTAAGAAATCATAGAAAGCGGTAAGAGTAAAGGAGTAGGAAAAATAACGACTGCAGGTGAGGTGAAGCTGAGGAGTGATGAGACCCAGCAAAGACCGATAATGAGCAGTAAACTTTCCATACATACATTTCCATACATTTCCTTGATGTGAACCATACGTTCACATCAAGGGTTGTTAGATTATGTTAAAATAATTAAGATTCATATGATCCTAGATATAACATGGATATTAGTTTAACTGCTTTGTATCTGTCTTAATAAAAGGGCCCAACTAGTCCCCCAGTTCACTGTATGATTGAATATATGAAATACATCTCCACATGATACAGCTCCATCTTCACTGTTTTCCATGAGCAGACTATGGTGTCCATTTATGGCACTAATTTGAGATTCCAGTCTGCTGTTTAGTTCTTATTTTTGACTGTTAAAAGGGCAGAAATGTAGAAGAAGTTTTACTTGACTTACAATCCATAATTATTCTCTCTCCACTCTGCAGCTCACGCACATGATCACAGCATCTGTTCTGTTCTTTTTTTTTTGCGGTGAGCAGAGCAGCTATTTTCAGATTAAATTATGAATCAATGTTGTAAAAGTTCAATCTGCAAGTTTCACTTTAAACTGTTCAGCCTTTTCACGTCTGCAGACACCATGCAAACAAAGGCCATACAACTTTTATTCAGATTCTCGGTACCCCTAACTCAGACTTAGAAGTAAAGTCACAAATTCTGACTATTTTTTTGTGTTTTCTTATCATCACCTGTGCGTCAAAGGTGCGACCAGAGTGGCAGAGGTTGTCAGGGCTGCAGAGGATAAAACCGGGGAGGATTTCTTCCTCCTCAATACCCTTCAGCCTCAGCTTCAGATTCTCCCCAGGACTTGCATCGTCCGTCTCCACATCATCACTCAGCAGGCTCAATACCTCCACTGTGTGCTGCAACACATAAACACAAAATCATATATTTCATGCAAGACTGACTGAAGCTTTGATTTTATTACTCAACGAGAGCTTAGAGGTCCCCTGTGAACAGACAAGAGTCGCTGGGAGGAGATCTCACCCTGTTTGGCATCATGACCAGCTGCTGGGCTTTGCTGATGGATCCTGACTCCAGCTTACCGAGGATAACTGTCCCCATGTCCTGGAAAAGCACAAACACACCATTAGTTACGCTTGAAGCACATCAGTCATCAACTTCATACAGTAACTATTTAAAAGTTTGACCAAAAAATAACCTTAAGTTACTGCAGCTAAAGTGGGAAAAACGATCCAATGTGTTGCTCTCAAATCCATCTAACCTCTATTTACCTAACAAAGCTTTTTTTTCCTTTTTTTTTTTTGATTAAAAGGTTTAATATAAAAGCAGCTTGTGCCCATGAAGCAGGTTTTAAATGTCACTACACACAACATCAGACAGTTCTTCATCCAACATAAAAAAAGCATTGCATGGCACGTTTTCAAACTAGCATTTTTTTCCCTCCAGTTATATTTTGCCTAAATAGATAAAACAGTTGAAGAGAGACAGGTAATGTACGGAGTGTGCAGCAAAGGGTTGAGGCCAAGACTCAAACAACAACTGCTGCAAGTACAAAAGTTATCTTTGTGTGTCGGGCATGATCAGTGCCTCGAGGTCATAGTTTTGAGAAACTGTTCATCATTTTTGCAAATACTTGTCCTCACTCTACTGTCATGTTAGAAGAGAAAATTGATGCCTCCTTAGTGAAAGCATATATGAAGCCACGACTAACAGCACCAAAGTTTCCCTTCGCACCAGGATAAAGAATAATCAGCTGGGTGTTTCAAAGTTTTCTGAAATTCTGCATATCAGAATTCCTAAATCTCATTTAGTGACAAACGTAACTCCGCCCCTTTAGAAAACCCCAAGCTGGTGGTATTACTTGATTTCCTGTACAAGCACAAGACTCAGAATGGGGGGAAAGGATACTGAGTGCACATATTCCACCTACAGTGTCTTCAGTTAAAATTAAATCAATGTCAAACTGTGTTTCAAGAGGCAGCGGCTGCATCATTGGAGTGAAAGTGTTTTTTTAAGGCCATTCAACCAAGTGTTTCACCTTTATTTTTATTTAATACTACTTTTTTATTTTCTCAGCTGGAAATAAAAACATAAAATTTTGAAGCATAATGACATTGAGGGCAAAGCACATCATAAAATAAGCACAGCAATGGTTTTAGTGCTGTAGATTATAACTGGACGAAGTTTCAGCGGGGCCATTTGTATGCAGCTCCCGGTTCAATGACCCATAATCCCCTTACATCTGGAGAACACCAGTTGGGACTACTTAATCACAGAACCACTACATAAGGCTCTTATGCAATCGCTGGGAGAGGAGTATTTAAACAACTTAAAGACAAGAGGATGAGGAGAAGGGCAACATGTGAAGAAGGGAAAGAGCTGAGGATTCTTGTATGGAAAGCCAGGAGTGCCAAAATAAGTTGATTCCACCATCACTTACAGTATGAGTTGAACTGCCTCCAACAGCTAAACTGAAGCGAGAGCCAAGAAGCAGAATTATCTTTAAGGGGAGTGATTATGCAGAGGCTGCAGTGTGTGTGCGCGTGTGTGTGCGCGTGTGTGTGCAGGCATGCTGCTGTGCTTTTGGAAAATCACCAAAGAGAATGACAAACTGGAGCAGGAGGAAAACATTTTTTGGCGTTGGGGACACAAAAACCAGAAGACATATTTCGCCCACTCATCTGCTGAGGGACTGAGGAGCGGAGTCGACGTTCTGCCACGATGTGTTTTCTCGCTGTAGAAGGGAGGATGACTCAAAGGCCTTCAGATGCTTACCTTGTACTTGTCTACGATAGGTAGTCTGACTGGTCCGTCACTGGATCTGGTGAAGTTTGGCAAACTGTCCAGATGTGGAATAAATGGCAGACCCCTGAAAAAGAACCAAAGAGAATACCTTTCATCACACCTGCATAGTCATCGAAATCTATACAATACACATTTTCACACTGGGTTCTGTGTTCATCTATAACCCACTATGGGTGATTTCTAAGAGTCTGTGGCTCTTTGCAGCCTTGAATAAATCCACAGCTTAACAGGAGAAAATACTGAAGCCAGATTTAAGTATTAAACAGACAATCATGCCAGTAACATGTCTACTGGGAAAAGTTACAATTTCATGTTCCCAAACTTCTTTTCCTGGAGTCATCATTACATTATTTTCTCTAGCTCAGTGGTTCTCAAGTCCAGTCCTCGAGGCCCACAGTCCTGCATGTTTTGGATGTTTCCCTGCTCCAATACACCTGATTCAAATGATCAGCTCGTTATCAAGCTCTGTGATGGCTTAATAACGAGCTGATCATTTGAATCAGGTGTGTTGGAGCTTGATAACGAGCTTATCATTTGAATCAGGTGTGTTGGAGCTTGATAACGAGCTGATCATTTGAATCAGGTGTGTTGGAGCAGGGAAACATCCAAAACATGCAGGACAGTGGGCCTCATGGACTGGACTTAAGAACCACTGCTCTAGATGTATGTAAAGTAATGAAAAATGTGGTGTTGTTGGGAGGATTTATCAAACTCCAATACCAAAAAATAAATAAATAAAATAAAAACACCTTGCAGAGTGCTAACATGTTCGAGACGCCAAAGGAGGTAGAAAAAGACAGAGACCTGGAGGGGAACTCTGATGAATCAGTATTGTGTCGTGATGCCAACAGAATATTCACAGACCTCTCTGATCTCTTCAAAGAAACACCGGCCAAATTGTAAAAGAAATTAGGGATGATAGTGTCACAACATTACCATAAAATAGTGATAGTAATTTACAGGGCGGCTGTGGCTCTGTGGGAGTCGGCTGTCTCTCACTGGGAAGGCTAGTGGTTTAATTTCAGCTCCCACAGTCACAGTAACAGTCGCATGCCGAAGTGTTCTTGGGCAAGAAACTGAGCCCAAAATTACTCCTGCTAGCTGCAATTCAGCGTGTGTGAATGCTTGATGACGGGGTTAATTGATACAGACAGCCATATACATGTCGTATTTACATGGTGTTTACACAGCATTCTTAGTGTATGATTATGTGTGTGTAAATGGCTGAATGTGACAGGTGATGTTGGAGCAGTCAGAAGACGAGAGAAGAACAGTGTAAGTACAATCTATTCACTGCTAGTTCTTGTCGAATTAAAAGCTGAACCAAATTTGACAGGTTTTTTTATTTAGTTGATTAACGGGTTAAAAAAAAAAATCAGCCACTGCTCAAGAATGCGTCCGACAGCCAAAATATAGACGGTTATGATTCTTTGGATGCTTGCTTAGAATTTTACTGCAGTAAACAAGCAGAAATGATCACTCACAAGACAGACTTCTAGCTGGGGTACGTTCTTCTCTAAACTTTTAAAACTGGTTTGCTGCACTCTTCAAAGTGGTCAATTTAAAGTAGTAATCTAAACAATTTTAAAAGCAAACTCAAAACATAACTTTTTAGTCTTGTTTTTAACTAAATTTTATATCATTAACTTAACTTCGTTTAGGTGTTTTAGCGTTTATCTCTTTCTGGTTTTAATAACAGGATTGTCTTTTATTGAGCTATTTTGATGGTCTTATTTTAGTATCTTTTACTTTAGTTTTTATTTTATTTTCTTTAGTATGTCTTAAATTTCATTCTATGCTACTGTGTTTTTAGATTTTAACCTAAACTCCAGTGTTTCCTTATCTTGAATTTTAAAATGGTTTTTCCTTGGTGCGCATGTTTCTGTTTCTATGAAATCAATCTATGAATGCATGTTTCTGTTGTGCTTAGATCGGCGGGTGGGAATTAGGGGTTTGGTTGGGGTACATTAAGGTATTCTTTGTTTCTTCTATTCCTCTACTGTGTAAATCACTTTGTGCGACATGGTTGTGTATGAAAAGTGCTATACAAATAAAGCCTGATTGATTGATTGAAATGAAAAGACAGAGTTGGGAATGAGACACCATTAAGACTTGAATCTGTTCAATATTGACATTTTGTCAGTAGAGTTAATGTGACAGAATCTGGTGTCAACATAGAGGGTTATGTACTGAAAATAAAGCAGATGTTTTAAAGTTGTTATGGTGTCTGGTTTCCTGTTTCACTCCCTGAGCTGACTTATGCACCGCGCTCCGGCAACCAGCAAAAAAAGAAGCCCTGCCTGTCTGCTGTGGAGGGCTTGGGATTGCTGGAGCAGAAATGCAACGCAGCGGAAGCACTCACATTGACTGGAGTGAAAGCACTGCCATGATGATGCACAGAAGGACTGAAAACAGATCTGGTGGAGGTTACCGCAAAGTAGGGCTGGGCAATAAAACAATAATGATATATATCAAAAATTAGTTTTCCTCAACATCAATGTAAAACATGGTCAATATGCTTTTCGATAGCCGGCATTCTGCCATGTTTTGGTAGACTATATGAATAGCAAATGAAAAGGGGAATTGCTCAGGGTCGCGCCGCACTGAACTAGTCTTGTGCTGAATTAGAACAAAGTAGGAAACTACAGCATAGTAGCAGGCTGCAGCTACACGCAACTATAGCATTTTAAATGAGTGCTACCCCCAGCAGAAATGCAGATAAAGGCTCATCAGATGATGACATTGTCGACAAAACAGTGGCACGAAAACGTCAGTGGTGTGGAGGTATTTTGTTTTTTGAGGTTGGACATACAACAGAGTAATGTGCACCGCAAATGATGTCCAGTTCATGTTAAATTTCATTTAAGAGTAACAGGGAACATTTGAGATTGACAAGTGATTTTTTAATATGATACATAATGATATTGACTGATATGAAAAAATATATTGTGATAAACTTTTTTCCTTATCGCCCAGCCCTATCCCAAAGTATCTAAGAAAATCTAGGAGAAGACTTGGCTCGGAATAAATCAGACAGAAGTACAGTGGGAACCAATCCCTCAAGGCCAACTTACGTGTACCAGGGGCATTCAGGTACAGGGTCCTTAAGGTTGGCACCTGTGAGTCCGGAGCAAGGCATAAAGTGGATGTCCTTCTTCGGGTTGAAGCCCACCTTCTTCAGGAAGGGGACCAGCTTCTCCTTACACTCTTCATACCTGCAGGGAAGTCATTCAAAGACAGGATTAGGTCTTATGAAGGAAAGATGGAGGGCATAGGACAACAACAGGACACCAGTGAAAAGAGAAGGTCACGACCAATGCCGACAATTTTCTGACTATCTACTCTCTTTGTAATCATTTTGTGACAAGCGCAGCATTAAACATCAACATATATGCGTCATATCTGTTTTTAGTGCATGCTGACCTCTCAAGGCTCCAGTTGACAGTGGGATCATCCATCTTGTTGATTAGGACAATGAGATGCTTGACTCCAGCTGTTTTGGCCAGCATGGCATGCTCCCTTGTCTGTCCACCCTTCTCAAAGCCAGTCTCAAACTCGCCCTTTCTCGCTGAAATCACCTGTTAAAAAACAACGATGGAGAAAGTCGAGTAACCTCCTTTAATCAGAAACTTTTACTTCAAACCATTTCTCTAGGAGTTTAATCAGTTCCCACTGATGTTTTTCTACTACTCTGTGCACTTGAAGGTCTTGCCAGGAGGAAATTATTTACTTATCAGTGAGCATGTGTATATAAAGCATGTCGCTCTACTGAAAAATCTCTGTGTTCAAGGTTCGGGCCAAGCTAACATTACAGGGATTGTATTTCCTGCTCCAACTCACCAGCACTGCCAGGTCGGCTTGTGACGCCCCACCAATCATGTTCGGGACAAAGCTCTTGTGTCCGGGGGCATCCAGGATAGTGAAGTGTTTTTTCTCGGTCTCAAAGTAAGCTCTGCCAACCTCCACTGTCTTCCCCTTGTCTCTCTCCTCCTGGTTTGTGTCCAGAGCCCACGACAGGTACCTGGGGGGAAAATAAAAAGAAAAACATGTTTACTTATAAATTTGTTTAACAAAAGCCTGCTGAAAGCTCTTAATGCCACAGCGCACGGATCGAAAACAAACATGAAACCAAAACATTTGCAAATTTATTGAGATTTTCACCATGTCTCCCGATTCTTTTCCTTGGCTTCTCTTTCATATTTCTCCAAAGTTCTCTTGTCCACCATTCCAGTTAGGTACCTAGAAAGGTGAAAACAAAGAAAGGTCAAGCGAGGGCCATAATACTTATTTCATTTGTGGTACTAGGAAGTAAAAAAGTTGAAACTGTAGCTCTGTTGTGCAAGAGGAAATCTGTTGCACTGTAGCTGGCAGCCATAGAGGCATTGTTCTTCTGGACACTGGGGTTGTTAAACAGCACAAACAACATGCTTTTTTTATTATTATTATTATTGTACGAGTTTGAAAACAAGCTAAATTAAAATCTACTCAAACGGCACATTAAGGAAATTAAAGTAATGTTGATTTTAGTGCCCAGCAAACACAGAAGATAAGAAGGTGATGACTCACATGATCTGTCCTCCAATAGTTGATTTTCCAGCATCTACAAAAACACACAAACATTCAAAAGGTGAATAACACACACTCAAACCTTTCTTTGAACAATCATGTACACACACAAACTACATGGAAACGCACCAACGTGACCGATGAAGACCACGTTCACGTGTTCTTTCTTGGGGGCATCTGGTGGTGCAGGAGCAACTTTGGGCATAGGCATCTCCTCCTCTTCCTCCTCCATCATCTCCTCAGCAGCTCCCTCCTGGCAAGCACCACCTGACTCCAGAACACCCTCTCCTCCGCCTCCGCCGCCTCCCCCTGGCTCCTCCTTCTGCTCCCACGTCTCCTCCTCTGTGGTCATGTCAGCCTCTGTGCCTCCGTTCTCTACAGGAGCTGCAATAACACAAACACACGCACACACACAGACTTAATAAGATAATTGTATGTTATCTCCTGTAAACCAGCTCTGACTCTCCCTTTACTAATCTAATAATTGTCATCACCATTTACAAATCTTAATCTTTCTTTAAGTGAGATTATGAACATTTTCAGTGATACCATTTCTACCTCCCCCAATTCCAACAACTGACCTTTTACATACTATGCAAATACCTGGTACCAATACTGTTCAACTGTGTCAAACAATGAACACCTTTGCTTTCAGCTGTAAGCCTACACAAACACTGTATGACTGCTAAAAACTCTACTCTCCTGTTCTACTGTGTGAACTTCGAACCCCTTTCATAGCACAGGCTGAGGCTAAATTCTACACTAGCCCTGTAGTGTTGTTACTATCAACATTTCAGGTGATACCTGAAGCATTTGTGTCACTGGTGTCAAAACGACTGTGGGTATCTCATAGACTGGCAGTGGTAGAAATCTAAACCACTGCAACAAATACGACTGGGGTACTTGATTTCCAGGTATGCAAACTACCATTAGAGCTGTGTCTTACAGGTACAGTGTGTAGGAACAGTAATATTTAGCTGAACCCTACCCCTGTTAATCTTTCTGTGGCGGGTAAAAAGTATGATTTGTCAAGTGTTTACCCTCAAAAACATCTGAAAAACAAACAAACATATTTCATATTAGGGCTTAGGGGTGTCCCGATTCAACTTTTTGACTTCCGATAAGATACCAATATTGTAGCCTTCACTATTGACAGATACTGATGTTGATCTGATATTGGCACAAAATTGTGCATGACAAGTTATTCATTCAGCTGCAACATCTTTTTCGGACATAAACAAAAAATACTGCCACAAGGCCGACATCAGTCTTACTTCTTGCTACTTTGTTAGTATCTTAGGACACAGTGTTGTTGTGATTGTGGGAGCTCTGCATGCTGGATTAGGGCGCTGCTAGATAAAGGTGCCGGAGAGGAGTCAGGAATGGACTGCTTGTATCCGAGTGCTGATATCAGAGATTTTAGATGCAGGCCGATATAATCCGATATTCGTTTTTTTGCTAATATCAGACCGATATCCGATATCAATATCGTATCAGGACACCCCTATTAGGGCTGTCACTTGATTGGGGGGAGTTCATGACAAAACTGTAACGAAGTGTTCATATTCTAAATAAACTCTTAACTTTGGTTCAAAGCTGTCCTGAGGAGACAGTCACAACTCCTCAACAGCTTGTGGAAGTATTCTGGGCGTTACGCCACAGATTGCAAATTAAAAGACAAAGATAGGGCTGAACGTACAACATAGACTTGTATTTCTAGTAAATAATATTACTCAAAAGATCATCAAACTGTTCTGATTGCCAACAGAATTGATATTGTTTTAAAATTGAATATTGTCTGTAGAGAACATTTAGTTAAAGTTATTGAAACCCTCTCCTGTTGTGTAATTTTACATCTACTATACAAGAAAGTATTCTCATTCCAAGTCTTGTAATTCACAGTCTGGTAATTTTGGGAATTTTTTTACACAAGTGACTGTCCTTACAGTACTTAATTTGTGAACAACAACCATTCTTTTCTTCTATAATCTCTCAACCAGTGCATTTCTCTTGCTTAATACAAACAAAAATACGTTCATAGTTTGACATTGTCGTGCAAGATGGCGGCCCCCTTGGAAAAGAGTTCACTCCTGTGGATTTAAGAGGCTCATTATACATGAAAAGAAAAGAACTGCGCTCAACTTATTTCACACTAACAAGAAAATACTTCATAAAGTTTTTTATATACCGCACATTGCACCTCTAAATTTACATTTCAAATGTGCTTTTGCAAGTCCTTTTTCAAAAGCTCCTGTTCTTGAAATTCATTCGCCCCCTCGGATAATCTGTCTGTGGTCTGCGCTTCATCTTTAATTATAATTAATTAGTCCTCCTCCCTTGTTAGAAACACAATCAATGCAGCGTTCTGCAAAGACAGCGAGTACAAGTCAAACAAAACCTCTAACAAGATTACAGTGAAACCTGGTGTACCCTGCAGAACAAGTGCCCTCCCATGCCATCACCAAACTAAGCTATCTCTGAATTGTGCAGCTCAGTAATCACGTACAATTACTTGATTCTTCTCAAGTGTTTGCTTAAAACTTGTTCGTAGATATTGCTGCTGGCAACCCACAAAGCCAACTGTGTCTGAATTTTATCAACAGCAACTTTATGCTGTAAATATTTTTTCATAACTTTTTGAAGAGACGAGTATTATAGGCAACTCTGCGGTTAGAGGAACGGTTGACCCCCCCACGGGCACTGCCTATCTTTTACATACACTGCATCTGATTATACGGTTCAACTTTGTTGTTCACTCAGCTGCGCATTGTTCAGCCAGTTTTAAAGACAGAAAAACATCCTACATGTTTTAACATTTTATCTATACCTATTTTTACTTAAATCCACACTTTGCATTGTATCATTTTTCTAATAAGTAGATTAACAAAACTACACACTGCCCTATGGCTACTGATACTTCTTGTGATGAGTAAATTGTAGGGGTGGGAGAAAAATTTGATTCACGTAAGTATCGCAATTTTTTGTTTTACAAATTTTTAATTAATTTTTCATTTTTTTCTAATTTAAGGATAAATCTTAAAAACTGACTTTCATGTGATGTATATTTTGGGGTGAATTATGGTTCCTGAAATAGTCAGTAGATGATCATTATCATTCAACTGTTTCACTGGTGTTAAAAATGCAGACTAAATATCGAGAAAATTGACAGTATCATAGAATCACAACTTAAATCAGAATTTGCATCCAAAAAATCATAGAAGAATCGAATCAGGAGAAAAGCATATCATCCCAGCCCTAGTAAATTGAATGTTTGTTTGTCTACTCTTACTTAATAAAACAGGGATATTTGATGCCATACATGGGAGCTGTACATAAACATTGTAAAGATGCCAAAATAGTGCCAAATTGTGACATATGCCAATCACTTTGACGTAAGTAACTGCACTATAACAACTATTTTTGTCATCAGGAAATAAAGACCACAAAATACCTTAGAAAGTAAACATTACCAGTTATATTCACCTTGAATATAGGCTATGGACAGCCCAATCGGCCTACACTAAGAGGTAATCTGCACACCACCAGTCAATAAAAACTGAGTGAATACTTCAAATAGCTCTGACACAAAGCAAGCTGAGGCCCTGACACTCGTCAGTGTGCCACAGTGATGTCTATTTCAGGCATGGACAAGTGTAGTTGCATCATATTTTACGTAGGCCTGTGCACATGGGTTTACCGATGCCAGCAATCCAAATATGGCTCAGTAAGTGAACCTCCGGGGCTCACGAGAAAGCAGAAATGCTTTCAAAGATTTGTAACAAGAGTACTGTGTGCATCTACTATAACCACACCTGTGCGGTGTTAAATTTGCCTGACAACCAGATCAGTCAGTATATAGCGTTTACATGCGGTGCGTGGACTACAGAGTGGATGCATACCGGCTGTTTCTGCCACCTCCATGCTGGCTACTGCATCAGGGGCACCTTAGAGGAGAGAAAACAACGCATGTCAAACTTTCATAAATATTTATCAGACAAGGAAGGTCACGTTTGGCGTTACAATGGCATTTAATGTGTTAGCAGTCGACTGATACACTAAAATGACACACAGACTGACACTCAGGCCGACTTGTTGATGAGTTAGTGGAAATGAGATAACTGTGGCTCTATCTGGACTCAGCGAGCTGAAGCCAGGAAGGCTAACTTAGCTGGATTAGCAGGCGTGCTAGCAAGTGAAGCTAACTCCCAGCCAGCTGTCTGGCATTGACCCACCGTCTGAAGCCGGCATTTCCACGGCGCCGGCTTGGAGGAAGCTCGGTACAAACACCGGGGCATTGACGTTGGGGACAAACGGCTTGGCGTTCACGTTAAGGGCGGCGAAAGCGGTTGGGAGCCCCGCCGCGGCAGCCGGGGCCTCGGCATCCTCCTCTAGCTCCCACGAATCCGGGGCTGTGTCTGTCGGGTCCATCGCTCCTTTTTTCAGAGTTGACACGCTGTCCACAACCGGGGAGGCTGGATTATATCTGTGGTTTCTCTAAATCAATAAGTTGCTGGTGTGTTTTAGACTCTTAGCAGCACGTTTGATGAAGTTCCCATTGCTTTGTTAAACCTCGCTTCACAGGCATATGGATCCCGTAACCGACGAGAAGTGTCGTACAGTCGTACTGCACTCCCTGAAACCGCCGCCAGGGGCCAGCACCGAGCTGAACTCACCCATATGAACTCACCTTTTTCCTTTTTTATGTTTGAGAAGAAGGGGGGTCGTTTAAGGAGGAGGCTTAGGTCCATTTAAAAATGAGCTCTATTTTTAACTCTTATTTATTTCACAGAACGCAGAGAAAATTGTTAAAATGACCCTTTTCTGTCTTTAAGTAGCCTTTATCCTTGATGGAGTAGCAAAGTATTGCAATAAATGTCAACTATTAAGCTCCTGTGGGGAACTTTTTAGCTGTTTTGAAATGGACCAATTTAAAGGGACATTCCGGCATAAAGTTGATTTAGGGTCAAACACACCGGAACACCGGGTTAGACACCCCCTCGAGAGATGAATGTTGCCGACCACTTGCTTCTCTAGTTATACCAACTTTAGTAACGACCACAGGATAGCAAAACACAGCAGTATGAGGAGCCATAGACAAACCTCAACCAAAAAGCTATTCTATAGCCACAAATAATGCTCAGAACAGCACCTAACTTCATCAAAAGTACATATAGAACCTGGGGGGACAGAGCCTTCTCAGTCGCCGCCCCCACCCTCTGGAACTCACTCCCACTCGAACTCAGAAACTGCACCGACCTCAGCAGATTCAAGACCCTTCTCAAAACCCACCTCTTCCGCACTGCCTTTCATCCTTCCTAGCCCCCCCCCCCCCCATTGGATTTTACCTGATCCTACATGTTTCTATTGACATTGTCGTAAATTTTATTACTTATTGATGCGTGTTTTATTGTTATTTGGATTTTACCTGATTCTACATGTTTTTATTATATTGCCGTATCTTTTATTACTTATTGATGTGTGTTTTTATTGCTTAACTCTGTACAGCGTCTTTGTGTTTTTTGAAAAGCGCTTTACAAATAAAATGTATTATTATTATTATTATTATTATTATATAGGGTCCTAGCCATAATGCTAGCCACCAAACATCTTTTTAGCTTTGCCTAATTTCTTTAGCAAAGAGACTAAACACAACTCACCTACTCTCTTCCAGCAGCCGCTTGTTTGTTGTGAGACCTCAGGCCACTCCATTACAGACTACAGTGGGGTGACGCAGCTCACCCCGCAGCATTTTTATGGTGATTATTACTTCAAGGAAATGATAAAGAAATGTTCTTCCTTGAGCTGTGTCACCCAGCTGTAGCCCGTAATGGACTGGCTCGAAGTCTCGCTACAACCATGTGGCTGCTGAAAGAGAGTGGGTGAGTTGTGTTTAGTGTCTTTGCTAGAAAAATTAGGCAAAGTTAAAAAGATGTTTGATGGCTAGTAGTATGGCTGGGACCCTATATGTACTGTTGATGAAGTTAGGTGCTGTTCTGAGCATTATTTATGGCTATAGAGTGACGTTTTGGTTGAGGTTTGTTTATGGCTCCTCAGACCGCTGTGTATTGCTATCCCGCAGTCATTTCTAAAGTTGGAATAACTAGAGAAGCAAGCGGTCAGCAACATTCATCTCTCAAGGGGGTGTCTAACCCGGTATAGGTGTGTTTGACCCTAAATTAATTTTATACATGACCCCCTTTTCCAATTCCAATTAAAATCTGTCTGATTGAAAATCCTATAACACAAAATCAGCACACCACAAAAGACTTTCAGTTGTCTCCACAGGGGGTGCCAAAATCAGTCCAAAATAAAAGTTACTGACAGAAGCTTTAAGTAAATTCTCCCAAAAATCTTTAACTCATGGGTCATCTTGTATTTTGAGTTCATTATAAGCATATTGCCTCTCATCAGTTTCATTAAAACTCTGACACGATTATACAAAAAGTTCCCTCGGAAAAAGAGGGGTTAAATTTCCTCCATTTATATGTGGATGACAAATGTACCACTATCACTTTTACTGCCTTAGATGTCCACACCGATGTGATATTCTCTTGGAAAGATCCAGGGATGAGCTTTCTCAAACAAGAACTTTAAGGAAAGGATTACAAATCATTGTCTATTTTGAACAGTTTTTATTTTGTGAAACAGTAAAAATACCATCAAGACAAACAAATAAATAAAAGGAACACATCAAATTTTCCAGTACTGTTAAACTTTAAAAGGTTATATTAAGTTATAAAGATTAATAAATAAGTTACTTCTAGAACTCTTAAATTACTATCAACAGGTAGGAACCATGAACTCTGTGTCCTTCTTCGGTTTTTTACTCCTTGGCATCAGTAACTCCTCCAGCAGAAATGGCAAAAGTGGCCTCGTTCTCAGGCATGTCAGGACTACAGAATAATAGACAAGACAGATATTAAGGGATCAAGCGTGAGTCCCAAATGATATTAACATTCATCTTAAAGTCTTAATATGATTATAACACCCCATCAATAAGTTAAAACAAAACCACATGATACCACATCATCTGTTTGAGAACTGAACTTAACACTGATTTGAAATGTTGCTTATTTGATCTTGCAAGATGGTACCAAAGAGCAAAACTCTGTCACTTGCAGCTGACATTCTGAAGCATTAAGATATCTGACTGGGAGGATTTTAATCGCTGACAATTCTTATTTTAGATTATGCAATTTTAGAATTGGATGATGGGTTCACAGTTTTAAAAAAGAAGAAAAAAATGTGTTAACTTCACAAAAAGAACCTGTAAAGTACCTGTCAAATATCTTGGCTATTCTCATCTCTCCACGTCCCTTCCTCAAGCTGATCCGAGTGGTGGAGGCGTGGGCTAGGATATGCCCTCCAATTGGCTTCTTAGGATCAGCTTGAAACCTTAAAAAGAGGCAGAAATTAAAATATGTGTATTGCTCAAGTTCGTCAGTAACAATAAGAGGCTTTTTGACCCCTCACATAAATATATGTGCTTCACCCATGTTCACAGAATTATATATCTCTTACGTCATTCCCGCTCCAGGATCTGCTGTCATTTGGTTGGTGATGAACACAGCTACATTGTACTCTAAAAAAACACACACATCCATGAATCCTTACATCGTTAATGTACATGCTATATGTATATACAATAGGACGGATCTAAATGGATGATGTTTGTGGCATTCCTGACACTCGCGGTTCAGACCTTCTGAGATCTTCTGCAGTCTGGAGAGCATCTGAGCCAGTTTCTGCTGACGCTCAGCCAGCTCGCCTCGACCGGAAAAGTCCACTCTGAACAGAGCCATGATGGAGTCAATGATCTGAAGAGACAAAAGTGAATCTGACTACAGGGGAGTCCCATTTCATGCAAAAAATTAAAAATTAAAGTTACCATTTATCTCCTTTAACAGCTGAGAAGAGCTGGAAGTTAAACCAAATCAAATACACCAAATGGAACATGTTTTAAAAGCTGATTATTTTATTCACCAGCAGCTTAAATACCCCTCCCTCCTCGTGAAATTTCGCTGCTACAAAGTCCAACAGCTCCATCTGGTGTTCACCTAAAGGACAAACAGGACTCAAAAAAATCTGTCAACCTTTAAAGTGAGTCATTTTTGATTTTCCTGGTATACTGAATGTTCATACTGGTGTACGCTCTGGCATAAAGCACGTTGTCAAGCACAGCATCATGGTCCACGTTGAACCTGTCGGCAATGTCTCTCAGTCTGTCCGGGCGACTGGAACCGGGCAGGTACGAGTCAAAGACAATGTGCAACAGAATGACATGAAAAATCAACAAAATAAAACTATAATCCGAAAATCCTTGAACTAAATATAACTGTTGCAGCAAGACAGTGGTATAGTTGGGGTGCATGTTAATTTTTCAGGTAGCTCCTGTGTAGTTAACATGGATGATAACAGAGGAGCATTAATAACCATACTGACCATGTGGTACAAAGCTCTCTGAGATTTACTAGCTAAGCAAACACTCTTGGCACTTTGGGGGGTAAATTTCAGACTGTACCCATAAATGAAAAATGAATGAAATGAAAATAACCTACATCAAAGTTTTCTATGAGGTAATGCATAGATTGTGGTGGTTTTGTGTTAACATCATTGAGAGGATACAAGGTGTTCTCTGTGTCAATGAAGATGATTTTCCCCCCGGAATAGCCGTCCTCTCCGGGAAGCTGAGCAGTCACTGCACAAACAAAATAAAATCAGTCATTAAACAGTGAAAGATTTTGTTTTGAATGATACTGGAGAGAAACAGTCATGTTCAGAAGGTTCTTGACGTACCACAAAGTGTGTGAGACAGCTGTGTTTTCCCTGTGCGGAACTCTATGGGATGAAATAATGAGGACAGCTTTTCACCCAAATAAAATGAGTGATATTCAAACATTATTAATGAACATAAGACATCTTACCTCCAAAGGCCTCTGTGATGGCCATACTTTCTACACCTCCACCCAAAAGTTTACTGCAAATAAATACATAAATATGTTGAAACATACGATATGAAGTAAGGACATTTTAACAGGTTCCTTTTCCTAAATAATTCTCTATCCAATCTGTGTGTAACACTAAGAGTATAGGTCAGAGATCTTAACTCAAACTCTTGGCTCCCAGTTGTGATGTGGAACACCTGTTTCCTCTTCGCACTGTACTCGAAGGCAGTCTGGAAACCAACATTCTGTAATGTAAAGAAAACTGACTAACACATACCACAGGCTGTTGGATATCACTTTTGACAGGGGGTTAGTTTCAGGATACAACTGTCAAGAACAACATGATTTTTAGGGAAGATGATGTCCTTTTACCAGCATTTTCCCAGCAGCCTCCTTGATTTTTTCCACTTTTGCCTCCGACAGGCCTTTGATGTTGCACAGAGCCTTGCGAGTTGTCATCTGAATCCCTTTCACAGTGCAGATACCCACTGACTTCATCTTTTTTATGTCTGCCACGTTCTGTGTGTACATGAGAAAGATGCTCCCACTTCACTGATCTGACAGAAAAACTCAGAATAAGACTCAGACGGGCAGTTTACTCACAATCCCGTGTTTTTGCAGGAGGTCAATATCTTGGAAGAAGGACTCCTGTGTGGTTTGCAAGGAAAAAAATCTTGATGAAGTAATGGCTGAGGATCAAACTTGATAGCAACAAAGACATAAATTTTAACTTAGCATACCTCTCCGCCCCTTTTTTCCACATAATAATTTGTAAAATTACTACCAGTTTTCCATAAATTGTGGTTTTAATTAAAATATCAATAATGTAATATCAATATCTTATTTGTGAGACTGGTTAAATAATTTGGACAGAATAGAGAGGACTCCTGAGGGATGATATAGTAGGGTATAATTCAGTACATAGAAAGTATAATGTATTGTTTAGTGTAGTATCTTACCTCATCATCTTGACAACTAGTATTTTCTTCCACAACCTGATCCTCTGAAGCTTTCATTTTCATTCTATAGATGGAAAACTACACAGGGAAGATAGATTTTCATGGGTTCAGTTTTGATAAAAGGCAAAAATCTAAAGTCTAGCTGGCTAGTCACGACTGTTCAAATTGCTAGTAAATTTATCATGCTCTGACGTCTCAAGCAGTGAATACAAGTCTGAAAGGGACGATTTAAACAAGTTCACATCAGAAACCCAACTTATTCCGAACTATTAATTAAAAAAGAAAGAGTTAAGCAACTCACGTTTAAAGTGGCACTAGCATAAGTAGCAACGGACTTTTCCTGAAGCAGCTCGCGCGTCAAAGGGCGGGAATCCGGCTACATTCAAGTGCAGTGGGAATTTAGCAAAGGTAACGCAAATTGTTGGTCCTGAAATGAGCTAAATATGTCGAAAATAACATGCTGGGCTGATCACCTTTTTGCACTTTGAAATTATGGAGTTATCGACACCATGTTTGAGTTTTCAAAACGGCTCATTAGTTTTTGCTGTGGGTTTAAGTACATATTATCCCCTTTAACCATCAAAACAACGAGCTAGGTCAAGTGCAAGAAATGCAGCATCGTGCATCAACACTAAAGAGGAGTTTTCTTCTCTGGACTTGTTTTAATGGTTAGTGATGAGGTTTATTTCAAATTGCACTGTCCTATAAAATCATGGCATAGCTGTATGTCAAAATCATAAAAACTTCAATTTTATCAATCATCACTGTGCTAGTGCCTTACTGATACTGTGTTTTCAGAGGCCACAAAAATGCTTTTAAAGAGACAGGTGCGAAGATAGTGGTGATATCAACCTTGTGAGGGTTGATACTGATATGGTGTTGATTAGGTCAAAACACCATAAATCTGCCCAATGAATTAGTCTCTTTACTTTGGACATAGCCACAAAAATAATGATAAATTTCAACAGTGTTACATTTATAATGTGCACTTTATCAATCATCCTTAGTGTATTGCAGACCTGAAAGCTACACCTAATGTTCATATTTTTAAAAGTAAACTAATGACCTACCTTTTTAGTCTGGCTTTTGGCTGAATTTCGTTTAATCTGCATTATGTGGTTTTACGCTAATTTAGTCCTAGAGTATTTATTTTGTGTTTTGTCTCCATTTTTTTTTATTTACTTCAATTTACTTATAAAATTATTTTATTTGATTTTAAGACTTTTATTTCATTGACTTTTAACATGTTATCACCTTTAATATATAATGGTTTTATCATTTTAGTCCTAGATCCAGTGTTTCCTCATCTTTTTTTAACTCAAGATAACATTTCCTCAGTCATCTGTGGCAAGTTGAAATCTGTGTGCATCTGTGTGTGAGAGTGTGAGAGCTGTATGTGTTGAATGGAGGTTGGGAGGGGTTTGGTATTTGTATTTTTATTTATTTGATTTCATTGTTTTTTTTAATATATATCCTACCCGAACGGACAGTACTTCGTGCTACATTCCATGTATGAAAAGTGCTTTAAATATTAAGTTCGATTGATTGTATCACCTGTGCTATATGACAACTAAAAGTGTTGTAAAATCTCTGGCAGGACATGTGTAAAATGTTTAAGCATGTCTTCTCTTACATGCCTGTTTCTTACACACTACATTATTTTTTTTGTCCTTCATTGTCATGCACTTAACCACAATCACAGACAAAACAGAAAAAGTAAATACTAGCTGTACATTTGATAGGGTGTTTTAATTGCTGCAGTCATGTTTGACACAAAACAGACATGGCTTTGCTTACTGAACAGTCAACTGATTGTGTGTTATCACATGTTGTCACCCTATTAAAATAATGGCCTCAGTAATTTTTGACGAAAGGGAGTTTTTCGCCTAACTCATCTCTAAATCATCTCAAGAGATGATATGGTGTTGATTATGTCAAAACACCATGAATCTGCCTAATTAATTGGCTGGACAATTAATCCGTCTCTTAGCTACAATCAAGAGATGATTTAGGCCAAAATCTCATTTTTGCCAAAAAATGACTTAGGCCATTATTTTAATAGGGTGACGATGTATGACATAGAGAATAACACTTTCTTAAGACTGGACATATAACAACACAACTAAATCTTCCAACACTGCCATAATTCTTCCTGAAAACCTATTACATGTCCCCTTATAAATGATAAACTTATTACATTTATGACGCTATGGAAAAGTAAAAATTACCTAGTAATAATTGCACAGCATGAGACCTGGAGTTGTTACATTACATTCCATTGTTCAATAGCAGTGAAACAGAACATGTTACTGTTGTATGAAGTAAGAGGCATTGCCCTCTTAGTGTATAGCTATCTATGGTACAATAAGGAGCTGTAATGATTGTAAAGACAGAAATGCACACTGCACCGCACAGGCTGTCATTTATATGGTGGAACTTCAACCAGCCATTCCAACTTCAACAATTTATATTATCTGGTACCCTCTACAATGCATTAGGTATTCTTTTCACATAACTCTCCATAAAAAAAGATGAGCCTGCCAAAATATGATAACCAAATCCAACATCCTTCCAAATAATGTGCACAATGTTTTTCACACCAACACAAAAAAAAAATTACAAACCTCCCAAATTTTTCATTCAATTTAAGCCATTTGTTGATAAAGGAATATGTTTTTAAAAAAAGAGAAAAACAGAAAAAAGAAGCCGTGCTCCTGGGAGAGAAAGTCTTTACATGAAGAGTAAGGAGAGACAGTGAGGGAGAAGTGTGAGAAACGCCACATCCTCCAGCAGCTCATCCGTTATGTTGCAGAGGGTGAAATGTTGTGCTACCGACATACAGCTTTTTCTTTTTTCACATTTAACTGCAGTCCATTGCTATTCTCCAAAGTCTCTCTTTCTCTCCTTGTGGCCAGCCATGCTGTGTCACTAGCAGTGGATTTCAGGTTCATGCTGGTTCCTCACGGTCTCTCACATCTTACCAGGTGCAGGAGGCATCATGCCTGGCATCCCGCCAGACATTCCAGTGTTGGGTCCCAACAGGATCTAGGGAGGAAAGAGTTTGTAATTGAGGCTGTTTATGGATGTGTATATTGTCTTTTTGCCTATTTCACTTGTACCACTGAACTGATATCACTGCATCTTACTTATCCATGCCTATTAAGTTTTTGTAGTTGCTCCTGCACCAAAAAGGGTCAAAACTACAATTGTAAACACCACATGCCTTTGAGACACTCACCTGTCTTTGCTGTTGTAGCTGCTGCTGCTCTAGCTGTAGTCTTTCCGTTTCAAACACAACAGGCAGCACTAAGATCATAAAAGAGGTAGTTCCAACCCAGAGAGCCGAGCGAGAAAAGCTGAAAAAAGTGATCCACCATGTCAGAGATTACCTTCCAGTAATTTAGGATATGCTGTAATTTTAACAACGAAAGTATGGCTCTAAAAGAACGCCCGTCATATTCAATGAATGCAGCTTAAATCAAACCTCTTACATGAACAGTTAATTTGTAGTTCTGTTCTGCTTAGACATACAACAAATAATGCACAATATGTGAGATAAAATCGGTTGAAAGCAAATACCTGTAAAACTTCTTTGCCAGCGATACAGAACACTGTGCAGACATCTCAGCAGCTGTGCGAACTGTGTCAGGAAACATCTCCGTCAGGCCCCACAACCTCTCCATGAGCGTCTCATCGAACTAAAAGAGAAAATAGACTGATAATGAATCAACAACTTATCAGTAGGGCTGGGCAATACAATTATAATGATATATACCAAAAATTAATTTCCTTCAATATCAATATGAAACATGGTAAATATGCTTTTCAATAGTCAGCATTCTGCCATGTTTTGGTAGACTTTATGAATAGCCAATGAAAAGGGGAGTTGCTCCAAGTCAGCTTCCAGCCGAACCAATCATGTGCTGAATTAGAACCAAGCGGCAAACAACTGTGTAGTAGCAGGCTGCAGCTACACGCAACTATATCACTTTAACACATGAAGCCAACAGCACTTCAAACCTTGAGCGGAGCAAGGAGCCGATGGCGCCTATGCAGCCGAAACAGCCAACCATTTAGTTCGCTTTCTTTAACGCAACGGCTCGCGACAAAACATCTTAGAGACACAAAGACCTCACAGATGCAGTAGCTTACTGCATTGCAAAAGACATGCTACCAATAAGCACTGTAAAATTTCATTTTTTAGATGGTGATACAAATCGATAACGACTAATATGAAAAAAATATATCGTGATAAACTTTTTCCCATATCACCCAGCCCTACTCGTCAGTATCAATTTCGACACATCCATGCAAATTTGTAAGAATTTAGGACTTCTACATGAAAGGTAATTAGAAAAAAAACAGTTGACTTTGGAAGCTTCGACAAGGTTATTTGCTTAAAATGTCATGTTTGACAAAATAAGGCATAACAGCCACTACAGGCAGCTGGTTAGCCAGCATGTTAGCCTTGTGGGGTTCATGCAATCAGCAATGACTCGCGATAAAAACTGAAACATGATCAAAAGACAGTTTAACTTTAAGTTCATTAGTTCTTTAACCCTTCAAAGGTTCCTCACAAAAACTAGCAACCTACATCTTCATCCTCATCGTCGTCGATCTCGTCCTCAGGTGGCCGGATGGACACCGGGCCCGCAGCCGGGGACAGCTCGTCGATCTCGGCCATGACTCCTTCTGGTCTGTGCGTGGACAAAAAGTCGGAGGTAAAACAAAAAATTTAAGTGGTCAGTTAATTTAATGGGCTAATATGATTCGCCTCCGGCTGTCGGTGAAGCTATAGATAGGTGGCGTACATTAGTTCAACGACAGTCTGAGGTCACAGTGGGAAAACGTGAAGCTTGTCAGGGAAGTGACGGAGAGAAGGGCAGGGGGCATTTTACTCACTGGGGGAAATGAACAGCGCCCTCTGCCGTGGGGGGTGTCTAATTACAGCATGAGGTTTCACAATTGGGCAATCTCACAAAGGGACTTATGTGTAATAAAATCCAGTGGTAACCCTCAATTATAATCATGGTGATAGTAATAATAATAAAAAAATATTATAATGACAATAATAATGATGATAATAATAGTAATAATAATAATAATAATAATAATAACTTTCTTTGTTTAGCACTTTTAAGCACAGAAGTTTACAAAGTGCCTTGACATAAAGTCATAGAGCACATGGAAAAAGACAGATTAAAACAAAAAGCTCAGTTAAAACTGAATTGAAGGCCATTTTCATTTCATAGGGAACCCAGACAATACAAGAACCATGCAACATAAAACGAGACCATGAGGACCAAAATAAAAACATAAAATAGTTAAGAAAAAAGAAAATGCAATTAAAAGAGGGTGGAAAGCAGAAATAGGATAGTAAATACAAGAGGCAATATCAACAACGGTAATAAAATAGTAACAGGTAATACTGATAATAATAGCAATGATAAAATAGAGCAACAGAAATGAGCAAGAGATAAAACAAAAAAGGCCTTAAAGGTTAATTAAGAAAAGAGAACAGGTAAATCAAAAGCTAAAAAGACGGTAAAGCCAAAATAAGATAGAGGTAAAAGAAATAAGAAATAAGAGATAAAAGATGAAAGACGGCATCACACAAAAACAAGTCTGTAAAAGTGAGTTTTTAAATTTGACTTAAAAGAAGTGACTGTCTCTGCACGCCTTTTCTCCTCTGGCAGGTCGTTACAAAGTCGAGGAGCTGTGATGGAGAAAGCTCTATCTCCTTTAGTTTTGAGTCTCGACTTTGTAACGACCAGGAGGCCAAAATACCAATGGCATTACTTGAATATGTGTTTGCATGTATTCTGTATGTCATGTTCTAAAACTGTAATCATCAAAATTTAGAGCCTTCACCACTCATCTATTTGTTTACAGTAAATATGATTCATCACACAGATTTAAAATCAATTTGTGGTGAAGAACTTTTGGCTTAGTTTGGTGCCCTCTGTGGGCAGCTATATACTAATGTACTAATCTTGTCACTTAAATGCTGAGGTAGAATTTCCTGTTAAAAAAAAAAAAAAACTCATCTTGCTGTCTTTGTGAATACTTGCTGTTGAAACTGTTAAGAAAGTCTGTTTCATCATCAACCTGTCAGTAATGTAGTCCGACATTGACCTCTTGGTTTCAAGCAGTACCAGTGTTTCACAACCAGTTGAAAACTCCATAGAGTAGCTTTGACAGGACATTTCTTGAAGTAGACTATTTGTGACGGATGTTCTTTGTTTAGGGGTTCTTTTATTTTTAACAGGGGTCCACCACTTTAGACGCACGCAAACAGATACAAACTTTCTTAAGGCACTTTTCAGCAAAAAATGCAGTTCAAAGTGCTTCACAGAGGCTAAAAACAACAGTTAACAACAATAAAACCCGAACCTCCCACCCACACACACACAAAGACACACACACACCCTCACTTACACACACAAGCGCATACAGTGTGAGAATTTAAGATATATTGTCGAAGAGACATGGCCTGACACCGTGACATTACATGAGGCAAGAGCTACCTTTGGGAAACACTGGAGATAAAGATAAAAAACATAAAGATTAAAAAAAAATAAAAGGGTGTTACAGCCCAGCTCGGATAGGGAAAAGACATAGCATAAACCCCGGTTTAGTTGTTGTAAAAATGGATATTTAATTGCAAAATAAATAAGGAAGTGCTGTTCCAACATAAGTTTGAGGCAGAAAAAACCCCCCAGAGGAATAAGGAATACTGCTCAAAGAAACAAACAAATGAAACAAAAAGTGACTCTAAGCTAGAGTGAGAAACCAAAATCAATTAGTCAAATTAACTCATCTAACGGTTTGAACAATTGAAGGGTGAGCAGCTCCCTAATCCTTTACAAAGCAAATACAACAAAAATAATATACAATGTCGCCTCCACCGCAATGAACACACACATGGATCTCCCCAACAAAATGTCTAAATGTTTGAAAAATGTTTAAGAAGAAAGACTAAAACCTGATGGACTAAAAAGAAACAAGAAAATAATCTTAAATGAACAGATGAGTAAGAGCTTTTTACCATGTAAAAGGGGTACACAGAAGTGATCTTTATTCCTGTGTATGGGACCTAAACAAACAGGCTTTAGACACTCTTTAGACACAAATAATGAATCTATTCATTTTGAGTTTTTGTACTTCTGTGGGCAATGTTCCTGTTTTTCTTCCAATTTTCGATTCTGCTGGATTTGTCACATGGCCATCACATGATTAGCAATACTAAATTTGGGTCTGTAAAGGTCAAGCGTGAAGCCTTACGTATGATTCTTTTTTTCTCTCTGTATTTCATTTCCAAGGAAAAGGGAAGGGGGCTGATCATGGAAAAGTTCTAGGACGCAGGGATTCCTTGTTTACATCCTCTCGGAGTACGCCGCGGGGGCGGGGTTAGCTCCGCCCTCATTCTTTAGACCTGACGTCATTGTCGCCTGTGTTTTTTATGAATGAAGGAATCCAAGCTCAGAGAGCGGCGGAGTAATTCCGGGAAAAGGCGGACTGACATTTTGTCGCCAGAGTCGCTTCGACCTAGCAGGTAAGATATCACCTTTTTCAAAATGTTTCTCGTTTATATATTTTCTATTCGCTTGTAACAGCTGAACATTAAAGAACTAGTATCCGGCGGGGACTGGCAAACCAACCAAGGACAAGTGAGCAGGCAGCTGTTTGCTTTAATCCCCTTTAGCTCGTCTGAACCGTTGATGCTAGGTGCTAACTGTTAACATTACTAGCATGTTTAAGACGATGTGGATTATCTGACCCCTTTTCTTCTTATTTACGCTCACATTCTTATAACATTTGACTCTCAGAATGTGTTTCCGCTTCCTTATTGAAGTGTAGGTTTTGTAACGATGTAAAGGGGTTATTTAAAGACTTACTAAAATGGATGTCGAGGGCACTCGTGATGGCTGTTTACTATAGCAGCAACGCTTTTACGCGAGGCTGGCCAGCTCGCCTCCCTCTAAGGACAAGGGTGGATTCTTGACGTAGCTAGAGGGAAAATAAATACTTTCCATGAGAGGTTAGCGTTCTCCATTTGTTTATTAGTCATATTTAATCGGAATAGTGTCCATTAAAAACTGCATAACTTTATAAACACTGTCATTGGAGCTGGCGTCAGGCGGTGTTGCGTTCACTTGTTGCGTTCCTTAAAAACATCCATGTCTATTTAAAGTGAGCTTTAGAGTAAAGTAAGGACGTGGACATGCTGTGCTGTTCAAATAAATAAAGAAAGACGTGGTCGCAGCTGGTTTTCCTGGGTTTGGACCGCCTGGCAGCCTTGGCGGAGCTGAGCACACGGTTTATTGCTGAATCACCCTGACTTTACGAAACAGCGGCGGTCTGAAGGGTTTACAGCCTGAGTCCACCGGAGGAGTGGACAACCGCTGCTGCAACCTCCACTTCCCACGCCTGTCGGGAAATGCTATTCTTTTCAGCAGACTACAGACATTTGCTGTTTTATTTAGCTTTTTATATCAACACCCTCTGTACCTGCACTTAAGGCCTACTTACCTACCTAAAGCTGTTGAACCACATTTAATCAGTCACTTAACAACTTTCAATGTTGGACAAAACCTTGATTATTTTAATTTAGCTGTCAAATCCAGGTGAGAATAATGACCAATTATTAAGAAGTCAAACTGAAAATGAAAATAGTTTTACAGCAAAGATTTATTGCTGATGCTCACAACTGTTCTTATTCTATTGTAACCATCCTATACCTAAATTATGTGAGATTTGATAAGTTTAACACAAAGATTAAAGTGTCAAAGTTTGACATTGAGGCATTAGTCTGTCGCACACTGCTGCTGTCACAAACAACTGTGTGCTATGACATTTTGTTATAGACCAAGAGCGAAGGGCATCAAAGGTCAACAAGATACGTTTGGCATGACACATGAAAATGGCCAAAGGGGGGCGAAAACAGCGCAACAACTCTTTAACCGTGCGTCTGAGAAAAAAAGTCCAAGTGCGCAAAATCAAAGATCTTATTAAGATACACATGCTTGCAAAATTTCAGGAAGATCGGACAAAGTCGACGTTCGTGGTGGGTGGCGCTAGCGAGCAATTTTTAATTGCCTTTTCTGGTTCACTTTGAAACATTGCGATTTTCGCCAGGCCTGACCCGCCTGCCAATTTTCGAGGCCGTTCAGGGGGTCAAATTTGCGTTTTCAGAGGCTGAAAAATAATAACAATCGAGAACCCCTTGGATTACAATAGGGCTTCGCCGCAGAGCTGCGCTCTCGGCTCGGGCCCTAATAATCCCCCCTGTAAAAGTTCTGTGTTAACTTAAGCTGAAAACAGAAATATTTTGTCTGCTTCAGACAATTCAGAGCAGTGGTTGTCAAGTCCAGTCCTCGAGGCCCACTGTCCTGCATGTTTTGGATGTTTCCCTGCTCCAACACACCTGATTCAAATGATCAGCTCGTTATCAAGCTCCAACACACCTGATTCAAATGATTAGCTCGTTATCAAGCTCTGTAATGGCTTAATAATGAGCTGATCATTTGAATCAGGTGTGTTGGAGCAGGGAAACATCCAAAACATGCAGGACAGTTGGACCTCAAGGACTGGACTTGAGAACCACTGATTCAGAGCAACAATTTAGCTGATCACTAAAGCCGCAGAAGGTCAAAAGCAACTGTAGTGAAAGTTGACTCCAAATGGTCCTCTGTGCGTATGTGGCATTGTTGTCTGTGACATTTCTCATGTTAAGAGACGACATAAAAGCCCCCTCACAAAAAAAAGAGAAAAAAGCCCAGTGTTGTAGTAAAAATGAAAGTGAACACATTCACTTTCTGAAAGCCATGTGGGAAACCACCCTGTGGTTTGGTGATATGAAGGTAAATCATGTCTATCTAGATCAAGTGTACATCTATTGTTCACAGGTTAGGATTGAGGCGAAATGGATACAGCGGAAAAGTTGAAGTGTAGAGTTGTTTATGACAGGGATCAAAGTGAGGACGGAGAGGAAAGCAGGTCAAATTGGTTAGATTGGATGTTGGACTTTAATCCCAAACAACATTAGAGCGAGCGTAGGAAGTCCCCACACAGTGTGTGTGAATTGTTAAGCAAGAAGAATTGGAGAAAACTTCCAAATAAAGCCGTGTACAGGCCGGCCAGACTAAAGCAAACACTCTCACTGCTGCTGTTACAGCTTGTTATTGGAAGCTGCAATTTAACTCTGTGCAAACAATCTGGCCATGCTGTGTTTTTTAAAAGGCTTCAGATGTTTTTTATGTGGAGGTTATTTTTGCTGATCTGAATCAATGAGGGATGTATTGCATAAAAACAGTAGCCTGTCGTCAGACACTTTCACAATAAAACTTTAGAGCCGTTGGGTGTTGTGTTGACAAGAGGAAGTGTTGAGGGGGATTGGTTAGGACACCTGCTTTGAGCAACCAAAGGTTAGACACATGATAACTTCCTCCTCACAATTCCAGCTAAGAGAGAAAGGCATGCTGCTTTCAAAACCCCCCCTTCCTTTCATATCAGACCACAGCGTTTAATGAAAGAGCGCGTTTTGGAGAAGCATGAAAGAGCACTGGGTTCTCCTTTCCTTTATCGTGCATGACTGGCTGTCTTGTGAGCGGATGGTAAATGTCAGGCTCAACTTGAACCAAAACAACATGGTCACATGTGATAATGTACCTTTGTTTAAATGTCTGTTTGTTTGTCCTGTTTCTGCTCCTCTAGAGTGTGTGTATCTGTGTTGACTGGTGCCTGGGGAGACAAACTGCAGACAGTTGGACCATGACGACAGAAAGAAACAGCAAAGCCCTGAAGGTAACATGTAGACATGAATAAGCCCTTAAACTTAAAGAGGGAACGTTCTGCATGTTTGGTTCTTTATAACATCACTTGTCACATGTCGGTTTTAACTCCTTCTTTTCCTTCTCTTGTTTCCTGTCTAGGTGAAGCAGGAATGTGGCGAGAATGTGCCCATCCTGTCAGACAGCGAGCTCATGTCCCTCTCAGTACGAGAGTTGAACCTCCACCTACGCGGCCTCTCCCGCGAGGAAATCCAGAAGCTGAAGCAGCGCAGGCGCACCTTAAAGAACCGAGGCTACGCCGCCAGCTGTCGGGTCAAACGTGTCTCGCAGCGTGAGGCGCTGGAACAGCAGAAAATGGAGCTCCAGAGGGAGGTGGATCGGCTCGGGGCGGAGAACGCCGGCATGAGGAAAGAGCTGGAAGGGCTGGGGGCTCGTCTCGCCGCCCTCCAGAGGTTCGCCAGGGGCTTAGAGGCCGGCGGAGGCCATCTCCTGGCAACCGCCCCACGCCTCAACACCGCTTCTGTCATCACCATCGTGAAGAGTCCGCCTCAGCCGCAGCCACAGAGGGAACACGAGCCATCCTAGAAGGAGCTGCTGAAGCCAGACTGGGGGGAGGGATGCACAACCTGCAATGCAAACACACACACACACACACACACACACACCTGCAAACAAAATACTTCACATACAACCTGATAACAGGAGGACTGTTTGAACCCCCCTCTCTAAATAAACCTTTCATTCACAAATTCTTTGGAGTAGTAAGAGTAAGTTCACCGTAAACACGACGTCTGATCATAGTTTTCTAAAATAAGAGACAGGAAGAGTCAAGAAATCCTGATCAGGACCAGAGGAGGTGTCCTCCACTTCAAGACTCGGCAGTGTAGTTGACTGAAATGTACCTAAATGTATTTAGATATCAAAGTTTAGAGCCATGTTGAGAAAGATGCTGCAGGTTAAATGTGAATGAAGCAACACACACACACTCACACTCATATGCACAGAACCCTCACACTCATACCCCTGATCCTCACGGGGTCTACACAAAGACTAACTGGACTCTGACTGAAGCCAGGCCAACAACACCAGAGTTACTGCACATCCTCACTCTACCGTCTCCCATCATGCATCACTATGACCCAGGGACTCCTCCCTGCTTCACGTCACGGCACTCGACCAACAGCAGGATAGCAGGCGGGGTGTCACCCACCTATTCGCAGGTGTCTGCATTCCTGGTACAGCAGTAGCTCCTGGCCCCTTCTTGTATTAGCCCGGCTCATGTGTCTCTGCTGCTGTGTCCCAAAGTGTGAGTCACTATTGTTAGTCATTAATGATGAGTTTCTCAACCTCGCTGTCACTTGATATGTGGGCGAGGTCACGGGAGATTTGAGGCACATTTGATGTCTTTTCTATGTGTCTAAAGTTTAAAAAGTTATTAAGTAAATGTTCTTTATTATTAAATTCGAGCTTCTAGAGAAAGAAAGGAGCGAACACAGTCCAGAAAATGGTTGGGTCCACTCAGTAAATCGTCCCAGCTTTGGTTGCCACTACTTCTACCTGTTATGAATGAGGAGCGCAGACTTACACTGCTTCTACACTCATGTCTCACACTGATGCAGTGCCTTGGAGTCAGAAACCTTAGAGAGAAAAGTCAAACCCGACTGTAATCGCTCCGTCTTCTCTGGATTCTCCTTTTTATTTTGCTGAACTGTTATCCCTCACTGCTCATTTCACAATCCCTACTGTGCAGTAACTTTGCGACAGTCTGCTATGGCTTCCTTTTTTTTTTTCATATCTGCTAGACTTCCAACAACAGATGTTGGTCATTTTGCTAAAAACGTGTAAACGCAGAGTCACATCTGCAAAGAATTACGCTTGAGGTTGGATGCAATCCTCTGCATACATTCCCGTTGTGTGTTCTTTATTTGTACTGTTTTGTATGTGCTGTTGAGAGACGAAAATGTTGAGTGACATTTATCAGAGATATATTCTATATTTTATTTGTATTTAAAGGTAGATATTATGAAAAGACAAGCTAACGAGTGCTGTGATGTTCTATATGTTTTCAGAAGTACTTACTTATGACTAGTCCGGGGATATTCTCTGTCTAATTATTGTGTTGTGTGGCGACGATGATTACTTTACAAAATGTTAATTATTATTATTATTATTATTGTTAGCTATGTAGACATGCTCAAAGCCAATGGCCATATTGCTGTATGATGATTTGTGTGTGTGTTTTTGCTATGTTTGTACTGGCTTGTCATAGTGGATTCTTGGAGGGATTTTATTTTTCTATGATGATTTGTTATGATGTTGTTTGTCTGAAAAATTATGGTCACTTCTGGATTGGCTGAGTGGAGCAGACCCACAGGACTTTAAAGGAAAAAAGAAAAGTGGAAAGAAAGATTTAGATGATGAGGAGGAGGAGAAGGAGGAAAGATGGTTGAGGAAGAGATGTTGGAAGATGGAGAGGGAAAGTAGGCAAGTAGGACGAGGAGAGACGAAGGAGAGAGGTGGTGCTTTATTCACTTGAAAACCTCCATCAGCCAAATTTCAGCTAAAGTGTGATCAGACAGGCTGGATTTCATGGACTCTGGGCCACTGAATAGTGCTAGCAATATCATTTCTAAGCAGGCATTGTATCACATTAGACCGTGTTGACGAATAACTCCTAAAGATATGAGGCATATATTTAGCTATATGAATATCAGTGTGGCAAAAGCATTTATTCTCAATATTTTAACGTCTCACTTCTGTCAAACTGTGCTGGATGTTTTGTAATACCTGCAAAACAAAAATGGTTTTTGTATTTATTACATGTATTTTTTCTATTGTGAAAATTTAAGTACATTGTCTATTTTATATATTAATTATAATAAATGTTGTACATATTGTACATAAAATGGTGTGTTTGTGGTTATGGGCTGCACTCAAACAGTAGACGCATGCATGACACAGAAAGGAAGCAGGTCTACAGGATGTGTTGCAAAAGTTTATCTCTTCTCTGATGAGAAGATAAAAACTCAGGTCAAAATTTTTTCCTCATTTATTTTGAACAACAACGTTTATTAAAACCACAAGTCCCTTTGTGATATGAGACGTGTGCATCATGAGATACTTTTTTTTGCTTATCATATGATAACAAATACCTGAACTGTACGTCTAATACCAGATATGCTACACAAACAATTTAAAAATGCTGACTCATCGACCAACACTGTTGATGTTTATGTCAGACCTGCTAAGTCTGTCACAGCTGCTGTCTGGTGGTTAGAGATATTTATACAGAGTGAAACACATGGTAAGAGCGGTGCGACTGGTTCCAAAGTCACAATGTTGTTTTATTTACACACTGACTGTTGTATCAATTGTCTAAAAGCACAAAACCAAGTCAATTTTCAGAGAGGCAGACAGTGTTAAGACCACAGATTGTTAGCAATTGTGTTAAATGCAACGTCATGGATATTAACCCTGTTTGATAGCAACTGAACAGAGATTAAAAAAAAGCTACAATTAGCACCAGATGGGTGCAATTTACCCCTGAAGAAGGCTATGGTGAAATTTACCTCAGCTCATATACCAATCAGCCAAAACATGAAAGGTGAAGACAACAGTATCATCTCTTTATTTGAGGATGGATAAGGCCTGAACAAGGACCCAGCTGTGATGGCTACAGACTAGGTCTTTGTTACTTGACTGCAGGGTTGCCGACCAAAACCGGCAAATTAAAGAACAGGTCACGGGTGGCTGAGGTTGATTGGTGCACATGAGGAGCAAAGGCTGATCCAACTGAAGAGATAGCGGACCTCAAACTGCTGAAACAAAGTTAGCGCTGGTTCTGATAGAGAGGCGTCAGACCGCGCAGCTGCAGAAAAGTCAACATGCTTACCCCTGTCTAAAGAGGCACAGACTAACATCAGGAGTGTGATACAGAGTCTTGAAACCTCAAGTTCCTGCTGGATTTTACACTGAATGAAATATATGAGAACTTCTGTCACGCTGTGAAATACTAACATTAAAAAAAACATGTTACCCAGTCAGTCAAACCTTCCAATGGAAAAAAAGTCACAAGCTATTAATTAGGTGTGGAAATCCCTAGTGGCTCCACAATACGATATTATCACGATACTTGGGCCACAATACGATATTGTCACAATACTTGGGCCACAATACAATATTATCACGATACTTGGGCCACGATACGATATTATCACAATACTTGGGCCACAATACAATATTATCACAATACTTGGGCCACAATACAATATTATCACGATACTTGGGCCACGATACGATATTATCACAATACTTGGGCCACAATACAATATTATCACAATACTTGGGCCACAATACAATATTATCATGATACTTGGGCCACGGTACAATATTATCACAAAACTTGGGCCACGATACAATATTATTGCGATTTGTAACATTTTGTAATGCAGTGTAATACAATGAGTATTGCAATTTATACAAATTTTTCAACTGTTTAGCTAATGTAACATTTGCCTTTCCTTTATGTTTGTCTTTTTTACGTTGTATTTTATCTTCATGTAGCACATCTTGCAAACCTCTCAGATATATTTGTTGTACTAACTTTCTTCTGATGTCACCTCTGCCAACCTCACTGGACAAACAGTTGATTTTATTTTTTCATTATCATAGATTTGACTTCACATTAGCGATTATTTTGAAAAAAATCGATACTTGGTAAATGAGACGATACGATATATCACCAGACAAAATATCGCAATACTATGCTGTATAAATTTTTTCTCCCACCCCTACTATTAATTTAATACCTTTCTTGTGTAATACAACAAATCAAGACAAGTGAGGAGCAAATACAGCTAAATCTCTTTATTTCTCAGATCCATTTGACATCAAATATTTGCATCATAAACAGCTTTATACAAATAACTAATAAAAAAATGTCATTGAAATAAAAAAAGATCTTTATGGATTAAAAATACAAAACTATGACTTTTTTTCTTCTCCTATGCTCCACCTTTACAGCTTATAGAACTATTTCAAGAAATGTCTCGGCTATTCCTCCTTTAGACAGCATTTTTCAAGCTGCTGTTACATTATTAGTCTACAGTTTTCCCCAAGCTTTATTCACACACATCTGGTCAAAACGACACATGGCGATGAATCAAAAAGAGGAGACAGTAGTGTGTGTTTATGCTGAAAGTAAGTGACAGCAGCCAAAGTGCAGAGGTTTGCAATCATGAGGGTATCACATGAAAAGAGCTGCATTAAAGGTTTGACGTTCAATCTAAAACTTGCATCTGTTTGTGTGTCACCATTCCCACTCTGATGAGAAAATTCAGATTTTTTTAATTAGTAGTATAATCACATGTCCAAATTTGACAAAGCAAACATATTCAGCCTTTAAATACCACCACTGTCATCCAGTACACAAGTTGTTCATTCATGACCGCAGCACAGGATACATGGCTGATGCTTTGACTTTAAAAGGAGCACAGGGTCAGTGCTGCTGGATGAAGCTCAGTCAGGGTAAAAATAATCCTGTTTGTATCCATGTCAGAGTGTAAAAACCTAATTATCCTGACAACACTCAGAGGTGTCTAAAAATAGCCCCCCCTGCTCCTGAGCACAGGCATGGCCTCCCTGCTGTTTAACAACATTTTTACAGGTAGACACGGACATAAAAATGACACTTGAGCACCTGTTGGAGACTTGTTTACCGATGACAGTCTGTCCAGACCACGTTTCATGTGCCCCAAGCTTTAACTGAGATAAGAATGTCTGTCCTCCCCCACAGCACCCCCTGGTGTTCACACAGAGCTGCAGCAGAGGAGTGAAAGTAGTTACAGTAAACACGTTGGCAGACTCAGTATGACTCATTCAGATGACTCAAGAACTTCAATTATGAGTGAAAAAAAAAAAAAGAATAATAAGCAGCTCTGTCTGCGGTGAAGATGAATCCATGAAAAAAAAGACTGCCAGGAAGAACAGAGGAGTCAAAGAACTCCGACATGTTTGCACGATACGGGTTATTTTTAGCTGAGAAGAGAAATACCCTGTAATTCTGAGTGAAGTTTCCCAAGTTTTTCTGCTTATATTTAGTTTGTGAACTAAAGTTAAACTGAAGATGTCTGTAAAAACTGTTAAAACCTCAAAAAGCAGGCGTTTGTAGTTATTCTTCTGTGTAGTTAAGGATATAAGATTTTGGGATATTTACTGTCTTCAAAAATTGACAAATTTTAAGTTTAACTGCAACATTTTGAGTGATGCAGGTATCCTTACAAAGGACAGGTCTAAACTCCCCTTCTGAGTACATGCAGCTAAAGTTAGCTTTAACCTATATTCCTCTTCTGTTCTCTCCCCTCAATCCAGTTAACCTACATTGTTGCCAGTAGAGGTCTACTGCTAGAGAGAACTAGCTCAAGCTGTAATCCTAAACATTCAAATAATGCCCCAATGAAACCAGAATAATCCTGAGCAGTTCATCTGCTGCTGCTGCAGACAGGAGCGCTGCAGCAGATGTACTTTATAATCTATAATCTGCTCTGTGTCGCTTCCATCTGTTCCATTAATATCAATAACATCGATCCATGGCGCTGAAATGAACTCCTGTTTTTGGATTTGGATTCCCTTTAAATCCACCCCCACTCTGCAGAGGATGTCCCTTAATAATCCCCACAGATGAATGCATATTTTTCCATGTTGCTAAACTTTACCATGACTATTTCCCTCTGTGACTCAATGTCTGTTTGGAATTAATGCCTCTTAATAGTTTTAATTTCAAAAGTGAACAAAGTGAAGATTTAAATGCAGCTATTCAAGCATGACTAGAGAAAACCTCAATAAAATACAACCAGAGGACCTCTGAGAACAAAAGGGGTCTTTTGAAATTAAACAAATCCAGATCTAGAACCGAAAACATCCACCAGACATCACATCGCCAATGAGAAACACATCACAGCAGGAGGAAACGTGACTGAACTGAAAAATGAAATTTGACATATTTCTCAGTAAAAGCCGAGCATGATTCAGTGTGACTCACGCTCTTTCCAAAAACGGACACAAGTTATTTGTTTTGTTTTTTCTCTCCGGCCAACAGTTTCAACATTAAACCACTTAACCACCTCTACACCAAATATGATGCTTGCAGAAACGTCTCTGTAGGAAGGTCCTGAGAGGTCAGTCTCAAAAAAAAGAAGAAAAACAAACTGGAAACTCTCCAGTCATTGAATAGGTGCTGCTGTTTGCTTCTACAGCAGTCTGCTTCACTTGATGCTCTAAAACTCATCGTCAGAGCTAAGAAGGAAAGTCTTCTCTGTGTCCCCGCGGCTGCCAACAGCACTGTGGGTGCGAGAGGCTTGTGGCGGCGCCCCCTGCTCCAGCGTGGACTGCTGGGTGTACTGCTGGTAGGCCGGGGAAAAGTTGTGGATCGCGTCCTGGACCATGTCGCCTGGGCTCATGGTCTCCTTCAGGCTGCTGGAGATGCTCTTCATGGGGGCACGGCGGCCTGAGGGAGGCAGAACAATGAGCGAATCAGTCGTCAGGAGGAGGAATGAACGAGTTAGCGGGGTTTAACAGAATCAGAATTAAAAAGGGAAGAGTATTGGGGACAGGAAATACAATGAAGGAAGACTAGAGGGGGGAGAAAGGGGTGAAAGAATAAATTAAAGGAGGACGGGTGGATTTATGGTAATTCAGAGGACGGTTGAGGGTAGAGAAATAAAATAATTTAGAGAAAAAAAATAAAAGAGAAAGAGAAAGGAAGTTAGAGGAGAAAAGACTTCGAGGAAAATGGGAGAGAAAAGTGATTTAGCTGAGGGAGAGAAAGTTGGGGAAGAAAAGGACAGGACAAAAGTTATGGGGAGTGGAAGAACAGGACATCGGTGATTTAGAGGGTGTTACACAGTGAGACAAAAAAAGGGGAACGAATGAAAGAGAAAGGAGGGGAAAAGGGATAAATTATACAGAGACAGCATATGTGATTTAGAGAGAGGGAATGAAAAGGAAAAAGGGTTTGCAGTGATGCAAAACAGGAAGGGAAAAAAAGTGCAAATAAAGACAGGACGGAGAAGATTTAAAAACAGGAGCTAGGAGATACAAACTAAATGAAAAACAGATAATAAGACAGAAGACAGCCACCAAATACCATTCAAAAAACCTTCAATTTAAGAAAGAATAGGACAAAACTCACTAAAAAAAACTATGGCAGTATGAAAGACAGGAATGGAGGAACAACATCAGTGTGTCACCTACCAAACTCTCCATATGTAGGAAGAGGTCCTTTATAACGCAGCAGAGAGGAAAAGAGAGCAGAGAAAGGTGGATGTGAAGAAAGAGTAAAGGAAGAAATCATGCAGAAATACCAAAAACAGAGAGAAGGTATTCGAGATAACAAGTTAAAAGTTTAAAATAAGACAAAGAAAACAAAGAAGTGAGCAGGAGTGATAAAGACAGGGGAGAGTTTTTGTCAAAAAGAGAATGACAATGAAGGAGAAATGGTTGATTTAGGATTGTAAAACATAAAGGTATTTTCTGTTTTAGTTAAGATCACACTGCAAATATAAACACTGACTCTGAACACCCTCTTCTCTCTCTCTCACCTTGTAAGTCTAGACTCTTGTCCATGTAGACTCTGTATGTGAAAGCGTGGCGCAGAGCGAGTGCTGCGAAAAACATCTCAATGCAAATGATGAAGTTCTGGTAACCAGCGGCAACCGTGCCCTCGCCGACGGACACCTCCACCGAGTTAATCTGAGGAATGGCCCCACATTTCTCCAAGATGGCTAACAACATGCCTGAAAAATAAAAGATGAACTACCGGTGAGAAAAGATGAAACCGTTTTTTAATCATCTATTAATAAAGTGACATTTGGTGCAGCGGCCCTACCCTGCCAGAAGGAGAGGAAGATGACTGATTTGACCATGAAGAACTTGAGCATGGGGCTGTAAGGGCTGAGCAGCTCCCTGGTGGAGAAGTAGAAGAGGAAGAGTGCGTACAGGGACAAGCTGACAGAAATGTTGTAGATGATGGTGATGTACAGGTAACCGCTGGCAACACTGAAGAGAGAGAAGAAGTCAGAGAGAACGACGTTAGTGCTGTTGATTTACAGACTGTTTGATTTCTGTGATTGAGAGTTGTTGAAGACCAGATAATCCAGGTCTGTTTGGAGAACTTACTTGAAGTCTCCATCCTTGTATTTGCCGTACGCCTGCAGGATGACGGTGATGATCGCCATGAGAGGTTTGACCACACAGAACTGCAGCGTGGCCTGCTTACAGAACCGCAGGAAGCCGATGGAGTACGCTTTTCCTCTCAGACAGCATGTGCCGTACATACAGCTGGACCTGAGGGCACAAAAACACAAACGATACATCTGATATCTGCGAGAAAACCTGATCTGTTGCTATAAACCTTGCAGGGTGGAAGTTTGAAAGTTTGACTCGTTAGGCAGGTAAACATATTGATCAAGTCTTGAGTTTCCATCACTTACTCAATAGGTTTTCCTCTGATTTCAGCCATGATGGCACTCTCTCCTCCTAGGTACTCATAGCACAGACTCAAGAAGTTGTAAATCACAAAAGCTGAGGAGAAACAAAGAGAGAAGAAGCTGCTGTTATTACATGTATGAAGACAATATTCACTCACACAAGGGAGCATACAGTAAATACTTATGCACAGATAGTCAGATGTTAAAGAGGAAGCCATTTAGCCTTAATAAAACCAAATCATGATTATAAAACTGAATAGACAGGTGAATCTGCCTCACATAAAACATTTATGAAGATCGGAAGATCCTGACTGCTCCTGACAAAGTTAATGATAACCTGTTTTATTTAAGTGTCTTAGTGAGTCACAACAATGAAGCAGCATCCGCATACAGCAGGACTCTGAGACACTGAGACAGCTACACAGAAATAAACCATTGTTGATTTGATTCTTTGCAACGGTGACAAAACTTAAGTCTCCCTCCATGGTGCAATGATTAGCCCTTTTATCGTATTGCTGTGCTCAATCTTAGTCTTCAGGGTATGTATGTAAAAATTACATCTGTACTTCATGCAATTAATGAAAAATTCTGATGAGATTAACACTTTTTTACAGCATGCTATTTTGGTCCTTTTTCGTACACCATAGTTTGGCCACTGCAGTGTCTTTGTATTTCCTGCGGCTACCATGATGTAAACAATGACACAAAAGCACTTCAGGTCAGTTTTGACCAGTGTCTTAAATCAGCTGTGAATTACAATAAAAACAATTCTCTATCGTCCAGTTTGGTTCTCATCTCTAGGTTACCTTGTTAGGCTTCATTATCCATGAAAATATTGCTTATAGTAGTTTTTGTTGTTGTTTGTCAGTATACCCCTCATACAGACATCTATACTGAATTGATCTCACATGTCTGGACATGCCCGACGTAGTTTTTTGTGCAGGGAAAAACCAGACAAAATTAGAATTTCCTAAATTTCACATGATCTGACTGTCAGTGTGGTGCCTGATAGTGCACTTATGATTTTAGTTTTTGCTCTGATTATTAGATATTGATCTAACCGGGTCAACAGCGACCCTAACACGACAACTGCCATGATTTTAATAAGAGCATTTTAGAATTTAGTCTTTTTAATTTTTTTAATTTTATTTTGTTGAAAAAGAGGTTCCTGACTAAGTCAAAAAGTCTTGATGTGAAAAAGCTAATATAAGTGGTTCTTTTAAGCATTTAAAATCAAAAAGGGGTCGGTGCAGACTCTAACACAAGAGGAGGGTAAACAGATAAAAATAAAAATATCAGTCAAATACTTTGAGATGTAAAAATCATGCTAAATTAACTGTTTGTCAGCCCTATTTGAACATGTAAGTCCAAAACACTTGAGTGTGGTCTGACATACTGAACTTAGGCACAATTTCAAAGTCCTAACCGAGTTTACGCTGCTCTGCATGATTCACCGTTAAAATGTTTCCATTTGTTTATTCCAGATGACCACTGCTGGAAATGATTTACTTCCTCTGCAGAGCTTTGAGGAAAATACTCCAATAATAAAACCTCTGTACAGCTGACAGACACAGATTAGCCCAGCTGATTAACCCAGTGGAGCGTTTGGCAGTTCGGTAGCTGGTCTTTTATGTCCCACGAGGAGGAGGCGAGGATCAACATAAAGCTAAATAGAGAATGAGTATTTGACATCCATTATGCATGTATGAGCCCCTTTATATCCATGGGAGCTGTATGTGCAAACATTAAATTTACAACTTGGGACCACAAACAGCTGTCACTCAAAGTCAGCTGTATTGACTCTGGCTTTGTGCCTCTGGTGTCAGCTGTCCAGTCCACTGTCTGTGCACGGAGCACCAAAAGTCATGCTGCATATTCAGTTTACTGAGGACATCAATATGTGGCCTCTGGGTGCAGTAGCTGCAGAACTGGCTGCTGCCTGGATCTGGAAATAACGCTCTACAGAGCTCTAACTCCTCACATTCAAACTTTGAACAGTTATTACAGCAAGGAGCCAGAAGAAGACTGAAATATGAGGAGAGTTTAGACTGTGACTTTATGTAATGTGAGATCAACTCTGGCAACGACTAAAGCTGCACGTGTTTGCATCAAAAGCGAAGAAAGAGTGTATGAAGTGGCTTTCGAGGAAACCTCTTGTAAATGTTTGAACATGCATATTGTTTTTTTCAGCTAACTAGCACACACAAACTGAACACGCTTGATATACAGTTCTTTGAATGTTGGTCCTCTAAGTTTTAGCTGAAAAATACTGACTTATGAATTTGCTGATTAAAAATCTTCAGAGTTCAAACTTAAATAAAAATGCTATAAAACAAGGAAGAAAATGACCAATAGCTGAGGAGTAAGACTGACTCTTAAAAAAGAGATATTAGACACTAGGGGTGGGAATCACTAGTGGCTCCACGATACGATAGTATCACGATACTTGGGCCACGATACGATTTTATTGCGATTCTTTAACATTTTGCAATACAGTGAGTATTGCGATACAATATATTGTGATTTATACACATTTTTCAACTGTTTAGTTAATTTATCATTTGTCTTTCCTTTATGTTTGTCTTATTTACACTGTATTTTATTTTCATGTAGCACATCTTGCAAACCTTATATATATATATATATATGTTTGTTGTACTAACTTTCTCCTGCTCTATGATGTCACCTCTGCTTGATTTTATTTTTCCATTTTCATAGATTTGACTTGATATCAGCAATTAATTTAAAAAAATCAATAGGTTAATGAGAAGATACGATATACCACCAGACAAAATATTGCAATACTATGCTGTATCGATTTTTTCTCCCACCCCTATTAGATGCACCCAGTTCATTGAGTTTCCATCCTTCGAGGACTCTTCGACGGCTTACTCAAGCCTAAGCCTGAACATAAATCTTCCTATAACAATAAACACGTGTAAGCTTAGGCCGCAGAAGCATCTCCACTTTCTGGGATGACACACTCGAGCTGCTCCTCACGAGGATGGGAGATCAAATCCTCCTCACACACCTCCCTCTGTGACTTATATTCACCTGAATGTCTCTTGTGACCGGTGGATTATCTCTCCTCTGTGCTGCTTCACTGAGAAGGTGGTGACGACCAGGGCTCATAAAACACACAGCCGGGCTAATCCTGTTAGCACACACACTCTCAAGGGGGGGGGACATGTTTGTGACTGTGCATGTGAGGTAAGGTAAGAAGAGCATGACGGGTGTATATCAGTTAACTGTGAAAGTCGGACATATCTTAAGTGTGTGAGGCTGAGGAAGGAGTGTGTGTGTGTGTGTGTGTTGATCTGAAAGCAGCTGCACTGTTGGCAGAGATTCTTGTTACATCAGCTGTCTGCTGACGATAATATATTCTTGTTTGACTTTACTGCTACCCCCCTCAAACACACAGAGAGCATCATCACTGCCTTCTGTGGTCTCCTGTCGTACGTCAGGCGCCTGATGGACACCACTTTAGTCACAATATGTCATACCTCCCAAGTATCTGTCTGACTCAGCGAGCAAAATGAGCAATAAGAACTGGTTCATCTGCTCCGAGTAGCTCTCTCTCTGTCTCAGCTGTTTACCATTACACCCTGTCCCCCTCTCCCCAAGGAACCCCGTCAGCAGGGCTTGTTGCCACGGTGATACAGTAACCCTGCACACAACGGGAACAGGAACTTTGCAGCAAGTTTGGCTGTGAGAAGCTCATTATCTGACGCAGCCATTCTGGGTGATGAGGAAGATTTGTGAGCGCAGTTGCCATGCAACAGGTTGAGGAAAAAGATCAGGGTGGATCTCGACGGCATTATGGGAAAAAAAGACGAAGACAAGAGGAGGAAAGATCTGGCTGACCGTGAAGAGGAAGTGATGAAGACATAGAGTAAGAAAAGATCGTGTGGAGAGATGAGGAGATAATATTGAGAAGGAGGAGGAGGAGAGCCTTCTGTCGAGGGACGCAATATGACGACCACAGAGCTGACGGCACTTCCTCACATGAATGTGACATCACCAGCTCGCCAACACAGGAAGTGACGCCAGTGAGAAGACTATTTCTGGCCTGAGCGTCTCCACAGACTTTGATAAAGAGATGAGCGTAGGCCACCTTACTCCAAATTCTGCCAATTCAAGACCTCAAGAATAACCACATTTGTTTGATTTGCGTCAGTGAAGCCGCCACCTCACCAAAACCTCTTTGAGTCGAGAGGCCCAACAAACAAAGACATTCGCTTGAAGCCGTCTTTATTGTTGCTTCTACTGGATTTTCAAGTACAGACAGTTCAAGCAAACATCTTTTTCTAAACAATGCTTGACAAATACAAAGACAGTAATTATTGTCGTCTATGTTAGAGGTGCTTTCTGAACAGCTGAGTCAGTTAACAAAAACTGCATTATCACTGTGATGAATGAGCAGAGCTCCACAGGATACAGACAAAAGCCCATCCTTACCCTCATAGCAGTCTCTGACTGTGTCGAAGTACACGTAGTACTGGTCATTAGTGAAGAAGAGGAGGCTCAGCCAGGAGTCGAAGGCATAGATGGGAACAATGAAGAGGATCCGCACAATGTGGCGCTGCTCCCTGGGTGAGCTGTAGAAACGCAGGTGCATGTAGATCTGGAACAGACAAACGGGGCGGATTAAAAACTGAAAACTAGACTTCTACTGACAGAATCCATTTCTAACATGCAAAGAAAGTACTACAGGAACATACATTTGAACATCAGCCCTACTTCTAAGTAATTAAAGGTATAAAAAAAAAACAGATTCAAAGAAAACCAATTCCCTTGATTTTTAGTGTTAGTAAGAAAAGCTGCTTCACTGTTCTGAGTACAGCTGTGGACTGTTAATCCAGGGTTCAAGGTCTCAAACATCTGTGTAGGAGGATCAGGCAAGAGAGAATATGGAAGGCTAAAAAGACTACAATACTTTACATTTTATGAAAACAGACTTTATTTTTGAGAGTACTCACATTCTTACTCTTTGAATCATCCATGTCTATCAGCCGTTTTGTAAGTGTGCAAATATCAGTGACCTTTATAATCAATACTGCACCTGATGTAATCCTACAAGTATGTGAGAGAGAATTTGATAAAGGGCGAAACTCTGACTTCATTTTACTTTTTTTTTTTTAAGACAAATTTCAAAGCGCAACTTAGAGCATCTGGATCAAGTTTCACCTTTGTGTGTGTGTGTGTTTTCTGAGTATTCATGCTCAGTTTAACAAACACCTGCTGAGAGATGTTGCCAAGCAACCCCTGCCCAACTCTGGGCCCGAGCAGATGTGTGTGTTTGCAGGATCAAGTAACATGCACATTAAACACACATACATCTGCCAGACAAATGGAGTTCATATTTTAGTCACCACCGATCGCTGAAAAGCTTTTTAATCTCAGTCAAACATCGACATCTACATCTCCACCTGAGCAAGCAAGAGTGCGAGCAAAAACAGGTCTCAAGGTTGTTCTTTTTTTGGGACTGTTTGCAGGCTGTTACCTGGTGACAGGTGAGAATGAGCGCTGTCCACACGAAGAAGCCAGACACCGCCTGAGCGGCAGGAGTCATGAGAAAAATAGGCTGGTCAGGTGTCAGCAGAGGGGCCTCGGGGAGCCATGAGATGTTGGGGCCCATAGGGGCTGATGTTAGCGGAGGATTGGGTGCTGCTGCCAGAGGAGAGTCGTCCCCGAGCCTCTCAGAGAGCGGCACATCTCGTCTCCACAGCCTCAACATCTGAAAGAATCACAGATACAGAGAGCAAAGTGAGCTGAGATTTTAGTTCAAGTTTGAGAACTGAGTGTCTTATCAGTCAGTGACGACACAGTGACACCATCCAGTAGCAATAAGATCAATTCCCACAGGTGATCATTAACCTGGACTACAGATCCCACATTCTCTGTTACAGATGTAATGTGTACTCTGAGATAGAAAGACGGATAGACAAACACAGATTCACTAAAGTTCAAGTTCTTTAACACTAAGTCAATGATGTGTGTGAATCACACAACAATGACGTAAAACGGGTTTTTGTTAGCTATTACATCTCCCAGAATACAATTTGACTGATGCAAGATTACATGTCTAAACTTATTCACCTCAGCTGTGGATTCTTATTTTGATAGCACACTGTAACTTCCAGGAAAACAGAGCAACGTGTCATTTGGCTGCAAGGCATTATAGTAATTTGAGACTTCACTGATTCCTTCTTGAATGATCATGCCACACATGAGGAAAATGTTGAAGTGAGTTTGAAAATGCTCTTTAATTTACCTGGGTATGTAAATAAAACAGAGAGCTGATTTTCAAGTCATTACAGAACACAATGTTAGAACGGCACAGCTGGACAGACCCCAGTAATAAAGTAATTAGAACTGAAGAAGCTTCTTGGATAAGAGGCGAAACGTCTTCTCAACTCTACACAGTCCAGTTGCCTGTTTTAAGTCTTCAAGATAACCATGACCTGGATGAATGAGAATCCACATGGACATACCAGTAATAAAGGTTTTTGTTTTTTTTTGGATTGAGTTTGATTGCCTCATGTCTTCATACCAAACAGCTGTTATTTAGTCAGCAAAATGATGACAGGAAGTAATGCAAAATCAGCGATACATCATTAAAAGTTCATGTTCGGACACATTTTGGATTTAGATGTAAAACTGGAACACAAGACACTGACAGGATTCACGCTGTGTGTAAACTCAATGACACTGGGCTGTTTTAAAACACTGAGGCATATTGATCGATGTCAAATCAACTTAATATTGAATCAAATCATGACTCCAGGAATCAAAATCAAACATTAGAGAAGATACCCAACCCCAAATCACAATATTATCTTCACCTATATTCTAGGAGAAAAAAATAACATGCCGTTATATCTCTTTGTTACATCTGCATAACAAAAATCTTCTCAAAATAGACACTAGAATCACTGACTCATATTTTGTTGTCTAACTTCCCCCTTAGTCAATCACAGCCGAGCTCCGGGTGGAAATAAATAGATGTTATATATGCTTCTGTACTGATCCACTTCCAGCTCCTGAAGATGACTTTAAGTGGCCAGAAGACACGTTACGTAAGCAGCTGCTTGGTCACCGTCTGCAGGGTGACACTGACATGTTCTCAGGGTGCGTTTGTTCTTTTACACTGACAGACAGTCATCATAAAAAGACAGAGCTCGGAGGAGACAAGGACCTTCCTGTTGTAGAGATGGTGCATACACACCCAGGCATAAATGCATATAGAAAAAGAAACTAAAACTAATAAAAGCTGGGGAACACATGCTAAAATCTATTGCTAAATGAGTGAGAGAGACCTTTAGTCTGACCTGTCATTTCTCATCTGCCAGAGCAGCACAACAACCTGAAGTCACACAGTTATTAAGCAAACAGCACAGACAATGACAGGCTGACATAATGCTATTACACACACCATGATCATTTAGTTTCCTCACACACTAATTACTTTAGATGCATGTGATTGAATTTAAAGGCTGGACAAAATAGATCCAGCTGCTTTCATGCGTGTATAAGACTGAGAAGAGTTATGGTTAGCTTTTCCAGTGAGACAGCAGGTCAGAGGAATCAGCTGATTCACATGGTGAGGAAATGAAGGCACTTGCAGCATCTCGCTCACACATACATGTGCACGAACAATAGCAGTGACAGTGAAATGCTACTCTGAAGCAAAGGGACATCTGTGTGTTTCATTTGAAAGACATAAGGGTCACTCACATATGCACAAAGGAGTGATATCAATGAGGCAGGGGGGTCAGGGAGAAAGCAAGCAACAGATGGGAAGGGGTGCTGGGGTGCAGAGAGGGTGTGTTTATCACGTTTATAAGGTGATGGTGTAGTTCACAGCTAGTCTGGACAACCACACTCAAGCTACACTAACAACAACAACAACAAATGGGTTTGCACACCTTTGGACATGTTTTGCACAACAGTGATTTTATTGTACAGCTCAGTTTTTATGATGACGACCAAGTTTGACAGTACAATGGTACAAAAGTGAAAATCACGTTCAAACACAAAGAGCAATGATCATAAACAGCAGAAAGACCTACCTTTGCAGCTGGAAAAACACACTTCACGGCTCAATTCAAAGTCTGCAACAGAGTAACACACAATGTTAGACGCATGAAGAGATACAGTGTGAAGGCAAAGTGTGTCTAGTCTGTTTCAAAGGCTATAATCTCACCTGGAAAATAGGCTGCTGCTTAGAAATCCTCCTCAGCTCGGTCAGACAAACCAGAAATAACCCAGAAACGGCCTTAATTCCTCCTCAGAGCCGCACCGTTGCTCCCCCGACATCCATATTGAGCCCTCAGAGGTCTGTCCCGTCAACCTCTACGTGCCCCCCCAAAAAACTCACCTCTAAAGTTTGTCTCTCGTGCTAAATAATACATTTACTTTTAGTTCAGCTCTCCTGTCTATAAAATTTCCTGGTCTTAAGTGAGAGTTTCAGGAGTTAAAGCAGCAAACTCCACTCGTCCACTTCGCTCCTTTCTTCACTCCGTTGACTTCAAACCAATCCCTGTCGGATTAACTGGAGATCAGACGAGTACCGCCCACTCCGCGAGGACGAGCCCAGTCAGCCAATCACACACCGACTATCATTAAAAATCCGGAAGAGGGTGGGATTTGTTTATTTAACACTGAGCATGCGCAGGGTCTATTCTTAGTCCGTGGCAGTGGAAGTGTGGATGATGTGCTGAACAAGTTGAACACTGCTCCCACACGTCCAATGATTATTTGTTTATCACTTCCTGTCCTCGGGGTGTGGGCAACAAATAATGACCAAATTAAGAAGTGTTAGTTTTTTACTGCTTTACTGTCCATTTTAAACTGAAAGTTAAAGTGAGAGGAACTGAAGATCTCATCATCTCCTAAACTGTGTCTACTTTGACGGACCAGGCTTCGTCGACATTTTACATCAAACAAGTATTTGCACTCTTTAAGAAAAACTGGTCAGAATTAATACTATAAAAATTAGACGTTTTGGTACAAGCTCATAAAAGCCATATATTCAGGGGCTTGTTTTTAAAACATACAACTAGAAAATTTCAGCTCAGATTTGCATTACATTTAGAGTAGAATAGAATAGAATATTCCTTTATTGATCCCCCATGGGAGAATTTTTTTTGCCACAGCAGCATCACAGACAATTTAATTTAATTTAATTTAATTTAATTTGTCTTCATTTAATTGTCTTGTGTAACTTCTCTTATTCCATTTGAACTCACCTTCATCATTCAGTTTTGCAGTGTTTCCCAAAATATCCTGTGTGGTCTCCTATCTTGTCCTGTGTTTCCTTGAGTTTCCTCTCTTTCTGAATCTTTTAATGATTTCTGGCACACTCTATTAACTTATTGTTAAACTGTACATTACAGGTGAATTTGCTTTTTCGGTAACACTTTACAATAACCATAACTTATGAATGGTAAATAGACCATTTATAAATGGTAAGCAGATGGTTTATTAATGTATAATCATAATTTATAAATAGCATATAGACCATTAATAAATTGTAAATTTTATAATTTAAAAAACCTAAACCTAACCCTAACCTTACAATAACCGACTAAGTAATGTTTATAGGTGGTTTATAAACCACTTGTTGATCATTTACAAAGTATTACAAACATCAGTTGCAACTTTACAATAACCATCTCAGTAATGTTTATAGATGGCTTAGAAACCAAATATTAACCATTTACAAAGTGCTACTGACACACATTTTAATCTAGATGTTTTACAACCAATATTTAAACCCTTTATAAACCTTTAATAAGTAGTCCATTAATAATTGATGAAAGCATTAATCATAATTGCATTGCTTCTTAATGGTAAAGTCACTATTAACGTACATCAATAAACTATCTTTTTGCCATTTATAATTGATCTATATGCTGTTTTAAAATTATGATTAAACATTAATAGACTATCTATTTACCATTTATAAATTATGGTTATTGTAAAGTGTTACCTTCTTTTCCTTGTCTTGTTCAGACAAACAGATAAAACAACAGATTAAAAAAAAAACATTAAATAAACACTTTTGAATCTGAGGTAAACAATACAACTAAACAACTAAAAGAATATGAGGGGGTCTATATATTCATGGACAATACTTTAATGGCACTTACTAAAGTTGAGAGACATTGAGGGTAAATGCTATTCATTTGTTTGTATGTGTGTGTATGTGTGTGTGTGTGTGCCCTTGCCACCCCTACATCTGTCAGTGCCCTTGCCAGGCCACACTGGTCAAAAAATAGTCAAAGCATACCCCTATTTGTGTGTGACATCCAACCTTATGCAACAAAATGAGAATAACTTTTGAATGTTTCCTTATCACATTTGAACAAAAGCAAAGTACCCCAAAAATCCAAATCTGAAGTTGTGTACCAGATACTTGCATACTTAAAGCTCCTGTGAAGAAAATTTGTTTTAAAAATTAGGTTTATGTCAATTTGGCGACCCTGTGGACAAAGCCGTCTTTGCCTATTACATACTGTCACCTACCCACTTTCACCCATCTTAGACATTAAAAACTAGGTCATAAAAAATCTTTGATCTTGTTGCTGATGGGTTGTTTACTTTTGGATATCATGATAAATCATCAGTATGAAATGCTGTCTTTTTCATAAATGTCAAAAACTCATCATAGAAGCTTTAACAAGTAAAGAGGCATTTTGTAAATGAAATAAATTGGAATATAAAACATATTTACCTTCAGTGGAAACATGCAAGAAGGCGTCTGTGTATATTTTTATTGATTCAGAAAATATACACAAATATCATAGTAATAAAGTTGAAGCATGGTAAAGAAATGTACAGGACATCAGACTGATCACTCGTGACATCCATTCTTCCTGATATGCCCGGGGTCAAAGCGCTTTTTCATCTCGTCACAGGAACCTCTCTGTCATTGCCTGCCACAGTGGAAATGAAAAACAAACAAGTGGCCGACTCCTAAGGTTATCAGTAATTGTTTCTGCATCACTTTTGCCCCAAGGTCATCAGGAATAAAACAGTACTCTTCTCTCCTGCTCCATCTTTACACAATATTTCACATTCTGGCAATAGTTATCTACACATTTTTACATGTTTTATAAAAGAAAAAAGCTAAAGTAAAAGACGCAAACTCAAAGTAACACCAGACTTGTTCATCACCAAGATCCTGTAACTTTCTCAAGACTTTTCATACCTGGAGTCACAAGCTGGACTATAAGGGTTTTTCATATCATACAATCTGCATATCTCACTCTTTGTTCCTGTCCTAGACTTAGAGCAGTTTCCTCCTCTTCTTGCATTCAATGAGCAATGTTTTCTCTGCTAGCCTCCTCTGGTTAAGAGAGTAACAACTGTGCCGAAGAGGAGGACAGATTTTTGTCGATTAATTATGGATCATTCAACACTTTTCCACCTCCGGCCCTCCCTCCTTCCTTTTCTTTGACTCTCTAAAGTAAAGCCAAGGGCAAAATGGACACTGAAGACAATAACACACAGACACTGACATTTATTGACAAAAAGCAGCCTCACTCCCATCCACAGATGAACTGCAGCCTCCCACATTCATCTCTGATCCACTCCTGGGTCCATTCAGAAGCAATCTCCTGTCTCATCTATTACAGGCCTGTATACACTTGTGTTTGTCTCCACTGTTGTTTACATATCTATTTATAATCAATAACACCATAAGCAGCGGATGTAGCTCTCAAACACCAGCAGATTGATAGTTGTTTTTTTTTTCTTTAAAGTTACCACAGGTGTAAACGACAGAAAAACTGAAATTGAGTCCATTTTGTGCACTTTGATGTTTTTTTTGCAAGTTGAGCCTCTGAGTCGATAGGCAGGTGAATATGAATGAAGAATGGGCGGGGTCTGTGTGTTGTTTCACCCACTTTTCTCTCTGGCCTCACCACTAAGAGTAGTTCAAACCAATTCCAGCCCACAGTTTGTTTGTTCTGGTGGTTTTCTAACATGTCTTCTGTTTCTGGTCACCAGTGTTCACACAGCATACTGACAGACACACGATGCCTCGATCCCCGCATTAAGGGCCTGCAACGCCTCCTCCTGCTCCTCCTCTGCTCAGTCATGTTTTCATTCATTCATTTGAAAAGTAAGGGGTATTTTATACCCTGCAGCTGCTGAGCACAAAAGACACAAAACAGGGAAAAGTGTCACTGTCTGAGTTAAAGAAGGCACAATAAAACAGGCATTGGCCGACTCTCTTACCCCAAATAGAGCTTTTTGATTTCTACTGGAACACATGTAAACACATTTTTAAAAATTTAAAGTCTGCAAAAACTCAACTTCAAACAATGATTAAGATTGAGTGTTATACTTGTCCACAATGTATCAGCATTGCTTTGGTGTTTTTACAGTTTTTTGACAACAGTGAAACTTTGTGGTACAGATGAGGCATATACAGTATATAAGGCTCCATACTCACAAACAACATTTGCTGTAATAAACATGAAAGTGGTTGTTGATATCTTAAAAGATATGTAACATCTTCACACTTTCTTTCCTATACAGAGTATTAACAAGCAAAACTGCAAGACCCCAAATCACCTAGAACAGTGGTTCTCAAGTCCATAAGCCATTACAGAGCTTGATAACGAGCTAATCATTTGAATCAGGTGTGTTGGAGCAGGGAAACATCCAAAACATGCGGGACAGTGGGCCTCGAAGACTGGACTGGCAGGGTTAAGATTACCGTTGTAACAGTAAAATTATTTGCTCTACAGGTAATATTCTAACTTTAAGAAATGGAGCAAATAGAAGATGTTGTACAAACAAAAAAACTTCCTCCTTAACACCTTCAGTCTGAAGGGTAGTAGGGGGTAGTAAGTATCAGAGGTCAACAGAAATAAAAGCATCCTTGGTGTGTGTGTGTGTCTGTGTGTGACATGTCCATACCTGCCGCTGACCTGCAGGCCAGCCAGGAGGAGCTCACTTTGCCAGGTGTTCAAACGGCACACTGACCTGAGAGAAGAGAAAGATGAGAAGCTTGAGGCACATCAAAGAGAGAAGACAAAAACCTGAAGAGGACCCGTCTTTAGATTCTTTACTCCTCTATTGTTAAAAACCTGCTGGCATTTTCAGTTCTGAATTTACCTCCTGACTTTAGTTTTGTGGGTTATTTTGACTGAATTTGACCACTTGTGATCTGTTAGTATTTAACAAGGCATCGGCTCTAACTACCCTGTGTGAAAAAAAAAAAACATACTGCACACCCACAAGCAAACATACAGAGTAAAGGTTTGCAGCAGGAAGACCAAGCTTCAAATCACAACAGTCATTTTATTTAGCGGTGCATGTACATTATCTGCATCGTCCTCCTTTTTAAGTGCATGTTGGATTGTCTGACTACTGATGTTAAGACTCAGCACAATAAGTTTGGGTATTCAGGATGGCTGCAGTCATTATTTCAGATGTGATCCCCAATATATGAAGAAGCAGCAGAGAGAGTCCAATTACAAATTAAAAAGAGGCTTTAGGACATGAGGAGTCTGCCTGGGTGGATTAGTCTTTTCTGTGCTTATATCATGTCAGACTTAAACTGAACAGTGAAAAAACTCTTGACATTTATATCTTGTTGGTGGTAATTACAAGTAGATTATGCTTGAATATCTCTCCAGCTCCAATATTGTCAAGTTTGCATCATGAATAATGAATTTGTATCAACATCAGAGGCAGGCAAAACAGACAATCTAAATATGTCAGTAGTTCAATGTAATGAGAAAACTTCTGATTCATTAAAGTCACCAAAAAGCAATTATTTTATAAGCAAGGAAGACAGACGCTATGCTCAGTTGCTGCAGCTTATGCTAATTTTGTAAAGAAACAAGAGTTTTCTCAGTATGCAGTCTGAACTGCAAGAGCAATACAAAATAGTTTTGTTTACAATAGATTAATACTAAATGAACATATGAGAGGGAAAAGCTACTAATAGTAGACAATGAAAGTGCAGAGTGTGACAGGGATACATTTACAGCTTTTTAGTTTTAACAAATGCAAATAAAACAAAAGTAATATCTTCTGAGATTGCCCATTCACTAAAAACTAAAAATGATAAAATAATAAAAAAGAAAAACGTTACTTATACAACTGATGACAGCTACTGTGCAGCTTTCATCAGTCTTCATTTGTGATTACACATAAAGTTGGTCAGTATGCTCCTGTGCTACAGCCTAAATCATGAGTAAACTGTTTGACTTTTTTTCTTTGAATTGTACTTGCTTTTATCTCAGCATGTGCTGTTTGACATACATATAAGATAAAAGCACATTTTCTTGAAGTTTGCATTTGTTTAGAAAAACCTGTAAGATTGACTTTATGTGTTTGAGATCAAGTGTCAGGAAAGGTCAAGGATCCCTAAAGTTGATAGGACTACTGGTCTTAAACTACCAATTTCAATGCAGAAATCTAACAACTCATCGAAAACCATAACTTCATGAAGACATAAAAACCTTGACCTCTCCATGCTGTAACTGAATAACAGAATCTGGCAAATTAAAGCATGCACAGTAATCTGAGGCTATTACCTCTTCTCATGAGAGTTTAATCTGAAAGTTCTGTTTACCTGTGATGCAGTGATGCGTGACTGGTCGAGGCGTGCAGTGAGGTCAGAGGAGGACACGTTAGCAGGGGCCCCACGATGAAGCCTCATGGCCACCTTCCTCTCTCGCTCAGCTCGCTCTGCTCTCCCCGCCTGAGGGGAACGGTTACCTGCACAAGTTAAAACATGAGTGGGAATGTAAATGACCAGATATATCGTCTTGTGAAAGCATTGTGAAAGCATCTCCTTCAGCTCATTTCCTGCAATTTGTATTACAAAAGATGATGCTTTTATTTTGAAAGGAAAAATATCGAAAGGTATGAAAAGAGAAACATAAAAATGGCACGTGCAAGGTAAATGAATTAACACTTTTTTTTGTGAAAGTTAAAAAAGCTCAAGTTTGGATATTTTTATGATTAATTCACTGTGACAGAACAACATCTTTTTGTAGTTTTATTTAGTTACTATACAGTGCAAAAGCTAGAAAAGACGCTACAACTGTATCACTGATAATGCTCAGAGGAATAAGCTTAAGTTTAAAACGGCTGTATCGTATTTACAAACCAAGGGTGCATGAAAAAGACGATTAAATTATATTTGCTGTGCCAATAAGTTTTAAAAGAGTAATTTTATGTGTTATTTAAAGCTAATTATTTAGCTAAAGCTCTGATTTGAGGTTAATTAGTTAAAAACATGAAGTGCAATTCATGAATAAATAAACACACTGTTAATTTCTGAAGTTCATAAAGGTTTAAAATAGATTATTAATATTATATATGAAAAGAGAATGTGAAAAAGATACAGTATGGTTTTCTTCTATCTCTTACAGTTTGTGCACTTTGTTTATATATTTCATGGTACTACTTGAATAAACTTTGTGAACCATCAGTTGGAGATTCAGACCACTAATCATCTGGGTATGCTACCGGAAATGAAAACACTGATACTTCTCAATGTTTTCTAGATTTCCACTCACAAAAACAAAAATCCTGACCTGACTGTTGAACCCCACGTGTGGCCGCGTTTGAAGGAGTAGCATCAGCCTCGTTCCTGACTCTATTGGCACCTGAAGGATTCGGACCAGGCGGCAAAGCTCGACCTCCGGCTCCTCTTTGACCTCCCCCTGCCCGCTCCTCTCCCTCTTTTCCCTCCCTCCTCTCTCTCTCCCCATCTTCTGTGGTCCTGCTGGCCCCCTGAAATACAAGAGGAAGAGTACTAATGCAAAAAACAATGATTGACTGATAAACAAAGCATGATGGAAAAGATACATCACCTCTGAGAGAGAACTAGTTTGCTAACAGTCTTCTGTTTCCCACGCTCATTACAGACTTACAGACTAATACAACCAGAGCATAATAACTGCTCCAGCTGCTGTGACGTGGATGAAATCTGGGTGGGCAACTCACAAACTTCAGCATGTTCCAGTCAAAGACGTAGTCGTAGGAGAAGCCCTGTCTGTGGAAAAGATTCCTGAAGAGCTGCCTCAGATATGAGTAGTCTGGCTTGTCATCAAACCGCAGGGAGCGACACAAATTCAGGTAGGTGGAGAACTCAGCTGAAAGACACAAAGAGGGAAAAAAAGATGAACATCAGCAAAGACAGTGAGGGTATCAAGCCGTTTGAGAAAAGTTGAGACAGAATTGATTGAGAAGTTGTCACCAGTGTTTTTTTACTCACAGGGATATCCCTTACAGAGCACCTCGATGGGGGTGGACATTTTCTTTTCACTGATGCGTTCATACTTCTGCCTCTTGGTGGCAGCCTTGAGCCCCTGCCAGGGCAGAGAGCCCAGGTTGAAGTACATCAGAACGTAGCCCAGAGACTCCAGGTCATCTCGTCTTGACTGCTCTGTGAGGGAAAAGATCATGAGCAAGAGAAGAGTTTGAAACAACAAAACAAGTTTGAGGGCAGAAGAAGAAAACATAGGGGTGGACCGAAAGAGAGAAGAAGAAGGAAAAGGAAGGAAGAAACAAAAGGAATAGAAAAGAGGCAGCTTCTCTGAAACCGCCGATCAATAAGCATGCATATTTCAACATAGTCCACTGACATTCTGCAGTGAGCACACACACAATCCACAGTGGGGTTTGCAGAACACACACAATCACATCCTCACAGGTTTCTAGGCCAATCTCGGTGTGTGTGCAGTCTTACCGATGCCCAGATGAGTGTTGATGGAGGCATAGCGGGCGGTACCAGTGAGGTTCTTATTCTCGCGGTAGGGGATGTGCTGGTGTGTTCGGGCGTCGCGGTATTTCTTAGCCAAGCCAAAGTCGATAATGTAGACCAGGTTGCCCTTCTTTCCGAGCCCCATCAGGAAGTTGTCAGGCTTCACGTCTCTGTGGATGAAGTTCTTGGAATGGATGTATTCAATCCTGCTGATCTGGAGCGCAAATATGATAAAGAGCATTTAGTTTATGATTTTTTGCAGAGTTACAGGAAAAATAGTTCACATTAGCAAAAAGAGAAACAACTTCTTTTAAAATATTTTTAATGCCTGAACTCAAATATGTGGATCTGTAAAAAGAGACAAGAGCTGTCACTTTGTCCACAGGGGGCGCCAAAACTGACAACAACGGAGAGTTCCTTAATGGGGCTTTAACTAAAAGAAATTGAGTTGTATGGTGCATCATAATGCCATCTGTGCAGTGGTGTATTGATCCTTTAGCATTGCTTAAAAACACACAGGAGCCAGACACAAACATTAAATCCCATCCTGCAGGGATGTTTCGGTTTGATCTGCACTTTAGTGGGAGCTTCTGGCAAAGAATCCTTTAATTACTTTTACTGGTAATGGCCAGCGGACTATACTGCTGAAGTTTTTATGTTCACATAGGATTTGATCTTTAACAGAGAGTGGGTTTTAAAGGCCAAAAATCTCATCGCTAAGTGAGATAAAAGTTAAGTCTTGGTATTGATCCATAATCCTGTCAGACAGTCTGCACACATATATAGAGGTCGTTTCATGTTATGGTCTAGTTAAAATCTTAGTTATTGCCTCTTTAGGAAAGTGGGGGATAGAGGAGAGGAGAGATGTAAAAAAGGAGACAAGAGAAAGTTGTGAAAAAAAAGGTCAAAGTGCAGATAGAAAGTGGGACAAAATGAACAAATGTGCCACTTGTAAACTTGAGAATGACACACAAGTGATTAAAGAGACTCATAAAAGACACTGCAGTCTGACCTCTGCAACAAGGATTAGGCCATCTTGCGGAGCCTCCATGTCCTAGATTGGAATTGACTTTTATGGAGGAGCTGAACGTTGGAAGATAGTGAGGGGATAAGCCTGATCTCAAGCCAGAAAACAAGCTTCTGAGGTTTAGATGAGAATTATTCTCCGATTTCAAATGATCCATTTAGTTCCAGTCTAAAAATAGCAGTATCCATTTATCGAGATATGTGTGACATCTCGGCCTGAGGTTGACTTCAGTGCAAACAAAGGTATCAAATTTAAACAACTACTCTCAAAGAACAGTTTAATCCTCACTAATATCCTCAAATATCAGTGTTTGGCTCTGTCTTGAAATGCTAAATAGACCCTGAAGGTGGCCCCATGAAACATTCACATGTTCCTACTCCACTCTTTGGGTGTATACATAGTTAGGATAGAGGAAGTCCTGACTTTGAACCTCAGAAGAAATCTGGAAAATGTGTTTCATATCACGTAATGAGAACAGTCGGTCTTTCTCACCATCTGGTCGGCCAGCAGCAGGACTGTTTTCAGGCTGAACTTGCGGGAGCAGAAGTTGAACAAGTCCTCCAGACTGGGACCCAGCAGCTCCATGACCATGACATTGTAGTCACCTTCTGCTCCACACCACTTTATAGATGGGATTCCCACTGTTTGAGGCAAGAGGGCAAATCAGAAGGTAGGACGCAGGAAAACAAAGGGGAAACAAAGACACGTCCACAATCTATCCACCCATATGTTGACCCACTTCTTTTTATGTTTGAGGCCTGCTGCTGCTGCTTTTTAACATGCACAGATGAACAATGTAGTTCAAGGTTTTTCACTACCTCATTTATTTCAGCATAACTTTATATTAACTACCTTTATATTGAGCTAACCATTAACAGCGTTTTCATCACTTTGAGATGAATCTGTTTATCTTTGTGTTTACTGTTGAAAACATGTTTTTATCACTTAAAGCTTCACAACATATCCTTATATTCAAGTTAGCTATTTTAACTAATCATACATTACTTTGAGCCAACTGTAGCCATATATCTATTTCTGTATGCCAACTCCCTGAACTATCTCTCTACTAGTGTTTCAGCCATTGAAACACTGCTACCAAAGCATCTACTAATTATCTTTTTATAACTTTAAAATGAATAGTTTAGCCATTTTTCCATTATTGCATATAACACAGAGGAAAAAACTACAATAAAAAACCTATAAATAGTATTGACTAAATGTAATAACTTTAATAACTTTATTTGTATAGCACTTTTAAAAAACAGAAGTTTACAAAGTGCTTTGACATGTAGTCATAGAGCACATGGAAAAAGACAGATAAAAACAAAAAGCTCAGTTAAAACAGAATTGAAGGCCATTTTAATGTCACAAGGAACCCAAACAATACAAGCACCATTCGACATAAAATGAGACCATGAGGACCAAAGTAAAAACATAAAATAGTTAAGAAAAAAGGAAAATGCAATGTAGTGTACTAGACTTACAATCTATTTACTAACCCAATTTCAAAAAAGTTGGGTCACTGTAAAATGTTGATAAAAGCAAATTTTGATGGGTTAAAAATAATTTAAATCTTTTTTTAAGTGCGAGGTTATAATAATACTGTAATATAGATATTAAAGCTTTGAATATTCTTATGATGTTCTGTGTACTTGGACCTCTACTTATTCCTCTACTTACATTTGATCAATCGTACTGTATATGGAGCACCTAAATTGTTTACATTATCAAAAGGAGTTTATTTTTTTATATTTACGAAATAAACTGAATTTCAAAGTAGTGTCTTTGCAGGATATTCAAAAGCAAACAAGGCCATCAAGGCCAAGACTGACAATTCATGTACCGCCATTTGTGTTGCCTGAGACCACTGTGAGGTGGTTGGTGTCAGCCAAGTTGCAAAAGGAAACAGCAGTGTTTGTACAATTTTACATAAAATATTCACTATGAATTATAGATTTGGCAGTCAAAAGTCAGCAGAATGAGGGTTTTTGTCGAAAGATACTTCTACAGCATTCAGAGCAAAGACTGCAATGTTCACAAGGGGTACAAACAGAAAATTCCTCACAGGAGCTTTAAATTATTTAAAATATTGCTTATTTTCTTATCTAATTTTACCCTGTTTTGTCCTAACTTTTATTTTTCATCATAACATGTAAACCCTTAAACTCTTAAACAACAGGCCTGACTATACCTCAGTGCTGGAGTGAATATAAATACCTCACTATCAACAACCAGACTTAAATACTCCTGATACCAGTAAAGATGCTTTTCTTGTCCCTGAATGACCCTGAATGTTCCATAAAGTCTAAATGTCTTCCAAGCTCTCTTTGCATAGTAATACTTCCATAAACATTACAGCAGCCCTGATTAACACCACTTAATGCCCCCTTAGCTTACAAACAACTCTGAATGTTTTCTCAGCGTGTCTTACCTCCGCCCTGCATCATCTTGTAAAATTTGCTCTCGATGTGGAGCTGTGGATGCTTGGTCTTCACACATTCCAGTTTGATTGCTACCTCCTCTCCTGTAGCGATGTTGGAGCCTGGTGAGATAAACGCCACAGATACAGTCCTAGTTTATCGAATGATTCCACAGTACACTAGAATTGCTGCTCATCTAAACAGTGAAACATGTGCATCGTGTCAACTTTCTGAAAGTTTATAACAACAGGGACACCGTATGAAGAGGTGAAGCCAAAACAAGTTCTCACCGAGGTAAATATCTCCAAAGGATCCACTCCCTATCTTCCTCCCAAGACGGTACTTATTTCCCACCCTCAACTCCATGGCTCCTGAGCTTTTCAACTCACTGTAGGGAAAAATACACACATACACAAGCCATCATCAATCACTGGGGATCAATAGAGTAAAGGGACAGTGGTGCAAAGCTGCAGAGTTTAAATTCAAAGTGATGAGCCCTGAAGAAGCTGTATTGTGACAGAAAATGAAAGAAGAGGCTTGTGAGGAGATTGACAGGAGACATGAGAAAGAATGAGAAGTGCAAATTACCGAGGCTCAACAATGACGTAGTGCAGCCTGCATGGAATGACTGAAACCAGGAAGGAAAATGTTGCTCACTTCCTCTCCAGTGACATTAAGTCATCAAATCATTTTAATCACACACTAACTAATAGAGTCTCCTCGCTTCAAGCGGCCATAATTTGTTAAGTCAAAGTTACACCTCAGTAGGATGTGATAATAAACACTGGTATCTCAGAGGACAACTATGTAGGCCAATGGAGTGTTTATAAAGTGCATAGGGGAAAAGTGAGAGCAGAGAAGAACAGAACATAGAGTTGTATAACATGATTTATTCAAGGCTGCAGGGGGGAGCTGGATCAGCATCTCACACACTCTTCCCAAAGCACTTCAAGGGAGTCTGGTCCTGTGTACAAGAGATTTGCATAAAGTCCAAATTTCTGACTGGAGTCCCCCTGGTAAAATTCGAATGAGTCATGTTTTCCTCACCCAAGCCTAATGGTATAAGAGCTCAGAGCGGGAAGAGAGTGAGGGCTTTTTCTGCCAGAGGTTAGGCTTTACAAGCCAGTTTGACATTGCACTATACACTGACTGAGCTCATTTTTAACGCTTGGCTGCATCATAGACCTACATACACCCCCTTTACATCTACTGTGCAGGGAAAATAAAGCAGAGCAAGCTACTGCTGCACATTACCAAACCCTTTTACCTCAGGTCTATCCAGCACATCTCCTCTCAGCATCCTAGGTGCTTCCACACTGTCAGTGTTACAAAACTGGGACCCACTAATGCTGCAAAGGACTGCAAAAACAGGCGTGATGCTATATTTTCAGGGACAATACTTCATGCAGCTGCCCCAGATACCACAGGAGAGGAGACGGCCAGTGTGCTGAATGCATAAAAACACCATCCATCCATCAGTGAGCATCAAACGTGCTGATAATTCCCCTAACCGCACCCTCTATGTACAGGTAGGACCCCTGAACGAGCGCACCCCCGCCCAAACACGACTCTATTTGGGCTCTATTTGTCTAACCCAAAGCACCTCACACGCACCATCATGCACACATACACGCCTCCAGACACCTTGACTAGCCGACATACAGCCCCCACCCACACACCCCCGCCTCCTCACCGGGTTATGTCAGGCTCCGTGGTCGCTGGCTGGCTCTGTCTCACTCAGGACCCTGGACAGCGACGCACCGACGCGGCTTCGGACGGCTCATAACCTCGGAGATCTGTGACCCGAGCCCCCCCTACTCACGAGCAGTGACCCCCAAATACACCACTGATCCTAGTCCAATGACTCTGGAAGCTGCTTACTGTCACGATTTGTTAGGGAAAAAAACACCAAAACCAGACACTGAGGTCCTCTCTCTCTCCCTCTCTCTATCGTGGCCGCGGTTCTCTCTCCCCCTCACAACTCCCCCACCCAGCCCTCTCTCAGTTTACACCATTGACAATATCAATGATGTCATCCACAGACTGGAAGAGATGCCCGGATTGTCTTAAAGCCGCCGCTGCTGCTGCTGCTGGTCTCTGCAGGCATGAATGGAGCAAAGCGACGCACAGCTCTCATTTAAAGCGTCTTCATGTTTCCACAAATCACTCTTTTACTGCTGAAAACAAAGACAGCATGATCACAAGACGGGTATAATTGTGCTTCCTTTATGCTTCTATGAAATGTTTATTGTGTATAGATTTACCCGTGTATAGGAGAAGTTGCACCCCCTCTGGTGGAAGTTGCACCAATGACCAACCCAAAAAACTGTCAACCTTAACACCATCTCAGATGTTTTGAGGGGAAAATTACGAGATCAGGTCAGTACGGTGGCCGAGAACCGCCACTGCTGCAAATAAAATAAATAAAAAATAAATAAAAAAGCCTCAACAGAAGTTACTGGAAGTCACTTGAAAACTGTCAACCTTAACACAAACCACCTCAGATATTTTTGAGGGGAGAATTACCGGATCAGCACAGTACGGTAGCCAAGAATCGCCACTGCTGCAAATAATTTTTTTTTATTTGCGCTACATGGCCTAACCAAATGACACATTGAAAAGCACACAAAGTGAAATTAAACAATAACCTTTCCACTTACTTCTTTGCTCGTCTTCTTGCCGTCGTCTTCTGTGCCTAGATCATAAACACCGGTGCATAATCATTGTTGGTCCCAGACAGCTCACCTACGTTGTGGCTTTTTTTTTTTCTTATTTGCATCCTTTTATTTTCGCAGTAAGTAACTTTTTTTCTTCTTTTGCAACGCCACTTTTTTTTGCATTGTTAACTTCCATTTTGGCTTCTTTTTCTTTAATCTGCACGTTTCTTTTTTTATTTGCAGTGGGCTTCGGGTTCTTTTTTTGTTGCATTGGTAACTTTTTTGTGACTTCTTTTTGCATTCTTTTTCATTTGCAGTAGTGGCGGTTCTCGGCCACTGTAGCACAGGACACACTAGGAGTCAGGGTAAATTTTTATTTTAGATGGAAATGAGACACTAGCAATTTTAGTTTTTTTTCTTCCATTTTAAACCAAAACCGAGAAAATAGAGGAACAATTTTTTCATTTTCTTGTTTTCGATTCAGAATTAAAAGGAAAAAGGTTCTCTGGGCTTTTATTTTGAAACATTTACTTGCACTTAACTGTCACTTTTGTTTATATCATCCTTAACAGTGAATTAAATGCCGTCAATTAAAACGTGTAAACAATTAGTCACATAATGCTGTTATAAAGGTCTCAGCTTAAGTAACCATAAGTATCCAAACATTCAAAGAGACGGTCTAGGTTTCTCATTTTAACACAGGTAGCTCACCAAGAACCAAACTACGACTTTAACACGTCTTTATTCTCATAACATGACTCGTAATAATATAACTTTACTATGACTTAATTTTTGTAATATGACCTTGACCCAAAGAGTATACAGTACGTCAACTTGGTTTTGAACATGACTCAGTAAAAATTTAAAATGGAAATATAATTTCTTTTCATCTTATACAGAAGTATATTGTTCATTCGTAGATCCCATAATTTCCAGCTCATTTTTAAACTTTAGGTTCAGTCGGCACATGAAAAATAAAACAGAAAATGTGCAAGCACTTCTATATTCCTGACAGATGAAAATGACAAGTTGAGTTCCATAAAAATCTTTCAACTTTCAGTTTGAGTTTTGTGCAGCTTGTAAATAAAGTGTGAGAAAAAGTCTTGACTTTTTTCAGACAGAAATGAGTTTCACTAACTGTGATTATAAACTTTTATCACAGTAAACAAAAAGTCCTAGTTAGTTATGCTGAGATTTTTTTCCTGCATCTATAAAAGCGGGGAACCTTGAATCGATGGGATTCATTTTTAGCATGAAAATTTTATCTACATTTAGTTAGGCAACAGAAAACAAAACAGTGAATGGGCAAGAAATACCCGCCAATACATGCAGATTCCCCCTCACAAGATGCCATCTTGCCCCGCTTCTTCATGTGAAGGGTTGATAGTAAGTCTTTGAGAACTTTGAGTATCTTACAGCTAACTATGTGAGTGCTTACCTGACATTGTATGGAATAATGCTGCACGCTAAAAAAAAAATAACTAAGGTGTGTGTGTTATGAATTTCTGACATCCTAACATCCAAGAAAGCAAACAACCACTAGACTTCAATTCAACCTTTATTATCTTGTTCTTTTCTGCTTTAAATTAATTTCCTCTCCTTTCTGTAACATCTGAAACAAATGAAAACATCCTGAACAGGAGTGATAATAAAGACTGACTTAATTTAAACTGATACACAATAACAGAAAAAAACAAAAAACAAAAACAAACAGTAAAATATAACAGGTAATGTCTTTAACGTGTCTGTAAAACACTGTTCCAGCTCAGCTTGGTATGGTAGGATTTGGCATCTTAATAGAAATGCCTTCAGTTGGTTGCTTCGTCTTAAAAACAAAATATTCTCTTATTGCATTTGGCAGAAAAAAAAAATTACAAACAGAAAAAAAAAATGCTGCTAAAAACACAACTTAAGAGACATATGCAATAGTGCCAATGTTTTTGAACTTTTTAGCTATTACACACCGTCCAGCACACACACGCACGAAACACATCCACACAACACTCGCACACAAATTCTCTCTTAAATGCAAGCTGTCAGATTAACATCTATTCACTTCCCTGACTGGAGCAGATAAGTGTTCAAAAGCAACCACACACAGACAAACAAACCAACCAATGCGCTCAAATGATTCTCATGAATCTCTCATGGACAAGAAAGAAAGAAAAAAAAAAAACATTCAACATTGTAGCAATAACACAGACACTCCTGATATCATCGTCATCATCATCTTCATCACATCTTCTCCATTCGGTCATACTGTCATCATCACTCCTTTCATGCACACACAGGCAGGCAGGAGGGCACCTTGTACAGCGAGTAAATAAGTGATCATAGTCATCATTAACATCATGACAATATATAATAACCAACTTGATTTCTCGAGTAAGAAAAAATACAATAGCGAGGTCAGTGTTTGAAGGGCAAAAAAAGGACATCTCTGGATTTTCACAAAGTTTCACACATTTCTCTTTTTCTTTTAAAACAGAAGAAAAAAAATGATAAACAACCGACATACATCAACAAGGAGTTACAATTTTGCTTGTCAAATATAAGAGCAGAGTGTAACCGATGAGAAGGTGTGATGCTGCTGACATGGCAGGCGGGTGGCCGCTGGGTGTTAGCCAAGGCCACTGCTGTTGTAACATTAAGTCGTCCAGTAAGGTCTGTGTAGTTGTGTTGTAGCTCTGTTTTAAAACATGGAGGGATTTGTGGAGGATGAGTCAACAACAAACCCAGAGGCATATAGTGCAAGTTTGGCTAATGTTGTTTTTGTTTCATTTTTTTATTTTTTTTTTATTTTACCCTGGGTCCCATGTTGATGGCATATTCCCACCAAGGTAGAGGTGTGAGTACCTACTTAAAAACACTCTCCTTTTTCCAGACCTCAAAAGGTTGCTGATAGTCCGTTTGACTCAGTAGTGTGGCGCTGTCCCGAAAAATTTCAACAAACTTCAGATCCTTCCCCACTCTCAAACATCCGAACATGAGAACTCAGAAGTAAGCCAGCCAGGTCTACAAGGGCTCAGTCTGCAAGTCTGACTTTGAGATTCGACCATTAAATAGCAATACGAAAGAAAAGAATAATAATTTGTGGCACACTAAAAACAGCAATAGCTAAACTTGTTGATGTGTACGACTCTGGCTGAGCCTGTCTACAGTGCATGCCTGAGTGATCGGGTCTCTGAATGCAGATGGTGAGATTTGGAGTAAAAAGACAAAGAACTATCCAGTTGAGTCCTAAGAGTTTAATGGATTTCACCTTTTTCCCCGGTTCAAGTTTTACTGTTGTCTTCATTTAAAGTTAAGCGGCTTAATGTTAACGTGTGCAAGTATGTGTACATGTACTGCATGTAGTCTGTGTGTTTGTAAGATTGTTGACCGTCTACTTTTTTTGCTAACCAGTGTAGCTTTATTTCAATATTCATGTGTAAATAAATACAGTGACAAATATGTACTACAACTTAGGGGTAAACTTGAGTGTGTGTGTGTCAATATATGTGTGTGTATATGTGTGTAAGTGTGTGTGTGTGTCAGTTGGCCCTTTCAGATGGAGTCCGACCCCCCTCCCAGCAGGTCCCCTGGCAGCAGTGAGGCAGGGCTGCCCATCTGGTGACAATCTTCAAGTGCCGGGGAACCCCAGAGAGTACTGCCAGGGTACCCCGCCCCGCTCATCCCGCCCATGCCCCCCCACAGACCCTGCCTTCCTGTCTCCACACCTCCGGTCGAACCCACCCCGGCCCCGTTGCTGCTCCATTGGGCGAAGACGCTCAGCCCGGAGCCCTGGGTGGCAGGCTGGTCCGATGAGCTGCCTGTGCTGTCCAGACTCTGCCACCCTGAGCTGGAATGCCCGGCTCCTCCGCTTCCTGCTACCCCGGTTGTGGAGCCTCCGTCTGCTGCTGCTCCTCCCCCGCCGCTGCCTCCCGCGCCGACTCTCTCGCAGCTCCCTCCGTTACCGTTGGCCCCCACGGTGGAGGCGGCTGTAGGCCCGGAGCCTGCAGAGCTGGCTGTGGTTCCAGCGGTCCCTGCTCCTCCTGCCTGGGAATGTGCAATGTAGCGAGCCACATCCTCCTCACTCACAAACTCGGCCAAGATGGTGGTGTTACCCAAAACACACCTGGTAAGAACAAGAGGTCAGAGAGTCACTGAACAAAACTTGAGTGTATTAATAATCGCATAGTTATTCCAAACATTTGAAATTTTCAGGTGTATGAGAACAACAGACTGAATCTTACATGTGCAGTGCGCTCTGGGCCTTGGCTGCCTCTTGTTTGGAGCTGTAGCGAATCAGAGCGGTGCCCTGGGTCAGGCCAAGGTGAAAGGTCAGCAGAGGGCCATGCTGCATACAGATGGTCCTCAGAGTGGAGCCATCAATCTGCAGGAACAAACAAAATAGATGATGGTGAGACAAATGTCGGACTCGTGTGTTTGGGCTGTGAAAGACTCTGCTCTGTGTGGGTTTACTTTTTTCTCTTTCAGTGCAAGTACAATGTGAGTTAACTAAGCTAAAAAAATGGTTACAGCTCTACAAGAAGGTGCAATGTTTTTCTCCTCTACTAGCTGAAGCAGTTGTTGTATAATACGTCTGTGTGTTTACCTGTGGTGTGAGGTTGCTGAGCACCAACCAGCAGCTTTCCCGAGAGCTGCCATCACTCCAGGTCGAGCCTGCGAGGAGAGCAAACAGAAAAACCTGAGTGAGTTTTCCACACTCACAGTAAACACTATCTTACTCTGTTTTGCCCCTTAGCTAAATGATGAATAACTTTCTTTCCTGCTTACACTAATGCTCCTCAAAATCAAATATACATGGACTCATAGCAACATACAGAATGTATTGGGGCATTACCGGTGGTGCTTGAGCTCCCAGCCCAGCTACGGCCAGCCAATCGAGGAGTTCCTCCAGACCAAGGAGAAGGCGACGGCTGCTTTTGACTGGCTAGCCCTGGAGGTGGGCGGGACAGCTGTGACTGGCTGCTGCCACGGCTGGCTTTCCAGGACTTGGGGCCAATTGGCTCTGGGGGCCAGCTGGTCTTGTAGTCTGTGTACTTTGCTGTGGGGTGATAAGAAAGCAAGTTTGATCCGGAGAAGTTCATACAATGAAAACCAGTACACAACTGTAGATAGATACACACACATCTCAAACTCATGACCAAAAATAAAAAAGTAGCAGATACAATTTTGATTGGCCCAAATTAACACCAGCCCCAGAATGTGACTGTGAATGTGTTTTTCTGCGGGTACCTGAGTTGTGTGCGTTGTTCAGGGGACTGTCTGAGGCACTGTAGGGCCAGGCACCAGGTGAAGGCAGCAAGGTGTTGAGGGGTGGGGTGGAATCTGCAAACAATCACCCACAGAAACCATGTTCAAAAAATTTTCAGACACAAATGTAACAAATATTTACCGAAGAGAATCAGTGTTAGTATATACTTTAGGGAATTGGCAAAAAAGAGAAGCAGTTTGGACAGACAAAAAGAGGTCTGAGTTATAAAGACAAAGAGAAAAAATATTTGCTGCTGCAACCTGACAAGACACTTAAAACTCGGAAAGAGGTTTAGGGCCACAAGAAGAGAAAAAACAAAAAAAAAACAAAAAAAAACAAACAAACAGGAGGGAAATTTTTTTAATTTCATTTCGAGATTAAAGTTGAAATTTCCAAATTATTCACAACATTTTGTAATCCTGAAATTTCGACTTTAATCTCAAATTTGAATTTTTCAAATCTCAATATTTCAACACTATTCACGAAATTTCAACATTTACAATCTCGAAATTTCGACTTTAATCTCAAAGTTTCGACTTTTTAAAATTTTGACTTTTAACTCAAAATGGAAATTTACAAAAATCACCCTCCTGTAATGATTTTCTTCTCTCCTCCTGGCCCTAATCCTCTTTCGTAGAAAACAGAGTTATATTATGTTTTTACCTGTATTATCTTGTAACAACTGGTGCTCAGTATCATTGAGGTTGGGGGACACTGCATTTCCCATCATGCTTCCTGGGGTCATGTAGGGGTCAGATTCAGGGTCAACACGATCAATTCCCTTCCAGGGCACGCCTGGCTGGAACTCTATAAAAGGAAAAATACACAAACTCTCAATTGGGGGAAGTTTTAAATTAAACTCCTAAAAAGGAGGAGCTGTGACCGAAAAGAGAGACAAGAAAAGCCGGAGTAGAGAGTTAGGGGAAAACATGTAGCAGACTGATGTGGTCTTTGGTTTACCACTGCAACCTGGACTGTTCCCTTGAAGGTGAAACAGCTCAGATTAATGCTTGAATGAGAACTTGCACTAACCAGGAGGCCAGCTGGGTGTGGGCGCTGGCTTAGCACCCATCTTGTTTCCAGGGGTGCGATGCCAGTTGTCACTGAGCCCGTCTCCAACCATCATGTCGTACTGAGAGTAGGGCGAGCCCCCTGGCATCTTCATTGGGGTGACAGGACCTGGAGGATGGATGATGTATGTTCCATCACTAAACAACACATTTCCTTTGCACTGTGATTTACCGAGTGACTTCACACCTAATTCTCTTAACACTCCACCATGACACCATGCTCCTCCATGTCTTATCAAACCCCAGACACACAGATCATCTCACCGTTTTTGTGGAATGCGTTCTCTGGTGAGGAGGTGTCTGGAGATGACTGTCCCTCCATCATCCATTTGAATCGGGACTTCTGACCGCCATAGTCCTTCATGCCCCCAGGACCCCCCACAACAGGGCTGCCCAAGTCCAGACCTGGTAGATTCACTCCAGAACTGAAACCTGAGGAAACAATTATTTTAAATTCAAAGTAAAAACATTTCTATTGTCGCTCATTCAAATACACTGACATATATGAGCGGGAAACGAGGGTAGAGACAGCCCCTCACCAGAATAAGGCCCCAGAGTTTTCTGATGCAGGTCAGCCATAGATCCTGCCAGCCCTGGATGGGGCAGGGGATCAGCCCCGGGCAGTTTGGGACCACCTCCACCATGGTGGGAGGGGGAGAGTTTGGAGCTGCCACCTAAACCCCCGACCTGCTGCTGCTGCCTCTGCTGCTGTAGCACCGCCATGATCCTGGCCAGCTGAGGACAGGCGACAAATAGGTGGTCAGGAAGGAGGCTGTCAATAAGTGAAGGAGCCAGTGAAATGTTGTGTTTGTCTGTACCTGCTGAGGGTCGGCCTGCTGCCGCACATTTGGTGTGAACTTTCTCTGGTTTTGCAGGAGCTGCTGTGGCTGCTGTTGGGGCTGCTGCTGCTGCTGCAGGAGGAGCTGACAAGCCTGTGCATACACCGGCAGAATGGCCCGGAAAAAGAAACGAAGGACATGTAAGATTACAGATGAGTCAGAAATATAGGGTACACCAATAAAACAATGTGTCAACTTAATGATGTGAAGCCCAAGTGTGATTGTTTGGGCTGCCCTGTTTATTGATCTGCTTTATGTATTTGATCAAAGAGTCTGAGATGTTGAGTGTGTTTCCTGAAAACAGATGTGACACTGGGAACATAATCCTTCCTCTCTGAACAGCTACAGTCAGAGAAATTCTTGATTACTATAAAAACCTCAAAGACCCGGTATTTAAACTGCGGTGAGGTCTCTTACTATAACCAGAATTGTGACCTTTACAAGTCAATGAAAGCCAGCTTTCAATTACTGGCTGGGGCACTTTCACATTTCTATCATAAAGACCAACATCCTGGTAAGTTTTCTATGATAATAAAACAGCTTCACTTTCTGTACAATTATAACATCAGATACGGGGAGAACTACATCAGAGGCCACCTCTAGGCATTTCATCCAGTTTTGCATTTTAATTGTGGCTGATTACATCTGCTCTGTGCTCTTTTGTCCTTGCAGCACTATATCCTTTACATACACTTTATATGGAGAGAGCTTGATGGAAGGTAAAGTCCTTTCCATTTTATTGTGGAATTGATTCATGACAGATGGGACTATACCACCTTACACCCTAGAATAAGCAAGCAAAAAGCAGCTCCTTAAATGAATAGATATATAAATAAGTGCTCTGTTGTGTGAATGGTACAGCCTGCGTGTGTGGGGTTAGGCTAATTGTACAAGTAATTGTAATAGACTCTGAGGTCAGATACACTATTTCTTGGCCATCCAGATGAAGGCTTGTTGCTCTGATCATTGAAGAGTTTTAAATCCTTCAGTGCAAATGGTTAAAATTTCACACAAAGGCTTCAGCAACAGGATAGTGATTTAGGTGAATTTTGTTATGGAGGCATTTACACAGAAAGAAGTGTATTTGCACCAATTAAATTCATGATTGCTGATTTAAATGAGTGCAATCAGATCTGGCACATAAGGTACTTTTCACTCAGTGGGCACAAATCTCCGTATGAACCTGCTCCTCACTTTGTACTAATATCAGGGTTCCTAGGCAAGTATGGAAAGAATGGTATGGAAGTAGTTTGATCAATTTCCAGGTCTTAAAAAGTATGGTAAATGAGAAATAAAGTATGGAAAAATACCTATGTTTCCAGACTATTACCACAGTTCTAAAATACTGTTTTCTAAAAATAGAAACGTAGGTATTTCCAAAAATTAAAGAGTAGGGTATGGAAAAGTATGGGAATTCCAACTGTTTAGAAACCCTGTAATATGTAAATAAGAATACTTCTCAATCAATAAGCACTTGGCATAAATAAAAAAAATATATAGAAAAAGATATATAGATCTAAAGGCTGGTCAATTATAGAAGCCTGCTTCTTATAAAGGCCTGGTGCCTTAGGTAAGATGACAAATACAGGCCCTGGTATATCTGGAAGATTTGCTGTACTTGACTTTTAAAAATTACAAGTATAGAAAACTGATTTTCACATTACTCTGTATTTCTTTATTTTGTGCTTTTCCAAATCACATAAGACTTTATCAAATCATTTCTCAAACTGTTTCCAGACTCAGCAGATGTGGGACAAAACCCTAGACCAGTGGTTCTCAAGTCCAGTCCTCGAGGCCCACTGTCCTGCATGTTTTGGATGTTTTCCTGCTCCAACACACCTGATTCAAATGATCAGCTCGTTATCAAGCTCTGTTATGGCTTAAAAATGAGGTAATCATTTGAATCAGGTGTGTTGGAGCAGGGAAACATCCAAAACATGCAGGACAGTGGGCCTTGAGGACTGGACTTGAGAACCACTGCCCTAGACTGATGTGTAGAGGTGGACAGTATATTTGCTTCTCACCAACTGAAACTGGATGTGCGGTGGGTAGATGCTGCTGAGCATGGCGATATGCTGGGGGGACAGCTGCGGAGGGAACACACCTCCCCCCAGTCCTGCCATCCCTCCCACGCTGCCGACACCCCCCACGCTCCCGCTGGGAGGGGGCATCTGCTTTAGCACGGAGCCTGGCACCTGCAGACAGACACAACGGCAGGCAGGCACACCTGTTACCACAGAAACGCTTTGGTACTGTCACAATAAGCGACAACCATTTGCTTGCTGCTCCTCCACACATAACACTGATTCTTTTTCATGTGCTCATTAGACGGTGTTAAAAAGTAACGACCTTGAATCAGTGAATGTAAAATGTGTTTTACTTTGTGTTCCTCAGAGGCGGGTGATTAATCACGATCAATGTCTGGTTGAGTGTTTTTGCACCCCTGGGACTTATCTGACAAACATACACCATGTACACAACAAGCAGATCATTATCAGGAAGAACACTCCCCGCAGGAAAACACGCCTGTGAGATACTTGATTGACCCCATGCATGTGACTGATTCAGCAATGATCTCAATGGAGGAAATACTTCATTTCCTAGGGGTGCAATATTTCTCTATAAAAGCCACCTGATATTAAAACATCAGAAAATCCCAAGCAGAAGACGAGCAAAAGTGGCATAAAGGTTTGCTTTGCCACAAGTTGAAAAAAAAAAATTAAAGTTGAAGTTACTCTGCATTTAATTGGTCACTAAGCAACAAAAAAACAAACAGTAAGGATGACTCACTGTAACACAGAGACACAGACAGACTGTCAGCCCACATACTTCCTGAGCCTATGTAAGTGTGAGCGCGCAGACTGCCGGAGAGAATTCAGATCACAGAAATAAAAGCAGAAGCACTCGTTACCTGAGGTGACAGGAACTGATGAGGCACTTGCGCTCGTATCCCTGGGGACTGGTTTAGGGGTGGGACACTTGGCTGGTGTCTTGACGGAGCCATCCCTCCTCCACTGCCAAAGATACTGTGGCCGCCCTGTGATGGAGGATGGAAAATGAAACCATAAGGGGACCCGTCAAAGTACAGAGCGGATATGAATAACAAACAGATCAAAGAGAAACGGCTCAACGTGGAGGAAGAACTGGAGGTGTTATCGAGCGGTTATCTTTTGGAAACAGAAAACTACAAGAACCGAGTGTTACAATGGTAGGACAGAAACAGGAGGAGAGGTTATCTTACTTGTCTAAAGGGGACAGTGTGGTTGAAGAGGGAATGGGGCTTGTAGACAGTGGGTGGTGAGTACAGAGAGTAAGGACCCTCTTCCCCAAGGCACCAATCCTGATTGGTCAAAGGCAAGGTCTGCCACAGAGACAGCCAATAGAGGACCAATTTGAGAGTTGGTGAAGGGGGGATAAAAGGGAAGGTTCAGACAGGAGGGACAGGGGAAGCCGAGGAAAAAAGACAGAATCACAGAGGGAAATAAAGAGTAGTGAAAAGGACAAAATGTTATCTGGACATGTGAGAGACATAAGAGACAAGAAAAAGCTGAGGCAGCAGTGAGGTATTATTACCTTATCATAGTAAGACCCAGCATCCCCAGGTACTGCCTCTTTGGAACCAGGTGGACGATAAGTCATCCCCCCTCCACCTCCTCCTCTTCCTCCCTTTCTCAGATCTCCATTGTAATCATTCATCATCATGCCTCTTTTATCCACATCGATCTTCTTCTCCTGGAGCGAACCCGGAGCCAGGTCCATGTTGGGTCCGCTGGGATCATCGTTCTGTTGAGAGTAAAAAACAACCGTCATCATCAGTGAGATTGTATTCATACCATACGAATGTGCTTAAAGCCTTCATGTCAGCACCCTTAGTCAGTGATATGAGTAGATTGGAAAATGTTCAGTCTTACCAGCAGTCCCATATTAGAGAACTGTCTGTTGATGGGGCTCATCCATGAGTCTCCTCCAGTCTTCAGTGGACCCTGTGGGACGGACACAAAGTGGGCAAGAGCAATGATTTGACAAAGGAGAAAGATGAAGAAGTTAAATGCTTTCCAAGACTGGAAAAAATAAACGAAACCCTCCACTTTGGGCTTTGACCCTTTGACAGGTCTCTGTAGAATACAGTTGTGCTCGTAAGTTTTCATACCCTCGAAGAATTTGTGATTTTTTTGGGGCATTTTTCTGAGAATATGAATGACAATCTCCTGGGTATGTAAACGTCTGATCAGGGTCATTTTGGATGCCTCTGTTGTCATTATGATTAAAAAAAGAGTAAACACGATTGTTTAACAATAAATGGCTTCATCGCAACCACTAACCATTAGTGAAAAAAAAGTTTCTCGTCTCATTCATACTCTATGAAAAATGGCCAAGAAATCATAAATTCTGCCAGGGAATGTAAACTTGTGAGCAGCAGGACCATGGTTTACCTTAAAGATTTATTACCAACATATGATAAAGTCTCTTTCTGTTCTTCAACCAAGACCAGTCACCCACCTTGCTGCTGGGCTTCTTCACAGCCTGGCTCTGTCCCCATCCCCCGTTGCTCCCCTGTCCCCAAGACGAGCTGCTTCCCTGGGAGCCGGTGCTGTTCCACATGCCGCCTCCTTCCTCCTCATCCTCCCAACTTGAGTGACGTGAGGCAGCAACAGAGCTGTCTTTGTCACCCCAGCCATCTTGCATAGACTTTGAACCTGCGGGAATAAAGAGAAGACCTGAAGCACTTTCACTTCATGGAAGATTAACGAACAGATCTGGCTTTAATGTCATCTTGTCGTAGCTGACTACAAGGTATGCTAGTGCCATAAATATAGTATCAATTCAGCATTTCAGACACAAACCTCATAATCAAATTGTATGTGCTGGTCTTTGTTTGAATGGCTTACCAGATTTGATGGGGTTAGGAGAAGGGTTTCCCCACCCTGTATTCTTTCCTCCAGCATCATCAGGTTCTCCCCAGCCAGTAGGGGTTTCAGTAGGTTTTCCCCAAGCTGCCGTGCCATTGTCTACTGTGGGACTAGTTGGAGAGGTTCCACCCCAACCTGAAGGACCTTTAGACACACAGATGATACAGGTATCGATGAAATAAATGGACTCTTTGAGGAGAAACGCCGCTTTATCACTCAATTAGTCAAAGTCTACACTTTTAGAGAGGTCAGAAGTTGCTGCATGCTTATAGGGTAATGATTCTCGTGCACAGGGGTCAAAAAGTACCAAGAGCTTTGGCTACTCTCTTCCTCCTGCACTTTTTTTTGAAAAGTTATTAGCTATATTTTTTAGCACAGTGGTCTAAAATCAAAGCGTCCTCTCTCCAGTCACAGTATAACAAAGAAGATCATTTAATTTTAACTCAGACAAACTCAGTCTGGACAGTGCAGACAGTCATAAGTAACACTTGACAAAAACATCACTAACTACTGAAGTGAAGCATCTGCAACCACTTTCAACCAAAAAGAAACAACTGTAATATCAATTGGTTTACTTCAGGTTGACTTTTGTGTAACTTCTTACCAATGGATGGAGTTTTTGCAGGTCCTTGGCCAGTGTTAAAGTCTCTGCTACCTCCGAGCCCTGCAGCCTGCCTGCTGGGCTGCTGTTGAATTGGAGGTCCCTGCTGTTGCTGTTGCTGCTGCTGTTGTTGTTGTTGAGCCTGACTCTGGCTGTGAGGCTGCTGGCCAACAGGGGCACTGTTCTTGTCCCACAGGTTAACCGGCTTGTAATTGTAATGGGTTGGGTCTCCCCATGCTGATGTTCCATCATCGATCTCATTCTTCCTGCTGATAGACTGCGGCGAGGGTTCCTCCCAACCGCTTGGTTCAGATCCACTTCCACTTCCTAAAGAACCACCAGGGATTGGCCCCGAGGTCCAGCCTGAGCTTTGGTTCTGATTCTGGGCCTGAGAGATTGGTTTTCTCCCACTGCCCCCTTGCATAGCCCCTTGGTCCAGCGTTTGCTGCCGCTGTGGATGCTGATTGCGGGGCTGTGATTGTTGCTGTTGCAGTTGTGCCTGCGGGCCTGTGATGGAGCCCGGCTGGCTGTTTGGCATCTGGTGCATTTTGTTTCCTCCACTCCAACTTTGATTGGGTTTGGACCCCATGCCCCCGACAACACCCACCCCCCCTCCTCCACTACCTCCTCCCCCAGTGCCCCCTGCTCCCCAGGTTCGACGTGGAGCACCATCATCCCAACTCCCCCAACCACCCCCACCTGAATCCCCACCTGAGTTTCCTCCATTGTTCCTCTCATCCTCCCATCCACTTCCTCCACTATTTGATTTGGACAGTTGCTCTCCCCAGTCCCTACCTACCCCGGCCTTCTGCCCTGATCCCCACCCACTTCCTCCTCCACTCCCTCCCATGTCTTTCCAACCCCCTGTCCCTTTCTCCTCTTGACTTCCTCCCCAGCCTCCACTCACTGGGTCACCCTGTTGAGAAGGATCACCCCATCCACCTCCAGATCCTCCACTTCTACTATCTCTCCATTCCTCGTTTCCCCAACCCTTGGACTCCTGGCCATCACCAGCCCCCATCCCTCCTCCACCCCAGCCTGAAGCCTTCCCTTGCTGGCTATGTGCTGGAATTACCCCTGACCCCATACCAGACCCTGTTGCGGTCACTGGCCCAGATTGAGAGACGCCAAGATTCCTCATGTTGGAGCCTGAAGGTGGTGGGGCTCTCCCAGACAAAGAGGCCCCACTACTGCTACTGTTGCTGCTGCTCTCCCAGCCCTCTCCAGAGGACCCAGCTGAAGGAACCAGAGAAGGACTGACCCCTGGACCTACAGAATCAGTGATTTGGGTCCTGGGCCCACTGGAATACTGAGAAGAACCACCAAGAGAAGACGGTTGTTTGGATGTAGCTGATGATGACGACCCACTTTTACTCTGTCCCCCCTGTTCTTCAAATTCCCAGGCTGTGTTTTGTCGGATCTGTGTTTGGCCCCAGCCTGTGTTGGACAGAACCCGAGGGTCCAGATCAGACCGGTTGAGCAGGCTCTGTAAGGCAGCTTCAGCATTAGGAGCCGGGCGACGGGAGCGACTTTGACTGCTGCCACTCCCACTCCTGGAGTTTCCACCACTGGATGAAGATCCCCCCTGTGCTCCCTGTCCTTCTAATCCCCCACCCCATTCCCCTGTGTCCCCTTCTCCCTTCTGATTGTCCCAGGCTCTGGTCATAGTAGTGGCGGTTGAGGGAGAGGAGGAGACAGCAGGAGGGTTGCCAGCTGTGCTGCCTCCACTACTACTGCTGTTACTGCTGCAAGCTCCACCGATCCCCTCACCTCCAGTATTAGCTCCACCAATGCTAGTGGGGTTACCACCCCAATCACCACCGGAAACCCCTCTGTCCACTCCAACTCCTGATGACCCCCACCCTCCCTGAGATGCTCCGGAGGTTTGACTACCATTTCCCCCAGTTCCAGCACTGCCCCAAGCACTAACACCACTAGTGGAATTTGGATATCCCCAACCCGAAGTCCCATTATCCCCTTCAGCAGCTCCGAAGCCCCCTGCTCCACCGCTTCCACCCTCCCAACCATCAGTTCTTGAGGCACCCGTTTTGGAGTTAGCTGCAGGGTAAGAAGGCTGGCTTCTCCATGAAGAGCCGAGGCTGTGGTCTCCCACACTAATCTCGCCTCCTCCCACACTACAGTCCATTCCTCCCCCAATGCCTTCCCCCCCTACAATTTTTGGTCCCGCTGATTCGCTGTCCCACTTTCCCCCTCCAATCTCTCTGTCTCTGGATTGCATTTGGTGAAGTTGGCGCTGATGAGGGTTTGATTGATTCACAGATAAAGGTGGGTGACCCCCCAGCACCCCGACTGCCCCACCTCCCAGCCCCAGGCCCAGGGAAGCAGAGTTGTTGGCAGACAAAGACCCTCCAGGGCCCTGGTGATGGAAGGAAGACGGACCCCCTTCCCCAGCAGCAGCAGGCCCATCCTGCTGAACCAGGGCAGGCCAGGCTGAAGGGTTGGCATTTGGATTGAAGTTGGCACCTGTAACACCACTGCTGCCATCTACGGGGCCACTGGCATCATGGCTTCCTGGCACAGTGGAGGCTTTGGAAAGTGAGGAGGACTGTTGTAGCAGAGGCCCAGCTACTGCACTTCCTCCTCCAAGGTGACCCTGGGAGGCAGCCATCCCCCACGCCACACCGTTGGACGACTGCATACATTCATTGGGCAAAGAGAACGAGGAAGTGGGTGAGGATTGGTTGCCAGAGGCACTAACGCTGTTCACAGGCATTCCGTTGTTGCTGCTGCCTCCTCCAGCCCCGGTGAAAGAAGCTCCTCCCCCATCGCTGCCAACAATGCTAGGCCACTCCTCCAGGTCATTACCATCGACAATCACCTTCTCCCTGCCCTGAGAGGAGGCCTGGCTGCTTGAGCTCGTCCCCCACATGGAATTTGCATAATTAGAAGTAGTAGTAGTAGAAGCAGCAACTGATGATGAGGTGAGGGTCAATGAGGAGGCAGCTGCACCAGAATCTACAAAAAAGCAAATCCAACAAGAGAACTGAGCTAGGAGACGGAACAAGAAAACACATTTTTGGACACTTGTTTTTCCAAGCTTTGTGAACACTCACCTGAGACAGCAGCCATGTTTGCATTGGGGCCATCCCCTCCTCCTCCCCCCAGCAGCATAGAGGACAGTGGTGGCTGACCCCTCTTCAGTAGCACTTTATGGTCCTGCTGGCAGCGAAATCGTGGCGGCACTTCTCGCGGCATGTAGCGCGGTTGTTGCTGAGGCGCCTGGGCTCCGCCTCCGCTACCTGCACTGCTGTTTCCAGAAGCACTGGGGCCGCCAGCGGTGGAGGAAGAAATGGTGTTGGTGGTGGGCTGTCCGTTGGCCACCGCCAGGCGCTTGGCATTGTTGCCGCCCTGTGACGGGTTGGCAGCACTGCCAGGGCCCAAGGTGGCTGGGGATGGGGAGGCAGAGGGGGTGGGTCCAGGGCTGGGGGAAGCAGAGCTGCTTTGAGTGGCAGGAGACTGAGCAGACGCAGGTTTTGACAAGTCTGGCACTGTGAGAATGGTAAGAGAGAGAGAAGAATGTTGATGGATTATCCATCATTTTACAAAAAACAACTTAAAGGATTCAGTTCACAAATAATATTCAAAGAATTAAGGCGGTAAGCATATGTCTGAAACAAAGATTACAAGGTAGGCGAGGAAAATACAAAGACTTCCCTGATGGAGATGAATTGTCTTCATGAATACTGCCCTAGGCATTTTTACTTGGCAGACTCTTAAATTTTATGACAAGTCATGCAGTGTTATCTCGCATCAAACGCTTCCAGGGCCTGAGGACTAATATGGCAAAAATGAACTCTAACAGTCTCTACATTTCATCAAGTTACAACTGGCAAAAAAAGCTAATTGTAGGTAAAAATTGAAAGATTGAATATCATAAGACTGATGAGCTCAGTTAAACTTTTCACACCCTCAACATCTTTATCATAATATTAACATGCTTACCTTTGTTTTTCTGTTCTGTGACCTAAAATTACAGAAAACATTTTTTTAGAACATATTCATAAAAAGCATAAAAATAAGGATATTATGAAATAAAATATTTCCACACGTTAAAGTGTCAACATCAGAACAAAAAGTCTTGCAACGTTAAGATAAAATCTTGAGTACAGAACCAAAGATGATGTGAGGTTTACAAGAATGCAACTGCTGTCATTTAATCAAAAACCAACAGTAGGACGAGTCGTGCAAGAATCAATATTGTACCCCACACTCTTACTACTGGTCAACAAGTAGTTGTTGAGGTTTGTCACCTTTTACAAAATTCACCCAAAACTAGCAGACATATTTGATTTACAACAGCACAACCCAGAATTTATTCAGAGCAAGAAAATCTTTTCTTTTTGTCTTATAGAAAGAATAATCCTCCAAGATGATTAATCCTGAAGAACATTGATTGATTATTATCCTAACAAAAAGAAAAAACACAATTTCTTGCTTACTAGTCATTGTGAATATGCTTACCTTCTGAGAGGCTTCCCTTTTCCTTTTTTCGTCCTTTTTCCTTTTCTTGTCTTCCATGAACTACTGCTCCTGTCCTGATTCTCCTTTCTTCTTAGAAAGAAAAATAAAATAAAATAAAAATTGTTGATTTGTTTCATCACCATATTAGCTCCCAACAATGTATCCATGGGTCTGCACCATTTACACGTTGGATTAGCCATCAGGCGCTAGAACTGAGGATATTCCTTGCCATGATGGCTACAAATACCGTAATTAATAAGCATGCTGAATTTGTAGAGTAATCACACTAGCAAGATCAACCAATCTAGATTATTTACATGGAATCAATATGCTCATCTGATCAGCAGTAATACTGCTTCCGCAAGTGGCTGTGGAGACCAATGCCAGTGACCAACAGCATGCTTTTGCTTAAATTATTTTCCAAAATGGAGTTCAACCAGCTCTTCAAGTTTCTACCAGGTTAAGGACAAAAACCAACAACGACACCAAATATAGCATTAACATCAGGTTCTTCATGTAGACACCCATAAATGAGGGGTGAACAAATCCACTGAGTGATTGACTAGGATCTTACATGTCGGTAGATAAGGATGTATGATATTATCTACAACATACTGGTATTGGCAGATTACAGCTTAAACAGTTCATTATCACATCAGCAAATGAACATTACTGCCAATATTTACTGCTGTGCTATTTTGCATAGATGCCAATCAAGTAAATGCACCTACAGCAAGCTTTAACATGTCTGTTCCACTGAAGTATTTGGGTGCAGACTGCAAAATAGCCATTTGCAATACTTGTGAAGCACAGGTGATGGAAAGGGGGCAAAACTACCGTCATCCTGAACATCATCAAACAATACATTAATCTTTTATAGTAGAATCAAATGTTGTTTTGTCCCAAAAGTTAAGACCTGTTGCTTTACATTTTAAAAGGTAAATCACCTTTATCGGTTGGTTTCAATGAATTAATTTGAAAAGAAACAAATAATTGACAAACATTACTGTAAGATCCTGCGAGTTACTTTAAGTTAAACCTCATCTCTTTGCTGATTTTGTCCAGTCCATTTATGTAACCAGTGTTTTCTGAAAACAAATCTAATCCAGCTTTCTGTTAATACTCAAATATGTCACTTTCTGTTAACATATGCTGCAGAAAAATGTTAAATAGACAGTTTCTGAGCTGAGAATTGTCTGTGCAGACCTACTCTCTTGCATTTAAAAAAATCACTTCATTAAAATAGTCATTCTTGTTGCTGATGGTCTTTTTTGCTTTTGTGCATTATATAATGAAAACAACCCTAATTCCAGTCTGGTTAATGACCAGTTGAAAATTCCTCACATGAGCTTTAAAAACCAGCTGCTAAGCCTTGACAAAGTAGGTTAGTTTCGTTTCTGATTAACTGCTGTTATACTCTCAGGATTTCAAGGCCGACGTATCAAATATCCTTCCAGAAGCATTTTGGACCGAAGGCCTGACGGATCCGACCTGCTTATTCATGATATGGAGCTTTCAGTTATACATTCAGCTCTTTCCATATATTCAAAACACAGATATGAACTATGACAGCTCATGATACTGTATCCCTGTTTTCATTAAGCTAAGCACTTAGCTATGCACTAAACCAGGCACCGGAGTATGTGAGCTTTCTGAGGCTGTAGATGGTAAAGCGGCCTCTGAGACCCGAGACAGGTGCTCAAAGTCGTTTAAACTAAACCGACAAAAGCAGGTGAGAATAAGAGTTAACCAACAACCACGCAAACGAGTCAATCAAAGTTAGTAACGACAAGTTAACAGCAATTTCCAAAACTAAGGAGTGGTTTCTGGCTGTACGCGTAAAATACGCAGAAACAGACCAATGCTTACAAGAACAAGTCAGTGTTTAGAGATCAACCAGCTGTCCACCTGTACGTTAGATAACTAGTCTAGTCCATGTATTGACTTTTAAGGCAAATACAGCGGGCCACTTACTAACCTGAGAGTCAAAGCTTTACGCGTCAGCTAACTGGGTAAGCTAAGTTACCAGCTACACACGCTACAAGTAGCCAGGCTAACTGTGTTAGCTGGGTTAATACGCAGTGGCATGACATTAAAATGACAAATATATGGCTCTCATTTCGCACGCACAAACATTATGTGATAAAAACTCACAGACGTTGTTTCGTCAATCTTAAGGTTACGTTACTCACCTCAGGAATCACATATGAAGAAGAAAGCTAGCGTGCTAGCTAGCTTAGCTAAAGTGCTTTAGTGCGGTTTTTTGAGGCATTCGTCGAGGCTACAGGAACAGCGACGCCTGAGCAGAGAGTCAAGTAAGTGGCAGATGATGAAAATACACGCGCAGTAAGCTACTGGTTTGAGAATAAGTACTAAGGTTGTAATAGTGTAAACCCTAATGTGCACAAGAGTTTAAATTCAAAGCGCTGTGGAGTCAGTCGGTTGACGGGCGGCCATTTTGCTGCTCAGCATGAAGCGTCTCCAATGGGCAGCTGCGTGGAAGCTCTCTGACTGGCTGTTTCACACCGGAGGGATGCACAAAAGACACATTTTGACCTTCATAAACTTTGGGCAGTCACGCTAATCACATATGTGCACGCCTCACAGCATTACAGACTGAACAAACACGGGTTCAAAGTCAGCTGAAGTCACCAGAAATCGCACAGCCATTAGGACAGATTCTGATTTCAGGGCTTTCACTTGACAGCATGGGTCCGAAAAAAAGGGGAGCAAGGAAGAGGAAAACCGAGGAGGCTTTGGGAGGAGAAGGGGAGGAGGAGGAGGTTAAGGCAGCTGAGGAGAGAGGTGACAAGAGAAGAAAGGAGCGTGGGAGTAAGAAGTACATTGGAGCTCATGTTGGCATTCAAGGTAAGAGTTAGTGCCATCTTTGTGAACTCCCTTTGGGCTGCAGTCTTTTTCCTGGGACTTGGAGGGTTCCTTAAGTGGGGATAAGTCTTGTTAACTTTATTTGACCCTACAGAAAGTTTGCTCCAATGGTTGCATATTAAAAATCACAGTCACAGTCTTACAGGTTGGCACATGCAGCACTTACAGTATGCCATGTATAAAACCATGTGTTCCAAGATATGCGAAGATATTTGGATCCACTTTAATTCAACGTGTCTCTAACATGTGATGCATATAACATGAAAAAAAATCCTGCTTAGTAATTGACAAAACTCAAAGCATATGAAAACCTTTTCACATATGCTGAAGATATGATCCAGATTCCTTAAGAAATGTCTAAGATATCTCATGATTCTTTGGGCTTTAAGTACACTGTACTTTTTAGTGCTGAAATGACTCAATGACAGCAAAATATTTACCCAAATCATTAGGTCTCGGGGTAAAGGGTGGGGATGTGGGCAACAAAAGGTTGGAAATGACCTTCTAATTAAATGAAAAGTTGCTCCTGGAATTAAAAGTCTTGCGTACTTCTGGTGAAAACAGTTTTAATTAACACTCACTCCCAGTTCTTGTGAGGCCTCTTTCTTGTGTCTCCAGGTGGAGTATGGAAAGCAGTGGACTCCTGCACAGAGATGGGTGGCAGCAGCTTCGCTCTCTTTCTGGGCTCCCAGCGCTCTTGGAAGAGACCTGCACTAGACCAGACAGCTGCTGACAAATTTCGAGAGCAATGCTCCCTCCAGGGGTATGACCCTGCTCACATCCTGCCCCATGGGTCCTACCTCATGAACTGTGGATCTCCTAAAGAGGGTGTGTTAGAAACTGATGGATGTCTCCTTCACATGTTGTCCCTGAGTGTCTTCCACGCTGACTTACCTGCCCTTGTCTTGCACTGGTGATTTCATCTGATAAACGCCTCCTGTCAACCAGCCGCTCTGGTTTTTTTTTTGTATGTTGTATCCAGATGTTTTTGAGAAGAGCCAGGCCTTGCTGGTGGATGAGCTCAACCGCTGCAGCCTCCTGGGCCTAAACCTCTACAACTTCCACCCCGGCTCCTCCCTGGGCTCCATCACCACTGAGCAGTGTGTTGAAAAGATAGCAGGAGCCATTAACCATGCCCACAAGCAAACACCTGCTGTGGTTACAGGTAACCACAACATATGATAAAGCTCTTCAAATGAAGCTCAGAATATCTGGAAGTGACTGTTGACAGTGTTAGCACAAATCAGGGGTACATGGTTCATTTGTGGTGTTAAAAATACCATTTAAATCTATTTATTTATTTTTTGGAGACAGCTAAATTACATCTGCTGTACTGTTAACAAAATCTCCCTCTCCCTTTAACTGAAACATCTGAAATTCGTTCAGGGACATCTGCATCACATAATTACAAGGGCAGCTACTCTGATGAGGCACATTCTGTTAAATTAGCAGTGTGCGTCAGCTCTAGCAAAAACTTAAACTGCTTTCAAGAGCAGGGACTGGGGGGTTAAATGAGCCTGCACAGTCACTGAATAGCGTGTGCTGTAGCAAAGGAATTGGGTGTATAAAACACAGTTACATATGCTGAACACAGAAGGGTTTTTTAGCAAAGATAGAGTTGAGAACCAGCACTAGTTAGCTCTACAGTAACAAACTATATATGCAGATACTATACTAATTTCACTATCAGTATTTGTTTAACAACGAGGAGCCTATACTGCGAGACAATGATGTGCCGAGGATTTTAATTCTTGTGTAACAGAAGAACTTATACAGCCATCCCAGTGCACACAAATTAAATTCTAATGTCATTAAAATCACAATTGGTGGGTTAATCACTCTACATTAAATTAATAACAGTAAGCTTTAACATATTTTGACCCCATTCAAGGATGATTTAATATTTCACTACCATATGAAAAGAAAAAAAATATGAGTGCAATTAACTTATACATGACCACTTGACCTTTTGTGTTAATACATAACTTTCAATTTGCAGAACTGTCTGCAGGCTTTTCACTGGTGTTGCATCATTTATGATTCACGGCACACACCACAGACGCTTTGACTCACATACCCCAAATGCCACTGGAGTGACAAGAATACACTTCCTGCAAAAAACACCAAAGCAGAATCTGCCCCAGGCTATGCTTTAGGAATGGAGAACAGATAGAACAATAACAGACGTGTGTCAGGTATGTCATACACACAGGAGACAAACTGTTTTAATCTGACGGCTCTGTTTTCTTTCTTTCTTTCTGTGGTCAGTGTTGGAGAACATGAGTGGTCAGGGCAGCACGGTTGGCGGTAATTTCGCCGAGCTGAAGAGCATCATAGACAGAGTGAGAGACCAGAGCAGAGTGGGTGTGTGTCTGGACACCTGCCATGCATTTGCAGCAGGTGAGTGAAACCTGAGGCTGATGAGTTTGCTCCACAGAAACATCAGAAATCAGTTAAATATATTGTGAATGAAAACTTACGAAATCACCAAAACCAAAATGTCAAAAACCTTTTTTACCTGAAATCAAAACAAAAATGAAGCTTTACAAAAATACAACTAACTTAAATGGTCTTGTATGTTAATAAAGCAAACTAAAACAAAATAACAGAGAGAGTATCCTTTACCCTTGAGCAGCACTAGAGGTTAGATTTGGTCGGACCTTTTAAACGGCAGAAGTTAAAACCTTTTCTCTTTTATCATTCTAAAGCCTGTCATAGAAGGTAGGCTACTTTCAAAGAGCTTGGTCGAGGCATTTCTCTTAAACATTTACAATACCAAAACAACTCTGACTATTTATATTCTGACTGACATGCATGTGAAACAGCAGCTTCTCTTCAAGTATCACCCTGTTAGTGTTTTGCTTTTGGCAGGAATAAAACACATTTTTAGGACTGCGCTATTGTGATTCCTTTAAAGAAACTCTCCCCTTTTTGATGATCTAGGTGGATTGATGTCTAACTTTTACCTGTGAGTTGAGTCCCTGTCTTTCACTGCAGTTCCTCTAATCCATCAACAAAACCTTTTCACTCAGCTTTAGTGAAGCTTCTTTTCATGTGGTTTTAAAACCTTTTAAATATCAAAACTGTCACAAAGGTAATTATGTTGCATTCCCAAATGGCCATTCTTTGGTGATGTGAGTTCACCTGTTTAATTGTTGTGCACAGATTTCACCATCTGCTCCTTTTGTTACCCCACCCCAGTTGGAGGTGCCATTTCAACTCCAAGCGGGGTTACTAATGTCAAATTTAAAAAATTATAATTCAACTGTTTATATTTACAGTGAGAAACAACAATTAACAAGATGAAGACATGTTAGGAAGCAAAATGGGCCGCATTATCCACCACTTTGTGTTACTGAAAATCTTGGGTGCACTCTATAAACACACTAAGAGTTAATACACAACACACATAATAAAATAATAAGCTATGCATTAAAAAACTGCTTAAATAGGATCCATAAAAGATAAGCTTCCATTAAAAAGGGGAATTTCTCATAATTTCGTCACTGTGTTGAAGCGTAGTTTCTTGTCTCTGTAGGATATGACCTGTCTGCAGAGGGAGGAGTGAAGGCCATGCTCAATGAGTTCGATCAGGAGGTGGGGCTCCATTACCTCAAAGCCATCCATCTGAATGACTCTAAAGGTACAGCAGAAATCTCAGCTGGTCATTGAGATGTATAGTCATTCTGTCGTTGAAGGGTTAAACTCTGTTCTGTAAATCCTCAATCATCTCCACTTTCTCCTCAGGTAAGCTTGGCTGCAACCTGGATCGACATGAAGACATCGGCAAAGGCCAAATTGGACTCTCTGCTTTCCGGGACATTGTCAATGAGCCCAGACTGGACAACATCCCTCTGATACTGGAGACACCAGGACGGTGAGAAAACTGCAAATACTGGGGGTTTGTCTGTCAACAAAGACTGGATATGATCTTAGTAAGAAAAGCTAAATTTACATGTTATTTCAGAAAATTGGAGTATAGTTTGGAAAAAGGCAGTCTGGTTTGAGTTGGCTTTGTTTACAGATAGTTTAAGAAAGACTTGTGGCGACGCCATTTAGAGCTACAGGGTTTAGATGTGTTTAATGTTAAAGTTCTGTCCTCTCCAATAGGCCTGGGTTCGGAGATGCTGAGCAGATTGAGCTCCTCTATTCCCTCTGTGAGAAAAACTAAGAGCAACTTCAATGACCTGGATATGCTAAGCCACAGCTGGCACACCTGTTCTGTTCTCATGAAGGGTTTGTTCTGGACCAAAGTAAATGGGACCCTGAAATTGTTGTTTTTCAACACACATACTAAGACGTTGACCAGTTTTTAATCCCAGTTCTAACAGTTTCAGAGGGATTTTGTCTGTGATTGAACAAGAGTGAAATTAAAGTGTTTCTGTTCATTTTACTCAGACCTGTGTGGAGTTGTCTTGTTAAGATGAGCCACTAGAGGGCAGCATGGACACACAAATACAGCATAAACCTTCTTAAGAGCCTCTCCTTGATTAAAATGTGGGCAGACATGAAGAAATTATTAATTCACAAAAGTATTTAGTCCTCATATGGTTGATGTAGATTACTATAGACATTGAATCGCATCATGGAAATACAGCTTAAAAAGCTTAAGCCTTTCACAATAAAAGCGTATACTAAGATTTACTTTATTTTTCACTGTAAGAAATCATTTCAGTTTTCCTTGTTTTTCTGAAAGAGTATTGAAGTTAGAAAAAACAAGTATACAGTATCAACAAGAGTTGAGATATCCTTGTGTGCCTTCTTCTAATGTAAAAAGACAAGAATCAGATATATGGTTGCCCAAAAATAATCCCAAAATGAGGTAGCATTTAGAAGTTTTATGTTAGTAGTTGATGAAAGATAAATCACCTTTTATACCAGACGGTTTTACCAGCAAGGACACTCCGCTTCAACTACTCCATTGTGGATCACATCTTCTGATCCTTTCATCTTCTATCTGATCTCCTACAACACTGAAAACTCTAGAAACCCCGTCAATTATTCCCTAAAATGCCCAGCTGTTGCATACCAACACTTTGGTGCAGCTGTTGACCCCTGGGAGGACAGCAGTTAATTGTCACACCTAGTCTAACACCCCACAGTGCACATAAACACGCATAATTAGTCACCCAAAAAGGAAAACATCCTCTGGCACTCAGGACTTTGAAACATGCATCTTTCCATATGTGAGAGATGGATATATGGGAGTGAACAGAAGAGATGTGCACATTGTGAGAGATAAATAACCACATGTGTTGACCTCTCTGTGGCTCGTGCTGATGTTTCTCCTAATACTTCAAACACATCAGAACAAGCTCACTGTCCAAATGCTCAGCTTAAACTTGCTAACAGTTGTGTGATGTTAGTTTGACATGACATCTCTTTCGTGACTTAAACAAAACTATGAGTTCTTGCTGCATCTGGATTGAAAACTGGCCAACAGTGGGCCACAAAGTGATCACACTTTATGCCAGTTGTTCAGCAGCATGTGCCTGTAGGTCTGCTGCACGTCACTGGTCTCCAGACCGTGCACAGCTCTTCTTTGTAGTAAGCCACTGCACTCATACGCTGTATCTTAAATTGTATTGACGATTCAATAGCAACAAAGTGATTGTAGCAAAGGAAAGTCAATGCTTCTGTTTCTGTTTCCTCTTTTGTGTTTGTCAGAGGGAGTCTGTGGTTAATTGGTATGTCTATGATGGTACAGTTACAGGGCGTAATCAAAGTACTCAAGCTTTAGCTGGTGGCTAACCTATTAGCTCAGCCACCAGAGTGATTAATAGACAGAACATGGCCCCACCTGACACCACAAATTATGGTCAGAAAATTCCTTTTTTTTTGAAGGAGAGCTAAAATGTTTATTTCACCTACTACTGAAAACCAAAAACTCAAAATGTCCTTAAAATTTAACAAAAATATTTATTTATCTTGTTTGATGCATTAGATGTTTTTGGAAACTGATAAACTACAAGAGGACATTTTTATCAGTTATCAGACTGTATTCAGGTGGGTTTTTTTTTAGTAATTTGTTTATCATATTTATTTGATAGAAGTGTATAAAAGTATGTATCAAATATGATACAAAAGGCATTAAAGGGTTAAAATAAAAAAATATATGTGTATACATATATGATTGGCATAGACAGTGTGCTGCATGTAAGGACATAATGTGAGTTGCATTGTGTATGCTGTCAGCTAACATGGTCACAGTTTCCCTACTAACAGGCCACCAACCAAGACTGAGTTGATGTTACGTTGTCAAAAAGGTACCAAATAACCATTTTAAAATACACATGAACAGGGATGAGAGAAATACTTCTTAATTTACATCACTTTACTGATATCATCAACATAGTGGCTCACCATCATATCAACCTGTGGCAGAACTATTGGCTTATACATCTGAACTATCAGTCTCAGAGTTTAGTTGATGTAAGGTCACTCTTTTCCATGAACTCATATTTTTCCAACTACGTCGACTTAAACACATCACTCTTGTTTACATGCAGCTGCAGTGATATTTGTAACCTTAATCCACAGGTGGAAAACAGCTTTAGTGAAGCGTAAAGTAATAGCAGCTCCAGACAGTGTGTCTTTCACTGCAGCGTTAACAGAGACAGGAAGTGGAGGTGCCTGGCCCAAGAATGTCTCTGCTCTCAGGTCCCACCCACAGGAAATGCCTGTCCGGCCTGTTTGAGTCTGACAAAAAAAAAAAAAGAAGTCTCCTGTTAGTGTAAGTTTGGCTTCTGTGAAGTGGAGGATGGATGGAGTCTGCATGATGAGGCAGCTGCTCCTGGTACTCGTACATTGTAAAGTTTAGATAAGAGGCAGTCTGATGGTTTTCAGGGCTGTTCTGGTGATCTGGTCGGGTCACAGGTTACAACCCAAAGATACTGAAGACTAAACAAAGGAACAGACATTCCTGAAACCTGAATTAATCACTTTCTGGAGCAGGCGTGTGGAGGGAGACAGGGATGGGGATACATAAAATGCCTGCCAGTCCATTTTCTTATGATCTTAAAGTATGTGATATTAGCTCGTACTGGTCTACCCTGAGCCCATGATCCTGTCATCTCTTCTTCTTTCCTCTATCATTACATTATCCTGTGAATATTTCCACAGCAGCCCAAAGCCGCTGATCTAATTATACAACTTTGTAAATACTTCCAGATATCTTCGGTTAGACTAATTCAGAGTTTCAGACAGCTTGTGCATAGCCAACTGATGATCTCTCGCTGGGCTCTGTTTCCATCAGACTAATAGGCACTGTGGGAAATGGACATGAGCGTCTGCCGGCCTGCCAAAGAGAGGCTGGAAAGAAATCTCAAACAGTTAAAGAGAAGACAATCTTCTCAGTGTTTGAACTCAGTGACTTAGAGAGGGTGATATGATTGAACTGCACAGGCACTGTTTGCACTCCAGTTCTACATGAAGTCATTACAAATTGCAAAGATAAAACAAACTCCCTCCACACATTTATCAGTCTTTTGCAGTAATAAGTGTACCGATGGTATCTTTTATAACATGAGAGTTTTGTAGCCTGTAAAACAGTATATCTGCACACTTTTTAAAATGCTTTTTGAACCAGTTGTCTATCAAATTTTAGACAAATACTTGTTTGTTTTGCTTGACATAAGAATTTAACTACAGTCTCTCCTAAAGTACGTCTATTGACTCTCAGCTCCCCTGTGGTGTATGTATTTACTCTCATGTTTCTGCAGATGAGCATGCACTGAACTGCTCTGTAAACTTCCCTCTCCCACTCAACAGCTCCTTGAAGGGTGTCAGTCAGGAGTGCAACAAATAAAAGGGTGTGTTAGTCTGTTTATGCTCCACACATGGACTTCGAACTGCCAATTGCACCTAAGAGACCTTAAAGCTGCTTCATATACAGTTAATTCATGTCTGTTTTTGTAGGGATTAAAACAACACCATGATTTAATAATGCACCACATCAATAACAGACCTCTTAACACATAAATAACAGCTTGTACCACATAAACTGTACCAGAGAGGCCTCCTGTACAGCTGTTTGATTAGCACAAAACAAATTTTCTCAATGTTTTATGTGTTGTGTAAGAGAAACAGAAGAAAAGTTTAACATTTTTAGAAACAATCTTAACTGTATTATCTCTGTAAGGCTAGTGAGCAGATTTGTTCCACTCTAATGTCTGTGAAGTATAAAAAGAAAAATGACAGACAGTGTGAGGTGCTATCCTCTGCTGGCCAACTTAAATCAGCACTGAGACCAAATCAGGTTAACAACGCTAAATAAACAACAAAACTAGGGACACTCATAATGTACTTCATTTTAGCCCATCGATTTTATTGTTTATTCTCTGATTACAGACTGATATAGGGATACTACCATAGACTGTATATACTATGGACAACTTGGTTCTGCCTACCGCCTGTATACGGATTTGAAGCCAAATAGCTCTCTGTATTTCCAGGATTTTTCTTCATTTACCATCGCTATGCAGTAATTTTTTAGAGGGTTTCTGTCTTTCCTTTTTCAGGAAACTCAGAAATGTTAATATTGACTGTCTTATGCTGATGTTCATAGAGAGTATACTAACCTTCTGTATTCTTGTTTGGGGGAGCACTGTCTCTTTAAAACAGGAATAAACTTGATAATGCTGTCAAACTTGGTAAGATAACCAAGAAAAAAAAATGCAGCATCTTCTGCTGCACATACCAGTACATATTGAACAAAAAAAAAAAACACTTTCTCTGTGGTCTTAATACACACTTCAAACATCAGGGTACAGGTACACACAATACCCAGGATACCAATGGAGAGGGGCATCATATCCTTGTCTAATGAGCTGTTGGACAAACTCTGATAAGCAGCCCTAACTTTGCATCCTGCGTTTTATTGACATTGATACTATTTATTGCTTTATTAATAACCCTTTTCAATGACATCATGGTTTGGTATGTGTTGTCTTGTATAGTTGTCAATGTCTCCCTTATAAGGGATTTTCTGCTCTTGGTGTAAAGCAAATTCTTCCAGGGACGATTCAAGTATTTACGTTTATTCATTCATTGAAATATCAAAGTGGACTCAAATAGATAAATAGGATTAAATTTCCTTTGTGGTCTTGTAGGTAAAGATGACAGAGACAAAAACTAAGAGTGGGAGATGAGAGTGAAAATGAAGGACAGAGGTAAATCGAAAGAGAAATGAGTGCTTGCGTGGCTTTTCTGCTCCGCTGAGGCTTGAGTTGCAGGCTAAACCAAACTTTATCCGTCCCTCTATGCCCACAGTCTGAGTGCTTCATCTGCCCACACTGCAGAGGAGATGCCACACACTCAAACACAAATCCTTCCATTTTGCCTGCACACAGATGCTCCTACAGGCCTCAGAAGTCACATATACACACACACACACACACACACACACACACACACACACACACACACACACACACACACACACACACACACACACACACGAGCTGAAGCGCTCAGAAGAAATCAGAGCTGAAAAGCAGGGTGGAGCCCGCTCTGCTCTCTCAGCAAATCTTTTATTTTTGCACCTCAGCAGCAGCTCAGGCATCATAACTTACCTTCAAGATATAGCATTTCTTTCCCCGCTGTGAAAAGAGAAAGTGAGGCGTGTGTGTTTTTATGCTGTGTGTATTTTAATGGACCCCTGTGTGGTCAAGCTGTGTGGGTATCTTGTGGCCCGAGTAAAAGTGCTGTAACGAGTAAGCGGCCGTTAAAGAAGTGACAGGATGTGACTATAAACAGAAAGGCTGAAGAGGAGAGTTTATGACCAGCTGGCAAAGTGGAATAGCAATAGAGAGAAACAAACAATCCAGAGTAAAATCTGCTCATTGCCCCCTCAGCGAGGTCACAGATATATAACATCACTCTCTATATAAGGAGCCCTGCTGTGGTTCTCTCCCTCTCATTCCTTCCATTTGTCCTTCTCCTCTTCTCCCCTCTCCTCCCCGTTGGCTCAGGACGAGGAATGCTACCCAGTGGTGGCTGGGCATGGAGCCATGAGGAGACAGGCAATCAAAGCAGCAGAGTAGGGAAAAGATGAGGAGAAAGAGTTGATGAAGAAAGAAATAGCTGAGGAGAGGGAGTTAGGATGGATGATCATTGCCCACAGGAACATCATCAGCTTTTACAGCTGAAGTCATCACACTTAGACTACCTACCTCTCGGTGAAGAGATAAAAGTGCATCTCCTTTTGCGTCTGATTGATGCTGCTGTCTGTGTGTATGGCTTTGAAGCAACTTTACATAAAGATTTACAGGAGAAATCTGTGTCTGCAGAGTTGAACACATCAGCAGGTTAAGCTGAAACAGACTTTTAGACTAATTTGAAACTGAGCAAACTAGTGAACCAGCCGTAAATGTTTAAATCTGCACATCATCAGTGAGCTCATCAGAGCAGCAGCACTTATTTTCCATGTTGTATTTCTCGATTTGAACATCATTAAGACATAACTGCTTCCTCATCTATCAGTTCATGTTTACAGCTCTGTTAGTCCCTTCTTCTGACCTGGTTCATTTAACTTATGACTAAACAAAAAAGTTTCAAGAGAGGAATGATGGACAAATTTCCCATGAAATACTTCGAAGAGTTTATGTGGAGAAAAAAAAAATTTAATAGACCAAATTCCCACAGTAGTCATTTTCATGTGACATTAGACTCAGGGTGGGAAACTCAAAAATTGTGATCATGTATTATTACTGAGTTCAGGGTCATACACTGCCCATAATGGATGGTGACAATTGTTTGGTGGTCCATTAGCCAACCTCAGAACACAGCTGTAAACATGTGTTTTTCTTTCTAGTTAACGATTATGTTTAAAAACCACAGATATGATGAGAAAAAAAATGTTTGCACAAGCGTATTGATTTTTTAAAATAGATACCTACTATGGAAATGTTAATTTTTACATTGGTGTGTATTTTTACACAAGCAGCAACATCCAGGCATGAGGAATAAAGCTAATTCAGAGTTCATAAAACTGCGGTACCTCAAATGTCCACTAGAGGCTCAACCCAGGAGGTCTAGAAGCCTCATATGAGCCCATTCAGAAAAGCTGTAGTGAACATGTATACAGTTAATAGCTTGTTTATCGGCTCATCGGGTTACATTATTAGTAACTTACAAGTTTTGACAGATTTCTGTTTAAAGAAAGAAATATAGTATATTGAAAATACACTGGTTGCAGCTTTGACCCAGAGACAGTTTTGAGCAAATGTGCAATGTCACCACATAACAATCAAACTAAACTTTGCTTCAGTTTTTGCAGGATGTATGGGAATAATTAGCTGACATAAACGAAACTCAAAAGATGCTGGTTGCAAGTTCATTCCTGAACCCATGGGGGTCCTCTGAAGACATTTGAGCTTTATCATCTTCTTAAAACTCCTGTGAGGAGATTTTTAATGTTCATGAAATAGACTGAAACTCATCTTAGTCTTGGGACAAGACAAGGACAAAAGCAACACCATCAGCAACAAGATTAAGTACTTCATGGACGTGGTTTGAGCAGTAGAAACAAGCCTGTTTTTACAGTTTACACTTAAAGTCTCACTAGAAAAGAAACATCTGACTGTAAAAGTCAGCAGGATGAGACTTTTTGTCACCACTCCATCAAAAATGCAGAGACTTCTTTGTCCACAGGGGGTGCCGAAGTTGACACAATCAGAAAGTTCCTCGCAGGAGCTTTAAATAGACACCTGCAAGTATTCACTCCTGGATGTTTTCTTCCCATTCCAACTCTAGTCTTGCTTTCTCAGGTTTCTACCTTGTTAGTGTGAAGACATCCCTCCTCCTGTGATTTTGTTCCCAAACAGAAACTCCAAGCAATGTTAAAAGTATGCAGTTGTCATGCTCATTCGCAGAAAAGCCTACTCTTAAACCTGTTTTCCCTCACAGAAATAGAAATCATCAGCAGACATACACTGCTATTTTCACACATAGAAGTGATCACTGCTGCTGTAACACTGTCATTTGACGCCACTGAGTCAAACACAGTGAGAACGAATTACTGTGAGGCTAGAAAAATCACACCGACAAAACCACACGACACAGACCGGTCTGGATCACCACGCACATGTTGACTGATGTGTCAAAACACCCAGAAATCATGTAATACATGGTTTAGGTTAGGATAACCAGAGTGTGTGTGTGTGCTTGTGTGTGTGTATGAGTGTGTGTGTGTGAGATTGTAGTTGAGTGAAGCCAGCACACATGGGTCAGTCTTTCAGGTCGATCATCCATACGCAAGAACGCAGAGGTCAGACATCGACATTCCTCAGAGCGCACACACACACACACACACACACACACACACACACACACACACACACACACACACACACACACACTTGCCCTTTTTATATAGGGGCCTTGGACAACACCAACCATTGGATTAACAAAGTCAACACTTAGTACAGTTTATATAAGAGCCTTTGTTATCACACCTTCATATTCACATGCCTTGACAAGAGAATTCATACACTTATCACGACACACACACACACACACGCACACACACACACACACACACACACACACACACACACACACACACACACACACACACACACACAGCGTAGAAAACAGCAGTGCTCTGCCACATACCTCCTGTCTGTAAATAGCCGCCCTTCCTCTCCATATTTCTCTTCCTTTGAGTCTTTTGACAGCCTGTGTGAATACATAGATCATTCAGCCTCAGAGCCCGGCTCTCCCCGTTGACCTGAAAGGTGACATGGCCGAGGTCAGAGGCTGAGGCTCGGCTTATTTTTTCTGTCTTTCACAGAGAACTGTTATACCCACCAGTTCAAATGTCTTTAAGACATTAGCTGAGGCTCACTTGAATTTGCAATTAAGATGAATCACTTTTTACCAATTTTTAATTTTCTACATTTTAATTCTTTATTAAAAAATATTTGTTTCATTTCCTTGAACCTGAATCTTTGCATGCCTTTTTTTTTGCAAAATATATTTCTTTCTGTCTTTGTTGACTTGTCGATGTAAAAACACTGGATGGACTTTGTAACCCTAGTGGCATTGACTTAGTGAAGTTTCTGGGGTGGTTTGTGATATGAGCTCTGTTACCATAACAACAAAAAGAAACTTTTTTGGAGTAGAGATGAGGAGAAGACATGCAGTAAAGGATCTTGGCCAAGTGATGATCGCTGCAACCAGTCTCTGTATATGGGAAATACACCTTAACTGCCAGACCTAGCACAGCCCACTAAAACTTTTCTGGTTGAGACAAAAACTTACAACCCCGTCTATCTTGCCCCTCCTTGTTAATATTCTAATGCCTTTAATCTGCAGCTAGTTCACACTGATGACACCTTACTGTGACATTTCTGTTCTTAATCACAGCTACAAAGAGGTTAAATGTAAAGTTACTTTTATAAAGCTACTAAAGACTACTAAGATGAACTGTGCACTGTTACCAAATGAAAAACGTTTGTGTCACCGTTGTGTGCACTGTACACTTTTATGCATCCTCGTACATTCCCGTGTGCCCCACCCAACATAGCCTACTGTATGTGTTTCCATGCACAGTTTGTGAGTAGATTTATGACTGTGTGAAGCTTCAGTTATGCATTTTGCAAAGATGTAAGGGAAAAGCAGAGTCATGACAGAAACTTGTGGGGCTTTTTTACTACATGTAGTTTTTTTCACATTTTGAAGCAGCTTCTGAAAATTTGGCTTGTCTGCTGGTGTGATGCTGCTGTGGCTATGAGGATGTTTGTGATCCTCAAACATGCTTTAAGTTTAAATCTGTGTGAATGTCTTTTTTAACTACATTATGAAGAAGAGATAAATAAGTAGACAATGAAAATGGAAGAGTGTATTGTTTTCCATCTCTTTACTTTAGCATGGATTCAGGATCTGAATCATCAGATTTGGGATTTAGGTTTAAGGTAACTCAAAGAAAAGATCAAGATTGTGCAGTCAGTAAATGAGAGTGTGATCCTGATGAAGAAGAGGGAGGATCAGGATTGTCGCTGAGGTCTGTATGTGTTTGTGCATGTGCCCATTTTGGTGCGTTTTCCTGTTTTAACCTTGCATGGACATAAAGTGCTGTCTTACAATAGCCCATTGTCTCGTCTCCCCTCCACGCTTCCTGTCAAGTCATAATTCACGGAAATTAGGACACAGTGCAAACAAACAGCGGCAGCTACGGCTCTACACCGACTGTCGGGCCCTCCAGGAGGGGACCCGGCTTTGATTTGGGGTTAGGGTGTTAGCAGTTCTTCCAGGAAGCCAATCAGCATAGCATCCCAGTTTTAGAGACCCACATCAACTGTATGCATGTGTGCACCCGATGCGTGTGAATGCAGAGTGATGGGGAATGAAGCAGGAGGTGGTCAGGGATGGCGTGTGGGTGGAGTACAGAGAGGTTGGGGTTAAGAAAATGAAAACCAGAAATGGTGGGGAATTCCAATGGAGGCTTTTATGGTTCATAGTATATCAAATAGATCATGATTACACCTACACTGTGTCGGTTTCTTTGGTGGGAAAGTGGACAAAACATGAACACTCTCTTTTCCTGCAGCCTGTGCTCTGAAAGTCATCCTCCTTTTATTTCCTTCATGGAGATTTTAAAAAGTCAATGCTTAAAGTGTTTAAAATCTTCTGCTAAATGATGTATGATGTAAATCTGACCACGAACAAAGAGACTAAATACTGGGAACGTCAGGTGTCTGATCATGTGGTTGTTTGTGCCAACAGTTTAAACAACATAACTATCCTCTTGAACTTGAGGAGGTATCATGCAACATTTTGATGCAGTTTTTCATGCTGGCAGCTGTTGTAAATTCATTAGGCTTTCTCCTAATGAAATCTAAGGTGCAGTTTTCCATTTGAAGGAACATGATAATTTGCCGTCCTGCACAGAGTTTAATGAGATGATTGACATCCCTCCCATGTTTAAGAAAATACTCAAAAATGAGCTTTTTTGTTTTCTTAGACTCTAAGATGGAGAAAACAGCCAGCCTGGCTCTGTTTAAAAAAGCTTCATCCTTCTACCTCTAAAGCTAATTTAACAGTTTGGTCATGCTTTCCAGATAACTGTCTAAAAGAGACATGGCTTTCTGCAGGGGTTTCCAGGAGACCATGTACTATTTCATGTATTTGGCCAGACCTGTTGGTTTGAGTCTTCTCAGGGTGTTTTTTTTTTTTAATGTAAAAGGTTAACAAAATGTGAGTTGTTGTTTTGGAATCCTCGGGTATGTTGGTAGATTTGTTGTTGTTACTTTTTACACAGCTTGTAGTCACCAAACCAATCCAAAAAGTTGCTGTCATAAAGTTACTTGGTGATTGTGGTTCTGAGCCATCATGAACAGTTTTTATAAACAGAGAAACTCCAAGTGTCAGAAACAGTTGAGACAGTTATTCAGCTCATGCTGTCTTTTTCTGAATTAAGTCATCAGTGAGGTGGTAAGCATGAGTTTCCGTGTTTGGGAGGTGAAAATGTCTGGGGCTTTCCCTCATAATCAAAAGAGCACCTGAACTTTGAATCAACACAGTGCAGAGTGGAAGGAAACAATGATTCTTGCCAAGTGCTTATAAACTGGGACGAGGACAGAAGTCCAGTTAAATCACTTATCTGTAGCTTGCCTTAACTCCCTCAGCTGTTATCAATCGGATCAGGTTGCGCCGCTGTCAGTGAGTGTAATGTATGTTTACCTTTAAGCCAACAAATCTTGGATAAGCAGAGTCTAAATGAGTGCTTCTCAAAAACCATTTTTACCATTCTTGTATGATTCACCCTCCAGAATTATCAATAAATTACAGTAAATCACTTCATTCCTAACCGACATCCGTCACGCCAGTCCTCTAAAACCTCCACTGGCTTCCTGTGCACCAACGCGCTCAGTTTAAAACCCCTCTCCTCAGTTTTAAAGCCCTCCATAATCAGGCCCCTTCCTACCTTCCTGCACCCTCCAATCTACAGACTCTAACTTTCTCATCTCTGCTCTGAAGACCAGACACCAAACCTTTGGGGGGAATTGGGCTTTCCCCATAGCTGCCCCCTCCCTCTGGAACTCTCTCCGTTACCACATCCAGGATTGTATTAATATATCAAAGTCCAAATCCCTCAGAAGAACCCACCTGTTCAAATCTGCTTTTGATTGTTGATGCAACTGTATTTTGGCCCGTCTTTTTAATCTGTTTTTACTCTGTCTTTGAAATGTGTATTTACTACTGTGGTTTCTTCATTGTAAAGTGTCTCTGAGTGCCATGAAAGTGCCATATTAAAAAATGTGTTATTATTATAATTATTACCACTAGACTTTCTTTAATCAGCTTGATCATTGACTGTGATCACTCGACGTATAGATTCTCTGGGTCTCTGTTTTTGTGCCTTTTTAAACACGGTGAGGGAAGTACTCGGTTAGATGAATATTTTTTTCTCACGTAGTTTGGTTTTTAAATTAAATCAGTAAAGGCAGAGCAGACAACCACAAGCTTCATGCAAGTCAGTGTTTTTATTTCAGTAAAACATTAATATATGATTTTGCTGTCAAATTCACAGACAGGCTGTAGAGCACATATTGATTCAGGAAACACACTTGATGAAAACAAGACATTTGGGATTTTTTTAGGTTAAACAGTAAAACAGTCCCCCCTGAACACATAATTCAACAAAATCCTGCAGGAAGAAAGAGAGAGCTGGCACCTGTGTCCACTGCAGACTCCCCAGACGGACGTTTGGTTCCAGTCTCCTGGAAAACACAGAAGCTGCTGTTATTCTAGGAGTCAAATTAGCAGACGGGCCACTGAAGGTTGGAGAGGCCTAATTTAAAGCAGGCTGGTCGCTCGGGAGCAGATCATGTCGCAGAAGTAGGATTTACGAACTGGAGTTCATTCTCTGTTTTGATGTGAAAAAATACGAGCACTAAAAAATACGAGTGTGCTTTTTAAAAATGTTTGGCATGACTAATGTTGAACCAATTACCTGAAGCTCATATATGAAGCACAAAACTGGACTTATTATGATTTTATTGAATTTCATCTTTGACAGTGAGAAAAAAGAATGGCTTCATCAAGTGTTCATGAAAGATTGGTAGCTTGAAATTTGACATTTGGGGCTTATAAATTGAGAAGGATAACGTATTTGTTGTTTACAAGAGCCCACAAAGAAAAATGTATCCATCTTTGCTTGTTGTCTTTATTAAGTTAAATGTTTGAGCCATCAAGCAAAATAGAGCAGTCCTTTCCCACTGAGCATTTTTTTGACTAAAAGAGGTCTAAATGTAGCCTAAACGACTGGTCTAAAATCAGGCTGCCACAGGTCTAAAAATGAAAGTTTTTTACATGTCTACATTTAGACCAAGTCTAAATCTGGACTATATATATACTACACTGTGTATTGCTCAATGGCTATCATATTTATTTATGTTAAGTACTTGGAAATCAGTTATGCAACTCACAGTTGCTTTTTAAAATAAATAGTTATCGAATAATGGGTTAAAGTGAAATGTCTAAATTCTGTCCAAAAATATACAGAATCTAGACGGTTGAAATTAAGTCTAAAAAAAAAAAACTAGACGTCTAATAGCTAGACCTTTATTGCTCAGTGGGTTCTCAACAGAAAGTGAAGTACAGTCACGCTCAGGTGGGAAGTAGAACCATGTCAAGACCATGTCTAGTCCTGTGTCGCCAGAAGGGAGCCCTGGGTTTGACCTTTGGCATATTCTGCAGAGTTTGGTGAAATCAGTTTCCTAAGAATTAACAGAATCAATTTTGTGATAGAAGATTAAATTATAAGTATAAAAAGAGTGACAAAAATCCACTTTTGTTTTTTGTGAAATTTTCATAGAAATTTAATGAAAGAAAATGAATTTATTTGAAAAATCGACTTTCTCATACCAAGTTTAAAAAACAGTACCATTGAAGTGCTTTTCACAGTGTAACCCTTTTATGTTGCTAAGTAATTTGGAGGGGCACTGTTTCCAAACCATTGCTTATAATTTCAGCCCGCTGTTGTTCATTACCTGGAAACGTCCCTCAAATAAAAGATTGCTACATTACAGATCACAGCTGGCTCAGCAGTGATTTCTTTGGAAATTACTTTGGTAATTGGTTGACTTTCTTTGGATTGTGCTGCTGGAAATGGTTTCAGGTATCTGGCAGGCATTTAGTACTGTGTGAAAGTAATTTCCTGAAAAGACTTACCCACGTTCTGTCTGTGAAATCCTGCATCAGTCCAACTCCTCACTCCCTTCATATTTTCTCCCTCTGCTTTCTTCTGAGCCTCATTTTCTCTTCTTTCCCCCATGCCTTCCCTTCATCAACTTTCTGGATTAAGCAATGACGAGCTGTTTTAACTAAATTGTTTGCTAAGTCCTGCTCTTTTCCACTCATGTCAAGCTTGATGTTCCTCCACACAGTTTAAGAGAAATACTCCAAAAATGTTGGATGAGTTTAAACAATAACTCTATTCACAGATGTGCCTGATTCTTGGTAATTTCCCTGAATTTCCAGGTTGGGCTGCAAGTGTTTATACAACGTATTATCCCACTTTCTTACTTTTCACCCAGATGTTTAAAGTACTTGATTCTGATTGGTCAAAACCCCCTTGACAACCATTAATAATACCAAACAGCAAGAATGACACCAGGGACAATAAAATCACAAAAGTCAAATCAATGTGCAGAGAGGAGTCCCGAACATTTATAATATGAATGACTTCATCTCTTCCTGTTGACAGTGTGGCAAAAATGTTAGTGTTTGATAGCACTGGTAAACAACATTATATTTTATCATTACAATCACTGTCTTTGGAGAGTACAATCTGCGTACTCTTGGAAATCTGCATGACCAACGTAGCATACTTTCTGTTATTTCCTGTGTCATGCCCTCCTTCAAAGAAGATTTAAAAAAAAAAATTCACTGTGCAAGATACAGTGTGAAGTGACTGACTAATATATTCAAAAGTCCAGTTATGTTAAATAGCACCTAATAGTAGGCTACTGAATGTCTGGGAGTAGGAAATGAGAATTTGGTTGCTAATTTTTAGACCGAACTTAAGTCAATGTCAAGGCTAACTTCACCCAAACAGCTAACAATACACATGGAAGTAATTAAAATAAAGAATTAGCATTGTTGCTGGATAATAGCAGAGGTTTTAAGACCTGGTAAATTAAGTATTTTAACAACTGTGCCCTTTTCGGACCATTCAGGAAAGGGTATGGACTCCTCTTTCTAACAGTCCCCTTACTGACTGCTTGGTAAGCTACTTGGACAAACAAGTCAGAAGTTACATGTACCTTTTGTCCATGTCTTTTTTACAATATTTTCTGTCTAACTTAACAAGGGAAAGAAGGAGGACACATCAAAGAGTTGGGCAAACCTGTGCAGAAGCACCAAACTTTACAATATCAACATTTAATGCAGGGTGTAGCCGCTAACATTAGTTTCAGTAATATAACAGGAGCTATGCTAATGTTTGCAGCATTTAGCTGAGCTTTGTCAAATGTCCTGGAGTTGATATTGAAAACAGCACATTTATTAATCTCTTTAATCCATTTTTACACTTGTTTCTTATTTTTGAGTTTTGTAAACATTGAGAAATCAAACGTCAGCTTGTACCGAGTCATAGCTCCTAAAGTAAGCTAGCTCAGACTAGACAACCACCCCCAGGGTCTTTGGCAAACTGTCAATTTTCTTCTTGATTAAAAATCATGAATATTAATGACAAACTGGTCTGGCCTGGCTGTCAAAGGTTCAAAAGTAAATATTTCTCTTTGTCCTTGAGCAAAATGCTGTTTCTAGAGCCAGCACACATCACAGTGTTTGTACTCTCCAGCTGACAGAAACCATGGCTGAATCTTTTCTCTTCCAGACACAGCTTGGAAAAACTCATCAAGGCAACACGCCACAGACAACTTGGTTAAAGCCAAAGAGGCAGCTTCATGACACTCAGACACTGAATAAATCACACTGAGGGGTTAACACTGTCACACACTTATTGATAGAGCACAAGGCTGGTTTAGTGGTCCCAGACACTGACATGCATGTATTTTTCACCATCATTGCTACCACTGGTGGATGTATTTGGGAAAGATCTAACTTCAAAACCATTTGTAGGACTAAGCTCTGACTACCTCTCTTCTTTCTCCCTCTCTCTCATTCTTTCTCTCTCTCTCTCTCTCTGTTGTTTTTCCTTCGGTTGGATATAATTACCCCTCCATCATGCTCGGCAAAGCAAAACAGCGATCTGTATCTCCTTATAGGAACAGTGGCCTAGTCTAAACACAGGCGCTGTGATGTTGTGTATACAGATGTGTGTATTTATGTGGGTGTTTGTGTAGCCTGCTGATACATAAGACAGAAGTGGCTGTTTTGTCTGCAAGTGTTTTCACAGGATGAAATACGATGAATCACAGTTTATGTATCAGTACACATGATTGGCTGTAGGTCACTGTGTGTGTTTGTACTGGCTTTGTCACAAGATGCAGAATTATTAAAGAGTTGTACATCACTGGACCTGTTTGTGGGTCCACTCATTAAAAACTGGAGAGGGGGGTGTAATAATGGCAAAAACATCAAAAGCCTATTTTTGACAGCTTTTTTTTTAGACGGGCAGAAACCTCAAGCAGAACCAGACTCATTGTTGAGCAGCCATCTGCCCTGACTGGGTGGAGACAGGAGAAGAATGAGGAGAGAAATGGATTGAGACATACAAGAAAATAGATTTTGACCAAATTTATGGTTTCTTTAGAGGGTAACATTACTGTAAGCTTGCTAATATTACATTATCAACAGTCTAGGTAGGCTAACTTTAGCTTCTAACTTTTTTGGATACATCCTGGACAAATGTCTGTCAGAGTTTGTCCTTGACGTCTTCTTAACAGTTCTTTTCCATATCAAATATCCCAATTTGTGAAACCTCTTATGACATTCAGGCTCCTGCCTCAGTGAACAAGATAACACATGCAGGTCAACATGTGTCAGCCTTTGCTCAAAACTCAGTGAACAAGCAGAGCCTCACACTAAGTCTGAGTCAGGCTAAGTCTGAGTCCTTCACTTCAACTACAGAGTGCTAAAGCAGCCATGCTCAAGCTGGAGTATGAGTCTGAATCATCAGTGGTCAAGTCCAAGTGGAGTCACCACAAAATCAGCACTCAGGTTGGACTCGAGTCTGTGTTCTGGAGTCAAGTGCATTAACACTGCTGGGATAACCAAAAGCTAGGTCGAGTTAGGTCGGCATTTATGGTGTGATACCAGTCCTTTGCCATGGAAGCATCACCGACTGTGAAATCAGATTTTCTAAAGCTGTACATATAAATAATCTTTCAAGAGCAGGTATAATGCTTATTTTTCAGCTCTATATTGTCTCTCAGTTAGCTTCTTAGCAGGTTTACATGATTTACAGTTCAACAAACTCAACATATTTTAGGCTGCTGTCTTTGAAAACTTTCATTTGTCTGACACACTGTCCCTTTAAGGACCCCCATCATTCCAGAACTGAGCATTCTGGAGACCTCCTTCACTGTTGCCATACAAACAAGTATTGTTTTGTTTTTTAAATGACAATTTTCACCTTTTAAGGAGGTTCACTGTCAGTGGGACTTCACTCACTCTATCAAGATTGTAACTTAAACAAATTTGTTTACTGTACATTATGCCTTACATAAGCTCCTCTGATGATAACGACAGTAAGTGTTTGCAAAAAGAGTCGAAGGACAAAAGAGCACAATGCCTCCAGGGATGTGTGTGAGCTTAAAAGTCTAATGCAGTTTGAGTGTTCTTGGTTTTATCTCACCACAGAACACCACATTCATGAACTCCAACTACCCAGACAAACACAACACACACACTGACACGCATTCCTGTCATCAGAGGACTGTTCACTCCAGGTCATTACACTGGAAAAGCTTTCCAAACAACTTAGAGATAAGCAGATGCCAAAGAGAAAGTGTTTTGCCACAGAGTAAATGAAGTGTATGTTCATGACTCTCAAAGGGACCTGAGAGGCCCCCCTCTTGTGTGTTAATCAGAGACGAGTGATGAAAGTTCCTGATGCTGAATAAATCAGTGTCAGGCAGAGAAGTGAAATGAGCTTCATGAGCAAGCTGAAGGAACATAAGGTTTTTAAGATGTCAAAAAACTCACAAACCAGGGCTCACCAAGCTGCAATTGAGAGATATACGAGCCGTGAGAGAGTTGGAAGAAAAAAATAGCCGAGTAGAGCAAGACAAATGAAAAACAGAGGGGGGAGATCGTGAAAAAGCACTAAATTTGTAATCTTGCCTCCCTTCAGAGACCCAGTTCTGAACAGCATCCAAAAACTTGTGAGCTTTTCCGAACAAATAGCTGACATGCCTCAGAACAGAGGTTGTTTATCTTGGGATGGAGAGAAGGGGAGAGAGAGAGGAGGGATGCAAGGAGAGCCTGGGAGAGAGAGGAAGAGGAGGAGAAAGGGGGAGCAGGAACAGAGAGATGTAGATGAAGAAACAAAAGGGAGGCAAGGGGGGAGATGAGATGCTTGGGAAACAGGGCTATTAAAAAAACACAAGTGGCAGTTTCAGCAGATCTATAGGAATAATATTTGGCTTGTTAAACTCACAGCAACAAAGACATGAAAAGCCTTTAATATAGGGGCAATCAACAGGTCAAGACAGAGATTCAACACACAAGAAAGACTGTAATAGAGTTAAATCAGGACATGCCAAAAAGGCTTCAAACTATCCACTTACAAAGGGGGTTAAAGAGAAAGCAGTGGGCTGAAAAACACCAGAGTCTGCAGGAATAAGTGTCATAAAACACATCCTGCTTCACTGCCTTCATAAATTCACAGTTATACAACACATCTTTTTTTTTACTTTAATACACCTTATCAGCAGGAGGTGGGGGTGCAAAAATTAATCCAGATAACATATCAACTAAGATAATAATGTTCAAAAGCAAGAAATTACAGTTGCATACCTCACATTTCAACATAAGACTAACGATATACTGTAATGAGAAATCACCACTGTAACAACAAGACTTTGGACAGTGCTATGTTGTACTTCCCATATGGTGCTGTTACCATGACAACCACAAAAGGCTAATTTTAGAAGCTAATGAGATGACAAAAAACAAGGAAAAAAGAAACATCTTTACGAAGTGCGACATGAGATTGAGCCTGACACTGAATCAAGGCAGATAAAGAGATAAGCAAAATATCCACAAAGGAAAAAAAAAACATAAATCTTTACTTGATTTTTTGGCCACTAGGGGGCAGTGGAGAACATTGCTGACAATAGCTTTTTTGCAATACTGTTTTTTTACTAGTAAGGTGTGCTAAATTTATGTTGGAGGGCAGATGTCGGAGCTGGCAATGACGTTACATTGGAGTTGACCCTTTTCTTGATGATCAGTGAGAAAGTTGTTAAGTCATTAGCTCCTTTTGTTGTTAGCATCGTTGACTGATACTGGGTCATAACACCAATAACATGTCCACAGATAGAACTTACACAATACTGTTAGCATGATCTACCTTATTACACAGAGCAAGATTAACTGACTTATAAACAGTATTAAAAGTGCAGCTTTTTTACTGGTGATGCAGTGAGCAGCCATCATGGATTTTTGATTAAGGGTTACAGAAGTGAGGACTTGGGAATTGTACCATAAAAATAAGATAGGTTGGTTATACTGGCCTCTATTACGCATCCCGTCTCTTCTGAACTTGGATTGATTAGTGGTGGGAAAGCTGACATGGATGAGTGAAGAAATTCAAAATCTACTTTTTTTTAGCTGAAAGTGCTATGTCAAAGTTTTTGTGATGATACTTAATGCTGAAAACACTAAAATACATTTATTTTGTTTCAAAAATAGGGTATTATCAGTGAAAAAGCATTGTTGGTGGACTCAGGCTCAGAAAATAACTTCACAAACGTTTTCTTTATGTGCTTTTATAGGGGTTCAAAATGCATATTTTATGTGGTTTTCTAGTTTTTTGTAAATTACTGTGCTGCACTTTGGTAAACTTAGCTGCTTTTCAAAATGTGCCATGAAATAAAAATGAGCTGGATCAGTTTGAAACATGTTGAATCCCACTGGAAATTTTATGAAAGCTTTCTGCGCCTCTTGTGCCAAAAAGCCTGGGATTTTGGTCAAAAACATCCCAAGTGAATGTCAGCAAATGTGACTGGTCTAAAAAGACTGAAGCCTGTTTAATGAAGGTCTGTTTGCGTTGCAGAAAAGGCAGAGTGGCTGTGCCAACAGTCATCGAGTGTGGGCAAAGGTAGCAGCGAGAGACAGGACCAAATACAGACATACTGTTTGACACTGACGGGCATGGAATGTACACACACACAAACACACACACACACAGTAATCCTTTAGATGCTCGATAATAGGCCTTACTGTATGTACAGATTAAGATTTTGTAGTCTGTGTTTCAAGAATATACAAAGCCCCCTTTTCAGTAAACACACTAAATCCCTTATTATTTTAATTATAAGGTTTACAAAGCAAATGAATTTGCCATAATAATGACATTTGAAAACTTTGCCTTCCCCCTTCTTCAAAAATTGGATTCAATGCCTCCAAAGAAACCTGCTGTACCCATAAAATGCAGGCAGAGTGAATGCACCTTGAACCAATCAGAATAAAGCAACTTTATTTTTGCAAACCTCTTTTTCTTGACTGGGAGGGATTAAGGTTTCATTTCATTATCATTGTAAGGGGCTTTGAAATCCATAGTAAAAAAAAACAACATCCTGTTAAACAATTTCATAGTTAAAGATACTATAACTGGAAACTGTTATCATTTCTACAGTGTCAAAGTTGTATTCTTGACAATGTACGTTAACAGAGAACAACTCCAGTCATGTCAGATGAGGAAGGGTGTTGTCTGAAACAGTGAGCTATGGTGGTTTTCCTGATTTTGTGTGATTGTATTTGCTTCCGCCTTCCTACGTGTGAGCTCATGAGTGTGTCCTGTTAGTGTGTTGATGCATTTGTGTGTGTGTGTGTGGTACCAGAGGTGTGGGGGCAGCAGAGAAGTGTTGAAGCACTAAGAGGTGGCATGTGGTCGTGGTGTCACGGTGTACACTGGCAGACTAACAGGCCACCTCTGAGTTTAACGACAGACGTGTCTGTTAGAAACCTTTGAGGACTGAGTGAGGATGCCTCTGTTCCTGTTGATAAGGCTTTGTTTCCTGTTGTACAGGTCAGCCTCAGACCACTGACATGTGCACTTTATGGGGCTACACCTCTAACACGCTGTTACTCTGAGTGTCGGCGAAGTTTTGCAGCTGCTTGTTATGTTCAAGTTAATTTATTTGGTGTTTAAAGTTTAACCTGCTGAGGATCACATTTGAAACTCCACTTAAAACAATGACCGTGACCCTGCAGCCTGAAACGGAAATACAATAGGTTTACTGTTAGTGTTTGTGCACAGACACCGAGGGAGACATACCAAAAGCCTCATAGACAGCAATTAGTTAACCATTTGTCTGATGACTCATTGAAGCCAAGGCTGGTTTTCCTGAGCTGAATCATAGCAAACCTAAACAGTTTGACTCCAAAGGATTTAAGTTTTCAAGCAGTTAGTTGGCATTATTCAACCTCTATAATGATTTGATATAAAAAACTGATTAGGGTCACAAAACTATATCACCCATTAGTTGTAAAAACAAACAATATGCCTTACCAAGTAAATCATCAATAACAGCATCTTTGATTTAACGCCTCTGTTTGATGTTTCTATTGGTGACAATAATGCCCTATGATCCTATAAGCTGCAATATATACAAGATATGAATGTTACAGTATTTTACCCAGATAGTAGCACAGATGTTGTAAGATGAGGCATGCAACAGCTTCATTGTGTAAAGTTTTCTGGATACATAATGAGGCGGATAAGTCCAGTGGTGTCACTTATATGATGTATATGAACGTATATTATAAAGTAGGTAAACCTTGTTGAGTGCTGGTTTGGTTGGAAAGATTCTTGTTCATCAGATCCAATCCAATCAGAGATAAATCCCAAATAGGTCATTAAATGAGCAGCGAAGGGGGTTGGGTTTACAAGCCTAAAGGTGAAATCATACAGGATGCGTATTTGGAGCGTGGCAGCAGCGTTGCATATTACGCACTGCTAAAGATGCGTGGCGAGTCTATTTTTTGCTGCTCTATGCCTCCAATGCGTGCCAATCCGCACAGAGAAGATCATGCTAGACAGGAAGTCAAGCATGAAAACTGTGCATGTCATCCGGTATTTCAAAATAAAACACCATATGTGGACTCCTGACTGTGTATCAATTCGTGTAGATGAGAAATACTTCCTGGTTATAGATTTATCAGGAATGAAGAAAAATCCAATAGTCAATCCCTGATCCATGTGGACCCCAACAGGACTTTTAACTGTTAACTCTGCTAACTGAATATAACAGCACAGCATAGAGGAACATAGTTTACTTTATTAAACACGAGTAAACCTGCGAAAACAGAAACTGTAAAATCACATTGCTTTTTCACATACAGTAGAGGCTCAACGGTGACTGAATTACGCTCCAAATACGCATCCTGTATGCGATACCCAGAGCTGCTCTACGGAGCAAAAATGGAACGCCCTCAATACAGATCCTCTATGTTTTCAGCTTAAGATGGTCTGTTCCAGTCACTCTGTCAGTGTGGGCTTCTGTGGGCTTATGGAGCAAATGGAGACAGAAAATATTTTGAAAATGCATTTCATTTTGTAGATTGTGCAGATACAGTACGCTACTTCAAGCCCCCCCTGAGTACCTTAGTGGGCACCCCTGGCTTAAAAGTCTTGACACGCCCCTGCATCCTTGCCCATTAGAAATCCCCTTTTGCATAGTTATGGTTTGTTTTTTTGTTCAGCTTGAATAAAAAAGTAACCATATGTTTAAAGGGAACTTACAGACAGGAAGGAGGCCGGTGTAAGGTGGTTTCCCCTTTTCCACAGTTTTGTATAACATAACTCTCCCAACCTCCTCCTGGCTGTAGCTTCAAAACTGTAAAATAAGAGAATAATATGAGTCTTTCTGAGATGGTTTAGCACATAAAAGCCTGTGTTAGGGACGGTCAGATCTAGGTTGAAACTGGGTCACAAAAACATGTGATTGGTTAATAGACATTAGGTAAAATTAGTCATGATGAAACAATTTCATCATTATGTGTTTCCCTGTAAAAGTCAGCAGAGACTCAGCTGATACAGTCTGATGATAAACACTTGGCCTCAGACGTTGCTTAAGAGTTTGTAAACAGATAATCAGCCTTGATGAACATTTCAGTGAGCCGCTAATTCACACGTGTGAAACAGCCTAAGTGAAATGTAGGCTACATGTGGTCAACACCCCCCTGGTAAACACAGGTTTACGTCCTGCATCAAACTGCCTCTGACAGGTCAATTGGCATGTTGTGTGGAGAGACATGAAATTCAAGTGTGAAACATGAAGCACTGTGGGAGCTCCCGGTGAGGCTCTGTGATGGTTTCATTGGTATTTGATCCACGTCCCGCCCCTTCCCTCCTGCTCCGCTCTGCGACGCTCCTCACACCCGGCGCACCAGCGGGACAGTCCGGCTGCACCTCCCGCTCCGTCGGACCGCACCAGCCCGAAATAAAGTTCCACTGGAAAGATTTTAAACCGGACTCTTTAAAACTTCACACCGCGGCTTTTTTAGGTGAGTTTATCTCCATTTTTTTACTTAAAGTCACTCTGTAGTGTGATTATCCAAAAACAAAATGAGTCTATCACACTTTTAAAGTAACAGGTCCTCCTTTAAAGTCCTAAAAGTGCATTATAAGCATACGCTGTATATCTCGAAGAACATAGCATACTTAGACTGTGAATGCATTTACACAGCATTGCCTTTTAAATATGTATTGAACAACAACATGTATGTTTTAAGTGTCTTTTTGAAGTTTGTAAGCATCCTTATTCCATAAACTGTAGGTGCATAACATGTGGAAAAGAGCTTATCTTTGATTTTGTCAACTATTAATGCACAAAATTCTCTGATAAAGCATATAAACACAAATAAATGTATATCAGCTTTAAGAATGAGCCCCTTGCTGAGCAGAGAGACTGGGTTAACAGGTTCAGATAACAGTAGTACCATTTAGACATGTGAAAATGTTGACACAAACCTGCTATCATACTTTGATGTTAATGAGCTCACTGAAAACCGTGTGAGGGTTGTTTTTAGGGGTTGTAAGCTTATTTCTTTGCTGTAGTCCGACATGAAATTGTGTCTGCCCTATATCATATTTATATGCAGACCAGCAGCAGTATATCATTACTGCTCCCCACTGTAACCTTGGTCAGAATAGACTCACAGATTTTCATCACTCTGCCTTGTAATTAGAGAGGCTACATGACATAACCTATCCATTTCCACACATCACTAACATTACCGAGAAGACCTCTGATTCAGAGAAACGTGACATGGTGAGGTTTAAGCTGGTGGCCTTGAGGTGTTTTAATTATGGAGACAAACGAGCAGCACAGCGTTGGACTTGTTACAAGTTGGGGGCAGCGGCCTTATGACCCCTACAACCTGTCAGCGAGCCAGGAGGGAGGCCACCATGTGAAATACCACACACACACACACACACACACACACACATACACGCACACAAATACACATACATAAACACACACACACTCACACAGAGATTGAAGAGCCTGTTGGCCTGCTAAAGCCGCCAGTAAACAAACATGCACAGTGGGGATCAATGAAAAGCCAGTCTGCTTCAGTGATAATAACACAAAATCCATAAACAACATGCAGCGATGACCTCAGCCGTCTTTGCTATGGATCTGAACAGAGTTTTTCATGTTAATTGGATCCACAGTTTCCCTTGTTTGTGTCCACAGAGTGGGCGTACAGTACCTCCTCACATGTTTTGAGATCGTCGGCCTCCTGTGAGATCATCCATATAGTGTATAATGTGTCCTGTGCATCCTCTAATTATAAGTTTTATTAGTTACGCAGTACTTTTGAAAGCATCTTAGTAAATGAAAACAGACATTCCTCTGGTTGTTTTTTTCCTCTCTATTTTTTTCCTCCATCTTTTACCTGAGCTCTACATTCCTTTAAGAGGTACCCTTTGTGACCTTTAGGTGTCATTGACGCAACCAACCGGGAAAGGGTCAGTTGCAAAGGTGTGAACTCTGAATCCAGCTGCTCTGTTTGCTTTCACACCACAGGATTCCCTCGCTTTCTTATTCCTTCCTTTTTTTTCTCCCCCACATGGAGAAGTTGGGAAAACCGCTCCATAACGGTCCGTCTTTAACAAATGGTGAAGCCAACACACTGGGAGACTGGGATTGGTTGATGAATCCTTCAATGTCAAGTTGGCTCTAAATGGCTCCCGTTATTGTGTGCAGTTTTTATTGGACATTTACCAATAGTTTAGGTTATATCTGTTTAAAAGATAAAACAATTTCAGGATAAAACAAAGCCCTGTTAGTTGATTGGCTGCTGTCCAATCTGCATGTGAACCTTTCAGATAATAATTCATGCAGACTATTGTAAATCTTCCCTTGCTTGGAGTTGTTTACGCCTCTTCCTGTTTCTTCAGAAACTACCGGCAAAAGGGAACTAACAATACCTTCTGTCGTCTGTGAAGGTAGCAAGTACAAAGACAACTAACTCAAAAGACTGGACATCTAAAACCCAGCAAGAAGAAGATATATCAAATTAAATTTAGTTTTATGGAGCACCATCTGTAACATGGAGATTATGAGGTCTCTGTTATATCTGATACTGTAATTTCAACATAATAACATGACAATCTTTGTCAGCCATCACTTAAATGTGGTTAAAGACTTTAATTACATTTCAGCTGAGCTCTGTAGTGGATAAGTCGCTGCAGTTTTTCAGCTTTGAAATGATTGTCAGTCACAGTTTCTATATATATGATGTCTGATACCAAGACGCAAAATCGCTCACTTTAGGCAAAAAAAAAAATGTATACCTCGGAATGCTTAATATAGAGCTAGTACTGTTTATAATCACTCTACAAGTTCAATTTAAGAAATATTCTTCTACATGTTGCACTGACGAAACTTAATATTTAACTAATTTTAACTTACCTGCCTCCAGTTTCCAGCTTCTGTACTAAGCTAACTAGCTAACTCGCTGTTGCGTCTTATTTCTATCGCTCTTCTCATCTCATTTTCTTGTACTAAAACATGTATTCTTGGGACAATCCTCAAATTTTTTAAGAAATCACAATACGCTGCCCTGTAGTGGACAAACTTTGTAACAGTAACACTTTTAAAGTTGCTGTAATTTCCTTTTTTCTTTCTTTAAATCTTGCATTTAAAGGCCAACATGAACAATGGTGTCAGTTCATGTTGTATGTGAGATAAAAACTTAATATCAGTCATCCTTGTTTGAGTCATTATCAGTCTGAAACAGGTGACAGTAAAACTTTGTTCATTGACCTGTATTACAGAGAAGAAGAAAGTGCGAATCAAAAATGGAAGTTTTTTCGAAGTACAGAATAGATATAAACCGAGAAAGTGAGGCAACAAAGAGAACAAATTGAGACTGCCAGTTGCAGCAGATGAAGTAGGCAGGGGGCCTCAGAGAGTTTGGATATTTCTTAAAGCATGGAAATGTTTTCTTGCTGAGGAGGAAGTGTTTTGCTTGGATTTGTACCGAGCATGGACGGTGAAAATAGGAACGTAATTGAAAGTCAAAGGGTTAGCCCAAAAAATGCGGCCTTATCTTGTATGTTTGTTCACCTGGTTAGAGAGGTTAGTGAGTGAAGGACATGAGGAGAGAGGAGAAGAGGGAGGGGGCAGGGAACACCAAAGTCCAGCGCTTATTTTACTCAAGGCAAACTGTTGCAGAGTAAACATTTTTGAGTTAAAGTCATCAAAAGTAGAGATTAATGGGTGCGTGTGTGCCTGTGTGGTCCAGCAGCTGTTACAGTCCGTAAAACTCTGAAAGAGAAGCAAAGAAAAGACATGAAAGGGGTAGAAAAGAAAGCAAGTGAGGAAACAAACAGGGACAAAAATAGAGACAGAAAACAGAGGAGGAAAAGGGGGAATGAGGAGGAACAAACAAAGACAGAAAAGAAACTGTTCAGAGAAGAGAAAGGAAGAAAGGAGAGAAAGGAAATGAGCGGGAAATTATTTAGATAAGCAGAAAAAGAAGAAGAGAAAAGATAGTTGAGATCGAAACATGGTTTTAATCAGAGCTGGGGTTGAATAGAAGGATGGTTGATGGTCATAATTGAGAGAGAGACTCTGCCGACTGATGCTGGGCTCAGGAATGCAATCGTACCCACACACACACACAACACACACGGCTCCTATTAGACTGTGGTTATATTGGTCTGTATCCAGCAAAGCCACCTCAAGCAAATACTGTACATAGTGACATGGAAATATTTGATTCAGCCTGTCTGTGATGTATGAATGCTCTGAAATCCCCTGATGGATGAATTGCTGGAGGAAAACAATGAGGGGCTTGAGAGGGGAGACAAACTTTGACCAGATTTGCATTAAAAAATAATAATAATAATAGAGTTTTCTCATTATGGGGTTGAACAGTTTATACAGTATCTGCACAGTCTAGTACTGCATCATAACATATCTGTCAGTATTTGACACAAAGCTCAAGGCTCGAGTCATCACATGAAGGTTCTTGGCTTTAAAGTTATAAAATCGATGGAAAATGAGAAGTTGTCGAGGTCACCATTAAGATAGATATGGCAAGTGTCAACAGTCAAGGCCTCCACACAACAAAGGCAGGGTGAGGCAGGTTTATTGATTTAACCCATTTCAAAGACCAATGCAGGTCAAGTGCTCTAAGAAGGCCTCTAAGACCTGATTACCAGACTCTGAATCCACAGCTTGTAGTTTTGCTCAAATGTTAATTTTCCCATGCTGATGTGCTCACAACAGTAGGGCTGTCTTATACCATCATATATTACTTCCACAATTAGGTTTGGCTTGATAGCATGCTAGTATTTGCAGCTGATGAAAAAGTTGTCAGCAACGGAGCAGAAAAATTAAGCATTCACTAAAACCTGTAAAGAGGTCCCTGTGATGATTTTTGACCAGGTCTACTCACTGAACTGGGTCTTCATTGTCTTAGTTGTTTTAATGATACGCAAAATGACAAAATCAAGTATCTCATACATGTTGCAGACTCAGAAACCCTATTTCTGTTACATCTGTTACTTGTTAAAATAAAACATATTATTTTTATCCGATGTTTTCTTCACTTACCAACTGTTACCTTGTTTCCCTGGCTTCCCTTTAACTGAAATTTAATGTCGTCTCTTGTAGGAATCAAAGGCAGTGGAGGAGCTGACCACAGCAGTAGCAGTCAGGTCTTGGCCAAAAAGAGGCGCCCCACTGAGAACAACAGGGAAGATAAAGGATTAGAGGATAATCCAGGGTACGTCCAAGTCCCTCCTGTTGAGAGGTCCCCCTTTTTTGATATCCAGGATTTATGCAGGGAGGCTGCTGAAGGGATTATAGTCTTACATTTATTACCTTTCAAAGACTTAAACTGTACTATAGTTTCTTTTTGTCTTTGTGGTTCTGTTGGGGTTGTTTGTTTGCCTGAGGGTGCTGGCTGATATGTTTGTGTTACTCAAAAACAAAGGAGCAAGCGCAGACAGAGATCACAGAGAGGAGGGCAGGAGAGTTCAGTGGGACAGAAGCATATGTGCAGATAAAATGAGCTTTGCCCAGAGGGGTCCAGGTACATAGGAGATTTCAGGGGGAGCAACCCCGCAAAGCTGTGGTCCAAGGTCTTTAACGGGATTACGGGCAAAGACATGACGACAAAACACCAGGGCTTTCTGTAAGCACGGTAAGAATAATTAACAACTCCATGTTTATTCTTGTAATACTTGAAAGTTTGATTAGACCGAGGGGTTCCTGTTCATCCTGGATACAACAAGGCTGACTTTCCCCTTTTGAGTCAGGACATATTGTATTGTGTCTGTGCTCACAGTCAGAGTCTGTCGCTTCGGCGTAGTTCATGGGAATGTGCACATGGTCCCCGCAGGCAAACACTGTATTGGATTCAACATCACACCTCGGTATAGTGGTCCCTGGCGTCCCTCTATGAGCCTTGATATGGCTCTGTTCGGAGCTGGTATGTGGCGTGTTTCCTCTCTCTCTGCTCCCAGATGCCCCTCTTAAAACTCCAGCCAGGGGAAGTGGAGCGGAGGGCTCGGGACTGTGGTCAGCGGCAAATTAGAAGGGCTGCCTTGGACCTGACGCAATACCCGACTCTTGAACCATAGCAGGTCATTAATGAAGGCAGACGGGACCATGCATGCGTGGGAGGGCAGTCAACGCTTAGCTGCAGCAGTGGAAAGCTTTTAAAGATATCCAGAGGTCCTTGACAGGGCTGCCATATGCTATCAAAATATTTAAGAATTGGATATCCATTACCCCGCTGGCAAAGAACAACAACAAGAAAAGGCCCAGTTTTTATCAGCCTCATTAAAGCTACACAGAGTTAGCGCAGACTATGGCTCCAAAGCTGATAAAAAGCAGTGAAAGTCTGTCAGTCAAGTCAAAAATATCGTTAAAAATACGAATAAATGAAAAAAAAAAGGATGTGGGGAGCTGCATGAGCTCAGTGATTAGACTGCGCCCCCTTTGTGTTTGCCATGGGGAGAAATCCAACCCTCGACCCCTTCATATTTCCTCTTTAATGACCGGTCCTAAAGGTGTAAAACAGCCAAAAAAAAACCTCTTAAAGACATATAACATGTCAAAAGTAAAACAAGTGTTCAGAATAAAAATCACCAAAGCAGTGAGGTTAGAGTTAGAAAAACACTTAAATTCAGGGTATATTGTGACATTAATCTGATGTAATGCTGGTCGTAAGTAGAGGATTGGTGGTGGTAAGGGAATCTTATTATTAGTTAAGACGTTTATAGCAGTGGGAACAAGGGTACAACAGTTAGCTTCAGCTTGTTAGCTAGTTTGAGAGCTGCTTGTGCCTTGCTTTTGCGAGTTAGCCACACCATCTTTATTGGGAATGCTGCAAATCGACTTATTTTCTCGTAGTTTCGACACAAATTGAATTCAGACCATCCAAGCAACTTAAGACCCTCGTAGGTGAGCGTCCACATGGCTGCGCTAGTTATACATGAGAAGAAACTGAAAATTAATTGTTCTGCTGAATGATAAAAAAAATCAGGGTAAGTTTTAATTCACCTTTTCAACCAGTGTCAGGAGAAGTTAAATACAGCACTTTAGTTTTATAGTTTTCCATATTTTTAATTTAATGTGTAATTAGTAACAGTTTTTGCCTTTTAAAGCTCTGATAACCTTGTAAAGCTCTTAGACGGTGACAGGGCTCCATTAAGAGGCGGCCTGGCAGTTCAGCGAAGTAGCAGCAGTGTTTCTTATCAGGACATTTCAGTATCTCTTCCTATCCGTCTGAGAATACTTTGCCTGTTTATAAACAAACCGAAGCCTGTTGAGGGAAGGCTGCTGTTCTGCTTTTAAAGCACGATAATCTTTTCAGTGAAATGTCAAATGAACTTTATGTAACCTTCAAGCTAGACAAAGCACGACAAAATGGAAGCAGGAATTCCCTGAAAGTCCACCCATTTCAAGGACAAGGAGCAGACTTTGGCTTGTTGTACAGAGGAGTGACTGTGGTCTAAATTTAGATGGTTCCAGACCAGCGGACTTTTGGAACGCGGAATCCTGAAAACCTGCGGAAAGATGTATCTGTCCAAAACGCTCTGAGGTTACTTTACAACTACACAGAGAGCAGCTCAGAATAAGAAAGCGCAGTGGTCTCTCACAGAATCTCAACTTTCACTAAAAAAGCTGCAAATGTCATGCGTTTCTGTCAGCATCCTTCAAAATAAAATACATCCCTGTCTACATTTTTAAGAGAGATGTTTTTCTCCCTGTTTTTGCTCTTCGTAGATGGTTCCATGGTGCGACCGCAGAAGCATTTGCAGCTGGATTCAAACCTATTTCTGAGCTGATGTCGACAAAGCCAAAGCCAGAGGCAAGCAGGGGAAACCAGGCGACCTGACCACAATCCAACCGTCCCAGCTGCTTCCAGGAACACAACTGCGCAGTGTTCTCCTCAATTTATGTCTGTTTAATTCAGCCAGCTATGCATAACAACACGCTACCAAGAGTGGGACAAAGTTTGGCCTGCACATGATAAACAGAGATAATAATCTAGTGAAGTATTTGGTGCTACAAACCTGGGCTTTAATCGTGAAATAACCCTTGAGAAGTATTTCTGGACGAATACTTTGGACTGACCTGTCAATGATTCTGGCAACCTCACAGAAGAGAAGTTGAACTTTAGTGGAGTGAAGACTATTCCAGACATCTTTTTAGATATTTTTTCAAGACTTATTGCACCATTCAACTCTGGGGACCATGAATCTTCAGGAAAAGCTGTCAGGCCTGAAAGGTCTTGTCACACACTCCCACGGCAAGCGCCGCTATAGAGGCGACCTCACGTTGGACATGATCAGCCCTCCTCTGGGCGACTTCCGCCACACCATGCATGTAGGCCGTGGAGGCGATGTCTTTGGCGACACATCTTTTCTCAGCAATCACGGCGGAACGGGGAACGGGAACAACGTAGAAACTGATTCTCTGTCCTCACCGGACAACAAGATCGGAGCCTTCTTCTCCAGGACGCTTCGCCAAATCAGGAGGGGGTCCGACAACAGACCCACAGGAGGACCAAAAGATCTGTCGCCGCCACCACCTGCAGTCTCTCCAATCATCAAGAACGCTGTGTCCCTCCCCAGGCTGGATGTGGATATGCCTAATGGGTGTCCGACTACCAAAGTTCTCTTTCCTGGTTCCCAAAGCACGCCAGGGGAGATGAAAAGCAAATATGGTGAGTAAAGCCACCTTTCTTTTGAGACTATATTTACATCTCCATGGATCAAACCACTTTTTGTGGTTTACTCAGTCACAAACCGACCAGTAATAATCAGCAAACCATTCCTGACTTGTAGAGAGTTTCTCAGCATCTTTAATGCATCACCTTCAAGCCTTAAGCTCACTAACTTAAAACTCACTTCTAGATACAGATGACTGCTGCATTAAGCAAAGTAGCTCATGTCAAACTTCTGTATGATGCAAAAAAATACAGGCTAAGTCAGAGAATAGAGAGTCAGCGTAGTGAAGCAATGCTAAAGCAATGGAGCTAAAAATAGAATGAACCTAACTTTATATGGCATCCAAAGTTTGTTTATACTGTGTCCAAGCTGTTAAAGGTTAATGTGGTTTTAAGTCAACGTACTCGACTGTTTCCACTCCTTTTCGTGACTGGACTTGTTTCATTCGGTTTGGGTAAATGGAGAGTAAAGGACCCGCTGTTTTTGTTATAAACACTATCCGTGTTTCTGGTTTGCTGAAAAAGCTGTGCTATCTCCACTGAAAACATGATTACTGAACTTGATATCATGTTGAACAGTCATTCAAGGATTAAGAAAATTACCCAGCTAAAATCCCCAAATTACACCCAAGATTAGGGGAGGATGTTTCCTTCAAATTAAATGGCACAGTTGCGAAACAAAGTGCAAGCGAGGTCAAGTGAGTTGTATACACTGAAGAGTACAGAGAAGAGCGAACCATCTGTGGAGCTGCAGTTTAATTGCCCATTATTTTTATCCCGTAATTTTAAACAGATTCGCCCCAGATGCCCATATGAATCACCTTGGCTCTTAGTCAGCGGAGCTCCCACTGATAACACGCAGACATCCAGACGGAGCAGGCAGCAAGCCGACTGAGAGGCTGTTTGAAATAACACGCCAAACACATGCCATGTACTGCCTGTGAATATGTGTCTGCGTGCGTGTTTGTTTGTTTTAACTAACTAACTGAGGCACTAACAAGGAAGTTTATTTAAAGCTCACTCTTTCTCCCTGCATCCAATCTTAACACCAGGCCAACCTACCTTATCTGTAGTACTGCCTCCCTGTATATAATCTAACTTAAAGTTTTGGCAGTGACATCAAGCTTCCCGTCCTAGTCTCTTTAAGAAGTCTTAGATGCTGGACAATTTTTAAATATGGTCTGAAAGGGATCAAAGACTTTTAAAATCCTGATTACCTTCAGATCAAGCAGAACACATTTCAGTGCACAAATCCAAAGGCTCTTTTTGACTCAGTAAAGTACTTTTTTAATGTGGATAGAAGAGTCTCTAAGAAATCAGACCTTTCTCCAGTATGAAAAGAACTTCAAACTCTCAGTTGTCTTTGGCTGACATAGAGAGACTGTGCAGCTCTTTAACCTTTTAGGTGATGAAGGCAGCAGTGTGTGGGTGCAGATGTAGAGGGCAGATGATTCAGTGTCTGCAGAGCAGAACAACTCAGCACTTTACAAGATAGGATTTGTGAGCTAGTCGTTATCACACAGGACGATCAGAAAGGTTTACACTGCCCCCTGTTGGATTTGTACCATGATTAAAGAGTCCTTGTGATGTAAATAAGACATTTTTATTTTTTATTTAAACAGCCTCTCTATTCAAATTACATCTATGAATAGCTTTGAAAAAATAGCTTGAGATTTGAAGTTGCCTGCTAATAATTTGGGATTCAGTTGAACAAATATTTCAGTGTGAACTTCATGTATTAATATTTGGCACATTTCTGCTCTCCAGGTCTGGACTCCGGTTTCGTCACTCTTCCTCGTCTCTCTCGCTCTGAGCGTCAGCAGCCCTCCATCTCCCTCCCCATTTCCTGCTCCTCCAACATCCACCGCGGTTCCCTGACCGACCCCTCAGATGCCATCTTATCCACCTGCTCCACCTCCATTTTGACCAGTGACACTAAACCCACCACTGCCTACTCTGACTCCCTCCCCTCCCTCGCTTCATTGGACACTTTCACCTTTGACCTCGGCCCCTCCCTCATGAGCGAGGTGTTCAGTCTGATCGACAGTCACCTGGATGATCCCAGTCACGTCTGGGAGGGAGAGGAGGTCGGGTCGGCGTGTGGGCTGACCAATGAGGGATCAGAGATGGACTCAGCTACGATTTCATATGTGGACTCGCTGCTGCGGGAGGACTGCGGCGGGAGGAAGAGCCCGCATGAGACCCAGTGGGAGGAGGAGGAGGAGGGGAGTGTGATGGAGGAGAACAGCGTTGGGCTCTCTGTTGAAGTTCCCGATGTGGTGATGGGGTCTCCTGAGCGGGTGAAGCTGGGGATGAGGATGGAGAGTGAGCGCTTCCAGAGTGCAACGGATGTGCTGGCACGCCACTATGGCGTCAGCCCCTTCAAAGGACAGAGCAGGATGGTGGTTACTGAATCAGAGATGATCATCAGCCAGCCCAAGAGGAATATCTCCTACAACTACATGGATGATGAGGATGAAATCAAAGTCTGAGACGAGGAAAAACAGACTTATTTCACTAACACTAAACTGAAGAAGTCTTTCTCTGATTTATGATTCATGTGATTGAAAAAAAATTACTTTTTTATTCTCTTTTGGTCAACGAGGCTGGCTCTTTTGACAGGATGAAAACTATAATCTACATCCAGCGTCCTCTATATCGGTCTTTTACTTTCATACAGCCATGCTTGGAGGATTTACAGTTTTAGAGCAAAACTGCTGCTGAATGTATCTTAAAGAAGTTTACTGGGAGAGCGCGTCTTCCAGAGGAACTTGGCTGAAGAATGACGGAAACGAAAAGGAGGCGAGGAAAGTGAGGATGTGCCGAGGAATGTGATAAAGTCTATCTCAAAGGAAACACCAACTTTACTCAAAGCAGAAACAACAAATCCTGTCATTCACTTTAAATTAAACACACTTCCTGACATGCGAGAGGGAAAAGATTGCAGTCCAGGTTACTAACAAGAATGGTGAAAGGAAAACGTAATCGAAAACACATTTCTGATATCACTACACGCTATGTCAAGTCTTGACTCAGGAATACACTACCATGAAAACAAAGGGAAGGAACATATTACATCTGTGATCTCAGGCCTCATTAGATTAAATAGAAAATGCAAACATCTCAGTTATGTAACTGCAACACCAATTCCCAAATTGTGGGGGTGTTGTTTTAAGAACAGATTTTTATGGTTTGAAAAACACCGATCCTACATTTAGATGGAAATATTGCAGACAAAATATAAACTATTAAAAGTGGAAAACTTGATAGTTTTATTAAAAGTATGTGCTCATGTGAAATTTGATGCCAGCGTGTTTCAAAAAGCTAGTATGGAGGCATGTTGAGCCTCATGTTGTATCACCTCTTCTTTCAACAACAGTCTTTGGGACGTAGGAGAGCAGTTTGTGGAGTCTTAAAAGTGAAATGTGGTCCTGATTTAGGATTTTTTTTCTTTTTCTAAGGTCTTAAGGTCTTCCCTTGAAAAAGCACAGTCTGGGTGGCAGCCTGTCAACTTTGTATTGTTCAGCATCCATGGTGCTTTCTCAGATGAGTGAGCTACAATGTCATGGGTACTTACCATCACAGACGCTGGCTCTCAAACTTTGTAGAAGCTGGGTGGTCCCCTACGTCTTTAGCAGGACAGTTTTCCAAAACTCCTCCATTCATCTTAAATGGGCTCGGTAATGTCTCAGGCATTTCAAAGTCATGGTCACATATAGTTTCCTCTTTGATTGATAATTTAATGGTGATGAACAAATGAGCATTTACTTTGATTTGTTGTCTTTGCACTATCTCCAATTAACTTCAGGGTTCAAATCATCGACTGTATATAGAATTGACGCTGTCTGCCTCCTCGCTGGGTGAAGCCACTGTGAGAACAGCACCCTCTGGTGACAGGCTGCAGTAAAGGTCATAAATCCCACCTCCTCCAGCAATCCCTATGGAACTGTGGACAAACTTTAGACTTTGCGATGTTGATATGTAGTTATTGTAAGTCTGGTTTGTGCTCAAGTCCTCTTTCCATTTTTAAAAGTTATGAGGGGGTTTATGTTTTCTATGATTGACACTTGACACAGCCTATGGGTGTACAAAGATTGCGTAGCTTACCCGGGGGATACGCTGTTTGAGCCAAGTGTCGTCACAGCAACTCTCCGAATGCATGCAACGCTACTGCACAAGTGGTGGAGTGCGTACAATGCTACTGCGCAATGTTTCAGAAATACAGAGAGCTTTTTAGCTTCAAATCTGTGTACTGGCGGAAGGTGGAACCAAGTTGTCCATAGTATATACAGCCTATGGTTTAAATGATTTCAAACCATCAAACTCTGTTTTTACATGTTACATGATTCTCTTCCTTTTTAAAGCGACTTTGGTAGTGGAGTTGTACATGGATAGAGAGAGTATAAGAAGTAATGCCTGTTTTTTGTGAGCTGATTTGTATAATTGCTGATTTGATGCTGCAGACCTCCTTTATAAATACTCTGTGCACCTTTTATGATAATGAAGTCTGACTCCTGTATTATTTTTATAGAAGAATTGTCATTTATTTGATCATTTTTTTACATAAAGATATTTACTGACCTCTTAGTAATATGCTTATGTGCTTTATGTACTAGTATGGGCACCTGCAGTACACAGTGCAATCCTCATCCTAATGCTGCAGTCAATACCAATGATACACTATGATGAAATGACAATAAAGATATTTTAGCTGGGTTGAATACTCATTTGTTTGCATAGTTTTCAGGTTTGGTTTAAAGGAGTAGTCCACTTAAAATCCTCAAACATATGTATGGTGGTCATTTTGCACTCTTTTGTGCCTGATATGAATTTACCAGGCTAAGACCTCCTCCCTTTCCTCCTGCAGGTGAATTTAGGGTGGAGCTTCAACCAACGGAAAAATTTCAGCTCAGCTCATGGTTTTTAAAGCATAACAAATGTTCAAAGTCCGTTACCACACATAAGCAGTATTATCCTACAGACACAAAGAAAAGTTAACATTTAAAAGCACCAAGTTTTACTGCCATATAAAAAAGAACACAGTTTGTTGCTGTTTTCTTTCATTTACCAAAAATTTCTTTATTTGCAGCACTAACTTTGCCTCTGGGAATCATTATGCACAAGTTAATAGAGAATAAATAAATCATGGTGGTAATGGAAACTTTGGTAGTCTATAAAATTGACTAAGATGCAACTCTGAGAGTCAAAATGAATGTTTTTATATAGTTAAATTGATTACACTGAGCAAGCCAAAAATGTCCGTTATAAAACCCTAGGTCACAAAACATTCGCTGTTAGAACGGTATCTGAAATGTCACCAGTAAAACAGGGATTTGCTGCCCCCTCTGGTTGGAAGTTTCCACCATGTCTAACTTTTGATTACAGAGAGCATCACTGATAACTTTGCTGAAACAGTGATGCTGCTAAGAAGTTAAATTATCCTGTAAAGAACTAAAACTAAATAAATCACACTATCAATGAGTGACACTGTCAAATTCTCACTGTGCTATAGAGGGAACCTCTTTTGCTTGTGAAGAAGGAGGCAGAGGTGGAGGGCAGTTCGGGGCTTTGAGTCCAGGCTTTTTCGGAGGAGGCTTTTTCAGGCCTGCCTGACCTCGGGGTGCTGGTATGGGCAGGGTCTTTGTCTCTGCAACAGGTGGAGCTTGGGTAGGGGTTTGGGCTGGGGCTGGGGTGGTGGTAGGGTTGGGAGGTGGAGGTGCTTGTTTTGGGAAGACTGGTGGTTTTGCTCTGGAGAACTGAACACTCAGCTGCTCGTTGGGCTGAAGTGGTTTGTTCAAGTTGAAAGATCGTTTAGCTGCAGGATGACAAAAGAAAGAGATTGTGATTACCAGAGAGCATTCAGAGAATTTACATTTAAAAGGGGTCGTTATGTATGATAGTTATTACTGATGCATGTCATCTGTAATACTGTAGAGAGAGATATCTGTACAAAAAGAGGGATGTACCACACAAACGTACACTACTGATGCTGCACCTTTACTTGTTCTTGGCAACTCTACCCAGCTTCGAAGAGACAAATTAAAATCTTCCTCTTTATAATAAAAGTACTACAACCCTCAAAATACTAAGAAGATTTGTTGTTACATCTTTACTTGGTTTTACATGACCATAAACTCATGGTGTAAAATGTAGGCTAGTACTGCTGTGGAAGTAACTGGACACTAACCCATTAAAATACAATAATAAAACATACCATACTTGATAGTCTGTTTTAGGTTTCTGGGACTATAACTTACTTGGTTTGCATCATATTGTAATAAAGGGGACATAAAAACAATACAATACTCGCTATTGAATTAAAGCTGCTATGAGGAACTTTCACACCTGCACCTGTATATTTAGCTCATGGTGATGTTTGAACCCCATTTGACATGGAGAGTGTTTTACCTTGACTCATCAACTGAAACTGAGCTTTCTGGGTGATTTTAAAGAAAAATGAGCTTTAAAAGCTTGATGGTGTCAATTTTTTTAACACCACAGCAGCAACAACAGACAGAGGGAAGATGCTACTGTGATCGGTTAACTGAAGTTTGCCAAAACAACAATGTGGTCACTTAAAAACTTTGTTGCATCATTATTGACTCTTAAACTCTGACTGCCCCACTTTAAACTACTGATTAAGAAAATTGATTAACTAAAAAAACACATCATGGTAAAATAAAAAAAAAGTTTAATAAGTTTCTGTTAGACTGAAAAAATAATTTTTCAGCTCCAGTTTGGGTGGATGGCATGTTTCTATTGGCCTTATTTCTTAAATATCCCTTTATTGTCTTTTGCATAATATTTGATACATAATTTTATGATACCTCTATTAAATCAATATGATCAACAAATTACTAAAAATACACCTTAAAAAACAGTCCGATAAATGATAAAAATATCCTCTTGTGGTTTATCAGATTCCAAAGACATCTAATGTATCAAGCGAGATAGATAAATATATCTGTTAAATTTTAAGGACATTTTGGATTTTTTGGTTTCAGTAGTAAGTAAAATACACATTTCAGCTCCAAAAAAATTTTTCATTTTCTGGCCATAATTTGTAGTTTTAGGCATTATAGGGATATATAAGGTAAATTTTAAAGCAAAACTTTCATCATTTTGATAAAAGCTTGAGTCTCAGGAAAACTGAGACTCTTTGAAGATATCAGTCACAGATTTCACCCCCAGATATTTTACCTCTTTGAAGCACTCAAACTTGGTTTTGTTCCTTTAATATTTTAGCAGCTCAGCCAATCAACCTTTAAATCCCAGTCTGAATTAGTGATCGATGCGAAGAAGACCACTTTGCTGCTTTCAGGATTCAGGAGCTTATGTTTGTCAGGCAGGCTAATGCTGTCTTTAGAGTGGCTGTTTTAGCTGAAGAGAGCTTTTATACAGTATGTTGTCTGTTGATCAGATATTCAGGGAACCCATCTAGTGGTTTTGTTGGTTAAACTGGTGAAACATTGCTGCTTCATGCATAGAGATAAAAATGAGGGTTACGATAACAAACAGTATGACTCATGAATCAGTTTTGTACTTTGATGAAAATTTCATAACAAGGCGACTTATAAGGGAAAGTATTTCTGCGCGGCAGCTCCAACAACTGAGAGATGACGCACAACCAGAGGCTGATATTTTTGTCAGTGGTCAGAGACTTCCTGTTTCCTGTGCACTTCCTGGTCATTACAACAAGAGCAGTAAATGTATTTTCTCACTGTCAGCTCGACTGAACAAAACAGAACTTGGACTTTAAAAGAGAGGAAACAGCAAGAGGTAAAGAACCTATAAGGGACGTCTCACTATAACAGAAAGAGATGTTTAAATAATGAGACACACTTGTTCCCTGTACCTGAAATCAACAGAATATGACTGAAGAAAAGTCAATATCCACCTAAAAGGACATTACAAATATTTTGCACAGGAAGGCTGGTTAATTTGTAGAGTGGCTTGTAAGATAGTGACTCATAATGTATCCTGTGGCAATGAAAGGGGCTTTCTGAAAACCTGTAATACCTCCAATAATGTCAAATGATGTCATACAGATTATGGCAGCTTGAGTTAGCAGAAAGCACGACATGGACTTGTTAAAACTGAAGGAAAAACAGTCTGTTTACCAAGCAGTCAGGTCAACATTTTAATGGTTTATATTGTGGTAAATCCCAGAGCTTGGCGTGTATTAGAAACCTAAGAGTCAGGATATTTCAGCATCTGTTTGACTAAGTTTGACTAATGTTGTAAAATATCTCACTTGTGAGTTCCCCAAATGAACAGATGCAATAAGAGTGTAATGCAACAAGGCCAGTGAGTCACATGCAGCAGAACAAGTCAGCGTCTGAGCTGTGAGACTTGGACTCACGTTTATATGGTGAGGAGATCTTCACCAGTGCTTTGGGAGACTCCGGGGGTGCCTCTAAAATCGGCTCCAGCTGGCCTTGCTCGATGCCCTGCTTTTGTGTGGGACTCCTGGCTGAAGGGCCGCAGGCAGTCGGACTGTCGGAGGACACGGTGGAGCTGTTGTCGAGCGAGGATGAGCTACTGGGTGTTAAGTTTGGGTGGGTTGGTGCGGTGATCTCTGCGACAGGGCTGGCCCAGGTGGTAGAGCCACTGCGACTCACAGAGCCAGATTTCACCAGGAAGAAGCCTCCACTGTCCTGAGAGGCCGAACTGATGTAGAAGAAAAAAAGTTACACAGAGTCATCCTTTAATGTCAAAAATGCGCGGACCCAGAGATACACAACACTCCTGATATAAAAATGCGCAGGTGCAGGTTAAGTGTTTCAGTATTTTTCAGCCAGGCCAGTCATGACATGATGTTACACTTTGATTATAATGTGTCTATCCTGTCCTCAGAGGGCAGTACCTGTTTGACTTTGAGAGTGGGAGGTGATAAGAAGAGCTGGAAGATGTAGTTGAGGAAGAGGAGGAGACGGTTCTGCTCAGTTTCTCCCTTTCTGAGATCAGAGACTGGGCAGCAGGAGCTGACGGGGTCACATCTGGTACCTCTGGAAGTTCTGGTATCTCAAAGGATAGAGCTTACCATGAAACGAAACAATGAGAACATACACATCAGTGCGACATCAGCAGAAAGGATCTGGCCTGCTGTGTATACATGCATGAATTTCCTGTGAAATGGGTGCGATGACTTTCAGATCCCCCCCCAAACAAACAGATCTAGGTTAGCAGTTTCAAAAGTGGGTGCAGGAGGAAACAAGTGGTGCCTGCAGTGTGGAGCGATGGTGCAGCACGACTTCTTTATTTACAGTGTGTCAGTTATGGGTTTCAGATATTTTACTACCCTGCTTTATGTAGTCAGATGGGTGTAACATGATGTTAAGAAGAAAATCTAAATCAATCACTGCTTCCAAAAACTCCTGTATCATTCAGCTATTCTCAGATCAGCTTATTGATGCCTGCAGTTACAAAAGTCTGAGTCATAGTGTAAGTTTAGATTCACATAACAAAGTTAAATGGCATCAAAACATCATTTGGATACTCAGTCTTGAGGAAGTACATTTGGCGAAAAAACAAAACAGAAGATTATTTTGGTTTCAAAAGTGCTGACACAGTTCCTTCATATTTCTGGACTTTCACAGGATACCAAAAATAAACAATCAAAAGAAAAATGCAGGAAGAGACTTTTTTTGTCCTCTGTGCGACCAGGAACTTTTAAAGATTGAACTAGGCCTAATGTCAACTGATCGTCTCATCGCCCGTGTTTTTGCAGAATTTACAGATTTGTTCAGGATAAATGTGACAAAAGCATTATTATCATAGCAATAATAAAAATGATCAAAATGATATGGTGGAAGATAAAACAGAGTGACTATTTACATCGTCTCTCACTGACAGGGCACATTAGTTTTATCTACCTTCAGGGAAGAGGCTGGAGCTGTACTGAATCAGAGGCTCAATGACTGTCACCACCTGGACTGATGAAGCTGATGCCATGTCAAACAGAGCCACTTCACTGAAGAGGCAGAGAGGGAAAGAAGGTCAACGTGTGGTGAAATCAAGAGTGTGAATATTCACGAGAAAAAGTCAACACCCAGAGGGTTACTACAGGAAAATAAGACGTTATGACAGCGGTTGTCTTAAGAGGAAAATATGCTCACAGAGGTTTAAGCTCTCGGGAAATTTGGTGAAATCTGTGGCTGCCATGAATGCAGACAGAAAATGGCAAATGGATTTTAAGCAAAGCTCACAACACTTCATGTTTTTTTTATACACAGACAGTATAGTGTTGTTCAGTTTAAGCAGCAAGTCAGAGAGGTTTTGTCACTTCTCACCCCTCAGTTTTAGGCCAGAGCAGATTTGGTCCCAGGACGATGGCAATGTTACTGGGTGTCATCTTGTTCACAGCCTGCTGCTCAGAAAGCAGAGACAAGAACTGCACCAGGTACCTGACCGGGAGAGAGAGAGGGGGGAAACAATTAGACCTGCGAGTATGAAATCAGTCAAAAGGTGTTTCTCGACCAAAAGCACCCAGAACTTTTACTTCCAGGAACTAAATCATTCATCAAATACACAATAATTTCTCCTTTTGGTGCCTCTATCTGTTAAACTTTCTCTTATATTGTAAACATGATTGTTTTCTCATGAATCTAACCCATAAAACTGTTGTTATGGCCAACAGGTTCACTGACATGGAAGAAAATGTACATCAACAGAGTCAAACTTCATAGATATACATCATTTACATAGTCCAGACTCTCTCTTCTCTCCATTGCGTGTGTGTGTACATCTGTGATGCCACTATTTTATCTATAAATTGATGACCTGTTTTTTATTGGTGGTAAAATTGCCAGGTTTTGCCTCCGAAAGTCCCCATGCCATTGAAAAGAACTTACCCCCGAGCAGAGGGGCTTTTCAAGGGGTATGTCTTTTAACCCAGAACTAAACTGAGACCCTAGTTTCCACACAGTTCTTAGGGGAAGGTCTCAGAAAGGTCCCTAGACCCTGGGAAAAGTTCCAGCAGTCGAAAAAGCACCTAAAGTGCCTGACAAAGCTGACTTTGCAGTGCTGTAGGTTCACAGAACGACACCATTGTGACACTTTGCTTAATGTTCAATCTGAGTCGTTTAACTGTGGTTATTCCCATATTTTCAAAACATGTCTGACAGACTTAAAATGAGTTTGGTGTCACGTTTGCAGCCCTTAGATGCTGTACTATAAAACAGCACTACCTTGAGTTCAGTGCTAAACCCTGCTTGCTGACACCAGCTTGCTATTACTGGTTCACTAACATCTGTTTGATACTTTCAACTTCCTTAAATCATCCTTCTTTAGTATATAAAATTTGCTGGAAGCACCATTAAGTTTGCTAAATATTATAATTGTTACTTGCTGCTGGTATAACTCAAAAAGTTGGAGACTAAGAATGTTTGCAGTACAATTGAAACAAAAAGCAGAGCCAACCAACATAGTGTTACTATAAGGCTAACCTCTGGTTTTGATGCAGGTGTGCCATCTTTTTCCTAGAATGTGAACTCCTCTCTTTACAGACGTCATCTACAGTTTTTAATGTTCCTGAAGACTGTGTACAGTGAATACACACCTGAGGTTGTTGTAGTTTTCAGGCGGTAGCTTCTTCAGTAGTACCTTGAACTGCTCCAGCTTCTCTGTCGGGTCTTTTTCTCTATTAAAAAAATAACCAAACTCAGGACACAGACTTGACTATTAAAATGATAGATGTTTAGGAGGTATATACATACCCTGCAGCTTTAAACCAGTCATTGTAGAGTTCAAAGGTCATTAGAGGTTCAGGTAGTTCTCGCAGGTAGCACTTCAGCGCACCTGTAATTTCACATTCAGAGACAAATCAAAGTTGCACCTCAAAAGCGGTAAAAAATGATCTGCATTGCTTCCAATCCTGGTGTTTTTAACTGTCCATATTGTTGTCTTGGAATTCACTGTTTCCTCTCTATCATTTTATTAAAATCACAAAACTTTTATATAACTTTGTAAAAAAAAAATTTGCACAAATAAATCTCTGCATTTTACATAACCGGAAGCTGCTGCAGGGGTTTTACAAAATAAATAAAAAACCATCAAGTTGGGAAAAAAGGGAAGTTGGAGTGAGCAGTGAAAGTCACTTAGGCTGAACAGGGAAGGAGCAGCGGAGACCACCCACAACAGAAAGTCACCACAGGGAAATCCCTACCGGCAACAGCATGAGGGTCCATGCTGAACTCGCTGTGATCGACATTTTCCTGATCCAAACAATTCTTCAGCCTTTTTACCACTGAAGCTGCTGCTGCCAGACGAAACAGGCCCTGAAGGAGAAGGAAGAGACCAGGAACAATGACGGAGAGACAGTGTTAATAAGTAGGACTGAAAACAAGACTGCTTTCAAAAATATAATAATAATAATAATAATAATAATAATAAAAATAAAAATAATAATAATAATAATTATTATTATTATTATTATTATTATTATTATTATTATTATTATTATTATTATTATTATTATTATTATTATTATTATTATTATTATTATATATGAATTGGCCATGGCATCTGCACAGCAATTATACCCAGAAGTTAAAGATGCTAAATGTTCAAACAACAAAAGTGAATGCTTATCAAATCGGCCAAGATGAATTTATCAAGGAGTTTTTAACATCTCTTAAATGTATCTGTTGTTAAGTCCTGGTGTTGCCTTTTATATTTTAGCATATTAAAAGTTAAACTCTGCAGAAATAATTTTAGTTAGTCAGGTACTCAGCTGGTCAATCAGTTCAACAATTTACTATTATGGTTTTATTTTGATAATTGATAGATTACATATGGTTATAAGTAAAAATATCATGGTTGGCATGGTAACATGGTGCTGCATTCATGAGCTGCTTAGATGGTTCCAGTTGTACAGCAGGTGGGTTCAAAGTTATCTAAAGTCTAATGAGGGTTAATGCTTGTTGGACGTCAGGGACCAGATTCCTGCCCAAGTTTTAGAGTTTTCCCAACTTGGGCAGACATTCACACACATTTCATTATGTGTCTAATGGCACCTAAATGCAACATTATACCTTATAATCAAGCTGTGACTGCTGGAGCTGAAAAATAAAACTGATGTAGTGGTACCAAAAAATGCCGTTCCCTGGTTGTTCATCGGAGATGAGCTATGAAGGCCAAGAAATCCTTGACAATACCCTTTTTTACAGCACAAACAAATATTTTTATGACCTCGTAATTGAAAGAGTGAATAAATAAATAGCAGCTCTAGTTTTTATTGCCTATGTGCATGAAAACTATACAGGTCTACCTCATCTTTTTTCAATTGCATCACTGCTTAAAGTCATGCATATAAAAAAAAAAATCTAAATATCCATTCTTGTGTTAATTTGATGAGATTTAGAATATAATGATTGCTACAGCTAAATTTGATAGCAGTCCCAAAGCTAAAGGCTGAAAATAAATTATTGATATTGGGAAATTTCAAATGGTAAAAGTACATTCCTGCAGATCTGATAATGAAAACAGGAACAAAATGAACTTGAGATAAACTTTCTCTGCAAATTAGACTCATGTAGATAAAGGCTGTATGCTGCAGCTGCTCTAAGTGATGAAGTGAACTCAAAACCAGAGTTTTATGAGCGTATGATTCAAAGCGTCTTGTTTTGGCTTGTTGAACTTCTACTCTCATGCCCTCTGTCCTACCTCCTCTCTCATGCCTGTTCTCAGCAGCATGTGAATACACTCCTGGATAGGTGCAGCGATTTCTCTCTCACTTTGTGACAGATGAGACAGCAGAGGTTCTCCGTAGACCTTCTGCTTCGAGAGGCTCAGCGGTGACCCTGTGAAACCACAAAAGTATTCAGAGGAAATAAGAGCACATGTCGAAATACTACAGTGGAGCTGAAAAATGCACAAATTGGTGCCAGCTAACTTCACCTTTCTGACTGTGATTTTCTTTGAGCTCGCTGATGTTTTTGTCCAGGAACTGGAAGGAGTTTTTGTGGTACTCTGCCTGCAGCTCCAGCAGCTGAGGTCGAAGACAGAAATATTACAGGCATCAAGATAACATTGTTATGTGTATTTTCTCAGAGATCCAATTGATAATTTTTTCCACACTTAAAAACAGAAGTAGAACTCACACGTATGAAGTAGTTAGCGTAGTCCTCCTCTTTAGTCATGAAGTGATACAGATCTGCAGAGTACTGGTCCTACAGGCACAGAAAGTGGTCAAGGAAAGAAAGAGTCATTTTGAAATCACAGAGTAGTATCTCAGGTTTGGTGTCTTGCTCATCAACACTGCACCAGCGATGGATGCATACTTAGGTGACCTGGAAAAACTCTTACCTTGATGCTCTCCAACCTCCTCCAAGCTTCTTCCACTTCCTCCCTGAGTCCATCCTGCTTTGCCTGGGGACCCGTGCTGGCTTGACTCCTGAACTCACACAGAAGGAAGTGTAAACTGTATATCTGTGTTGCATCAGAAGAAGCCTCGACCGAGTCTGTAACTCACCTGGTTCTTGCGTTGTGCCAGTCTGTAGTGAGCTTTGCAAACTGCTTCTTGTTCTTAAGAATTTCTGGTAAATCATCCTGGGAAATAAACAAAGAAAAAAATCTTAAAACTTCTTATTGTGCTAAAACTATATGAAATCTGGCTTTATTTCTCTGCTGATTTTGTCTGAACACGTGTTAGTAGTTTGTTTTTCTATCCAGAATCTTGCCCTGCTTTCTTATGACACTTAGATTTGGCACCCTTTTTTTTATTTTACTTTAGATTTGTCACTCTCTGAGTGTCTGTAGTATGCAAAACAAAATGCTCTTTTGACACCATGTAGTTTATCATCTTGTCTGACACCTACCCCACAGCTGTGGTCAGTCTCTATTGTAATAGCTGTTGTAGAAACTAAAAAGATATCAGTATCAATTTCAGTCTGCTTTAAAACTCCCCACATGGAGCTTTAAGGGAAACTCCTTTTGTTTTCTGTTTGTTTTCTGTTTGTTTTTAAGCTACAGCAAGTTGTCAAGAGCTTATTACAACTTTCATAAATGGAGACAGTGACGCACGTAAAAGCAAAAAGCAGCTCGATGAATTTATTCTGAGAATGGAAAAGGAACGCCTGAAAGCATAATGCAACCTAATATTAGACTATGCAAGTGCAAACAGTTGCACTGTTGTTGCATAACCGTCACTTTATTTACACTTGTTGACTCTGAGGCTTTATTAGAAAGTTGTTGCTATCATTGAGCAACTTCAGGTCTTTAAATCTGCCTCCACCATTATAAAGAATTGAACATAGGTCAAAGAAGAAAATTAAAATCAAATATATTTTTCTCAAACATGATTTCTGTCATAGTAGTAAGCTCATTTAATGCTGGTTTATATACAAGTGTTAATTGTTCCAGTAGTTTAGATACTTCACGGTAAAAGAAGAGGATGTGATATCATGATTGACAGCTGTGGAGATAAATGTAGCTTCCAGTAACGTTCATGTCCACATTGGCAGATTAGATATTGGTGAGTATCAAACACTAAGTCATTGGCCTTTCCTTGAATTGTGGGTATTCTGCTCATTAATTGCTTTTTTATTTCCCTTTTGATGAGAATAAAAACAGTTCACCACACATGTCATTATTTAAGCAAAACCCCTCTTGTGTGACTCTCATGTAACTTTTGTGAACAAGCTTTTCAGAGCAGCCTACAGCATACAGAATTTTCCACAAACCATCCATCAATCATCATCAACCTCAACCTTGATTTACAAGTTTCTCACAATGAGAGGCATCTTGACCATGTTGGTGGTAGGTTGCATCTTATTCTAGTTTAATAAACGGGATCGATGTTACTTGAAGTTACAATAAATAAAAATAGAGTTACAATAAAGTTCTTCTTATTCTTATTCAAATGTGGTTCACTGTATGGACAGTCTCTGCATGTACCATGGCTTCATCTGTGGGATATGTTCCCATGAAGGCGGTCTTTTACCTTCAGTTTATGGTTATTTTTTCTGGTACAGTTTTAACTTTATTAGAATGACAGATAAAGTAAGAGAGGACATATGTGGAGTAGAAGGTGGGGGACAATGTGCAGCAAAGTGTCATGGCTGGGTGTTGAACCAGTGACTTTTAGACTCTGTACACAGGGTGGTGCCCCATCCATCTTTTCACACAGTCAATGGTCTTGTCATTTTGTCTAACAACTTCATATGAGCCAGCTCACTGAATATTGCCATCATATCTGGCTTTTATTCATAATCAAACTTTAACACTCAGGGTTTTTGTTCAACTCTCACCTCGCTGAGCTTGTTGAGCGGCTCCAAAACTTCCTTCTCCACTTTCATCTCAAAGTCTGCGAGCGTACTGGCCAGTATCTTCTCCATGAAACAACACATCTCCAATACTCTCCTGCCACATACACACACATCAACACAAACACAGAGCTTTTGGTCAACACCTCCTAAACAGAAGAATCACTGCATGAAGACAAACTAGAACAAACCATCTAATCGGGACAATAAATAAATGACATTAATAGAATTACGAAGTTTGCAGACAGTGTTTAGATCCTCAAAAATAAAATAAAAAACAGTAGATTTGAAGGTCATGAGGTTCCCACATGACAGCAGTCAACACATACATGAGTCAAGAGTCCAGGTGAAGGGCACATATTGATGGGGGGGTAAACAGAGGGATAGATAACAGCAGAAAATCAAACCTGTCACCTAATAGAGGACTCTGCATCAAAGTCTTTGAGGCTCTCAGCCATGCTGACGGACAGCAGCATCAGAGGAAGCTTTTTCTGCAGAGACAGATACAGAGGTTACACAACAGGACTTACATTTACCTCTGTACCAAAGTCACATCTAACTTTTTATACCATTTTTTTTCTACTTCAACTTCACTCTGCTAAAACTATTTGACTGTTTAAGTTACATTTACAAGTTATTTACAAGTTTGGATTTTTTTGCAAGATATATAGAGCTCATTTTTTGGCAAGTTGCTTTATTAAAAGCCAGCCATTACACGTAACCTATTTACCAGTAGATCTTAAAAACTTCACAAATACTTTTTCATGGTTCTATCTTCCTCAATGTCAGGATTTACTGCTTTGTATTGAACATTATTTTAATGTGATTCAGTAACTAAGGGGTTTGAATTGTTTGTTAAAACAGGCATTGTGAGGGTGTGTTATCTATAATCATTAGCATGCTCTTATGATGCTCTCACACTGAAATATAAAATAACATATAAATGTTCAACCTGTTTTAACTTCATGGTTGTTTTTCTTAAAAAAATCACAGTAAGACAGTCATTAGTATAAGGATATTTTATACTACTGTAGTCTTTGCATAAATAGAGGGTCCAGTTATCAATCATTCAGATTTATATTGTCCTCATGGATGAAAGAAAGTCCTTCTGTACCATTCGTCGTTCTGCCTCCAGCCCGGACTGACTCTGCATGCAGCCCTGCAGCTTCTTGTGTAGGACCTGAGCTGCCTTCTTGGCCGGCTCCACTCGCTGCTCCACCTTTACAAAGCCAGACAAACATATAAAAACAGTTAAAGCTGAAACATTGCCGTGGCTAATAGAAGTGAACCCTGTGAATATCTTGATGTGTAAGTTTTCATGAGATAATTACTGTTTATTTTCTGTATCAGTATCACCTGTTTGCCAGAATAAAAACAGTTGAGGAAACAATATTTCAACTTGTTTGATTTTTTCATTGTTTTCTATCTCTATCATTCAAGAAAAAAAGTCTATGGAATAAAATCTGTTATATTCCCAATAAATTGAATCTTATAAGAAACATCAGACTGAAAACACTTAAGAACTTGATTCTTTTTCTCACCAAAACCAGATCTTCATGCAGAAGTTCAGTGGCATCTTGTGACCTACAAATACAGATGATGGTTTGAGTGAATCAACTGGTTAACAACTAGACAAAGCCAGGACCTTGAATTACAAAAGATGCATTATTTGACCATTTTGATATTCAAGTCTGAAATGTTATCCATTATTTATCTTTCAAGTTATGCCTGAAATACAAAACTTGAAAAAGAAATATACAAGTTTGTAAATCTAGCTTGGGGTCAGAGCAGAGAAATGAAATCACTCTGATATATTTGACAGTAAAAATTTTGGTCATATATGTTATCATGGTCTACCTCCCAGCTCTGTCAGTCTCACTATCAAACTCTTTCACTTTTAAAAACCTAAACCAAAACTACGGAGAAAGGATGAGTAATTTTGTTGTTTGAGGTGTTAGAAATGTTTTCATTTCACTCCCCCTTGTTTCAGTTTAAGTGTTTCAATATAACAGTGGAGGACAATGTTAATATCCTGTGTGTTTTCACATGTACTGATTAGTTACTTGCAGTAAGAAAGAAAAAGAAAGAAAATAGCTGCTTGATTAATTGCACTTTCAATAACAGTTCCTGGCATTAATTCTTCAAAATGATACACAGAAGTGTGAGAAATGTCTTTACCGCCAAATGAGTCATTCTTTCCTCTGGCAGATTTTTTTATAATCAGGGAAAACATCTTTCCTCTGGCAGATTCATTTATAATCAGGGAAAACAGACTGCTAAAACATCAACCTAAAACAGACTGAACGATGATTGAATTTCACTGACTGACTCTTGACTAAAGCAATAAGATGCATAGAGACCACAATCTGACTAAATCAACCATGACTTTGTAAAGTGACTAAGACTTAAACTTACTTTGAATATCCCTATCAAAGTACTATGCACTTTGATGACCCGCTCTTGTCACTATTTACTAAAAAATAAAGATGAAGGGGGCTTTTGATGCAGACCAGAGGTGGGGGAAAGTCCCTATGTTGCAAGTCCAAGTCGAGTCTCAAGTCTTTGCTCTCAAGTCTCGAGTCAAGTCCAAGTCAACACAGACAAGTCCCAAGTCAAGTCCAAGTCCTGAACTTTTTGTTTCGAGTCCCAACCAAGTCTACTAGAGTTTGAGACAGTGTTGCCAAGTTTCGTGAGAGAAATAAGGAAACAGACCTCCAGAAACTAGCCAAAAACAAGCGAAATTTTTTTGCGGGAAATAAGCAGACTTGGCAACACAACACAGTGTTACCAAGGGCTGTAATTCTTGACTATTAGTTGATGCGATACTTTTTAAACAGTTTGGGCTTTCTGTAAGGTATTAAGTGACTTGAGAAGACTTGACTTGACTTTTCAAGTCACTGGGCTCAAGTTAAGTCAAGTCTCAAGTCTTTAGCAATCAAGTCCCAAGCGAGTCCAAGTCATTTCTTGATTTCATCAAGCAAGTCTTAAGTCATCAAAAACGGGACTCAAGTCCAAGTCGAGTCTCGAGTCGAGTCATCAAGACCCCACCTCTGATGCAGACGATATTGTTGTTTGTCGCTGCAAAGACATTTTACAATAAGTAAAATGAGTTTTATAATAATTAACTTTTAAAAAATAATTGTAACTTAACTTATGCTTTATTTTAAAAACAAATCCTGTTTTGCCATTAATGCCTCACGCAGCAGTAAACAGTGCTGTGATAGTCGACACTCCCAGGTTCATTTATCAATCACTCTTTGAGTCCAAACAGATCTTGGTCTGCTCCTGAAGTTAAATCTAAGATTGCTTGATTCCTTTTATCAGTTCAAATGTACTGCTGTAGGGTTAGCTCCTTTACATAGTATCAGATAGTAAGATTGTCCTGTCTTTAGTAACTTTGTGTTGTATTGATGCTTTTGTCTTCAGTGTTCCTCATTGAAAAGATTCACTGTGTCTCAGCTTGACTGCATGTCTTATGAGTTTAACAAATTTAAAATGCAATCCACAAAGACGTTTCATAAAGAAAGTAAAAGAGGTACAAATGCTTTTTCAGTTTGACTAGAAAGAAATAGTTTCAAAAATGAAATCAATGTAGCATCAAAAATGAGAAACACTGATGCTATACTGCTGCATTCATGTACTGGAGGACCTTATTTACCTCTGCTCAGAGTGCTCAATTCAACAGCTCTCTCATAAGTGAGGACATTTTTAGGCCAAAGAGGCAACACGAAGCCCACAGACTAAAGCTGGAGTGCGAGGGCTGCAGCTGTGGTTTACTTTAGCACCAGCTCTGTAAGAGGGGGTAGGGCTGTGACACACCACGATGCGCAGCCGTTACAAAAAGGTTTGGACTGAAAGATGAATTAAGAGATGAAGAACAACAATCACACCTGCAGCTCTGAGAGCATTTTGTCAAGCTTCTGTCAAATCAAAAGGAAACCCAACCCGGTTCACTAAAAGGACAAATGAGCCTTAACAAGAATAAGGTGTTGCTTTTACACCCCCTCCTCAACATCTGACACTACAAAACACAGAGAACAGAATTCCCCAATGTGTTTGAACCACACGCCAGAGTTCCTCTTTTTTCCCCCTGACTCTCGTTTCATCTTTTTCTTCTGGGGGGCGGTTTAACTGAATATCACACAGAGAGCAACGCTACAACTGAGCATATGAGCAGACGTTTAGCGAGCTTTAATAAGACATCACAGGTACCTCTTTTGAAGGTTTCTGTCGGCGCTGACAAGATAATTGGTTACTCACTAACCTCACGGTATGGAGAACTGATTGTTCAGAATCACAGACTATAAAAACAGGTGTACTCTCACTGTGTTATTATATGGTGGTGGACACAATGTTGGAAATACCCACTGTGTGGTTTAGGCGTGCCCCCCTGTGGACCCACCTGTCAGTCAAATCAGCTGCAAAACCCTATCATGCGTGGTTATTATCCAGCTTTCTTACTGAGTGATACAAATATTTACATCCTTATGGAGACCATGAATAATGAAAGGAGGTATAGAGGTCAAAAACTTTTTGTGTACCAGGCTGTAAACTTGTTAACTGTACAAAGGGCGTTTTTATACAGACTTTAATATGGTTACTTTGGCTTTTGCGCTGAGCTCCTAGTGGACATTTGAGGAACTGCAGTTTTGTACTCTTCTGCAATGGCTCCATTCTTTTTAACACTGGATGTAAAAACTTGATCCAAGTCAGTGTTCAGTGAGATTTTTGGTTATCAGCTTAGAAAAAGAGTTGAATCATTCATGAGGTATTGTAAATACAAAAATACTGAGTATGAGGTTGCCTCTCAATTTTTGTCGGCCATGATTATTTCATTAGAAGTATTTTGTCAGCCCACATTGACAACTGGGTGACATTTTGCTGAGGTTGTTAGAGCTCACTCTGCTCTGCTGCAGATGCATGATGTGTAGGTTTATTATTAAACCACAGTGTGTCAGAGGCAGACACTTACACACACGCACAGTTTTAGCCCTGCTGTGTGCAAGAGTGCAGGTAAGAAACCAAAGAGGGTGTGGGTGGATTATTTGGTCACCCGCTCATTTGCAAATGTCACACTTGTGTATAAAAGCTAACTTTCCAGATCAGCAGATTTCAGACTGATAAAGAAAGTGACACAGATCTCATGAACCTGGTACAATCGAGCAACATTATCAAAACAGCACCAAGTCCTGATGAGCAATGCCTGCTCAAACAGTATGTTACAAATGTGAGTCTTTCGTCGGCTGGAGTGTGCCGAAACTCAGTGGTTTTCATGTGCAGATAAACCTATGGTTTCCCTCAAAACCCAAACAGCATGCTTTAATTTCAAGAGGAACAGAGACTGCAGCATTTCAGCTCACCACACTTTTCAACACCGAGTTTGCAACCAAGAAAACGAGAACATGGAAACCCAAAAAAATCTATATTTCCTCTACGAGCAAAATAAAGCTCTAAAAATGACACCTCTCTTGTACAGCCAGTGAGAGTTCACAGGAGTCCACAAAAAGGTCTGGTTTTGAGGCGGAGGCAGAACCCGGTAAGGGTCAGGGGTGCCCTTGGCCCACCTTGAAATCTGACTGGTCACCAAAAAATCTTCAATTATGTTTGGCTAGAGGTTAAACTTCTGCTGAAATCAAGTAGCTCTCTTTGTATTTTTACAAGCACATTTATTTTGTAAGCTCTTGAAATTGTGACTTTGGACAAAAATCTTCTTTCTGAGTTCATGAAGAATTTAAGATTGTAATCCTGCAACCCTGACCTTTTGAGTTAAAACATCATAAACAGGAGAGCAACATCTTTCAGACACTGAGACAATAGTAGTCTAAGTCCTGATGGACAGGGTAAATCAACACTCATGTGTTCATGTGATCAGAAACACTTTTACCATCCTTACAAAAGTCACTGCCTCAATTTGACCAGCTCTGCGACCTGTTTCTAGAGGGTGATACTGAGGCTTCAAGGTCTTAATAACTAATATCTAACCTGAGTTTGACACTGAGTAGAAAGCTTGACGATGACTTAGTTAATAAAAATAATTCACAGTGTAGTCATTGTACTACTTAAAAGCAGTTAAACCAACTCTTAGCTTTTGGATTGTTTTGGTACTCAATAGGTCAACCAATGACAATGTGAAAGGGGGCATGTCTCCACCTACCAAAGCAGAGGCAGACATGACTGTCAGTAATTTTATTTTTGCACGGCGCTTGTAAACTGAGACAAGGACAGCAACCATATCACTGAAAAGAAAAGTGAAAAAGTTTTAGCCTCCTTAACAGCCACAGTGTGCCCATCTGATGATCAAGTGAGCTGTGTGACAAATTATACTAAACTCTTACTGTAGTCTCTTCAAAACTGAGAGTGAGTTAGATCCCCTCTGGACAGTGTCTGGGAATAGAGAAGTGAACTATTCAGACAAAAAACGTTTATTGCAACAGGCTGTAAACATGTTTGTTTTCTTTTGCTGCAAAGCCTGGTTTTTTAATGGGTGTATATGTGGCCCCTGGGGCTTATGGAGCCGGCCTCAAGTGGACTCTAGAGGAACTATAGTTTTCAGCACATCCGCACTGACTTCATTACTCAAGACTGCAGGTTTCTGCTTGATTTCACAGCAACAAATAAAGCTCATTTTTTTGCTGCTATGAGCTTAAGGTCATATCTGAAGAAGACGTGTAGTGGGAAAATGTCAAGGTTTGCTTCTTTGAGCAAATAAAAGTTTAATTTATACTGGAATTTGAATTTTCACTAAAAAGTAAAAAAGTTCTACATGCTCATGTTCACATCAAAATCAAAACCGGCACCCAATATCTAACTTTCGTCTCCACATAAGGTCTTAAACTCTGAGTTGAGTTTATATGACTGTGAGTCTTAATGTGGCCGTTTCAAAACAACATCTAAGTACAAACACGAGAGAGTTCAGAGAACTTACTTTGCTGCACCGCCAAGCTGCTTCAGGATGCTCAGAGACTGCCGGAGCATGCTGGCTGTGAAGCAGCGTTTCTACCTGACCTCCTGTTCAGCTCCACCAGAGATCCAGATCCAGAAACCTCCACCCAGGGTCACAGCCGAGTCACTTCATCAGAAAAAAAAGATGATAAGGAAGGTTCAGCTCACTCCCTGTGGTTGTTGATATTTATGTTTGTGCGTGCGTGTCTCGGCTGTCAGTCGTTCGTTCTTGTTTCAGGGATGTGCTCTGCAGTCAGAACTAACACAAACACTGAATGAGGAAGTTGCACATGGTGTCAGTCGAGTGGGGGAAGAGAGATTTTGTGAGGTTTGAGTGTCACACTATGATTTAAAAGTTAACTCATTCAACAACACTGAACACTCAAAGAGTAGACTGAGTGTTTAGAGGTTATAAGAGGTTGTTTCTGCATGTTTATCCCTTTTTCTATAAGCTAACCATTTATACACCTCCATTTACGGATAAGACATCAGCACTTCAACGCTACTGACTCATGGGTGTGTTCATAGGTGAGGGGTTCTCGGGCTCTAAAGCATTTATGTGAAGAGTTGTGGTTTGTATGTACTTCTGTAAAGGCCGATTGTGAGCTTCTGAATTAAGAGGATGTGAAAAACTTAAAAGAGGAAACTATTACTGCTGCTGGCTGTGACTGCGTCTTTTTAGACTTACTGTGAATTGATTAATTATAAATACTTTCTATTTAGAGAACTTTACATCCTTGTTGAGCACAGGTGTTTTACCATTTTATTCCTTTTTTTAAATATATATGACAAACCTATCATTCTACAGCGCCCTTGTGCAGCATCCTTACCAAGCTTTAAGATCGTACCTCAACAGGAGTTGATGTATTGAACAAAACACAAGCTAAATCAATATAAGTGTTCTTCACTCCAGTGGATCTCTGGCAGGTCTTTTGAAGGCAGGGTGCTCTGGTCTCAAGTGCAGCTCATCCAGCTGATGACCCTCTTATCAGGACACACCTCCACTGCTGCACACAGACAACCAGATCAAGACAGACATCCGGTGACCGCAACAGAAATACTCACTGAACAGAGCTCCTTATTATTACACGAACGTGAGGTAACAGGGGGAACCGCTAAAGCCAAACCTCATGAACCTCATGAAAAAATAACCAAATATCTTATTGCTAAGTTTTGAGGTTCTAAATCATCTGCTGATATCTGTTGTCCTGTGTTTATTTTAATATAGAAATAATGAAGATATTATCTAACTTTCACACACTGAACCTGTGAACTTCTCCTCAGTTGCTGTAAATCTGTAGGAAACAGCACAAAGATCATCCACGTGTACACTCTGCCTGTCAGATGCTGCAGTCTAGTGGTGAAGGAAGCAAAATGCAGGGACCCACTACAGTTGAGTGACGACTTTACACCCGTGTTATCTGCGCCATACTTGTGAGAGCTCTAATTCAGTAGTGAATGAACACTGCTTATACTACCTGGTTTTGGTCGGTAACTGAAAACACAATAACACACAGATGAAAAACATAAGAGCACAAGTTATTTCTTGATGACTTTATTCTTTAAAATGACTTAAAATACATGATGATAAACTTGAAAATGTTGTATTTTTTAGCTGCAGCTACACTTCTTAATCTTGTGGTTTTAACAGTTTGTTCTTAAAGCTACTTCTATTACAGGGAATATTGTTCCTGATCGAGGCCTTCCCAAATTCTCCGGATCCTGAGCTTATTACGAGCTTATTCTGTACACCTGTGCAGTCTCAACAATACAAGAGCTCCTGCTGTTAAAAGTTAAATTTTCTTTAAACTGATCGTTTTGAAGACTGCTAATAGTGGTGCTGGTACAGGATTATATTACATTCTAAGTGCAACTAATAAACTAACTCGGTGATGGGTTTGTGTAGCACTTTAATTCCAGGAGAAAGACAGTGAACTGGTCTTGTGTAAACTTTAAAGGCAATAGAAGACACAATTCCTCCTTTAGGACCGTAGAGGGTCCCATCATAAACAGGGCAAGGCCACAGTTACTGCTTCCCAGCACTGATGTCTAACTTGAACTTAAAAAATTATTCTTTTAGGCAATTCAAGTAATAGTCTAAGTGCTCCGAGAAAAGGAACTTAAAACCCCTTTCTGAGACACTTTTGAATTGTCAGCTGTAACATAATTCAAAATAAGCTGAATTTACATTTCCTGAAAAGATAACTGTAAAGTAAAGGATGCTAAATGTTCTACTTTCTATACACGTACTGCGGTAGGGGGACACCTAAGTCTTTCAGCTGTGATTTAAAAATGGGGCTCAAAACCAGGGACACAAAAACTGAGACGGAAAAAGGATGGTGGAAAAGCTGAATTTTTGAGTTTGAACATGAATTTTTTTTTAGCAAAATTATACCTGTTTTGTGCAATATATCCACAAATACTAAACTACATTGTATAATTCCTATATATCAGTTTTTCCTCTGAATAGTGTTCTTTCCTCCACCCGTCACTGATTTAGCTTTGTCCGAAGCGGGTGAGATGGAAGGAAAAGAAAAGCACCAAAAAGAAAAATCCTCATGCACGCTCACTGTGATATCTGTCCAGTTGTTTGGTTAACTTGTACAAAGGTAAATATCTATGAATCAAAAGGAATGGAAATAACTTCAGCAGCTTTAGCATTAAAACCACAGTCAGCAGGGAAGAGAAAAGAGGGAGTGAAGCACTTGGAAATCCTGCGATTGTCTCCTCATAGGAACTGTGAAAGAAAACTAGAGGCATCCCAAATGTTGCAGTCCTCTTCATCTTGCTTTGCTCCGCCCGCTTCCCCTGTCCTGACAACATGGTCATAGAAAAACCCACGCCCCTCTGATTTGAAGTGAGGGTCGGGAGTTCGGGAGCATCCCTGATCTGACGCCACTTGAATTGGTCCCCTACCCTTTCTACTCCTCCAGATCTCCTTCTCTCTCCTTCCCTCTGAGACTGAAGTGCATGTTGAAGCTTGAAGGTGAAGGACTAGCGCTTTGCTTTGGCTTCTTCAGCTTCTTTTTCTGAAAACAAGAAATAACGTGCAAAGATTCATTTCATAGTATTGCTTTCAACCACTTTGAATACTGTTCCTAAAGACAAAGTAAAAGTGCAGCTGAAAGTAAAGCTCTTGGGAAGTTTTTATCTTATTTTAAAAACGACCGAAATTGCTGACGATGCCTTTAAATGAGCAACAAAACCAAACATTACATTAGCATAAAGATTGACTATTTCTGTAGTGTGATTTTCTACCTAAAATAGTGCTGTCACAATAACTGGTAATGTCAATAACTATCTTTTTAAAAATATGAAACAATAATATTGTACCAAAAATAAGTCATTGGTCCATATTAGGAGGCAGTAGTGGTTCTTTACGTGTAACATCTTGTTCTTAATCGACATTTCTTTAAAACTGGAACTTAAGAAATGGAGGACTACACTGATCATGCAGCAGAGGAGTTTTTTGTCCTTGAGGGCTGCCAATGCCTTATAGATGGGAGGAGTGAGCAGGCGAGCGGTTAGATGTAGCACCTGACTAGCTATAGCAAAATATTCCCATTTCTGCACTGAACATTTAAATGCCAAGGCACACATGTATAGACACATCTTTAAAACCACTTTTTAAGTTCACCTAAGATAACTGAATCATCATGTCTCTATCAGCAGCTTTTATGCATAAAAGCTCCCCTCAGAGAAACATGTGTTGCAATGGTTGCGCAATGATGTGCTCTAATCTAACCTTCTCTTTAACCTCACGAGAAACCAAAGCAGTCAGCAGTGATGGAATTGCTTTTAATTTTCCTGAACAGATGAATCTGTTCTAGGGCTGGGCGATATAAATTTACGACAATAACCGACGTCATTTTGCCCATGTCAATATATTCAGTGTCATATAAATAAATAAATAAGTTGGTTTTGGATGTGTGAAGGTAGGCTACGGTCTCATGTCCCTTAAAGACGCTGTCCTACATCAGAGACGTGACTCCACCCCATCCAGTCAGTAACAAAAAGAGAAAGACAGGTGAGGAGATGGAGGACGGTTCAAAAGTTGTAGCAGCTGGAGCGGTGGCTGAAGTAGACAAAGTTAATGTGGGAGGGGCTGAGCAGCTTGTGGAGTAGTTATCGTCCATTTATTGTTATCGAGGTGAACTGCTCAATATATCGTGATATTGATTTGAGGCCATGTCGCCCAGCCCTAATCTGTTCATTTCTCTGCTTACCTTTCCTGAGTTCATCTCTCTTCTTGGCAGCTTCCTCCCTCTGTTTCTTGATGATCGCTAGTCTTGCTAGGTCAGCCCTGGCCTGCTCAGTCTTCCCCTCCAGATGAAGCTTCATGTAGCGCTCCTTTGACTTCTGCTTTTCTATCTCCTCTCTGGAAGAGACAAGAGGAGGGCACACACAAAACAGAGTGATCTACAATTCAAATTAAGAATTAGAAAGTATGTATTCAACCAGGGTTAGCCACTAAACAGCAGTATTAAGATAAAGACTGTGATACAGCAGCAAAAATACAAGCATTCCTCTCCTCGTCGACAGGATGACACCTACCTCTCACGGCGAGTCAGCTCTTTGGGAGCATTGAGGTCTAATTCTGCCACTTTCTTGCTTTTCTGAGAAACACGGTTTGGATTCTCAATCTCTATGAGCCCCTCCACTCCGCTCCTTTTCCTGGACTGTGCACAGTAAGAAACATATTCGTAACATCAGTAAGACAGAAAATCAAGAGTCAAAAGAAGGTAAATAAAGGCAGAGGTTGGTTATCTTGTTAAGTGGCGACAGTTGTTCTTCTTGCGTGTTTACATTTGAGCCCACTGTTACTCACATCATTTTCATCATCACTGCTGTTCTCGTCCCCGGACTCTGAAGAGCTCCCCTTCTCTGCACCGGCATTTTCTTCCTGTTGACACACACATTCAATCACATCAGATCTCTTCTGATGATAACTTCACATCTGTAAACCAGGTCTGGGACTCACCGCCTCCTTCTGGGCTTTCATCTGGCGATCAATCTCCTCAGGGTTGCTGAACTGCTTCCCTCTGCCTTTGTGGCTCCTTTTCCCTGAAACACAGTTGTTCAGATTGTTATTGACAAATACACAGAAACAAACTCTTTTTTGTATTTTGATAATGATCATTTAAAACTTACAAACTCATGTTAGACACACACCTTAAATGTTATGACTGTACTGGGTAATATGATGAGAAGGCACTAAAATCAGTCCATCCTTGAATGAGCTTTATTTCTAAACTAAAAGCTGGACTCCACACTTGAATGGTGGTGACAGAATATTGGGTAAAATTATGTTGTACAGTTTTTTTTTTATGCGGTGCATGCAGATTTACACATCACAAAATACAACATCAAACCACATACAATATGACACATCACAACAGAACTACCTGGAATCAGCAAATTTAAGAGACAAAGGTATGAAACTAACCAAACAGAACAAAACTGAAATAAGTTAACAAATATAAAGCATCCCTTAATGATTCAGCAACTTCACAATCAATACCCTCACTACACTAAGTTTTATACATAAAAACCAGGGTGCATATATAATGCTTTATTGTGTTTCATTTAGTCTGGTGCATTTTTTTTACCAAAAACAAAAAGTTTTCAAATTTTTGTTAAAATCTGATTAATGCACGATTTTGCCCTGATTATATTTTGCCTAGTAGAATTTTAGTAGAATCTTGACAACCCAAAATAATATTTAATTTTCAGATAGATAATTATTTTAGATTAAGGCTCCTTGTCTTTGGTCCGTGTATTATCCGGCCATTCAATTATTCCATTCAATCTAGTAAATGAAAAAAAAGTCAATATTTTGTTTGTTTTTCTGTGTAACCAAAAAATGAAAAAATAGCGTTTGTTGTCGTATCTTCAGCTTAAAACAGAATATATAATAGAGAAGGAAACGAAAACGAAATATAAACTTATTTACCATTATTGATTTTGAGTGTGCCTGTTTTGAGCGTACGTGCATGGAGGCTACATTGGCCTTCCTATGATCCTCAGCGACAGTTACCATGGCGAAAGATGCGACAGAGCGGTTCGAGCGCCAAAATCTTACGTTGTAACAGAGCTCTGGTTGTAAATTATTAGATTTATTAGATGTAGATTTATTATTTTGTTTCCATCTCTACTATACATTCTGTTTTGAACTGAAAATACGAAAACAAACTCTAATCTTATATTTTTTGGTTATATAGAAAAACAAATCGACAAAATATTGACTTGTTTTCTTCGTTTTTTGTTTACTAAATTGAATGGATGGATAATACACAGACTGTGTTTCTACATGAATTTGTAAATAATTGTCTCTTATATTTTATGGCCATTTATGATCTGCTGTTTGTACACTTGCATCTATACTTTTTTAGTTTCTGTTTTGATATGTGTGGGATGCCGATAACAGCTTGTTAGTGTCTCTCATAAGAAGGGCCTTTTCGGCTATGAATACGTCTAAGTTTATCCCCTTTATTTTACTTTAAATACCTTTCAGGGGTATTGAGACTCAACCACACCTACAGTGCTTCTTCAAAAAAAGAGGTTTTCTCTAAGTTTTCTGGCAAGCCATTTGAGGTGTCATGAGTTTAAAAAAAACTTTGAAAAATATAATGAAACTTTGATAGACTTTATAAATCCTTCTTTTGACAGATAAATTCACCACAGCATAACTTTTTATTTATAATGTAATTTGTTATTGTAATGTAATCGACCGTTTCCAGAACAGCAGTTGCTATCCTTTGACCTTAGACCTGTAACACTTATTTCAAGTTTTCTTTGAGAGCTGTCACACAGATTTCCGGGTCAGAGTTGTGTGTATGTGTGTGTGTGTGTGTAGATAGATAACACACACATGACGTTCACTGTTAACCGGCTCCTACCACCGGCAAATGTCCCAACAGGTGAGTCTGAACCAGGACAGGAGTGGAAAGGAGCCACACACTGACAATATACACAGGGAAATACCTTTAAAATTATAATAAACACTATTTTTAACTTAAGATTAAACAGTAAATTCTTAAATTAAACTGGTTGTCTTGTGTGCACATGGTGCTGGCGGTTCGACACATAAAGACATACTAATCTAAATAAATACTCTAACTAACAACAAGCTAATGGCTTTGTTTATGTCAACACCTTTAACAAAGTCAGCTGCTGACTTTTCCACCGGCTGTTTTCTTTTAGCCCTCTTATTCGCAGATCCTCCCTGCTAACCGGTTAGCATGCTAAAGACTCAGCATGTGAGGGTTCAACGGGATTTCATAGTACCTTAGCTAACCTCCAGCTAGCTAAAACTAGCCCGCTAAGGTATGGTATGTAACATGAACCTTCTGTTAAAGTACTTACCGCCTCTTGGCATAATGACAAATGAGTTGAAACCGGTGACGACGGCTAATTCACGACAGAGTACTTAACAGCTGTACAGCAAATAGTTAGATAGTAAAAGAGAAAGCTGTGAAAGCACTTCGTCTCTCCCGCTACCGACGGCACAATCGTCAAAACGCTGCAGTGAGTCAAGATAAACTGCGTCTGCGCAGTAAGGAGCAGCCAACCAATGGCGACAATAGAGAATTTGACTGACACGTAAACTCGCCAATCAGCGAATAAGATTATCGGGCCATACATTTCATTGACAACTACACTGAAATGTTGGTGTTGGGAAGAAACATACCCAACTCTTCCTGTGTTTAGAGAGATGCATAAAATAAACAATGAAGTTGGGAAATTTCTAAATATGAACACGAAACATAAAACATAAAAACTATATTATTATTGTTTTCTTTTTGGATTGCTTTTGAGGGCCCCCTATTGGCCACGGGTCCTAAGCAGGCACTTAGTTAGCTTATGCCTTGGGTCGTCTCTGTTTATGGGTTGTTTTTAAGCTAAATCTCACAGTATAGTACTTCACAATGATGCACAAGGATCAACCACAGGATGTCTGTTAATGCTCTGTAAATGGCCAACAGGCTGGACTCTTCTGAAGCTACTACCATGTTCAAGAACTGACTATAAAATCTTTTTTTTTTACAAAAACCATGATCAATTACAGCTCACGGTTATTACTATGGTTATTACTTTTCTGTACTCTTCAGATTACCCTGTCTTTTTCAAGAATGTGTAGGTCAAACATGAATCCCACTGGTACTTAAATTATAATCTAAAAGATAAAAGTATAAAGAAAAGGTGTCCTCATATGATGGGTTGTATATTTTATTTGAATACAAAATGTAAATACAAAAAAAGGTGTTATTAATCACTCGATAAACACATGTGAACAGTATAAAATTTTATGAGTTTTGCTCAGTAGTTTCAGATTTTAAGAACAAAAAATGCAGGACAGAGCAAAAGCAAATAGTCTCAAATGTTCACCAACTGCAGCTACTTCTAGTACACGTAAAATGGGCAGAGAAATAACAAGCAGGTGTTTTATGTGTTTTTGCAAACAAAACCAAAGGCAAAGTAACTTTTTTCATCATCAAACTTTAAGTATGACAGGCAAGTGTTTGAATGAAGGCAACGGATCAGGTCTGTCATTTCTTCTTCCGATGTTGAGTCTTTATACCTTCTACTTCTTTCTCCATCAGGTGGTACTCCACAGTTGTTTCTGTTAACTGCAAGAGAAAGATTTGTTAACTTTATGCCGCCCATCACTACAGTTCATCAGTTGACCATGTGCATGACAGTGCATAGTACATCTGAGAGTGTCTGAAAGCTGACTGAATCTTACCATATCCAAGAGGACTTCAATCTTGAGTTTGAGGAGGTTGTTCTCTTCCTCCAGCTGGACATTTCTCTTCTTGAGTCGCTGCAATTCCCTGCCAGAAGTATTCCCGCCTGATTCTGATGTAACAAATACAAAAAGAAATCAGGATTCACACCCTACTTGCCATGCAGAAACCAACAGTAATCATGCCAACATGGAGCAAATTAATTTACTCACTGTGATAGTGTTTATTTGTTCATCAAGTGCAAAGACTAGTGGAAAATTTACACTACCCAAAACAAAAACAAACATAATAAAGTGGATGGTCATGTACAAAGCCATGCAAGTATGGAACAAATTACCAGAAAACATTACACAAGACGACAGTAAAATCACTTTTAAGAACTTAGTCAAGAAACACCTTTTCTCAACAGAAATGTAAAATTTGATATTTAGATGGCAAGTAATGTGTGTGTGTATGTATGTTTGTATGTATATGTGAGTACACATATATATATATATATATATATATGTATAATAATGTGTGTGTGTGTGTATATATATGTATATATAGTGCTTACAGGATATATAGATACTTTACATGACCTCTGACTAAGGAGCTATCTGTTATTGTTTATGTATTGTTGTATTGTGTATTTGTATGTATTCTATTTGTTTCTTTGTTTGTTTTTATTTTATGTAGTATTATTATTATTATTATTATTATTGTTGTTTTTTTTTTACATGGGGCGTATTATACATATGAGATATTTGCATTGATTTATTGTGAGTTGGTTTAAGGACCCTAGGAAGAATAGCTGAGGCTCGGTCAAGGCTAATGGGGATCCCAAATTAATCAAATCAAATAAATCAAATCAGATATTACCTGTTATCCACTGTCCTTCCTCAAATTTCCAGCTCTGACCACCAATGTTCATCACAGGGGGCCCATACTCAAGACCGAGCTCTACTTCCCTTGTGGAATGATCCAACTAGAAAAGGCAAGAAGGAAAGAAGAAAAGGTCCAATCAGTATGTTTTAATAAAAGCGAAGACTTATTCACAAGAAAGTAGTCCCTCTTAAACAGTTTCATCGGTCCCTCTTTATCTCCACACTTTTACTAATCCTCTTGAGTGTTTTTTGACATGAAATCAACAATAAATAACTTTCTTTATTTTACATGAAACATTTCATCAGCATACTATATCAAAATAGTCTTTCTGACCTGACCACAGAGCCAAAGATCAGCTGGTCCTCTAGACTTACAGTGTGAAGGCTGGACAGGGATGCAGATTTACGAGCTGGGGTCCTCTTGGGACTAAACGTGTTTCCAAAGAGTGGCATCCTTAGGGAGCTTTTTAGGTTCTGTAAGAAAGATGTTAATCCAACAATAGCATCAGTAGTTTACACACAACAACACCACACAGCTATGGATTATTCCAATCTACCATCGCACACGGTACAGGCTAAGCGGCTAACACTCATTAGCTACGTGCTCTACTCATACCTTACATTTAAGCGAAACTGGAGAATGCCTCACCGGTGGGTTAGAAGTTGTTATCTGACTGAATGAATAAAGCTCATATATTTACCTCCATACAGACTACTTATTCAATTTCTTAACGGGGTTGTTTGCATTCTTTCTGCTCCAACAATACCATGTTTTTACTGCGCAAGCGTGGACTTTCCATGTTTCTGCTAAAGAATTACTCCACAATGATGCACTTCTTTAATTTAGAGTGACTCGACATGTTTGCCGACATTAGTAAAGTTCGGACAATGTGAACAGCAAGTTCGCTTTCTATTCCTTGATTTTAGCGCGTATGAACACGGTCTTTTCATAAAATTAGCACAAGAAATTACACAAACTCCCCTCTCTCCTGAGTATGATGGATCAGCCCACAAGCAGTACACATTTTGCCATGGTTACGCGTCACTCGGCTCCACGGCCTGGACATACTAAAACAAAACTAAAACAGTTTTCATAAACATGTATGATTGAAAAAAAAAAAAAGACGAGTCTTCCTCTAAAACCACAACACAGAAAATAAAACTTGGAGGTATACAAGAACAATGACTAGATAAGTTGCAAAAGTCCATACTACTACGATGTACAGCCCCAGTGGCCTAATGGATAAGGCACTGGCCTCCTAAGCCAGGGATTGTGGGTTCGAGTCCCATCTGGGGTGGTCTCTCTTTTTCGGTAGCTAATTCCTATCAATCTGTCAGTTAGATGGACGACTGAAAGCTGAAGTATAACACATATCGATCCGTACTAATGAGCTAACACCGTCGCGCCGACGTGAACTAGCGATGATCGAGACATTATCCCTCCTTGACAGACGAAAATCGCATCACTGAGGAAAATATCAGCTGACATGGAGAAGCGCACGGTCAAACTCTTCCTATTGCTGACATACTTGGCTGCACCGTTGCGAACTTACCGTGAGTATTATTTCTTTGTCTCTGAACATGTGAGAAAGTGGATTTGTGTCCAGTTTAGTAGAGTCAAATTGACTGTCCGGATATAGCAATATTGCAAATGAGTTTTCCAAACAGCAGTTGACGGTTGTACTTAGCAGTAGGTTTTAAAAATATAGTTTTGTTTGATTTCTTGTTCAAAGAATGTTTTTGTCTTATAAATATGGTGCGTGATACAACCATGGCATCGAACATCATCATCTTGATCATAACCTTGAATGTTTTAATGTCCTTTAGCTGCAGGAAATCCTTTATTTTAGTTGTAGCCTATCTGCAAAAAACACCCACAACACATTACGTGTATTTTAAGGAATGAGGGTAATCTATTTTATATCTTTTTACACCAGTAATCTAAGAAAATGAAAAGAGTGGAAATGTTTTCCATATTGTTCAGTTTATAGTGACCTTACTTTATGTAATGTGTTATTCAATCTCGACCATGTAACCCCGTCCATCCTCCTACAATGGTAGAGCTTCGAGAGGCCACAGTTTTTTGGAAAACGGCCCAGAAAAGTGTGATCCTGAAGGAGGGGGTGATGGAGACAGAGGGGGGAGCCTATGGTTACTTCAATGACACTCTGCTCATTAATGGATGGGGTGTCTTGGAGGTCCGTGCAGGTCATGGGGTCCCACAAGAAGATGAGACCACCTTTTTCCTGGCTGGGTACCTGGAGGGTTATCTCACTGCAGGGTGAGTCTCCCAAGTGTGGAAGGAAATTATAACACATTGAATGAGTTTGTTTGTGGTATTTTACAGAATTATTCACTGTGACTTTAAACACCTCATATCATCATCCTTCTGTTGGGGGTTGTTCTTAAATGTATAGTCTGGGTATACTGCAATTTTTTGGTTCATAGCTAATGAAAATCAGAAATCCACTGGTCCAACACTTTGGGACTCCATTACCACAAATTACTGCATTAATGTGGCCTGGCATACAGATGGCACTGGCCAGATGTAATTGAACTCTGGTTTTGTAATTATTTTTGTGTCAGGGATTTCTCATCTTCCTTTTGATTCAGGGTTCAGGTCTAGTGAGTTAAGTGCTGACTGAAGTATTTCACATTATTTCACTTTTTCGATACACACCTGTACAGAAGTAAAGTATATTTCTGATGAGTTCTATATGAAATCAGTTTTATCTTGATAACAATCCAGAAGTTCTAAACAGAATTTAGACCCTCTCTTTATATAAGAGATGCTTTGCTGTGGTGAAAAGTCACATTTCAAACCTGATTATGCTGCAGTATAGAGTTTATAATTGAAATTCACTCAGCTTTAAAAATAAAACAAAAGTGCTGCTGTATTTTTTAACTTCTGCTATACTGTGAGGTAGTTACATCAAAAACAACATGTAACTGTATGTTTGTAGTTTGGCTGTCTACTGAAAACCGGACACCTCTAAAAATAAGATAATGAAATTCTTAAAATAACGAAAGAAAAAAATGTGCATTTTGTTAGGGAAAAATGAGCTCAATCAATCCAATAATGAAATTTCTGATTTTAGGTGACAGTCAAGGCTTAAATGCTGCTGAGGAACCTTTGGTTTGGGTTTATTTTGTGTATATCTTAAAGCTTTCCGATCTAGCTCTGTTCTTTTGGTCAGATGTGTTATTTATGATTATACACTGTTGAAATACAACTTAAGGCTGTGTTAAACTTTAAAACTTACCAGATAGAGACTGCCAGTCTTGTTGTTGATGGCCTTACATGCTTTTGTAGGTCATAAAGAGGCATCAGTATAAGTTTTAGTCCTTTCCTCAACCAGTTAAAACACCTCAATGGAGCTTTAAAAACATAGTCTTTGAAAACTGAAAATCTAAAAAGCTATTTAACAAATATACTGGAGCACAGGAGAATATTTACCCCAAGGAACAGTGGGGGAGTTACATAAAAAGGAAAACTTTGCTGCAGTACCATTTACCGACAAGTGATTGAGTAAATGCACTTTGTCATATTTAATTGACTTACAATATGACTGTGTTACTGGAACTGTTTCTATGTTTAATCAAAAGAAAGAATTCAATTCTCACTGTTTTTATGTTCTCTCTGTAGACAAATGTTCCATCACTTCAACAACATGTACCCTCAGCTCATAAAAGACGAGAAGGTCTTGAATCCCCTGAAGAGATTTTTAAGGTACAGACCTACTTTGAAGTTAAGCCTCTGTGTATCAGCAGAACTCAGCAGGATAAATCCCATTGTAGTGTTTTCTACCTTACTGATATGTTTCTTGGTTTGGGTGCTCACCACTTGTATTGAAGTTTATATCTGATTGAAGAATGTGCCATTTTGAGATAGTGGATGATACTACAACCAGCTTTACCAGCATTTTCTCACATAACTACAGTTTGTATTCAATTCAAACATGAAATCTATGCCAGCTGCCCATTAAAGGACACAAATCTGCATCTACTCACTGAATGATCCATAGCAAACAGGACCAGTGGGCAAGAGAGCAGGTGAGACTGAGGAGATCCAGTGACCCCTTGTGGAAGCATTTGGGACTGATGCTGGCCCAGCTGGATGGACTCCACGCTGGCGCCGCACAGTGGGCCAAAAGCAAACATCAAGAGGTGTGTTAATATGAATTTGTGCGTTGTTGACAAAGCTGTTACTGTATATCATACCGTTCACCTCTGGCACTTGCTCTCTGCTTCCTCCCCAGCCTCTATCAGCATTTGCACTTCAGTTTCTGAATGGTGTCGGTGACATCCTGGACCTGGTCCCAGCTCTGACACCTCGCTCCAACTCCTCCACAGGCGGCGGGGCTTTCAGGATGCCAGGAATGGGCCACTGCACTGCTCTCATCAAGGTTAGGCCAAGCTCATTTGGCTCAAGCTGTGAGGGAGCTCTTGGGAGGTCTGAAAGTAGGCCTAATGAGTATCTTTGTGGCTCCTTGTGCATGGGGGTTTTCTCTTTTCAAAAGTGTCAGTAAAGAGCATCACAGGCCCATTAGAGGAGAATAGTTCCCTGTCCACCAACACCCATTCAGGAAACTGAGATGAGGGGCAAATAAAAGACAGGCCAAAGCGAAGCGATGCTATCAGCAAACCTGCGTCATAGTTTCATTAGTAGGTCAACATTTTGTTTCTAGTTGAAACAGGAATGTTAAGGATGCCTTTGAGTCTTTCAAAAATGTTGGTTTAATCAAATGTTGTTTTTAAAAAAGTGTTTTCATCTGCTTCAAAATGAAAATGTCACTACATGTGTGAGATTAACTGTTCATTCTGTTAAAATAAAGCAACCTAGTTTAAATTCAGTCTCTTTTTTTGGTTAATGATTACAAACCTGACTGAGAATCAAAGACCGTTAAGATAGACGGCAGTTCAGAAAGTTTCTGACAAAGAACAGCCACACACACAAGTGTACAAAAGAGTCAATATTTACAACCAATTTTTACAATTTAGTAAAGTGTGTAACATCAGAATTAATCAACAAGACCTTGTTCAGTCCACCAAGATCATGTGCAGAACACCCACAACCAGATATGTCTGCCTCCAGTTTGTTCAACAAGGCTTCATTTGAATCTTTTTTTGAGCTTCAACTCTTTCTGTGATACGTTTACTGAATTCCCACCAATTAGCCAATGTATTATTCTACTCATGGAAAATAAAGATCAACCAGTAAATCCATGCAAAAAAACAATGATAAGGAAGGGCTTTAAAATTAGTGATAAACCTCAGTGCTCTGTGTTCAAGTTTACAAATTAGATTTAGTTTAACCAAGACAGTGATATGATAAAGACAGCCCTGTAAGACTGAAATGGCTGAGATTGTGTTAAAACTAGCCTAGCTACTGGTACAGGATGGTCATGCAGATGTTTAAGTACATTATCAGTTTAATAACAATACTACCAGAATGCACAGCCATGCTAGCAACCCTGTCAGGCACAATGATGCTTTGATTCAATGCTAGAAAAAGAAGAAGCTTGTTTGCTTGTTGTTTATTGTCTCATGATAATTGCCACATTACTTGTTAGCTTTTTAGACACAATACAGTTAAAGCTATCCTGTTTTCAGTATCAACAACTTTGACAATTTGGCACAGGGTGAAAAATACGAACATTAATGTTGTGCACATGATGAGTAATTTGATTTTTACGTCTTTCACTCTCTTCTTGTGTCTAAGGTGCTCCCCGGCTTTGAGAACCTGCTGCTGGGTCATTCGAGCTGGTACACATACGCTGCCACCATGCGCATATATAAACACTGGGACTTTAAGGTGTCTGATACACACTTTGCCAATGGAAAGATGTCATTCAGCAGCTACCCTGGTACACACAAACATGCTTGGAGTTTAAATACATGAACTGGATTTTGTAAAGTAGCGTGTCAGCCCTCAGCGCAGCAGAATACAGGAGTCTTTCAAAAGCCCTGAGCCGAGGTGAACAGCTTGTCGTTAATCCACATGGTTTCATTTTCATCTTGGAAAATATAAACAAGACATGGAGGACTTAACCCAAATCCTTAATGAATATTCTTCACTGGATGTAATTCTTCTGTTAAGCACACAGCTTAGTCCATGCAGAGAAAACATCCATTGTTGCATTTGTTCATGTAAAACAGAGCCAGGATGAGATGTATTCCCTCTCTGTAAAGTCTGGGTGGGCTCAGTAGTTTTGAGAGGAAAGATCTGCAGAGTAGTCCTGAACATAAAAATCCTCTAACAGGGTCCATTGCTATCAGAACACAAGTGGTTTTGAAAAGCTCTATTTTTAGTCCAGCAGGCCTAGGACGTCACACTCTTTAAATGAGGAGGGGAAGTACAGTCTTGCTGTTGTAGATGGTATGTGACCCCTGCAGCCTTCTTAAGCTGTTTTCTCTCCCACGGTGTGATAATTGAACACATAACACTGCATAGTGCTGTCAGAACAAGAAATAAAGAAATATAAATACTTCATGTTACAGAAGATGAAGGGCTGGTGGGAAAATCCTGCTGCTTGTGGTTATTATATTATTAACAACAGCAGCAGCAGGAAATCTATTTTTAATAGCAGCATTAGCAGAGTTAAAAATTAAAAGCAGCAGTATTGTAATGTAATGGTAATTGAACAGGTACTAAAAGGAGAGTAAATAGTTTTTCTGCCTGTAATAAATATTTAAACCAGAGGCTTCAACTGTAAGGGCCTGTGTCCACTAACAGCACTTTGTTGTGCTTGAAGCGCCTTTAACCTCTCTGTCAGAGCACTTCTCATCTATTGTTGTGAGGGAATGAAAGTTGCCTTGCTGTCCCTCTACTTCTTTTAATAGTTACCAATAAGTCTGTATTATTCACAGCTTAATAATTGATTTTTTATACATGATGAACAGGAAAGAAAACAGTATTATCAAATAGTAGGCCTTTAGATTTTTTTTTTTTTGCACTGTTCCCTTTTTTTGTCTACTTTATAGAGGGAGAAAGAAGCAGTGAGCACAACCCTGACATATTAAGTTTTAATGATGAACAATCTAGCGTACAGTTTCAGAGGTACACACAGAGCAGAATCATTATTTATACAGAGGGATAATTGTGCGCTGAAGATCCACTCTGCATATTTGCTTCAGTATGTGTCCCTGCTTGCTACTAGCTGGATCTGTAGGCTGTTTTGTGCGAAGCAGATATATGTGGGTATATCTCAGCTTTCAGCTATAAAAAACTGCCAACTGCATCCGAGGAACAACGGGAGAACAGCAGGATAAAACTGGACATGATGATTTGTTTTGATTAGGAAGTTTACAGCTCCAGAGTAACCAGCAATTAAAGCTGTCAGTACATGCTCATAAAAAGTCGGGTATCTCAATCTGCAGATAAAGATAGACAATGATGTCACTACAGCTCTGTTTACTTGTCCTCCTCCTCCTCCCTCTACTCCTCCAGGCTTCCTCATGTCTCTGGATGACTTCTATCTTCTTGGGGGCGGCTTGTTGATGACTCAGACCTCCATCGATGTCTTCAACATCTCTCTGTTCTCCCAGCTCAGCCCTCACAGCCTGCTGGCCTGGCAGAGGGTCCGACTGGCCAACAGCCTGGCACACACGGGAGAGGAATGGGCGCAAGTCTTCTCCAAATACAACTCAGGTGAAAACCTGTCAATTAGGCTGAATAATTCCCACTTTATTATATATTATAATGTAAACTTGCTCCACTATCTTAAAACCAAAGTAAGTACAGGCATGATACAGTTGAACTATGACTCCTTGGTGGCCAGAAAACGGTAGAAATTTGTGTCAAAGTAAAATACCTAAATACTTTTTATTCATGAGCATACTTTTTTTGAAAAACTGTCGGTGTAGATTTTCACTTTTGTCCCCCCCTGTTGGAGATTTGAACTTAGCTGCAAAATGGGGACAGAAAAAGCTTCTTAGATCCTCTAACCATCCCAAATTATTGAGATTAGGACTGGATTAATTTTATCAGTGGACCTCTGCATGTCCCAAAATAGGGTTGATGATTAGGGCTTAGTCAGGGATCAAAATCACAGGTGTCCTCTGTAGTTATTACAAATGATCAGAGGTCCACAGGTATTACTAATCCTGTGAAAATAAGGGTTTGGATTGCATTTTCAGCTGAAAAGATGTACTATTAATAAAACATGAATATAAGTACGACCTACACAAGTAAAGGCAAAGACCAGTAAAGAGGTAGGACATAAAAACTCGTATTAAGTGGTTGCCCAGATTGAAACAAAAGGAAGCTCTAAACTAGCATTTCTGTCTGGCTGTTGTCATGAAAATCTGTGTATTCAGCAGTTGTCAGGGCAGAGGACTAAAGAGAGAAATCTGAAACTCACAGAAAAGCATTAAAACTCTGCCTGTACAAAAAAATGAGTGGACAAGTTTCCATGGAGACTAAGCAGACTCCCAAACACACCATCCTTATCATTACACAACAATTGTGAGCATTAATTGAGCTGCTGCTTTGATCTTTCACATCGTGTTGCTATGGGAGGGCAAAGGAGAACAGGACAGAGTGTTCTTGATACAGACAATCCTCTCATAGCCCAGCAGCCTTTACCCTCATACTCCCCATCCTGCCAAATTGTTGTGGCAGCCTGCAGGCACTTAACACAGGAGCCTCTACTTTACCTTGGCCTTTGTTTTTATTTCATCTAAAGTGAGTTTGGTACAGGATTTATTGTATGTGCAAGTCAGTATCTGGAGCCATAAGTTAAATTTGTATCCTCAAGTAGTCTTAGATCCTCCAGGCACATGCAAGACTGTGAAGCATGCTCCCCGATGATAGTTATATGCCAAAAACAATACAGCTGTAACCTGGATGCGGAGGAACTGGAAGAATTAGCAAAATGTGGCTGGGGAAGACCTGTTGGTGACAGTCCATTTGTCATAACAGATTTCCTTAATGCCCCTATGATGCCGTTTCACTCTGGATAGTTAAAAGTTAATGGCGATTCAGTATCAGTGCACAGCTTAAGAATAGCACCACTGGCTCAGAGTGAACCACTTGATGGATTGCAGTGACATTTAATTCAGGTATCCGTGATCCCAAGAGGACAAAGAGTACTTTTCATTCAGAGATGGCATTTCACTGTTAACAGCCTCTGCATTAAACTGAGTTAGGCCTGCAGATTAACTAATATCTTCTCTGCAGCATCAAAGAGATTAAAGTGAGCCTCTACACTACAAGCCTTGTTTAAAAAGGAAGATATTTCCCCTTTATTTATCTTCTGTGTCTCTTTACAAGAACAGAGCAGCTTTTCAGCAACTCTCTGCAGTTTTCAGTTTACAGTTCATGCTTGAAAAAGGCAGAGTAGAGAGCTTTGAAGATAATCCCTACAAGTAGACCCACATATTAACTGTGTATTTGTGATCAACATTAGCTTAATAAAGATCACTTTTCAAACTTTTACTTTTTAGGCAGTTTTTAGTGCAACATTTTCTTGTCTTGGAAAAAAATGCTTCAGAGAGGGATAAACAGATGTATACCTCATAAGAGGGTGATTTACTGTGTCTGTATTTTAGGAACATACAACAGCCAGTACATGGTGGTGGACCTGAGCAGGGTCTCTCTTGGTCACAGTATCAGAAGTGGAGCTCTGACTGTGGTGGAGCAGATCCCTGGTAAAGTGATGTACTCTGATCAGACTCAAGCTCTCCGCAGAGGTAAGAAAAGAAAACCTCTCCTTCCTTTTTGTCTGGGTGTGTCAGAGGATTGCAGAGGTTCATGTTTTAGCCAGATAACATGGTAATACTACATATCTCTCTGGCAGGTTACTGGCCATCCTACAATATACCCTTTCATGTTGAAATCTACAACCTAAGTGGATACGGTGTAATGTGGAAGAGATATGGAGAAGACTTCTCCTACGACCTTTGCCCACGAGCCAAAATCCTGCGCAGGGACCAGGCTAAGATCTTTGACTTGAACTCCCTTAAACACATGATGAGATACAACAGTAGGTCTTACATTCGATCTTTTATTACTCTCATAACTTTTAGTAAACTCAAAGAAACACAGAAAGATAGGAGTCATTTTTACAGTTTGAAGCAGCGAGACTCAAAGTCAGAGTGGTTTTGTTTCAGACTACAAAAGAGATCCCTACTCTAAGGGCCACCCGTGTAAAACCATCTGCTGTCGTAATGACCTGAGACCAAGAAGACCTCGACCAGGGGGTTGCTATGACACCAAGGTAAGATGTCATCAGTGTATTAATGAGGGAGTTAAGTTTGATATAAGAACTTTAGTAGAGGAGAAATGTCTTTTGAAAGTTAGCGATCCCAAAAGACATTTGGATCTATCATCTGTGGGTACAGGTATCGCACAATATCTCTGCCTCTGAGACCAGAAACAAATTCAGTTACAGTGTCCTGTCAAACACTGTATTTAACAGATTGACCTATATTTGGTTGGAGTTGCTAAACTGGGAACAATTGAGTTTGTATTGAGACTATTTCCACTCTAAAGAAAAGGAAAAAATTGCAAAAAGACTGAGTCATTTTTGTTCCTGGCTCTCCAAAGGTCAGGTTAAATATTGTCACCTATTTCAAAATGTCAAGAGGTCCACATTATGATGCACTCAAGCATTACAGTATATTGTGGCACATGCATAGAATAACTCATCTTTATAAATGGCAGCAGAAATATCTCCATTGACGTACACAACCTCTATCTAAAGGCCAGATTCAAATACCGTGTTTCTTCCTGTTGCTCACCCTTCCCTTTGTGACGTCTTTAACCATTTTCATCTCATGATGCAGGTGACCAACTACCAGATGGCTGTCCAGCTGGTTGCCGAGGCAATAAACGGCCCAACAACGCAGGGGGGGCTGCGTCCATTCTCATGGCAATCCTTCAACTTCTCGAGTCACCAGGGTCTCCCACTCACCTATAACTTTCCCTTCGTGACCATGAGGCCCACACTGTATCAACCCTGAGAGCAGACAGAAGATCCCATCCACCCTGATAGCAACGATGACGCTCACTTGTTACAATCAGGAGTTTACAGACCTGGCACTGTATGAATGAGACTGCTCCCTCTGCGTAATACTGTACTCCATTTAATTCTAGGCAAGTTAACTTCAGTAAAGCAAACCTTGTGTAAAAGGTTACCAATTTTTGGAACTGAAGATATTTAGTAATTCATCAAAAAAGAAAAAATTAACTCAATTTTAAATTGCTTATTCGTCCTTAAAACCGACTTTATTTGATGAGATGCTCTTGCTGAAATCAAAGCTTTTCTATTTTTTAGAGATCCGTCCAGTAGTCACAGTATTGTGATAGTCGAACTTTGATTAACATAATTATTAACGAATTCTTAATATCGATACTACATCGTGGGAAATTAATTAATTCCACCAAGTTTTGTATTTTATCCATGCAGTAAAAAACTGCAGTTTTCTCAGGTTTGCAAAGTGATAAGAGTACCTGTTTGAAATGATATTAATATTAATAACATTAAAATCTTTTAAGTTTTAAAAAAAGTCTCTTTTTTGTGTTTTAGTAAAAATCAAATAAAACAAAAAACTACAAGACCCAGCGTTTTAATCTCTGTCAAGTCGAATAGAGAGGTAGACATCCTCCACCGCATACTTTCAAAATAAAAGATCAAAGTTTTAACTTTGCACAAGGCATGGTTTTATATTTCATCTAAGTAATGGTACAGAAAAGGAATTACATTCTAAATAAAATTCTTGATACTTAATGTAGAAATAAGTAATACACCTCGCTGACAGCTAATTCAAAAGCTGAGTTTCTTATATTTATTTTGCAAGAGAAGTCCTGTTGGACAACCTCATTTGTCTCCATAGTAAAGGAGTATTTCACCATGCCTGGAACAAAAGGCAAAATGCTGTTTGTGAAACATGTTCCAGTGAGATTTTGAATAGATGAACAATTTTTAAAAAATTGAAATTTACTAGGTTGACAGCTTATTAGAAGGAAAAACTCCAGTAATGACAAAGAAGTGAAAGAAAATGAAACCCTAATCAAAAACCCGTGGAGTGTTAATACAAGTTGCACATTTTGTTAAAAAAGTTACATTGTGCGTTACCGTTTTAAAAGCTTTTACTTTGAAAGTCTTTCCCGGATGTTTAATAGTTTACTTTACTTTACTTTACGTACCTTCTGGTTGTGCCTCGGGTTCTGGGCGGAGCGTAGCCGGTTGGTAACGGAGAGAAAGAGCCGAGGTAACGACAGACACGGACGGACGCCCTCGCTCGTCACCCCCCTCGTGTCTAACGGCTATTTTCAAATGGCAACGCCAGCGGACGACCAACGGGAACCGGCGGACGTCGCTGCGCTGTCTCCGCACCACGGCTCCCAGCACCACCTCAACAGTAACAACAACAATAATAACAATAACAACAACAACAAAGACAGCGAGGCGGGAGAGAGCGCGACCTCTGCCACGGCGAGCACGACGGAACCCGGGGGGACGGCGTCGCAGGGCATCGGGAACGGTTCAGGCATCAGCTCCTCCGGGGGGAACAACGGGAAGTGGGTCCGGCTGAACGTTGGCGGCACGGTGTTCCTCACGACGCGGCAGACTCTCCTCAAAGAGCAAACTTCGTTCCTGTACCGGCTGTGCCAGCAGCAGGACCTGCACTCGGACACAGTGAGTCCCCCTGAAACATACATGTCCTCTGTCCACTACTTCTCAAAAGAGTTACTACTACTGTGTAGTACGGCGGCCGAGAACCGCCAGTGCTGATAGTAATAGTAGTAAAAAAAAAAAAAGAATGCAAAAAAAGAAGCCATAACAGAAGTTACCAATGCTAAAAAAGAAACAAAAGCCCGTTGAAAAAAAAAAAAAAAAGAAACAGTGCAGATTAAAAAAAACAAAAATGTAATAACGTAAATTAACAGCGAAAAAAAAAAAAAGTCAAGACATAAACTAACGATGCAAAAAAAAAATGGCAATGGAAAAAATATTAAAAACTCCAAAAGTTACTTACTGCAAAAATAAAAGGATGCAAATAAAAAAAGCTACAACAGAAGTGAGCTGTAAGGGAGCAATAATGATGATGCCCAGTGTTTTACGATCTAGGCACAGGAGATGACGGCGAGAAGACAAGTAAAGAAGTGAGTGGAAAGGTTATTTTTTAATTTCGCTACGTGTTATTTGTCATTTGAACTGGATAATGCCGGTGTAGTGTTAGCTTCAATTTAACTTCACATTGACTCAGGTGCTACATGGCCAAACCAAATGACACATTGAAAAGCACACGAAGCAAAATTAAACAATAACTTTTCCACGTACTTCTTTGTTCGTCTTCTCGCCGTCATCTTCTGTGCCTAGATCGTAAAACACTGGTGCATCATCATTATTGGTCCCCCGCAGCTCACTTCCGTTGTGGCTTTTTTCACTTGCAGTGTTGTTTTCGTTGACAAAAGTATTTCGTCAATGCCCCTTTTTTTTTCCATGACGAAGACATGACGTTGACGAGCTCAACATAAGTCTTAGATGACTAAACTGTGACGAGACAAATGTGCGTTTACGTTGACTAGACTAGACGAAAACGTTAGTGGTGGACAACGAACAGAGTTGCAAAATTCATGAGCATTTCGTCAGGCAAACGTTGAACATATATTCCGCAGTGTTGTTGTTTTTTTATTTTTATTTTTATTTTTTTTGCATTCTTTTTTATTTGCAGTAGTGGCAGTTCTCGGCAACCGTAGTGTAGCATAGTGTTGCATCAAATGTAGAGTTATAACTACACTCCTCCCTCTTCCACATTGCACCAATGTTCCTACAGGTATTCAAAGTTTTCTTGTGAACATGCCAACATTTTACACCCGCTCTACATCCAGAAACGTTATGGATCCAGGCTTGGGGTGAAGAGTGGTCTGTGTGATGCTGTAACTTTTTCCCCTATCAGTTTAGCTCATTAGAAAAAGCCCTTAATAACACACTCCTATCGTGGCCCATTTTTAAGTTAAACATTGGTCTTTCAGCTCATGATAACATTGTTAAGTTTGGTCTTGTTAATGTTTTTTTTATTCCCTGTGTGGTATGAGAGGTATTTTTTTATAACCTGACCAAAAAGGATTGGCTCAAATATGTGAGCAGGTCTTGGCATGAAGTCAGTCAGTGCTTTGAGACTGAGTGAAAAATCATGTTACTGCACAGAGCACCATGATGTTTTTATCATGTAAGGCATCACATAAGCCTTAAAGGAAGGGTCTAATTATATTATATTGAAACTAAATTATCTATGTTCTATTCCCAGAACCTATTACTTCAGCTCTGTTGTGGTCCGGAAATACATGCCTGCAGCTTCACAGTAGGCACAGAGTTGTCAAATTACGAGCTGATAAGCTGTGCATGTGCAGTATGGAGTTCTCCCACTCTCTCCTTCTCCTGCTCTAAGTGTGTGTGTGTGTGTGTCTCTCAGCATCATTTGATGGTGTGAACGTAGCTTGGGTCAGATGGATGAACACGTGCCTCCTCTTCTGCAGGGAGCTGCACAGGCAGAAGCAGTGCAGCTGACATCTTATTGGGGGAACAGAAAGAGAGAGATGTATTGTGGATCCTGCGGTCACATGTAGACTGAACACTCTGGCAGCTCTCAAGAATGATGCAGATTTCCATTATACTGCAGCTTTTGATATGCATGTGTGTGATGGATAGAGTATAGGGGGCAGGTCCTCCTTGCAGCCAGGTGGGGTCTGTGGACCGTCATTGTCATTCCTGTAGGATGTCCACTCTGTGTAAGACTGTAAGACAGAAGCCCAAGGAAACAGAACATCTTTACCTTACCTATAGTGCCATAAAAAATCTTCTATCAAAAGGCTTGAAACTATAAACTTGGGTCATCACTGTACCCGATGCTATTTCAGATTGCATAGTGGAGAGCTGCAGTGACTACAGAAACCAGTTCATATCCCCAAATGTTAAAGCAATGGTCTACCATTTGGAAGCTTTGTACTTATTAATAACATCGTTTATAAGGCCGTTATGGTGCTATGGTCTGATCTACACAATATAGAGATCAAAAAGAACGAAAAAAATCCATTCAGTATATCCGCTGCAAAAAGGCATAATAATCGACCGGTACGGCGGTTCGGAGAGCACCGTCCTGCCCATGGTCCCGCCTCCTCCCCACTACCCCCCTCACGTACATGTGATTAGCGAGCTGCACAGCTGCTGAAGACAAACACTGAAACCAGGAGGCCGCTTCTGTTACCCTCCACAGCGAAGGGAAGGAAACATAAAAGTTTCGAGGAAAACGCTGAAGTAAGGAAGAAATATGAGTGATACAGGTGCCAACGGAGTGTCTACATTGGAGAAACGTACGACCGGTGTTGTGCCGTAGAATGCACCCCTTCATCCCATCAACTCATTATCTTCTTTAAGTGGAGGAAAATGATCTCATATTTAAAAAAAAAAACATGAATATTGAATCATGACAGCATGTCAAATGGAGCAGCAAACTTTCGTTCTGTTTTTATGTGGCTCAAAAATGCACATAGAGGTGTACTTGGGTATATACTGTACAGTGAACTGTCAAGTTAGAGAACATTATATTTTCGGCATATCTGAATGGCCTGAATGAAATCATTAAAGGCACACACTTTTGAATCCATCCAATGGGGGGGGGGGACTCAAATCTGTCTCAACAGCCAAACTGGTTTTCAGATTGCAGACCATACCATAGCTTTAAGTTATCTGGTTCTGGTTAAAGTTTTTCAACTATGGGAGCTTATGATGGTCATTTGTACTCACTTTGAATCCACAATTTGCATGAATGTGTTACTGTTTAGTGGAATGATTGATAATGATGATTAACTAAACCAAAATATTTCAATGTGCTGCTATTCATACACCTAACAGCATATTACCAAGTCCTGATCTCATGCCTAGCCTCATCACCACATGCCCTAAATGTTATCCCTTGGAGGGTTACAGAGAGTCAAGACTTTGTCGGCGTCTGCAGAAGAAAACAATCTGCCTGAGACCAGGTATTCCTTGTGCCAGTGCCAAAAACAACCCCCTCACTTGGAGCTGGAAGGTTTTTACAAGAAACCAGACGCGACTGTTCCCCTGCCGCAGCACCAGGCATTTTGGGAGGAAAAAATATTCTCATGTGACCTTCAGAGCAACCTGACAGGAGCTCCCTCAGCACTGCTTTATTACACAAAGCCACACACAGACTCTCTCGCTGTCTAGCATACACAAACACACCTACAGTTCTTTCCATCCTCCTTCCTTCACCCTCGTTCTTTTTGTGTTGATGGCAAGCCCTCCTTGTCCTTACTTTTAGCGGCTGACTCACCATGAATACTTCTCGCAGGTCTGCCCTTCCTCTGCGCATCTTTTCTGCTCTTGATCACAAACCCTTGAAATCTGAGGAACCTGATTTTGGTGTTTTCATTAGCCATGTTTTCTTGATCTGATTAAAAACTGATTGGATTGGAAAATCTGAGTCCAATTCTGAATATGGGTGCAAAATTGAATAATCTGATCATGTCGTGCGTACACATGCACCGAGTTTTATTCAGATTAGAAGCATTTGGACATGTGCAGAGTTGTCTTAATTTTGCTAAAACCTCCTGTACTGGCCTCAATAAATAAGCCAAAGGCTAAAGGGTGAAGACTGAGTCAGGTTAGAGAGTCACAATCGGAGTAAGTGTTTACATGGACGTGTTTCGGAATAATGATCGGCATTAACCACCCCCTTGATCGAAATACAGTTTCTTTCCGATTGAGCCGAATTCGATCAGAATCTTCCAATCGACATGTTTACATGACGCATTTTTATTCCGATCAGGCCTTTATTATGGTTATTTGTGCCCATGTAAACGCAGCTATTTTCTGTCTCCATGACACTGCTGTCATCTGAACCTTAGGCCAGTTGTAATTCCTGAAAATGATGATCTAGGAATTAAGTTTGTTTGAGCTGCTTTTTGTCAAACATCTAACTCACCCATCTAAGATAGCTTTTAAACATGGATTAAAAATGTATGTAATATGTAGAGGTCTTAAAGTGTTTTATTAAATCCATTTGGATTCTGCTGAAGAAAAATATCTACCTTTCTGTCTGAGGTCATATGAGGGAGGCAAAAATTAGTGTTTGGTTAAATCATCACTTTGCTGCTGCAAGTCACAAGAACAGTCACAGCTTAAAATGTAAAATCAGGAGGAAAGGATTTTAAGAAATGCTTTTTATCCTGCGGTTTACAGTCAGAATCCTCATAAATAAAATCCATGGTTCTTTGGATCCGTCATACCCACTGATCTTAACAGCTGTGAATGCACAGAAGCGTGAATGATTGAACAGATGAATATAAAGTCAGCTGGGGAGATAAAAATCTGTTTGAGTTATGAAATAAACATTTTCTCAAATGTAACACAGATGGAGGTTTGTCTGTCTGCTTGGAAGAAACATTTCAAAACAGATGGAGTGAATTGTCCCTGGCTTGTCACTCCAGCAGTTATGACAGATAGTTGTAAAACTGTCTAGCGAAAATCTTAAATAAACAGAAATGTCAATTATGGCCGGCTGGTGAAAAGCCATCCTCTCTTAGAGAAGAAATACGATAGAGTGTAATCCACAACTTGCAGTTGAAACCAGAAGTGTGCACTATATAAAAAGGCACATAACCTTTTTTTCCTCACTGTCTAACATTAAATCAGATTAAACTTTTACTGTTTTTGGTCAATTAGGATCACCAAAATTATTTTCATTTTTAAAATAATGAGAGAGAATTTTTTAGACAATTTTTTATAATTTTCTTGAGAGTCAAAAGTTTACATACATTTCATTAGTATTTGGTAGCTGCCTTTAAATCGTGTGACTTGGGTTAAATGTTTTAGATATGCCTCCACAAGCTTCTCACAATAGTTTGCAGGAATTTTGTCCCATTTCTCCTGACAGAACTGGTGTAACTGAGCCAAGTTTGTAGGCTGCCTTGCTCGCACATGACTTTTCAGTTCTGCCAATAAATTTTAAATAGGATTGAGATCAGGGCTTTGTGATGGCCACTTCAAAACACTGACTTTGTTATCTTACACCACTTTGTAACCAGTCTGGCAGTATGCTTAGGATCACTATCCATTTGGAAAACCCATTTGCGCCCAAGCTTTAACTTCCTGGCTGATGTCTTGAGATGTTGCTTCAGTATTTCCACATAGCATACTTGTCCCTCCTGCTTCAAAACAACTCCACAACATGATGCTGCCACCTTCATAGTTCATAGTTAGGATGGTATTTTCAGGCTTGCAAGCTTTCCCTTTTTCCTCCATTTCAAAGCCACTCCAAAGCTCCATTTCAGTTTCATCCACAGGACATCTTAAAAATCAAGGTCTTTGTCCCTTTGTGCATTTGCAAACTGTAATCTGACTTTTTATGTTTCTTTTGGAGTCATGGCTTCTTCCTGGACTCCTTTCACTGTTGATAATGACACACTCTTACTAGCTTCAGCCAGCATCTTCACAAGGTCTTTTGCTGTTGTTCTTGGGTTGTTATTCACATTTTGGACCAAAGCACGTTCATCTCTGGGACACAGAACCCGTCTACTCCCTGAGCGGTATGATGTCTGGACATTTCCGTGGTGTTTATACTTGCATATAATTGTTTGAACGGATGAAAATGGCACCTTCAGGCATCTGGAAATTGCACTCAAGGATGAACCAGACTGCTGTAGGCCCACAATTCTCTTCCTGATATCTTGGCAGATTTCTTTTGATTTTTCCCATGATGTTACACAAAGAAGCAGTGTGTTTCAGGTGTGCGCTAAAAACATCCACAGGTGTGTCTCTAATTAACTCAAATGTTGTCAATAAACCTATCAGAGGCTTCCAAAGACATGATATCATCATCTGGACTTTCCCAAATTGTGTAAAGGCATAGTCAACTTAGTGTATATAAACTTTTAGCTCTTGAGAAAATAATAAAAAATTGTCTAAACAATTCTCTCTCGCATTATTCTGGCATTTAGCAAATAAAAGTAATTTTGGTAATCCTAATTGACCTAAAACAAGATAAGTTTAATCTGATTTAATATTAGATGGTGAGTTAAAAAAAAGGTTATGTGCCTTTTTGTATTTACTTCTGGTTTCAACTGTATATAGATGAAGAGACCAGATCCTGTTAAGAAAACAATAAGTCAGCCATGCTGCAAATCCAATTTTGACTGAAGGTCTGCAGAGGTAAGAAAGTGTGTATTAAAGTGAGCAAGCTGACACTGGACTGAAACAAGTCACTGCGGGATGTTGAGTACACACACAGAACAATCCAAAGTTGAATCATAACAGGAGCAGATCAGCCCATGTGTTTCTTCTTTCACTCGGGAGAGAAGCTGAGTTTACTCAGGACACAGTCCCTCTCTAATCCGCTGATGTTGGCGTGTTTCTGCTCGGGTGTTCTTGGCTGTTTCAAACCACACACACACACACACACACACACAGACAGACTGTCTGCCTGTGTGTGAATGTTTTAATGAGATTACCGGTGCTTTAACCACCCTGCCCCCGTGCTGAACCAAACTCAGCGATAACTACCCCTGCTAATAAGACCTACGATGACCCCGCAGGGTCTCCTCCAGCCAATAATGTGACGTTGCTGAAGTTCAGCTTTGACCCTGCCAGCTAATGTTAGTCTGACAGGAGTCGCCTCAACTGTAAATGCAACTATAACAACTTCATCAGATTAGATAGGATTTGACATTAGCACAAGTTTGATTCATATTTGAGTTCATACAGTGCTGTACTGATGGCTTTATTTTTGTGACATATTTTCAGATGGTTTTGCTTCAGAGCTCCTTTGCAGCCGTTGTCTCATCTTACTGTGTCAGCATGGATTCCAACACAAGCCTGAACTTGCTTTATCATTATCTGTGCTGTTAGAGGTCTAAACATTAAACATTTGCAGGGGCCTGAAAGGAAAAGAGGTTTGTAAGTTCATATGAGGCTGCATGCTATCATAAAAAAAAGTTTTTATGTTTCTGTGATACTGACAGACCAGATATGCTCTTACTAATGGCTTTATATTTAAGTAATACAATTGCACTTTTTATTAATTGGATTTTTAAGTTTGTTTTCTGCTCCTCAGTCAGCTGCACTTCTACATTTGACATGTTTTCAATAAACTTAACTGATAAATGCAACTGACTTCATGCGGTTTTTTCAATAACTGAAGTTAATAGGTGTTTGGAGTTGTGTTAACAGTTTTACAAAGTTACAATATCATTCAGCAGACACTTCTTTTTAAATAGTGTTCAGCTTATAGTAAACACTACAAAAGCAAGGATCTAGGTAGTGGGAAACAACTCGAGCAAGTGCCACAAACTGCCTCAGGTCCACAAAGGTACTGACATGAAGCTCTCCAGGCAATGCACACAGGCAGTTTATTGACCCTGAGGTGATTTCATTGGCAGATAGTCACAAGGGACCGGGACAAGAGATTCTAAGTAGACAGGAGCCTGTTATCGTTATTGTTGTTTTGTAGCCAAGAAGTAGGATTTTAAACTTAATTTAAGTGGCAAGTGGAAGTGGGTGGAAGTGGAACAGCAGTCCTAGTTGAATGTAAAGAGTGGAGTTGTGTATAATAGTAATAAGACACAGTGAAGACTTTGAGTCTCATTCATGACTTGGAGTAGAACAAAATTCACAAGCAAACTGTAATTCATCGATGTTTTAGTAGTTTTAGTTTGTTTATAGCTACTAACAGGGTTAGGGTTATCTGCACCTGCCTCTAACCATGAGTAGAGTTTGTGTAAGTGAAGAGAACTCAGTAATATTAATTGTTATCAGATATCACTATTTTGATAAATACTGTGATCTGTTCTGTTCACAACAGGATGGAAAAAAAACAATTTAAAAGGGATTAAAAAATCTATTTTTAACACATTTAGTGAATTTTTTTTGGCAATAAGCAGATTTCAGCTTCATTTAAGCTTCGAAATACGAAATGGGTTGAAGTATGCAAGTTTCTCTGTGTTCCATGTAGGCCTGGACGATATAGAAAAAAAGCATATCGATAAAAAATAAATCATATTGATCGATATCGATAATTATCGATATAATTATTATAATTATTTAACATATATTTTAATTGCAGCCCTGGATGTTTTATGCTATTGCTTAATGACCTACTTTTAATAAAGAACACACAAGCACTGAATTCAAATTCAAACCTTTATTCAACCACCTTTTCATTTTACCACAACTGAAAGTTTTTTTTAAAAAAGAACTAAAAAAAAAAAGAAATCAACTTAAGTGGCCTGAGTGACGTCAGTAAATACTGACAAACATAAAGACTAAAGTGACCAGAAAATCTGATAAATATTTAAATAGTCTTTTGATGAAAATAAACAAAACAAACAAATATATAAATAAACAGAATAGCTTTAGGTGGGAATAGCATACTACCAGTTTTAACTGTGTGGGAAACTGCCCACAGCCTGGTGTCTGAACACTTAAATATTTCTCCCGGGGTCGGGAGATTTATTTTTTTTAATTATCATGTGATTGACTTAATACACAAACTAAGCACGAGAAGCAGGACTTATCCACGCCGGTGTTGTGTCGTAGAATGCACCCCTGCCGAATGCACCCCCTGCTAGTAGCCATGATCCAAATACTCGCGTCTTTGTAAAATATGAGCTCATTTGAACGTATTTCCTCCGCACCCTTCTCACCTTTTCAACCCCTGACCCATTTTCATGCCTGAAGCGCTGTGTTTGAGAAATACTTGCGGCCGGGCACTTCATATCGCGGGTCGAGAGTGGCTAGAAGCTGGTCGAAGCCAGGCTTTTCAACGGTAGTTATTGGCAGTATGTCCCTCGCTATGGAGCATGTTACTGCATGGGTGATGTCCTTATGCCGCTCGGACGCTTTGTCGTATTTTGGCAAGAAACAAAGTCCAGTTTGGTCTGCTTCACATGCTTTGTGCTGGTGCTGGCAGCGGTTCCAGAGGATTCCTCCTCCGACGACGACGTGGAGCCGCGGCGCGGCCGACACAGCTCGTACTCCTGCGGGTGCGATCGGTTTAGATGGTAAAACAGGTTGGTTGTGTTACCAGACTTGGTTTTTACTAATTCTCCGCAAATTTTGCAAACGACCGCTGTTCGCTTTTTGTCAGACTTCTAAAAACCAAAACATTGCCATGCTGGTGAACTACTGAAACCTTTTTTCGGGACAATGTACTCCGCTTCTCCGTGCTGTATCATTTTTTCTAATACACGTGCTGTCTGTTGTGGTTTGATAGGGGCTGGGCTTGGTGCCGTAGCGTACCTGGGTCTGCCTTTGTGATTGGTTAGGAGGAAGTAATGACTGTAGTAAAAGCTACATGATAGGCTATGATGAAAAAGAAAGGGAAACTGTGTTTTTCTATCGAACTTTTTATCGACCTGTTTTTTTTCTATCGCACCACACGTCTATCGATCGATATATATTGTTATCGAATTATCGTCCAGCACTAGTTCCATGACAAAATATCGATAAAAAATATTGATTGCCTTACACTGTCCCTTTGGTTTGGTGTGGCATTGACAGCGCCACTCTGCACAGCTTGGACTAGTTTGGAGAAAGGAGCAGTGCGAGACGGCTGGTTTGTCAGTAAGAATATAAACCCACACTCATGAGAATCACTGGTGAGGAAGCCTTTCTAGCAGGTGCCTTGTAGCTTCTTTGAATGCATAACCATATTTTGTTTACTCACCAACACATGGATGCACATAAAACCTAAAGTGTTAGCCTGTTTGGAGCTTCTGCGATTCCTCTTACACCAAAATGATCACCGACACTGAGAAGCAGTTAGTTCAGCAGGACCATCTGTGTTGATGACTGAGGCTGATCCCTAATTAGAAAGAACAGGAAAACACGGCTCCTGCTAGCTTCCCCCTTATGTTAGAGTTACATAAGCAGGCCAGGTATGTGTATAAGCAATAATTTACTACAGGCTGTACAATGTAGTGTTTGCGAATGTTAAAAACCCAATGCAAAGACATGCAAATAAATCAGCATGTCTTCTAGATAGAAAGTACTCTTGTAGTTCACTTATTCCTAGGAAATCGTTTGATCGTTTTCATAGTATTTTAAATTCTGTGTCTTACTCCAGATTCCAAATATGTTCTGTTAAAATGTAAATATGCAAATTGAAAAAAAAAACACACTTTGGAGGATGCTACGATGCTCTTCTTTGTGCTGAAAAAAACAAAACATAAATCCCTCTGGAGACTTCCTTAATTTCTCTCTGAGCTTGTGGTTACTAGTATTAAATACTTGAGTGCACCTTTTTGCTTCTTTATGTCTCTTTTGTAAAGTTCAGCACCAGTGTAAACATTACTTAGCAGAGGAATGTAGGCAAGGTTGGTGTTGCTTGTGTGTGTAGCAGGGTGGAGGAGGGGTGAGTTTAAGGTTGTACCGTGATATTGAGGAGTCACATCCTGTTTTCCTGAACAAATGTTCTTCTGAAAACCTTTAACCCACCCACTAGTGCCCCTTGCCTCCCTCCAGGAGACAGTTGCTGTGCTACAGCTGCAAACACATCTGCTGTAAGGAGGAAAGACTCAATCTGAGTGTGTTTGGGAGGAAAATCACGCTCTGACACATTCAGGTAGCTTTTTGCCAGAGCTGTCATGCCCGCACTGTCAAGTCGAGTCACGTTGACAAGGCGTCTCTTCTGCTGCAGCTCCTCTGCTCATTTTAGATGATGTGGTATTGCATCTGCATCTGTTCTGTGCTGCAGAGCCTGCAGTCTTCCACACTGTAATCACTGTGATTTTCAGACCAGACATGCATACTCAATCCAAACAGTGCTGTCACTCTGGTGGCTGCTCAGCCTGCCTCCAGGTCCTTGTGTCCCAATTTCACCCCAAAGTCTGTTTTTTCGGCCCTTTATTAATCTTTTTTTTAATCATGTCTAACTTCAAGTTTTGAAAGTATTTCTCCCCATCATACCCCTTTCTGGTATGATGTATTTCATTATACTTTCACCTCCTACGCAATATTTCTTTAATGTTTGTTTCCCCAAGACTTACCAATTCAGAGTGTATTAAAAAGAAAAAAAGGATTAATTTTATCTAATATTTGTTTATTAAATAAGCATTTGTGGAATAAAATATGTTCCAGTGTTAAAGATATAAATGGTGTACTTGGTGTATTGTCATTTTAGGAATTAAAAATCTTAACAACATGCATCAAACTGCCTTCTAGGGCTAGGCGATATGGCCTCAAATCAATATCACAATATATTGAGCAGTTCACCTCTATAACGATAAATGGACGATAACTACTCCACAAGCTGCTCACCCCCTCCCTCATTAACTCCATTTACTCTAGCTGCTACAACTTTTGAAGCGTCCTCCATCTCCTCACCTGTCTTTCCCTCGTTATTATGGACTGAATGGGGTGGAGTCACGTCTCTGATGTAGGACACTAGCGTCTTAAAAGGGACATGAGACCATAGCCTACCTACACACATCCAAGACCAACTTATATTTATTTATTTTTTTGACGCCGAATATACAGATTTGGGCAAAATGTCGCCGGTTATTGACGTAAATTTCGGATTCAGTAAATTTTCGGTTTATCGCCCAGCCCTACTGTCTTCCATATTCCCTAACTTCTGTAACCATAGCAGCCATATGATTGTTTTTTGTCAGTTAAGGCCCTAACTGAATTAATTGATTGCCCATCCATAATATGTGTGGACTGAAGAGATGATATGAAAAATAAAAGATATATCTTTGCTCATATGAAGAGCTGGTGCCACCTCTTAGGCAGATATAGACAGACAGGAAACAAGAACATGAGCTCAGGCCAGATGTACATCAGAGGGTCAGGGCCAAAGGTCAAACCAGCAACTTGAAAATGTCCGTCCCTCCTTTTCTCCTTCTAACTGAGCTCTACAAGAATCCTTTGGTACCTTAGCTCCAAGCCTCAGTGATGCTGCTGACATCAAACATGAGAACAAGAAATAAACACAATGATAATATTTGTAAGAAGATGTGCTTCTGTCCCCTACCTGCAGGATATCTTGTAGGGGTGTCCTGATAAGATATTGATATTGGTCCGATATCAGCAAAAAAAATGACTATCGGGTTATACTGGCCTGCATCTATAATCTCTAATATCAGCACTCCGATACAAGCAGTCCATTCCAGACTCCACTCTGGCACCTCTATCTAGCAGCGCCCAGATCCAGCATGCAGAGCTCCCATAATCACAACAACAGTGTGTACTAAGATACTAACAAAGTAGCAAGGAGTAGGAGTGATGTCGGCCGTGAAGCGGTATTTTTTGTTTAAGTCTGAAAAAGACATTGCAGCTGAGTGAAAAACTTGTGATGCACGATTTTGCACCAATATTGGATCAATATCAGTATTGGACAATGCTGAAGGCTACAATATCGGCATTGTATTGGAAGTCAAAAAGTTGTTTCAGGACACCCATAATCTTGGCTGCTAAGATCACAGAGATCACATTTTACTTCTTCCATATCTACACCTTTAACCTGAACTCTCACATCTTGGATAAGAGTTGATGACAATGCAGTTCCTAGTGAACAAAGCAGATTTTGCATAAAATAATAATAATAAAGTCCAGGCGAGCCCTTAAAATATTCAAAGCAGTATTAAATCTCTATCATGGAAACTTCCTGCTGTGAAAACGCCTGTGATGCAGCTGGACTAGTAGCAACAGAGACTTTGGCAGAACTTTTGATTTTGTCTCCAGTCAGTGGTTTTAACTCAAGGTGACATTTTCTCTTTGAGTAAGAGGCACTCCGTGTGTGTTGGTGTGTGAAGGACTAAGGACCTGCTAATAAAAGTGATACCATGGATGTGCGCAGGATGCAGCTGGAGGCTAAGGTTGCCTGTTTGCCGCTTCAGCAACCAGCCATTAAAAGAGGCAGTCATGTGAATACAGCAGGTTCTTTATAAAGCTCAACATTTTCTTTCTCATTCTCTGTCGACACACCAAGAATAACACTCTACTATCCTCCATTTCAATGCAAGTATGTCAGTGGCATTTTACGAGGCTGCACTGTGGGTGTGAATATCAAGACGAGATGATTAAATACTTGAACCACAAACAATGTACACTACTGACTAAACTTTCCAACTGTCATTCATCATTATTTATATGGTCTGACTGGTTGATCTTCACATAGTGGAAGTAAACTGCTTTGAAGGGTTTTCATTTTTTAAACCAAAGATATACGTTCTAGTCTCTATCTCCCGTCCTTTTCTGTATGTTTCTCACTCAAAGACGAAAGTGACTCATGTGTTATTGACACTCAAACAGCTGGAGCATTGATGCTGGTTCTGACGCAGCGACATAAAAAGGCAACAAATTCCACTTTCTGTAAATCCGCTTGAGTCTTAAAAGGCCTGTATGATATTTTCGGCTGTAAATCTTGAGTGGATTTATCTCTGAAAGAAGTCTTTGTTTTAATTATCATGAGGAGGAGAGCAGAGGGAGGATGTGCGTGTATGTTGGAGGTGCTGTAGGTATGACATAACAGTCAGGCAGGCTTGAGAGCTCCGAGTAGGAGAGCAGCAGGCTGTTTGCACGCATATGATAATAAAGTCACTCCTGAAAGTGCTCAGGAGCAGAAGTCTGTGTGTGTGAAGCTGGTGTGTCAGGAAAACAGTCATGTTTATGTTCAGTATGAGGAAACAGAATACACGATAAACACTGAGATAAGTTAGGCAGTAACAAAGAGTTAACTTTATGTCAACATGTGTGAAGAATCTAAGACATGCTGAGATTTCTCCTCTCAGTAACAATAAACTTCACATTATTCTGTGACAGAACCTTGACTCAACGGGGGGCTCTTATTTTGGAGAGCTCTGTAATCCGTCTGGTGCACGTACATCCGCTCTGGGCAGCCAGTACTGCATACACCAGATAAAGTTGCATACCAGGATGTTATTTTCCTGGCAGTAAAGCTTTGAGTCTAAAAATAATCAAAAGAGGTCCTTGCTAGAGAAGGTATCCAAACTCCCTTTGAGAAACACCTGATATATGTACATGCAAAATTTGTGACGTCTCGTGAGTAATGTTGGTTGATTACTGTTACACACCTTATTATGCCACCGTGGTTTGAGTCGGTAAGATCTCTACATGATTCATGAGTAAACACTTTCTGCATATAATGACACAATGTTCTAACTGAAAGCATTTATGTCTGTCCATCTCTCTGATTTTCTCTCTCTTACAGGATGAGACAGGAGCCTATGTCATTGACAGAGACCCCACATACTTCGGCCCCATCCTGAACTACCTGCGGCATGGCAAACTGGTCTACAACAAAGAGCTGGCTGAAGAAGGTCTTTGATCAGGGGGTCGCTGTTGCATGAGTTTTTGTTTGTTTTGTCCTAGGAAACAGGGGGTGCTCATTCAGTACTGTATATCTCTTATGATGTTTTCTTTTTGAGTGTCTCATTGAACAAAAAAGGTTAAAATACAAAACACAAATCAAAACTGCCAATTAAACATCAAGTGTGTACTCACTTCTCCCTCCAGCATGAACTAAGCTGTAACATGTGAGACTGAGCCGAGTGTTTCCTTGTTTTCAAGGTGTCCTGGAGGAGGCGGAGTTTTACAACATCACCCCACTGATCAAACTCATCAAAGAGAGGATTGTGGAAAGGGACTCCAAAGCCACACAGGTATACACACAACTAGTCAAAGTATTTCAAAGCTATTACGCTGCTGTGATAGTTTTGAACGAGAAACATTAGCTCCTTCAGTTACTGCACCAGTTTTTCTAGGCAGTGTTAATTATGTGGTGGCGTCAGTGCAACGCCTTTCAATCACTCTTTTTCAGTGATTTCACTCCTCTTTGCTTCTCTTCAAAGAGCGCAGCTATACATCAGGCTCCTCTCCTCGTTCTTTTTCTATGGCTGGTTGCACTCACTCTTACATAACTCCGCTGCTGTATCAAACACCCACTAGCGTTCGCCTGGGGTTACATATTGTAGAGGATCATATTAAAGGAGAGCTTGTGGGCCTAGCCTATGACTGTGTCATTTATTTCCCTTTGATTGCTGTCCAGTGCCTTCATTTCAGGTTGGCACGGTTAGTATGGACCTGATCAGCTCTGTGTGAGTGCAGTGCCCAACTGAATGGCCTGTGATCAAATCAATCCAGCAGCAGGGTGGAGATTATACTCACTATTAAAAACAGTTTTCCCTTTATTTATTAGGGGTGGGAATCTCTAGTTGCCCCACGATACGATACGATATTTAGGGTTGGGTATCATTTGATTTTGAACAATTCTGGTTCCGATTTAAATGAGGGTGCTAACCGGAGTTCTTTTTGGAGGAAATTTCTGAACTTCTCCATGAATTTTTACATTATATTAACTTTTTAAGAACTTTACTATGAATTTCTCACAGGGCGATTTTCAACAGTATATCAATTTTTGTTGTCGGGTCGTTGCAATGCACTCTCTCTCTCTCCCTCTCTCTTCTCTCTCTCTGTGTGGCTTCGTCTCATACGCTCTGTCCTTGTTGGTGTTAGGCGGCTTCTTCTTCATTGGTGTCTAGCGGCGTCTTCCTCGCTGGTGGTCGGCAGACTTCAGCATCAAAACTTGGAATTGAAATTTTAAAATTTGAACGGTTCCGGGAGAATCGGATGTTAGTCCCAGTCCCCATCGATGCTCGAGACTCGATGCCCAACCCTAACGATATTATCACAATACTAGGGCCACGATACGATATTATCGCGATAATTGGGCCATGATATATTATTGCAATTTTTAATATTTTGCAATACAGAGAGTATTGCAGTACAATAAACTGTGATTTATACATTTTTTTTGAACTGTTAAGCTAATTTAGCATTTGTCTTTTCTTTATGTTTGTCTTATTTACACTGTTTTGTTTTTAAGAAGCACATCTTGCAAACCTTACATATACACTCACCGGCCACTTTATTAGGTACACCTGTCCAACTGCTCGTTAACACTTAATTTCTAATCAGCCAATCACATGGCGGCAACTTAGTGCATTTAGGCATGTAGACATGGTCAAGACGATCTCCTGCAGTTCAAACCGAGCATCAGTATGGGGAAGAAAGGTGATTTGAGTGACTTTGAACGTGGCATGGTTGTTGGTGCCAGAAGGGCTGGTCTGAGTATTTCAGAAACTGCTGATCTACTGGGATTTTCACGCACAACCATCTCTAGGGTTTACAGAGAATGGTCCGAAAAAGAAAAAATATCCAGTGAGCGGCAGTTCTGTGGGCGGAAATGCCTTGTTGATGCCAGAGGTCAGAGGAGAATGGCCAGACTGGTTCGAGCTGATAGAAAGGCAACAGTGACTCAAATAACCACCCGTTACAACCAAGGTAGGCAGAAGAGCATCTCTGAACGCACAGTACGTCGAAGTTTGAGGCAGATGGGCTACAGCAGCAGAAGACCACGCCGGGTGCCACTCCTTTCAGCTAAGAACAGGAAACTGAGGCTACAATTTGCACAAGCTCATCGAAATTGGACAATAGAAGATTGGAAAAACGTTGCCTGGTCTGATGAGTCTCGATTTCTGCTGCGACATTCGGATGGTAGGGTCAGAATTTGGCGTCAACAACATGAAAGCATGGATCCATCCTGCCTTGTATCAACGGTTCAGGCTGGTGGTGGTGGTGTCATGGTGTGGGGAATATTTTCTTGGCACTCTTTGGGCCCCTTGGTACCAATTGAGCATCGTTGCAACGCTACAGCCTACCTGAGTATTGTTGCTGACCATGTCCATCCCTTTATGACCACAATGTACCCAACTTCTGATGGCTACTTTCAGCAGGATAATGCGCCATGTCATAAAGCTGGAATCATCTCAGACTGGTTTCTTGAACATGACAATGAGTTCACTGTACTCAAATGGCCTCCACAGTCACCAGATCTCAATCCAATAGAGCATCTTTGGGATGTGGTGGAACGGGAGATTCGCATCATGGATGTGCAGCCGACAAATCTGCAGCAACTGTGTGATGCCATCATGTCAATATGGACCAAGCTCTCTGAGGAATGCTTCCAGCACCTTGTTGAAGCTATGCCACGAAGAATTGAGGCAGTTCTGAAGGCAAAAGGGGGTCCAACCCGTTACTAGCATGGTGTACCTAATAAAGTGGCCGGTGAGTGTATTTGTTGCACTAAATTTCTCCTGCTCTATGATGTCGCCTCTTCCAACCTCACGGGACAATTATCTTAGACAATTCATTTGAAAAAATCTGTGGTCAGTGAGACAATACGATATATCACCAGACAAAATATCGCGAAACTTTGCTCTATTGATTTTCCTCCCACTCCTATTATTTATCTCTTTAAAATAAAAAATAACACGAATTCATCTCCTTTCCTAAACTCTGTCTCTTTTCTCTCCCCAGCAGGTGCCCCCCAAGCATGTTTACCGAGTGTTGCAGTGCCAGGAAGAGGAGCTGACCCAGATGGTCTCCACGATGTCGGACGGCTGGAAGTTTGAGCAGGTCAGCGTGCGCGCCTGCAGAAAGCCCCGCACCGGACTGCTCTGGACTGTGGGTTGGACTCACGCTGCTGCTGACCCTTAAATCTTGACCCTTGGCCTGACCCCTTGGCCCTCACCTGAGCCCTGCTGTCTGCACTCCCTAAATGAGTTTAGGACTCTCAGATACAACATTTGTCACGGATTTATTAAGCTTGAACAGGATTAATACAGTTAGCCGTCTATTCTCTAATAAGTCAAATCTAAAATATTATCCTCTGAACTTTAAAATAGATGAAGACACGGTACCACTCCATGAGCAGTCCACCTGAGCATCAGTATCTTTGACAGAAAAGGTTCAGAGCCCATGAAGGGCTTTTATGGTGCTGCAGTGACCAAAGAGATAACTTTACAGCATTTCGACCTTTTTCTTCACTTAAAAAACAAAACTATAGATCGATTAATTGAGGAAAATCATGTTTGTTGACTTTAACCATGCTCGCAGCAGTAGACCTGTTTTAATTCCTACAATGTCAGGGTAAAGATCATTGGGAACAGAGCGACCTCATTTCATTACCGCTCATAGACTGAACACAGAAATAGAACAAAAATATTGATTCTTGGAGCCACAATCATCTCGCCTAGTGCGAACACAAACTTTTTATGGGTCGAGTGGCTTCAGTTTGTTGATGCGCTGTCATACTGACAGACTTGCATCTCTGAGAGCTTCATGGAGTCTCACTAGGTCAGCCCATCCGCAATTTAGCCTAGAGTTTGCTTGTAGCTCCCCTTGCCTCCTCCTCCTCCTCCGCTTTCTCTTGCTTTGGCACTTTGCTCCACTGCATGCTGCACAGCCATGATTTGTTTCCCACAGAAGCTGACCCACAGTCGTTTTGATGTTCCCACAGTAGGAGTTTCTCCACTGTTGAGTGTTTTAATAGCAGGCTAAGGACCCCACCCCACCTTGTTCATCCACACCTGCATGAGCCCAAGAGTCTTTCCTCGCTTAAGTCCGGGATGTCAGCTCTCTCAGCTCCTTCCTTTCTCCTGCTTTTAGTTTTCTCAGCTGCCACCCTTACTCCTGTCAGACACTCATCCCGCTTCTCTCTGTCTCTGTTTATCTTTCTGTATCTGTGTCTTTTTTTAGATGGTCAACATCGGCTCGTCGTACAGCTACGGGACAGAGGACCAGGCCGAGTTTCTGTGTGTCGTATCTAAGGAGCTCCACACCCCTGGGTCTGGACTGGGCACGGAGCAGAGCCACAAAACCAAGGTGAATGATTTTTTTCTTCACTGTAGGATCAAGCTGCCAGGTTGTGAGTCCACATGCGCTGTCCTTGTTGTGTGTGTGTGTGTGTGTGTGTGTGTGTGTGTTATTTTCTGTGTTTGTGTGGAAGAGAAGGAGAGTATCTCCTTTCGTGGAAGGGAGTGTGAGTGTGCTTTGATCGTGCGCTCTCCACTCAGCGCTCCAAATGTCACTCACCTCGAAATGTCATTCACAAAATCATTCGCTCCATCCTTCACACTGCCTCTCCTTTCTTTCCTGCTGTGATTGACTTTTCCTCTCGTCTACCTCTCACTGTATCACCTTTTTTTTCTCTCCTTCAAATGGATATATGGACATATATCTGTCCTCCTTTTATATTTACCTCTCAGCCTATCACAGACCACTCACTGACACTCATCAACATGTTCATTCTTTTGTCGTTTTTTTTGTCTCGTTCTTTTTTCTTTTCTGTCGTGTTTCCCCCCCCTCCACCCATCATGCTGATTGAAGTCCTCGGAGATGCAGGAGGAGGAAGCTGCAAAGGATGAGGAGGAAGAGGAGGAGGAGGAGGGAGGGAGAGATACCACACCGAATGAGTGGCTTAGAGAATGAGGGAGTCATGTTTCTTTGTTCCAAAGAGAGGCGGGAATGGGTGAGGAACTGTGCGCTGGATGTGATAGTGGGTAGACCAAGTAGATATTAGTGTGTGTTTGTTTGTGTGTATTCTGTATGTGTGTGTGATTTCAACAGTAATTGTAGTTGTTTCATGTCAGAGCATCGAGGATGACCTCTGTATCTCTGAGATCACTTTCCATTACGTAAGTCTTATAAACAAATGTAAGTGGATGAGTAAACATGAACATGTATGTTTACACTGATGTCTTCAGAGGCTGAGATTGACTTCAACAATTCTTATGGGAAACATCTAACTTTGAGAGTCATCAGAAATGCTAATTAATTTGTTAACTAAAGAATTGCCACATCACTTGTACTTCATTAGTAGATTTATTTAAAGGGCATGCGCATTAGTTAGCTGTGCAAATAAGAATCCCTCCAGGGTGAGTAAGAGTCTTAACGTTTATTATACTTGGTCACCCCATGAAAGTCTGTGCCCCAGTTTGGTCAGTATAGTTAAAATAATCAGGCTGTGTCACTGCATAATAGGGCTGGGTGATAAAATGACAGATATATATATATCAAAAATTAATTTCCCTCAATATCAATATGAAACATAGTCAATATGCTTTTCGATAGTCGTCATTCTGCCATGTTTTGGTAGACTATATGAATAGCCAATGAAAAGGGGAGTATCTCCTGGTCGGCTTTGCGCTGAACCAATCGTGCTGAATTAGAACCAAGTAGCAAACAACTGTGTAGTAGCAGGCTGCAGCTACACGCAACATAGCACTTTAACACGTGACGCCGACAGCATTGTCGGTTAGAGAAAAAGAAAATGAGTGCTACCCCCGGCAGAAATGCAGATGAAGGCTCAACAGATGATGACATTGTCGACAACACTGGCACAAAAACGTTGGCGGTGTAGACGTATTTTAGTTTTTTGAGGTCTGACATGAAGCAGAGTAATGTGCACTGCAAACTGTGTCAAGTACATGTTCTTCCAAAGACGGGAATACCTTAAATCTTTTTCACCGCCTGAAGCAGAGCCACTTGGCAGAGCATGCACAATGTAAAAGTTTACAAACCCCGAGCAGAGCAAGGAGCCCATGGCGCCTGTGCAGCAGAAACAGCCAACCATTCAGTTCGCTTTCTCTCGCACAACGCCTTACGACAAAACGTTGAAGAGACACGAAGACCTCACAAATGCAGGAGCTTATTGTAATGCAGAAGACATGCTACCAATAAGCACGGTTAAATTTGATATGAAAAACATACATCGTGATAAACTTTTTCCCATATCGCCCAGCCCTACTGCATAACTACCCCTTCACTTAACTATAACCTACTTGTTACCCAGCCACCAACTGAGGCCATAAACACACTGAAACAAAATATGAATTAATAGATGATTGATCCTGGGATTCCTGAATTAGATACGTCATAAGCGGTACTGCAGTTGACATATCTTCAAACCTTGCAGCTTAGAGATGCTCTCACCAGTCCCACCACTGTTGCCTGGATTGCAGGACAGGTTGTTGCTCCAGTTTTCTTTGTCAGAGATGGTTGGGGTCCAGGCTGCCCTCACATCTATTATTATTATTCCCCTTCTCTTGAGACCAGCCCGAGAGTACTGACACCTATTTAGTTTGTATTCCTACCTTGAGTGTTTCAGATACTCAAAACAACCCTCTCTTCACAACACTTAGCATGCCTGATACCTAATTGGCTGCGGGATGAAAATGTCACTCTCTCATGCTGTTAGTCATAATGACCTGCAGCAGTGTGTGTGTCTATGTGTAAACACGGACATGCTCAGCCTGGTTTCTCAGAGACCCCGACACACACACACACACAGCCGCACAGATATTGATTGAGCGCTGTGTCTCTGTGGGCTATCATTACCGATGCTGTGACATGAAATATCTCTGACCTTTCAGTAGTGTTGGATGTCCTTCCCTGTCTGTGTACGTACTGTATAGGCAAACTTAATGCAGGCTCACATACAGATAAAACACACCACATATCAGACACATGAAAACAATAACACATAGATGTTATATGAGGCGCATGCTTCTAAACGGGGTGAAACATGCTCATTTTTGATGATGTTCTCATAGCGGATAAGTCATTTTCTCTCATTCTGTCACCATTTTCATCATCACCATGACCACAGCCAAATTAAACACAGTATAAGTTATATAAAATGTTCATAGATTAGACTGCCATGGGTCTACAAATTCTAATACTTATTCTGTTTTGTCTTTATTTGACAGCTTTTCCAGATCCACGGGTCCCGGATGTAAAAATCTAATCAAAAAAGAATTTTACGTTTTGTTTTTTTTTTCTTTTTTTTTTTCTTTTTTTTCTTGAATTATTATGAAACTTTGTACACAGTGTATATTTGTGTGGCCTCAACAGGCAGTCATCAAAAACAGATCTGTAGCATTGACATCATTCATTAACGTTATGCCAGTTAGGAAAGGTGACCAAAACAGAAAAGCTGGACTCAGCAATATCTTCAGAAGAGTTTTTGTTTTTCGGTGACATTTTATCAGAAGAAAAAAAATCATGTGCTGGTGTGTGCGAAGGTTATATTGCCAAGGGCAGTAGTGGAGCTTAGTAAAATATGACCAAAGATCCAGAAAGCTGGCTGATCCAAGGTGCTGAACTCAAATACACAGAGCCTGACATTGAGTGAGGAACTTCTGCTGCACTGCTCTGATCTGGTGTCAGGGTGACAGTGCAAAAGTATTCTGGTTGTAGCTGTATTTTGCAGATTTGGATTATTACAGTTCGAAATGTCAACACTGAAGCAAGCACAAATGAAAGGTAAACGTTAATAAATACATCAATATTGAATTAACTGTATACCAACTTTTCTTATACAGTTTGCACAAGGTTGCTTTTACAAACAATCACCCGGTCAAAGAAACACAATACCCACTGTGATCCCATTAGCTGTTACGTTTAAATATTTAAGCTTGGACCAACTTAAAGTGGCCATTTAGCTCGTGAAAGATACTGATGGTCGAGTTATTTGTTGCTCTCAGCATGAAGCCAGGTAAACGCTGGTTCAATCTTGTGGGTTTGAGTGTTATTTAAGCTGTTTATTGGTTTGTTTGGCATTGAAGGGATAAATGAGAACAGTGTAGCTGCAGAAAGACATGAGGATCTGTTTGTGAGATAGGACAAATTATGCCATTATTTCCACGTAATGATAAGTGTCATCTGGCCTCAGCGAAAAACCCTCAGAAACAATAAGAGACTCTGTCTACAAGAGCTCAAAGCATCAACAGCTAAACTCACGCGCTGCTCCTTACTGCTCTTCCTGCATCAACACCCTGTGGTGCGCTGATACACACCTGCACCACCACGTGCCGGTGCATGCTCAGCAGTAGCCTCGTCTCAGTCTGTCGCCTTGGCTGCGATCCAGAGCCGGCTTTGGCCCCAGCTGACAGAGAGATGTTGGCATGAGTTAGCAAAGAGAGTCAGAGTGAGAGAGAGAGAGAGAGTGAGGGAGGGAGCAGGAGAGGGTGAGACAGCAGTGTTCAGTGAAGTCACTCCACGTCCTCTGACATTTTCTTAGATTAGAGGACAGGCAGCTCTGAGCTTGTACTTTCAGCTCTCACAGAGTGCAGGTCTGCCGCAGTGCAGGTGGGTGATTGACAAAGGGTTGAAGAAGCAGTAAGTTTAAAACATGTGACTTCTTACAACCTCTATTGGCAACTTGTAGGAACTGCACTTATCAAATCTGTAACCCCTGCATGTCTGTGGAATCTGTTTTCCTACATAAGTGTATGTAGTGGTACCTGTGTGGAAAAAGACACCCTTTTGACTAGGGGTGTCCCAATAACTACTTTTGACTTCTGATATGATACCGATATTGCAGCCTTCAATATTGACCGATACTGATATTGATCAGATATTGGCACAAACTTGTGTATGACACTCAGCTGCAAGGTCTTTTTTGGACTTAAACAAAAAATCCTGCCACAAGACAACATCACTCTTACTTTGTTAGTACCTTAATACACACTAACGTTGTGATTTTGTGGGCTCTTCATGCTGGATCCTAGATATAGATGCCGGAGCGGAGTCTGGAATGGACTGCTTGTGTCAGAGTGCTTATATCGGAGATTTTATCGATAAATTTCGATATCGGACCGATATCAATATCCTATCGGGACACCCCTACTTTTTACCTGACCCCCTCTGCTCTCAAAGATAACTGACTGGTAATAGTCAGGACCCAAATACACTGTTACCCAGGCAATAAACACTCACATTGTTAGACAATCGATCTTTACGATCACGCTTAGCCGTTTTTCTGGAAATATTTTAATAATTAATCTAAAAAAAAAAGTAGCCCACAAATACATTTTTGTGTTTTGATAAGCACTGAAATCAGTCTCACCATTTCAAGTGTAATCTCTTCACGTCCTGCACTCGAGGTTACCTGCACCATGCCGTTAGCCGGATCAACAGAGTACAGTAAGTGTTAGAGTAGCGATGATGTGCTGATGATAATCATAACAGAGTGATGATTAGTAGGAGGTAGAAGACTGATAGAGATACTTTTGTTTGATAGTTTCATTTCTTAAGCTTTTCATTATGGCTCTTCTAACTCAGATCTTCAGGTGCCTTGAGTTCAGGCAGCGGTAGTGACATGTAAAAAGAACAATGTGTCAAAGTGGTCACTGGAGTTTGAACCTGTTTTTGAGTAGTTTGTTTTTATTTTGTTTGCTAATAAGTAGTTTACAATCTCACTGAGAGCCTAGGTTAAGTATTTGAGTGAATTTCTTCCGGAGCAGACCTGCTGTGAGACTTTTATTTCTCATAAGGTGTTCAAGTTGAGATAGAGACAGAAAGGTTGAAGCAGTTTTGTATAAAATGTCTCATGCCTTTTTTATTTTTGTATTTAATTTATTCTTTTTTGAATGTTACACTACAAAGACTCGGGGGTTGGACTTTTTTAGAGAGTGTTGGGGGGGCGGGGTCATCTTTGGGCGACTTGTGTGTTTTTTATTTGAAAAGTTTAATTTGACGTCTTTAACAGTATGTTGAACTCGACTCATCAGATTAAATGAAAAAGACTTTTTTTGTTCACTGTGGGACAGACATTTTGCCAAGAATAGCATTTCCTCTGTAGTGAAATTTTTCCTTCCATTTGCATGTCGGCTGACCTCGTTTGGTTCGCTGGATCCACACTCTTTCTTTTAATCAACCGTTTGTTGATCTGTTTCTGCTTAAGAGTAGAGTGTGTTTTTACCAAGTGTCTGATCTGTAAAAAGTCGACATTACAGTCCTCTTTCATTCTGTGCAAAAAAAAAAAAAATCAAATCTTTCAGGCAGCTCTGGATAGAAAAAAAAAAAGTTTTTATCTGATGCTGGACTTCCTTCTTCTGCCGTCAATAGAGCCTCAGTGTCTGTATACATGAATCAAAACTGTGTGACACATGCAATGTAATGCCTCAGATTATCCTGTACAGGCTTCAAGAGACGCTGTGATTTTATTTCATTGAGCTGTTTTTCATCAGGACCAGAAAAAAAATAGACATTTGCAACAGTTTGACAGGACTGTTGAACCATTTTTATGTTAGTTTTTTTTATTATTTAATGTAAATGAATGTCACAGTTCTCAACAAAAATAAAACTTTGTCCTTTGGTTTAAAGTACAGTCTTGTAGATCTCGTTTTTTGTAGGCAAATGCAAACATTGAAATGATGAAGTGGTTTCCTTGTGAGCCATCAAAATTTCATCTTGCTTAAATGATACAGGAAGTACTTCACTGAAGATGTACAGTGCTCAGCATAAATGAGTACACCCCTTCAGAGTTGTCAGAAAACCTTTAGTTTCCTTTCAAAATCAACATTTTCTATGTCAGACTATAAAAACAAAATACTCCCTCAAATGTAGGCCATTGATTGCAAACAAGATTTTTTAAGTTTCATACAAAAAAGTATTTTTTTTTTTCAATTTAAAATCAGGATTCAAAATTGAGTACACCCCAATCAAAGTTCTGGGAGCAAAGCTAAATTTTAGTTACCATATCATCCTTATTTTCATCTTATGGTAAATAAAATGTTAGGTTAAACTCAGCTTTGTCAAAACTTTGGAAATAGTACTTTTGCTCATCTAGATATTGAGTAATACATTACTTTTAATAGGGGGTGTACTGACTTATGCTGGGCGCTGTAAATAGTAAATTATACATCACTTTTCTAGTCTTTCACACCTCTGATGGCAGAGGGTGCTATAGTTAGGAGCCATCATTGTGAACTAAATCTGACTGAGAGATGACCCACATAACCACTGTGACACAGCTGCCCCTTCATGCGGCTCAGTGGTGTCGCAGTGGCTCAAAAATATGTCACATGCACAAAACAACATCCTCATAAAAAGACATAACAGTTCTATCTGTCCGTGCTCACAGAGGAGCCAGTATGTAGAATGTGCATGCTGAGCTCTCACAAGGATTCAATAAGAGATCAATCTATCTGACAACAAAGCCATGTATTGATGTCTTGCAAAGAAGAATTGGTTTAGTCTAGTAGATGTGTATTGTATACATACAAAAATATGTCAATATAAAACAATGTTCAAGCTTACTACTGCATTTGATTTGAAAGGGCCTCAGGCCACCCTTTAGCATCATTCAGGGGTGCAAACAAACAGCACTGGTATTAGATTCATCTACAACCTTTCATCCATCTTTGTTTCACTCCTAATGACACAGATTGAAATTGATGCCGGTGTCTCTTTGTAACCTATTAAAGCATACAAGAGCATCAGCAACAAGACTGTTATTTTCCATATTGTAGTTTTTAATGCTTGAAACGGGGTTGATGTAACACCGGATGATTGACAGCAAGCTCAAGAAACAAGCATCCAACAACAGGTAGCCACAATGAGTGACACATTTGGCTGCACAAAGAAATCAGGCTGAGATTGTTGTCTGGTGATACTACTTTGGCATGGACTTGACCAGATTAGCAAAGCCCTGCAGGGTTTGTTTGTACCCTTAAAAAGTTTCAAAACAGTCTTAAAACATATTTGGGATCTAAAAAAAGTCTTAAAAAGGTTATAATCTACACCCTGTGGTAATGATGTGCTTAGCCACCATTATGTCGCTGATTCATGCTCGGTCTGACATTGTCTAGAGTTGTCTTACATCTCACACTTCTCAACAACTTAACCTTCATTGGTTACTTTTTTTTTCTTAGATACAGAGTTTAATATTTTGATCCTCAGCCATGAACAGGGATAGGCTCACTATGTCCCTCTTAAAAGATGAACAGTGCTTTAAAAATTGGGAATAATTACAGTATCTCATCTCTAGGGCTGGGCGATATGGCCTCAAATCAATATCACAATATGTTGAGCAGTTCACCTCAATAACAATAAAGGGACAATAACAACTCCACAAGCTGCTCACCCCCTCCAACATTAACTTCGTCAACTTCAGCCGCGGCTACAACATTTGAACCATCCATCTCCTCACCTGTCTTTCCTTCTTTGTTAAGGACTGGATGGGGTAGAGTCCCGCCTCTGACGTAGGAAAGCATCTTAAAGGGACATGAGACCATAGCCTACCTACAAACATCCAAAACCAACTTATTTCTTTATTTTCTGACACTGAATATATTGACATGGGCAGAATTTTCAGTTTCTCGCCCAGCCCTACTCATTCCTACTGTTGATCATTTAATACAATTGCATCCCCATTAACATAACAAGTGTACATTTACAGTATATTAGGGTCCATATGTAGTCTCTGAGCCCCATTTAGCCCCTTTCTGCAAAGTCTCCCATCACTCTTTGATGTGGTACTCATACTCAGAAGGTTGGTGCTACAGGAAGGTGCTGAGGGTGTTATCCACAGTGGCCAGATGGAGGTACTCAGGAGGCTCCCCCTCAGACTCCACCCCTGATTCCTGGTCTTTGTCGTCATCCTTTGCGCTCTTACTCGACCTCCTCCTCCGGATCGATCCCCGGGAGCGGCGCTCAAGGCACGCCAGGATCATCTGCGCCAGATCCTGCTGGAGCCGCTGGAAGTTCTCTCTGGAACCAGATTAGTACAAGTCAGTCTTAAACTTACCAAGAAGCAATGACAGCTTAAACCTTTCCAATCAGTATCACTGTATGTAGACACACAGTAAGGAGTCATGTACCAGTTAAGGGTTATTTCAGTTAATGGTTCATATTGTTATCATACATTTGGCCTTCTTTTTATTTGGAGTTTTAGGTCAATGTTAAAAGATCCATACAGTAGCATAATAGTGGCTATTTCCCCTCATTCCACCATCGAAGCTAATCTAACCTACATCTTAACAATATCAACTTGAGACTGATGTGACAGATCCTGGTGAATTTTTAATGTTCCTTTTTTAACAACCTTGCAGAGGTAGGTATGGAAATCTTTAGGCTCTCGGTAAAGGAAAGGCTTTGTAACCTTCTGTGGGGCTAAATTTACACTGATCCCTGTGATTTATTAAGAGGAAATAACACACCAAACAGGCGTGTCTGAGGAGATGTTGGAGAGTTTGCTTACGCTGTTGGAGGCATCGGGAGGTCGTAGTCTTTGCCCATCTCTCCTGTCAGCCAGTAAGTTGTCTCCATGCCTTTCCCCTTAGAAAACACAGAAACGCACATTTATACTGAGACTTTACAGCCATGTGTGCTTTCTCCATGAATGATCGTTCCTGATTTAATTCTGGGATTAAAATCTGTATGTAAAATGAAAAAGTGCTGCATCTTTACCTTCAGATATGTTTCTCCTCTGATCTCATACTCAAACCTACAGTCCGTCCTCTGCAGGATATTTATAGCCGGCTTACTGACGTGGATCTTCAGGGCTGCGGCACATTAAAACAATAGGCCTGATTAGATTTGTACCCACGCTCAGGAGGTTTAATTCATTTAACCAGTCTGACTGGTAGCTTTCATAACAGCACAGGAGTCATGAGCAGGACAATAACTGGACTGTTGAAAGTTTGTTTGAATCAACCCCGTTGTGGTCTTATTGTGTGTTTATTTCTGTACTTACGGTGGCCTGTAGACTCCATACGAGATGCTGTGTTGACCGTGTCTCCAAATAAACAATATCTGGGCATCTTTAACCCCACGACACCAGCTGCACAGGGACCTGAACACACGAAACACAAGTAATCAGTCCGTCACTCTTTGAGGGGATATTGATGGAGTGGTAACAAATCAGGTCACTTTCAAGAGTGAAGAGGAAGGACAGTTTTCATCACCTGAGTGGACACCAATCCGTATCCACACAGGAATACCGGGCAGGTGTCGGAGCTGGAAGGTTCCCATGAAGGCCAGGATGTCCAGCGCCATGCGACAGATATCCACAGCATGCCTGTTACCGTTTCTCTCTGGAAGCCCAGAGGCCACCATGTAGGCATCACCAATGGTCTCTACCTGAACACGGGGAGAAGAAAAGAGGTTTCATTCGTCTACTTTCAGGTGTTTTTGTCAGTCTGTTGGATATAAATCTCGTCACTACCTTGTATACATCATGGTGGTCGACTATACTGTCGAAGCCCTTGTAGATGTCGTTGAGCATGTCCACCACTTCCATAGGCGTGCTGTACTGGCACAGAGTGGTGAAGCCGACGATGTCACTGAAATATATCGTCACCTCATCGTACAGCTCAGGCTCCACCACGCCGCTCTCCTTTAGACTTTTCACGACAGGGCTGCACAAAGAAAAACATTCAATGATAAGAAACCACTAACCTTTTTTCTATTCACCTCAGAAGTTTCACTTTTTAGGTCCAAATATGTAAGGAAATACTGTTTTCAGACTCGATTTGATATCTTGTTGAATTACATGAACTCCTAGGAAACTTCTAATGGAATATTTAAAGTGCAAGTACTTTTTCTGTAACTTTTTCTGGGATAGTTTTCATTACAACCCTCGTTCAAAAAAGTTGGGATGCTGTAAAAAGTGTTGATCAAAACAGAAATTGGTGGGTTGCATATTATTCAAGTATTTGCACCCTCAAAATCAGTTTCCTGAGGGGTGACTTTTCCATTCTGTATTTCAACATTTTCAAATGTTTCTTGAAGTGCAAACAGACCGAGGAAGCAGCATGAAGTTAAGGTGGTCCGCTCTGTCCCTCTCAGATTTGTAGAGCGCCGTCCTCTCCTCCACCAGGTGCTCCAGGTTTCTGGAATAACTCTGCAGACGTCGGATCATGTCGTCCATGTAGCTCTCGTTTTCCTGGTCGTGAATTTTACTGAAGGACAAAAGACGGTGAGAAGATTAAGTGAGTTAATCTGGAAAAGATATACAGATCACAATAAGAAGGTTGTTACCTGATGATTTTCCCCAGATAGTTTTCTATCTTCTTAAAGTCAGGGCGTTTTTCTGGATCCTCATCCCAACAGCTTTTTATCAACACGTACACCTAGAGTGAGGGAGAGAGAAGGCACTCAGCTTTAAGGACATTTTGTTTTTGCAGAGCCAGTGGGAAAGGACTCACCTCTGACTCTTTCTCTGTAGCCGTCTCAAAGTTGAGATCAGGTCTGAAGTAGGACGTGATGACCCTGGACAGCTTTTCTGGAAGACAGAGAGTCCTACAAAGTTACTTACAGGTTTGTACTCATTAAAGCAGGTCAGTGGTTCAGTAATAAACCAGCACAGCCTCATAAATCCCATACTCTCTCATAAAAGCCACATACACCTTCCTATTTTAATCTTTTTTTTCATAAAGTTGTGTAAGACTAATTATTACATTTGTTCTTTTTATATCATTTGCAGAAATCAGAGTTTTATTTCAGACCGTGATCATGTTATCACCTTCTCTGTTGATGTAGCACTCCGTGTAAAAAGTGTTCTTTCTGAGGACGATCTCGTGAGAGATGACGGCGAAGCTGTACACGTCTCCTTTCTGAGAGGTGCCCTCTTTCCTCAGATGCTCTGGAGCCGTCCATAAGTCTGAGAGGAGAAGAGATGAATGAGAAAATACCATGAAGTTAAATCAGGGAGGTGAAGGAACACCTAACAGACCAACTTCAGCTGCATGTGCTTTTTACCTTTGCCGGGACTGAGGAAGGAGTTGCAGCCGAAGTCTGTGATTTTTACCACCATACGGTTATCCACCACACAGTTTGTGGACTTGAGGCGACCGTGCACCTGAATGTCACTGTTGTGGAGGTAAGACATGCCCTGCACACACCAGAGGAGATCATTTTTAGATGAAATAAATCACCTGCGAGCTTTACCGACCTCTACTGGTTGTCAGAGGAACTGCAATAACAATCCCTGCAGGTGTGTAAGTGATACTGTATAGTCTTTATTAGAATATTACCCTCCATACAAAACTCTAACCTCTTATCTCTTAACTTTCAATACTGTGGCACTGAGTCTGTGAGCTGGTGTTTGACTTGAAGGTATGTTAGATGTGCCAATATGTCAAGCTAAACAAACAGCACTGACTACTCTATAAGCTCACGTGCAACAGACCAAACACAACACTTCAGCAGCACAGGGTGTGTGAATCACCTTGGCGATGTCAAACATGACGGAGATCTTGAACTCCCAGTTCATGAAGGTTTCCTCTGGGTATGAGACCTTATCATTCAACACAAACTAAAAGAAAAGAAGACAAATTAGGATGTTTGCATATATGCATGTGGACTCTTGATTACATTTTAAATTGATATTAAATATTTTCTTTCTTCTCTGTCTCAAGTGACTACTACACTGGATATTTTCCTGAGGATAGAGCTTATAGATGTGCAAAGCGAGCTTTAGTGGACAGTAAACTGGTCATGAGGTCAGCGTGTGCATGCCACTCTTACCCTGAGCGACCCCCTTTCTCCATACTCAAACACTCCGAACACGCCCTGATCAAACTTCACTGTGCCATAAAATTTTGTGAGGTTGTAATAGTCGATCTGCAAGAGCTGTAGAGAAAAGAGGAGAGGCAAAAAACAGGAGCTTTTTCAGACATTAACTTGAAGGAATATTACGCAGGGAACATGGAGTTCATCAAGAAGTCATATCAGCAAAAGCCTGATTTTACACCAACTTCTCCCTCTGTGCATGAGTGTCTTACTGCGTTAAGTTCTATCCTCTGGGTCTCGTTGAACTCTCCGTCCGAGTGCTTCAGCTCCTTCAGAATCACAATCTGGAAATGTTGCAGCAGGATCATCAGTCTCTTTAACAACTCACTCTGCACGCTCATATGTGGATTAAAAAGCTACCTTCTTATCGTAGAGTGCACGGCGGATTTTGAAATCCCTTTTCTTTTTCTTCCTCTCTTCTTCAATCTGAAAGGAGCGGACAAAGATCATCTGTATCAAATTTGCTTTTCCCTTTGGATAAATCAGTCTTTGCTTATCTTGTCTTCTACATGCTTAAAATGTGTCTCCTGACAAAATATATCATCATCCTCCCTTTTGACAGTAAAATAAACCATTTCTTGTAAATATATCATATTTAAAAATCTTCTGTCTTATTGCTGATGGTCTTATTTGCTTTTTGATACCATAAAAAGACATCAACATGAATCTCAGAGGTTAAAGAAATCCTTACAGGAGCTTTAATAGAGCCAATATGTGTTTGTGAATAAGTGCAAGGGTAAAAATTTGAGCCGTCATACAAAGAAGAAAGTTGTTGATAATAGTATATCTGGTTAATCTGTCATATATCTGGTTTACCTTTAGTGAGACGACATTGTGCTCATTGTTCTCCAGCGGTGTAACGAAATATGACGGGATGTGGGACCAGCGCTTCCTGACCAGACGGTCTCTCCTGTTCTGTCTGCGCACAAACAAAACACCATCAGGGAGACTTAACAAGTCACACTTAAAGGTTTCATATGCTAAACTTTTTTATGCAAAAAGTTCACTGGAACCCTAAATTGGGACAAATAAGTCTAAATTTCTAATTGTCACGTTTTTTAAAGATTGGTTTAAGCCATATTTTGTGACCATGTTTACTTAAACTCGTCTATCAGACTACCATCTATATTACAGTCATCTGCTGGGGACATATAGTTATTTCAAAAGACCTGGTGAATTGATGTCTTTTCCTAATTGACAAGTGCTCAATTACCGTTCAGCTCAGTTTATCTACATGTGTCTTTGACCTACGTCTTGGTTTGACTCACCTGTAAAAAATGAAGGCAATGGTGGCGACCACAACCACTGTAACTGCCAACACAATTACAATGACATCGTGTATCACTGGACCTGTCGGTAGAAGCATAAAAATAGACACTTAATGTCTGTAAATTCAGGGATTTACCGAAGCAAACCGTGCTACACCCAGAGCTCAGAGCATATGGTTTACATAAGAAAACCCTAATGCAAGGCTCAGCAGGACCAGATGGAGGCAAAGGGTGATATGATCTGGATGGATGCTGCCTTAGATATTTTGCATGTGGACATAGACATGAGACTTACAGAGCATTCAGATATAGGAGGAAGAGAAGGGAGAGTGAGAAGCCAGTCATAGAAACAGATAATCATAAAAGGATCATCTTTAACTCAAAGAGCATTTCTTTTCATCAGGATTATTGGTTCAACTGCTCAGAAAGCAAATCTGATCCCCACGCAGCATGAGATGAAGAAAGAGAAAAAGAGAGCAGTGTATTATCTATCTTAACACCATGTAGAAAGCTCCATATAGATCCAATTATTATTTAATAAGGAATCTGAATCTGTGGTGTATTATGGCATACATGCAAATGATACTCTGTAACAAAAACATGCACATTCATGTTGAAGTACTTTAACAGGGAGTTAGTGATCAGAAGTTGTGACAGTCAGCTGACACAAACAGACTGGACATGACTTGTGTGTGTGTGTGATTTATACCTCGGTCTGGGCTGGTGTTAGGAAGTCTTTTTCCCCAGATAAAGGAAGGGTTTGTGTCGACGAGAGTGCTGTGATTGCGCTCGGTGTCAAACAGGAATAAAGTTTGGTACTGTGGATCACATGAGAGGTGAAGAGTACATGTTTCAGCTCAGTATAGCAGGAGGGGGTTTGCTAGAGATTCTTAAGTCATTACAGATAAAATGATAAAATTTTGATTGATTTACAGTTTAAAAGGTGACAGAGGAAAACTACATACCTCGTTTTTCATATTAGTGTAAATAACTGAGAAATTCACGTCTCGGTCACCATACACATCCAGCTTGTAGGTTCCGGCAATTCCTGGGAAGAATCACAGAAACTTCTACAACACTTTGTTTGAGACAAGAAACTGTGTAATAACCGTTAATCAAACATTAATTCTTAGACAGAGTCTGACAGACATGTATCCTGTTATAATGGACCAGTTTCTCTTTCAGTGTCTCCAGCTCACATCTATCCATCACAGACTTCTTACAGCCCCAGCCTGAAGGTTATGACTCCACAACCTTTTATCCAGTCAGTGAGAAACACTAATAAGAGACAGCAGCTGACAGCTCTCATCTGTTAGGCCTCACACACTCACGCTCACCAACGTCAGCTCTCAGGCTTGTTGTCAGACCTGCTGAAATCACATCAGCGGTATTTGTTTGTTTGTTTTAGAAGCTGATTCATGAGGAGCGTTATTTTAACTGTAACTATCCTACTTTTTAGTGTTTCTTCTAGTGACACTGGATTTTTAAGCCAGTTAACCAGGTCAAAGGCTTGCCAGGAAGCTTGTGTGGCTTCACTTGAGCACATTGGGGGTTTGAGCTAAACGCTAACATCAACATACAAAGATGCATTATGACAATTGTGTCGTAATGACTGAAGAATCGCTTATATTCACCATCAAACAAAAATAAAAAAACACCTCCAAAACTTGAATCAGTTTTTCCCCTGTCCTCTGACTTCTTCTTCTTCTTCCTCATTACTTACCTTTAAATGTAATGTTCCTGAAGTAATTGGAATTGACGTACTCCATATTCTGTGCCTCTGTTTGATTCTTTTTGACAATCTCTCTTATCAAGCTGCCGACCAGCAGCACTGCATCATGGTACGCTGCCATGTAATCATTCATCTGAGAGAAAATTCAACAAACCATCAAGTTACTGAAAGAACTGTTTGTCATAATATATTGATTGTTGAACTGAGAGATTCATGGATAAATTAATCACATATATAAAGGTGATGCAGATTTAATGAGCTGTTGAGGAAGGAACAGTTGGGTGATGTTAGTGTCCTGTGTCCTCACCGTGTTGTTGTCTTTCAAATCTAAATTGACAGTGTAGTTTCTGCTGTTGGGCATGGTCACCACCAACACGTTCTTCATAGCCGGCTGTGATAAGGTCTTATAATAAACATCACTGTGAACAGGAAGCATCACATTAGAGGGAGAGTGGCCTAACATATATCTTTAAGATATGATGAATCATTTTGTTAAGCCTTTAATGTGAGTCTACTAGTGTTGTGTCATTCGCGAACGATTCATCCAAAAGAACCGCATCTTTTAAGTGAACGTACTGAACCGAATCACTTCCTCAAATGATTTGTTCAGGTTATTCAGTTGAGTTGTCAGCAGTGCAGCTGCTATAACATGCAGGATTGCTGGGCGAGCAGCCGACGAACGAGGGACCACATGCACTGATGCCTGAATCACTTGGTGAACAAATCTCGCATTGAACTACACTCTCTGGAATCATTTTTGTCAGACAAAATGAACTTTTTTTGCCACCAGAACAACTTGCATACAATAGGACACAGCATGTAACAAATAGTGCATGAAATCCGCAGCATCCAATCATTGCAGCTGTTTGCGAGGGAATGGTGCATGTTAAGTTTGAATTCTTCTAAACGTTCTGTAAACAAATCACTCACTGAGCAGACCTGATAAATAGCTTACTTTTTGGACAGTACACATCATGACTTATAAACAAGTTCATTTTTACAAACCTGTTTGTCAAAGCAACACAGCCAAACACTCTCATCTTCTGGTCCCAGAAGCTATGAATTGAATTGGATCCTGAACTGTTTAGTTGTGTATCAGTTCAGGAGGTTGGAGACACAGGTTCCACCCGGCAAGCGCTGAATGATTCGGTGATTTGGTGAACGAATCTTTTGAACAAATCTTTTTAGTGAACTGATTTTAGTGATTCAGTACATCTAAAAGAACTAGCGTGCCCATCACGAGAGTCTACAGGAGAGTTAAACTAACACAGATGATTTACTGATATCTGGTTGCATTTCTTCTCTATGTTTGTGAATAATTTAGATGTTTCAGTCTCTTTTAATCCACCATTTTGCTCATACATTTATCACTGCTCACTGTTTTTTGCAATCAGTGTTTCTCTTTTACTTCCTTGTCTTACTCTCTCAGCTGTTCATCCATTATTTAAAGCTCCAGGGAGGAACTTTCATGACTACATTTATGTGGTTAATCTTGATGCTGATGCTTAGGTTTGCTTTTGTAGCTCATTTAGTGGCACCAGTATTTATTGCGGTCCGTTTCATGTTTGGGCTGTAAAAAGGCATTTCATCGACATTACTTTAAATGATCTTGTCAGTCTTTCATTTGAGCTTCTTGTTGCCCTTTGGCCTTTGCTAATATTCTTAGTAATCTGATGAATTCATAGTTACTGCTTCTATTTTACTCAGTGTGTTACAGTATGAAAGATGTTCGTAAATATAATGCATTTTGATTCAATTTCTTGAACTGCTTTATTGTATTTCTATGTGACCCCTGAGCATCAGGAATCACTGCTTTGGATGTAAAATAATCCAAGAGAAAATATGAAGATAACAAAAAAACAGACAGATAGATAAAGAGGACTCATAAAAGGAGGTTAAATGAGTGAAAAGTACTGACTTGTACAGATCAATGAGGATAAAGACAACATCGCTGGTGTCCAGCTCTTTGGAGCTGTTTTTCACCTCAATCAGGTCCTTTGGTGATCCACATATGATGAATACTGCAAACAAAGGAAGTGCATTAAGACAATAGACCGACTATAAATACATCACAATCACAGCTTTGGAGGTAGTCAAGCCCCTGTTTACCTTTTTCGGTCAAGTTTGAAACCTGAGTGAATACTAAACCTAAAACGCCTCCATTTACAACAGCATCATAGAGTTTAGTAGTGTCTCTGTGTGTGACTGTATAACATGGGATTTGATTTGTTCTAATTATTTCCCAAACATTTCAAGTCCATTTTTGTACATTTTTAATATTCTTTGATAAGATATTAAATCTGTAGTTACCTGTTGAGTTTCTGTGATGTGAAATAAGACTACAGTTAATTAACAAGATATTTTGACTGAGGATTAGACAAGCACACTTGCTAAGATTCAAGGTTTTATGTTGATCAGCACTTTTACCAAGATGCAGCCGTATTTATAATCAGCCAATACCACTGATGACAAACAGACATCCAAACAATGTGACCAAAAAAAAACTGCTGCTGATGTTTCTATTAAACCTTAAGATAGATATTTTCATTTCACTTACTGTTGCTTGTCCTGTTGTGAGGTGATTTGATAACCTCTATCAGTTCTTCTGGCCTGCGCAGCACTGTTCTGGAGACGTTTCTGGCAAAGGCACCTGAACCTACTTCCAGTGCATTTATATACCTGAGGAGTAAAACAGCAGCTAATGTAATAATTGATGCTACAGCCAAATTACTGCTTAAAATACATCATAAACTGTATTAACACGATCAAAAATCAAATCACTGATGCACATGATGGTAAATGACTGCAAGTAGAATCTTAACCAATACTGGATTTGCAAGGGTTAACTACTGGTGGATATAAACTGGTTCACTTATGTGTATAGTATATTTACTTGCGCAGACAAGATTATATCATGCGCCTTTTGTGGCTTAGTACTTAAAGGATCATGAACAATTCACAAACATTGGGTTAAATAGAGATATTTGATCTTTCCAAAATTGTTTTGGTGTGAGCTTCAAGTGTCACCCCATTTACCTTGTCTGGTAGTGTCTGTGTATGACTGTAAAGGGACCAGCTGCTGATTGGTTAATGGGTGAGTCCACCTGACCAATCAGGGAGGAGCGGCAGATTCAAGAGGTTGCCAATTAAAGCGCTTGAGGGCAGACATTTGTGTTTGCTGGTGTCTTTGCCAGGAAAATCTGTTTTGGCATTCATGTGTGGAGGCGATTTAATTGTATATATCTTTTGTGGAATTGTAGGATAGGGAGCTGCTAACCCCACGTTTTGTTTTAACAGCTGTTTTGAGTTAATTTCTAAAAGTGTCATTTTTCCACTCGAGTTTAGAGTCACCCTTTGTTGTGTTTATTTGTTTCTTTGAGCAGCACTTCACATCCCTCTGTTCCACACCTTGATGTCAAACGGCACTTCATTATTTTTTTTTGCAATAAATAATTTTTACATCACAGAGCCGGGGTTTTATGTTGCGTCCTTCCCATAGACTGTATATACGATGGACAACTTGGTTCCGCCAGTATACAGATTTGAAGCCGAAAAGTTCCCAGTAATTCTGCGTTTTTTCTCCACTTCCTGAAACCAACATTGCCCAGTAGCATTGTACGCATTCGGCGGGAGCGTCACTGAGAGTCGCTGTGATGATGTGAACAGCGTATCCCCTGGTTGAGCTAAGCAATCTTCGTACACCCATAGGCTGTATCAAGTGTCAATCATAGAAAACATGAACCCCCTAATAACTTTTAAAAACAGAGCTGTGCAGAAAAAAGAGGACTTGAGCACAAACCAGTCTTACAATAACTACATGTCAACATCTCAACCAGGGGGGAGAAAAATTTATACTCTGTGTGATAAATTTCTAAAGTTTGTCCACAGCTCCATGAGCTTTGCTGGCGGAGGCGGGATTTATGACCTATACTGCAGCCCGTCATCAGAGGGTGCTGTCAAAGGGATTGATGTGAGTCAATGAGCTGGAAGTTGCAGCTGCCAAATGATAAGAAATCGAATCAACTTCTGGTCTACAAAGAACAAGGAAACACCAGACACTTGTCATCACACCAAAAACTTCATATAAACTCCCTGCATATTATAGACCTTGTGGAGTTAGACACACTTCAGAAACGTCTCATCAGTGACTCACCAGAAGCAATCCTCAGTGTTGTTCTGTTTCTTGTAAACATATGCCGTGTCCCATTTAGGTTTGATTGTGTTGCTATGATTCCAGAAATGGATAAAGAAATCTGAAATCTTTCGTGCAGGCGGCAGGAGGCGCTGCAGGTTGACGTTGTAGTCCACTGACATGCCAAAACTTCCTGCTGAGATGATGGGAGTACTGAGCTTCAGACCCTTTTCACTACTGTAATAGAGGAACCATAAAGTCACATGAGCACAGGTTTAAGCCATGTTTTATTATCCCACTGCTGCTTTCATAAAACTTTAGAAGACGAATTACTTACTCAACCATTGGGAACATTGCATAGTAACAAGTGGGCCCAAGCACCGCGCATCCCATATCAGATGAATTCTGCAACAGAAAAGAGATGAGAGGTTTTTGTCTTTAATGGCAATGGTTTGACATTTTTCAAAAGAAGACCGTTGCTATAAATAACACACTGTTGCTAGGGAGTGAGGCCCTGATCATGTACTTCATAGGATTAACAATGATCACTCTGATCTGCATAAGGTGGAAATGCCAATAAAAAGAGAGGTTGAAGACACAAAATGAACATGAATACATTAAAGCTGCTGTGAAGAGCTTTGTGTGGATTTTGGAACCCCCTGATATGTTGCTGATCTTGTCCTATAAATATGTTGGTATAACTTTCAGAACATATTTGCAGTGGAAATCTAAAACCAAAAGGCTGTTTCTTCAGTGCTATATAAGGTGTCTGGTTTGACTGTGGTAGTGATTCTATTTTGTATTGTTACTGTCTATTCAGTTGCTGATCAATTGAAAAATAAAAATTGTTTTCTGATATCTTAAAATTAAACATCCTAACATTATTGGAGCTTCACAGCCTGATATATGAGTAAATAATGAGTGCTTTGTGGATATGGTTGTCAAATCAAGATGATACAGCAGAAACTGCACCCCTGTTAGATCAAGCTTCACCCTATAAACTGTATAAAAAATGGACAAAACACTGACTGCATATGAAGTGGACAATATGCATTTATTTCTGTCCATTGTGAGATGTGAATCAAAAAGAATGCCCCCAAAGATGATGACATAGTTAAGCCAAGTCATGCACAAAAAGGACTCGGTTAGTAGAGCAGTTTAAACAGTATTGCACTGTTTCTTCAACCAAAACACATATTTAACCTTGAGACAAAATGTCAGAGAAAAACCTCTGGACACAGATCACATGCAGCAGTGCAGATTTGATTCTGAGTTATTTTAATGACTCTTAAGTTAGTGTTGGTTATGTTTTCTCTTGCCAAGATTCCTAGTCTAAGCTGGTATGGAATGTTGCAGGAGCTGATGTTGGTCAAGAGAGCTGTCAATCAATCAATCATCTCTTTTTAAAATCAAATAATTAGTGAGACTAAACTATTCATTAAAAATAAAAATGATTTCTTGGACACAAATTAGCATGATAGGAACTGACTGCAATGACATAAAACATGAAAGCTTAAAATTTGATATTCGGTTTGACTAATGGTCTATATGTTAACATGGCAGAGGCGCCATATGGTCTATACCACTGCCTGTCAGTGAAGGGAGCTCAAATGCTGCATTGCAGTTGTACTCAGAAGTCGGAATTTCCGAGCTCCGTCAAGAAATTCATCTTGAACGCCCCCCTGAAGTCATATTTCCGAATTGGAAAGTCAGACTATCCTCACCAACCCCGACTTGACGACAACATCATAATCCAAGATGGCAGCGCAGTGCATCAACAGTAAAGAGTAACAGTGAAAGCTCTCGTAATGTCAAAATTATTTATTAGGACTTCAGTTTTCTTTTTGTGAAATTAAATAAATGGTATATGTTGTACTGTCAAACGTCTAACTTTGAACACGGTGCTATGGTGTTTGTAAGAGTAAAATATTGTGTTATGCGTTGTTTACAACTGGTATCGCTAACAACAACGAACAACTGCTGACAACAGCTGTTAATTGTAAATAACGGCTAAAAATGGGTAACGTTAGGCGTCCATCTTGGTTTCACCATCAACTCGGGTGTAACGTCATTCCCAGCTCCATCATCTGACTTCCAAGGTAACTGGAACGCAGCATAAGTATTTTGGCTTTACTGTCAGTGACCACTCATAGTGTCTGGCTTCTGGAGCTCCCTCCTGTGGCTGACTGCAGTATAGATTTTATAACCATTTATTGACAAGCTGTGACTGCACCAGTAAAATATGTCAGAGCCAGTGGGAGGTGTTTTTTTTTTTTTTTTGCTTTATATGTCACAAGGAGATAAAGGTGCATTATTCATGTAAACATACAGTTATTGCTTATCCCTCTAAGAACATTTTGAACACATAAACAAGCCTGTATGATTTTTCAGAACAAAGTATAGAGTTATCTTTTTAAAGTGGTACTCACCATCAGTTTTTTAAGCTGGGCCAATCCCTCACAAGTGCTACTCGTGCAGCCTCTATATCGATACATGGTTGTGTTGAACCCACCAAATTTTGGGGTGATGTTAAACTTCAAATCTTTATGGAGGATTGTGGAAGGGAAAAAGCAAAAATATAAGATTAATTTCTTTTAAAGGTTCAAGATCTCTTCAGAATTGACTGTAACATGAACATCTCCACTAAATATCCCTCTTGTATAGTTGCTCTCCCCTACTACACAAGGGGGGCTTTAGCTGTAAGCCAAATGTTGCGACAATGCGACAACAGTTTTGATGTAAACCGCCTGTGCACCAAGCTCAAACACAACTGATGGTTTGAGAGTAACTGAAAGGCTTGAATCTCAGCAAACCACTGGTTGCCTGTCAATAACCCTGACTGTTTATAGAAATCTATCATGATGTTTCTGACATGTGTAGCTGTGGGTGAAAATTTCCCCAGAATAAACTTTTAAGAGCAGGTGAAACTTTCCATTCACAGATGAGTTATGGATTTAATTTTATCAGGGTTACCCAGTCTAAAGATCAAGCTGAAAAAAGCAGAAGATGATGAGTAAGCATGCGAGATAATCATTTACTGCCAATAAATAGTGTAATTAACTTTATCTTATTATTCATTGTACTGACTAATGTCCTTGCTGTTATCAGTCATTGCTCCACTTTACCCTCTGAAAACTGGAGGGTGTTTTTACCTTTGTAGGTCGCTTTGGCTTACATTAACAGGGAGAATCCTAAATGAAACATTAGAGTGAGGATCTTTAAGATGTGAACTGAAAAACAATTTTGCATGACAATAGGAAATCAGTAAATCTGTTGTAATGCAGTCACCTTGTGTGGAAATATCTTTTTTTTCCACATTACAGGACTCATAAGATTATAAAAGATCACAGCATCAGTTTATTTTACACTGTCTTAATGTTCATTTAAAGTCTGTGGTCAGATATATGATCACACGACATACAGTTACTTTGTGCCAACATACAGTTATTTCTATTTCTTTACCTTCTGACTCATTGATGGCTGCATCGGTCTCTATAGCCTTCAGTATTTCCCCTTTCACAAACTTCAGGCTCCAGGGAGACACTTCATCATCCAGCAGAATCACATTGATGGTAATCCCATCCACACACGTTTTGATACCCTGACATGGTGCAAAAAATATAATCCCAAAGACGCACAAAGGCAACCAGCTCATCCAGGCTTTCATTTTCAGATGTGACGCTCCTGCTGTTTAGAGCTGCTGTTAGAGTCCATGATCTGCCTGATCTTCAGTGTTTATTCCTGTGCGTCAGCAGTGCAGTAAATTCATCAAGAACTTCCTCTTAAACTTTGAACCAAATCCAAGAGTTAATGTGATCTAATCCAACCACGAGGAAAGTTAACATTTATTTTAAAAGAGCATATCCAGACCAGCGCCAAAATCCTTGTCTATGTACCACTCTGGTCCTTTGTTTAGAGGGTTCCCACTCCTTCTGCTCCTCTGAGTGGCTGCTCACCTGTTTTTTCTACACCGACTTGTTAATATACAACCTTTAAAGACACAGAGGAGGGCAGTATAACCTTCTCACAGTATTGTGCCAGAGGCTGAAAAACAAACACAAAGAGCATAAATTTGAATTTGGAGGGGGTAATGTAGACTCCAAGAACAAGAACAGACATACTTTACAGAGGATGATAACAAAATAGTTGATGTCAGAGTAAAGGTGTCTGAGAGGCATTTCAGAAACTCCTGGAAATGACTCAGTTGCAAATTCTGTTGACTTAAAGTGGTGAAAAATGTGTAAAAAGTGTAAAATGATCAGCAACCATAGTGTTGATAATGTGTATCAGCCTGATTCTTTTTAGCTTATCAATACCAATTGATATGATTTTACTGCCTTATGATTATGAGATCCCAAACAAAAGACAAACAAACTGTGGTGACTACACTTTGAAGCTAACCTTCAATACTAAAATGTCATACTGACACGCATGTCCATATATCACATACATGCAGGTCAAATATAAATATACGAAATACCCATTACCCAAAATGACATTTTTTTTATTGACAAATAAAAGAATATACATTCAAATAATTAGTCTAGAGCATTATTTTGACATCAAATGTTAGTAACAAATATTACATTTATCAACAAAAATAATAAATTTATGTTATATTCATATACAATGTCAAAAATGTTTGGTTTATATAAGATTCTTTGATAATATATGTTTATAATGTATGTTTAATCTGATTAATGGCCTTTTATGGTGTCTATAAAGCAGGTACATAAAAAATACATATGTTTTGACTATGTTATGACCCATCTAGGGGTCGCTAGGACACAACATGAAAGTGGACCCATTTCACCCACCTCTCCAACGGCCACATGGAAAACTTTCAGGGTTTTTAACAAATGAGTTATTTATTTAGGCTACAAATAATAAAAAGAATGAGTTTAAACCCAAGAGTGATTACCTCCTCAGGGTGCAACAATGGTAAATAATGATTGAGGACAACTATTCACTAACAAAACGCTTCCTTGTTTAACTGAAAACCCAGCTCCACAGCAGCCTATTGCCTGTCGCACGGGAGCAGCCAATCAGGAGCATGAGATGGCACAGCTAATTTGCATACAAGATAGCTGATAAACTCATGACACACATACAAGACACAGCCAGGCCAGAGAAAAACACTCAAAACAATATATACAACACTGGAATAGTACCCCCACAGCTGTAACAACTATAGGCAATATGTCAAAATATATGAAACATGTACATGCATGGACCAAGCATATAGATAAAATTGCTCCAATAATGGGTTTCACATAAAGTCATATGTGCATATATTACATTTCCATATGGGCTGGCTCTTGCACAGCTGGGAGAAGTGTGTCACTTATTTGAGACATTCATCAGTCATTGATGAGCAGTAGGTGGACTAGGATGGCAAAGGGTGTGTTTTGCTTATTAACTTTACACATTTCTGCTTTAATTTGTTAAAAACAAAGAGTAAATTTATCATCTGTAATTGTGAGTGTGTGTGCTTGTCAGTGTGCTGGCAGCAGACAGGAAACACAAACACCGCTCGTAAATTTCAGAGGAGAGGAAAGCGAAGAGCAAAGGTTGTCAGGGCCGTAAAACTAATCCAGATAACGTGCTGTAAAAGCGCACACTTTCCTGTGATCCAGTGGAGTTCAGAGGTGTTATGAACTTTTTGTCTGCTAAACTACAGGCAAGTTCACACACACCCTGCAGGGAGACAGTGAGCATGAACAAAGCAAATAAATCCTGAAGGGTCATGTTCAGCTGAGAGATGACTTGAACTGAGTGTCTGTGTAATCAAATTAACACAGTCTGTTAGGGCTGAAAGAGGGAGACGCACACACACATACACACACACACACCTAGTTTTCACATTATTAGATGCAACAATTACTTCCTCCCTCTCTCTCTCTCTGTTTGTGAGTTTCTATGTGTGCGATGGTTTCTTTCTCCATCACAAAGATGTTACTACGCACTGCTGTGCCACATCAAGGATACTATTAGAACCTCTTTATAAAAATGTTAAGTGTATTCGTTTGTGTCTTTTTGTGTTTTCACTGTATGATTTTAAAAAAGATCAGTTTTGTGTCTTTATATACTGTCATTGTTTAAATTTCACCTGTATTTACTGTAAATCCACATGGTGATACACTGTTATCAGCCTATTTCTAAGTTTCAAAAAGGTCATATTCATTCATTTAAAAGGCCATATTTTTTCTAAAATTGAAAAAAAATTGCAACTTTGATGTTTTTGAGCTAAGCTTGTTGACTGATGTTGTAATTGTCGTATTATAAAGAGAGTAGGAGACCTTTAAGAGGAAACATCACACATATTTCACCTCAAACAGACTCTGCAAAAGCTGATCTAATCTGATCAGTTCCTCCTCTGTGGTTGGTGATTATGTGAGACATCACAAGCTTCAGTTTCATAATATTAAATCACTTCCAACCTTTGTTTCCTGTGCAGTACGGCTGCAGTCTTAAGTTCAGGGACACAACATATCTAAAGCTAAACAAGCAATCTGTATGAACCAGACTGTTCAAAGTCCTGTCATTTCCGCCTCATTAGCCTCTTCCCTGTGTTTATTTTTCTTATCAGTGTCCATTGTATTGATTTCCTTTGGCACCTTTGACAAGGTGGCTTTATTTACAGAGTACAATTTATTGACTTGATAGTGCTGATGCCGTTTAAAACAGAGTATTCAAAACTTTAAGGAAAATAAGGCATGAAAACAGTAAGACAATGAATGCTTTTACCTCCTTTTCCACGAAACTCATCAGTTGCATCTACATTCTTTATTTTTTAGTTCCTAGGGTACATTTTCTCTTCAGTCCCAGACTTCCTTACTGTTATAGTGTTGTAGGTTTTACCTGATACTTTTTATATTGTCCCATTCAAAATCCTGAGCTCCTTTTGAGGATGAAGAAAGTAAGCACAAAGTTACAACCTGCAAAACTTCAAACATAATCAAACTTTGAGAAATGTTCAAACTTCAGTTGTAATGAAATGATTTTGTTAGTGTGCTGCAGATTCTGTGTAGTCTTTTGTGCACCTGTTATGTCAGGTACTTTCTACCTGTTATGACATTGGTTGAGACATTTGGACAAAAACTGTCTTTAAGTGTTATATCTGCAAATTGCATATGTTTTGTGCAGTCCTGGAGAAACTGCAGCGCCGTTTTTGATCAGCTACGATAAGAAAAAAGGAATACACTAACACTTTGTTCAAGATTGTTTTTTTTGTTTTTTTACCATTGTTCATAAGTAGAAATACTACACACATTTAAAGATATTTAAATAAATAAATAATAATAATAACAACAACAATATTAATCATAATAATAATAATAATAATAATAATAATAATAATAATAATAATAATAATAATAATAATAAAAATAAAAGTACGGACATAACTCCTCATTTTATGGTCTATTTCACTTTAGAAATGTAAAGAAAATTACAGGAAGGTCCTGTTTTCAAAATGTAATACAGGTAATCTTCAAAGTTTGCAAAGTTTGACAGCTCAAGTTCAAAGATTTTTGCAACTCCGTAAACAATCTCCCTTTTTCTCCCAACTCCATTGAAAGGTGAACATTGTACAAAAATGCTCGGCATACTTTTCCTTCTTTAGATAATCAGAGGCACATAAAACACTACTGACACCTAGCGGTCAGGGCAAGCTAATACAAATGGAAAAATCATTAAAAAGTTAAAACAAAAGTCCACGTTTCTAAAAAATAAAAATAACTATAAAATGCTTACAGTAGGCTTTGTTATATACAGTACCTGTGTAATTTCACATAAGACACATTTCTTGACTAAAGTAGGTTTCTTTGTGAAGGGTTATTCTGGGTTTGTTATTCCTGCTTTTAGTTGTCTGAATATTTTCTATATTAAATCATGTCTGGGCTGCCAGGTCAGGTCAATGCTCGCCTGTTTCTTCTCTCATGAACTAAACATAGACCGTGTCAAAACAAACCCAGATTAACCTCTTTTAGGACTCAAACCAAATGCTTGATAAATTAAGGACTTGCAAAAACTTTGTGAAAGAGAGCTCCTAAAATAACCGGCCTAGTTATTTGTCTTTGTACTGTGATCACTTGACTTGGAGAAAATTAGCTCAGAGCAATCTTTGCTTTATACAAATGAAGTAAAATAACACACTGTCACACGGGATAGTGAATACAGTTGTAAGTTTTATTCAAACTTTACCTCAAAGACAAAGGACAGTGTCACAGTGAGTCGACAAAAATAAAAGTGCCTGCAAACACAATCGTACTTGTTTCTCCAAACACAGCAGTGTGTCACTACGATGTCAGGACACACTCAGAAATGCATAAGAGGCTGAGGACGCCTCTCTGAAGGCTCCAAATGTGTTACTGCATGATGAAACAGAATCAACACAATCTACATAAAAATACCACAAACAGTTCAAAACATGCCACCTTCCAAAAAACAACATGACCGCTTGTTATTTTGTACATGACAGAGCTAATCATAATTAGACTAGGATTATGTAGAAATGAGAAACTCGTGTTTAGAAAGGTTGAAGGTTTGTCTTTTAAACACCTGTCATGATTTAGTGACAGATGGGTTATTAACTGGGTAGTATCATCAGAGTGAGGTGTGCAGTGTATTCAAAGAGGCTTACATTTGCACAAATACTTATAAATGCAGCTTTTAATTACCAAACACCTGATGGTCTCAAATGATAATAAATAACTTAATAAATAACACACTTACAACAGGAAGCATTTGCTGTTATTTTCACAGTCATTTGCCATTGCGTAAAGTAACCATATAGACCCCCCTATCCCAGTTTTTAAACCTTACACAAATAAATCAGCAGTTCATCAGTCTAAAGGTGACACTGCTCTTTAAAATATCCAGTGATTCTTATCGCCTTGCATCACTTTTTTAATATAAAAAATCAAAAGCTTGAAAGCTGCAAATACTTTGACAAGAAGGGGTCATTTATCGCAATAGAAAAATGCTAGAAACACAGTGCTATTAAAATGTTTTTTTTTTTACAATTACACAAATAATTTTGAGGAATAGTTTAACATTTTGAAAAATATACTTACTCACTTTTTTGATAAAAGTAATATGAAAACAGTAGTGCCACTTTGAAGCCAAACACAAAGTTACATTTAGCAGGTGCCTCGCTCAGCCAAACTGAATGAACTCTTCTTCTTTGAGGTGTTATATGGCAGCTGGCAAACAATGTTTTAGTGCATTTTCACCAATAACTGGTATGTAGTGAGCCTCGAGACTGCCGTGTTAACACATGATATATCCAAGCAGTAGCTTTACATCCGGTGCAAATGATAAAGTGGTATCGATCATATGAGCTTACTTTTTCCAAAAGAGCAAACAAGTTTCTTTCCAAAATGTCAAACTTTCTTTGACCTTATCAAGTCCTTCTCTTAAGAACTGCTGATTTGAGACATTTTCTACTTGAAACACAACATTTTAAGTCAAGCTGTATCTGATCTACATCTTTATACTCTCACTCCATCCTCTGCCCATTCCCTGACCTTCTTCCCTCTCCAGTTTCCTCACCCCAAACCCTCTGGCCTGGTTTTCTGTGGCAGGCCAACACAACACCCAGCTATTCTCTCTACCACCAAAACATCGGACCGTCATAGGAGCTGGCTACAATAATACTGGATTTCTACATTTTTCAAGTAGACAAAATACACAAGTGCTACAACACTAAGGAGGAAATTAATTCCTCATATGTGGAGCTCATCCCAGCTCCTGAGGCCAAAACGCATTAAGAGCTTTTGAGACTGTCAGAGTGAGTTCCCACCGTCTTGATTTGGCAGTCGTGCACCACTGGAATTTTTTAGATTATCATGAAATAACAGGATCCTCTGAAGACAGATCTGAGCGGCTGCTCCTGTTACATTAAGACAACAGAAAGGGTGGCTACAAATGTAGTTTTCGTTTACTTTTGTCTGCATCTGTGCCTGTAAACACGGTTACAATATGGCTAGAGTTTTCAATGAGATGCTTGTCACGTGACTTTTGGCAGCAGTGGCACAAAATTTCCATCAGTTTGTAGCCGAGTTTCAAAAAGAGACAAAATAAAAGCAAGGCAGAAATTCAAAACTCACTTCTTGCGCTGGTATTTTAAAACTTAAATTTGCCTGCTTGTATGACTGACCAGGTCGAATTAGCTTGAAATTTGATTCAGTCACTTCAGTACCCCACCTTATTCTTTAAAAAAAATGCTTCTCTTTCAACAACTGATTTTCCAACATAAGTTTGTTCCCAAGATCAAGGTAAAAAAAAACTAGCACCAAGCCCTGTAACCTCAACCAAAACTTTCAAACCCTTTATGAAAACATTCAAAACCAAACAATGAAAGCCTTACCTCCAAAGAAAAACATTCAAACCTATACATTCAAAGCCCCGCGTCTAATCCTAAGAGACATTCACCAAGACCTGTACTGACACAGCCACCACAGGCCGAGCTCCTGCCCCTTCTCCAACAACCCCGTCCCACACCCTTCACTGCAAAAACATAAAACCTGAAATTAAATCTGAATCCTCTTTTGCCGTTGCAGCCTCACAGCCCTGAAGCGCCAATCTAGGAGCTGATGATTTGCCCTGACCAGGTCTCGTGCTTGGTGCCTGGATTCAGGTGGGTAATCATCACGTCGACAGCCTGGATCTTCTGGTTCTTGGGAGGGATGGGACACACCTTGTACGTGACCTCGTCCCCCTCCATAGGCACGTACTCTCCCTCGATGCTGTCCAAGAGAAACAAGCATATTAAATCAATGTTTGCTGTTGCATTCATAGATAATGACTGTGTCTGATGCAGCATGTCGACCCTGACATACATTTTCTTCCATGTGTTGGAGGAATCTAAAACATGTGGGAGCAAAGAGATACAGGTGCCAGCAGCTCACACACTGTTAGGAAACAGAGCCAGCCCAAGGCATAAGCGAACTAAGTGCCTGCTTAGGGCCCTGCAGCCAATCTGGGGGCCCCAAGAGCAATCAAAAAATAATAATTTAAACATATATTTTTATTTTTTGCATATATTAGTGATGCTTTCTGTATGATCAAATTATTGTAAGAAGAAAATAGAATAAAGTAAAAACATTTTAGTGCTGCTGCCGATGTAGGCCTATGATTCTTACTGCCAATGTTTTAAAGCTACGCCACCGTTATGTGCCTTCTGTGCACTGAGCATCCAAAGCGCAGGTAGTTGTGGGGCAAAACAATGTCACAAAAAAGGACATATCCTTCAGGAGCAGAGAAAAGAAAGAGGAAGAATGCCAAAAAAATGCCAAGATAAAGGTATGTTTGTAAGTCATGGAATGTTAATCAAAGAGATTTGTGAAAGTGTGTGAATGATCAACAATCAATATTATTGGCAGAAATAGAGGGCCCCATTGAGGCTTGTTAGGAAACATGATATTTTGTGGCTTTGAAGTTGAATTTATTTCCTACATAAGATGCTGAGAAAACAGGTTCACTTCCTGTCAAACTCCTAAAACAAGAAAAACTTAACTCACTCAGAGATGTGGACAAAGATGTCCTCTCCTCCGTGTGAGGGGCGGATAAATCCATGACCCTGAGACCTGGAGAAGTTTTTACACACCCCTTTGAATACTGGACCTGATCTAGCTCGTACTGTCCTGCAGAGAAAGAGAGGCAGAAGCAGAAGGAGATGGAAAGAGAGGGAAAGATGGTGCATCAAAAATCCCCAAATAAAAAAGCAAAAATAAACGGTTCTTAAATGATATTGAAGCAATCATATTACACAGGATGAAGCATATGAACATGCTGTCTCTCTTACTCACGCTGAGTATGTGCGGGTGCGTTTGGTGGGCAGTGGGCTGGGCAGCTCTCCTGGCTGAGGCGGTTTCCTCTCTCTCTCCCAAATCCGACTGCCCTCCCTCAGGAAAGGGAAAGAGAGCTGCAGGGGGGTCCGGGGAGAGGTGAGTGGCAGTGGTGGGTCTGCTGGTGAGGAAGGATCAGGGTCTGACATCTTGGTTTAGTGACAGGCTGAGTTTTTCTTTTGTTCAGGTCTCCTCTGATGTTGCTCAAAGAAGAAGAGGAAGGAGGGTCACACCTCCTGCATGGCCACAGTGTGTTTGAGGGTGGGGGAGACGCACAGAGAGGAGGCTTTAAGGGTGGAGGGCTGCAGCTTAAATAACCTGAAAAACATAAGGCAGGAAGGTCAAAAGAAGGAAATTTATAGATATGAAAAATTAAAAGAAGAATAATCCATTTGTTGTACATGAATGCCAGAAATCAAAGTCTTCACAGCCTCAACAGCGTGCATCATTGGTGCGCTGTGATTTCTTACTCACCATTGTACAAAACCCAATTCCAATGAAGTTGGGAAGATGTGTAAATCGCAAATAAAAACGAAATACAATGATTTGCAAATCCTTTTCAACCCATATTCAATTGACTATACTACGAAGACAAGTTATTTAATGTTCAAACTGGTAAACTTTATTGTTTTTTGCAAACAATCATTAACTTTAGAATTTGATGGCAGCAACAGGTGACAAAGAAGTTGGGAAAGGTGGCAAAATACTGAGAAATTTGAGGAATGCTAATTAAACACCTATTAATCTGTAAGTGCAAGTTAAAACTCTACTATGCAAAGTGAAAGCCATTTATCAACAACATCCAGAGATGCCGCCGGCTTCACTAGGATGGACAGATGCCAAGTTGAAAAGTGTTCTGTGGTCTGACGAGTCCACATTTCAATTTGTTTTTGGGAATGGTGGATGTCGTGTCCTCCGGGCCAAAGAGGAAAAGAACCATCCGGACTGTTATCAACGCAAAGATCAAAAGCCAGCATCTGTGATGGTATGGAGGTGCATTAGTGCCCATCAACGCAAAGATCAAAAGCCAGCATCTGTGATGGTATGGAGGTGCATTAGTGCCCAAGGCATGGGTAACTTACTCATCTGTGAAAGCAACATTAATGCTGAAAGGTACATACAGGTTCTGGAGCAACATATGCTGCAACCCAAGCAACGTCTTTTTCATGAACGCTTATTTCAGCAACACAATGCCAAGCCACATTCTGCACGTGTCACAACAGCGTGGCTTCGTAGTAAAAGAGTGCGGGTACTTGACCGGCTTGACTGCAGTCCAGACCTGTCTCCCATTGAAAATGTGTGGTGCATTATGAAGCATAAAATACGACAACGGAGACCCTGGACTGTTGAACAACTGAAGCTGTACATCAAGCAAGAATGGGAAATAATTCCACCTTCAAAGCTTCAACAATTAGTCTCCTCAGTTCCCAAATGTTTATTGAGTGTTGTCAAAAGGAAAGGTGATGTGACACAGTTATAAACTGTCCCAACTACTTTGGCATGTGTTGCAGCCATGAAATTCTGAGTTATTTATTATTTGCAATAAAAAAAAGGTTTATGAGTTTGAACATTAAATATCTTGTAGGATATTTAATTTGCTGAATCATTTGCAACTGGATTGTTTTGACTACATGCTGGTACATGTTGGTATACTTATTTATAAAGCTATTGTAGGCAAAATACCAGACTACTTTTCCTCCCTTTTAATCATGAAGCATGGATATCATAAGCTTCGTACATGCAATTTGTTGATCCCAAAGTCCAAACTGAGGGGAAATAAAGCTTAGACTATTTATGTATTAATCTACAGACTGATTTTAAACTGCAGAACTTAGCCTGAATGTATTTAAATTTCCTTGTGGAAGTCTGGAAACTAGGCCCTCTTTATGCACTTGTTTTAGCTAACTTCTATGACTGACTTTTTTTTTTTTCTTTACTGCATGAATGTGATTGTTTTGTTGTTGAAACTCTGCATTGCTGCCATACTTCATGACCAGGTCTCTCTACAGGACTAACCTGAATAAATGTCAGATAGATAAATGAATGAAAAAATGAATGGTACAGTTTCAGAGCCCCAGTTTGTGATCTTGTTGGCTTTTAAAGGTCTCCGGATGATTTAAATAACAATCCTACCCTCGAGGGCCCGGCTCGACTTGGCTCATTACACTTCGTATCTTGAAATCTGTGCTTACACTAGACTGGCATCCATTAGAGGATTCCTCCATAAACTGTGTGTTCCAGCAACAAGCTGCTTTTTTTCTGAGCCACTTCAGATAATCAAATACGGATGAATGAGCTGGGTCACCATGCCATGTCGCAAACCCAATTATCATGGTGTAACTGGGAGATGTGATGTGTGTGTTATTATGAGAGCAATCACTTTGACTCTCGCTCTCAATGCAGAGGGCTGCAGGGCATCGCTCCGCAGCAGTTTAACACCTACACTGAAACCCAGTGGATCTGTTGTTGTTGCTGTTATCAGCCACCTCCCAGAGAATGTTAGCAGTGATATCACATTTACAGGCTGAGTATTTAACTGATGAAATTCAGAGTGTGTCAGAGTGAATCCCACAGGCTCTATTCAATATCTCCTCTTCCAGTCTAAATATAGCAGTTTCTGTGCGTGTGTGTGTGCGTGTGTGTGTGTGTGTGCGTGTGTGTGTGTGTGTGGGGGGGGGGTTGAAGGCTAAAAGCTTTAAAACATCCTGACGCAGAGGTTAACAAGCATCTGCTCGGACATGAACACGTTTCTTATAAATTCTAGCCATTGTATTCTGCTTGTGTAGCCGATTTGATGTCTAAATAAACTACACACACTTGTTTCTTTAGTTTCTGTGAACAATCTAAGTCACTTTTGCATTAAAAAAAATGACCATGCACTGTAAGAGACTCTTCTACTACAACAGCACTTCAGGCTACATGCTCATGTTAGACTAGTTATGTGTTGCAGATGGGCACTCTACAGGTCTAATTATAACATGTTTGCCATCTTAGTTAAGCCCATTATCTGTATACTGTATAAAAGAATGGACTACAGTATAAATAATAAATGTGGCCTTCTCCATGTTGACAGATGTTTATAATCACAACGTCTTAACTGTGTTTCATGAGTCTTCAGAAACATCTACTGGCTCTAATGTTCTTTCTGAGTAAAAACACATTTATCCTGTAAGGACAGGGACTACCCTTATACTGTATCTGAGGGTCACTATAATAAACTGTAGATGGATTACACTTGTACTGTGCTTTTCTAGTTTTTTGGACCCATTCATACTACTGTCTTACTGATGGCAGAAGATGGTAAAAAGTGAGAGAAAGAGAATTAGTAAGGTGTACGTGCGCTTTCACAAACCACAAAGTCCACACAGTACATTATGGGTCATCAGCATTATTACTTAAGAGGCTTCAACACTATATCATCTCAATAAAATACATTTTTTCAGATGTTTAAAGCTCTTGTAAGGGTTTTTTTTTTAAATCTGGCCCTGAAACAGACTGAAATTGATACTGATTCCTCCATCAGACCTGCAAAAACCACTAGAGACAAGAAAGATAACGTTCTGGATGAGTCACGAACAGCTGGTCAAAAAAGTAAATATTTAATGTGATAATTTTTACATATTTAATATTTTCTGTATATGTAACTTCAGTAGTTGTCGTCCTCATGTTGTCCCCTTCATGTGCTCTGAAATGCACTTTACACGATAAAACAAGTGGATTTATGTGAAAGATTAGAGTCTTTAAGGGTTTTTCTATATATATAAAAAATTATTTGCTTGGTTTAAATTCTATAAAAGTGGGTCATGACTTAAGGACAATGGGAAAATGTGGGTCCCAGAGTGAGACCAGTTGAGAACCACTGGCCTACTGTATACCCTTTTATAAAACTTCTCTTCCCCAAAAGATATTACACTTGAATCAAAAGTTGGTAGAATAAGTATATCAGTCAAAGTATACCTCAAAGTATTTATTTTTATCTTGAGTCACCAAACCATTTGAAGTTATAACAAAATACATGCACTTTTTATAATAATAATAGTGTCTTCAGATGTACTAGTAACTCTGATAAATGATGATTTTAGATAACAAATTCTGTTTGCTGTTGGGGTTTTCACCCTCCTATAAAACTGTTAGTAAGTGATCATGCAGTTTTTGACAAAGCACACATTTGTCCTCCCTGTAAAACTGTGGTGAGGACTGTGACCATGACTGATGGATGATGGATGACAGGGTGAAATATGTGACCTAAATAATTCAACAACTTGACTGGTTGAGCTCCTCTTTTTATTAGCAGGCTTATTAGACCAGGAGGAGGCCAGCAAATGGACTCTTCTAATGAGTCTGCAGTGCTCCTGTGTCAGAAAACATTTAATCAAGAAGGGTGTGAGACTGGGTATTTGGACACACACACGTACACACACACACACACACACACTAGATCATCAACTGGCCTGGAGAAAGAAAGAAAGAGAAGCTGTGGGAGCTTTGAAAAGAAAACACACAAAAGGCCAAAAGCACCTCCCTGTGAAACCAGGGCACTGTGGCTGTCTGTACTGCTCTGCATCAGCATGGGAGACACGTCAAGTAGCTCCTCACACACACACACACACACACACACACACACACACACACACACACACACACACACACACACACAGGCTTTAAACTTTATATTAACCTTACAAACGCACGCACAGCCTGTTTCATGGTATGTTTCTGAATGTGAGCCCAGCCGTGCCTAAATAATTCATTACAAAATAAAAGCCCTTCAGGCGGCTTGTTTCCAGAACATTCTCACACTGAACCAGCTTCAGACGAGAAGGCGACAAGATGCTCAACTGATGGCCAAAAATGTGACACTAACAAACATTTAGGTTTAAAAACACCGTCAAGTATTAAAAGACGACACTTGAAGTGACACATTTCTGCAGCTTATTGGAGACATTTTCTCACAATACAGCCCTGAACCGACGCCGTCCGCCCCTCACTGAGAATAAAAGGATTGATGTGTGAAGCTGCAACAAATCACCCATAATCCAAATCGATTACTCACCGTTAATGCGCCGATCAACCGTCAATAGGGCGCGATATGTCCCCGCGGTACGATGTGATTAAAGGCAATTATTCAATTAAAGCCGGTAAGGCGGTGGAGACATGCGGTGAATAAGTCAGAGGATCTCGGTACATGGATGCGGCGCACACAGGCGGTATGGAAAAAAGCAGCAGCAGCAGCAGAGATGGGGATGGGGCGGGGGGTGCAGGGGGTTACTGTGCTAAAAACAACAGCGGGCTTCACCACACTACAGTCCACTCTTTGTTCTCCGGAGGGATAGAAACCGCTCTTAATCGTGTCTTTTTCAGACCAGAGACATTTCATTGGATGTTAAATGGACTGGAGAGGGGTAGCTATCTTTTTGTTTCATGAAGGATTTTCATTAATTACAGAAATTTACTCTAAAAAAGAGCTTATTGTTATTAATTTTAAGAGAATAACCTCTAAAATAGCTTTATAAAGTCAAAATCTTATGTTAATTTTTTTAGAGTGTTAAGTAGCCTTTACTATTTAATCAAACTTATAAAGGTAAATACTTTCCTGCCGAATTTATTAATACATTTCTTATTTTTCCCTGCATACTGTACAAAGTTCACTTTACTTTCTAAAAATAAGAATCCTACGTTTGCTATGTTTAGAGCAGTGTCCCTAAATTCAAGCATACTACAACCAGACCCTAATTTTACCATGGTCAGCAGACCACTTCCGGTCATGACGTTTAAGATGACATCATTAGGACTTATAAAGCTGAAGCTCCTCCTCTTGGGTTTGTTAATTACAAAAAAAAATCTGCTGATTATTGAACATTTTTGTAACTAAGTCTGTCATTGGATCTGTCTTTCTATTTTCACTTCCTGACCTCATTACCCTTTTTTATTATTTCCATGTATTTTGTTTTAGTGTGAACTGGTTCATCTGTTTGTAAATGTCTCAGTTTTAGATTAAAAAAACCTAAGATTGTTCCCCTACCTTGCTATTCTGTCTTAGAGTTTATATGCATGTTATTTTGGTAATGTTGACCACTGTCCACCTCTTTTCCTTTTCTATATTAACTGACTTTTGTCTTTAGTCTTATATTTCACACTGGTTGAACTCATGACAATTTCATTTTGAGGCAACAGCACCAACCACCACGACCCAGGTCTGCCAGTCTGTGCTTGACTTTTTAGTTTATTTGTTTATTTCATTGTAGATTTTTAAAGGCTGAGATAGAATTTCAATGTGCGAAAAGCATTTCTCAACTCAACTGAATTCAGCTTTATTTTTTTATATAGAGCACTTTAAATACAACCGAAGCTGACACAAAGTGCTGTATATGATAACATAAAAACATTAAAAAATATTCAAGACTTTTGCATCAAAATGATCACAAAGCTTAATTTGGTTTTCAGTAAGAACATAAATATCTTAGGAATGCCTCATCCTCAATTTAACAATACTCACAATCAAAAACTGCTTAGCGTGTTAACATATGCTGCACGAAAAAGTGTACTATTGAAATGGATTTCGCATAAACCACCAACTGTTTCTGACTGGCATAAGGTAATATTTGATTTGCTTCCCATGGAGTATTTGACATGGACAACTGGACAGTTCTATTGTGTATGGACTCCATTTCTTGATTATGTAGGGCCAAGGATATGCAGTATATTTTGGAGGACTCTTTCTTTTTTTCTTTTTTTTTGTTATTCTGTCACCCCTGGATGTTTTTATAAGTAAATTGCCAGCTAAATTCAGGACTTCCACAGTATGGAGGATATATGTCAGATTTTAATCTATTCCTGCAGCATACACTCCATAACTAATGATCACAAAGACAAAATGTTAAACGGATTTTTTAAAGCTGTGTCAACATGAGCTGAACATCATGGACCTCATAAAAGGCTTTATGGTAGAACAGTATAATTGTATTGCTGTATTTTCTACACATGTCAGTAACCTTATACAGACAGAAGAGGGCTCTGGGTTTAATGACATACTGTTCATATGATAAGAGGGTGCGACTACTGTTATCTTTTTATGGTCCTTGTCTACTTGATTGTTAACTCATGGTAACTCAGTTTATGTGTCTTAAAAATCTATCTGCTGATTCTGATTAATGCTTTATCAAGTTGCCATTGCAACCAATCTGACAGCCATTTTCCATCAGTATGCAGCTTAAAATAGTGTGACGCAGAAACATAAAACTGCACACCTGATACCCTCAAATTGGACTTTCCCAATGAAATGATACTTGCACATCTGAAGAGCATCAACTTTTGAAGGACTGGGGTTATAAGTAAGGCATGTTGATGAGGTGATGAAACTTTTTTTTGTTTTAAAAGCTACAAAGATGTCAAAAACTGTTTTCCAATATCTTCACATAAATTACAAAGTTCTTAAACACTTAGAGTCAACAAACCACGTTTCAGATTCAGGTTAAAATGCACTGAGCGAGTTTTTAAAGCTGTGGATAGTACTTCATTCTGGTTGGTCATTGTTTAGTATCTTTTTTTCTGCAGCCCACAGTTTTTTACTTTGACCTTGTCTTATTTTTCTCAGCTGTTGTCTCTTTTATTGGTCTCCTCACTTGACTGGACTTGTTTCTGTGCACTGGTATTATTATAATAAGTCCACCAGTCTGTTATTGGAGCTGCATCCCTCGCAACAGTCTGTTCTCATAGCAACAGGCTGCTATCCACAAGATCTTCAACCCGAGTCTACAGCTGGGGCGGGCACCTGCTCTGTGGAAAACATCCTGCATTGTGCCACTACCAAAAACAAAATGTCCTGCTGAACTCAATGACCACAGACCAGTGGCCCTCACTTCATACATCATGAAAACCCTGGAGTGGCTGATTCTACGCCTTCTGAGGTCTGAGGTCAAAGACAAACTGGACTTCCTGCAGTTTGCATACAAAAAACATATTGGAGTGGATGATGCTGTCCTCTACATGCTTCACCGTGCCCTGTCTCATCTGGAGGAACCTGGGGTTTATGTGAGGAAAGGTTCAGAAGATCTTTTGTATCAACAGCCATCAGGCTTTATAACTCTTTTGTAAATAATAGATAACTTTTATAGACATATTACGTGAGACAACAGACAATTGAATTTTCCTTCGGGGATCAATAAAGTTATTCTTATTCTTATCAAGAAGTAGCAGAAATAGTAGCACAAATGCACATACATGTTGATACACAGGAGTTATTCATTTTTTCCTCTTTCTTTTACTCAATGAATTCCTCAATCTAAATTGTTTCCGGGCTTTTACAGCTGGCTCATGGATCTGTGACATTTCATAGCAGCCCTTTTTGTCTGAAACAGATCACTGAGACAAGCATTCTACTGTGGAGGGATGATAACATCCTCCTAACACGATGATGTAAGACAGCTTTAGAAATGTGCAACCATAATGCTCGATGAAATAGTTTCCAAGTGTCTAGTTCGTCTCCTTGGTTGCTGATTTTGATGGGAGGAGATAGAGTTCTGCGTTTTTATACACACATACAGACCTATTGGTGTTTAGGTCCCCATCAACCTTTGCTCTTGAAGTTCACACATTTGGGGGGGTAACAATATAATCAGGTTTTCTGTACAGGATTTGGAGCAACATGTTCTAATGAGCAACTTGAGCCCGGTGACATGTAAGAATGGGGCAGCATATGCCAGAAAATCTGATTTTACTTACATTTTATAGTGTCCCAACCTAATTTTAGTTGAGGTTGCTTTTCTTCTTCCTTAGTCCTCCACACATGCCGATTTGAACACTAAGCAGCCAAAATAAGATGCAAAGATTCAGGGGAGAGTGGGGTAAGATGAGCCATTTTTCATATTTCAGCAATCATAGTTTTGTCTCTAACTCGTGTATCTGCATAGATTTCAAGATGTTGTGCATCCCTGAAAACAAACAGAGTGAGTGTGAATATAACCATCTTGATAATAAAGCATGCCAAAAAAAAGTGGTCTTCTATGGTGAACTTACCCCATACACGGGGTAAGTTGACCATAGGAGCGGGGTGAGTTGAGCCCCTTCACCCATGTGCTTCTAACTTTCACAGACTCCATGAATTGATGTCCCTCTCCTAAATATTTGGTCACATGATCAATTTCTTTTACCATTTCCAAGCAACAGGGGGTGGCTCAACTTACCCCAGTCTCCCCTATATCAAACTACTTCAAGGATGAGAAACACAAATACTCTGCAAAATCATGAGACAACACTAACGTACATGGTAATCCTGTCCAGACTTTAATGCTTATGCTTTGTTCATTTTAAGGTTTACATTATACATACTGTATTCATTCAGTTTGAACAGGTGATAGATCAGTGAGCATCTATACAAATACACCGCAACCTTATACACAGTTTAGTCACATCACTGGAGGCAGTGTAAATATATGAGATTTGTGATTTCTTTTTTATTTTACAACCCATTGGCATTTCTGTAACTCAGAAAAAATCATCTGGGAGAAAAAAACATTAACATTTAAATGTACATAGAGTCAGACACTTTACATACTGAGGCTTAGAGATAGAGAGTGGTATGCGCTCACAGATGTGATTATTTTTATCTCCACAGCTGCATTATGTTTGTCAAGAAGAGGACACAAAATATTTCATTCATAATCTGATGTTTAAAAGCCTCAAAGTGAGGTTTTGGAGTGGGGACCAAAAGCAGCCAACAACTGGGACTTACAAACCAGGTTTCTCACGAGTTGCCACATCATTAGGTTTTAGCAAATCTGAGTGAACCATCACGTTTCTGTGATCCTGCTGTTCCAGTTTCTCTCTGTTTGGGTAAAAGTCACTTGTTGAAAATGGGCACTGAAAATATGGGAGGGTGGACATAAGTCAAAGCTTACCCTGTTCAAGAAGAAAATGGGGCTCAACAAATCCATGCAAGAAGTGAAATTTTACAGAAATAAAGTATAAATAAATAGACGGAAAACAACTTAATGTTTTGACCTTGGTAGGGGGAGTTAGGATTGTTAGGAGGGGAAGTCTAAAATGGAGGTGATGGAGTTCAGGAAGGAGAGGTGTGAATACTGCATTTCCACACAGTATTAAAACAATGTGTTATTTCTGTATAAGAGCAAATGGCTGTAATGGTTCTATGAAACTTTCCAAAACACTGAAAGTTTGAACCCATGAATAAAGACACTTTTCTAACAGATGATACAAAACCTGACTTCTTAACGCTCTCCCTAATTTATGGATATCTATTATGTCCAGCTCTAGCTTTGAATCCACTTGTTCTGAAACTGCCCACGGCTTCCTACATTTCCCAGAATTCCTTTTAACCGTTTGTAATAAACATCTGTCATTAAAATTCTGTTTTCAAAGAGTACAATTAAAGAAAATTCGCGCTCAAATCTGTACTTAAATTTCTCCTCCCAGCACAGGGCAGACAGGATTATCCCAATAAATCCCACTACAAATTCCTCTTGGATGCATGTGATGATTCCAACTACAGAGTGGACCCAGAGGTGCAACCAACACTGGCCTCACCTTCTCAGGCTGGAGTGTTATAAAGCAGGAGCAGGTTGAATGACACTGGTTGACTACAGCTGGTTATTGCCATGCAGCGAGCAACACATAACTAAAATATCACAGCGAGTGGGACCAGTGTGAAGCTATGGTTCAGGACGCACTGAAAAGCTACAAAAAAAACACACTCACATCAGCTGGTGTTGAATTATGTCATAGCTTGGGTCAAAGCTGATTGTGTGAGATAGTACCTGTTGGCCTGTGCGTGATTCTGTGTGTGTCTCCCCTTTGTTTGAACTCTAGACGGATTTCTAATCATCTGTAACTGTTTGGGATTTAAACATAGCAGCGTTTAGTACCTTCCAGGATGCTATGCACTGACAAAAGAAGGTTTTTTTAGAAATATCTGACCACAGACCAGCCAGCATTGCTCCATCATCAACATGAGCCTCAGTCTTAAGTCACCCTTTAAGATGTTTGGACACGTCTCTTCAGTCTAAACTGTGAGCAGATGCAGATGATGGAGCAATCGTTCACAGCACTAAATATGCTTTCTCCCTTTGCTATCCCGCACAATCCTAACACCCCGTTTTCTTCTGAAAATACACTCCCTCTTCTTTTCTCTCCCTCAGTGTTGAAGCTCCTTCATCCTGTTGAGGGCAGAGCCCGCCTTGAACCATTCGATCTGTGTCTCGTTGAAGCTGTGGTTCAGTTCCAGGGTCTCCTCGCTGCCGTCACTGTGCTTCACCAGTGCGCTAAGAGACTGCAGAAAACAAATAAGAAGTGGCAGTTATCGTAACAGAGCAGGTGGGTGAAAACAAACTTAGTGAAGCTGTTTCTTTGACCTGCAGTGCCCTCTTACTTTTCCTGGAGCGAAGGTTTTGAGTCCTTTGATGGAGATGTGGTCATCGGGGCGGATCTTGTCGTAGTCTGACGGGTTGGTGAAGGTCAGTGGCAGCAGTCCTTGCTTCTTCAGGTTAGTCTCTGAAAAAAAAAAAGTAACAAATGAGCAAACAATTTGCAAAAAAATGTGCAGGCTCCAAACAGGCTTCACAGAAAAAGTCCGTACCGTGAATCCTGGCAAAGCTCTTGACAATGATGGCTCTTCCTCCGAGATGTCTGGGCTCCAGGGCGGCGTGCTCTCTGCTTGAGCCCTCACCGTAGTTATCATCCCCGACCACGACCCAGGACACACCGTTAGCCTTCATGAAACAGAATAAAGAGAGTGATTAACCTGACATATGAGTAATGAAAGAGAGTAAAGATGAGCTTCAGGTTTTCATGAGTTGTGTTCACAGTATCAGCTCAAAGCAATGTTGCATCAGGCTGTTGCAGACTAACGTTTTGTTGATAGGAGCATCTGTCCAATGGTTCGTTTATTACAGTTATCCCCCGGCTCTCTTACTAAACATCTGCTGTGGGAAATATGTGATTCTAATTGGTCAAAACATCTTGAATAACAAAAGAAGTGCTCGGTACAGCTGCCCATACACCTCACATATCAGATCCATCTGCAGACAAGAATGAATGCACATTAAGTTTCCTGGTGATTACTTCTTCTCTTCCTGCTATAATAACATGACTCAGCATCCGTAGACAACCCAGAGGACATCTTTTAATGTTGCTAGCCCTAATGTTGTTAATGACTGAGAAGTGGAAAATCAGAGCAGGAGGAGCTCAGGTGAAAGAGACATTAAGCGAATTGAAGAAAACAGACACAAAGAAACCACAAACCAAAAGACAGTATGGGATTCAGTGGTGTTAAAGAACTTGTTGAATAATTTCGTTGTGCTTTTTACAGTGACAATAAAATTCTATCTATCTACCGTATTTTTCGCACTATAAGGCATACCTGATTATAAGGCGCACCATCAATGAATGCGTTTATTCGCATCTATTTTCATACATAAGGCACACTGGATTATACAGCGCATTAAGCCAAACAAAACTGTCAGATAATTCAAACTTTATTTAACTCATTCAATAACTCTGCGAGGCTACGGTAGCTGCAGTGCTCCGACAAGTCAAAAGGATTTTAAGTGCGCTTTATAGTGCAAAAAATACATTATCTAAGATAAAACAAACAGAAAGGTTAAGAGTAAGAGAACTGTAAACAGGTACGGCTGTTATTTTCTGTCTGGTGTTTAATTAGAAAATTGAGCTGAATATGTGAGGCCTTTGGTTTAAAATTTTGGTTTATAAAGTGATAAAAAAGCAAAGTTACTAATATCGATAATATAATATAATATAATTAGAAAAAAACTGCAAGACAGAGAATGCAGTTTGAGTTGAAGATAAGGATTAAGGGAAACTCACTCCAAGTCTGCAGGTCAATATTTTAGATCTTGTCGATGTTAAAGGACTAACAGAGAAAACTACACTGGTGCTGGTGAAGAGCCCAGGCTCTCTACAGTCCTCACCTTGTAGTGACGAGCCACATCAGGGACTCCTCCGTACTCTCCTGTCAGGTAGTTCTTAATCTTGTTGATGGCGTCATTCTCGCTGTTCACGGCGCCGATCAGCATGTTGTTGGAGATGTTGTCCAGATGGCCGCGGAACTTCAACCAAGGTCCAGCTGCGCTGATGTGGTCTGTAGTGCATTTGCCCTTCACCTGTAGACACAAAAAAGAAAGAGTTAAATCTCTCAACGCTGCTAGAGTAAGAAGGACATGAAACAGACTGATAGTATTTGACTTTCCCACCTTAATGAGGACCTTCATGCCCTCAAGATCGCCCCCGCTCCATTTGTCAAAAGGCTCCAGGAGCTGGAGGCGGTTACTCTGGGGGCTTACGTCCACCCTCAGGGTCTGGCCATCAGGAGGTGGGTGCTGGTAGGTGTCCTGACCTGGGTCAAAGTCTCTGGCGGGCAGTTCGTCTCCGTTGGGGGGGTCCAGTTTAAATTTCTCACCATTGGACGCTGTGAGGTAATCGGTCTCTGGGTTGAAGTTCAATGTGCCGGCGATTGCGAGGGCAGTGACAATCTGAATCAGAAGAGGTGGAGGGAGTTAGCTTGAGCTGTGAGTTTGTGTTTACATTCAGTGTTATTCATTTAAGTGTGAGTTTACCTCAGGAGAGGTCACAAAGGCGTGTGTCGCAGGGTTAGCATCATTCCTGGCTGTGAAGTTCCTGTTGAAGGACGTGACGATTGTGTTCTTCTCTCCCTTCTTCACATCCCGCCTGAACAAAAAAGACAAAAATGATGCATATACTCAGAGCGCCTCAGGAGGACTGATCAAATCTGACGCTCTAAACTACAACAACTTACCTGTCCCACTGTCCAATACAGGGTCCACATGCGTTGGCCAGGACCACACCTCCTACATCACCAAGGATCTTTGACTACAGGAAGACAAAAGCATGTTGTAGTTTTCATCTCATAAACCCTGACGACTTAAATCACAGCTTCCTTTCACTCCTTTCACACTCACATAACCGTCTCTTTCGATGGTAGCACGGATCTGCTCAGAGCCGGGGGTGACTGTGAACTGAGCTTTGCACTTCAGGCCTTTATCCAGAGCCTGCTTGGCCACAGAGGCAGCACGGCCCATGTCCTCATAGCTGGAGTTGGTACAGCTGCCAATCAGCCCTAAAAGGGGAAAAGAGACCAATAATACCTCAGGAAGTGTCTTGGTGCAAAGATGGCACATTTTAAATGTGGTGAGAAACAGAAAAACATCTACAGTTGGGCAGAATTCACTCATGGTCAGCTCTTACCAACTTTGACTTCAAGTGGCCACCCGTTCTTTTCCGCAGTAGAGCCGACATCAGCCACTGGATGGGCGAGGTCAGGGGTGAAGGGTCCGTTAATGTGGGGCTTCAACTGGAGAAAGAAACAAGGAACTCAGTTACTCTTTAATGAACCACAATCAGAAACGCAAACTAGGAGTAAACCTCCCTCAGGTGCACACATCTGAAGTACTTGTATGACATGCTTCACTGTGTATTTAGAGATGCACACAAGTCTGAGAGGTTTTGATCTTGGGATATAGAGGTCACTTTCAAAAGAGTCACATTTATACTGTTTAGACCTGAGTCTTAAAATCTGTGATTAATTTGAGGAAAAATTAAATATTATAATAAATAACTACTGTATATTAAAAGTCTGGTCCCTTGTTAGTTATAAAAAATAATGTATGATCCGGCAGCGATCTGATTTTTATGTAAACAGAAAGGATATGTCCAAGCAACTAATTTAAACTTTGTACACGAGCCGTTCAGTCGAGAGGCAAGAAAACTCTCAGAAAACAGATAAAAATGAGCTCATCTTTTTAAAAGGTGCACAATCAAATATTGAACACTAAAATGTGCATCATCAGTCATCAGTAAAATGTACTCTTTACTTATAAAACAATCACAGCTCTCTATAATTTGAGGCTGCCAATAGATGTTTCGGTTGAAGAGGTGACCCTGTGAAGCGGTGACTTTGAAGCTAATGTGTTAATGATTCTCATGGTTATCAGGAAAGGTCTCCATGGAGGACTCTTTGTTTTGTTATTTATTAGAGACATAACTGGTGAGTGAATCTTAACATCGAAATGGAAACTTTTCAGGAGCTATTGTAGTCATGACAACCATGGAGCAATTCTCCAGTTGAAAAGCTCACTCGTTTAATCGAAACACCAGGATAGTTAATAAAGTAAATGATTAATTCAACCAGTTATTATCGAGGTTGATGGCATTTAATCAGTTAGTCATCTTCATGCATTCATGCCTGATAGATGTTTCAATTTTGTTCCTAAACTACATCTCACTGATCATCAAAGAGATTCCTTCGTTTGATTTCCACTTCTACTAAACTGTCAAACTCCCCAAAAGACCATTTTAAAACCACACACACCTCGTCCAGATTGATCTCAATAACTTGGTCGTACTGGCAGCCTTCATCTGGTACCAACAGGTGGGAGTACTCGTCAGCCAGGACAGCGATGTCTGGAGAGGAACAAATTTTATAACATTTTAAAGGAAGTGAAAACTTTCTCTAACAGCATGAATAAATCATAAAAAATGAGCATACATAGAAAAATCCATTCATTCACAAATTATATGAAACAATTCAGACCGATCTGCTGACACAGGTAAAGCTCTCTGTGATTGAACTCTTTTTTATATAGATTTTATAGTTTTAGCTTCATAGAGCGGATATTTGTTTAGAATGAACAAGAAGCTTAGATGGAAGATCACTCTCTCAAAACACCCTTTTAGAGTCTATTGTCTCTGTATCTCAAACTGTTGTGATAAAAACATTGAGTGTTAAACATTTTTAAGGACAAGAGCTTAAAACAAACCTCCACGTCCGGTCTTCTCCAAGTAAGTCCTCATACGATGGTTGTACGGGAACACTGAAGTGGTGGCTCCAATTTCTGCTCCCATGTTGCAAATGGTGGCCATTCCTGCACAAATCAAATCACACACATTATTATAATTATCACTTCTGTGCTGAGCAGCTGGAAAAATATGTGTTCAAAAGAACTGCTTCAGCTCACCAGTGCAGGAAATCGAGTCCACTCCTGGTCCGTGGTATTCTACAATGGCTCCAGTGCCGCCCTTCACTGTCAGGATACCAGCCACCTTCAGAATGACGTCTTTAGGAGACGTCCAGCCTGAGAGGGTGCCTGTCAGCTTCACACCAATCACCTGAGGAGAGAGCGAAGGGTTAATGTAGGTGAAGGGATGGAGAAAAAAAAGAAAAACAGACAAGAGAAAGTCTTCGTTTGCTAACCTTGGGGCATTTGAGCTCCCAGGGGATTCCTGCCATGACGTCTACAGCGTCTGCTCCTCCAACTCCGATGCAGATTGCACCAAGGCCTCCACCGTTAGGAGTGTGAGAGTCTGTGCCGATCAGCATCACTCCTGGGTAGGCGTAGTTCTCCAAGATGATCTGTTTGTGGACAAAATGAGAGTGTTAGCTTGTTGAAATTACAGCAGCTTTAACTTCTCACATTTGGAGGTAAGAATACCTGATGGATGATTCCAGAGCCTGGCTTCCAGAAACCAACGCCATACTTTGCTCCAGCACTGGACAGGAAGTTGTAGACCTCGAGGTTGATTTCCTGAGACCAACCACATGTGTTAGTATCAGCATGTTAGGTCTTTACAACATGACTTTTGGGACATTATGTGAGATTGCTCACCTTTGCTCTGGCCAGATCTTTCTCTCCTCCAATCTGAGCCTCGATCAAGTGATCACAGTGGATGGTGGAAGGAACGGCTACCTTCGGCAGGCCGCTGCTGATGAACTGGAGCATCGCCATCTGGGCTGTGGCGTCCTGCATGGCGACGCGGTCGGGGCGGAGTCGCAGGTAAGTGCGACCACGGTCGATATCCTGGTTGTGGGGGTCATCGAGGTGGCCGTACACGATCTTTTCGGACAGGGTGAGTGGACGGTTGAGTCTGGACAGAAATAAAAAAACACAGTTTGTTCAGAGGGGGTCACTCACGAGAAGATAAAATTAGAACAGAACAAAGAAGCTAAAACAACTCTGGGCTGCTGACAGTTTTTAGATTCAGTGACACCAAATGTCTGAAGGTAAGTAGAGCAGTGAAGAAAGTCCAGTGTCTGTAAGACTTTGACTTTGTAAATCAAAAGTTGTTTGTTTAAATCTCACCACAATGTTAAATTACAGGTTATTTCAGGCAGTGTTTGACTCCTCGTGATGTCATTGTATAATTACAAGTTTATTCCAGTCTAAACCTTGGAAGTCATTACAGAGCTGTAATGACAAAAAGAGTTGATCTGTGCACCCTCCACACAGCCACGTCTGCCCTGTGTAAGCACTAATGCTGACAACATTTTGGACACGTTGATACTTTTTAATATAAAATGCCTTAAAACAATACATTCCCCTTATTTTTTTTCCTTAAATAGCACTAAAAAGTGCAGATTCTAAAAAGTACTTAGTAAAAACAAGTGATCTATGCTCCTATTTTAACCAGAAGCTGCTATGAACAAATAACACAAAGAGAGGGAGTGAGCGAGAGAGCTGTGGTGGTCAATCAACAACAGAGATAGAGTGAATAGAAAGAGGGTTGGTGGAGTAAACAAAGCAGCAAAACTGAATCATTTTGTTATTTCTCAGCAGCTTTGCTCCAAAGAACGAATATTAATGCCTAAATCTCTTCAAAAACATGCAGGAAATTTGGTTTTCTTGCAGCTGGAGTCCTGTCTCTACTTCCTGTGTCTCTGCTCCACCCCCTGTCACAGACACTTCACAGCTGACTCTCCTCACTCACAGGTCGGCAAATCCTCAAGTCTTTTCGGTCTTAGCAGCTGATCAAGACACGTTATGTTTATGTCTCTTGCTGACAGACAGACAGCAGAGGAGACAGACAGAAATGTCACTGGGTCCCTTTATGGTGTCTGACCTATGGACTGTGGACAGAGAGTTTCACATAACTGCACAAGGACTCACACCCATAAAATTAACTAATTAGTTAGATAAACAGAGAACACTGCAGCTACAGACACCACCACCACAGCTCCTCAGGATTATGAATGATAATTGTAGTATACACACTAGAGCTGGGATAATATGCTTTTCTCCCGATTTGATTATTCTAAAATTTTTTGGATGCCAATTCGATTTAAATTGCGATTCTACGTCATTGTAGATTTTCTCGATTTTTAGTCGGCATTTTAAACACCAGTGAAACAGTTGAATGATTATGATTGTCTACTGACTATTCCAGGAACCATATTTCCCAAAAAATACACATCACATGTAAGTCAGTTTTTAAGATTTTTCTTAAATTTGAAAAAAAAAAAAAAAGATTTTTAAGCAAAAAAAAAATATTTAAAAATTGTAAAACAAAAAATTGCGATACTTATATGAATTGATTTTTTTCTCCCACCCCTAATACACACATCCTCCTGATAAACATTATAAACAGTACTCAAGCACAGATTTCCTGCTGGAAAAGAAAAGAGTTGTTGGAATCAAACACACTCAAACAGAAACATTGTGTGAACACACAGTAAAAATAAATTAGTTTTGGAGAGCGCTTACCTTTTTTGCACAATGTCAACATTTGATCGGAGCTTCTCATAGTTGACAAAGGACGTGGGCTCAAAGCGGCTCATAGACACTTTAGCCTTGGCTCTGTAGGCAGCTGATACATGCAGGCGCCGCACGCCATGGCCCAGAGCCAGCTGGAGGCAAGAAAAACAAACAAGTGAGAGTCTAATGACAGGGCCGCAGACAAAATCAAATACACACTGTTGTAAAGTGGGTGCCGTTTAATCACATACAAAATGCTAACAAAAAGATAAGACTTCATCCGAAAAGATCAAACTCTTTTTGAATCATTTTTTTTTGTTAATATCTTCATATCAAAAAGAGATTTATAGGATTGAGTTTGTAGTTGCTTTGACAAAAATGGCATACATGATAGGAGGTCACAGGGTGAATGTGCTGCTGTACTTAAGTCAACTCTTAAGTGTCAGATATCAGGGTGATATCAGGTGAACATGATGCCCCTCCATAACCCATTAAGCTCTGTGTTTGCACCTCTGTAGGCAGACTGTATGTACACAAGCAGATTTGTATGATTGTAAAGTGAAATATGTGTGAAAGGTCAGTCACGGGAGACTATCAAACTTGATAAATGATTAACTAATCAAAGAAGACAAACTGTGATATAACTCAAGGTTTCATTGACCTGACAAAGTGTGTCAAAGATGAGCTTCTGTTCAGAGAAAGAGCTGACAGTGAGCAGCTGAAGCTCCAACCATCCAACAGGTGACTGTCACACTCAAAGTAGTCGCTGTCAACCAATTCAGGAGCTAGTCAAATGCTAATAAACACATTAAATGTAATAAATAAGGCTCAAGAAGGCTTGAAGCTCAGGCTATGTAAGTTATTTATCTGTATCTCTTCTTTTTGGTAGTGTTTCTCACCAACACCTACATGCTTTACTTGCATTGTGACTTTGACCAGCTCAATCTAACTAGGCCACAACTCTTTTATTTTGTTCAGTATTTAAAAACGACTTATACGTTATCTTGTCTTTGTGTAAAATGTGATCTAAATGTTGTAAAAAGCAGAAAAAGCTTGAACAGACATCAGTCAGAGGTCACATTGGGATAGGAGGCTCCGTTATCTCTGAGCTGCTAACACAAAAATCATCACATCCCACTGTTGTTACAGACGACATGAAACCCAAATCCTTCACCTTTAGAAAAATCTTCATCAAAGTGACTTATAATAACCCCCTATATGTCCTTTAACTGTGTTATTTGCTATAATTTCACATATATGCTGTGTCTCTTTTACACGCGGCGCTCCTGTGAGCCTGCTGGCAGCTCTAACCTTGTGGTTAACCTTGCTTTCTATCACCAAACTACATTTCTATACCTCAACTATCTGCGGTTATTTAAGAGTTAACAGTATCGCCAACTAATTCTAGTAAACAGGTGAATTAGATGAGTTTATTTAGCGTGGGATGAACTCGCTGTTTCTCTCTAGATGCGATCACGCAGTCAGGACACGATGACCTGAGCAGCGAGCCGGTGACAGCTTCACCGGTTATTTTTATTCATAAAACACCTCTCTCCGATCTATTCCGGTCAGACTATCTATACGTTGGAGTTATAAAACCGAATGAGACAGGTGGCATCTTTTACTGGCTGATAAATAAGGTTTAAAGTATAAAATTTAGTCTCTTACCTGGAGCCGGGCTACAGTGAGACAGTAGGTTGCCATTTTGTTCACTGACAAAGATGTGACGGGGAGACGTGACGTCACCGGCTTTATGGGCCGCGGCCTTGAAGGTCCATAAAGGTCAAAATACTGCGCTAATTAATATTTTTTTATTCGGATAGCGCTAGAGTCATAATAAGTACATTTACACTGATATTAATTAAAGAGTTTACTTATTTTTTTTGATATATACTTTCAAATTAGTTTTACCAGTATAAAGCTCTTTACAAATTTAAGTTATAGAGAGCTTCCAGTTACTACCTTGTCTGGCGTTCTGGTAATGTCTATTAAAAACTTGCATATAGATACCTACTCAAATTGACTAATTCCGCTGAGTGTAATTTCTCGTAAATATCTAAATAGACTGTAACGGTGAGAGAAACCCCGTGAAAGTATTTTTCTCCCCCCAAAAATGATTCTTTCCATAGACATTATATACGTAGACGCCTCAAAACCTGACGCTGCCTATAGGAGCTCTCGTATCAACGTGGCCGCCATCTTGGATGGGTCCCCCGTGTGCCTCCAGTGCATTAAGGTAGGTAGGAAAGCCCAATCATATTGATAATAACTCTCCGAATCTCTGCCCGATTTTCACACTGTTTGGTTTGTTACAACGACATGGGTGTAGCAATAATACAGGACAATGTCACACATTAAAAATAAAAAATATATATACATTTTCAATCTTTTTTTGTGAAACTTAATCATACGTGATCTGGTTTCAATACTGCGTCGGGTTTTTCAACCATAGAGTGCCAAAAAACGGGCATAGTTGCTCGTTCTCCATTTGCCCCGTTTGGCTCTCGGGCGAGACCCATCCAATATGGCGGTGACGCTGGATTACGCTCCAGCACGTAATGAGACGTCTATGTATATTATATCTTTGGTTCTTTCTGGAGGCGCTAGGTGGCGGTAATCAAAGCATTCATTCAAAGTTTCCGGATCAAAGGTGAAAGTTGAACCGTAGCAGCAGCGCTCTCCTTACGTTAGCCAACAACAATGGCTAAACATCATCCAGATTTGATCTTCTGCAGAAAACAAGCCGGTGTCGGTAAGTAGGAACCTACTTGGGAACGCTTTGATTCTGTCTTTATACCTTCGCCTTTTCTACATGCTGCGTTTAATGAGCTTAATGTCAAATTCCAGCCTCTGTGTTAGCATTTACAGCATGGTTCATTGATACAAAAGCCCAGGGTCCGGGTCCAACCAAACGTTTCTGTCAAAAAAATAACACTGAACTTCCTGTTTAATTCACAAATACTCATTAATTGAGCTTGCATCAGTAACATCTATAACAACTACAACATCGATATCATCAACAATGTATTCAACATCAGTAACATCTATAACATCTCTAACGCCTAACATCAATAACTCCTATATTATCAATATAACTTCTATAACATTCTCGTCTCTGTTTTCATTTCTCAGCTATCGGGAGACTGTGCGAGAAATGTAAGTGTTAAAACCGCCAATTTGTTTGTCACACACATTGTACTTGGATAAGGATTTATCCTGAAACGCCTTTCTGAGAGATTTCCCTGTGTTTAGGTTTACATCATTTTTGACTGCTTTAATCTACTTCTTCCAAGGTGATGGGAAATGTGTCATCTGTGACTCCTATGTGAGGCCGTGCACGCTGGTGCGTATCTGTGATGAGTGTAACTACGGATCCTACCAGGGCCGCTGTGTCATCTGTGGAGGGCCCGGGGTGTCTGATGCATATTACTGCAAAGAGTGCACCATCCAGGAGAAAGACGTGAGTCGCTTAGCACACTGTTTTTTTTTTTTTTTTTATGTGTGTCCATACAAGTCTTGTTTTCTTATTGAAGGGGATATTCTGGCGTAAAATTGAAACACACGTAACACTGAGTTATAGACCCCCCCCTTGAGAGATGAATGTTGCTGACCACTTGCTTCTCTAGTTATACCAACTTTAGTAACGACTGCACAATAGCAATACACAACAGTCTGAGCCACAAATAATGCTCAGAACAGCACCTAACTTCATCAACAGTACACATAGGGTCCTAACCACAGTACTAGCCACCAAACATCTTTTCAACTTTGCCTGATTTCTTTAGAAAAGAGACTAAACACAACTCACCTACTCTCTTCCAGCAGCCGCTTGTTTGTAGCGAGACCTCAGGCGAGTCCATTACGGACTGCTGTGGGGTGACGTCTTTATTATTTCCTTGTTGTAATAGCCACCATTTTAATCATTTTGCATTGCGGACGCTGTAGTTCTTCTCAGTCTGATTGCATTTCAATGAGGAAATGATCATAAATGTTCTTCCTTGAGCTGCGTCACCCATTAAAATTTGTAATGGACTGGCCTGAGGTGTTGCTACAAACAAGCGGCTGCTGGAAGAGAGTAGGTGAGTTGTGTTTAGTCTCTTTGCTAAAGAAATTAGGCAAAGTTAAAAAGATGTTTGGTGGCTAGTATTATGGCTAGGACCCTATTTTTACTGTTGATGAAGTTAGGTGCTGGTCTGAGCATTATTTGTGGCTATAGTGCAGCTTTATGGTTGAGGTTTGTTTATGGCTCCTCAGACAGCTGTGTATTGCTATCATGCAGTTGTTACTAAAGTTTGTATAACTCGAGAAGCAAGCAGTCAGCAACATTCATCTCTCGAGGGGGTGTCTGACTCAGTGTTACGGTGTGTTTGACCCCAACTTTATTTTACGCTGGAATATCCCTTTAATTCAGCAAACCATAAGAACTTCCAAACTGACTGCAACTGTGTTTCTGTTACAGCGGGACGGCTGTCCAAAGATTGTGAATTTGGGCAGTTCAAAAACAGATCTGTTTTATGAAAGGAAGAAGTATGGCTTCAAGAAGAGGTGAAGACACCACAGTCCAGTCCTTTTTTTTAGTTTTTCAGCTTTACAGGTTTCTTAAAAACATCAAAATCTTTCTTTTGACTTGTCAATAAAGTTCTTTTTGTATTTCATCCTGTATATGTGAGTGGCTGCTTTGACTGCATACATCTTTACATACTTATGTATTCATATGGTCATGCTGAAATATCTTCATTATCTGATAAAGGTCTGTATTTTCCAGCTATGAAAGAGTAAGTAGACCAGCTGTTGAAACTTTAAAGAAATTTGTCCGCTGGTTTGGGCTTATTTTAGCGTAGACTTTTAGTAAGTCTAATTTTGGATCACAAATAGCTCCAACGAGTGTAACAGACTTGGTTTCAGTGTTTCATCTATTATTGATTCCCCACATGTAGTTGAAGGATGTTAGCAACACTGTTTAATGAGGAAATTTCCAAATATATTTTAGTTCAGCATGCATGTGGTTCACTTTGGGGGTCTAAACTGTGTCACACTGCCTTCTTCCAAAACTTTCTCCACCAGAGGGCAGAAGTTAGTTTTTACTGTGTCCTTTGCCTGTAGTAGTGTAGTGCCTATTTCTGTAGTATGCCCAGGCCAGCTTTCTCACCTTTGACCCTATTTCAACAAAAGCCAAAATGAAAGGATGCATGTTTTTGTCATTGCTAGACGTGACTTTAGCAATAGGAACACACACCAAAAACACCACCGTCCTCTAACTTCACAAGAGAGCAGGTGAGCTGTTGTCAAAAAAAGTGGGTTGTAATCATGACCCTCGAAGTGTTACTTTTTATGGATTCGTGTTTGCAGAAGGGAAGTAAATAGCTGTGTCAAGACAGCTGAGATATTGAAAAAAAATATATGTAATACACAAGTGTCTGAATCAACACAACTAGAGGTACTGTTCACTTTGATATTAAAATTTATCAAAGGTTCAGAGTCAAGCAAAAAAACACTCCAATTTATTTACTATCCTCACACTATATTGAATGTTGACTTAATGTACAAGGCACAAAAACTCCATATTAGACTCTCTGCACAAGGCTTTATTTGTACATACTGTATATACAAGACACAAATAGTAGCCACACTCAAAATGCTGATACATTTTTATACAAAGAAATATAAAGACAGAGCAAGGAAGGTTAGAAACAACCCCTCAAGGTAATAAATTGACCTGTTGTAGATAAAAGGCAGATGTAATCTTTGTTCCAGTGGAAAATATTGAACACAATATTAAAACCAGGAAGGAAGCCCATAGTTTTTGGAATTATTGTTTCGATTCATCAGAGTTGTACGGTCATATTGAGACTGAGACTCAGAACAAAACTTTTAAAAAATCAGTTCCTGACTTTTGGAGATTGCACTTGAGCTTTAAAAGAATGAAAAACAAGTCAAGAAGCTTAAATTGCTGATACCCCCCCCCCCCCCTCATTTTTGTGCCATTAGAGAAATGTTCTCCACTGTAATAACATTTATGACACAGTGAGACCCTATCCCATACAATAATATTGAATGCATTTTGGTTAGGAGTCACGTATATGGATGGAAGCACAGCCAGAAAAAGCAAATCTTTCCCTTTTTTTTTTTTTTTTTTTTTAGAATTGGACAGAAAATTGATCCTAGGTTGAGTAACAAATTGAATTTTCTGAGGTTGTTAAACACAATATGTCCCCTGTAAACTGGCAGACTGTGTGCTGCATTGAAATGGCTTTAAGAGTTTTGGGCGTCCCTGTAGAAAAGAGATGCCCCGATACAGTCTGCACCTAAATGGCTACCGGTTTGTCAAAACAGAAAGATGAGAATCGGCAGCATAACATTTACTTAAAAGCTTGAGGAAAGTAACGACACTCAGACACAAAGGTAAAAGACAGGATGAGTAATGGAGTGATAAATGTGTCCACTGTAACATCCTCACAACACTGTTTACAGTCTAATGATACAATCTGTATTTACATCTTGTCCTTGAACATCTGGTTTTGACTGATTTCAAGCAATTTGTTGTCAAAAATATAAAGATTCTGATAAACATGATCATTTTAAAATCTTTCTAGGCTTACAGAGACAAACCTTACATCTCCAGCTGCCTTTTGTAAGGCACGATCTGAAGTCTTTGCATTCAACAACCCGCTTAAAAACTTTCTGTTGTAATGGAGGTAAATGTAGCTCTTGTATTTAGAAACTTTGTAATGAAATTGCTTCTCTCCCCAAAAAAACAGATGGTCAAAAACTCGACCAGCCCAGTTTCTACTGTTTTAATCTTGTTAAACTGAATACATATGAGTGAAGTCTAAAGAGAACAATATCAGACTACAACTATTTACAGTACATGCATGAGAGGACTCGTCACATGACATTTCCAAAATATTACTGACATAAATCAGCACTGACTGCCTACAGAGAGGAAAGCAGGTGCCAGAGTCTGCACAAGAGCGACAGTGAGACATATATACGCACAGAGGAGCTCTGTACTGCTGATATGAAAACGTGAAGAGAGTGAACATGGCTCTCCTGTTTTGCCATGACCCTGAAATCCCCTGAAGAAGCTGAATTTATTGGAAATGTCACAGTCAGAAGTTTGTCTGCAATTTTTAGCCTCACTCCACAAATCCTCCCACGTATTGTAAAACTTGAAAGTAAGAGTGGACAAGTGGGTCTCACAACTCATTCAAATGTGGAAAAACATGGAAGCAACCTTCAATACTATTTCTACATTACCAAAATAATGAATTACAATATAGTCTGAACTATCATTACTTCTACTTTTCTAAGACCTATAAAGAAAATAAAACCCACAGTCCTCCAAAATCAAACATGATAAATGATCTCTTTCGGCTGAAGGCATACAAACATGATGAGTATACACGCGTTTAAAAGGGGGTGTACTGGAGAAGCACTCAAATATCTGCATGGATGGTAAAAAGACTTCATTAAAAAAATGAAATTAAAAAAAGCGATATGACTCTACATGCTTTTGCAATGGTCATCAGTCACACTCTCACACATTCTCTCCTCCTCTTCATCCTCTTCATCTGCTCGATTCTGTTTTCAGTATGATTTATTGATTCATAGAAAGATAAATGAATAAATCAACTGCTGTCTATTGGTCTTCCAGCACAGCACTTGAAAGAGAAGAGAAAAGGGGTAAATGACAGGAGGAAGAGGAGGGAGAGGTTAACATTTTCCTGTGTATCATACTACGCTGTTTATGGTTTTGTACCTGACACATCAACTAAGGTTAATAATACCACTGTGTATCTCTGAGGGGTATTAACCATCATCCCCTTCCTGTGTTTAACTTTCTCCATACAGCAGGACAGTGTTGGCGAATCTGCTGGTTTTACATACTATCAGGATTATTTTGTAAAAACTGCCCAACAAGGTCTTTCCCCTGACATGTGAGAGCAGAGTGACTGATACTGTGCTGTCTGGTACGTGGATTCAGTTTCTCTCATATTTGGGCCCTTACAGTGGTCCAAATTTGGCTTCGTAGCGCCCGGCGACATTCTTATAGCGGCCGCACTCCTTCCGTAGGTCGGCCACCTCCGACCGCAGCGCTGCATTCTCGCGCTCCAGAAAAGCCGCTCGCACCGTGATCTGATTTTCCTTTAACCTGCGGGCGTCGCGTGAGCGCTTGGCTGCCACGTTGTTCTTCTTCCTCCTCTGCCAGTATTTGTCATCCTGGAAAGACATGGAGGAGAGAAGAACAGTTGGATTGAGATGGGAGAGCGACACCAGATCCTGTCATTCTTTCTGACCACGGTCATCTGCGTATTCATGGCTGCCTGCCAGCCTCCTTTGTACTGTACACAAAGCCTGTGTTATCATGCAGACTGGAGAGGAAGAAAACATCAATTTGAACATTTTGAGACTGCTGAGTCACTGTGAGTCTGCAGATCAGCTTTACTGGGGCAAAGTTTGACTCCTACTTTGAAATTAGGTGGCCAAATAAGGATGTATTGTATTCATAACACAAGCAAATGAATATACTGGTTGATGTAAGTTTTTGAGTTGGTTGTGAAACTGACCTGACCTAACAGGGATGTCTCTTTCTGACAAAATCAGCAGAAATCTGATGAAAATCCTTAATGTCAAGAAAGGTTGGCCAATGCAGCCACTGAGACTAAATTAATTTTGGCAAGTCATGGTGACAAGTGTCCTCTTTTCTCTACTGCCTCTTTCACTTCTCAACAAATCACTCTCTGTGAGTCTTTGCTGTTGAAATGTAGACTTTAACAAAAGCTACTGTAGCTGGATGCAGTTTGTTTACAGATTCTATGAACAACCCGGTGACAGGCGTCAAAATAACCATATGGAAATTATAGTATTTCTTAAGTAACATGCTTCTAATTTAGGTCATCTAGAGGTGTCTGCACACCCCCACACATACAAGCTGTTAGTGAAATTATTTTAGTTAAATACTGATTCTTATTAAACTTAAGCGTGTTCATTGGGGTGTTTTGAATAAACAACATGAACAAACTGAAATATTTTATCTTTTCAGGTCCTTCTCATCTCTCTCCCAGCATACCTTCTGTTCTTCGGGCACAAACACCTTCTTGGCCTTTTTGATCATGGGCTGAGGCTTGAGTTCATCGTCAGTGAACTTGTGCTTGCGGGGATCAAAGAGCTCGCCTCCAGGCACACTGGACAGGACCAGGTCTGTGGGATCTGGTTCGTAGTTGACATCAACCTCAATCTCATCAGGGCTAACGGGCTCTGGTGTTGCCCGGTCGTCTTCAGTGATCACCTCTGAGCAGACAGAAGTAGAATATTAGACATTTCCAGCAGATGCTATGATGCTTTTCTTCACTTCTACAGTGCATGGGCGTTGGTACAACATGTAGCAACGGCTGATTGTCCCCCTATAAACACTACTATTTTTGCAATGCAGAGACACCGGTATCTATTTCTGTCGTCCTAACAACTACGACCACCCGTGGCTTGTTCCAGGATAGACTGACCACTTGAAATCAGTCCACTGTATTTGTAAATCTGACACTTGAGTCGGTGCCAAATAATCATATTTCTAAACTGCTAGAAAAGACTTACGAGGTAACTGATATTCAGCTGGTAAAGTCAATGTGTGCAAGGTGTTTGACTTAACACGTGTGTTTGGACGTTTTCTCACTACATTTGCAGTTTAATCTACGGTTTAACCACTTTTCTATGTGATGTCTTCATCCTTTGACATTAGGTGAACTTTTTCTGTGTTTTTCTGAAACTGCAGCCACCTCTTTCTGATCGTCCACTCTCCACTCACCTGCAGTGACATCACAGATGATCTCAGAGTCACCCTTGATGATCAAGACCTCCTCGTCGCACCTGTCCAGTTCCTGAATGGGCAGCAGGGCCACTGGGGACACGGTAACTGGCTTGGTAACCTTCAGCTGCGGAGAGGAAGAGGCCTTCACTTTCAGAGTCTTAACTGTGTTTCCCTGGCTGCCCTTGGAGGAGTCTTCGTCAGGTAAGGTGGGGATGCCATTTTCCATGAGGAACTCCTCGAGGTCCATGTACTCAAGGTGGAAGTTTTCCCCATCGTAGGGAATGGTTTTATCCCAAATAGCAGGGGTCAAAGCGGCTGAAGGACCCATATCGCTTCCTCCTACCCCAAGGTCGACATTATCATCCAGACACAGCTTCTCTTTGTCGGTGTCTGAGAACAAAACAAGAGACACACATTCAAATTTAGAGACACTCATAAAAAACTCACACATGATAGTCGGCGGGAGTTAACTGCACATGCAATATTAGTTTCTTTCTTTATTAAGAGATAAGGGGTCATTTCCCCCTCTTGGCAACAATCCCCTCACTTTTGTCATTGTATTCTTTGACTGGACTAAGAGATCATATTTCCATAAAAGCTTTTTTACAAACTCTCCAATTCAAGTTGCCCTTGGACAGCATAACTTTGCAGAACATGACATACATAACATTTACAAAAGCTGGTCTGCTTTCAAGTGTCATACTGTTGTTCACATCTTTGGTCTTATTTTTAATACCATAGTGCAGGTGCAGAAAAATCCAGATTCAGTCATATGTGTGTAAGTTTGCACATACATTTAAATGGTGTTACATTCTCATGGAACCGATCTACTTAACATACATTTGTTAGGAGCAGGTTGTTATACTGGACAAATTAGTTAAAAGCACTGTGGTATATAATAGAGTTTTACATTTTATTTTTGAAGCTGGAAGCTCATATAACAGAACTGAGAAGGTAGTAAACTGTAATCTACTAATGCCTTATTTTTACGGCATAAAAACATAACCACTGCAGCTGGGAAAACAGCAACTTCCTGTCAACGAAACTGCATTAAAGATCACGGGTGTGTCTCTTAAGTCTGGATGATGGTACAAACTAATCTGATAATGGTATTGATCTCATCAGGAATGGGGGCATGATGATTAATTGTTTACAATGAAGGCAGTAGAAACATTTATAATCTGTTTTTATCCAGGAAAATGTTACATCGCTTTACCTTTTTCACTTGGCCTAATACTGCAAATTTGCAAACATCCTAAAAATTTCGTTATAAACTAATGGACTAATTTAACACTAAATTGCCCATATCATCCTTATTTTAACGCCAATGAGCCCCATGTGACTTCGACTTTCTTCGGCGGCACTCGTGTTGAGTCGGCGCTACACCGTCCTTTTTCATGTCTTCGTTAATTCATCGCACGTACCATCGTCGCCATCCAGTATGTTCGGCGGAGGCATTTCCATTATCTTCTTTAAAACCACCGGGAATGAGCTCGGGGCCCCGGTGACCGTTTCCAGAGTGATAACAATTGGCTCCTCCGACATTATGCCCTTTGTTATCGTTCTCCGCACAGCAACCAACAGAGAAGCAAACTCAGCAGTTGTCCCGTAAAAATCGATATAGCTGGATATTCACTCGGTTTCACTGATGTTCCGCGTTGTTGTGAAGATTTCTACCTTTGAAAAACATGCATTAAAGTTGCAAAAACCGTCTACATCGATGTCAAGCCGCACAGCTCGCTCCGTTTTTTAGCCCACTTCCTTGGAGAATTTGATAGCGAGGCGGCTTTGGTATGCTGGACAAACCACGCCCCTATATCGAATAGCCTCCCAGCTGAGCGCTGATTGGCGGAGATGGCCTGAACATCCTGAATATTTAGCTCTTTATGAACAAGGAGGCGGGGCCTTCCTCTAAGAGCCAATAGTGGTTTTCAGGGACAGGCTTACTAAGGTCTGATTGGTTAACCGAGTTACATATGTCCTGCTCGGTAACGCAGATGTATGACACGTGCAGCAAGCATTGACACACATTGCAGTATAGTCTGACCTAAATCGAACCTGTTGACCTAATCTGGGCATTTATGCTTGTTTTCCAGCTGCATTTTTACCGTTTCTCGGTGAAGGGAAAGTCGACGAACGGGCTACAAATTACTTTGATCCGAATACATTCAGAAGGGTTTTAAATCCACCGTCAAAACATGAACATGGGTTTTGGTGCAGTATCAAACAATCCTGCTAAAAATGTCCCACTAAAAGTGCGTATACCTTCCACGTATTAAGTCATTCATGCATTAATGGTCGCTCATCAACTCATGGCGCCACTTTGTCCAAAAGTCTCTACATCCTAAGAACTGGCCGCCATATGATGCGCTGACAACACCACACACGTGTAAGAACACGTGCAAAGTTGGCCATAACATCGTCAACACGCCGCGTCCAATGGAGGCGCGCCATAACTACACGTCTGCAGCCATAGGAGTCCTGATGCAACATGAAGCCTACAGCATTGTTTTCTCTTTGAAGGTGGTTGACACTTTTGCCCCTAACCTTAAATAAGAACCTGCTTGATTTTACACTACTTGCATGAAAAAAATAAACTGTGCTGTCCTGAATGTATAATTAAATTTGGTGGCTTACCTTTATTTGGTATTTGTGGATAAAGGTGTTTGGTTTATTTGTGGTTTTCATTGAATCACATGAAAACAGAGACAATCCAACTCGAAACAGAAAAGCTGTATTATTTTATTATCAAGGATTTCTGTGCTTGGACAAACCACATCCTTTCCACCTAACACATAAATTCTGTTTCTATACCAACAGCAGTATAATGGTGGCAAAAGGCCACTTAGTTCAGTCCAAACCTGAGTTATGAGGGTGGGAAGGGTGTTTTGTCTCGTGGGCATGGTCTGTTTTTGACACAACATTAAAGCAAGGACAAAGCTTTCAAGGTCAGCTGCTACTGTAAGCACATGTTCAACAATGAAAGCTGTCATTTGAAACCCGTGGCATCAAGAAAATGCCAGTAAACTACCTGAGAAATAGCATTAAGAGTACGTCACATCTTAAGTAAAAAAATGCCCAAATTACTCCACAAATATCTTGACAGTCAGCGTCTAAATTTTCTGAATGGTCATCAAATAACTGGTGAAACAGAAACACACTCTCAACCACAGACTCATATAAACGCTCACTTGACAGAGAAGTTACAAGCAAATAGACATTTTCACCAATAAAATCTTTGATGTACATCTGTTGGCATTTGCTGCTGCATGTTACACCCCAAAATGCCAACAAAATCAACTATTAGGCCTGTGACGTGAGAGACTGCAAAAACCCTCTTTGCATATAGATGTTGCACATTTCTTCTCATTCCCACAAGTGTGGCAAGGCAACATTGTGAGCACACTTTACACTGACTCACTGTTATAATAAAGAAAAAAATAGTAAGTTCTTGTTTGTGGAGCCTTCACGTGTATCAGTACCTTATAGGAGCAAAAATGTGTGGGCTCTCCTCTACTTACGTGCATCACTACACTAAATTCAATCAGTCAGTCCACAATGCCATTAGCCTGTCAGACAAACTGAATTAAAAGTAAATGAATTTAACAGGAAATGAAAGTTTTCAGTCATCATGACTGTGCAGTTTTAACAGAAAGGCAATACACCGAAAAGCTGTGATTTTACTAAGTTGTCCATTCAATAGATTTTTTAAATTCTGATGCTGTTAAATTAAGTAGTTAATTTGCAGCAAACTTGCCTGATGCTTTTCATACTTTTTACCATTTGTCATCCCTCATGGGAGATAAAATCCTAGTATACAATGGTTCAGCTCTCAAGCGAAAACATGATGTGACCAGAACAGATGTTCAGTGTTTTTCCACAGGAGCTGAAGTTGGCATCAATTAAAAATAAAGATGCAACAACTTTAAGGCCTCTGAAGCAAATTCTGAGCAATCACATGTGAACAGACCTTACAGTACAGGCACATGAAATATGATGAAATTATGATTATCAAATATTAGGATACAGGCAAAAATTTAAGATGGATTTGCCATTAATTGTGCATATGGTGTTGTTGCTTTAAAAACGCCTGAAACAAGCAAACACTTGCCTGAGTACTGATGTAAATCTTTATGAATGGGGCTAGTAGCAGAAAGAAAACTCTTAATGCACTGATACTTCATTCTGAATAACCTCAACACAGTCTATAGAGGCTAGACAGAGCCATCTAGTGATCTGATCATGCAGCTACAAAAGCCCCTTCAAACACACAAAGACACAGATCCTCTCAACATTGACTAATGAAAGCAGGTGATCTAAGCACACAGGGTTATACACGAAGACAAGCAGCACCATATGCTTCATTTTACTTTCACACAGTGATGAATGAAGACCATCATGGTTAACTCTGTCAACAAGGGGTTCCCTCTCGACATGACCGAGTTTCGACCACCAGCAACCATCTGCTTCTCCTAAAACTGCCAGGATCCAGTTGGAGACGGAGGACACCTGTGGCATTTGCTTAACAGGGAATCAAAAGGGACGCACAGGCCAGTTTTACAACAGACAACCCACGCTGGCGTTGTGGACTGAGAATGGTTCCTCTCAGAGTATTTCACAGTATAATGCTGCAGCACTGAGATTGGAGATAATTGGGGCCTGACTGTCACAGCTTTTCTTTCGCCATGTTAAGGATGTTGTTCCAAAATGTGACACTAATGATCAGGCAGCTTTAATGGCGTTACCCAGCAACTGGTGGTTTCACATCCATTACTCTGACTAATAAGGCCTGACTAGTAAGGAATGTGTCTCTGGTCGCTCTTGATGTCACCAATGTCTTGATTCACTCATACACACCGACAGGATTCATTTTATTTCTTAAGGTGGAGGTGCGCAACAATATACCCACTTTCTGTTGCGGATGTCTTATGCGCCTTTGCAGTCATGGGTGCTGCTTTTGACAGGGTTAATTGAGCTGGTCCAATAAAAAAGCAACTTTGAATTCAGAAGAAACCAAGTGAAGAGATTCCTGCAGCCCAGTAGCTGAACTAACTCCCATGCAAATCAGCTGACTAAGATTACGCAACAAACACGCAGTTGTTTGCAGAAATGTAAAAGCACTTTACAAAGTATTAAAAGCTCCAGCAATCCTCTTTGCAGAAAAAATACACACAGCTTTTCATGCAGACGTGGTTTAAATGAAACATCGAAGGCAACGTGTCAATGTAGTGCTTTTAGTTGCGACTTACCATTATCGTCGAAATTTGGGAGAGTAAATGGATGCTCAAGAAGAGCCCTGAAAATCTCCGGGATCTCTGTTGACATCTTCCCTCTATTTCGCACAAACGGTAGCAAAATTTAGAAGTACGTATCGATGGAAAATATTGAGGTTAAGTTAAAAAAAACAAAACAGCACAAGTCCCAGAAGGTCGGACTGAGGTCTACAGCCGCCTGACTGCTATCATAAACTGTCGTTGACAATATTAAAACCCGACGAGGGCACACTCTATGAACTCTTCACAAGTTACTTAACGCAGCCCCGCCCCCAAATCCAGCCCAGCCAATCAGTGGAGTGTAGTCCACCACAGATTGGCGGAAAGGGCGTCGATTAGCTAGTAAACCTGTCCATCACATTAACAACAGCCAATCTGAGGCCGGTCCTCAGTTACCTAAGGTTAAAAAAACGGACACCCCAAATGTAGACAGTTATGCAATGAAGTGGATATTCAACACAAAATAAGAATATAGCGGTCTGCACCTGTTGCGCATCCCGACTCTGTGTTGTTTTAAAAATATAACAAAATAAATTGAAGTGACCAGGCGTCAAATATGACAGTATAAACTTACATAGTGTAGGTTCATGTAAAAGTTGTCAAAACCCTTAAAAATCATACATACTTTTAACTCACAGTGAAATAAATGTGCATGTGTTATACTTCGTGAAGTCCTGTCACAAAGAATGTCCAGGTGTAACCTATCATTTTAATAATCACTCATCTGCACATAGGTGTGTCTCAGAAACATGCCCAGAACCAGCGCAGCCCAGCACTGACACACCTGAAAGGCCTGTTTGTTGATCAGGCAACAACACATATATATCTGCGGAGGGAAATAAGAGTCAAGTTAAAATAAAAATGCAATATATATCCAAATCAAACAAAGTCATTAAGTGTGACATTTATTTTCAAAAGACCTCAGATTGAAAAACTGATTGTTCTGCTAACCGAGACTGAACCCACGTGCGAGGCTGTTTTTGTAAGACCACGGGAGACACGTGTGAAGAAAATTAACTAACCTCTCAGGGGACGGATCAGTGACGCAGTCTGGGGGTCATCTCTGTCTATCTCCAGGGCCCTTCGTCCTCCAGGTCCATCGTCACTGAACTGTACAAAAGATTGATGTAACAGCTGTTTTTGCAGCTTCAAATACGACCACAAAATTCAACTGATCAAACGCAGATGACAGAAAACTTGTGAAACAGGACATTTAGGGATCATTAGTATCGTGCTACTCTATCCTGTCTTAACTGTTGAAAATCAATTAAAATGAACCACACTGATGGGGTATATTGTACCCACATTGCACATGAGTTTCTCTGCAATAAAAAAGTCAGTAGTTTTGTTAATGTTTGGTTGAGAAATACTGTAAAACACGAGGTGGTGGGGGTGTGTCTGTAGGTGGGTGGGGGGCAAAGGTTTACTTTTTTTTACATTAGGTATCTATACATGGTGCCACGTTTGCAAAGCTCTGGTAATGTGGTGATCAACATTTCTAGTGAAGCTCATTCCTCACATACCGTTCAAATCCTGTACCCTCACAGTATGTTCCGGGTCAAAATTGCCCCTTCAAAGAGTTCAAAGAGCAGCTTTCTGTCACAGAAAGTTCTTTTGACTAGTTAGGTCATTTTGACCTCTGTCTATGTGTGTCTGTGTGACTTTATGTCTGTGTGCGTGTGTGTTTCTGTCAAGGTAATGATAGTTTCATAATGATTTGAATATATCTTTTTGAACAACAAACCTTATATTGAACACGGTTGTTACTGTTTGTCACTTGTCCCACACTGCTAGATCTAAAATCCATCTAAATATAGATACGGGTCAAATTTGACCCATAACAGCCTTAGATGGGGGAAAAATTTGTATAAAATAAACAAAAATACACATGAATATTTTTAAATTAATTTCATGTATTTTGGGTTATTTCAGGAAAAGCTGTCAAGTTTCAGGCTTAAAAAATGATTTTTAGGGTATTTTTACTGCTGTTAAAAGTCAAGACGGGTCAAATTTGACCCCGAACGGTATGTGAGGGCTAAGTTTAAGTGAGTCCCAAGTTTTTTTTTCCACTTTAATCGGTCCAACCCCAGATTTATCTGCAGCTTTAACTGCCTAATTTACACAACTTCAGTGAACTTTTATTTTTTTCTTGGGGTAAAACCCAATCAATGATCAGCACAGAAACTGTGCCCGTGGAGTAGCAAGAAGAGGAAACTGTCTCAAAGGCTTTACAAGACAATTAACACCTAATTGTGAAGCTTTTTGATCACCCATGATAAAATCAGATTGCAGTGTATAAGGAGTATTAATATGATAATTAAATGAAAGCAACATGATGTAGGTAATACAATTAAGAAAAAAAAAACACTTTTCTAAAACAGTCTGTTTATTAAATGCTTTCAAGAGATTTGGTCCATTTATGAGATCTTGAACTTCCAACCAGGGAGGAGAAAAGAGAAAACAAAGTCAAGAAGATGAAACAAAAACAAACAAGAACAAATAAAGGAAAAATACAGTACAAAAACAGACCTTGTTTTTTCCACTTCAAGCAACCCTGGTTTTCTATCTGAGTTGTTGAACAATTCAAATAACCAATACATTTCAACTGATACAAAACTGATAAACGAACATTTCTTTGTGGCTGTGTTGGTGTGTGTTGTCAGAGGGAATCATTCGACACAACTGGTTTTTAGAGGGAGGGAGTGTCACATGAAGCTTTTCTGGATCAGAAAATGATCCCACAGTGAAGAACTTTGGTTTTGTTAAACCTCAGCAGGATGTCATAGTCAGAACTGAAGTCAAGGCTCAGACTGAAGCTGCTTCCATTAAACATGGGAAAAGGAAAACTTTAATCAAAATGCAAATAGACATTTTCCAAACGAAGTATATTTGTCATGTGCACAACCTCCCCTGAAGTTTGTCACGATTCTCCTACATTTACAACACACACTGAACATGTAGCATAGGTATCCACAGTTTTCTTTCTTTTTCTGAGCACGTCAGTTACATCATGAAGGCTGGCCTCGACTCAAATGCTCTTTCTTACTCTTAAACTTCTACACAACTTTAACAGAAAAAAACTAAATGAAATTCTTTTTGTCATGTTGTCTTTCTTATCAATTTCTATCATAACAGCAGGATCTTGCTTTGCAGTGTTTACTAGCAAAATCATTATAAACCAAAATCAGATTAACTAAATTGCTGTGTTCATTTTTCATCCCAAATTCTTTCAGAGTTGCCGAACCTGACAAGACCTGAATGATGACGCGCATTTGAGTGAGGCGTACTCTCCTCACAACAGCCTGAACAACAAGATGTCAACACTCTACAGACCACAGTGAATACTGCCACAGCCACAGAAAAAAACAGCTCCACCATCTCTTCACTAATTTACCTTATAAAGGGTGTCTAGTTATTATTATAGGTATCAGGTATAATATAGTGTATATATAGTAAGCGGGATTATACAATAGGGGTATGTATCATCTTATAGGTGTAGTATATCGAATAAGGCGCTATACGGGAGTATATAGGCTACTATGTATGCTTTTGTTTCCAGGTCTGTCTTGAAGCCCATTAAAACGTAAACGTGCAGCACAGGCAGCGAGCAGAGTGATCTGCTGTGACCAGGCAAACCATGTCTTATGATCACCAGCCTACAGTTTGTGTGAAGCCGGTAACTCAAAGAGCCTCTCATGTCTGAAGCTGGATGTTATCTGCACGCTGCCTCCCAGACAGAGCTGTGCACTGCTGCATACACAGACGCATATTACTGTCAATTATTATATTCATACATGGATACATATATAAAGAGAGTTATACATTGCAATTAACATACATATATCAATAGCATATAGAGAAGAAATAGAAATAGTCAATAGATAGCAATCATTATCGTCATCATATTCATCATAATACTAGGAGTAGTAGTAATACGATCCCTCAGAGAAGCTAATACCTGGGCTGTTCCAGACAAGGGTTCATAATCAACAATCCCTCAAAAGAATCTGCAAGATAGACTTGGCCCAGATTAGGTTTGTTCACCTAAACTGTTATAAGGGATTGTGCCAGTTTTCAAAAGTTGGACGATGAAGATGTTTCAGCCATTGTCACACAACTGGTTTAGTATTAACCCAACTGAATCTAGTGCAGGGCTGCAGATACAAAGTAAAAATGTCACAAACACTTTGAGACCATGCTTTAATTCGAGGAGGTTTGCACAAATAAAGTGTCTCTTCTTTACTTTATTTTAAAGATTTTGCTCAAATGTTAGCAGAATATCCTTAAGCACTTCTTTTATTCGTAAAATGTCAGCCTTATCCTGACTGAGCCAAGTTCACTACTGAAAATATAAAAGAAACAGAAAGTGCAGCTCCTTACAGTTTAGCCCAACAGTGGAGAACAAACAGTCACATCACTATTTTCTGTATATCTGGTTCATCTGCTGGCCAACAACAAATAAAAATGCCTTTCATGTTGGGTGGATCACTTAATTTAACCCTTGCCAATTAATTTCTAGCCTTAAGTCTGAAAATAAAATCCACCTCTCCATACACACCCTGTCTGGAACAACCCGCACAGAAGGAAAATTACAAAATAAAGAGAATGATCATAAAAAAAAAATCACTATAGTCATCTAGTTCAGCGATACATGTCATATAGCAATACCTCAATAACAGGGAGTTCTTCTATGTAATCATTACAGCTTTTCAGGTTATATATTTATTAAGCTTAACCGCTAAGTTATCAATTATCATTAGTAGTATACAATTATTTGTAAATATGTATAATATGTGTGTATATGTATCTGATTATAGACATACCTCCAATGTGTCTCCATCCACAGTAAAGGCTTGAGTAGGATATCGACAGGTTTCCTGCCGGTGTATGCCTGTGTGTGTTTGCACGTGTGTGTGTTTTTGTGTGAGCTGATGTGTTGTTTTTATAGGCACAATATGGGGTATGAATCACTGTCCTGTCTTAAGCTAGCAGGTTTCCCATAATGCAGAGTAACGTTAGGGGCTACCATTAGCCGACAGGAGCAAAACACTCGGATGCATTTGAGGAACACAGGTTTCCATTAGAAGGCTGTGGGGGTATGACTGGTTTCCGATGAAATAACGACCCCAGTCCAACCAGAGAAGTGTAAACTTGCCCTTACTTTTAAACTATCTTTAATATCATTACCATAAACTATAGAAACATATACATTCTGTTGTTCACTTCTAATTATTGTTCAGTCAGACCTCGTCTTTTTTTTTTAGAGAATTACTTAAAGAACTTAATGTCTTAAAGAACTGAACTCTTCTGCGTGGTCAGTATTATCACTGTGCTTCAGTCAAAGTGAGGTCATCATTTAGTAATGGGCATCTGTGGTCTGAACTGATCTATTGCTGAGAGCAGCTCTAGCCAGGACTGTACCTGTGCTACAGTCACTTCTTTGTTTCTCGTTTCCAGGTCTCTGTGCAGTACAGTGTGATGATGGCAACGATAGCACCTTGGTTGCTTTGGCAAAAATCGGTTTGAGCAATTAGCCACATGCAACTTAGCAACAGGTGATTCATTGAGATTCACTGACCTTTCCCTTTGTGTCAGCCTACAAAGAGACTGACAGTCAGGCATGTTAGATTCACCTGGAACTGGGCTGAAAGCAACTACAAGGGTGATCTGAAGATATGTGTGTGTTTGTCCCATGCAACAACTGTAGTTAGTATTTCAACCAGGGTCGTGTTATGACAGTAAAGGGAACAGTTCAGTTACACCACCTTGTTTTTGAGCATATGAATAATCTTCTCTATGAAAACATTCCACAACCACAGCAACGTTTTAAATGACTAATTTCCTAGTTTTAAAGGCCCATGCAGGCATTACATTCATAGCACTCTACCAATATGGCAGACAATAACAGGGAAGTACAACTCCCCTTCAAAAAAAAGCTCAAAATATTGAATCCCTAGAAGTTATTCCGACTCTCTCGCGATGTTCCAGTAAAGGAAGGAGAGTAGAATTTGGTTGCTCATAGACAAGTTTCCACACAGAACTTCTTTTTTTTCCTTTTACATTGCTTCAAAGTTTCATCAGTCTTGTTTAGCCATCAACAGCACTGAGAGCTCGGCAGTTTTGGCACTACAAAGTAAAATTTAAACTTTATACGTACAAGTGCCAAGCTTCAAATAAATTTTGAACTTTCACCAAGCAAAATTTTATGAGCTGCGACCAGCGCACCCACCAAAGAATCGTTTCAGTGCTGCAGGAGTTAAGAACACAAAAAAAAAACTACTCCGTCTAAGAGCACTAGGGAATACTAGCTGATTGTAATTAAGGTATAACTAGTTGTCTGTGGAATTTCTGTGGTAAAATCTGCTGTACGGGGACCTTAAGAGGCTGTGTGTAACTGCAGCTTTCTCTTTGTGTTGACTGGTGCCTGTGGTTGTTGTATAATGCGACACTGTGTTTGCTTTTGTGTGCGTCTGTGTGTGTGTGTGTGTGTGTGTATACATGTATGAGGGCGGTTATTTGACAATCTGCTCCCACGCTGCTGGCTAGATGCTCAAAGAGGTCAGACTGGTAAGGTGTCAGACTGTTGGATAGTAGCTGGTAAAGCAGGCTGGTCTTAGCCTGCAGCTCAGAGGCGGTCCGCCTCTGGTCGCGCTCAGAGATCGTCACCGTCTGATAACCCCCGGCCTCCCTGAAAACACACACATGAGGCCTGTCATCGTTCACACTTTTACCAACAGATTAGTCATGTTGTTCAACCGCAGATGTTGTCGACTGGGAGAAGTCATCATTCATTTTAAAGCCACTCACCATGCCCTCTGTGTAATCTGCTGTAATGGTAACCTGCTTGTCCTCCGGAGGCGGAGTCACGGCTGAACTGTCTGTGCGTCTACTCTGATTGGTGAGCTGAAGCCACAGTTCATACATCTGTTGCATATCTCTCACTAAAGGGAAATGAGGTACAACAAGAGACAGAAACAAAAGACCAGTTAAAAAACCTGTCCAAGTGGTCTTGTTATTTTTCATGGTTGTAGCTGGAAGGAAGCGGTGACACGGATCAAAAGAGATGATGAGGAAAGGCCAGCTGTGCTCATTCCTGTGCTTTTTTTAAAATTGAAAATAATAGAAAAACTTCAAACTATCACACTCAAATTAAAAAAGATGAATTAAATTGCTCTTCTGATTAAATCTGGATCTGACAGTACAGCTCTTTTGTTTTTAACTTCAAATTTAGTGTTAAAAATATAAGGGTTCCTCGCGGGTCTTACAGCTGTTGTTCTTCATGTACGTCCAGACGTCTCGCTCCTCCAGACTGTGGGCAAATGAGCAGTTCCCGATATAGTGGCACTTCTTCTGCTTCATTACATGTACACACATCTAGATGAGGCAAAAGCAGCGGGTCACAAGAGGATAACAGCAGCATTTAAAAGACAATTTTAGAGATGCAGTAAGTGGAAGCAGAACAACCTCCTCATCAGTGAGAGGTCTAAACCTTTGAAATGCATATTAACCATCTGAGATTAAGGCACTAACAGAACTGAAGGCTTTCAACACACGCATAAAGAAATGCTTTTTTTGTCTAACCAGTGACAGGGGTTGTATATCAGGAGTTGCATGTATACATTATGAAGCAAAATCTCGTGCTTTCATCCCTGTAAAATAAACAAGTAAAGAAAATAGATAAATGTTTCAAGTCCAACTAAAAGTAAGAGAAAAAGATACTGGTTTCAATGGTTTTGCCTGAACTTTCTCTAATTGCTTGATGTGACAATCAAACAATCACCAGTGTCCTGTACCTAGGTACTTAATAATGAAGATGTGAACATGAACACACCGGCAAAGGCAAACTTGCAGATACACACTAATGAGACACGAGGGAAGGAAATTTACAACAACACCTGTCCCCCAGGGCAAACACTGAGTCAGCTGTACACAGCATGTGAGAGGCCAAGGGGTGAGGAAGAGAGCATGTCAAGAATAGAGCGTGAGGGAAAGGACTCACGTCATATTGCTGTGGATATGTGCGAGAGAAGGGCAGAGGCCGAACAACTACCCATTTCTTCTTCTCGAAAGATTTCACCAGAAGGACCCGGCGCTCTTTTGTCCAGCTGAGGAGACAGAAAACCAACATGACTGTTGAACAGAGACTCAAAACTGAATGAGTTTCATTGACAAATCTATCAAGATCAGTTCTGCAGATGATTACATGCCCAGTACCCAAGAACACTATTTACTCAGGGCTCAACTCTGAATTCCTTTTGTCAACCAGAGTTAAACTAAAATCAATATTAGCTACTTGTTACAAACTTTGTTCAAGTGTTCAAGTTAAGCCTTTTCTCTACATGAACCAAAACACAAAGAGAAAGTCTTAAACCATCAAGATTAAATGTCATTCACTCAGAGAAAGAACAGAAATGAGTAAACCAATGAATGATTCCTTTTTATTTGATTTTTTTAACTTTTATATCAAGTGTTGAAGAAGCTTTGACTGTCAACGTGGAGCTTCGACGGTCAGTTTTTTTAAACTTGTATTACTGAGTCATTTGGAGTGAATAAAACCTCGGCTGACAAATTTGCTTCTGTTAAAACCTTCACGAATCCAAACTTTAAAACACACAGAGATGTGAGTTCAGACGGGGAGAGACCTGCTGTTTCTTTGTGGCAGTAATTGACTTTTCTGTGGGGTTTGTAGGTTGTGTTCAACACTCTGGGGAGCGGCATTGATTTCCGGTTGAAAAGCTGTAAACAAAAATCTATCAAAACTAATATTTTTCATTGAAGCACTCAGTTGTAAAATCACACAGTGAAAAATAGATTGAATCTTGCTGGATTGTAGCTGCACACAAGAAGCAGCAGTTTGATAAAGAAATCTTGAACCTTGCAACATCTTCCAATGCTGTCTTTATTAAGAAAACTACTGTTAATAGTGCTGATAACTTTTGATGTCAATAAGCTATATTGGTATTGATATTAGGGGTGTCCTGATACGATATTGATATCAGTCTCTAATCACCAAAAATTCTAATATCAGATTATATCAGCCTGCATCTAAAATCTTCGATACAAGCAGTCCATTCCAGACTCCACTCCAGCACCTCTATCTAGCAGCACCCGGATCCAGCATGCAGAGCCCACGTGATCACAACAACAGTGTGTACCAAGGTACTGACAAAGTACCAAGGAGTAGGAATGATGTCGGCCATGTGGCAGTCCGAAAAAGACGTTGCAGCTGAGTGCAAAACTTGTCACGCATAAGTTTGTGCTAAAATCGGTATCGGCCAATATTAAAGGCTACAATTTCGTTATCGTATTGGAGGTAAAAAGGATGTATCGGGACACCCCTAATTGATATGAGGATTACTCAAATCCCTACAATACAAACAACTCGCAGTAAGAGCACCTTAAAACAACATGAGCAGAGGTTGGCACCCTTTAAGACCTCCTGTCTTCACTAAGGGATCAGAAACTCTGCAGTGCAACTTTGACTAAAGCTATAATTTCAAGCATCACACTTCCAATAGTCATAAAATTACTGACCCTATGGCATTATTTCCTGCTCTAAAGCAACTGTGGGCCACAGTCCACAGCAACACATACAACTGATTTACAGTAATAATGGATTTTCATCCCAGCTATGAAATTATAGCAAGGAAGGGCGCAGAAACTTGGGTACTTGCAGATATCAGATCCTGCATAGTGGGCAGTATCGAGGGAACCTTTGAAACTGATATCAGTATAAGGCGCAATTATGAAGCTAAAATGACAAACAAGATGGAGCACAGCCTCTACAGCCTCTTTGAATCGTGTGTGTGTGTGTGTGTGTGTGACAGAAGCCTCACCTGTGCCGTGCTTTGGCTGTGCAGTACTTGAGGTTCTTGTCGGGTTCGTTGACCTGTCCTTCTCTCCAGCACTGGCCGCACACGAACTTCATTTTCAGGTTGAGGGGTCGCCCTCTTCCTGCTACTGCTCCTAACCCTCCCACCCCCATCCCACCCATTGGGCTCACGCCACCTCCACTGAGGCTGTCCCCCCCAACTCCTCCACCGCCGCCCCCCATTCCCCCAATTCCTCCGGCAGGTAAGCTGCTACTCGGATGGGGTATGTGGATGGGCTGAAACACAGAGAGAGGAAGGCCTTAGATTTTTCCAGAACTTCTTTTCACTGAATCATCTTCTAAATCTTGGTTCTGTTGATATGACGCAGCCCTCAGTCACACAGGGTCTCAGCACCCTCCTCAAACTCACCTTCTGCTGCTTCTGTGCGTTCTGCTCCAACCTCTGCCAGTGTCTCTTGGACTCCTGCACCATCTCTTCATGGGTGATACCTGAAGAATAAATATAAAGTCATTCATATTTGAGTCTGTTTGAGGTTAAGGTTGACTTGATTTTATTTCAGTTGAAGAGTGTGTGTTTCACCCACCAGTATCCTGCTGCAGGACCCAGCATTTCAGCTCAATTACAGAGTGAGCAAAGGAGCAGCTGTCCTCACGCTGGCAGCCATAACGCACCTCATGGCGGCACACGTCGAACTGACAGAGAGGGTGCAGGGGGCGCACTTTACTGTAGCGCACATTGGCTGACCTCACCACGTGCACCAGGCACCTGAAACAAAGACAGGAGTGTTATCGCAGAGTTTCATCCCCCTCTGTGGTTTTGATATATTTGAACCACGATCTAAAGGGATATTCCGGCGTAAAATTAAGTTATGGTCAAACACACAGAAACACCAAGTTAGACACCCCCTCAAGAAATGAATGTTGCCGATTGCTTGCTTCTCTAGTTATACCAACTTTAGTAACAACCGCAAGATAGCAATACACAGCGGTCTGAGGAACCATAAACAAACCTCAACCAAAACGCCACTCTATAGCCACAAATAAAGCTCAGAACAGCACCTAACTTCATCAACAGTACATATAGGGTTCCAACCATAGTACTAGACACCAACACCTTTTTACCTTTGCCTAATTTCTTTAACAAAGAGACTAAACACAACTCACCTACTGTCTTCCAGCAGCCGTTTCTTTGTTGGGAGAGCTCTGACAAGTCCATTACGGACTGCTGAGGGGTGATGCAGCTTAAGGAAGAACATTTATGATCATTTCTTCATTGAACTGCAATCAGACTGGGACGCAAAGGCAGAAGAACTACCACATTAGTAGTGCAAAATAATTAATATGGTGATTATTATTTTAAGGAAATGATAAAGAAATGATCATAAATGTTCTTCCTTGAGCTGCGTCACCCCACTGTAGTCGATGGACTCGCCGAGCTCTCCCACAAACAAGAGGCTGCTGGAAGAGTAGGTGAGTTGTGTTTAGTCTCTTGCTAAAGAAATCAGGCAAAGCTAAAAAAGATGTTTGGTGGCTAGGACCCTATATGTACTGTTGATGAAGTCATGTGCTGTTCTGAGCATTACTTGTGGCTATAGAGTGGCTTTTTGGTTGAGGTTTGTTTATGGCTCCTCAGACCGCTGTGTATTGCTATCCTGTGGCCGTTATGACCTTAAATTAATTTTACACTGGAATATCCCTTTAAGAAAGACCATTTAAAACCTATTTTGTACCTAAACAGTAATTTCTTACTGTTTCTGAAGAATCTGCTCATGAATTAAAAACTATCGAACTCACTTGTTGTCGTCGAATGGGTGTCGAGCTGTGAGGTTTGAGCAGACTGCTAAGTTTTCTTTGCTGCGTTTGCTGATGATGCGGGGCTTACTGTCAAAACATTCCTGTTGAAAGAGTAAAGAGATGAAGACAGGTCAGACTTGATACCTGTTTAAAGGACGAACGTTTATCAAGACTGAAAAGAAACAGAGAGAAGCGCAGGTTATGGTCTGACCTCACAGAGGAACATGAACATGCCCATGTGAAGCTGCAGCAGTCTGGTGACGCTGAGCGCACGTCTCTCTGTGCTGCCCAGCGGATCAAACAGCAGCTCTCTGCTCAGCGCTCCCTTCCTCTCCTGAGTCCACACGTCAATCTCCTCCTGGCAGTAAGCAAATGTACAATTCTCGCCGTACTGGCATTCTTGACGCTCCTGCACCTCTGCAGAACATATAGAGACAACGTTCATGAGAATGTAAACACATATTTTCCCATATTTCATCTACATTTCACTGTCCTCTGTTTATCATACAAATACCCAGGGATTAAATCCAAGAAAAAGCTTTAGACTGAAAACTAGAAGAGCTCTTTGCCTGTGTAATTATATATGGTTTCTCTCTCTCAGCTATGCACTAAAGAAATTTCAGGCGCTCTGATCCAGATATTCACCGGACTGAATCGTTTACACAAATATCCTCACATGAAGTCTCCCAGATCAGATGGGGGGCATGGAGAGTTACAGTTTATTTTAGATTTCTCTATCAGACAGGCTCCTCATAATCATAATAATCATGAAATTGATGGGAATCCCTCGAAGTGATGGAGAACTTAAACCCTTTTATTTACTCAAGCATTTACTTCATAATGTTTTTTTACCTTTACAAAGTACAAACGCCCCCAGGAAGTTGTTCCGCGCCGGTCTTGGCCTGATCCTCTTCCATGTGGGGTCATCTGTGTTTTTGATGCGGCACAGCAGCACGTCTCTCTTGCAGCGGTGTGCTGCCTCTGGCTGATACTTGTAGTCCATGACACGAGGACCTGAGAGCAGGATGAAGAAAGAGATGACTCTGCACAATCAGCAACGGAAAATATCTTATCAATAACTTAAGATAAGAGACATCCTGTCAGTGGTATTTCACGCCCCATTGGAGAGTGAAATGAGACTATCAGGTGCCTTCAGTTACTCAACATTCAGTTCAAAGATACTTTGTCTGTTTGATAAAAAATAAACACTGTGGTAGTTGACAAAAACAAGGTTAAAGTTAAATAACTTGAACCAACCTATTCTGCTATAACAAGCATGACAAGCCTGACGAAACTCATGTGTGGCTGCCAGAGGGTTCCTGGAGAGCAGCGACAGGTTGGTTCCTGCGGGACCATTCTGAAGACGAGAGAGCAGACACAGAAATGTGACTCCAAAAGTAAAAACCACCCAGCAGTCAGAAATAGACACAAAATATTAATTTAGAAAAGGCATTTTTAGAAGCAGTTCTTCCAGCAACAGAGTCAAAAAATGTCACTGTGTGTGTGAATATTACTCACTGCATGTGCAGCACTGTGGTTGCGCATTCCAGGGATGAAGCTGTGGCACACTCGTCCCCCTGCAGACCAAGACACAAGGACACTGATGTCAGACACCATATTGTAATGGTGCTGACTCACACTGTCTGCTACTGACAGCGCCAGTTAAAGCAGACTTCCTCTATATCCATTACTTATTCATTTGAATCTCTATCAGGGCTCTAACCAAGGTAGCAGTTAGTCTTTAAGGGGTAATGAACAAGGCCAGGGCACAAACCTAACCCTGCTCTTGTATGTACTTATGTCAGTGGGTTGGTTTAAACTATAGCTGCAATTTATAATTCCTTTAATACAGTGGTTGTCAAGTCCAGTCCTGGAGGTCCACTGTCCTGCATGTTTTGGATGTCTCCCTGCTCCAACACACCTGATTCAAATGATCAGCTCGTTATTAAGCCATTACAGAGCTTGATAACGAGCTGATCATTTGAATCAGGTGTGTCGGCCTCAAGGACTGTACTTGAGAACCACTGCTTTAATAGAATCTCTTCAGAGCGTCCTATGTGCTGAGCTGCCTTTTGCTGTCTGTAAACCATCATGGTAAATGTGCTTGTGGTAGGTCAATCTACAGGTATTCAGTCAACAAATAGCCAAAATACCTGGGCCAACTTTTTCAACATTTTTAAAAAGTCAATAATAAATATGAATGTTTTACCCACCAGGGAGAGTGTACTCAGACAATGAGTCCAGCCCACCAGCAGCTATTCCTGCCTTCCCTTCTCCATCTACAGCCCCAGAGGAGAAGCCTCCCAGTGCGTCCTGCGCCTGGGTGGAGCCCTGGTCACGCTGGGCCAGTGGCAAGTAAGGCTCCAGAGGAGGCATCTCACTTATGGAAGAGCTGAAGAAGGCTGAGGGGAGCTGGGATGACGGGGCGGGGAGGCTTGGAGAGTACGGAGGCCGGAGACCCACCGCTGTGTTGGGGAGGTTGGTTGGGATGGCACCCTGGACTGGACTCTAGATCAGGAGAAAGACAAAAGCAAGTGTCACTTCCTGCAGAGAGGTTCGCCTATCAAAAACCCAAATGCCCCTTTTGTTAATCAGTTCTTCACTCACTTCACTGACTTTCTTGGGGATGCACTCGAGGAGACTGTCCAGCTCGTCTTTGAGGCTGCTGCATTCTTCCATGGGTTCGGACACAGGGACTGAGTATGGCATGGGAGGCAGGGCCTGGCTGCTGGGGCTTTCTGACAAGTCAGTGCAGGGGGTCACTACGGGGCTTGCCGGCTCATCGCTGACTGGGATGGGTGTGGCCAAAGGCGCAGGGATGCACTGGGGGCTGGACAGGTCAGCTGAGGAGGACAAACACAACGATTAAAATAATGTTCTGAACATATAAAACTGATTGGGGTTTAGGTGGAGGCAGATGTGTTGGAGGTTTGCCAATATGTCATACCTGGACGAATGTCACCGAGAGATTCAAGCCCGTTCGACGACATCTGAGCAGAAAATTTCACAAGATTACCCTCTGTCCATTTCCCACCTCACTCCAAGTATGGCGCTCTACTCTGCACAAGAGCACTCACCTCTCCTGTGGGTGAGGAGCTCTCTCCATGACTCTCCCCTTCTGTTGCTGTGGATTCAGTCTGTAGGCTGACGTAAGCTTTCCGACCCTTCAGGCCCAGTCTACTGGCCAGATCCTGAGCGAGGTCACTCACCTGCCGGTCCTAAAAGATCGAATATAAGAGCAAAATGTCCAGACTTACCAATGATAAACTTCATTCACAAAGTAGCCAATGATGTCACTGTATGACTGCCATCCTCGACACAATATTTGGACCAGCACAGAAACACAAAAGTCTATTCCAACTTCTGCAATATCCTGAGAGCTCCAACTCTAAGTCCCGAGGCAAAACATCTCTCCTTAACAATATTTGACATTGTTGGGGAAGCATTTGCACTGCCTCTACATACGTGAGGTGCTGTGAGGAGACATTTGGTTCCACACTCGTAGGCTTCTCTGAACCGTCCCAGCTCCCTCAGACAGATCGCTTTGCGGTACAAAGCCCTGCGACTGCCTTCTGACACACACAGTGCGCTGTCACAGTCCTGAACGCCGCGCTCGTACTCCCTCTGAGACAGAAACGACAAAGGTATACTTTAAGGGCCAGATGCTGATGAAAAAAACTAAAATACATAAATAAATCTTAAACACATCAGTGCTGGAGTCAGCATAGACAAACTGACATCTATCACACTCATACTTTTTTTTTAGATGGCCAAAAAACTCCAGCACTCTGGTGGAATACACATTTTGCTGCCTCTTACATGACTCCATAATTTAGTTATGAAAGAAAGATATTGTCATTTGCCAAAAGTCAAGGTTATTAATTATGATTATGATATTTGAAACATATATAGTCACAGTCAAACATGTTTTTCTGATCATAGGGGGGCTAAAACATGACTGTGACTGAATTTCAAATAATCATGTTTCTCTTCTGTTTTGAAAAATTGTAAATGTGCAAGGTCATGACTTAACCAGTTCAACCATTAGGAGCTGTTCCCTGTTTTTGGCAAATATTGAGTGATCTATTTTAAGTCACACTGACACACATTTAAACATCTGCAGGTGACAAGTCCCCTCTTTATCCCTCTCCCTCACCGTCTGATAGAAGGCAGCGGCCCTGTTGACATAAAGGCTCTCCAGAAGCTCATGGGGGATGACGAGGGCCTCAGCCTGAGCGTAGCGGGCAACACTTATCCCCTCCCCATACTGCTGGGTCGCCTGACGACAGTCCCCGTCTCGAAAACAAGCATTTCCCTCGTCCAGCAAGTTACATACCAACTGGGTCAGAAATGCCTGAAGGGAACATGTGGAAAGAGGTCAAAGAAATATTATAATAATGGGGAGTTAGAGGGCTAGAGTGGTTATCATATCATCCATGAATGATGGAAAGATAACAAGAAATGGATCAAAAGTCTAAGAAAGATAGAAAAGGGGGAACAAGAAAAAAAGAAAAAGAAAAGAAAAGGAATCAAAATACCCTGATATGACGTTAAGGTGCAGGACATATTGAGCATGATCATGGTGAAATGTGAATAATAAGAAGAGTGTGGAGAGTGCTAGGAAGCTAAGAAATGTTTGGTGCCATTCAATGGGGTTACAGAAATACAGTACAGGCCAAAGGTTTGGACACACCTTCTCATTCAATGTCTTTTCTTAATTTTTTATATGACTATTTACATTGTAGATTATCACTGAAGACATCAAAACTAAGAATGAACATATGTGGAATTTTGTACATATAAAAAAGTGTGACATAACTGAAAACATGTTTTATATTCTAGTTTCTTTAAAGGAGCCACCCTTTGCTCTTGATGACAGAAGTACTTAGTCAGTCACGAAGTAACCCTGACAAGGCACACATGTGAAGTAAAAAACATTTCAGGTGACTACCTCATGAAGCTCATTAAGAGAACAGCAAAAGTTTGCAGCGCTATCAAAAAAGCAAAGGGTGGCTACTTTGAGGAATCTAAAATGTAAAACATGTTTTCAGCTATTTCACACTTTTTTCTTAAGCACATGATTCCACATGTGTTCATTCATAGTTTTGATGCCTTCACTGAGAATCTACAATTTAAAATTTAAATTTTAAATAGTAATGAGAATAAAGAAAATGCATTGAATGAGAAGGTGTGTCCAAACTTTTGGCCTGTACTGTATGTTGTGCTGTAAAGCATGGGTTTGATCTTAACATTTTTAAGATGAAGAAGATCTAGAAGATCTAAGAAGAAGAACTTTATTAATCCCCGGAGGGAAATTCAATACGTAAGTATCTAAGTATCTATTTGTGTTTTTTACATTTCTACAGTGAAATAGCATTTTCGATTGTATTTAAACTTTTTTTGCAGATGAATGCCCAAGTTTTTTCACCTTTTTGGAACTCTAAATAAACACTGAAGAAGCTTATGGTTGAAATAGAGGGATAACAGCAAACCTCATAACTCTCAGGCTCTGGGAAAGGCAATGATGACCTGAAAACAGAAGATGCAGAGGATTCATCAGTCTCTAATTATACAAACAAGGTCGTGATTGGCAACAGCTTTAAAGTTTTAACAGAAGTATCCACAGGCAATATAGTCTGAATACTCACTGGATGAAGCTCATTGCTTTCTGTATTTCTTCTCTTCTCTTCAGTCGTTCAGGATCCATTGCCTGAGGATAAAACAGGGTTGATTTGCAGCAATTTAAAAGTCCACCTCTTAAACAACAGAAGCAAATACTTGGCAGCGATAGTCTCAGGATCTATTCATAACAGGAGAATCCCTAGGAATAAGCTGGTGCTGTAAGGTTATTAAATTCATGTTGTTTACAGTCGTCCTGGTTGAGCCTGGGCCTGTCACTAAAACATGCTGAGAAATCATCGGACCCACGGAGACATACAGCTGACGGAGAGGGGGATACATAACCCGCTTGACAACCATATGAAATGTTCATATAAATACCACATAATGTAGTCTGTTGCTTATAATACAGTTATTGTAGAGATAATGGTGCATTAGACCGAGTTTACCTGCCGGTAGCTGGGATTAGCCAGCTAATGCTAAATCACTTGAAGTTAGCTCGGCTAGCGCTCAGGAATAGAGGAAGCAAAGTTAGCTTTGGCAGCATTTTTTCTCGTTTCACTGTTATAACACTTTATCTTTAACGTTGTAGTTTTCGAAGAATATCTGTTTGGCTAGCATAAAAACCCCTGGTTAGCTATCCTAGGGTGACTTCATGTATGAGGGTAGTTTGAGCTAATATCCAAAGACTCCGCTCGACAACTCACCGAGAGTTCAGCTGCTTTTCAGATCAGAGACAGAGTGTGGCGATAAAGGTAGGAATATTTGGCTAGCCCAGTATCACTGAACATCCAGAAGCATATCTGTGAGTAAAGTGCCCCGGTCATTGGTATTTGGACGGAGCACGAGTTTCTCTGCGCTACAGCTGCTGCTGGAAACTGACTGGCTAATGTTAGCTAGCTCACTGCTAGATGTTATGGCGAGAGCGGCATCGCAACAAGTTTCAACGAGGGAAGCGACCACAAGAGGGCGACAAATCTCGCGATAAGTGAAGGAAATTGAAATAAAACGAAAGCCATTTAAACACTACTTAATAAGAGTAAATTTATCTTTAGTGCATCCCACACTGGAAAGGTCATGGCAGATTGAGACTTATTAATATTTTGTTATGATGATAATTTTTTAAATGAAAAAATGTTTAGTCTTAAAATTATTATATCTTGAAAAATATGTTTTTAAATTTAATTTTTAAACTTTTATCAAATCTTAAATGTTTCTTAAAATGTAATTTATTATATCTTAAAATTATCAATAGTGGATTGTGTTATAAGAGGAAAAAGCCTTTAATTATTGATTTGATCAAAGCCAAGAATGAACTGGTTTCTACTTATTATTGATCGTGCTACCATTAAGAAACAGTCATTGTGTTGTAGCTAGATAGATAGATAGATAGATAGATAGATAGATAGATAGACTTTATTGATCCCAAACTGGGAAATTCCCATGTTACAGCAGCAATAACAACACAAAATTAAACATAAGAAAATGTATGTACAATACAGACTAAATATACTAAACATCCTAAGAGAAAGAAGTGAGATATGAAAGAAGTGGGCTATCCACTGGTAGTACTAATATGAATTGAGCTATCCTTTGTAAATTAATGTGAGATTAATACCATAAATGGTATTTACAGGAGCCCTAAAACAGGCTCCTGTTTTAGTGTTTAATATTATGTTTTTTAGTTATTTGTTTCTTTGTTTTTAAATTATTATTTTTTTAAACATTGAAACTATATTTTACTTTTTAATATTTGCTTTTATTTTATCCACTGTTTTAATTGTTTTTTGATTGTTTTTCTATGTTTGCATTGTTTTGTCTATTTATGTACAGCACTTTGTTCAGCTGTGGTTGTTTTAAAGTGTTTTACAAATAAAGTTGAGTTGAGTTGAGTTGAGTTAATAAGCGCCTCTGTATATTTTGGGTAGATACTAAGGTTTTTTGTTCTAGTTGCTTGTATTGCTATATTCTTGTAATTACATGCATCAAGCGTGCTCCTCAATTATCCTTTTTGAGTTTCACGTCTCTAGACCAGCGCCTGTCTTGGATTTAATTGTAGGATATAAACTTGTAAATTACCACAGCATTTTTGGCTCATTTGAATCTATTTACAATGAAGATAAGATATATAAGATAAGAAGAACTTTATTTATCCCAGAGGGGAAGTTTGATTGTCTGGGTTCTCATGTCTCAAGTTTCATTTCATCTATTATTTACAGCCGAGTTACGTACAAAAGATCTTTTGAATCTCCAGTCCTGCATCGAAGTGAGAGAAGCTGTCCACTACTGTTGGCCCATAGGTCCGTCACAGTGTTATGAGATGGATGATCCATGTTTTTTAAAATAGCCTTCACCTTCCTCAGTTTGCATCTCTCCAGCACATCCTCCATTAAGTCCAGCTTGATATCAACTACAGAGCCAGCTTTTTTTCAGCTTTTTCAATGTATATATACACGAAACAATGATGGCAAAAAGTGGTCTCTGACGTTAGGCTAGTAACCAAAAATCAATATATTATATATTGAAACTACAATATGGATTTGTCCAAAAGTTTTTCATGGAAACATATAACAAAATATTTTTGTTATATGTTATATTTTGTTATATGTTATATTTTTGAAACATATAACAAAATATTAACTAAAGTAAAGCATAAGCATCACTAGCACCTCTCTCTCTCTCTGATAAGAGCCTTCAGTGACTGGAGTCACAAAAACTGCCTCCTCCTCAACACCTCAAAGACAAAGGAGATGGTTATAGACTTCTGTAGATTTAAACCCCCTCTTCAACCAGTGAACACCTGTGGAGTGGACATCAAAGTGGGGACATCATATAAATATCTAGGTGTACATCTGGATAATAAGTTGGACTGGTCTAAGATTATAGACTTCATCTACAGAAAGGGGCAGAGCCGCCTCTTTTGCCTGAGAAGAGTCCGATCAATAGACATCTGTAGTAAGACGCTTCAGATGTTTTATCAGTCTGTGGTGCTTAAGTGCTCTGTTCTACGCTGCAGTCTGCGAGGGAGGAAGCATCAAACACAAAGATGCAAGACGTCTTAATAAACTGGTGGAAAAGGCTGGCTCTGTGGTTGGACTCAAGCTGGACTCAGTGGAGGATGTGGTGGAGAGATCTACACTGAGGAAGGTGGAGAATAATTCTAAAGAACATGGATCACCCTCTTCACAACACCTTGATGGACCTAAGGACCAATGGTGATGGACGGCTCCTCTCTCTTCGCTGCAGGACAGAAAGATTCAGAAGATCTTTTGTACCAACAGCCATCAGGCTTTACAACTCTTGTGTAAATAGTAGATAATTTTTAGAGACATGTCAAGTGAGACAACAGACAATTGAATTTCCCTTCTGGGATTAATAAAGTTCTTCTTATTCTTATTCTTATTCTCTTACACTCTGTCCCTCTCTCCTGGAGGTTTCAGTTGTAGGCTATACGTCAGCTTTTTAAACCTGAGGCGCATAGGTCTTCCAGCACTGTAAGGAGTGGCTTAATAATAATAATAATCATAATCATAATCATAATAATTTATCATGGTGCCTTTTTGTCAGTAAAATTAAGTTTTAATTTCGTTGTTGAGAGACTCATTCAAATTAAACTAACACAGTAAAGTTAATAAGTCAACTGATACTGTATATATGTAAAAAGAAAAAAAAGGGGGGGGGGGCGTTTCTATATTTTAACAATATGATTGTAAAACTCAATTACCAAAAAATCAGCTCATATCTGAAATTTTGCAATTTCAATGAGCAATACTTGAGTTACGAGAAAGTTTCTGTGTTTTCATATAAAAGCCCCTTTTGATATGCCGGTAGTTAATACTTCGCTTCCAACAGCAGCAGTACCAGCAGGTGGCGGTGACACACAGGTAAGATCAGATTTGACCAACGTCGGAAGACTCAACGAAGAAGAAACGTCAGCAGCATGACGTCACTTGGTTTAGCAACCGGCGCGCAGCGCGGAAGAGGAGCGGCGTGTGTGCGCTCTTGTCTCTCTGGGAATTCTCTTTACGGTGAGTCTCAAAGCCAGAATATGCTCAAAATTGATGGCGAAGTTGTCACAAGACGCGTGAATACTAATATTATAGTCCGCACTCCGACTTGTATCAGTTTTAGATAGTTTTGATCTGTCACGATGTTGATGTTGCGCACCTTTGTCAGCTAGCACCTGTGAAGACAACAGCTACCTTTATTGTTGTTGATTATAAGTCTATAAATGTTTAAAATGATCTATAAAAGACTAAAAAGTTGCTACTGGATGTGAATTTTGCGTGTTGGTCACAGTGCTGTTACTCTTGCCAGTTTAGAAGTGGTTGAATTGACTCAAACTTTTCTCTTTTCTTTGATATCAAACTTCTGGATGTTTCCGTAGAGTCACCATGGCCTCAGATGACATTACTCAGCTGGCTGATGCTCTATCCAGGACTCACGTTGGGGATGGAGAGTTGAGCTACAAAGGCCAGGGGCTGAAGCTCGACGATGAAGAATCAGGTTAGAAGAATTTATCTCTGTTTCTTTTTTGTTTTGGCTTCTTTTAACTCCGTGCTGTCAGGCTGTTGTTGGGTCATGTTTCCTCTTCACACCTCACAAACTCTTCTCTGTTTTTCAGCAAAGGATCTGGTCCGTGAGATAGATCAGTGTCAGGATTTGAGAGCCCTGTGCCTGGAGGGCAACACTGTGGGAGTAGAGGCTGCTCGGGCCATTGCCAAGGCTCTGGAGAGCAAGGACCAGCTCCAGGTACACCAAAGTTTTAAGTGTTTTTTTTCACAGTAAACAAACATTGACAAAACACCACATGTTAAATCTACATAACTGTCTCAGATTAGTGAAGGTATTGCTGGTAATGAAACTCCTTGCTCTTGGTAACTACTTCATTTGTTGTAATTTGTTCATTTTATTCTATTTTCTTGTCCATCAGGTTTTAGTCTTTCTATTTAACAGTTTTTATTTTTTATCTTTTATCTCCAGTGTCTTTGTGTGTGTGTGGGTCCATAAGTGGGTGTGTGGGAGGGAGGGTTAGGTTTTATTGTTGTTTAATAGTTGTTTTTTAGCCTGTGAGGCACATTGAACTACATTTTTTTGTCTGAAAAGTGCCACACAACTTAAGTTGAATTTCAATAATTCAGTGACATATAATGTTGCCATTTTAAAACCAGTTTTTCAGTTAAGTGTTTTCGTTTATCATAAAATAAACAAATGTTATGAGACTGAGGACTGTTATGATCAAACATAAGCTAAGATCTTGGCTGAAATACTTGAATATACAGAACTCTGTCTTAATAAGAGTCTGAACAATGATCCCCTGGTTTGTTTTTTGGGGCTGCCTGACAAAGGACTGTTTTATTTTCACCCTTACAGTATTGATATTACTAATGCCCGTCTGCATTTTAAAGAAAGACAACATAGCCTCCTCTTTGTGTCATGTATTTTTAAATCTGTCACCAACTCTGTGTTTTTCAGAGATGCCACTGGAGTGACATGTTCACTGGGAGGTTACGCTCTGAGATCCCAACAGCCCTGGTGAGAGTTTGCCTCTTGTTTACTGTGATTTGTGATAATTCATGTTTTCATAAATGCATTGCGGATTACATTTTTATCTGAATAATTTATGTCTCCACTGTGATCAGAGGTCTCTGGGAAGAGCCGTTATGTGTGCAGGGGCCAGGCTGACTGAGTTGGACCTCAGCGATAATGCCTTCGGCCCAGATGGAGTAAAGGGAATTGAGCAGCTATTGAAGAGTCCTTCCTGTCACACCTTGAGAGAGTTGAGGCTCAACAACTGTGGCATGGGTATTGGGGGAGGAAAGGTGAATCTTAAGCTCAGATCTGAATTAAATCTCATTAAAATGCTTCACAATAGACTGGCTCTAATTGATGCCTGTGTTAGACTATGTAAAAAGTGACAGTGCTCTGTGCTTTTCTTAGATCCTGGCCGAAGCTCTGATTGAGTGTCACAGAGAGTCATCAGCGCTCAGGACTCCACTCAAACTGAGGGTATTCATCGCAGGAAGGAACCGCCTGGAAAACGAGGGAGCGAGCGCCCTGGCAAAGGCCTTTCAGGTAAAAAAAAATTCCAAGTTGATGGACAGGGTTCTTTTTAAATACATGGCTGTGATAAGCCATGTAAGTCATGCATGCTGTGGAATACTAGGTCTGGAGACGCTTTGCTGCCAGTTAATTAGAGTTTATTATCATGAAGCTGAGGGATGAGACTGATGTTTTAATTATTCATGGTAAAGTCTGACTGGTGTTATTAGTTCAGTTCTTGTATTTCACTGATAATCCACATGGCTGTATATGAAGATCAGGATTGATGATAGAGAGAAGTTTCATCACAGTCTGAAATGATAGAGTCTTCTATGCTGCTCAGTCTCGTGAGCGCACTACTCACCCTCTCCACGCTGCCAGACCGCTGTGTAATGCTATCCTGCGGTTGTTACTAAAGTTGGGATAACTAGAGAAGCAAGCGGTAACAATTATCTCTCGAGGGGGTGTCTAACTCGGTGTTACAGTGTGTTAATTAAACCCTTAATTAAATTTACGCCAGAATATGCCTTTAATGGATCCCTCCAAACTCCACCCACCGATAACAGTGTGGTTTGTTAACAGGACATAATGGAAAATGATATTTAACAGATGTGGACAGTGAATGTTTATTGTATTGTCATGTGATAGTATCTGACGCTTGCGTACCGTTAGGACACATTGTAAGGATTTGCAGTTTTTCATGTGCACGTGAACAGCAAATTGCAACAGCAAACATTTGAAGGTGAGACCTTTAAACAGCAATCTCTTTTAACTCTTTTCTGTTATTTTCTTCAAAAGCTGATTGGCAGTCTTGAGGAAGTCCACATGCCCCAGAACGGCATCAACTATGCAGGTGTGATGGCTTTGGCTTCAGCCATGCAGCACAATCCAGAGCTCCGAGTCCTCAACTTCAACGACAACACTTTCACCAAGAAAGGGACACTGGCCATGGCACAGGTTAGGCCTGTTTAACCCCAGCAAGTAGAGTGAACATGTAGACATAAAAAAGTCTGATTTTCTCCTGTTGTCCATGTAGGCTCTGAGGCACTTGAGGAATGTCCAGGTGATTAACTTTGGGGACTGCCTGGTGCGCTCTGAAGGGGCCATCGCTCTTGCTGCTGTTCTTAGAGAGGGTTTGCCAATGCTGAAGGTCAGTTTAACTTAGTATCTCAGCTTGTTTCTGTCTGTCTGTGTGTGTTTGTGTGGGTTCAGCTAATAGGTTTATAACGGTAATGCAACATGTCCTTTCAGGAGCTGAATGTGTCGTTTGGAGAGATCACAGAGGCAGCAGCTCTGGTGGTGGCTCAGGCTGTAATGGACAAACCTCATATGGAGAAAGTGGATCTGAATGGTATGCACATTCTGTGAGATTGGCAATTTTACAGTCATATCAACATCTGGGTTGATGATTCGATGTGGTATTTTCACTATCACAGATGGGAAAAGTAAATTTTGATAGTTGAAATAATGACAACTTTCACAAACCAAATCAAAAAGCAAAAGACTGTTGATAAATATCCTAAAAATGTATATTTTCTGGGCTCTTTGATGAGCCCATGATGAGTTTACTGTTTGTTTAGATAGTTTAGATACTTCACCTTTTTATTGTGCTCCAACCTAAATTTTTTTCATGTCCAAAAAAGTAGAATCAAAAAGATTACCTAAAATATTTTAAAATACTGTTCAGCATTAAGGGAAACGTAAATTTTATTTCATAATACAACAAAATGTTTTATTTAAAGTTTGACTTATCAAAATGAAAAACATCAAACAAGTCCAATAAGTCAGGGGGTAAAAATGTGTTTTTTTCATAGTTTCATATTTAGGTAATGACTGTGAGATGATAAAAATCTGAGGATTCAGAAGATTCTCTTTTTTTGTGTGTGTCACTGAGAATATTTCTGTCATATCACAGGATAATATGGTTCAGACGAAGTATTTAAAAACTGTCCAAGAACTGTAGGAATATGGTGGCCTTATATTTCCTCAAATGTCAGATATACAGTATGTTTTGTACATCTATGTTTATGTTTCTACAGTTTTGTCAACCATTCGCCTACATGAGCTTTCCCTTTCAGATTTAAGTTGCAGAAAGTTCATCTGTAAAAATGTGTTGTCGTGTTTGGAATAGTTTATCATCATGTACATGTTTCAAATTTCATATTTACTAATAATGGAAATCACTGTTCGGTGTGACTGAAAAACAGGCAACTGTCTTGGAGAGGAGGGCTGCGAGGCTTTGAAAGAAGCTATGGAGGACGTGGACAAAGGAGACTTGCTGGCGTCACTTAGGTAATGTGTGTTTGTATATTTATACAACATTAAGTAATCAAATCAACCTCGATCAGCTGTTGTTCAGTACCTTCTGCACAGAAAACTAAACTCCACTCTGATTAGCATCGTTCTCTTGATGTCACTACAGTGATGATGAGGGGGAGCCCGATGAGGAGGATGAGGAAGATGAAGAAGATGAGGATGAGGATGCCAGTGTTGAAGATGAGGAGGATGAGGATGGTGAAATCGTGAAGGAAAATGGAATTCCAAAAAAAGATGACAGCCCTGAAAAATCTCAGAGCCCAGTAAGTAACAAAACACAAACCCCATAAAGCAGGAGTTTCATTTATTCCTGTTTCAAAAGAGCAGAAGACATGGAGTAAACTCAGGATACAATACAATACAGTGCACATGAAGGTGATTTCTGATTATATCTGACAATACTATATAAACTGCTCCTATCAGGTGAAGTGTAGGATTCATGTCATCAGCGCTACCACAAGGAGTCATGAAGTAACTATTTGGTGGGTGACAATGTGAGATAAATCTGCTGAGAGAGCGGCATGATTTTTAAATCAAATTACTGATATTTGGAGCGAGGAGTGGTTAAGTGTATCGCTTTATTCAGGAGGATGGTAACAACATATATTTCTTTATTAAACAGTGCAGGCAGCAGAAGTCCGATACTCCGATAGTTAAAGATTTTTACAATGACCAAAATAAAAAAGTGATTGTGACTTTGTGTCCTCCTCCCTCAGGCAGAGATCATGTCTTTCCTCACCTGTCCTTCTGCAGAGAAGCTCCTTCAGCTTGGAGAGATGAGATCAAACTTGAAACAACAGGTGGGAATTTTAATATCAAAGAATTTAACTGTCCAGAGATTTTACAGTCTGATGCAACAGTTTGTACACCTGATCCAGCAACCTGAGTTAAAAAAATGTTCAGATTTTAAAAACAGAATGGACAAAACTAGAGAATAAAACCCGTTTTTCATTCTCAGGTGGATACGTCCAACCCACAGGAGGCAGCAGATGTTTTTCTGAAGATTGCATCCTTGTACAGTGAGGACCCCGAGACCCAGACAGCTGTCTTTGAATCCATTGGTGATGAAAATGCTTCTGTTACTACTGATACAAAAAGACTCTCTAGCTGCCTGAAGTTTTCTCCTGTAGGTTAAAGACACTCTTGTTTATAGAGTGACCACTGATGCCCTTGTGCTCTTATTTTATCAGACGCTGTGCTGAAGAAGATCCTCTCAAGTCCAGACCTCCACTCATACTGCTTCCTCTCCACGCTGCTGGCCATGTTGGGACTCCTTAAGGTACAGTTCTGCTTCAGCAAATACTAAAGAGACAGGATTAACGGGCTAAGGGCCAGGGTATGCAGAGAAGTCATCAAAGTAGAAAGCATAGAGGTAGTAGGAGTTACCATGGGAGTTTACAGAGCCACTGTCATCAGTCAGTTTAGACATATCTCTCCAGGACATGTTTATCAGAGGGCTAAGATGGTCTCTCTCTGAGGTGCTGAGTCTGGATCCAAAGGATTTCTTCCTTTTCATCATTTGGACTTGACATGTAGCCGATAAAACTAACTTTGTGAGAGCGGAGTCCACTAATTTGTCACATCAAGAGTGTATCCACTATTTTTATATTTTTTTTATTAAAATTCTACTTTTCCTGTTTTGTGTCTCAGGGAGAGGGAAAGATGAAGAAGGCCGCACTGGTTCCAGGTCAGCTGTTGTGTTTGGCGCATGCAGTCGAGCAGGAATACTTCCAGCATCACCAAGCCCTGCTGCTTCAAACCTTCATGACCAAGTATGATCAAAAACTAACTCCTCAAGTTTGCTATGAAGTTGTCATGCTGCGTAACACATTGATAAAAGTGGATTTTGATGCTTTACTAATCATTTAAGCTCAGGATGCAAATTCAATGCTTCATTGCCATAACAAGAGAACCAAACAAAGATGTTTTTGACTCAAAGTGTCCAAAACACTAAAAGTTGTGTGGTATTAAAAAAAAATTCATAGAGCAGGGCTTGACACTAACTTTTTTCACAAGGAGCACATGTGATCCTAAGTTGGAACAGTAAGGAGCACACAAAGAACTTTAGGGGCACAATGAGAATTGATCGAATCGGTCGACAGAAGTACTATTATTTGAAATCAATTTTAGGTCTTTTGGTCACATGACATGGAAGCTTTTGAAGAAAATGTTCAAAATTTGCCTTTTAATTTAATACAAAAATTTTAGAGGAAAAATTAGGGAATTAAAGAGGTATGTCTTACTGGTCGACATAAGTGCTATTATTCGAGATCAATTTTAGGTCAATTGGTCACATGACATGGAAGCTATTGAAGGAAAACAGTTTTTTCTGAGAACATCAACCGGTAATTTATTGATGGTCCCTTATTCAGCACCTGATGTTGGCAGCAAGGGTGCCGAGTAGATTTAATCACGCTGCTGTTGCTATTTACGGTAATGGAGAGTGAGAAGACACCGGTAGATCCGCAGTGAATGTCCGTCGAATATCCAACCTAAAACTAACTTCACCGTGGTATTTGCATGAAAAAACATTTGGTGCCTTGGCCAATTTTCAATTCGCACACATCTATTTTAAGCCACAAATGCGAGTGAAACGGTCGCACTGTGGAGCCCTGTAGAGTCTCTCAGAAGTAAAAATCAGAAGAGGTTTACGTCTTTATGAGAGGCTGCATGAGAAAATAGTTCACAGAGTAATGTTCCTCAGTGTAAAAAGAATTTGAGGACTTCTTCACTACAGCACCTATGATTATAAGAAACAGGAAAAAAGACAAAACTTGGGCTTTTTGTTTGGTCTCCACATCACTCCAAAAACCGCTGTCTGTCAACACACTTTCAGTCTTACACTGTTTATTCTCTGTCTTTGTGGGTCCACAGGAACAGGGATGCTCTTAAAACGTGCAGCAGTGCCGCAGAGAGGCTGAGCGCCACTCTGGAGAAGAAACGCAACGACCAGCAATGATCCACCTCTGACAACACAAACACTGGGATGTAGACACACACTGTACCTACTTTAACCTCCTCAGTATCAAAACCAACAGGGACGCTTCACACTTGAACATAAGGGCAACCACTTAACCTAGCTCCACTCCTCATTTGTATGTTTTTATGAAGGACTTACAGAATCTCTTAATTTTTTTATTTTTCTACTTTATTCTTTTATTTTTATAGAAAATCTAGACATAAATAACAAAAATATAGAAATACACAAAAGGTAACCTTTAAAAAAAAATGAAACTGATTGTAACCAGAGTGAAGCCAACATTAGACAAACAGTCTGGCACTTAATCCAACACAGAACTTTGCAGTTTATGTTGTCGTAAAGGAGCATCCAGAACTTGAAGACACACAGCTACAGATCTGCTCTGTATTTTCAGTCTTTATGAAACACACTGATCATCATTTTAAAACTTAATTGAGCATTGTTACAAAATTAGAGGCATCAGGGCAATTTCACAAAACATTAACAATCAATCAGCTCCCCAACATAAAGAGCTGACTCATTATCGTATTCTGTTTTACAGACAGGATGCTTCACTTTCTTGGTGTGTCAATGATTGTATTCTCAGAGGGAGAAAGTCAAACCTTCAGGACAATCAGTCCAATGACAGTCACTGCTGCTCCTGATCCAGTCCACTCAGAGTGCTCCGTGCATCTGACTGTAACAGGAAAGGGCCGAGAACGCTGCATTTGTGAGTACAGTCAGATAAAGCACAGCTCAGGGGACCTGGATCACCTGTACCTGATGTAGCTTCTCTTTTACTGATTCAGTCTTATCTCTTTAATGACCGCGTGTTACCTCATGTCTGGTGATGCTATGGCGCTTTAAGGGAATCAAAGAATGGGAAACATTTGGATTTTAATAAATCATCAGTCTGTGTGGACTGCACCTCAATAGTCAGGATAATTTACTTTTTATTTGTACTTAGAGCCCTGCTGGAAGTATAACTAATAAACAAATACTCTGTCAGTGTGCTGTTGTGTTTTTGTATTCTACCTTGAGGAGGGCTCTCAATACTTGACTTACAATAATAATCAGAAGATATGAAACTTTAAAGGGACTCATTGGTCTAACAGGCTGCAGACTCCAGAGGTGGGAGGCGAGTGTCTGTGTAGGTGTGTGTGTTGGGTAGGGGGAGTGTCACTGAATGAAGGGATAAACGGAGTTTGTTTTGGATGGGGGACAGCCAGGGGGAGCGCAGCAGTGGGAGCAGAGGCCGTGAGAGAGTCAGTGGACAGTAACTGGACCGAACCACGACGGAACCACGGTAAGACTGCCCGTAACGGACCTTTAAAGCTGCTCATTATCAAGTAGAGATAATTATAATAGTAATAATGATAATCATTTACTCTTATTCAGATGTTTGCAAAAGTCCCAGATTTAAAATGTGAATTTTAATAACACATTTTCTGTTATTCAATCATTTGGCAACGCTTTGTGTTTTAGGGTTTTCTTGTGTGTAAGAGGAGAAAATAACATTTAAAGAAGATTTCAAAAATGACTTGAAAGTCTCCTTTATGTTAGTCTGTCCACTTTTAACGAACTGGATAACAAAGTGGGTCTTTTTCACTCTCTAAAAGCTGATTTGATTCACGATTATGTAACAGGAGAGTAGCCTATTAGCTACTGATAAAATGGAAGACTCGTCAATATAAATAAAGAAAAATAGAAAAAAAAAATAAAAGTAATTCCGAGAAGGTCTCCTGGAGGGGTTCTGTCTGTCTTTTTCCAAATGAGTGGTATTTTTTCAGGAGGAAACGCTTTTTGGCACAGCACCGGTGACGACAGACACTGTGCGTCTTTGTGCGCCGCGGCGCGGCAGCTCCTCTGCGGTCTGGACTGTTGATCCCCAGGGGGACGCGGACAAACAGTCCGGTCGGAGGAAATTCCTCCGTCTCTAGTTTCTCGGCCCCTCTCTCTGTTCATGGGGGTCTAGGAAACAAAACTTGGTGTGATGATACATGTCTTAAAACATGCTTAACTTTGATGCAACCTCGAGGCGGTCTTCTAGGCCTGGGCTGCATCCAGAAGGACTGGATTTCATGTCTTTTATTGGCATTGCTTACTGACACGGGTTGGTGCCTCAGTTTTGATAGGGGTTAACAGACATGATGGGACCATCTCACCGTATCAACTTTTAGAGACTACGAATTTCAGAATGTGGAGCGTGGGGCTTTTCATGTCCATTCCTGTGGATCAAGACTGTTGATCCGACATGGGAATGTGGATTTAAGGCATACCAGTGAAGACTATGGCAGCCCAATCCGGCCAGAACGACACTAATCCCCAAAAAGTACAGAATAATGGAGATATTTCTCATCCAGCCCAGCATTAGCAGAATGAGGCAAGAATAATCCATACTTCTTGGGTAGATTTTCAGATAAGATTATCAATGTTTGGCCTGTGGTTACTTAACAGACCACAGTCCTGCTGTACAACATCCTGCAGCTCTATAAGACAAATAAAACTGTTCCCGCAAAGGATGCTGAAGTAAGGGGCTTCCAAGGGAGAAAAAGATTGTTTTTTCCTTCAAAATCAGGTTGGAGCAGGTCCTGATCATTGTATCTCATCTTATCTGATCTGTTATCACTTAAGAGATTTGCAATTTTAGATAGATAGATAGATAGATAGATAGATAGATAGATAGATAGATAGATAGATAGATAGATAGATAGATAAAGGGAAATCCCTCTGCTGTTTTTCTCTGTCTGAACTAGATCATCACAAAGAGGCTTAAAAGTCTGTAAAATTCAGTTTTAGATGTGTGAACTAGTAGAGTCTTCTGTTTGTGACAGCTGTTTTTTTTATGTCATAATGCAAAAAAAGTTTGGTTTTTTTGCAAGAAGATGCCAAATTTGTTGTTTTTGAAAATTATTATCAAATTATTTCATAGTTATATGGGAAAATCTGGGTCAAAATATTCAAATGGTTTAGACAACTGGTTTAGTGTCCAGCTTTAGTATACATCTTCATCAAAACAAGGAACTGCTTTCACTCACTCTAAATCATTTGGTCATTCGGACCACACTAAATTATAAAGACATAACATTAAGATAAATCATAATCCACCATGAGCTCAGCACTTTGTAGAATGTTTAAACAAATAAGCTTAAACGCTTGTATCAAAAGTACATTGAAATTTTATTTACCTTCATTACTTGTTTTGATTTTTTTTTTACGACTATTTGAGTAACAGGAGATGAGTGGGCTAATGCAGGGCCCACTTGCCCTACAAAAGTACATGGCTGTACTGTAGGAAAGGTCAATTTATGTTGGATTAAATTAGACTGGATAATGGAGTAAACAAGGCCTATCAAAGAGTATCAATTTATGATGTCTGCTCAAATTATACAGAGATGAGAAGCACTGAACACAGTCCAGGATTTTGTGTAGAGCAGAAAAATCATCCATAAAGGAGTTGGTGTTTCCTCTGGGAGAGAGAAAGAACAAGGATCGGGGTAACTTACCTTTAAATGTCCAAACAGCAACCCGCTGTAGGAGATTTGATTCACTCTGCCCCTAAAAAAAAAAAAAAGAAAAATTACATATACTGGCATTGTCTGGCATATGCACCAGTTTTAACGAAGTCAAAGCTCTCATTTCCCCCCTCAGATGAACTCTCAGCTCGGTCCATACGCCCTCTGGGTCCTGCTGCTCCTCTGCATCCCTGCTGCACACCCAGCAAAGTGTCCACAGCAGTGTGTGTGTGACCAGATCCAGCTCACTGTGACCTGTGTCAACAAGAACCTGACTGAAGTTCCTCCCACCGTTGATGAGGTTTTTTTTCATCAGATCCAGCATTACTGTGGTGTGACTAGCTCCTGTTTTATCTCAGCTAAACTGTGACCCTTCTTCTGGATAGATTACTGTGAAATTAGATCTTCGAGGGAACGACATCCAGGACCTTCCTACTGGTGCTTTCAAACATACTCCCTACCTGACCCACCTGTCGCTGCAGCGCTGCAACATTCGCAGGGTGAAGGAGGGCGCTTTCCGAGGCCTTGGTCGTCTGGTCTTTCTTAACCTGGCCAATAACAACATTGAGATCCTCTACCAGGTTTTCACACTCATCCACCCCACAGCTGATCTTACCAGAATCTATTTTTATGAACAGCCTCCTAAACTCTGAGGGTTTTGTCTGCTCCTCTGTTTTTGGTCTAGGAGTCATTTGACGGTCTGTCCTCGCTGAAGCAGCTCATGGTCGACCGTAACCGCGTGGAGGAGATCCAGCCCGGGGCTTTCACTCAGCTTGGCTTCCTCAACCTGCTTTCCCTAACACACAACCAGCTGGTCTACATCCCCAACATGGCCTTCCAGGTACACAAACAACCTTCACAAAGCACCCCAAACTGAAAAGATGTGATTGTTGGTACACAAACCAAACAGTCCACCTCTGTCCTCTCAGGGCCTCCAGAACATTAAATGGCTTCGTCTCAGCCACAACTCTCTGAACTACCTGGACACTGAGGCTTTTGCGGGTTTGTTCACACTGAACCGTCTCAGTCTGGACCACAATGAACTGCAGTTCTTCCCTTCTGAGACCATGACAAGGTGTGTTTTTGTCTCCCTTGAGGCACTGGAAACATCTGGTCTCTATTTTTCCTGCATACATATTCAATTATCATGTATTAATGGAAAATAGCTTCTAATTTAGGGATTACTAGTTGTGACACTTAAAGTAAAGAAGACTTAAAGCCAGGAGTCTTGTTACTAGGTCTCATTGGTCATCCCTATTTTCCCAGGGTACTTTTCACCAAAACTTCATGATGTTGACTGTCTATTGTTTCTATAGACATTAAACAAAAACTACAAAAAGAGAGATGTATCAGCAGATTAAATTAAATAGTGAAGATAAATACAAGCTTTGTCCAAATGAACCATTTGGGCTGTGTTGCAACAAGCTCCTTTTTGCACAATTCCTTTTTTTTAGCACTTTCAGCTGATACTCAGGACAATGCTTACACATCTTCTTGAATCCTTAATTTATATGTTCCTATCAGGGATGCTGGGCCCCCTGAGAAAAGTATCACACCAAGAACCACTTTACAACTCAATTTCCCACTGTAAACCACCAACCAGAGATTGGGACTTGAGTTTGAGACTTGTAATTAAGTCATACACTAAAGTGACTTCAGACTTGACTTGGGATTGTCCCTTAGAGATTTAAGACTCAACTCGGTTCAAGTTTTTTAACTTGTGGACGATGTTTTATTTCATATTTTTGTCTCAGTAACTTTACAAGCTCAATATTATTCCCTCTTATCACACCTAATCTGAGGTGATACATAAGAGAGGGGGAAACAGAGACGTGGTCAGTCCCTCCTTTTAATGCAGACTAATGATTTGAGTCAGTGTCTCATGTTAACTTGAAGTGGAGTACTTCCACAGTATGATAAGAGTGGTTTTAATACCGTCCCTGACCCTTGCATGGCGTGATAAACCTGGTGTTTTGATCTTCACTTTTCTGAACTTCCTCCTCTTGATATCCAGACTGCCTGAGGTGACCCGTCTAGATCTGAGCTACAACCCTATGACCTACCTTGGAGAAGAGGTGGTGTCCATGGCTAAACTGACGCACCTCTTCCTGGACCACATGTCTCTTCAGGACCTGGCCAACACAGCTGTATCCAAGTCCCCCAACCTCATCCACCTGGACATCAGCTACAACCAGCTGCGTGTCATCCAGCCCTTCTCTGAGGGTTCACCAAATCTAGCACGCCTAAACCTGGCTGGGAATCCAGTTATCTGTAACTGCTACCTGCGTCCACTCCGGTACATTCGCCACTTTTGATTTGAGAAAATGTTGACACCCTGGCCATGGTGCCTAATTAAGCAGTATCTAAATGTTCTCGATTTGCCATCACTGCAGGGAGTGGGCAATTCGCAGCAAGGTGAAGCTGATGGGGACATGTGGAGGTCCGGCCCATCTCTCAGGGGAGAACCTGGAGGCGGTTCACCCTCCTGAGATGCGCTGTCAGAGCCAAGAGGCCATGCTGAAGGCGGAGTTTGAGGAGGCAACCAGGAATGCGCCTCCGCCTACTGAGGCGCCGGAGAGCAAGGTCAAGTGTCCCACCAACTGCGTCTGCGAGGTAAGTAACAGAGGGGATTCGATGTTGTTTTGCATGAACACGAATCTACCAGGATTTTAGAAAACTGGGGACTAAAGGACAACTTTATTGGTGGGAGAGCTAAGTGTGTATAGATGTCTCATAAAGGACAATGAAAGTAAACATCATTCATTCATGCTGGTACTGTCTAGGATGACCATATTCTGACTTCCCAAAAAGAGGACACGACTACGCAGGGTGGAGTCATGGAGTTGCATGAAAGTAATTTTAGAGTTTTTCGGGTCAGATCAAGTGTCTTTAACAAGCTTGTAACTCAGTAAGTCCATGTGACACAAACTCGAAACTTATGTACAAAACCGTGGACATTTGAAGGATTTTATAAACTTCCCTGGACAAACCCAGACAGGCCCCAAAAAAGAGGACATGTCTGGATAAAACAGGACATATGGTCACCCTAGTACTGTCTGTCTTTGTCCTGTCTGTCTCCTTCACTCCATCACCTTCCTGTCCTCAGGCTGAGACGCACCACTCCTCATGTGAGAACCGCGGTCACACTAAAGTTCCCAAAGGTTTCTCCCCCACTACCCGTCTCCTCGACCTGCGTGGAAACCACTTCCACTACATCCCCAGCAACAGCTTCCCCGGGGTCGCCCAGGTGGTGTCTCTACATCTGCAGCGCTGCAAGATCGCGGAGGTGGAGGGTGGAGCTTTCAATGGGATGAAGGGGCTGATCTACCTTTACCTCTCTGAGAATGACCTCACCTCCCTCAGCCCTGATGTCTTCAAAGGTTTTATTGATACAGTAGAAAAGCTCCTTGTTTGAGTATCATGACCTGTTTGATTTGATTTTAAATAATCCATGTCTGCAGGCCTTCCTCAGCTGACTTACCTCCACCTGGAGAGGAACCGCCTCACCAGTTTCCCCAGAGGAGCCTTCAAACTGGTGCCAAGTCTGCTGGCACTTCACCTGGAGAATAACACCATCACCAAACTTGAGGCAGACATCTTGACTGGAGCAGAGAGTCTCCGAGCGCTCTACCTCACTGGCAACGCCATCAATCAGGTGTCACCAAGAGCTCTAGACCAGGCCAGTGACCTCGATACGCTCCACTTGGGCGGAAACAAACTGACGGAGGTGCCAACTGAGGTTCTGAGTAAGACGGGGAACCTCAGAGACCTGAGGCTGTCAGGAAATACTATTCGCTGGGTTGGACCCAATGCTTTCCGACCTTTGGCGGGGTCCCTGAAGGAGCTTTATCTGGATAACATGGGACTGGAGAAGGTCAGAGAATATCAAACTCTAATTTCATCTGATCAGCTTAGTAAATTTTATCAAATCAAATGAATCCTTTCACTGGTATGATCACTCCCTCTTCAGATGTCACAGAGCTCACTGGCAGGTCTGGGTTCTGGCCTCAGGAGTCTTTTCCTGGAGGGCAATCAGCTGGAGGAGGTGCCTAACCTTCAACCTTTCACCTCCCTGGAGGTGATCAACCTGGCCGACAACCCTCTGATGTGTGACTGCCCTCTGCTGCCACTTCGCCTGTAAGTACACCTTCAAAAATGATCAAATATGTAATTATTTTGAGTCGAATACATTAAAATGGTTAAAAATTACCCATATATTTAGTTTGAGGTAATTTTGCAGACTTAAATTTGTAGTCTTTGTTTATATCTCTAACTAGGGACAAACATGACTATAAACATAAAAAAGCCCCCAAAATATGAGTGTTGTGTTTCTATAATGGAGAATTAGGACCACATTAAGAAAGAAAAAATTAAGACTTTGAGTTTAGAGTTATTAATTTACAAGAATAAAGTCGTAATATAATCATTATGATACTTGTGATAATGTGGTGCTGATGTGCCAAAGATGAAGTATCTCCTTGTTTAAGAAACCTATTATGAAGTACATTTTCACGAAATGCTACATGGCTCTCATTTCAAGATCGTCTTAAACAGCAGGTAAGAAAATAAGGACTTTATTCTTACTTTACCCTCATAAGTGATTACTTTACTATAACTTTATTCTCGTAAATAATGATTAATTGCAACTTTATCCTTGTAAGCAATTACGTTATTACAACTTTATTCTTGTTAGTAATCACTTTATTCTCGCAAGTTAATGACTTTAATCGCGAAGTCTTGTTTTTTTTTTTTTTATTATTTGTCGTAGTGTTTCAGATTACTTAAATTTGCAGTTTTAAGGCTAAATTTACACCATTGACTTGAACCTTGTTTGAGGGTGAGGCTGCTTCAGTTACAGACATCAAGTGATTTAAATTTTAAAATCCTCACAGTACTAAAGACATTTTTTTCCTTCATCTAGATGGATTGAGAAAGTTAACCTAAAGGTGCGAGCCACCTGTGCAAATCCTCCCGAGTTAAAGGGCCGCAGGGTCAAGGATGTCCACGTCTTCAAAGCCTGTCCAGGTGGCGAGAGCCTCCCCTCTGCCCCCGCTGTCACCCCCAAACCTGCAAAAGCACCCAAGGCGACCAAACCCAAACCGATGCACCTCAATGGTATCCGGCAGGTCAAAATGATGAAAGCCAAATCCAAAACTCGCAAGACTCCCAACACAAAACCAGCAGCAGCAGCCAAGAAAAACACCAAGAGACGCAGCATGGCCTGAACCCGCAGCTTCTGATCGTGAAGTATTAAGAAACGGGCAGCTACAGGAATAGTTGAAGTTAAACCATGAACTGAACTCTGAAACTGCAACCTCTGCAGACTCTGAAAGTTGTAGCTGCCAAAGCTTCTTCAGATTATCACCATCTGATTCATCAACGTTAAAGAAGGATCTACACAAGTAAATATGCGATCAACAGAACTGCATTACTTCAACATAAAAGTATAACATACAAACTTGTAGCTCAAAAAGCTCCCAAGAAACTCTGTTGTACCATTTGAGGGTGTAAATCAAGCAAATGTTTAATAGCTCTAGTAACTTGGGCTGAATGCTAGATCTCTGACCACTATAACTACATCAGAATGATGTAAAGACACGCTCAGTCAGCATCATATAAGAAAGTTTAGAAACTGTATTTTCTTTAATGAAACATCACATATTTACAAATAAAGACACACTTGGATATGGAAAAAATAAAAGATTACAACAAACTTCTGTCTGCCATGTTTAGTCATGTTAAGCTATGAGAGGTGAGGTAGTTTTGAAGCTGGCTAACAGGTTCTCTGTGGTCTGTAGTAAAATTATCCAAAGTCAACATGTTGGAAAACTGCACGTTCTACTCAGATTCCCCATTAACCAAAACTATTGTAAAAATGTGTCTGAACTTCTTAAACTCATGATCTCCAGATAGAAAATGTCTGAAAATGTCAGGATCTGGAAAGTAAAACGAGGCTTGAATGATCATTCCTGATTTGAATTCATAACACCTGTCTAAACTTAAGAGATCAAAAAAAACTGATAACGCATGACACTTACGATTACTTTTATAACTATTATTCAGTCACATTGATAACAGTCGCACCTTTCATAGCCACATCACAGCTGTTATAAAAAGACAGCTGAAGTTTGACTCTCTGGCCTGTAAAGTTCAGGATCTGCACTCTCTTTTAGCACATGACCAGACCAACCAGGACTGATGTTTAGGATGCCAACTACACGACCATTGCTGTAAATTCACAGAAAACCGTTATACCTCTCTGTGCTCTTTATATTCAAATATGCTTTTGTTCGTCTTCTTTTGTATTTTTGTCTTTTTTTGTCCATCAGTCATCCAGATATTTGCCCTTGTGCAAACATGAACAGTTGTCTTCAATCTTTAAGCAGACATCTGCCTCTCATCACTACATTTCTGCAACCTCGTCTTCCATGTCAAGCTCCACATCAAGCTCTGAAATCTCCTCAACAGCGATATCATCACCCTGAACTCCTTCCTCTTCTTCTGCCTCTTCTCTCCTCCCTCCTCCACTGTTTCTTCTCCTTCCTCTCTCCTCCTTGCTGCTTTGACTATTGGAACTCTCTTCCAACAAGGACAGCTCTTTCCACCGTGTTTCTGCTGCTTCACTCGCTCCGTTGTTCAAGCCGCTCAGCTCTGGTGCCTCCTGTTGTCCTGACTCGCTCTGCTCCCCCGCGTCCTCCTTTTTAATTACCCTCAAAGAGACTCGAGGATCAGCCGTGGGGGTCTCCATCTCCACCTCCACTTCCTCAACTTTTACGTGCACTGTTGAGACTACAGACACAGAAACAAGTCAGAATCAGCATTTTTTAAGAAATATTCTCTTTGAAAAAGTTAAAGTAGTTATGTGAGTTTGTCCACGCACTCTCCTGCTCCTCTGGCTCCGTCTTGGGCTGGATGAGAGGAACTTCTGGGGGGAGACACAGCTCTGGATGACTGTCAGTGCCAAAGGCCTCAGGCTGCCCATCGCTGACATCAAGTTCCTGAGAGAGTCTTTTCTTGGCATTCCTCTTTTCTATGGGAAGAAGAAAATGGGAGTTAAAGGATAGCTTTTAAAACCTCACAGAAATCTGCATGTTTGACTTTGCACATGTGCTTAAAACAAAACTTACTCCTTTTCTTGAAAATGAACGGCTTGGTTTTCTTGTTTTGTGCTGCCTGGTTTTCTATCAAATTCCCTGGAAAATAGAGAACAACAAATTCAGCTCACGTTTAATCCTTGTAATGAATAGAACAGCTTGCTACAAAACATTAGGAGGTGCAGCTGTTAAGCAGTATGGTCTACCGGGTCCAGGAGGGGGCTGCAGCTGGTAGTCCAAGAGATCACACCACCCAACAGGGTAGATGTCCGGGGATTGATAGTCGATCCACTGGTCGAACTCGTCCTCCCAGCCGTCAAAGTGGATGAGCAGCAGGCGGCCCACGAAGCGCTTCACGGTGGCCACGCACACCAGGCGTGGCTCCATCAGATCCACCGCCTCCAGCTTCATGTTGGGAGAGAAGCCATGACCCGGGTAGTCCTGAAAAAAGACAGCCAATCAGAATCAGGTATTCACCCACAGTATAAGTCACTTAATTGGCTGACTCATTTATTATAAACAGAAGGCACGATCTGAACTTGTGCACTTGGTTTGAACTTCTGAAACTTTTGAACTTACAACATTGAACAGCCTCCTCGGTGCAGCTTGAGCTCCGGTCTCCTTCAGATATTTGTCCCAGCTGAAAGTCTTGGAGAGATAACCTGCAAAGAAACCGGAGTTTTATTTACGGCAAAGTTCAGTATTTTACATTATGTTACACATTAATTGTAATAATCATTTTTATGTTATCCATAGACTCTGTGAGCGGATATCTAGACTTTTTGACTGAGGTGGTCAAACTGGGTCACTGGCTTTTGCAGCAGTAAGAAATCAACAGATTTATTTGTCCTTTCTGTCTCTACTGATTACTACTGAGTGTTGTTTTTTTTAAAGGTAACACAACACAGCGGTACTAAATCTTCTGAGGACTTAAAACAAGTTTATTTGTCTAAAGTCACACTATAATGATCAGAAAATGTGCTCTGTTGAAATGCGAAGAAGTGGCTCACAGCCTGTTGAATCATAGATAATCACCAAAGTAGCTGATTTGAACATAACTCACTTTCTCTTTGTTTCTCTCCTGCAGGGTGTGTAATATATGCAATTAGTAACATACAAGAGAGGGACTGAGCGAGTGGAGATGGCTCATTTATTTATCTGTGAGCTTAAAAAGTTTGAAAATAAGTAAAAATTTGCGACATGTATGCTTGAACTGCCTGCCCAGGTATTATGCAACATCACAATGTCCCAAAATTGTTCATTTTGTCCCCGTTATTTTATCCAAAAAGTAAACCTTTTATATATTCAAGATTCATCCCAAGACTCTCTCTGTTTGAGGTTGCACATGATATTAATAGGCCAAAGATACAAAATAAAAAGGTTGTGTTGAGTATAGTAACTGGACTGGAGTCTCAAGTCATGTTTGCGTGCATTAAGGTGTGACTCGGGTTCAAGCATCAAACTCAAGTCCCCGCTTGACTCTCTACAAAACTTGTCAACACCTCCGCGCCTTTGCACAAACATGTAAAAAGGCGTTGGACTTTCAATGCTGCTCCTTCCTGTCTGCTGTGCATCATCTCTCTGTTCTGCCATCTGTCACAGCCTCTGCATAGTGGACTTTAGAAACCCCCAGGCCGGCAAATACATTTTTAAAATCTATTTCACATTCCTCAAAGATACATGTGTAAGATATCTGTCTGTTGGAGGAGATCAGAGTAGAGGGGTGAATGTGTCACACCCTCAAAATAATACAAACTTCATCTGGCAGATAGAAAATAAAAAGTCATATAATTAAGTTTAAGGTGCCCAGAAGTTCATTTGTTGTCATTGTGGTGTTGAAACAGGTATTGATGTTGTTGGATTTTCATTATATGGCATTGTATCAAAGTTCAACTCAACCGCTTACTGTATGGTTTTTTTTTAATCAAAATTGTGAAGTCTTGGACTGAATAACATCTCTTAATTTTAGTATGGTGTAGTATACTTGAAACAGCAGACTGAGATTGATCATAGGCACAGAGATAAGCATGTCTGTGTTTACCTTGAGGTACAGAGAGGGGGATGTCATTCTTTTCACAGAAGCCCACAGGAAGGAGGGCGTGCGATGAGGCATGGTAACAAAACCAGTCGGCGCCATTGTGGGATATTGTACCATCGATGCCCACCATCAAGTATCCGTCTAACAGCACCTGAAAGAAGTTACAGGTGAAGAGAGAGCGACAAGAGAAAAGGGGAAGAAATGTTATATGTTGAGTCAATCTGTTTCATCTCGAGCAACAGAATCATTTTGGGTTGGGAAAGGATGAATAAGAAAATATCAATCTAACCTTCATTCTCAAATCAAGCTTTTTCTTATGTTTAGAGTTGGTTTTGTATTTTAGTTGTACTCAATAAAAGAAAATCTTATCTATCAGGTTCATACCACTGTGGTTGGCCGGCAGCCTTACAATAAACAGTGAGCCATCAGAAAAGGATAACAGGCTCTCCACAGTTGAAAGAGAATGCTTGAGGTGAGTATCTATAAAGGAATATCCTCTGAGGATTGTAATAAAATAAAATAACAGCTTTTATATCCTCATCATATCTGGAGGTGGGAGTTTGTGTCCCCTTTGAAGTGAAAACACCTAAATAATTTCACTTCTCAAACTCAAGGCGGAAATACATCATGAATATATTCTTTGCTTTTGGTCTGAACTCAGCTTTACTCAGACCTCATCAGACAGAAATAAACAGCTGATTTACCTTGTGCACAGTGGCCACAGAGATGCTTCCCAGATTTAGAGGATCAATGGCCTCCAACTTCATTCCCTCCTCAAAGTAACACCCCTCCATGTAGACAAACCTGGGCTGCAGACCACACAAAACTTCATAAAGGTGGGGGGAAGGGTACTATTTCAATACAGAGTGTGAATGCAAAAGTCAATTTTACATGATGGACCTTGAAAGACTTTGGACATTTTATCTATTTGCCTAACAGCATGCACAGTTTTAATGCAACACAGACTTACGGCACCAGATCAAATTCTTTTATGTCAGTAATTTTGCTTGACAACATTATACAAACAATCTCCACAGAGACAGCGTCTGTAGCTGCCTAACATAGAAGTTTCTGATAAACCATGAAAACAACTAACTGTCACTGTTATCCAGCTAAATAAAACACCGGCATCATAGGAAAACACAAAATGGCAAAGAACTGAAAAAAATGGCCCCACAAAAAGACAATCTGCTCAGTTGAAGGCAGGTCGTATTTGACGGCACAGTTGGCAGATACGTCTGAATCAGTGAGGCTAAACAAACTTAACGGTACTTTTTACGATGAGTTACGGCTGTAATTGTTCCTTCAGCAGTGAGGCCCATAGAAGACAACTTACTATAAAAAAAAAAGCTTCAAAACCAAAGCGGATGTTTCGAAAATGCAGCTTCTTTTGCTTTTTCAATTCATTACATCAGAAACAATTCATACCTTTGTAAAGAGTGTAGATACCATGTCATTGTATCCCTTGGCACTGGCAGCAACTTCCGCGCTGGTTACTGTAATTAGGAGAAGCATTTTTTAAATTATTCACCCTTAAAAGAACAAATTTGAGTGAGATTAATTCCATTCCTGTGAATTTACTGCACAAAAACTAACTTATCCTGTCCAACAGCTAAAGACGATGACTAACTTTGAACAACACTGGTCTATTTTCATCTGTTTAATTCACTTAAACTGACGCATAAAGGTAGAGGGGTGTGATGCCAGTCTTCAGACGAACACTAACCTTAAACAAAATATTAATAACATAAAAGAGAGAAAAAAAATCAAGACTTACCGGGTTCTTTAATCTCGTGACCCACCCTGCGGGACCAGCCGATCGGGTGAAGGAGAGGACTCAACATGTGACACCAGAAGTCAAGGGTAGTGTTTTCAGGGGCTTCCCTTTGGTCAGCGTACAACAGGCGCAATCGGCCTCCAACAATCATGTCAACGAGGGCCACACGAGTTCGGCTCACGTGTTTGGAGTCCACTACCTCCACAAGCATACCGGCTTTGAAGGATGTCTTTATACTCTCAGCGAGCTGAGAAGAAGAAAACAGAGAAGAGATGACCGTTCAGGGGAATAAAAACACTTATTGCACTAAATCCACTGTATGAGCACATATACAGTACTCCACTGGTAAAGCTGGCTCTGATTTCATTATACATTTCACAAATATAGATAAAGTGGTTAACTTATTTAGCATCATGAAGCAGCATTGATGCTTACCTTCAGATAGAAGTCAACAGGTAAGGTGTCAGCTCCCACCAGCTTCTTCATCAGATAAGCCTTCCAATCGGGAATGTTCTGCTTCACATCTATGGACCCATTAAAGTCAGAACAAACTCCAACATCTAATCACCAGATTTGGACCATTTGGTTTCCAAATTCCCAGATCTCAGTCTAACTGGGCTTCTTTACGATACAAAGGACAGTAAAGTCCCATCTATGGAGGCTCCAGCTCACATTTTACTGGACTTGAAGGGTCAGCTGCTGGTTAGACACCACAGCACAGAAAGTCTATGCCTTATCCAGTCAGGGCTATTCTGACCCTGACTGGAGGAGATGGGGTCTCACACAATTTTAGGCAGGTGGTCAATGTGTTATTGCTGATCAGTCTGTCTGATTATCCTTGTTTCTAACTCCTGGTTGAACATAGACAGTAAGATCTGCTTAATATGACAAAAACTCCTCGTAGTTTTTCTGATTGGATAATCTGAGCGCTTTAATTATCATATTTTTGTGTGTTTTAAGTTTTAGCGGGAACCCTCACCTTTTGGAGGCACCAGCAGCTTGCTCGTCATGGCACACCATCCGATCGGTTTCAGCTCTCCTGAAACAAGGCTGCACCAAAAATCCCAGCTGCTGTCGTGTTCGAAACCCTCATATCTCAACAGTGCTTTGTATCCTTGTGAGAAAATAGGAGAGGATAAAATAATATGATGTTATTGTATCGGTTAAAAGCCGGGCCAACATGAACATGTAATGTAAGACTAGATATGGGATTGTTATTACAAAGCATTTCTAGAGAAGGATCATCTATAATTTTGAGTAATACTTAAAGGGATATTCCGGCGTGAAATTAATTTAGGGTCAAACACACCGAAACATCAAGTTAGACACCCCCTGGAGAGATGAATGTTGCCGACCGTTTGTTATACCAATTTTAGTAACATGTATGATAACTTCTTCATGGAAATGCAATCAGAACCAGACGCTAAAGCAGAAGAACTACCGCGTCTAAAGTGCAAAATGATTAATATGATGATTATTACTTCAAGGAAATTATAAAAAATGATCATAAATGTTCTTCCTTGAGCTGCGTCACCCCGCTGTAGTCTGTAACAGACTGGCACGAGGTCTCGCTACAAACAAACGACTGCTGGAAGAGAGTGGGTGAGTTGTGTTTGGTCTTTTTGCTAAAGAAATCAGGCAAAGCTAAAAAGATGTTTGGTGGCTAGTGCTATGGCTGGGACCCTATATGTACTGCAGATGAAGTTAGGTGCTTGACCCTGTGTGTTTGACCCTAAATTAATTTTATGCCGGAATATCCCCTTTCAAAATACATGATGACAGGTAAGACTTTACTGATGGATAAAAATAAACACATTGATGTATTGGAGTGAAGTATTCACCTGCAATCTGGATGACAGTAGCGATCCAGTAGACTTTACTGGGCAGGACTGCATTTGTGTTCAAGACTTCCACCTTCATTCCTGTGTGGATGTCATCCCACTGGGCACAGAGCGGGGCCTGCAGGTGGGAGTTCACACATTTTCTTCAACACCAGACATCACTATGATCTGTTTAATGTGCCCAAAGGGTCATGTATTACCTCATAGTAACTGTGTTTAATTGATTGTTTCAGCAAATATAATGTGCTTATCTTCTTAATCATGAGCTTCAGTAAAGATTTTCATCCCAGTGAAAAAAGTAAAAACTTTTAAAATACGCTGTGTGTCTGCAGATGATACAACATGTAGGACCTGAACTTGATTCATCTTTTACAGATAGGACTCACATGTCTGAAGCAGGACACGGATGCAGCCAGAGATGTTTCCTTGTCCAAGTAAGGGCCCCACTTAAAACGTGCAGGAGATGCCACTGGGGAAAGTAGAGAGGAGTTGTGTTTATTTCGACTGTTTGAATACATTGTCTACAAAAGCTTCTATGACAATATTCCCAAACGCAAATCAGATGCCGCTGAGAATCATTCAATAAGTGGCTTGAAAGTCCATGGGTCAGTTCCTAACATCTGTTATCAATTGGAAATCTCTGTTAGGGTGTATCAGACTTCACGCCGTCTTCATAATGACCCTCAAATGCTTCCAAGTCAAGTATGACATCTGATTAATTACTGCAATATTGTGAATCTGTGTGTGTGTGTGTGTGTGTGTGTTTGGTGCTCTTACCATCTAATCCTGATGGGGCTGCTAAGGCTTTGTTCACCTTGCGCAGCACTGTGGCTTTTTTCGATGGGGGCCTTCCCTAGAGAGAGAGATGGAGAGACAGAGACAGAAAGACGGATTAATTATTAATCATTAGGCTGCTGCTATGCCAACTTTCTGTAGATAGGTGCATCACAAGGCAGCTTGGATAAACTGAGACCACAGAAAGCTTGTTTTTCCCCCCGAATATGTCACTTGTTTATTTCCCATCTTTTGGCACTACATTATTGCAATTTTGAGTCCATTTTATTGATGTTGAGCTAACCATCCTTCTTAGGAAACATACAGCAGGTCCAGGCTGTTCCACTGATAATCGTGAAACAGAGACAAGAGAAGGAAGCCAGAGGAAAATGATGAAAGGTCAATGTCACAGGTATGATTTATTCAAAATCACAAAACTTAAAACCCTTGTTCCAAATGATCTGAATCTTCATTCATCCCAAAACATGTTACTTCATATCAACACTTGACATGCAGCCTGAAGGTTTGGACAGGAGGTCAGAAAAATACATCTTAAACATATTATTGACTGCAGTCTTGAAGTCTATAACCATCAGATGGTTGAAACCAGAATCTCCCTCATACAATATCTGGATTCAAAAAGTATGGAATATTAAGCAGATCACATTTTCACTAAATTTTCAGAGGGCCTCCTTTATTGAAAGATGGGAACTTGTGGTACCTTTATTGATGCAATGACAGTTAATGTTAATGATGTAAGAACTTCCTATCCATGTCAAAATACTGTCATCTTGCCTCTGACTAGAATCTGTGCCTTTAAATCTGTACTTTGGCGTGGACATTGTTATTTGTGATGATTACTATGATTATTTTGTTTGATTTAATCCTACATTATCTGCGGATGTTTGTAAAAATACACAGACAGCTGAAAAAGGAAAAGAAATGTTTTGTATTGAGATGTATACGCTGTATTGTTGTGGTTAAAAATTTAAAAAAGATGACAATACAGGGTAGGCTTTTATAAGCAGTTTGCTTCTGCCTATGCCTTTTTCAGTCAATATTCAACACATGATTCTTGATTTAGTGATTTTGTGTGAAATGTCAATATTGTGTACAATATTTGGTGTTGTCATGACTGAATAAACGACTACTACTACTAAATCTGCTCAACTGAATATTCAATGCACAGTCCAAGTACTTTGATCATTTTTTCCTCTTTAAGTGGTCTGGTTAGTTTGTGGTTATCTTACCCTTCGTCTGGGTGCTGCTGTGGCTTCTATTGTGTGAATGTCTCTCATCTTTGGCTTCAGTTTCAGTCAGAAAAAAATAGTCCCTGCAAACGCGGAGGTTCTTCAGTGCTGTTCAGGGTGTTCTCAGATCCTTTTTAGGGCAAATGACCAACGACAATTCAACGGGATACGGTGAAACTTTTACGGTGCAAAGCATTTATCTCGATGTAGACTGGCCGGAAAAGCTAAAATATGCACCATCTTCTACAGAGGAAAACATTCAGTGAGACATTTGATCAAGGTGAGCCGCGGGATGATATTGTGCGAGGAAAGGCAACGACAATGGTGGTATTGATATTAAACTGGGGAGATATTCTAACACGAGCATGCACTTTATCCATGTGCCTTTTTTACGGCTTAAATATCACTTTCTGCTGGCTTCATCCGTGGCAACAAATGTGCAAACTTCCGGTTCTCCTGAGTTGATCCACCGTCGATGTCGCCCAACTTTGGAAACTTTCTTAAAATAGTCCCCCGCAAATCAAAGATGGCTATTATGATACACGCATTACTATAACGCCAAACAATTGCGAAAAAATGGAAGTCATTTAACTACATATGACCCCAGCACTCTTTTCCTAGTCCTATATTTGATCACATCTTTGTTATTGTAAACATGTGTAGTCCATGGAGCTGCCTCTCAGGTGGGCCAGTGTTTTTAAAATCCAGCGCGGCCGTCTTCTTCGTTCTCCTCATCATGCAAGGGCCGCCGCTTTATAGGAACACACTGCCACCTTGTGGCCATAAATATAGCCTTTTGAAATACTCTAATAAATTAACACATTAAAAACAACTACTATACAGGTCATATCAACATACAAATGCAGAACACATTCGATAAAGACCGCTCCAACTTATCTCTGGAAGACATATTGGAAATAAATGTTCCCAATTTATGGCTTATTTTATGTTATATGTGAAATGCTGTTTGTTTTATGCATTGTAACTTTTGTTCAAACAACCAATAGAGTGGTAGATCATTTTGAGGAACCTTTTAGACACAAATCTAAATGCTACGTTTCTGTCTAATTAACATCAGTGGACCACCAGAAGGAAAACCAGCTTCCTTTACATCAATTTTAACTTTCAAAAGTTCTAAATGACAAGTTTGAATCATCTCTTCTCTGTATTATCAAGATGATGTGCTTATCCCCAGATTGATGAAAACTAAAGCTAGAGTTGATATGTAATATATGATCCAGACAGAACGTGTGGAGGGAGATTTTTATTTTCATCAAGCATCCTGAGAAAGAATAAAAGGGGGAAAACTGCATATTATGGTGTATCCTGTTTGAACCGTGGGAGGTTCTGCATGGATTTGGAATAGCTTAATTCTTGTAATAGTAAAAGGAATCATGTAAAAGTCAGGCTAGAGAAGCAGTTTCTAAAAGAGTGTTTATTCTTATTTCTTGTTAGCCCACACCCCCCTTTTATGTCATCAGTGATATGTCTTTCACCTTGCTTTGCATTTGCATCACTAAAAACATATTTTGTTGCATGGGGCTTCATCACCATGATTCTCAGATACGTTATTCTATAATTTGTAAACTATTTGCTCATGCGGTCTCTCTCAGAGTGCTGGACCTCTTTAAAACTTTATTTCTGAGAATCTCAGCCTCTCTGTGGTGTCCTTTTTAAAACTAGGCATGTTACTAAACTCTTGCCAACTGACTTAATCAGATACGAGATATTCCTTCTGGTGCTTTTTAAACATTACACAACCTTTTAAGATTTTTGTTGTGTCCGTCCAAACAGTTCATGAAACATGTAACTAGCATCAAATTTACCATGCGCTAATACTTTTCATAAAGCAATATTTTTTGTTGGTTACAGTATCTGATACGTTTTCTTGGCAGAATTTTCAGTTCCATTAAGTGTTTAAATGATTTGCAGCCAAACAAACAAACAAAAAAAACTCTACATTTTATGCAGCATCTCAACTTTTCTAGAATGAGGATTGTGGCATGGTAACAAACAAGATCTTGATTCACTGTTGCCTGTGTGAAAAAAGAAAACATTTATTCTTCTCACCTGCAGACGTGCCAGTATGGAGGTCCTCTTGGAGTTTGATGAAAAAGACCGTGAACAGGACAGAGAACAGAATCGCTTTGCCTTCGAAAAGAAGGTGCTCATGGGCCCGGTGGTGCCACAGTTCTCGCACACCACTGTAGAGATAAAACATTTTGAATTCAACATCATCTAACTTTGTCAGGACCTTTAGTGCTCAAAAAGATGCTTCAAGCGTTTTACAAATAAAGTTCCACAGTTTCTAATTTTATTTTTAGAAATGATAAAATACAACTACAATGAAAAAAATAAGTTAGTGTCTAGTTTATCAAACTTTGTAACTCATCTAGTCTCTTAAAACTCACCAGATTTATCCATGGTGTGTTTACTTCTCACTGTAACCCCTCCTCCTGTTGGATTTTCGCTGTCGCCTCCTCCATCAGCAGCATCAAACTGAGTGAGCCTCTTTTCACTGCACTGGATAGAGGAATGAAAGGGCAAGACAATGACTTCAAATTTACATGATACAGATGACAAAAAACTTAACGTCAGTAAAACAAAAGACATGTGTAAAGATTTTAGACGATCCCCCCCAGCTCCTCAGAACAGTGTTGTCAAGGGTGAGGCTATGGAGATTGTAACTAACTACAAATATTGAGGCACTGTGATCGACAACAGCCTGAAATTTAACTGTAATACCGAAGTGCTGTGCATAAAGGCCAGGGACAACTTTTTTGTTTAAGAAAGCTCGCCAAATTTCAAATCGATAAGTCCCAGATGTTGCTGTTTTATTCTGCTTTTATTGAATCCGTCATATCTTTTTGTATTGTTTGTCGATACGGCAACCTGGGGACCAGAGAGAAAAACGCCCTTGACAGGATTGTAAAGGTGGCAAGTAAGATTGCAGATGTGCAGTTCACTAGCTTGAATCATATTTTGAACAAGCAGGTTCTTAAAAAAGCTGTGTCCATTCGGTCTCATAGTGACCATCCTCTCAGCTCAGAGTGCAATCTGTTACCTTCTGGCCATTGGCTGCGAGTTCCGACAGCCACAAAAAATAGGTATAAAAATTCCTTCATCCCAGGCTCTATCAGAGCCCTAAATGATTCCTGCAGGAGGAGATAACTGTTACTGATATTATTACTATTATTATTATTATTGTTGTTATTATTATTATTTTGTATCGTACTGAATTATTGTGGTCTTGCTGTATGGAGTAGGGGTATCGGTTCTAGGTCTGATGGGCCTAATCTCGCTGATCTTGGAAGGATCAAGCTTGATCAAGGGTTTCTTTTATTGGTACGCAAACTGCACAATGCACTTTGTTTCTGCATTTTGTGCACTCTGCTCATGCAAAAGTACTGGTATGACTGACATATGCTGCTTTTTTACCTTCTAAATCATCTTTAATGCTCTTTACCTCCTGAATTGTTTTTTATGTAGATGTATTTTCTTTTATTTCTTTTATGATGTATGGCAGTGTTTTCAATGCCTGTGCCTGCTGCAACCCGATTAGTCAATTTTGGGACATAATAAAGTTGAAGTGAAGTGAAAAGACAAAAAAGCTAGTTTCCTGCTTTAGCAATAACAGTGAAACACTATAATAACTTTAACTCACACTTGAGTTGTGCTCATTCGGGTCAGCTGTGATGCTTCTGCGTTGAATGGCGGGCAAGCATTTTCTGCAGCCTGCTCCACTGCAGGAGGAACAGTGTGGACGGACAAATACAGTAGGAGCAGCTCCAGGCCTCAGCTTAAGAGCCCCTGGTTTGGGCTCAAAATACTCCCTGCCAAAATGCTCACTGCAAAGGTGAGAGTTTGGTGTGGCCACCCAATGGGAGCGGGTTCGCTGGACCTGCTTCTCCCATTTCAGGAACTCTTGTGGGTCTTTGGGAAATTTAAAGAGTGTCACACCGTCGTCTGCAGTTTTACCACATCCGTAGGCAACACAGTGGTAAGGCATCCTTTCTTACTACAAAAACGATGGTCAAAGATTGAGGAGCAGAGCAGCATCTAGCAGCCTTTATTTCTCATCAGGTGTTCGGTGGTGTTTCATGAGCCCTGTGGAGGAAAGTGATCATCGTATGTGAAATCTAGAAGACGTATTTATTTTCCTAAGACAAATAATACACTTTAAACAACACCAAACACAGGAGGAAACAGGGACAATCTTACAAAAACAACTGTTTGACTATCTGTATTCAACGCAACAAAAATAAAACTGTAAATAATCCAAAGAAAAAATAGATATTTTATAACGATGAAGTGATCTTGACTTGTATTGTACTGTTAAACTTTTCAGCAGTCACACTCATAACACAGTTGAACATCAAACGGTTATTTCTAGGAAAATTTTGACTACAAACTATTACTGAAGAGACATAAGTCAGTGAAATAAGCATGCAGTAAATATTACCTCTGTCCCAGGCCTTAAATTTGCAGATTGAACTCTTATGTATCAGTTTTCCTAAACGGTTATGATCAGACTGTAAACATAACAGCTCACGTGCTAGCTGCCTATGTTACTAATAGCATGTTTGTCACGCTATGAAGCAGCGATTAGTTTCTCCATATGCCAAAAACACTATTACAAAGATTTACAGTAAAACAGGATTTGAATTTCTGAAATAACTAAAAAAATCATCACTGAAAATGTTCTTAATCTGAATCTGCGCTCACCAACAACCGCAGGCTCCAGTCTTAGACGTCATCCTTGTCGCTTGTCAAGTACAGGCAATGCATTATGGGAGTTGTGGTTTAAAATGAATGAGAAGAGATTAGCTGTTATTTAAACTTACCACGTCAAATAAATTCATGCTAATGAATAGCACGTTGGACCAATATGCTATAGATTCAAGGAAAGACACGCTGAAAAGATTTGGAGGTGGTTTGTTGCTTGTCTGACCTCTTTTGTACGAGAAGGTAATTTTAGAGTCAGTTTTAAAGTATTTATGTAATTGGTTACACTATTACTACATCTTACAGATTTAGAGTAACATTATGTTTATTTGAATAAAACTCATATGAATACATTGAATCAGGCATTCCTGAATTACAGTGACACATTACTTAGCCAAACAATTTTGGTTGTCCACACATAACAACACAAAACAAAACCAGATTTGTGATCAGTTAATTTATACACAAATCAAAGAACAAAGGATAATTGATTGATGTTCTCTTATTTGTACTTGTTCAAGAGCAGCGGCATTTCTAGACTGTTTGGAGTGGGTGGCCCATTGGGGCACTAGCTTGTGAAGTTGCAAGATAAATAATGGGCCTGTAAACACTCATATAAAGAGGATTTATTTACCCTGTCTATCTCTATTATCTTTACCTCAGCTGCAAACAAAGTATTATACAAATGCTATTCTCTTATGCATAGTTTTTTATGTTTAAAGTTTCACTTTTTGCTTGTTTCATTAGGGATTTAAAAAGTGGATGTGTGTCCACAGGCCCAATTTTGAGTATTTAAAAAATTGGAAACTATTTCTGCATGCAAACTTGCAGTCAAATATTCATTTAATGGCAAGGTAGGGGACATTATGGTACTCAAATGCTATTTTTGATAAATAAACAGCAGCCAAATGTTCACTTGCAAACTTTGTCTGATAGATTTCTGTTTTATTCAAATTTTACCTTCTTAAACAATTGTAATTGTCTTTTAAGACTTCTATCTACTTATTCATTCATTAGTTTATTTTCTAATGCTATTACTCTATTTTTGTGAAGCACTTTAGGCTGCATTCTGTTGTGTATTGAAGGTGCTGTATAAATAAACTTACGATGAGTTGGGTTTAGCAGTACTCTGTTATGGAGAATAGTTGTTTAGAGTTTAGTTCAGGAATTTTTGGTGAATTTCTGGGGTGGCCGATCCTTCTATTGCTTTTAATGTCCATACATGGGCAAGAAAAGAAAAAAAAAACAGAAAATAATGCTGATATTAATATTAATTACAAAAATAATCACAATGATTACTTTTTTTTAATGCAACCTGCAGTTGGACAAGAAATAATGGGGGGTTGTTTCACAGCGATTGTTACTTACACTTTAGGACTACTGTAGACTGTTGATCAGAGCTGTATTTGTGGTACGATGAGCTGCAGTGATGCTCTTTGATTGTTTTCCGGCCTTGAGCTGTGGACGTGAAGAAGACTGTTATTATCATAAGAATAGAATAGAATAGAATAGAATATTCCTTTATTGCTCCCCCATGGGGGAAATTTTTTTGTCACAGCAGCATCACAAACAAGACCAAGAGTGCAAAAATGCAGTTATAACAATAAGGATCCTAATATTAAGAACTTAAATAAATGTAATAATTAAGAAAAAAATTAGAAAAGGGAAAAGGGGAGAAGAAAAAAATAAAACTTTCTACAATATACACAATTTACACAATTTAAATGCCAGAAAAAAAGTGGTGGTGTAAATCCAGTTTTGTTACTGTTCATTGTAAAGTCTTATTGCAGAGGGGAGGAATGATCTGCGATAGCGCTCCGTCCTGCTGGGTGGGAGTCTCAGTCTGCTGCTGAAGGAGCTGCCTAAAGCCCCCACAGTCTGGTGCAGTGGGTGAGAGGGATTGTCCATGATGGATACAAGCTTTGTTAACATCCTCCTCTCACCCATTTCCTCCAGGGAGTCCAAAGAGCAGTCCAGGACAGAACCGGCCCTCCTGACCAGTCTATTCAGTCTCTTCCTGTCCCTCTCGGTGCTCCCTGCCCCCCAGCAGATCACTGCATAGAAAAGTGCAGATGCTACCACAGAGTCATAGAAAGTCCTGAGCAGAGTCCTGCACACTCCAAAAGACCTCAGTCTCCTCAGCAGGTGGAGACGACTTTGGCCCTTCTTGTACAGGACGTCTGTGTTTGTTGACCAGTCCATTTTGTTGTTGAGGTGGACACCCAGGAATCTGTAGGACTCCACCATCTCGATGTCCAGACCCTGGATGGTCACTGGAACAGTCTGAGGTGTCCCCCTCCTGCGGAAATCCACAACCATCTCCTTTGTCTTACTGGCGTTGAGCTGGAGGTGGTTTGTGCCACACCAGTTGACAAAGTCAGTGATGACAGTCCTGTATTCCCGCTCATTCCCTGACGATACACATCCGACGATGGCTGTGTCATCAGAGAACTTCTGGAGGTGACAGCTCCCAGAGTTGTAGCTGAAGTCTGAGGTGTACAGGGTGAAGAGGAAGGGGGAGAGCACTGTCCCCTGTGGAGTAGGTATTAATTAGGGAGGAACCCTTCTTAGAGAGGCCTTTCTCTTTATTTGTCTTTAAAAGTTATGATCCACACCTGAGTGAAACTGGCACAGTGACCTGAGGGACTTTGGTGTGAGGGGTGTCTGGGATGATGGTGTCTAAAACACAGGTGGAAGTCTATCAGCAAGGCTGTAGAATATAACCCTTTGGGAGTCAAGTTTTGCAGGATAAGGTGATGCTTTGTGACCACCGTACGATCTTTGTGCCTTATTTCATGTAGGAAATCTGTACATAAAATGAGATAAGCTATTGATCCCCAAAGGGAAATTCGAGGGTCCCTAAAGGAAGCAAGACAGTCATGTTCATATGCTGAATTGTTCCAACCATTTGAGTGGATAGACATACTAAAAACAGGACAAAGTGCTTCATGGTTTCTTATTACTCCAGGTATTGCCTAATTTGTAAATTAATGTAGAACCTCTAAATTGCTATTCTGGGTTAAAATCCGGATTTATTCTCCTTTAATTCACGTTCATTTGTTTGGAAAAATCCCAGAAAGCAGGAGGAAGGCACAAACCTAGCAGAGAATATACTTTCTGCTCCAGCTCAAGAAATCCAACATGCTCAGCTGCTAATTCAATTTGATGTCACCATTATTCAGCCTGTTATCTGCATCTGATTTTGATTAAAGCCTGGTTTGAGATCAGGACAGCACCAGTCAAGATCAAACTGAAATCTTAAATTGAAAAATCTAATTACCTTTTATTTTTGATTTGATTTTTTGCATGTTACCAAACATTTTACTGTGCACAAATCTTCCATCCTTGTCAATTTTAATTCTTACACATTGCACCCATTGTTTAGAGACATGTCGTTCTGTTGTTACAAACAATTTGAAATTAATATAGCAATTCATTTACATTTTTTGAAGATATCATCTTTGTCTTGGATCAATGAGTCTCATCTAATTGTTCTAAAATTTAAGAGTAATAAAACTAATGTATAAATACATTCATAAAAATTGAGACTGGGGTGGTTTCTGCCAAAAAAAAAAAAAAACAGGAATAAAGTTGTGTTTTGTTACACCATCCAACATGCATGTTACTATAAAAATTGGAGTGGAGCTCTCGATCTCAAAAAGTCTGTGTGCCACTGTTACTAAGCAACCTATAAAAAAAGCTAATAGGACAAAAGTCACTCCAGTAGATAAACTTTACAATAGGAAAAAATCCAAATACAAGTCTTTTGGCAATATTACTATTATGTGTGGCAGCAACTACAACAGATGGAAGAGAATACATATTCTGAAGCTGTTGTTACAAGACTACTTAAATCTACAAGCTGAATAATTAATACATTATATTGATTTAAGGGATTATCTTCAACCAAAAGAGTTTGATTTGTTATTTCATATGATTTTAGTGCTAGAATCATTGTTTTAAAAAGATGATCAATGAGACAGTTGACATAGGGAGCCAAGATATTTCTGTGCATAAACTTTCAAAACTTTACTGTCTTTATAAAATTTCACACAGGGACTGCGTCTTGGTCCTATAGTATCCAAAAGTATAAAAAATCTTTAAAGGGATTCAGAATGTAAACAATGAAACAGTCACATGCAACTGGTTGGCTTTCATCATTCTTGTTACTTACGTACTGCCCACTTCACTCATTTCTCATGTTGTTTTTAATGCTTGAATTTATGCTTTTTGCAGCAGCATAAATTGTCCTCTCCCTTCTGTAGTGTATATGACAGCTTCATGTCTATTTCAATCTGTCTTTGCCTTACTTGCCTTACTTTATGTGTGTATGTCTCTTTCAATGCATATATTTCTGCTTCCATTGATATAGTTTGTATAGAATAAATTGAGAGCAATAAACAAGATTGTAATTTTTTGTATTCACAAAATAAATGGTTCTGTGACTGTGATTACTCGTAGATATTGATTTATATCTGTAAAAAGTACTTAAATGTACAAATGTAGTTCAATAATCCTAATACTTATAATACTTACCCCAATCATCTGTTGGAAGTGGGTCTATTTGTCTGTGCATGGACAGCAATAAGAACAGTGTTAGTGTACACACTCTTGTTTCATAAAGATGATTCTTGTACCTAAAGTAAACCCAAACACATATTTAGAAACTCCCATTTCTGCTGAATTATTTAAAAGATATTATAACATATGGGTGCTACATCTGAGAATAGCTAAAATCACCATCTTATTCATATTTACATCATCACATTTGTAAACATAGGACAAACATTTTGAAGAACAGATTTAGGGGCAAATGAAAATCTGTATTTTTGTTTCTCTAAGCATCAACACACGCTTTCACACACTCTCCATATATCTATTTATATACGTAAAACACATACTGGGCAGTTAATGCATACCATACGTGTGTACAATCTGTGCACAATCAATGCACAGTAATGCACAGGAGTCGCAGTAATATAATTTACTCCTATTTGCAAGTGTGATGTACTGGGAGGTCAACAGGCAATGACGTCTGGGCTTACAAAGTGTAACATGAGACACTGCAAAGAGGAGGGTTTAGGTCGTAATGTAAGATTCACTTTAACTTGTGTAAAATGAGCATTAATTCCTCCCATCATACCCCACAATGTTTGTCATTTCTGTTGTTCAGTGATGAAAATCTGTATTTTTCATTGTATTGTTGGTCTGTGGTAATTTTAGTGTCTTTCAGACTTTGTAGAAATGTTATAAATGTTATAACAAGAGCTTAATCACTGACTGTTCAGAGGTTAACTGAGTGGAAGTCTTCTCCATCACTTTCTTTTATTTGTTTTTACTTTGCAAAACAGACTCATGAGATATTCAGATAGTTTTGTCACTCCGATGACTCCATATTCTCTGTTCTGTGGGTTTCGATGTCACAGTCTCAACTTGCAAGATAAGATGAATACAATAGACAAGAAAGGCAAGACAAAATATGCAAATATTAGTTTTTATATTTTCTTTTTCACCAACCTTGGGTGTATTGCAGCTGTTGCAGCTGGATGTCAGACCTTGCCTGTAAAGGAAACAGAAGAGAATCTTTGAGGCCTTGAGCTCATCATGTATTATATTTGATTATTTGTTTGTTTTGCTCAAAAACTGTGTATCCATCAAAAAAATTGAAGCAGCCGTCATCTCTTGTAGATTTCATCCTCTTATTTATCTTTCTTTTCTGCTTGGTTTGCAGAAGTGGTGATACACCCATATCTGACTCTTTACTGTTTCCACCCTCCTTCACATCTTAAGATTTTTTCTTCTTTGTATGCCACACTGGAATCTACATTCTGTCTATTTTTGTCCTGGACAACAATTAAACAAAATTGTGGGGACCTAAACCAGGTCTATGCCTGATCAGGGCCCTGGCATGTTAAGTTTGGTCACATTTACATAGATAATTGTTGAGTAAATGTTATTTTGTGAATGGAAGTGTGTTTATGGACCTTTTGTAGTAACAACAATAGTGGTTGGCCTCACCATCAACTAACGCTGGTAGATCTGGGGCAGGGAGATGGCCTATGGCCCCCTAGTGGGTTCATTTAGCCATAGCTTGATGAACTTCTCTGACTGAGCATGATACCACACCACCAGGGTTTGACTCCCATAATGTATGCACAGATGGTCCTCCTCAAAGCTGCTAATATTTCCTGTTGTGGCTACTATATAATAATAAATGTTTAATGAGTCCCACATTAAACATGTTTAATGTCATAGAATCTCATTTATTTGATCATAATAAAGCACAAGCTCAACCACACATGATACCTGCAGCATTTTATTTGTACCAATGCTGATGAGCTACATTAGATTTTACTTTAAGAAAATTGATTTGCTTTTAGTTGTATTCAGTCAACCATTTAGGCTTATTTTTATACCAGCTCAGGACAAAACAAGTCATCTGATCAAGTGACCATGTCCTCTAGACAATCCAAAGACTTAAGTTTTTCTTCCATAATAGTTGCAACCTGTTCAAAAAGAGGGCATTTTCTTTAAAATGCATTTCACTGTCTTATGAGGTCCACTTTTGAATAATATTGGCATGACAACATACTTGCAGGGTTTTTCCCATAAGCATCTAATAGGCCATAAGAAACTAACATCCAGTTTGATTTCTGTAAAGTTTGAATCAAACAGGTAATTCACATAGAGTTTACATCAACAACTTTTAATTATGTATATTCAGCAGTGAAACCAAGCACATTTTGTGGTTAAACACATTTTGGATTCACAAAAATTCATTCTCAGTCACAGAATCTTCATATGCTGTATAAAAACACCATCCATGAGCATTAGATTAGATGTAATGGTGCAGTGATAGAAAATTACTTTATCAGCTCAAACTACTCTATGCAATGTATGCACAATGAACAAAAGAGCAATATGGCAAACTGCCATACTTTAGAGCTACTTATCGAGAAGTTTTAGGAAGTACCAAGAACCCTGAGAGTTTAACAGTCTAGATTAACCCGTGTGAATAAAATATTGGATGAATGACTTCTGAGTGGTTAGGCCTACTGTGTATTTAGCAATTAAGTACCAGCTCTGTGGTTGCTGTAAGTGTGCATGTAGAGCCATGCAGTGTTGTTTTTTTGTCAGACTGTGTTCACTGCTTTGCACATGAACACCTTAAAGATCATGAGATCATTTGAATGGATAGACTTAATCTGGAAAGTCCTTCAAAGAACAATGGAAGTCGAGACTCCTGTGCTAGTTGAAAACTCAACAGTAAGTGACAGAGCAAAGGTCGGGGACTGTCTTGGTGCAAAACTAAGACAGGAATAATATTTTTAACCTTGGATTTTAAGCAGAGTAAACAGTGGGACAGGCTGAGGAAATTGCATTCTTCTGTGCTGTATAATAGAGGATTTACAAATGTATGCATGGAGCCATGCCAGTGAGAAAGCATACAAATCAAAATAAAGATAATGGAATTCAGTCTTTAATTTTAGTGAATTTCAGTTATTGGGAAATAAGTTTTTCCAAATCTTTCCAGTTGTGCATAAAGTTTTAGTGTAAGGGAACCCACTTTGGTCTGCTGCACTTGAAGTTACAAAAAATACATATATTTTGCTTTTCTAAAAGTAACAGCTGCAGAACTTGTTGGAAACAAGAGTAAGCTATTTGCATTTAAAACAGCTGTTTAGCATAATCCAACTGTAATCTTTTCAACTAAATCCCATTAAAAGCAGATGCGACTTCAGGTGGTTTCACAGCAGAACTGAAAGGAAAAAAAAAATCACTTTTTTATTTTATTTCTCTTTAACACGCAGAGCCCAGTGAATAAGCATTTTACTTCATCCACCATTACAGCTGCACATTTGTCGGCTTTATTTTTTTATTTGCATCCCCTCATCCTTACCCGCTGCCACCAGCAGCACCACCATCACTTCGCAGGCAAACAAGCCTGTTCTACCCGACATTATCTCCATCCAGACTCCGCTGGAAAGGAGGCTGAAATGACGGATGCAAGCATGGAAGACAGACCCGGGGACAGTGTATTTACATCCGAAGAGGCTGTGTAAGTTTAGAGGGAAGCCGCTGCGTGTGTCTCCCTCTTTACTTTCACCGACCCCCTCCTCCTCCGCTGGCAGAAATTTATAAAGAACAAAAAATCCGACGAGGGAGGGAGGGGGGTTGATATACGCCGAGGCTGAAATCGAGAGGCGAACCCAGGGAAAGAGGAGTAATTTGTACACGGGACTTTCCCCCTCTTAGTCCCCCAAAAGGAGGGGGAAAAGTCGCAGTATTGGAAACGAAAAGGAATGAGCTTCTAAGGGCGTGAAAACGTCTGCAATTGTGGATACTTTATATATTTTTATTTCGAAAAAATATGGCCGAGAACGTTCTGGACTCTGGCCCGCCTTCAGCCAAGAGGCCTAAACTCTCCTCTCCGGCACTTTCCGCCTCCGCCAGCGATGGAAATGGTAAGTATTGTTTCGTGATATTGTCAGTTATAACGTTATTAGTTTGGTTTATTGATTTTCAGAGGCTTGTGTCCACTTGAACGTTGAAGAAAACGCGTGATTACTCCTCTGTTTTTGTCGTAGCTTGCTAATGTTAGCTCGCTCGTAGTGAGTGTGTGTCGGACGTGAAGAAGAGCTCCCCCAGCGAGCTAACATGCTAACAGCCATTTTAGCCGGAGGTAGCTCTGGTAGCTGTTCGGCTAATACTCTGTTAGCTGACTGAATGCGGGTCCTCAACAGACGGTCCCGTGTCTAATGGCTACTTTAGCCGGGTTGATAATAAGCTCATTGCCAAACCAACTTGCCATAAAGTTTTTTCTGCCATAAGCTGAGCCAAATTGACAGCAGTCTTTATTCTGCTGTTTGAGTTTTAAGAGCTATTAAACAGTCTGTGTGTTGCCCCATCATAACTCGCACCTATCCCCAACTATCGTTAGCTCCCGTGGATTTCTGAAGGAAAGCAGAGGTTGTCAGTGGTGGTGGGGAAAGCCTTTTGGTGGAGCTAAATTTAGGCCCACGGGTCCAACTGATTGTTGAGCCCAATTTGCCTCTGCTGGTGTGTTTTTGTGGATGGCGTGTGACAGCAGCTGGAATAGTGGCCTGCGAACAAAACCGAGGAGCATGGACAGCGCCATGACCAGCCACTGCGATATTAACCAGCAAGTCCAAAATCGCAAGCCCTTACTTCTCCATGCACGAAATATTCACCCAGATTTCATCACTTTACTATTCAGAAGAACATGTCCCGTAAACAGCTGTATCTTATACTATCTTCTCAGCCATGGTTGTCGGTGGCATTGAGGGTCTGTGCTATGGGACCTCACGCTGAAGTCATCCAGACATTTACTTTACCTCTCATGATGAGGTTCAGTGCAGGGCTGTCAATGAAATTATCTACATGTAAGAGCTGAAATTGAGTCTCCCCAGATGCATGGGCTCCTAGGACTGTCGTGACACAGACATGCAGATCGTGAAGAGTTGATCTGGTTAAAAAAATGGTATTAAATATTAGTATGAGGTTACTTGTGTCTGTGCTTGCACCATCAAACAGGAGTCTGCAAATGCACTGACCAGCCATAACGTTATAAACACCTTGGCACTTCAATACTGCTCAGTACAACAACTCTGTCATAAGTTTGACTTTTATGTAGCGTCTTCATTATCAGTTTATGTTGACATGGTAAGAAAACGGATAACTGCCCTTTCAATTACTTGTTGAAGCTTTACTGGGAGTTGTTGATATACTCGTGTTTTATTGGACGATGATCCCAATAGCCCCCTTACCCCCAAGTTTTGTTTATGGAGTGCATCATTAATAAGAAGTCTTATCAAAGTACCTCACTCCTGCACACCACCACCCATTATAGCTTCATCATAAAGTACAGTAAACACCTGTCTGATCACCTCAACAAAATCCAAAATTCAGAAGCGCCCTGAGAGGAGAATTTGTGGTAAAGCTGTTGCGTGGTTCTCAAGTCCAGTCCTCGAGGTCCACTGTCCTGCATGTTTTGGATGTTTCCCTGCTCCGACACACCTGATTCAAATGATCAGCTCGTTATCAAGCTCTGTAATGGCTTAATAACGAGCTAATCATTTGAATCAGGTGTGTTGGAGCAGGGAAACATCCAAAACATGCAGGACAGTGGGCCTCGAGGACTGAACTTGAGAACCACTGTTAGATTGTCCATGTTTTCCTAATGCTATGGCTGGTCAGTATATGTCAGAGTTATAATTGATCATACCAACATGCAAAGTCTCCTCAGATTGTTGTGACACATCCTTGCAGACGGTGGAGAGTTGATTCGAAAAATAAAAGCTGGTATGAAAAATTACTAACGTTCAGAGAGCGCTTCTCAAATAAGATTTGCATCTCACTCCTATTTGTTGAATTTCGTGGTTTACTCCTAAGAGGTTTGGTGCATAAATCTGAGCTGTTATCAGACCTCTAAAGTATACAGTTATAAGAAGAATTTCTTGAGTAGTTAATTTTACGTATTATAGCTTTAATGTGGCTGAGAGATCTTGATTGGAGGAGTTACACTGTTACTTCATAGTGTTGTAAAATACTTTTTTTATTGGATCACAAAATGAAGAATAAATAAGCTTCTGTGTGTTGAGGTTATTTGTCAGTACTTTAATGTTTGACTTAGATGTCCACTAACCAGTTAAATGAGGTCTTTTATTACCTGTTGATCCCAGCAGATACAAACAGTGAGTGTGGGTATCTGCTGGCTCCATTTTGTGGTGTTACTTATCTGAAATGGTCCATTTGTCAACTTGTCTGTCCAAACCTGCAACATATTGAACCACTTTACTGGTCAGGGGTTCTCAATGAGAGTCGGCCTTGTGGGGGTATGCATACATATGCATTTGCACAGTGAAGGTCCTCTGGAACAGTAGTGTTGTGCCTGTCGGTAGATCCCTTTCACAGGTTTTATCAGATTTTTAATGTCAGCATGCACTTTCATTTTAATTCAACCATGCTGAAAAATGAAGGATTATTCCAGCTTATCATGGCTATTGCCCTGTTTGTTTTGCTCACCATACCTGATTGCCTCCATCTCATTGCCTCCCCCTTCTCCAACTTTGCATTTCTTCTCCATTTTAGATTTCGGCTCTCTGTTCGACCTCGAGCACGATCTCCCAGACGAGCTCATCAGTTCCAATGAGCCAGGCCTGGTCAATGGCGGGGACCTCAGCCAGTTGCACACCACACTGGGAGGAGGACCTGCGGGGCTCGGTGCAGGAAGTGGAGGGGCAGGAGGAATGGGTCTTGGTCTTGGACCTGGAGGGGGTCCTGGTGGAGGTCAGGATGCGGTGGCCAAGCACAAACAGCTGTCTGAGCTTTTGCGTTCAGGTGGACCATCCTCAACCCAACAAGGGCACCAAGGAGCCATGGGCAGCCCGGGAGGCCCCACCGCCATGGGGCAGCACTTGGCGAATATGAAGGCGTCCCCTGGCCAGGGGCCACCACAGATGATGGGCCAGGGGCAGCAGCAGCACCTCTCCCCTCAGCAGCAGGCCAACATGATGCAGCAGAATGCTACGATGATGGGTGGCATGAACAGGGCTATGATGGGAGCACAGCAGAAAGGCAATAACGGACAGCAGCAGCCGGGCATGATGGGGAGTCAGGTGATGAATGGCTCCCCTAGGATGGGCTTCGGGAATCAAGGGATGGGCGGCAACACTAACCTGTTGGCTGAGACCCTACAGCAACAGGGAGCTGGGGGTCAGGCTGGGATGAGAGGCCAGCAACCTGGAGCCTTGAACAAGGTAAGACCCTCTCCCATCAGAGAAATTTTCCATTCATGTGAATATTTTTCTTTCAAATGGGATTTTCTTGATGAGATTGCAGATAGTACTACCATTAAGAAAAATATTGTTTTCTCTAAATACAAACATTTTTCTCCACTGCAGTTATTTTTTAGAATTATTTTAGTCGATGCTCCAAAACCTTTGCTGCAACTCCAAAACATATTTTGTAATAACTGAAACATAAACAGTTCTGGTTAAAACTTCGACTGTAGCTCTTTCCTGTTACGGCACCATAGCAGTGTTGTTTTCGTCAACGCCCCTTTTTTTTCCACGACAAAGACGTGACGTTGAAGAGCTAAACGTAAGTCTTAGATGACTAAAATATGACGAGACGAATGTGCGTTTACGTTGACGAGACGAGACTAGACGAAAACGTTAGTGGTGGACAACGAACAGAGTTGCAAAATTCATGAGCATTTCGTCAGTCAAACGCTAAACATATATTCTGCAGTGTTGTTTTCGTTGACGATGACGTTGATTAAGTATTTTCGTCAACGTCATCGTTAAAGAAAACAACACTGCACCATAGTGGCCTCCGCACTATTTGCTCTGCAGTACTTTGCCCAATCGCTACCTGGCAGTGCGGTTTTTGTTTTCGTCATATTGCGAGTATCTGGTCCTGCTACATTTTCTGCCTGTCTGTGCACAGAAAACCATGTCTCCGCTAAATCCGAGCATTTTGTTTTGAAGCCGCAGTTGATAAATCTCCGGCAGCAGGTTATTATACTGCAGTCATTGCAAAGGAGAACAGGGAGGAGATGTTAGAAGAAACAGAATGAACGGCTCCTGAATCATCGCAGGTAGAGAATTAGGGGGACGACTGTGGCCCTATCAAGATGCTGCCCAGTGAATCAGTCCAGGGCTTGTGGTCTGTGTTGTTCTGGCATGTAGTTGTATTTTTCGAAGAGGTGCATAACAGGCTACATATGTAGGCTTTGACGTAGGTGTAGACAAAATTACAGCACATGCTACGGCATAGATTTGACATTGCGTGAGATAATGCAGAAGTATAAATCAAGCTGAAGTCATACATTCTTTTAGTCCCCCATCAAGTTTTGCTGTTACTGTGCCAAAAAAATCTCAATGTCTCGCTGCTTTTATTTCCCAAAACTCAAGATGTACTTTTTATGATGGTCTGGAAATGGATGCTTTTTCCTCAAATATAAACCTCAAGTGGTGCTTTGGGTCCATGGCTGTCTTTATACATCTTAGCAGCCATGACAGACGTACAGCACACTTATGCTTTGAGTTGAAGTGGCAGAAAACTGCTCTGCCCGCGTGATTGACAGTCCCCCAGGAGTGACAGTAAAAATGTTGCAGTTGCAAGCTGCCGCCGCTGCCGAATGAATCTGGTGTTGAGACACTGATGTTTGATTCAGCTGTAGAGATCACAAACAGGGAGATGGTTCCTGAGTTAGGGGCAGAAAAAATCCAGGTTCTGAAGGCAATTGAAGGGATAAAGAGAAGAGGAAAGGTGCGAGTGAATGATAGATCAGTGGTTGATAGGAAAGAACAAGAAGCTCCTTAGATGATAGAACGAGGACCTATTCATCTTAGTCCAAATTTGGTCAGTGTCACTGCATTTGGTTTGAAAATGATTTTTAAACACTTTTTAATGATAATATAATGAGTTATGATATGATGCTTTAATTTGAAAATTAGATCTCTCCCTTCATTGGGTGCTGTTGAGCATTAAAAAATGCAGCTCATCAAACAGATGATGAAGTGTTCTTTTTGGAGAAACGATAACCTCATTTTATCTTTGGCTTGTCTGGAGTTTCTGTGGTGTGAAACATCAACAGCTCCTGCTCATGAAAGAGCGACGATTTGAGCTCTTGGAAGGAGACTGGAAGATCATGTTTCAAATCACCAAAACACAAAATTTAAATACGTTTCTCCATTCTCTCTCTGACCCATCTCTGTCTGTCCTTCTTTTTCTCTCCAAGATGGGGATGATGGGGAACCCAGGAGGGCCTTTCGGGGGTCCGTACGCAGGGCAGGGGAATCAAGGTCTTGGAGGTGCGGGGCTGGGCCCTCAGCTCCAGAATAAAGGTCCCATGGCAAACAGCCTTGCCCAGTTCAATGTCGACAAGAAGAACCAGCCGATGCAAGGGATGGCTGCCATGGTAGGAAGGCCTCTGAAAATGTGATATGTGAAGGATGAAGGAATGAGTTGTTCTGGTATTTCCCAATAAATCTGAAACTCTGTGTTATTTCCTAATTTTTCACCTCGCTCCCTCTCTCTGTTATCTCCTGCTTGACTTTTTGTGATTCTGTTACTTCTCAATCATCTATCTCTCCTGTTAACACCACTTTCTCCCTCCCTCTGCTCCTTATATCTCGTTACCTCCTACTGCACCTCCCTTCATTTCCTGTTAACTCAACTCACCTCTCTCTCATGTCTTTGCTGCTTATTGACTCCCACTTTGCTCTCCAGGGCTCCCAACAGAATCAAAGCGGTGTCGGTGGCCCCTCAGGTGCACCTTTGGGAGGGGCCCCAGGGATGGTACCTAACGCTCAGGCAGGCTTGGTCGGTCCTGGCGCCCAGGTTTCTGCAGCGTCCGCCGCGGCTGGAGCGCCGCCTACAGCTGACCCCGAGAAGCGCAAGCTCATCCAGCAGCAACTGGTGCTCCTGCTCCATGCACACAAGTGCCAGCGGCGGGAGCAGGCCAACGGTGAAGTCCGCCAGTGCAACCTGCCCCACTGCCGCACTATGAAGAACGTCCTCAATCACATGACTCACTGCCAGGCTGGCAAGTCCTGTCAGGGTGAGTAGAAGGGATGCTGAGCGGGCCTATTTTGGATATATTCAAGTGTTGGCAAAGATAACACAAAGTTAATTAGTTATGCTTCATTGTAGGGATGAACCGTGTGGCAACAGAAAAGAGATGAAGATACCAACAGTTAGAGTCTAAACTTAGATTTCTACTTAATCACTCAGTGTAGTACTTATGCGGACTGAATCTGTTGTAGTTTGGTCTCTTTTCTGACACTGTCATGCAGATTCTAATATGTGTATGTACACCACTCGTCAAAAAACACTGAGAACTCACAGAACCTTCTTAAACGAAGACCTAGTATTTTCATACCCAGCATACACAGCCTAATAACATGTTGAATTCACTCCATGGAGGGGATGTGCTTTTCGTTCAGCCCATGGTCTGCTCCCAGGCGCTCTGTCTGTGAATTATAAACAACAACATGCGTCTGTGCATGAGCATCGAGCCGCAAAAGATGGCAACGGACTGTGCCAATACGACAGTCCCTCTGGATTTGCAGATCGTGAACACATTTATGATCTAATATTGACCTACTGCACACGCCTAACTGAATGAAACAGTCAGTGGACCCGGCAAAATTATCATTTGTACGTCTGCTTCAGTGAAGGTTAGTTGTTGACACAGTCAGGTATTTGTGTACAGCTACACAAAAAAACATCATGCAGACTGTAGAGATGGAAAAATATGACGGCCATGATCACTCAAGTTTAGTCTGAAACCACAATGTTGATATTTTGATAGACCTTCAGCAGAGTCACCATGTATGCTCACAGACGATGTCCAGTATTCATTCTGATTTTATAGGTTGATGTTTTGGTTGAAATTGAATTCACTGGTTGTCTTGACTTTAGATACCTGAAAAGATACATCAGTGACTCATGCAATAGTTAATTTCTTGTGCAAACAAACAAGCAGTGAAGGGGGAGGTATAAGTAATGAAAGGTTATAGCAGCACACAAAGCTCAGAATGAACTTGACTTGGCGCTGGTGCACCAGACTTGGAAAAATTAGGAGCAGCAGCCAAATTTAAGAGCACCCTCTGAAATTGAAGGAGTACTATAACTACAATATAACAGCAGTGCTTTTGTTGAGAAACAGCACTGCCACAAGGTCTTTACAACAGTATCATTAATAATGGCTTCAGCAATGTTCGGCTGACTAGACCAAGTCCATCAGCATTTCTTCATCTGTTCTGTTCAGCTGCTTTGGTTTCTGAGCCCCGAGTCTAACCACAGTGAGACGCAGGGAACAGGAGGGATTGAAGGCTAATATTAACCAATCTCAAATCAGCACTGAAAGTTACATACATCAGGCGGAAGTTTGATTAGTTATGTACCGTATTTTTCGCACTATAAGGCGCACTTAAAATCCTTTTGGCTTGTCGGAGCACTGCAGCTACTGTAGCCTTGTGGAGTTATTGAATGAGTTACAGTTTGACTTATCTGACTGTTTTGTTTGGCTTAATGCGCTTTATAATCCGGTGCGCTTTATGTATGAAAATAGACGCGTTCATTGATGGTGCGCCTTATAATCAGGTGCGCCTTATAGTGTGAAAAATAAGGTAAGTGTTGTTTTTAAGCTAGGTGGTTGATTAGTACTGTCTGTTAACAGGCACACTGCTCCTCTTAGCAAGTGTTATTAATCTACGACTGATAACTGTATCTAGAATAGAAATTCAGTGTTTCACCAGAATAAGTATTTCCATTTGCACAAATGCTCCTCATACTTTGAAGTTGCACAGATTAAATTTTAAAAAATTTGAGCCCCTGATACTGACTTTACATGTGAGCACAGGTGTTTTCTCTCTCTTCAGCTACTTTACTGAAAACAGATCAACACCAGTCAGCTAACTTGAAAACCTTTTACTCTGTCCTGATAATCCAGGAGAATAAAAGTGATCCCTTATTTAATTTTGCCTCATTCTTGTTCTTTGCCTCTTTTCTCCTCTCCCCCTTTTTGTCCCTGTGATTTCCATCTCCTCCCTCCTTTCGGCCCTCTTTATATCTCAGTTGCACACTGTGCATCATCGAGGCAGATCATCTCCCATTGGAAGAACTGCACGCGACATGATTGCCCTGTCTGCCTGCCGCTGAAGAATGCTGGGGACAAGAGGAACCCGCAGTGTGAGTGTCTGTATCTGACCAAACAGCTATTTACCTGCAAATTTCTTTTATTGATCATTTTGTCCATCTGCATAGTATTTTCTTCTTATTATTTCAGTACTATTTTCTTCACATTTAGTTTATTATTGCATATGAACTGCCTGGTGAAGGCCCTAAAAGTAGTGTCAAGCAATAACTAATCCATAGTGTACTCTTAAATGTTTGAACCTCTCTGCTGTGTTTTATGTAAACTTTGTGTCGCAGGCTGCTCTCGAGCTTGTCATGAATTTTTTCATCAGAATCAATCAGATGTATTATTTACCATCTCTTCTTCGTTTTATTTCCTCACAGCTCTGCTTGGTGGAGCTGCTGCAGGTCTAGGCAGCTCCCTTGGAGCAGTGCCAGGCGGCCAACCAAGTGCTCCCAACCTCAACCAGCCGAGCCAGATTGACCCCAGTTCCATAGAAAGAGCCTACGCAGCCCTGGGCCTCACGTACCAAGGCAACCAGATCCAGGCTCAGACTGCCCAGCCCAACATGCCCAACCAAGGCCTGCAGGGCCAGGCAGGCATGAGGCCTCTGAACCCGTTAGGTGAGTCAGACTGCATGCTCGCTCAACCTCACTGAGAGTGGGGTATTTTCACTAGAAAGATGTCTGTGCTCCTGGCGACACTAGAGAGCTTTATTTTTTAAAGGAAAGATCTCTGAGAACTGAGACCACATGTACAAACTTTGACGTCCTGATCATCTATCTGTAGGTGCGAATCCCATGGGAGTCAATGGGGGTGTTGGCACTCCCACTCAAAGCCAACAAGCCAACCTCCTGCAGGATACCATGATGCACCTCAATGTGACCAGCCAAGGGTAAGGAGGCAAACACCATAACATGTCATTTTGCTGGGTCCTTGATTGGACGTGTCTACTGTGGCCAAAGATTTTCAGCTTTCACAGAGTTTTATATCAGAGCACTTCTACACTTCTACGTTAAAAAAAAAATAAAAGAAGTTCATCATGCCTCTTATCTCCTGCAGTCTAATGAATGACGCCAGTGGAGTCGGCTCCATGCCGACAGCAGGTCCTGCCTCTGCCACAGGCATGAGGAAAAGCTGGCATGAGGACATTACGCAGGATTTACGAAACCACTTGGTGCACAAATTGTAAGTATCAAAGAGAGACCTTGTGCTTCATTTAAGTTTGCATGTTATTCAAGATGCATGTGTTCAGAAACCCCCGACTTTAATCAAACTGGTATCTGCTTTCTTTGATTTGAAGATTCATTAAACAGTCAAAATGTGTCCCCAGTGCATCACTTTTAGTTCTAATAGTTGTTTATGAATACAAGGTGCAAACCAAATACATAAGCTGTCAAATAAAACAGTGAGAACTTGACAGGATTTTGATTTTTAACTTAAATGGAAAAACCACATTGACTATACACTCCTACTAGGAAGACACAGATGCACACACTGGATTACGTGTTACTCGCTAATCTAGGAGGGACTGTGATGAGGTCTTTTGCCACATCAACACTAATACAAAACCAATTAAAATAAAAAAACAGAAACTAATTTTTTTATTTGGCCTTTTCTTCTGTTGATTTTCCACCTACAGAGTTCAGGCCATCTTTCCAACTCCAGACCCTGCAGCCCTCAAAGACCGCCGCATGGAGAACCTGGTGGCCTACGCCAGAAAAGTTGAGGGTGACATGTACGAGTCGGCCAACAGCCGAGTAAGTTTCTGTCTGCTTGAGCTCACTGTCATATTAATCCTGGAGACCTTTTTTTTTTTGCAATTGCTTGAAGATGCAGAGACCTTTCAGTGAGTTTGTTAAGTGTAATTGCTAAGTGGAAACTTGAAGCACACAGGTCCATGTTTTGATGTTTACTCCAGCAGTTACACATCCTCTTTTGTGTTTTTTGTTTGGTTGCAAAAACCTTTATGTTCTTAACACTTCATGTATCCTTCCTTTGTCTTTACAGGCTGAGTACTATCACCTACTGGCTGAGAAGATCTATAAGATCCAGAAGGAGCTGGAGGAGAAGAGGAGAACCCGCCTCCAGAAGCAGGGTCTGGGCCTTGGGCCTGCCGGCATGGGTCAGCCCCCGACTGGACTTCCTCCAAGTAAATGGAACTGCAGCGCATGTAGACTTGGATGAGCTTATGTTTCATTTGGCTGCAGGCGTTCATGTGAACACTAATTCAGTGGAATGTGCCATTTTGATATTTTAGCATTAGTTTGTAACTCTAAACTCATGGAGTGTGATCTGTAACCCCAGATTTGTCCCCTCAGGGTTCTTCCTATCATGCTGAATTATCTTGATGCTTTCGTTTTGGTATAAGTCTGTAAAATTAGAAAAAAAAAGACAGAATAGATTTACCTCGTCTATTAAACTGTTCAGCTGTTGTTCTGAGAGACTTCACAGCTGAGAAGAGAGTTCTCACAGGGAGTCAACAAAAAACTGAATCATCGCGGCTCATAAAACAGCTCGATTTTCTTAGTCATACATCTTTGTTTTAATTTACAGACGGTCCCCTCCCTGACCCAACAATGGTGCGGCCAGCTGGACCAAATCAGATGGTTAACAGGATGCAAGGCCCAGGTAAAGAGCTACTCAGAACCAGGATCACACTGTGCTTGTTGTGCAGTATAATCTCAGTAGAAGAGACGAACGTCTGTTGCGGTCTGTACTATCTACTGTGTAACTACTGCTATCTTATGCAGCTATACTGTTTTCTCTGTGTTTGATCAGGCATGAATCAGTTTAATCAGATGGGGATGCAGTGTGTGGGTCAAAGGTCGACGCCTCCTCTTCCAATGGGAGCATCGGGCAACCAGGTCTGTACTGAACCTGCCAAACATAGATTTAGTTGTAATGGGTCTGTAAATGCATGTAGCTCTGACGTTGAATTACACTGTGTCCAATAGTGTCAACCAGGGTCTGATGTTTTCATAACATAAAGAACAGACATGTCAAATATGAAGATCGTGTATTAAATCTCTTTCACACCCTTTTATGTTCAGATGGGGATGGTTGGACCAAGGATGGGACAGCCGAATGTGAATCAGCTTCAGAACCAGTATCTGCCCCAGGGACAGTTCCCTGGATCAGGTCCTGGAGTTGGAGCAGCTCAGCCTGGGATGGCCCAACCTGGGGCACAGGCAGGCATGGCACAGGTAAACGTCCTTCAGCTCTTTTCTTTTGTGAGCGGTATCCTAAAAGAGGTCATGAGGCAGATTAAACATCAGCAGTTTTTAAAAAAATAGATGAACTCTTTTAGTTTATTTTGTAAAAGGGCTTATAGATACACGAGTGCATCAAAATAAAAGGACTTAGTGTCCCTGATTCTATTTTAGCAACATTTTCTGTGTTTGATGTGTTAACTGTAGTGGTAAGGACCGAGCAAGGGTCTTGTGGGACAGGAAATATGTTAGGAGAGAGACATTTAGAAATTCAACGTGAAATTTTGTTCATCTGAATCATGCAAAACATTAAGAACGACCCTAAACTGAATTTACTTTAATGTGTCAGATCTGTGTACCTTTAATTTCTGTACCCCTGTCTTAACTCTTTATTCCTATTCTCTTCTCGATCAGGCGCAGATGGGCACTCCTCCGTCTCTTCCAGTTGCTAGTCCTCTTGCACAGCCAGGTTCAGCCAGTGGTCCTGGCAGTGTCCCCACAGTCGGGCCCATGGGTCCTCAGAGTGTGGGTGCTGGAGGTCCCAACTCATCTGTCGCTGCGTCGTCGATGACTCCAACTAACTCAAACCAGCAGCCGAACTCCATCCCCCATTTGGCAGCCATGCGAGGCAGCTCTCCCTCTCCTGCTCACAGCAGGTCTCCTACCCCTCACCAAACGCCCCCGAGACTAGCTGGGTCCCAGACCCCGCAGCCACACACACCTAACGCACCGCAGCTGGCGCCACCTTCAGTCCCCCAGCAGAATCAGCATGGTCAGGGCCCTGGCTCGAACAAGTCCCTTCAGCAGCAGCAGCACATGGGACCGTCTGGTTCAACCACTCCGTCTCACCCTGGACTGGCCTCCAGCTCGACACCCCACGGTGCTCAGCTGCCACGCACGCCGGTCAGTGTTAATCAACATGAATTAATTCAAACAGTTTGATTGCTTATTTTATTCCTGGCGTACTTATTAACCCTTCTGTAGTGTCAGATAATGCCTGTCAGGGATTCTGTAATTTTGCCAAAGATGATCTGATCTTAATCATGTTGCCAGAAATTTTGTGATTTCCTCATTTATGATTAATCATTTTAGGAGTCTCAGTGTGTCCCATGCTTTGATTGTTTAGCCACTCTGTATTCTTTTTACTCGTAAATATTTTCACTTCTTTCCAGCACCTGACTCTGTGTCTGTGTCTCTCTAGCTTTCCCAAAAGGGTTCTTTCCAGGCAGACAGTCAGGCCATGACTCCAGCCTCAGTCAACAGCCTGGACACCTCCTCTCAGCAGGCTCAGCTGGACACTTCAGCCACTAACCTTGAAACCAAGATGGAGGTAAAGCAGCAGGACGAGGAGGATGAGAGTGATACAGGCAGCTGTTCGAAAGGTGGGAAACTTGGCAATCTGAAAACAGAAGAGAAGCCTGTGAAAACCGAGCTGAAAAAGGAGGAGTGTTCTGGTGAGGGGGGTAAAGGGGGCGCTATGGATACATCAGCGCCTTCAGCAGTCGTGAAGACGGAAGACAGGAAACCGGAAGTGAAGAAGGAGGCAAAAGAGGAAGAAGAGACGTCGGAGGCTACACCACAAGCTCCAGCAAAAAAGAAGAGTGAGAGAAACTTTTTTTTCTCTCTATACTGTTGGTTTTATGTTTTCACATGGGGGAATATTTTATTTTATTTATTTATTTTTTAACACAGGGTCTTCATTGGGTTGTGCATCTAATCTATCAGTCATTTTCCAATTCTCACTTTACACTTTGATCTCTATTCCCTTTCAGTTTTTAAGCCAGAAGAGCTTCGCCAGGCCCTGATGCCCACACTAGAATCTCTTTACAGACAAGATCCCGAGTCCCTGCCCTTCAGAATGCCTGTAGACCCACAACTGCTGTGCATACCTGTACGTATTCTCACTGAGGTTCAGGCGTACCTCCTTCTCCTATTTTAAATCAACATAGTCTGCATTCAAATACAGTAAATTTACCTTTGGCTTTGGAGTAGTTTCCTCATTTAGAAGAGTTTGATTGTAAATCGACTAACTTGTGCCACAAGATGTAGTCTTCATGTCATCCTTCTCCTTGTAATGCATGATAAACTCAAATAAGATGAGGGTTACGTGATAAACATATGCTTCTTGTGTTTCTTTAGGACTACTTTGACATTGTGAAAAATCCAATGGACTTGTCTACCATCAAACGAAAGCTGGACACAGGTGAGCTGTTCTGGCGAGATTTTTTAACGCTTGATCCAAAGAAAGAAAAAAATCTACTGTTTTCCTCGATGTATGAGCCCCTCATTGTCAAGCTGACCTGTAAAGAAGATTATTCTTTTTTGTTTTTGACATGACTTGCTGCTTCCACTGAACATCAATACTTTTCTCCTTAACTCTTGTTGGAGATGCATAAAGATACAATCCGCTCTTAACCACATTTAAAGTGTTTTTATGAAATTCTCATGCTTTGTGTCTGGGTTACAGGTCAGTACCAGGATCCCTGGCAGTACGTGGAGGACATCTGGCTGATGTTCAACAATGCCTGGCTTTACAACCGCAAAACATCCAGAGTCTACAAGTACTGCTCCAAGCTGGCCGAGGTCTTTGAGCAGGAGATCGATCCTGTTATGCAGAGCCTCGGCTACTGCTGCGGGAGGAAGGTAAGACAGAGAGCCGGACCGGTGAAGTCATGACAAAGAGAAGCTTTAAGGTTAAAATGCTTCAGTTTAAAAGTAAAGGTGTAAGTCACAGCAAAATGACTTGTTGGTTTTTGGGCTCATTTGCAGGGATGATTTTGTATTTTTTTTTTGTTCCTTTCTTTTTATGAATAGTTTTTATTTTTAAGTTTTAGGCTGAAAAAATCAAAACATTAAAGTTATAATTTTCAGTCTTTTCTCAGAGTTAAGACATCTTTGTATCTGATACAGAACATTGGAAGTGCTGCATCAAATCCACATCTATCTCTTGTATTATGCATGCAGAGGACCATGAGTTAGGACCTTTAGAATATGTTTTAGATGGAGAAATTAACTGCCATCATACACATCTGAAAATAGAAGGTGTAAAGAGGGTGATGGCTAATTTTGGCCTTGGGCATACCACTGCCATATCACATTTCAACTCTCATTAGACTCAGCTATATTTGGTTTTGCAGACAAATAACAAAACAGATTGGCTCTTATAATAAAGATTGTCTGAAAGGTAACCCCTGACAGGGTTCATTCTGGAGGCAGATACCTGCACTTGAAGACGAGGAGATGAGTTTGGGGTCTGAAAGGGTTCTGTAAAAAATCTGCAGTCCAAATATGATTGACAAGCAGCATTGAGTGTGCTTTGGTTGTATAGGAAAAATGCTTAGTGACGAGCAAAATCAGGGGAGAATATAGGCTTCACTTTAATCCTTTGAAATAATGCATCAAATGTCATGAATAATCTCTCAGCCACAGACTTGGTTTGATAAGAAGTGGAAGGTGTTGATCAAATCATATAAACCATGTAAAGCTTTTATTCAATTGGAAATGGCTCAAAGACAATGTGTGACATGCAGAAACTGTTTTTCTAAAAACAGAGTTCCTACACAAATATAAAAAAGTGTGTAAAAAAATTTGATCAATTTCCAGGTCTTAAAGAGTATGGAAAATGAAAAATAAATATTGAAAAATATTTATGTTTCCAGGCCATTACCACAGTTCTAAAATACTGTTTTCTAAAATAGAAAAGTAGGTATTTCCAAAAATAATTCTAAAAAGTAGGGTCTGGAAAAGTATGGACAATTCAACTATGAAGGAACCCTGTAAAAAGTATGCACTCTTTTTGTACTTTAATGCCAGAGTCACATTTCAAACATTTAACACAGGGGCATCATTGTGTTGCATCATTTCTTCTAATAATAAATGTAAATGTTTGTGAAACAAGGAGACCAGCTTCTAGAGATCAAATGTTTCCAATCCTGCCTGATAGGATTTCAGCTACCCAGAGGTTTTGGGGTCTTTGTTGTCACTGTTGTGTCATGGATGGTGCTCCAGTTTGTTTCCAAAAGGTGACATGCCAGAACTGCTGGCTGGCCAAGTTAGCACCTTTACTTCTCTGCTCCAGAGATTTGCTGTAGTGAATCCTGCAAAAAGGGAGTTTTGCTGTATCATTTCAGGTCTTTCCTGGGAAAAAAAAGGTAGCAGCATTAATGGGGCTTACTCGGGGTTGTGAATTAGCCATGTTATGAGCACATTTCAGTTCCATACCAACAAGGATGCTGGTTTTGGAAGCTGGGTGCTCCCGCCTTTCTTTATTGCACATGATGCAGCATCCGTTTATTCCAAAAAGAGTGAATCGAATTTGACTCTTACTTGAATAGTTCAAGCCCAGAGAAGTCACTGGAGTCCCTGGATCATGTTTACATATGGTTCCCTCTTTACGTAAAGGTGCAGTTTTAGCCCTGCGTTAGTGGCAAACTGATCATAGACTATGGTTTTGGTATGTAATTTGAGCCCATGGAGGGATTTCCACTACAGAGTCCTAATTGTTTTGAAATGTTGGCATCAAATTCAAAATGAGCTTATATTTGATAATAAGGAGACCAGCTTCTAGAGATCAAATTACATTAGCTTTGTAGTCCTTGCACTATTTTTTTGTTGAAGACAGGCTTTTTAAGTTTTACAAACGATCCAATTCTATCTTTTTCAACGTTTTCCACAGTGTCCCAGCTCTACAGGAATGTAGGTTATACATTTTTATCATTCAGGCTGTTGTTGCAAGTCTGACAAATGGTTGTTTTAGCCAAGACTATCACTTTATCACTTTGCTAAATATCCTGTTTTACTGGCAGACACACAAATCAGACATCAGCTGGTGGGTGAAACAAAGAAAGTTATTTTTGTTAGCTGAAAATTTTTTAAATGTTAGCCAAACAGCTATCAGCTTAGCCCATGATGTCTCTGAGAAATCAGTCTTTTTGTTTCACTCTGAGTTCACCACCATCTACTATCAGCATTATTGGTCTGACTAAACTACAGGTGGAGGTGTAGAGATGTCTTGTTTGTGAAACAAGAGTGTTTACCCTTCATTGTTAAAGGTGTGTGTGACTGCAGGTCTCATTATAGATGCTAAGAGAAAGTCCTTATCTTCTCTTCTGTTTTTTCTCCATCAGCTGGAGTTCTCCCCTCAGACTCTCTGCTGCTACGGAAAGCAGCTGTGCACTATTCCCCGAGATGCTGCTTACTTCAGCTACCAGAACAGGTATGCAGGGAGGGAAGCAGAGAGAAGAGAAGGGATTTGTAAAAGAAGCAGGGACTGTAGAAGTATATTATTGGTAAAGATGTAGCAGACTTACACATGTTCTTGATAGAGTGTTTAAATTAGAGTCTGTTAGAGAGGCAGAGATAGATACTGAGTCTTCATCTTAGTGTTCATCTGATTAATTTTGTCTCCCAAAACACTTCCCTTCACTTCATGGCCCCTCATGTTTTTAACTTCATGTAAAGCCTAGCGCTCTGGCATTTTAATGGTTGGTCCTCTCTTCACATTCTTTGAGTTAATGTAGAAATAAAAATTCAGTGTATGATTTTGTACAAAGAATTGTCTTTGTCTAAAGGCGACACAGACAAAGCAGAGGAGATGTCCTTGTCTAATTATAGAGATGCCTTTTTCATAAAATCATCTCTGTTACACTCCACTGAAGCTCCCTGAATGGACACTTTCCTTGAGGAGATGCTTATTTGTTTAAATTTTCCCTCATATCATCTTTAGTGATTCTTCCTCTCTCTTTACACCCATGAGAACTCCACAGGAATGTGAAAGGACCGACTTTAAAATGAACTGCTTGAATGAATGAACAGCTGAGCTGTCGTCTGTTGCTTACTTGTTCATATTTGTTCAGTGTCTGCATTATGTCCTGTGCTGCTCCAGTTCCCTCCTCATGTTTAGCTCCCGTTGATTCTGCTTCTGCTCTGCTGTGACGGTGCTTGTTGTTGCTTGTCCTCTCATGTCCAAATCGCTAATCTGTGCTTTGCCTCGGCTCTCTACTGCGTGTTGTCTTGGATGTTTGTCTCGTCCTGTTCCCTGTGTATGACTTGTCCGTCCTCCCTTCCAATGGCTGTGATATCAACATTGGCTTGCTTTTGCCTGAACAACCATGCACCTCCAAACCCATCCCCTCTCACCCTCACCTCTCAAAATCATGACTGGCTGTTGTGATGACGACTTCCCGCTGTCCTGCGCTCCCACTTCCTGCTTGCTCCGCTTGTGGCACCCCTTCCTTGCCCATGTCCTGTACTGATTGGTGACTGCCCTCCCTCCCTTCCTCGCGCTGTCTGTGATTGACTGTGCTGTGGGGAACGGTGTAGTTCACCAAAATTTGGGCTTATTGCTGACAGGTACCACTTCTGTGAAAAGTGCTTCAACGAGATCCAGGGAGAGACGGTTTCCCTGGGCGACGACCCCACACAGCCTCAGACGTGAGTAATAGTCTGTGTAATAAGCGAGACTAATATCGTTGAAAAAGACTTATCCTTTCATTCAGAAACAAACTCAAGCTTTAAAAAAGCAAAGTCCGTTCCCTCTTTTTCTGATCGCATTAGCTGTGTGTTTACTTTGATGTTTGGCAAACCTGTTTATAGGAAGGCTAAAGGGTTCACTCAGGTTATAAAGAAAATCTGATCTTATTGCTGGATCATTTTCAGATCAATTAACAAGGATCAGTTTGAGAAGAAGAAGAATGACACACTGGACCCTGAACTGTAAGTCAGCCTATGACCATAGTAAAAGTTTTGAGTTGTATTCACTGAGCATGGTTGTAACAAGCTCTCTCCCTCTCTCTGTCAGGCTTGTTGAATGTATGGACTGTGGGCGCAGGATGCACCAGATTTGCGTATTACACAATGACACAATCTGGCCATCAGGGTAAGTAGCACTGTCAGATTCAGGTCATTGTCAAGGTTTATTTAAAATTCACAGTGTAATTCACCAGATACTGTTTTGTCTGTTAACATCTCTATTTCACAGTTTCGCATGTGACAGCTGCTTAAAGAAGGCAAATAAGACGAGGAAAGAGAACAAGTATTCTGCCAAAAGTGAGTTTGTCATGTTTGGTTTTATAAATGGCATTTCTGTTCATACAGAGAACTGGTATACTGTCTTCATATTCACTGACAACTTCCCTTGAATCCCTTTTTTTCATAAGTGTATTTTTCACCTGAGCAGTTGATTAGAAAACTCTAATATAACTGAAAGTAATTTCCCCGACTCTCCTCAACCCAGGGTTGCCCCAGACGAAGTTGGGCTGTTACCTCGAGCAAAGAGTGAATGACTTCCTTAAGCGTCAGAACCACACGGAGGCCGGGGAGGTCACCATTCGTGTCGTCCATGTTTCTGACAAGGTGGTGGAGGTTAAACCCGGCATGAAGTCCAGGTACAGGAAATAATGAACATACATCTACTATCATGTAGTTGGGAATGCCAAGTGTCTAATAATTTTCAGCTGTTTATCACTAAAAAACCACATCACTCAAGGGAAAAGGTTTTTTCAAACTGCAATCTATCAGAGTCTCTAAGTCTTCTTTTTTAAAATGTGATTTTGTAGTAACAAGAAGGTTTTTAGGGGTGATATTTGTCATAAATACTTCTGTTTTCTTTTGTTCTTTATTTCATAGTCAGTTTCACCTCAGTGTCTCTAAACCGTGTGATTTTTTTGTCTACAGGTTTGTGGACAACGGAGAGATGTCTGAGTCCTTCCCTTACAGGACAAAAGCTCTTTTTGCCTTTGAGGACATTGATGGAGCAGAAGTCTGCTTCTTCGGTATGCATGTTCAAGAGTATGGATCTGACTGCCCTCAGCCCAACCAGAGGTGAGGATATTACTACTTCAGAAACATTTTATACATTTCTGTTTGTTCTTACAACATGCAGCTTCTTTGACAATTGGGTTCAAGTTCATATGATATATAAATTCCTTCTCTTTGATCCTTCTAGGCGGGTGTACATCTCCTACCTTGACAGTGTGCACTTCTTTCGGCCCCGTAGTTTGAGAACAGCAGTATATCATGAAATCCTTATAGGCTACTTGGAGTATGTCAAGAAATTGGGGTGAGTACAGCTGCATGTAGAGCATATTTTAAGTGTTTGTGCAACTTCTCCCATCACTTCTCCTGTTTCTCTTTGTCCTTCAATAATTTTCGGTTCTGTGTTTGGTCTTTGTGTCTCCTCCTCAGCTACACCACTGGCCACATCTGGGCCTGTCCGCCAAGTGAAGGGGACGACTACATCTTCCACTGTCACCCCGCAGACCAGAAGATCCCAAAACCCAAACGCCTCCAGGAGTGGTACAAGAAGATGTTAGACAAAGCTGTGGCAGAGCGGATAGTACATGATTACAAGGTTAGGATTCAGATTTGTTCTTTAGTGTATTCAAAGGGTCAGACTTACTGAACTTTGAGAGCATAGTTGTGAATCTCCTGGCTAAACCTCAGCTTGCATCAAAACACTAACTTTATTTTCAATCTCTCCCAAAAGGATATCTTCAAGCAGGCGACAGAGGACCGTTTGACCAGTGCCAAGGAGCTGCCTTACTTCGAGGGGGATTTCTGGCCCAACGTGTTGGAGGAGAGCATCAAAGAGCTGGAGCAAGAGGAGGAGGAGAGGAAAAGAGAGGAGAACAGCACTTCAAACGAGAGTATCGATGTAAGAATGCTCACATTGCCATCATTTGTTGGAAGTGTGTAGTTTTCTCACAGGTGTAAGCATCTACATTTTCTTTTCTTCCGCCTGTAGGACACGAAAGGTGACAGCAAAAATGCAAAGAAGAAGAACAACAAGAAGACGAGTAAGAACAAGAGCAGCATGAGCCGAGCCAATAAGAAGAAGCCAGGGATGCCTAATGTCTCCAATGACCTCTCACAGAAACTGTACGCCACTATGGAGAAACACAAGGAGGTATGAGACCAAGACATGGGAGACTGTTCATGACTGAATGACCTGATAGATGTTCTTAGATGAGCAAAGTTTAGTAAGTCCAGATTTCAGCTGTGTCTCATCTCTTCTTTCTGTCCCAGGTATTCTTTGTGATCCGGCTCATCGCTGGTCCCATGGCAAACGCCTTGCCGCCTATCTCGGATCCCGATCCCCTGATGGCCTGTGACCTCATGGATGGCCGTGATGCTTTCTTGACACTGGCCCGGGACAAACACCTGGAGTTCAGCTCTCTGAGGAGGTCCAAGTGGAGCTCCATGTGCATGTTGGTGGAGTTGCATAACCAAAGCCAGGATCGGTTTGTCTACACTTGTAACGAGTGCAAGCACCATGTGGAGACTCGTTTCCACTGCACTGTCTGTGAGGTGAGTTTGGGACGGACTGTTTTGAGAAAACCGGGTTTAACTTGAACACCGGTTCATTGTCCTGTACGTTTTTGTCGATGTTTGCTGCAAACAACATCTAAATGTTTCAAACTGTCCCCCCACAGGATTACGACCTCTGCATTACGTGTTATAACACTAAGGGCCATGAGCACAAGATGGAGAAGTTGGGTCTCGGTTTAGATGACGAGAGCAGCAACCAGGCTGCAGCTACCACTCAGAGCCCAGGAGACTCTCGCCGCCTCAGCATCCAGCGCTGCATCCAGTCCCTCGTCCACGCCTGCCAGTGTCGAAACGCAAACTGCTCTCTGCCGTCCTGCCAGAAGATGAAACGCGTTGTTCAGCACACAAAGAGCTGCAAGAGGAAAACCAACGGCGGTTGCCCCATCTGCAAGCAGCTCATCGCCCTGTGCTGCTACCATGCTAAGCACTGTCAGGAGAATAAGTGCCCGGTTCCGTTCTGCCTAAACATCAAGCACAAGCTCCGACAACAGCAGCTGCAGCATCGCCTCCAACAGGCCCAGATGCTCAGGAGGAGGATGGCCAGCATGCAGAGAGCCGGTCAGCCGGCTCCTGGTGGAGCTCCTGGGGGCAACGGCCTCCCCTCTCCGGGAGCCAACAACGGAGCAACTGGTCCTGGTACGCCTACATCTGTTGGCACGCAGCCTCCTACCCCTCAGACACCGACCCAAGGCAACATGGCTTCTCTCCCTCAGCAGCAGGGCGTGGGTATGGGTGGAATGGGAGGAATGGGAACTCCAGGCCAGCAACAGCAGCTTCAGCAGCAAGGCGGTGCCATGCCCCCTCAACACCATCTCCATCAGTTTCAACCTGTGGCAGGCGGGGGTGGAGGGGGGATGATGAACTCGCCTCAACAGCAGATGGTGCCCCAGCTTCAGCAGCAGCCCCCCAATGTCCAGCAGCTCCAGCAGCAACATCCTGGTGGTTTGCCTCCATACAACCCCAGACCACCTGGAGCTTCGCCTTTACACCAGTCTCTTGGCAAACCTGGACTGGGTCCTGCTACTCCACCCCAGCAGCAGCAACAACCCAATCAGGGTCAAGGAGCCATGCCTGTATCTGGCCAGCAGCAGGGGCCCCCTTTGGCTGCTGTGGAGACCGCCCTAAAGATCCAGCGTCTAGCAGAGACCCAGAGACAGATGGCTCAGGCCCAGGCTCAGGCCCAGATACGTGGCCTCGGACAAGGGGGCATGATACCACCACATGGCCACCACCAAAACACCCAGAACCAGATGGGCATGCCACATATGGGGGCTCAGGGTATGCCTCCCCAGGCTCAGGGAGTTGTTGGCAGGACTATGTTAGATCCACAGCAGCAGGGAATGCTAGCAGGGATGCAGCAAGGTGGTCCCCAGTCTCAGTTGCCACCTCAAGTTCAGCAGCAGCTCCAGCAAGTCCAGCAGGGAGCAGGTGGTCAACTTCAGCCAGGAAACCAGCAGTGGGGGCCTGGAGGCCCAGCCATGAACCCACAACAGAGGCCTGGCATGATGGGTCACATGCCGCCGCAGCAGCAGGCAGCCGTTGGCCAGCAACCACAGCAGCAAATGACTCAGCAACAACTGCAACAAGGAAACCGCACCCTGATGCAGGTGATGAGTGCAGCGGGAGCGGCAGGAGGAACGCCCGCAGCACTAGCGAACGCAGCTGCATCAGGAAACCTCCCACAGGCCGCACTACAAGATCTTCTGAGGACCCTGCGCTCCCCAAGCTCCCCCCTCCAACAGCAGCAAGTCCTCAACATCCTACGCTCCAACCCCACTCTGATGGCTGCTTTCATCAGGCAAAGAGCGGCCAGGTATCAGGGGGGTCAGGGGGGGCCTGGAGGACCAGGAGGGCCTCCACAAGGCGGCCCTGGAGGTGTGAGGTTCCCTGGAGCCGCAGGAGGGCTGCCTGGGGCTAACATGGACGGGCAACAGCAGGTAAATGTGAACCAGGCAGGTCAGCCAGGGATGAACATGGCTCAGGGTGGAGCAGGAGGAGGAAACATGCCCACCATGGCTCAGCTACAGCAGTTACAACAACAGCAACAGCAGCAGCAACAACAACAACAACAACAACAACAGCGCCCCATGTTGCCTGCTAACCTCCAGCAACAGCAAATGGCTGCATTACAACAACAACAACAACAGCAGCAGCAACAAGGAGCAATGCAAGCAGGTCAACAAAGCAACATGGCCAATATGACGCCACAGTTCAGAGAGTTGTTGATGAGGCGACACCTGCAGCAGCAGCAGCAACAACAACAACAGCAGCAGCAGCAGCAGCAGCAGATGGGTAACCACGGACAGTTCCAACAGCCTCAAGGACTTCAGCAGCAGCAGGGCCAACAGGGCTTCATGCAGCCAGGCCAGGGACAGCCAGGGATGCCCCCCTCCTCTCAACCCCAGCCTGGGGGGGGAGTAGGGGGTCCCCAGCAGCAGCAAGGAGGACCTCAGGGGGGCTCAGGACAGATGGGGCAGCAGCAAGGCTATCCTAACTCCATGTCCCAGGTAGCTGCGGCGCTTCAGCAACGGCTGCAGCATCAGATTCAGATGCAGCAGCAGCAGCAACAACAGCAGCAGCAGAGTTCGATGGGTGGGCTTCAAGGACAAGATGGCGGGCCAGGTGGAGGCTCAGGAGGGTCTGGAGGACCGCCACTCCAGCCTGGACAAGGTGGACCGGGGCAGGGGCCGCAGCAGCAAGGTGGAGTCGGCGGAGGGGGTGGTGGCCCGCCGCTGCCGCAGACGACACAGAGCATGCTTCACCAGAACATCCACCAGAGGCTCCTCCAGCAGCAGCACCTAGGCGGGGGGTCTCCTGCTCACCACAGCAGTCCCATGAGTCCCCAGCAGCAGTTGGCACAGTCTCCCCACCCCCACCTCCAAGGACAAGGAGGACTCGGTCCCGCAGGTTCGCTCAGCAGTCAGGTCCGGTCGCCCCAGCCCTCGCCTCGGCCGCAGTCACAACCTCCACACTCCAGCCCGTCCCCACGCATGCAGCCCTCCACCCAGCCCCAGCCTCAACCATCCCCTCATCGCATCTCCCCACAGACCCAGACTGGCTCACCCCACCCCGCCCATCTAGGCCAACATCACCCAAGTATGGCTCCACCGCAACCTCCACAGCCCCAGCAGCAGGCGTTATCGCAGCAGCCGGGCGGTTCTGTGGACACGTCTCAGTTCAGCTCAGACCAGAACTCCATCATGTCGCAGCTGAGCGGAATGACAGGGATGCACGGCGGGCAGGGGGGGCAGTCGGACATGTTGGGTGGGAATAATAACAGCAACAACACCAACCAGGAGCTGGGGACGAACATTAACCATAACAGTTTAGACCTGATATAGCCTTGACTGGGTCTGTCTCTCTCTGTGTTGACGCTCTGATCGGTTGCCCCGAACAACAAACTGCCATGAGAGGAGAGGCGGCGGGACTACGGCTTTGGGGTTTTAGAAGTTTTTATTTTTTATTTAAATATTTTTGTGATGTATAAATAAGAACTGAAGCTTCCTTCCTATGGGAGATGCAACATAAATCTTAGAAGTCAATAAATGAATAAATTAAAACAATGGTAAGTTATTGCTGTTAATATATATCTATATATTTTTGCCAATTGTGTACAAAAAGGTGGAAGGGCAGTGTTTCAGGTTGAAGATATTTCTTCCTTAGTCTATGACACAATATTTTTGGGGACTGAGAATTTTTGCCTTTTTATGAATATTTTTAAGATTTTAAATGTGGCTAAAAATTAAAGTGAGTTGACACGATGTACCTTTTTTATCGTTTTGTTTTCCGCTTCAAATACTTGGTCATAATTGTATCTATTTTGCAGAGTAAGTATATTTTATTTCTGGGTTCATTTTTTTCCACCCCGTCATGGAGTCATCAAACAAGCATCAACATATCTCCTTTTTCTGGACCGTTTTTACAGCATTGTACAGTGACTGCAACAATTCACATATGTAGAGTAATTATTGTTTGCTATGCCGGTGGGAGGGTGTTCGATGCAGTTTAATTTCACCAGGGTTTTTTTTTTTTTTTTAAATTTGCTTTATTTGTTTATTTTGGCAGGGTCTATTGATCTATAAATGAAACCTCAGCAGTGTTTTGGGGAGTGGGCGACGTTAACAGTGGGTTTGGTCAAGTTTTGCAATGTCCAAATCTGCGGATCAAACCCCTCTGCACCTGTAGGCCACCCTCCATCTTCAGTTACCCTATGAATGTGCACACCTTCCTCACCCCTAACCCCTAACCCCACCCCTGTGATAAAATGGAGGGATGAACTGTTGATTTCTGATCGTCTCGGTGTCAGGTGTGTTGTTTAAAGCTGGCTGATGTTAGAAGGTTATGTGTGTGTGTGTAAATATATTCAAGCCTTGTTGATGAACTGTGATATGTGAAAGAGGTTGATCAAGTTGTTGTCTGGGCTGCAGAGGTTTGAGAAAATCCTGCCTGTTTCCTCATCCCCTCGAACGGTTTCCTTGTCCTCTCCTCATCCTCATGACTGCCTCTCAGCCACAAAATTTATTTCAATGTTAGAGCTGTACAAATAAGAAATGGTGGACTTAGATACTGTTTTTGTAATGAAAGCAAAAGATGTAAAAAAAAAAAAAAAAAAAATCATGTACATACTTTAAACCTTACGAGCAGAGACGTTATTTTCTGCTGCTTCTTTCCCCTCTTGTTTGATTGGATATTTGCTGTATCTGTAAAAACTACAAAAGTACTCCTGAGCTACTGTACAGTATTGAGATTTTTTCTAAAAGGTACAGTGTGGGGTGTAGTCGGTCACAAGCACCAATGCGCCTTTTTCTGTGTATTTTTGACAAGGTTTTTTGGGGGGGTGGGGGTGGGGGTTACTGTAACAACTTACACACCTGAACAATCTCAAAAACTTTAACCTGCAAGAAGTGGAGCTGGGGTCACGGGTTCATTCAAGGTGTGATCTGTAAGAATTTAAACCTGGTCATTTAGCTTTTTATGGAGAGGACTGAAGACACAATATTCACATGCTCACTATTTTTCTCAAAAGGTTGGGCTTGCTGGGTATGGGGAGGGGACGCATCAGATCCAGGTGGCAATATATCTTGAGACTTATTTTATAAGAAAAAACAAGGAAAAACTGTCTTTTATATATAGATATATTATTTAATTTTATTTTTTGGAAATAAAACTTGAAGCTACAGGAATTATTAGATAAAACATGTTTTGTTTTGTATTAAAGATGTTATGGTGATGCAAAAAGACACTGCAGACAGTCATTCAGTTTGCCCTGGGGAGGCCGTGGAGTATATTCTACCATCCTTTTTAAGAAATGTTTCATGTACATGAATATAGTTGTAAACATACTGAATCACTGTACAAACCGATGGCAACTGAACAAATAGTTTTGTTTTAATCATTTCTTCTCCTTAAAAGAGACTGGAAATAAGACTATTTAAATATTTGTTTAGTATTCAAATGGAATCTTTGACCACTTTTTCGTTCCTCTTGTTAACAATTTTGGTGCTTGCTGAGAGAAAGCAAAAATAACTGTTGCTCCATTTTCATTAGTTTTTTTTTAAGTTATTTTGGTGGTCTGATTGTTTTTTGCCAATAAATTAATTGTACAATAAAGTATGTTTGTACCATTGAAAAATTACACTATTGTTGCATCTTTTTTTTTGTTTACAGTGAGGTAAGATAGTAAAAGTTAGATGGAAACTGAAGGAACTGGATTTCCTTTTAGGCTGTGAGTGAAATATCTGATTTTCCTTGAAAAGGAGGGCTAAAAATCAAGAGGAAGTAAATCCAACTCTTCGTCATCCTCCCTGTTAGCGAAACTACTCACTCTTTTGTGAAAATTCAGAAAAAAAAACCCACTCATCCTTTAGTTTCATCTCCCCTTTCATCATTTTTGTTTATTCCTTAACTCTTCAGGTGTTTCTAAGCATACAAATAACTTACAGTTGTTTCAAGACTTAGTAAAATCAGGCATCTCCTGTTTGTCAATAAACAGCAGAACAAAACTGATACCAAACAGGAGCAACATTAATTTTTATTGGAACTATAGAAATATCCTCTACACGATGACACTTGGTAGACTGGAGAAGTTTTACGTCACAATAAAGTGCAAAGTTGCTCACTCAGTGGAGGACGAAAAGCAGCACAAGCAACCACACAGGCCACAGAGTCATATCAAGGTGCTTGTTTCACGTATACACACACACATACATATTTAAATATGGCATCAGCTCAGTGGTTATCACAAACTGTATAAAAACGTCTCTGTCATTCTTCAGCATGACAAATATAGCTGTTAATTGAAAGAATAAATATACATTCAGGTTAATGTAGAAAAATAATGACTCCAAAAATACACCTTCTCCCCCGCTGTCCCTTCAGTCTGTCCCTCCTTTAAGTTCCCATGCAGTTCAAGTCTTTGTTGCATCAGGGGCGGATTGTGCCTGCAGGCGAACAGAAACCATATGATTTTGTGTGTGTGTGTGTGTGTGTGTGTTGTGTACAGGATAGCGAGAGCCTGACAGACAAAACAACAACAGAAAAATGCAACATCAGGCACTTCCGTTCCCTGCAGCTTCACTGTCACACACAAGACAGTTTAGAGATCACGAGACGCTGACCCATCATCCATCAGTGCGGGATAAACATCTTGCTGACCAATGGGATGCCTCTGTGGGAGATTCCACAGACGTGACACATCACATCAGCTCCTGTGTCCTCAAGGCAGGAAGCCAGCAGTGTCAGACCAGCAGGCGAGGTTTAGGGTTCGGCTTTTTATTCTGATTTCCCACCATTCAATTTATCTGCAGCCTACGACTCATTTCAGACTCTGCGCAGGGACCCTGACCCCTTTGACCACGACCATTTCTTTAGTGTCTGCATTACTTTGACTTTGGCCAAGTTTTGGTTTTATTTTACAACAGGTTTACTGAATGCAACATGTTGAGTTTTCTTGTCAGACATTACTTACTGAGCAGTATCCTTAGTTGATTTGTGTACCTTTATTAATGGTAAGAAATTACAACCACAAACTACAAAAAGTTTAAATAATGTGTAAAACGTTGATTAAAAGCAGATTTTGATTGTTTGCAAAACACTGAAAAACTGCTTCGCTAAAAAACTCGGAGTAAAAAGACTAATTTGATTAATCTGTGACAGGTTCATGACATGACTGGGTATAAAAAAGACATTACCAAGTAAAGATAGGAAGAGATTCATCACTGTGAGGGACGGTGTGAGCAAATACTTGAACAAGATATTAGTGTAATGTTCCTCAGCATAAAACATCAGGGAATTTGAAGATTTAATTGTCTAAATTTTATAATATCATAAAAAGATAAAGAAATCTCTGAACTAAAGGAACAAGGCTGAAAACCAGTTTCTTGACATCACCGCATGGACTCAAAATCACTTCATGTTGAGTTGTGTTGCATTCCCAAATGTAGGCTTTAACTGTATTAAGCAAAGGGATAACCACATATTAACATGATCTAGGAACGCCGTCGACTCCTCCAGACCCCAGCTCTTTTATGACAGACTGAGGAAAACTGTCCTGTGGTCTGACAAATCTAAATTCAGCCGTCATTTTGGAAGTCATGGATGCTGTACCCTCTCTCCTAAAGTGGTCAGGGATCAATTGGGGGGTGCATGAGTACTCATGGCTTGGGCGGCTTAAACATCCAGCCTGTTGTAGCTTCTCGCCAGTACGGCTCTGTAGTAGAGGAGTCCAAGTGCAATGAAACCATTTGACACGTCATAAAACACAAAACACAACTAAGGAGACCAGGAACTGTTGAGCAGATAAAATTAAATATCAGGCAAAAATGGGAACATTTTAACTTTCAAAGCTACCAAAACTGGTCTCCTGAGTTCCTACACATTTATAGATTGTTGTAAGCAAGCAAGTAAGTAAGTAAGTAAATAAATAAATAAAACAGATGCAACACTTTGGTCAACAAGCCCCCATCTCAACTTTTTAAAAATGAGTTGCTGGCATCAAAACTTACAATGAACATAAAGAATACTTTTACAAAACATCAAACGTTTAAGATTCAACATTTAGTGTGTTGGTTTGCCCTATTTTTTAATGAAGTCGGGCTTAAATCATTTGCAAACAATCAAAAAGCTGTTTTCATCAACACTTCAGAGTCACAACTTTTCTGGAGTTGAGGTTGTATTATAGTTATAGATTTTACTATGTGGTTTACCCTGTTGGAAAAACTGTACAAAGAGGCCCCAGAAGCTTCAAACTCTTCCTGTGAGCGGTTAATACAGTGTTATTCCACCGTACGTTCTTGAACAAGTGTCCCTTAGTTTTTTTCTTTTGTACATTACTAAGTCATAACTCGTGTGTGTGTGTGTGTGTATGTGTGTTCGTCTCTGTTGTATATATTGAGATGAAGAGCTCAGTGGAGGCAGAAATCCACACTGGGAGGAGAAAGGCATGCAGACGGATCAAATCTTCTACCAGAGAATTTTGAAACGCATACAAGACTAAGCCACATGTTGCTCAGTAGTAACAGTCTACGTGTTCACAGGTTACAGGTACAGCACTGTGTGTTAGTATGAGACTGACAGCTACACTCACCTCACTGTAGTTTAGAGTATGTTTGATACTGGACTGTATGAGCATGAGGTCAGTACTGAATGTTGAACCTAATGTGGAAGAGAGACGGAACAGTGGCCTGGTTTACATGCACAGAGAACTCCTTGTTTTTGCAAATTCACATCAAAGTTTTGGTTTGAACCAGATCTAAAATGACTAGCATGCTCTCAGAGCAGTAAGACGGGTAAAAGACAGGGAATTAGATGCTCTGCATGACAAGTTAAGATCCCTTTAACTCTCCCCTTAAACAGCCAAATTAGAAACTAACTTCAGCGTCATCACAGAGAAACAAAAGTAGAGAGGGTGGGCCACATGCTGTTAGTATTTAGAGAGGAAAAATGCAGGAATGTGTGCATGTAGATAACAGAACTGAAGGAAAGCAAGATTAGGTTCAATTTAGGCTCTGTTAACAAATCATTAAATACGTTGAAGCACAAGTTTCATAGTGTCACAGGTACATTATTCTGATGGGAAACACTGAATATAACCAGAAAAAAAGCCATCAGCCAAATGGAAGGAGGACGGAATCTGAATGAAGCCAGGAAACAAGGAGGCATTGAACACGAGGTCCAGTCTTTTGAAAAATTTAACATTTATAGGTTAGAAATGTGAGACCATAGACTGTTTGTAGAATGGACAGTGTCTGCCTCCTCGATGGGTGAAGCGACTCCGATAACAGCACCCTCTGATGACGGGCTGCAGTATAGGTCACAAATCCTGCCTCCACCAGCCAAGTTTATGGGGCTGTGGACAAACTTTAGAAATGTATTACACAGAACATAAATTTTTCTCCCCCTGCTTGTGATGTTGACATGTAGTTATTGTAAGACTGGTTTGTGCTCAAGTCCTCTTTTTTCTGTGAAGCTCCGTTTTTAAAAGTTATTAGTGGGTTCACGTTTTCTATGATTGACACCTGATACAGCCTATAGACGTACAAGGATTGCGTAGCTCACCTAGGGGATATGCTATTTGAGCCAAGCGCCATCACAGCGACTCTCTGCGACTCTCCCGCCAAATGCGTACATTGCTACTGCGCAAGTGGTGGAGTGCATACAACGCTACTGCGCAATGTTGGTTTCGGGAAATGGAGAAAAAACGCAGAATTACCGAGAGCTTTTCGGCTTCAAGTCCATATACTGGTGTAAGGCGGAACCAAGTTGTCCATAGTACATACAGTCTATGGTTGAGACCTAATTTTGCAGACTTAAGACCTAACCTTCGCGGTCATCAACACATTGGGGCATGTGGAGCATGTGGAGCAGTCTATCAGTTGATGCCTACTCCAAAATACCAAAAATGAACATCTACAAACTTAACCCCACCAGCACATTTAGTGGATTCAAACAAGACAATGATTTGTTTTTGATGGGCCATTGATTTCTGACTTTCAGAAATCTCATTTGATTCACCCATGTGATCACAATGTTAACTTAACAGTGGCCTTCAGCTCGTGTAGTGTTTTAAGTGCTGGTTCTCAGCCAATGTGAGTCCCCTCCTGCAATCAACTTCAATGTGGCAGCCGTATATAGAGCACATTTCATCTTTTTTTGTCCTTCAGCTGAAAAAGTTTGACCTTCTTTCCATGTTTTGGTCTTCTGAATGGACAACATGTGACTTAGCTGACCTTTGTTTATGTAGATGCCTCACTTTTTGTGTCATTAAAGGGGTGGTATCATGCTTTTCCACATTTACAACAAAATCTGCAAAGTTACAAAGTTTGGTGTCCATACAAAATGTATGCAAAGTTTCAAATCACAAGGTTGTCATAATCTTTGAAAATAATCGCAAACTGTCAAAACAGGACCTTGTGAGAAAACGCGAGACTCAATAAAATGATTGTGTCATACTGTTCGGGCACAGCGGAACAGCCTGCCTCCAACAGAGTGTTACAACCGCCCAAAACATTGAGCTCTTTCTTAGATTGGTCTCTGGAAAACCTTTGGAGAGGTGGCCAATCAGAAGAAAGTAGGCTCATGGGGGTACTTAAAGAGACAGTAGCTAAAGCGTAGCATTTCAGACGGAGGCCGAAATCATGATATTTTAATACTCCACTGTGAGAAATTTGAGGCTTTTTTGATCTTAAAACTATGTAAAGCTATTAAAGTGGTATCAGAGAGGAAATATAGAGTCTGGAAAAAACGCTCAATACCCCCTCTTTAAAAAACAAGAAGAACAAGTGTTAGCTATCTAAAACCTCCTGAGCTGATGGGAACTCAGTCCTAACATTCAAACAGGAACAGCTACACCTGAACACAGTTCTACTCAAAGTTCTGCTTAAATCACAGTTTCTAACTCTGTGCATGTAAACATACCACTCACCAGGCTGGAAGTAGCTAGTAGGAAGAGCAGAGGCCTCAGAAAGGGAATGACACGCTAACCCAGGCCCTAAACAGCTCTTCCTCACCAAACTACAGCCACCTCATCACATGTCAGACCTCCAGGCCCAGGTCTCTGAAGAAGCCTTTGGCAACTCTCGACTCTTTGAAAGTCACTGTAAGGGAGTTGAGAGTGACATCAGTGACTGTAACCTCCCCGGCACCAATGATAGGTCGCCACACGTCAGCATTGTCCGTTTTTTCTGATGCAGTGACCTCGACTGGTCTGATCGTGGAGCTCCACTTGTCCGTCTTTTCCAGTCCTGAGTAAGTGAGAGACAAAGAAAGAAGGAGAAGGGGAAAGGATTGCTCTCAGATTATGATTACATCAAACCTCTCACAAGTGTACAGTTATTGAGTTAACCTCTGTAGATATAATATATCAGCTCTGACGGATGTTATAATCAGACATAGACAAGCATTTGGCTCTGATTCTATCTGAGCTGACGTGGAAATAAAGGAGCTCCATTGTGTGCTCCATATCAGTTTTTAAGGAGATTTATTGCTTGGCTGTGTTGAAAACTTGACCCTAATTATGTCTTTATGTCTTCAGTTGGTGGCCAGTTAATAAGCAGGATAGGGGTGTCCCGATACAACTTTTTTACTTCCGATACTGATATTGTAGCCTTTACGATCGGCCGATACTGATATTGATCCTATATTAGCACAAACTTGTGCATCACAAGTTTTGCACTCAGCTACAAGGTCTTTTTCACAAACATTTTTTATTAAACAAAAAACACTGCAACATGGTCGACATCACTCCCTCTTCTCGCTACTTTGCTGGTACCTTAGTACACACTGTTATTGTGATTACACGGGCTCTGCATGCTGAATCCGAGTCTGGAGCGGAGTCTGCTTGTATCGGAGTGCTGATATTCAGAGATTTTAGATGCAGGCCGATATAATCCGATATTCATTTTTTTTGCTGATATCACACTGATATCCGATATCTAATGTCAATATCGTATCGGGACACCCCTAAAGCAGGATAATGTATAGTTTACAGGTGGTTACCCAAATTAAAACTTTTGAGGGGGAGACAGAGTAAGAAAGAAATATATGGACTGCAAAAGCCAATACTAGTTATTTTAGTGACTGTGATTCCATTTCTTGGAGTATTTTCAAAACCCTGGAAGCTACTAAACCTAAACTAAAAGTTAATGTCTTTCAGAAGACTCTAATAATTAATAACTGAGTCTTAATATCCTCCTGCTCATTCTAGATTTTTGTAATGTTAGATGTTTTTTTAAAGAGGTTTTTAAAATACTTCATATTCCTGAACTTTTTAGGCTCTAAGACTTCTATATGTGGTGCTTTTGCTCTTTTTAAAAAGAAATATCAGTCTACAAGTTTTAAATAATATTAATGGCGTCAGAAGTCCTGGCTTTTGGGTGGAAAATATTGAAAAGCTTCAGATTTTAAAGGTTCATTATCTATTTTAGACTGATATCAATTCAATGATAACTTGATCAATCATGCAATTTTTATTATTCCCTGCAATCATGACAATAATCTGTCTCAGGTCAGCTCAAAATGAATGAAGTTCAATGGTTTTGGTTGCACGCCAAGTGAAGAAAGCCTTTGCATGACTGAGGCTACAACAGGTAAAGTGGGCTGTGATAGTAACTACAGTCAACTACCTGAGTGACTTAATCACTTACTATTTAAAGTACCTCTGCCCTCTTCTCGTGCTACTTCTTCCTCCCTCTCCTCCTCCTCCTCTTCTTCTCCATCCTCTAAATTGTCCTCCTCCTCTTCTCCTATATCCCAGTCCTCCTGTGTAGGACTTGGAGGGTTCGAGTCAAGGCACTTAAACTGTAAGCTCCCAGATTTACTTTTCTGATGTTCTAGTTCTGTTTGCGGGTCTTCCCTGCAGTCACTGTACAACTGACCCTCGTCCTCAGAGACCAGAGAGCGCGTCAGAGAGAGACGAACGCGAGGAGGAGGCGTCTCTGGGGTCTTGTGAGCGCTGCGGAGATCCATTGTGTAGACAGTGCTCTGAAAAATCACAGAGAAAAACACCAAAACACAGAAACTTAAGGACTGAGCAGACATAATCAAGAGGTTATAAATTTGTCAGCTATGATAACTTTTCTCTGAAGGCAGATTAAGTTCTCTATCGAGGACAATCATCCAACAGAAGCCAGTAAAGGAAACAGAAATAGAAAGAAAGTGGTGCAATAAAATAATAAAATGCTGTTTTGTGGATAGGAATATTTCTTTACCTGCATAAGAAGTCTTTTGGTTTTGGATCCTTTTCTCCTGTGGCCCAGAGCTCTGTCTCTCTGCTCTCTAAAAAGCCAAAAAAACACAGTCAAAAGATTTCTATTACAAAATATATTGTGTGCATCTGCAGGCCTTTATGAGAGGCTTTGCGGCTGGTTAACACCTTTCCCACTTCCTTTGATATCACACTCTTACATGACATAAAAATGAGCACACCGTACTGCAACAAAAACAGCATCCATGTGGGTGACACAAACACGCCCTTGTCCTTCCAAATAAAGTTTAAGGGTAGAAGTACGTTTGTTCGGGTCATTAAGCAATGGATAGTCAGGATGTCGACATTGTTAGAGTGCCACCGCTTAACTTTGCTGCCTATGCTGAGCTGGAGGATTTGCATATCAGTCTACTCTACATTTCAAATGACTTCCTGTGAGTTCACAGTTTCTTTTGACCAGCTTTGATATTACTATTTGTGTTGTATATAGTGTAAAAACTTGTTTATTATCTCTTTACTTTTACTTATTTTATCTATTTATTTCTTTATTTTACTTATTTTTACTTATTTTATCTATGATTTATCTCCTCTTTTTACTGTATTTGCACTGAAGTACTGTGACAAAAGCAATTTCCGGGGATTATTAAAGTATTTCTGATTCTAATTCTTGTGGTGACAGCGGACTCTGTGTCTAAGGGAATCCGGTCACACATTCCTGCTGCGCACTGCAAAGATGGTAAAATCAAGCACAGAGTCCCACATGTGTTTAAAACAGCAATCAAACGGAAACACCTACTGACTCATGTTTATCTTTTGAAACAAATCCAGTTTTAAACTGTTTTTAATTCATCCGACATTTATTTTCTGTCACACGTGACTTTTGCAGAGTGAGTAGATGCAGACAAACAGAGGTGGTAAAATGACACCATGCATTGGTGCTAGACTGAACAGTTATGTAGAAGTCTGAGCTCAGACTTTTTTAAATGATGATTCTTTAAAAACTTCTTTAAGAGCGCTGGCTTTAATGAAAGTCACATTTGGTTTTATCTCTTTAGAGAGCTCATCAAATAAAAAAAATATAGTATGTGATTCACTTTGTCAAACTCTGAATAAAGGTCCTTTATTTAAGGGTAAAGCTACTTTGCTACTCCCAAAGTATCCTGCTACATTATTTTTAAATATACCAAAATGGAGGCAATTAAGTTTCTGACCCTTCAAATTTGCTGGGGGACTGTGCCATTAAATTCCAGCATCCCTGAGGACAACCAGATGTGAGTGTGTGCCAGTTCATTACAAATCAATAACATTTTTAGATATTTTATGTTTTAAATTAACAACCTGGAATATGATATCACTATTTTAATTCTGCGTTTGATTTCAAGTTGTGTTTGTGCTAGAGATGTGGATGAGTTCAGGGTCTTGTCTACTTCCTCATAATCTACGTTGAACTAGAAACTAGTTTTATCCTGCACACTCTTACTCCACCCTTCTCTGCTGTCAGGTGAGGCTTTCCATCAGCCTTACTTTTCTTCATAGGTCTGCACCAAGCGCTGGTCTAGGATGTGTTCCTCAGGTTCCCATGTGCTGTACCTGCAAAGCGTAATATATTATTATTGTAGGTCTCAGTCATTCATTACTTTGTGAAAAAATTGGTTATTTCTGTTGATGGTTCAGCAAATAATCCAAAATGTATTCATCAGATTGTTTGCATGTTGTGTAAAATTGTTGTAAAAAGTATTTTTTTTTAAACTATGTTGACGATCTTCCTGTATGAGTGGCGCTTATCTTTGAGTAGCTGCACACTGAGTACACATCTGAGTTACACTGTTGTACACATCTCATTGTGAAGGTAATGCATGCTTTTGGAGTGTTACATAATCCATCCATCCCTGTTATTACATTGATATACTTACTTTGGAGGCCAGCCTTTCCACTTTAACAGATACTCCACATTACCCTGCAAAGACATCAGATTCAAGAGCAGAATCAGCCTACAAGTTAATTTCATCAAAAATATTCTATACCTTTCCACAGTCTTCCTGGTGCATCATGGTCCAAGATATATCTGACTCAGAGAGGCTGGAACTGCGGCAACACTGTTTTGGATGTGATTAAACCTGCAGGATGTTGCATCTTATTTATGATTTGTCAAAAGTAGGACAACATCAACTGTTGCAGTTGGTAGACCTCCTCAGACAGATACAAACTAGGGATACACAATATGAATGACATGGAAATGGTATTGCAGATTATTTTTCCCTGATTCAAACCTTTGCGAACATTTATGGACTCAAAGTAAACACATTACATCTTCTAATCTACTCAATGCCTACCAAATGCGTTTGTATATTAAGGCTGCCAAATAGACATTATATTTGGGAGGATGTCCCCATGCAATTTGAAAATAGCTCTGACGAATAATAATGTAAAATGCGCCATATGGTTTCCATGTACCAGCCAAGCCACTCAGAGTTAGTCATCCTCAGTGACATCACCCAGCAACAACGTCCAAGCTCTCAAAAGTATTCTCGGAGGGTGAAGTCACCACTTTTCCCGACTTCACATTAGTCACCCTCTTCTTCATTTACAACAAAAAGACCAGGGGCTGTAATCTGTACTGGGTGCAATTTAGCCCCTTAGTGAACAGAGTTTACTGTGCTTGATCTAAAATCTGTTAGTTTAAAGGAAATGTCCTGGTCCTCCCAAACTTGCAGTGTAGATCACAGAAAGAGGTTTTTAATATGAAGCACTTAGATTTTGGGATCTTAAAGGGTTAATGGGTGAACTCTCACTGTAGAGAAGAACAAGATGCTCTGATGTACATTAACAGCATAGACTGTATGGACAACTTGGTTCTGCCTTTCGCCAGTATACGAGAAATCATAGATCAGTCATAGAAAACATGAACCCCCTAATAACTTTTAAAAATGGAGCTGTACAGGAAAAAGAGGACTTGAGCACAAACCAGTCTTACAGTAACTACATGTCAACATCGCAAGCAGGGGGGAAAAAAATTATATTCTGTGTAATAAATTTCTAAAGTTTGTCCACAGCTCCATAGGGATTGCTGGAGGAGGCGGGATTTATGACCTATACTGCAGCCCGTCACCAGAGGGTGCTGTTCTCGGAGTGGCTTCACCCAGCGAGGAGGCAGACTCTGTCCATTCTATATACAGTCTATGGTTAACAGACTTGAAAATAGTATTACAATGACAGTTCAGCTTTAACATCAACATCGATATCCTATTTTTTACATCTTACAATTTCCCTGATACAAAAATGATAAACATTAGTCTCACTTGCTTGACTTATCTATCTACCTACCCATAATTTTGGAGATAGGTTGCACATAAATTTGTGCATGTTTAGTAAAAGCATAATAACAATATTGCAAATATTGTTATTATTTTGAAGGTCAGAGATAATAAAAAATCCAAACTTAATAATTCATTAAAACACCTTTTAAGTTGAAACACTTGTATTTCAGGAAAATATAAGGAAATGTTCTAATCCTCTCAAACTTGCAGTGTAGATCACAGATAGAGGTTTGTATATCAAGCTCTTTAATTTTGGGATCTTAAAGGGATAATGGTTGAACTCTCACTGTAGAGAAGAACAAGATGCTCTAATGCACATTAACAGACATTAAAATAGTTTTACAATGACAGTGCAGCTTTAACATCAGTACCCAAATTTTTACATCTTATAATTTCCCAAATGCAACAAGGGTACACATTAGTCCAGTTTTACTCATCTACCTACCTATAATTTTGGGGACAGGTTAAGTAAAGGCATTATAACAATATACTGCACTTCAGTATGTGAATACACCAATTATTTTAAGTTTTTTCCAAAATATCATTTTTATTTGAGGCTCTGTGAAAATGAAAAAATCCAAACTTAACAATTTATTAAAACACATTTTGAGCCGTAGCACTTGTATTTCATTTTAACAGTTTATATAGCAGATATTAAGGTCTAATCTCTGGTTTTCTTCATATCTTGAACTCTGACAGTGAATGCTCATTGTTAGAGGACACAGGTCACTGGTATATAAAGGCTATTAGCTGCACCTTTCCTATCCTTTAAACTCAGCGTCCTCTAGTCAAAAGCTGATTTCATAACACATTTCTATTATTTTATTAATCTGGCCATTTAAATTAAACTCACATAACATTATATCCTAACGGGGGGTTTCACAGGACCCTCCCACACTCCGGGGGACTCGGAATTTCTTACTACGCACCTCAACTTTCAACACAACATGCTAACAGTAATTTAACCCTAGTCCTATTAGCATCACACAGGCCCGACATGAGTGCGTAAATGGTTGCATTTATCCCCTCTTTTCTTCTCATTTCATGAAACACCTGAGATGTTTAACTGCAGTGCAATGACAACACTCTCCACGTTACGTTAAAGGGACACCCTCCTCCTCCTCCTCCTCCTAACCCGCCCCCTTCACGCAGCCTGCAATTAGATCACCAGATTAGCCGCTCATTCTGCCCGTTTTACCTCTCACGCTTTCGGGATACACTGCCGAACATGTCACTCTTCAAATGCTGATAATGCCCCGCAGGCAACCGGGCATCTATATTTAGTTAAAACGTGTTGTCGTTACCTTTCTAACTCTCTTCTTGAGGATGGACTCCACAGCAAACACTTGCTCTCCGATCGCTGACAGCTCCATCTCTGTGCGCGCGACCGCCCGCTGGCTTTTAACTGTCAAAGTAACGTCTTTCTCCTCCACAAACTAGGCTAACGTAAACTGCTGATAACAGTGCGTCGGTTCACTCCTTTTCTTTCCTCTCCCTCAGCTGTCTTGTTTCCCCGACAGTTTCAGGACCTTTTTTTTTATCCAGAGAGATTTCCTTGTGATGTCTCTTTGCGAGCGTCCAGTGACTTTACAAAATCTGCGACACATCTGCACACTGCTTCGCGCGCAACCGTCCCCGAGTGCGCGCTCCCCATACAATGAGTACGCGCGCCACTAGCTGCCTCATCATCCTCAACCTTCTCATGATGTACTATTGTACAAAAACTGAGCTGAAATTATTTCTCAGATCCTACTGTTGAAGTCAGACTGAAAATCTTATTTTAAATACCAGAATTGCCTCTTATAATTCAGCAGAAATTTTTCTAAATGGGAAAAAAACACAATTTAGCCCATTTTTAAAAAAAATTTTGAATCTGGCATTTCATTTATTAGTTTCTCTCCAATTATTCCAAATTTAAAGTAGGAGACCCTGTCGAAGTGTCCAAAACCTAAGTGTAGGTAACAGGAGACAATAAATTGATCTGAATTTACCAGGCACTTTAAAGCTTTGATGAGGAACTTTAGCTCTGTGTCACTTTTTGTGCTCACCATTAAGGTCCTGTCACACTGGGACCGTTTTTGTCGTGCCATTATTTCAGACATCAATATTTCTTTTTGAACCCATATCCTGTCAATACAAGCGTTCACATCAGCAACGTTTTCCTGTTCTGCGATATTGCGGCATTTATTTTTTCGGATCATGGTTGATTTTTTAAAATTTCGCAAACTGTGTGTCCACTTCTGACCAATCAGATTGCATGTTCACCGGTATATCCAACATGGCCGACGGGCTGATTGTTTATGTGTCTGAGAACAGAGTGCTTTTTGATAAAAAAGACAAACATTACAAAGATAACGACCTGAAGGACAACTTGTGGAGAGTCATAGCATCAGATTTCTCATATGACAATGTTTTGTGTGCTTTAACAGTTTGCTAAACGTCTTTGTTTTAACTTTCCTCTGTGCTAACATATGCTAACACTTGTTACCATAGTTTCATGTGCTTATCTTATTACCTCTGATTGGCTGTAAGTGCTGACAGTTTGGCTTGAGCGTGTAATGAAGTTTCCAGCTTTTCTAGCCAATCAGAGGCAAGGAGGCGGGACTTTCCCCGGGAAAAGTCTTCACCGGGATGTGTCCTTTCCCGAAAGTCGCAAAATTGCATTGGGCTTGATGTGTACAGTCAGGCGTGTCAAAATTCGCCTCTGTGTTTTTGCGTACTTTCGCGTTTTATATTTGTGTCGGTCCTAGTGTGTAAGGACCTTTAATATGTCTTTTTATATCTTATCCTTTACATATGCATATATTTAAAGAAAAATCCCATGGAATGAAACCACACCGTAACTTGTACATAAAGTGCCATTATAAGCATTTTATTTGTATGCAAAAATAAAAAAAGAAACAAAAAATGACAATCGGGATTCCCCCAGTCTGAAGGGCTGAAAGATTGTCATGGCAAAAAAAAAAAAAAAAAAAAAATTCAATGCAATTGTGTGACGCAGGTCAGGATGTTATCAGGTTCAAAAATCTCAGCAATTTCATGACACCCTCTCTGCAGGTTCACTTAGATATGAGGACAAAAGACTACAGAGTGGGCTGAAGAGTTTCATTTCAAAATAAGACATGCACCATTGAAAAAAGTGATTTTTAGAAAATCATTTCAGTTCAAACTATCGCAAATAACATAAAGCCCTTGGCTTCAAAAGTGAGAACATCATGTTTGATAAGTTGCTTTTTCCTTTATATTTAGGATATATTTGGAATAAAGCTCCTGAAATGGTGACAAACAGCACAGACCCTCATATATACTTCTCAGAGCAACAAATATTTTCTTATGTAAACAAGTTAAGGCCAATATTGTCATTACACAGACAATACATTTAGAGTATTAACAGTTTCAGCTGATAGATCTGAAAGCTACAAAAAGTGGAATCTCTCATAAGGCTCGTTTCACAATACTCAACCACAACACATGTCTGACAGGACATATGCTCACAACCACAACGTTCAACTTACACAATCCTCTCTACTTTTCTTTTTCTACATTTCTCTCCCTTTAGGCACACTTTGTTCCATCTAACTAGCTTTCCTTTGTGCAGCTAATCTTGTAACCCCTTTGCAGACTGAAACCACACACGTTTGAGCCCCCTGCTGGCTTTCTATGATTAGTTAAAACAATTAGTGACATCCTCTCAGAGCTGTGTTTGGCAGGTTTAAGAGAAAAGTTAGAGAAGAGGAGGAGGAGCCTGTATCAGCTCGGCTCCTGTGCTACAGAGGGCTGCTGTGGTGGTGACCCTGTGGACCAGTGCGGACCCCAAAATTAAAGTATTGTCCCTTATCTTGTCACTTGTCAAAGTAATACCTTTTTTTAACGGTGAGATTTATTATTATGGCTGTTACAAGGTAAGAGTTTGTGAAGACAGTGTTTGAAGGATATAAACGTCTCTTTTAATTGATAATATTATTCATGTATTTTAAAAATCTGCTCATTAATTAAAGTTTTAATTATAAGATGAATTTCTACAAACTTTTGTTGCCCATCCTCATCAGTACAACTTTACTCAGTCAATCATTAACTCTACAGTCAGTTAAACTGCCAGTTTCATTTATAAAACAAAGACTTTAAGTTTTCTTTTCAACTAAACAATTTTTGACTGTTCTGTCACCACTTAAAAAGTTGAACTTTAAGGTTTCCATGACAACTGGGCAAACTTAGCCAGAGAACAATGACCACTAGAATAAGCACGTAAGCAGACCTTGAGTTGTGATTGTTCCGTTGATTTCTTTTTCCAGTCTACAGTGAATGTCAGCTCCTATCATGGAATTTTCCAACAAAGTTTATCCAGCAACAAAAATGTTTTAACTTTGGGATGAGTTTGATTGTTCTGATTCTATAATTAAGCTAAGAAACCTGTTTTATTATTGCCATAACTCTGATCCTTTTGTAGATTTTTGATGGCTTATCTCATCTTATATTCATTTATTCTGTGACTAACACTTAATTGTTGAAATGCAACCATTTAAAAGTGATTATCAAAAAAGGGGAGGCTGAATGATGCTGTAGTTTCTTAAATGAAAGGATACTGAGTCAAACTTCCACTAGAGGGAGCGCTTGGCCACTGTGTTGCATTGTTTTGTTGCATAAAAAACTGTTGTGTCAGCACAGCCTCTGTACACAGTATAGGCTCAGTCTGTGCCACAAGTGTTTGGGAAACGATGAAATACAAAGTTGGCAACGCGATAAATCACTGTTTCTGACGCATAACACGCAAAAAGTGACGGAGAGGAGGACTGAAGTGGAGTCACGCTGAGGCAAGTAACGGCACACTTTGGTGAAGGTGAAGGAGAGAGGATAAGGACAGAGAGTGATTCACGAGGTGAAGGTAGAGACAGAAGCAAGAAGACACATCAGTGAACATCAGGACTGTAGCTGGAGGATCACTGAAGGAGACAGGCACAGAAACAGCATCTTTCAGAAAGCCTGAACTCTCATGACTTTGGAAACTTGAACAGTAAAAAGGAAAACAAAAATAAACAGATCAAAACTGACATTGAAAAATAGTCATATATAGATATAAAAACAAGAATAGCAGAAACAGAATAGTAACTCTTTGTAAGTCTTAACTGTGTTTTTGAGTAAAGGACTGTGATTCTTTGAGTCTCCCTGGAAAGTGTTTGCTTCCTTCATTGCTTTGCATCTCATCAGAAAAGAGTCCAGCAATGGCTGTGTAAACAGAACCCAAAAAAGGGGGAAATACATCTGCAAGTGTGCATCCATGCGATTGGCTGTGCACAACCCTACTTTCTCTGCTGTTCGTCCTGTGATTGGCCAACTGGCACTGTTGGAGAAATGATCAGCTGGTCGAACCATTAGCCATCAGACCTCCATGTCTGGTGTGCCTCCACTTCCTCTGAGACGACCAATAGGAGTTCACAGTTCTTCCCTCGCAGCTGCTGGCGGAGAAACTTCCTAAAGTGCAGTAAATAAATAAATGACAAAAAAGACAAACACAGATATCCAAGATGAGATACTTTTATCATTAGTACAGCGGCTGCTGGCAGGCAGTTATCTTAACATGCCTTCATATGAAATGATGCAAATCAGTTTATTCCCTAAAGGTCCTTACACACCGGGAGCGTTTTTGTCGTGAGATTATTTCTGACGTCAATATTTTTTTTCGAACCTGTATCCTGTCAATACAAGCGTTCACATCAACGACATTTTCCTGTCCTGCGATATTGCGGCATTTATTTTTTCGGATCATTGTCGATTTTTCTAAAGTTTCACATACTGTGTGTACACTTCTGACCAATCAGATTGCGTGTTGTTGCGACGTCAGATTCACCGGTATATCCAACATGGCCGACCGGCTGATCGTTTATGTGTCTGAGAACAGGGTGCTTTTTGATAAAAAACACAAACATTACAAAGATTACGACCTGAAGGACAACATAGCGTTGGATTTCTCATATGATGATGGTTTGTATGCTTTAACAGTTTGCATCTGTGCTAACGTATGCTAATGGTTGTTACCATAGTTTCATGTGCTTATCTTATCCCTTTGATTGGCTATAAGTGCTGACCGTTTGGCTTGAGTGTGTGATGACGTTTCCAGCTTTTCTAGCCAATCAGAGGCAAAGGAGGCGGGACATTCCCCAGGAAAAGTCTTCCCCGGGATGCGCCCCCCCACCCCAGAAAGTCACAAAATCGCATTGGGCTTGATGTGTATAGTCAGGCGCATCAAAATTCACCTCCGAATATTTCGTAATTTAGTGTTTCTTTATTCGCATCGGCCCCGGTGTGTAAGGACCTTTAATCTGGGGCTATTCATAGCTGGCACTTAAATGCATTGATACAACACAATATTGCAAGAGTTAGAAACAACAGGCAAACTTCCAATACAATGCAATGTTTGATTTAAAGTACCGACATTAAGAGCTTGCAATACAATAAATACTGTGTTGCACAAGTCAAGGTAAAAAATATATAGCTGTATTGATTTCAACAAATCACAGCCCCTTATAAACAAATGTATGTCTTTTTATTGTACAAACATTTTTCCTGTTCTGGTGGCATCACAGGATCATGACTTAGTATACTAGCACCCTCAGGAGTCTCTGTCCTCCCAGGTTCCTGGCAGTGGCATCAGCCAAACATTGAGTATCACTGCATTTAATTAAGGGAGTTATATAATATCGTACCAGCATAATGTACTTGGGCAGTTTAACAGCAAGTGGGCAGAAAACAAGAAAGACCTCTGTTTGCATTACCAGTTACACTTCCACCACAGTCAGTCAGTATTTAGATCAGTTATTTACAGGTAAGACACAACCATGCTGCTACTTCTGCACTGCTCTCTACACTTAAAGCCAAAGGTTCACAGTTTCACTGGCAGAATAGGGACTTCTTGACGGATGACTCGCACTGTGGACCACTATGGGAAAAGCACTCCCTAAAACCGTCATGTCAACAAATCTCCAAACACATATGGTGAGTTTAAGAGAGGAGTACTGCTTCAAAGTTATAACACCCTCAAGAGAAATCCTTTACAGATGACGTCAAACAAATCAGAGTCAAGCTCTTTCCTAATCAACTCTACCTCTACCACATGTTATCATGTGTCATGCATAACCAGTGATCAAACTGTATTCAAAGTTGTAAACAAATCTTACTCTGGATCCAAGTGTTGGACAGGCAAACAAAATAGTCCTTACATCACCATGTAACCCTACTGCTAAAATAGACAAACCTGGTGTATTCATGTCGCTCCTGTATGTAAAAGATGAAACCACGATGCATTTAAGTGTCAACATCTTGGGTATTTTAATACTTTCAAATACTTCATACGTTAAAATGCTACAATAGCTATTATTTTCATTTTTGACAAAAGTAAAAAACAGCACAGCCTTTGAAAAAAGATCTATGCTCATATTTTCAACCAAAAGGCGGTGAAAAACTGAAAACAGACAGCGGTAGTTAGTGGACATAGAGACAAAGGGAAGAAGCACCTGTAAGGTAAACAAAGCAGTAAAACTAAACAATAAATGACAAACTATGTTCTGACTGTTTCACAAAGATCGGGATCTAAAGAACTTGTAAACACGTCCACGCCTCTGCATAAATCTGCAGGACTCCGTTTGTTGCTACACCTGTGATGTGTCTTTCTGCTCCGCCCTCCATCATAGCCTCACATTCTTTTAAATTTGATTCAATCAAATATAACAAATTTAACAATTCTGGGTGACCAGGAGTAAAGTTTCTGTTGCTGTGGTATTGAAACAGGGTCTTCATTTGTCAGGTTATGTATTGAAGTTCTTGAAATTCTTGTATCTTTCCAACACTACAACAGCTGTCACATGCACAGAAACTCAGCTAGAACATCATGCTCACCTGAGCTCATCAGGGTTGCCGATGGGTTGTGGGCTACGCAGCTTGGAGTCCAAGTTGTAGTAGACTCCTCCTACTTCTCTGACTCCTATCCAGTGCTGCCGCTTGAGCGGCAGCCGGAGAGGACCCCAGCGCAGGTTGGACGGCACATTGAGAATGAAGCCTGTCACGTTGGACAGCTCGATGCTGCCCACATCCCTGAAAGAAGAACCAAAACTTAATTTATTGTTGCAGATAAAGATAGTTTTCAGAGAGAAATATTCCATCCATCAAACCAAAATTACACATCATAATTTAGCGTTGGATGTTTTTCAGTGCCTGCCTTGGAACTATGGCTGAACTGAGCTATTATGCCTCCCTGTATTAATGTCTTTTGCTGATCTGTTAACTAATGGCAGTCTTATTTCATTGAAAAATATCTTTGAGACATTTTGGGCTCCCTTTTGTCTTTTAGACATAGAAATAACAATTTTTGAATAAGAGGACCCTTCATGCCATTTCTTTTCCGGTAAGCTTAAGGGCATAGAAGCATCTTATCACTGACTCATGGTCATGCCATAAAGCACTCCCAATTTCCTGTCAATGGAACAAAAAAATCTCAAAATGATAAAATTGTTCCACAGAAAACTTAGATCTACCGACTGAGATCATAAACCCATGAAGAAATGCTTGTGAAGAAGTGAATTAACTGAGAACATACACCTAACAAAACACGGACAACATGGCAGCTCCTCAAAGGTGAAATCAAAACATTAGCAACTCCCCCTGCTGGCTGCAGTTAAGGTCAGGTAAGTGTTAAAGCCAGACTCCACATGTCTCAAACTTTAGATTTAAAATAAATCTCCAATCAGTAAGTTTGAAGCTGAAAACTACCCTGACTGGAGCATTTCAACACTTATTACAACCACTTGAAAGAATACAGAATTAAGTCATTTCTGCATTAAGTTTTAATACAAGAAGCTAAATACACTTTTTTTGTATTTGTGATAATATGTAAGTGATGTTCTTAAATGTATTGCATGAGTAAGAACTGCATTAGTCGTCACAGGCAGTAGTAAGACATAATACACTTTATAAGGACCCATTTTATTTCCCAGGGACCCACTCAAATTATGACTAAATATTGGAGTGTAAATATTTTAGCATTTTTCTGTTTGGACCTGATAAAGATGATAAATAATACATTGAAAAATGTACTTTCCAGTCTTTCTCCATCAACCGCATTTTCCTCACTCTGCCCTTATCTTACTCACAACCAAACTAACCTCATAGTAGCTACTAAACTGACACTATTTAACATGACTGTGGCTTGCCCTGACTGCTTAATGCTGTGAATGTACTCCCTCTTCAGGAGGAACCATGCCAAGTGTGAATGCACTTCATCCATGGATTTATGGTTTGCCATTGACTGTGTATTAATTCAGAAAATGCACCCTCATCTTCTTCTACTGTGATAAAATGAAGTTAAAAAAACCCTGTCTGTATTAGGCACTGACATGTTGTGTGGGTCTCAAGCTTCGTAGCCTTGCATCAGCTGGTTTGCTGCCTGTTGACCCTTTCTCTCTCCCTCTCTTTTTTTGCTCATTAACTTGTAGGAGCTCCTCATTGGTAGACTTTGGCTAAAATAAACATGAGCGGTTGTATTCAAAGACCTCATCCACACTATCAAAATCAGGCGAATAATCACCAATGTTTTTAAAAACTTCCCTACATTATAGTTCTCAAAGTAGCTCTGCTTCAGTCCTGGTGCTCTCTGAATCTCATGTTGTCATTCACTCATGTGTCCTCTGTTGTCTTCCTACATGTGTCTCAGAAAGACACTTCACCATTGAGATTTGGTTGTACACAGACCAGTACAAGTTGAAGGTAAGGGAAACCCTTGCCACACAGTTCTTGGGACTTGTACTAACAATCAGAGCCTATCATTGGTGAGATAAAGCACTTGTAGTGGACACAGTTTGATGATACACAATTGCCCAGTCAAACTAAGTTTTAGCTCGTTTTAGCTTGTTTTGTGGCTGCTACGCTCTCCCTTAATACTGGACTGATTTCAGAAGCTGTTCTCACACATAAAAACACTGACAATATGGCCCATGTTGAAAATAGCTAAGTTCCTCTTTAATGCCCATGCTTTAGATTAGATTAGATAGAACTTTATCTATCCTTTTGGGAAGGTTCCCTCAAAGAAATTTTGCTATGACCATAAATTTGTAATCCATAGCATCCATAGTGCAGTCTTGTTTGAAGTTAAACAAATGAAATACATATATAATGAACACAAAATCAAATAAGCTGCCAAGTATAGGACTTATTCAGGCAAACACTGATATTAAAAAAGAATCATATTAAGTTGTTAGCATAATATTTTCACAAGGTCGCTGTTGAACAACTTATTCTGAGATCTTGGAAAGTACCTGAATGAAACAAACAGAGTAATTCAAAGTATCCCAGCTCACAGCCACATTACAAACATGAGTACAAATGTGTCTCCACTGTTCCAGGAAACATCTAGTGCTTTTGTGGAAGGGGCTTAATATTCACTCTGCAAGGTTTAAGAGATAATCTGTAAACTGTGTCTGAACATTTCAAATGCCAAAAGTGCAAAAGCTTCAATAACATTCATTTGGTGGTGTATCAATCAGCTGATGAGAGAAGTGTTGTTGTTTTTGTCGCTGTGATTCTCTTCCTGTTTTGGTCAAGACAGAGAACGGGGAATTTCTGATAAGGCTAACGTTTAGCTGATAAAAGCATGTCTGTGGCTGCTGTTATTGACCACAGTCATGTAAGGCTTTAAAAGAAGGAAACAGGAATGCTGATAAAACTGTCTCCTAGTCTTTGTCGACTGATGAAACTGCTGAGTAATCAAGGAGATCATTCAGAGCGCTGCTGATTAGCTGACAGGGGGACACAGAGGACCCTTTACAGCATTTACCTTATGTGACATTCTTGGATTCGTGTGGATGCATTTTTTTACTGCATACACCACAGCAAAAACAGGAGTTTGTTTTCTGCTGTGAACATGTGCGTTCAGAGAGGATAAGACGTAGTAAAAGACAACAACGGAACAAGACGGGTAGGTTAAAGACTTGTGTGCCTTACCCACATATTAATCATGAGACAGAGAGACAACAAGCACACTGCAGCTACTACTGGTGATAACAAGGGTGGGAGTAAATTCTAAAAGAGAAAAACTAACATACCTCTCCCTCATTACAAAAACAAAGAAGGAAACAAAGACAGAGATGTTTTCACCGGCACGTACCTTCTTTTATCCCACCATACTGCCTCAAACCCTCGGGTCTGCAAGGCGGCCATAATGACATTTACATCATAGTTCCCATTTCCCAGCATGCTCTTCTTGTGAGGTGTCACCAGAGTGCTGGGAGAAAGCCTGCAGTGAGTATTTCAGAAAGATTAAGCGATTAATGAAGATGTATCAGGTTCACATCTTTAATATTGATAAAGATTGAAAAGCTAGAATCCCACCTCTGGTATATCTCCTGCAGGGTGTCCCTACTAAAAGCTGTCCCGTCCTGGAAGACGTTATTGAGCGCGTGCAGAGCACACAACTCCCTCCGCTGCTTCTCGTGGTAAATGGCTGGAGGTGTCAGAGAGGCTTGAGGAGGCAGCGGGGAGGTGAGGGAGGATGAGGAGGATGAGAGATCCTGCTGTTGCTGTTGAGAGTCCGTGGGATCTCTGTTCTTTCTCTCCTCCGCTCCCACCACCATCTCTCCTCCTCCTCCACCACCTGCTCCTTTCTGCTTGCCGACCTTCCAGGGCATACAGCCCAGCTCTTGCAGGCCGCCTCGCCCCTTCCCCTTCCACTCACCAGCTGGATATGGAGCGCTACCCATCCCTGGACATTCACCACCAACACCGCCACAGCCACCGCCTCCTCCAGCTCCACCTCTACCTCCACAACTACTACGTCCAGAATGCTACTTCAGCATCATGACAACCATTGCCATAGCAACCTCTCAGCCGCTTGGAGGAGAGGAGCTTGTGTGTGCCTGTGAATGGTAGAGCAGGAGGTGGGGGTTGGAAGGTAAATGAGACCTGTAGCTTGTTCAACACTGCAACACCTGCTCTTTCTAAAGGATAGATGAGACAAAAGGTCAGCAGGAGGGAGTTGTTGGTACAGAAATGTGCCTCAGATGGAATTGCCGGCAAACAAAGACACTCCAGATGCTCCAAAATTAAAGATTACTCCTCCAACAACACAGCAGCGGTGTCGTCAATCAAACTGCAGCTGCTGTCTGTGCATTTCCACTCCCCCCATCTTTTGAGGGTTTAAGTGTGTTGACAGCTCTTTCCATCCAGTCATCAAGCCTATAGCTCTGCATTTCCTTCCATCACCAGGCTCTGACCATGAAGTGTCACATCCACTGGGACAGACTTGACAGTGATTTGCTAGCGAGCAATACAGGGTGTCTGAAAATCACCTGAAAAACAGAAAAAAATCAGTTGACAGAAGTATGGTTCCCTTATTCCCACAAGAGATCAAGATGTCATTTTAAAACAGCACCTTTTATCTAATTAGCAATCAAACAATATAAAATAAACCTTAAAGTAATGCTTACTATCTGTTATTAGTAGTGAAAGGTGGATTAGATAGCACTGTAAGATGTTGCAAACTCCTCTTGGTCAGCAGAGCCCAAAATAAGAAGGTAAACATTTGGACTGGGTAGAGGAAGCAGGCTGCTCAGTAGGCTAACAAATATCACAACAGCGCCACATTAAACATAACACATACACACCAGACAGCTGTAAACCCATTAAAGGAGGATGGGAGCCGATATACTCTCAAACTAAACATGTAAAGATGAAATTAGTCCATAACTGTAACAGATATATCTCGTCAGTCTTCTGTCTGCTCTACGTGACTCCCGTTCACAGCAAACACAACCACTATGCTTCCCTAACGTCTTTTAACTTCATTTTCTCGAGCTCAACACTTACCAGGCGCTTTCTTGACCGTAGTGTCACAACAGAGTTCTCAAAAACCGGTGTAAAAACTCTATTTTGTACGCTCTGTTGTCCAAAAGACTGTCTAGTCCTTTGTCTTTGCCAGTTTTTCCCTGATACAGCTCTCTCTGTCTCTGTCTGTCTCTTTCTCTGTCCGTGCAGACGCGGACATGCGCAGTAGCGGCTCTCTGGCTCCATGTTGCTGTCACCGTTTGCGTCAGTAGACAGTGGAGCGGTCCCTCCCCTGAGACTGCGAAACCTACTTTATTCTGACTAATCAAAAATACCTTTAAGACTTAATGCTTTGTGGCTAATGTCATGGATATTCTTTTACTGCTTAGTGTAAAAAGGGTAAAGTTGTAAAAGCCACTACTTTTATGTAGCCTTTACACTGCACTTTAGTCCTGAACTTAGAATCCAGCTTGACTCCTGATTTTCTTGGACATGGACTTTGCGTTCAGACTCAGAGGATGGAGAGGACTCTTACTTGTTTTTTATAGACTGTTTTGTAAATTATTCAGTTTGTAGCAAGAGCTCGCACATGTGTTCACCTCCATGTGCATCCATCCACATACTGTCTTCTCCAGCATCAGTCCCTGCCAAGAGGGCCAAAGAGACAAAATAGGGGAGAATGGGGTAAGATGAGCCATTTTTCATATTTCCTTTCACTACATCAAGGCAATCATAGTTTTGTCTCTAACTAGTGTATCTGCATATATTTCAGGATGTTGTGCATCCCTGAAAAAACAGAATAAGTGTAAACAGAACTGTCTTGATAATATAGCATGCCAAAAAAGTGGTCTACTATGGTAAACTTATTCCTCACCTTCTCTCTCACTAAATAATTTCTTTATTTCTTCACATTCATGTGTATTTTTATCTATTATACGCTTTTTAACTGGTACGATAATTCTTTTTATTATTATTGCATATCATGTTGTAGCTCATAGATACCACAATTGATGTATAAAACACATTTAAAATGATCTTTTTTGGTCTGAACACAATTCTAATCAAACTTATGACAGACTCAATTCACTTTCAAGAGTGAAAAAGGGTTTTTTTTTTTGGAAATAAATGTCTAACCTCTTCACCCATGTGCTTCTAACCTTCACGGACTCCATGAATTGATGCCCATCGCCTAAATATTTGGTCACATGATCAATTCCATTTTCACTCTACTGTACAGTTTTGTTAAGACCTAGCCCTTTAAGCCTTCTTTAGATCACTTTTTTGGTTTAGGCCTGCTTTTTTATTGTGCTTTTCCACTGTCTAGCTTTGCATGAGGATAAAGTTAGCTACTAGCCAGAGAGTTAGTAAATCTAAAGAGGCACATTTTTCAGTCCGATGTATGAAAAAAGAGCTCAAATGAGAGTCCTAGGATTTGTCCTTTGAAGCGGCATTGAGCTGTTATAGATGATTAGACCGAGATGTCAGCAGGCCTTCCACAAAGACACATGATAATCTTTTTTAGTCCATGTTCAGAATATTTACTGTGTTGATTGAACTTGAATAATTTTGAACAAATTGATAACTTCACTGGAGTTTTGTTCACAGAGACAAATGAATGAGTATAAAGATCAAAACAAGCTGTTGTTGCTTATAATTTCTATAACTGTTGTTTCAATATGAGATCTCCTAGAAGGTAATGTTTTTGTGTATCAACATGGCTGGGGTTTTCTTCTGCATTTGACTTAAGGCCTTAGTGTATGTATTCAGTTTACACTTCTCTCACACAGCCTAATTAACTAAAATAGTTTTCTAATGAATTATTGAAGAAGTGGTCCAAATTAGAATTTTGGACCAGTCTCTTAGACTATAAACAAAAGTGTCGCCTTCCTCAGACCTACTCTGCTGAATTTCTTTCACTAAATACTCAAATCACAGTCAGCTAAAACACTGTAGAAATTTATCTTTGCCCTAAATTTAGCCTGCACGCTTATCTTGGGATGCCATAGTCCAGCGTCATGGAACCACATACAGTATAGTTCTCCTTTGCCACATTTTACATTGAAATGTGGTCATATATGGAAACTCTTTCAGTCGGTTAAAGGTCCCTACTTTTAGTTTAATGCTTAGGGTCCCCATTTTTTCAGGTGTATTGTGTCTGTCAAGTTTCTGATTGCCTCAAATAAAAAAGAGGAAAGTGTGTTAAAAGGTTTAAAAGGAAAGCTGAATATTTGTCTAGTTTGAGTTGGCATACATGATTCGGACTCCAGTTAAAAATCATAGCTGTGGGGACTTTTTTGTGTCTGCAAAATTAATAATATCCTATAATTCTTGTTCTAAAAATAGTAATGAACATGGAGATTTCTTTTACTGACAGCTGTATGAGAACAATACAGATTGCACAGAACTACTCCTCAGCTGTACTCTCAATACGACCCAAGTTCATTCTCCCTGATCATCTTTAAACTTTAATATCTCTTATAAATTATGAATGCTAGGAGAGTGCTAAGCTAAGAGACAGAGAGAAGAAAACATAAGGGAGAAAGTTAGACTTAAAAAAACATTTCTTTATATTATAAAACATAAAATGGGAGATGGAAACTTATTTAACCAAAAGCACCCGTGGCATGTGAAGAACCAAAAGCCAGCCAGAAGCAGTAAACTCAATTGGACAGAGGTAAACCAGCAGGGTGACAAAAATACCTCATGCAAAAAATAACCACCACAATCAAGCTAAAATTGCAGGTTGAACACTTGAATGAACAACCATCAGCAGCAACACTATCTCTGTGTTTACATGTATCCCAGTTTTCTTGCTAGAGCAGAGGTCATGTCAGCCAGCAGCTCCTCCCTCCTCTGGTCTTCTTTTCTCTGCAGCTCATGCACAAAATGCCCCTTCAGCATCTTCATCTCCATCACTCGCTTCACTAGCTTTCTCCGTGACACACTCTGCTCCTCCAGGGTGCAGTCTGGCCTGCTGTCCACCAGCTCAGGCCTCTGGTTACAAAGAGAAAGAGCCCACCTTAGACTGCCAGCGTCTGCATCCAGCAGTTTTTCTACTGACTGTTTTCGACTTTGATTGTTAGCATGAGTGAGCAAGGGGAGAATATACTGCACAGCCTCATCTCCGAACAGTTCACGTGAAGCTTGGACTGCCCGAGCCGCTTCTTGGTTGATCCCTGTGCTCGAGCTTGGTGCTTGAATCACGAGCAGGAGGGCGTGTGGTCCAGGACTGGTGAGTTGGAGGCTCCTCAGAGCTTCCCTGGCTCTCTCGTTGTTCCCCAAAGAAGACCCCAAAATGTCTGGCGTGTTGATCACTGTTACCTCTATTCCTTCTATTACTTTCTTTCTCTTTGTGCTTTCCATTAGAGCCTCAACTGGTTCCTTGTTGTCACTGTTCCCCAACAAAGTATCCATCAAGGGGGTCTGTACTCCACCAGTGGGTCCCAGGAGGATCACTCTCAGACCTGGATCACTGTTGGAATCTATCTTTGACATCAGTTCATCATCACTTGACCCTGCAATTTGATATTGGGTACACCAGTAAAGACTTTTTAGTAAGCTGAGATCCTCTTTTACTTTTGAATATGACAATGAAGAAAAGATGGAGGACTTTGAGTTTAATGAGGGGAAAAGAAGGTAAACTGACCTGTGATTTTTTGGATGATGTTGGCCAGCCACTGGAGCCTTGAGGAACACTCTGATGAAGGAGCAGATTGTTAGACAGATGGTTTAACTGTAATTACAGACCTATAATTATTATGTAGATTAATCTCTATAAAAGCCATGGTCCCCCTGAGATACTGCATTGCTGTCATGTGTCTTTTGAGCCTCTGAGTCACTTCCTATAATTACCCCAACTCACCAGCTCAAACTGTAAACTCCAACAGACCTGTTTACCTTCGCTAAAAGTCAATCTGAAGCAGACAGTGAAGAGTAAACAACATTTAACACAAGCTCAGGCAGCACTTACTGACGAAAAACTTCCACACGCGAGACAGCCATTTACACAGGCTCTGGATGACTGAGACACAAGACAAGAAAAGAACAATTAATAAACAGCTAATTTACATGTGGCATGTTAACCATGTATGTTTCATACAAGTTTCAAATGAGTGTTTATATTGTACCACGTAAGGTTCCTATAAGGCGGCCCACCCAGCCCCAAAGAGCCGACAGACCTAAAAGGAAAAACACATTAGAGTTTTGGCTGACAATCATTTGGACATCTCTTATTCCACAAAGTTTACCTAAACTATACTCACCAGTAACAGAGCAGAACAGACGTATCGGCCATCGGATCAGAGCTGGGAGTGCTGTAGAGGAAACAGACAACTTTCAGTACCATGGGTTATTTTGGTTTGCTTGGTTTTTATACTCAGCTTCAAATTTGAATCACTGCAAAGGTTACACAATCAAACAATCCCTTATTGGCTAGGCTCTGCAAAGGCTTTTTTACTGTACATGAAGTTTTACCACTCATGCTTGGTAATCTAGAAACATGTATACAGCTTTAATTAAAGGTGTAAAAGGTGTATTTTTTTCATGATTCAGAAGTGGTCTTGGACCCTCATGGCTGCAGTCTTTCTGCAGTTAAAATATGAATGTTTGTTCTTGACTCACACTGAAAGTACTCCTAATCCTTGCACCAGGATAATAAAAACACAGGGATAAAAGGATAAAAGACAATTACCTTATAAATCCAAGAGAAGAAATAAAGTTTTTTATACTGAACATGCCACTCAGGTGTAGAGTGTATTCATAAGCACAAATGATAATATGGACATGAAAATTACAAATATGCTAGAGATGGATGTAGATCCCAAGCAGTCAAAGGGGCAACACCTTAAAGGACACCAAATTATTTGTATTTCCATCTTACCTGATTCAATCCATCTAATAAGTGTCCTTAAGAAGTCTTTGTTTTTACAATCTAATTCAAAGCATGGGGAAAACTTACATATGCTTGAAAGAGACATATCACATCTTGGAGTGATTCAATAAAGGAAAAGACATAGTTTTTTTTTTACAGCTCCTGAGAGGAGACATAAGTTGGTTACATAACAGACTGGAATTTAAACTGATGCCTCTATGACCTGCAAAAGCTCACTTGCCAATCTAAGAGGTAATTCATTCTGTCTAAGCAGTTATGTTACATGCATGTCCTTTCTGCTGCAGGACGGGTGTCACTCAAGGTGTTTTTTTGCCAAATAAGTTTTTTTAAAATTTTTTTTTAGTTTCACATTAATCATTCAGAATTTAAAAAATCATCTGAAAATTTTACTTCCTCGTGTACTGGGCAAGTTCAGCAAAACCAGCCAGCTTTGTCCACAGGGGATGCTAAAATAGATGCAACCTGAAAGTTCCTCACAGGATGTTTAAGATTTATTTCTACTAAACTGCTCTCTGGACAAACTTCTCATCCCTGCCCAGGCTCATGTAAACAACACTTGTTACAGGAAACCAAGTCCAGGAAAAAGCTTATTTCCCTAACTTTCCCTAATTTCAATAACAATACACCAATAAAGTTTAACCATCTGCTGCAAAGCTCAGTATTTACATAAATATTGATAGCAAATCTCATTAGATGATGTTTTGTTCTGTATTTGTTTTTTTTCACGACAGACTTAAAAAACTTTTTTTAAGGATTAAAGCAGCTTAGAAGAACAATGAAAAACAATGTGATTTCTACTACTATCAGTGGATACTATCAGTTTTTCCAAATTAACATGAAATTGTGTGTTGGTGGGTGACTGACTCTGTGAGAATCTGTAGAGAAGATACCCCACGACAGTAAAAGCTCCCATCTGGGTGCTGCTTCCATTCATCCACCATCCTAAAGAGAGGAGGGAGGGGAGAAAACACAACATGAGAGCACAGCAGGTCTGCACACAACTTATCATGTGATTAACCTTAGACCCAATACTCTCAATCCTTGAAACTCTGTCTGTGAATGCACAGCTTTGTGTGAAAGAGTGAATGTGTGTTTGGAAGCAAAACAAGATTTAACATCAAAATACATTTAATTAAAAGTTTTTCACAAACAGACTAACATCACAACAAGTTTGATTCATTATTTTTCATTCATTCAGGACAATAAACTGCACAACTCTGGTGTTTCAACCAGAATGTGTGTCTTTGAGTGCTTGTTTCAAATCTAATTCTTATCTCAACTTTTCCCCCATTTTCTTGAGATAAGAAAGTTGATTTTACCTCTATGAAAGTTAAATAAATTTGACTAATTTTCTTAAGTTAACAAAGCTTGTTTTCTCATGTCAGGATCGTCTAATGAGGAACCAGAAAACAAAAGAGCAGACTTGTCACCATGTATTTGTCTTGTGCTTTTCCAACTCTGGGGACAGAAGTAGGAATCATACATGCAAAATGAAAATGTCCAGAGAACAGCTAAAACTTACTGCTGTCCAGAAGAATGGGAATACTTTAAATGTATGGATGCAAGTCTGCTAAAAGCTTCCATTGAGAACCTACGTTTTTTATTTTGAAAACGTAAGAAATGGAAAAATATTCGGGCGCTTATTTGAAGTTACTGAGCATTAACTTTGCGTTAGGTGTTATTTTTTTTTCAAACATGAAGACATAGAAAGATGAAGGTTAAGTAAAAGTGCAATTCTCTTACTAAGTGTCAAACTTAGGACTTAGTCTCACCTGCTGCAGCATCTGTTGAGTTGTTCTCACACTGACACTCCATCTTTCTGCAGTTGGCGGACTTTCAGTTACAATGCGGAAAATGGTACGCCTCCGTCCGCTGCTTTCAAAATAAAAGCCTGACGATTATAACAAAACACGGATTGACCAACGTACATCGAAAATAAAGCAGAAAAAATGTCCATGTAGCACACATAGTATATCATCTTTCAACGTGTAACGCTTAAGTATGGACAAGTATAGACTCCAAAATCTGTGTCAAGACAGAGGAAACCAGCGCAGAAACCCCGACTTTAACTCTATGAGCTGGTTATTTAACCTGTCTACTCCAACAGCAATTAGTTAAATATTTACAGAGCTCTTTTACCTGGTGTGTTATGGAATGATCCCTCAGCAGGAATGCCACCCCCTGTCAGAAACTTCCCGAAGTCGATGCTGTCTGCATTTCCTTCTTCCTAGTAAGTGGGGCGTGAAAGTGTTTTCCTGCACAGGCCTGCCGTCAGCCTGAACACAGCCTTTTATTGTGCTGTGTCATAATACAAGGCAGTATGAAAGTTCAGGTATGCTGATAATGCTGGAGGTCTACTTGAGGTGGACACGCCTTTCGGCTTTCTACAAGAACTGGAAATGCTGCTTAACATGGTTTACTCACTCACACAGTCATCGAAACAGTTAAAACATGGTAGCAAAATGTGTTTTATTAGTGTAAAAGCAAGATTATTAACAAGATTAATCACAAGTTACAGTGTTTCATAAAGAGCTGTTTTTTTTATACATCCATCCCACTCTAAAGGGTATATGACCACAATAAAATGTCTTATTTTTTTCAATTACTGTTTAAGTAACATGGGAGTGATGACATTACCTGCAGAAATGATCCTCTGCACTGAACAATGCTTTCTTGAAAAAGAAGTAGCAACATGCTGTTTCCTATCTAGAACTTGTTTATTTTCACAGATTCTTGATCAATCCTATCGTCCGTACACTGATCTAATCATCATAAAGGCACAGTGAAGCTTATCTCTAACTTTTCATGACCCCAGCTGGGCAGTAAGTGCATCTATCAGCTCCTGCTTCTTGGTCCCGGTGGTCCGAATACCCAACTGCTTACAGGCCTCCTTCAGTACAGGCACGGTTAGCTTTCCTATGGTGCCGTTCTGCATATGGGCCTTCAGTTCATCTACTCCCACCTCTATTTTGGGTTTCTTCTCCGCTCCTCCTCCGTTCTCAGCTGTAATTTAAGCAGTAAAGAAAACATGAACAAAAAATATGCTTGAATTACTAAAAGGCAAAGCAGGGTGGACTCAGTGGATACATATGTTCTACAGAAATCATTACTGATCAGCACCTTCAACTAACCCTGGGGTATACATTTCATACATGTTTCGTCCTAACACAAAAAAGGTCAACTAGTAGAGAAATTTTTGACTTTTTTTTAAATGATCCAACTCTGACCTGTTTTGCGTTTGGCAGCTGGTTTGCCGTCAGGGTTGTATCCGGGAGGGTAGACCATATCTTTGAACTCATCACTCAAAGGTCCCAGACGGCGATCAATCTGGTCCACCTTTGGCACTGCGGCAGAGACAAAAAGGAAGTATGGTCAGTGTGAGAAGAGGGACATGGGTATAATACCAGCCATAAGAAGAATTTAAACTTAAACTTCTCAATGTTTGTCTGTGTCTTACTGATAAGGTCCTCTATGTCCTCTGGAGCCATCATATCCAGAGCTAAGGCCTCCAGGTTCCTGTAGTGCTGTTGGATGACCGGGTTCTCAAAAGCTCCACTCCTAGAATAAATGAGAAACATAGAAAAAACACATTTAGATGTTACAAAAAGAAAGTAAGTACATGAAAGCAGCTTCAAATCTAGCATTCCTTTCTATGAATGAGTCTACTTCATGTTAATTAAGTGTGCCCACCAGTGAGGAGAAACCCTTTTAAACAGTATCTTAATATAAACAACATCAAACACTTGCAGTAACACTGTTTTTATGCTAGTGTTTAAAAAGGCAACCTTTTCTTCAAAGCCACAGTCAGACACTCTAAAATACCGTCCCTGATGACACACAGACCAAATGCATGAACCTGTATTTAAAGCGCAGTTTGGAGACGATCTCTTTCATCTTGTCCACCTGTGTGTCTGAAGCTGTCGGGCACTGAGGGGGATCCAAAGTCCGCATGTCATCGGCAAACGGCAGGAAGATGACATTGAAACCTAGGAAAGTGAGACAAATGACAAACTGCCATCAAGCTTGAGTATGACACCGTCGATTAGCCATTTATGTCAATTTTAACTGATAACAGAAAAGTAAAATACAGCAGCATTTTACCTGGTGGTGTAATCTGTGTTTTTGCCTCATCAACCTGCTCATTTTGAGGAACCAGGGCCACAAATCGAGGAGCGCAGTTTCGGCGAGAGACGCAGCGGCACAGAGCAAACACATTTCTCTCACTACACTTTGTCAACAAGGCGGAGACGAGACATGAGCTGCCTGAGGAGGAAAAACACAGAATATGACACACTTTAGCAAAAAAGGTCCTATTTTGTCACCAAGCACTCAAAGACACCTTTGAAAGACACGGTCCTATAGGTTATCACCTAGTCAGAGCCGTACAGGGGTAGTAAACATTAACTTTCAAACTAAAACCTTAGCCATAATATTAAAAATAAATAAATACAGTACAGCTGCAAAGGCAGTGTTTTGTGTGATAAAAGCTACTTTGTTTAATCATTACGTCATCTGACCTGACTTCTGTTTTCAGGATTCATTTTTTAAAATCTATTCAATATTTGGAAAAGAGGAAAAACGCCCATTAAAGCTGCTGAAAGCCAAAGTATAGAAAGTTGAAACAAAGGAGTGTTTGCTTCTTTGCTTAAATTTGAAGGTTTAATCAATTTAATCTGTTAGTAACTTTTATAAAGTCATTTCAGAACTATGTATCAGAATTTTTTAAACCTAATTTAGAAAATATCCCCAATAAAAACTGGTCAAATAAATCCTCCCTTAGATAATTAGCTGAGGCCAGACAGATACAAATACCGCTACCTTTCATTTCATCTTCCTCAGGATAGAGGAAGACAGCAGGTCGGATGTGGTGGTGAAGTTTGAGCCTCTCCATGGGTTTGAATCCAATCAGGTGCAGGCCAGGATCTTCAAACTTCTTAATGGAATCGACCTCGTCTTTCTCCATCACTATCTGCTTTTTGCCATACGTCTGCAGCAGGCACACAAACAGACGACAACATAAAAAGCCAGCAAAGTTAGTGAATAAAAATGACCATTTACCAAAATAGACGCAACTCAACAACATTATTCAGCAACATTTGGCTATTCCAGTGGGAATGAGACCTTAATTTAAGGTAAGTAAGTAAACAAAATAAAACCAAACCATGAAATAATATTAAGTTTGTACTAACCTGGGATTTCTTTATCTCACTGGGGAGCAGCAGACTGCCTGTCTGAGTGTGGAAGGTGCGGGTTTTGCTACGAACTGGCTCGTTGGTTTCTCTGTAAAGCCTAATGGGAACTGGTTTCTTAGCTGTCACAGCAGTAGCATACATTCCCACTGCTACATTTATGCCTTCACCAAGACACAGGTTTAATCTACCGTTGGCAGAGAGAAGGGAAGGATGATGTGAGAAAGAAGAGGGAGAAGGATTTGTGTTAGACTAACGTAGAAGGATGAAAGAGGAAACTTGACAAAGCATCGTCACTTATGACAATGCTGCAGAAAGCTTAAAAACTTCTATTTCCCCCCAAAATGGCGTCTTTTCACTTCTTCTCTACCTGGCCATGGTTCTCTTCCTCAGCTCCTTCGCACGCACTCTCTTCTGGAGGTCGTCCAGTTTGTTACAGGGCTCCAGCTGCAGCCCCAACTCACTCTCATCTTCAGGTGGACTTACAATGTCACGAAAAAAAGGTGCCACATCGAAGCCGCCTGGTTTCATTAGGTGCATTAAATCAATGATGACACCTATTAGGGAAAATATAAAGAACAAGTCCATCACCTACAGGCTTCATGTAGTCAAAGCTGAAACTTTACGCCTTAGATTATATTGCATGCAGAGCACTGGTCTGAATCACAGAATATACATCCAAAAACTTAGTATTCATAAAAAAACTGTGCTGCATTAAAGGACAACACACTGTTTTTGCCGCAGACATACCAGTCTCTTTGAGGTCATTAGCCTTGGTGCGAGCCTGTCGGTCCTTGGTGCTGTCCCCTATGTGTGGTTCATCCCTGCAGGTGAAGATCATGAGTCTCTTGTGTGAGAGGCGCAACTTGATGTCACTGTACAGGTTGGCGCAGCACCACAGGGCATCGCCCAGTGAAGTCTCCCCACTCCCCATTGTCTTTGCTGCCAGCTTGGCACCTTCATCCCCCCGCAGAGCATCAACTTCCTGCACTCGTTTTGCACCTGTACACAATGAAAGACAGAAGTCAGACAGGAGGCAAGGACAAAACAGAAGGGCTAACAGTGCTTTCACTTTGGCAGATTTAGAACTATATTTGATGCTCTGTGAGAAGCATCTCACCTGGCTCATCCAAGTCATGGTACACATAGACATGTTTGAATGAGTTCCTTGGATTCTTGCTCTCCTCTGTGCCATAAAAAACCAAAGCCACCAGGTCCCTGTGACTGCTGATAATCTTACTCGAGTATACACTGCGCACAACCTTTGCGAAAAAACAAAGACATTCAGTACGATGACACATTAGCTTTATCAATCAAAATTATTGATAAGGGAAGCCTCTAACACTGATATTTACGATTATACCTGCATGGTCATGTCAAAGTTTGAGGGCTGTCCATCTTCTCCTTTGATAAACATTTCCTTAGAGGCGTCAACCAAGAAGACAAGGCTGTCTCTGCCTGTGATCTTGTAACTTCCTGATAGGGAAAAAGAAGCGCTGTATTTGTTCTAGTGTAACTTCAAAATTCTGGATATTTACTCACTTTTTCTAACTTGTGATCTTGTTACAAGGAGGCTCTAGTCTTACCTCCAGATTGTTCTCCTTCCTCTTGTTCTTCTTCATCATCACCATCATTCCTGTAGTAGGCGTTCCACTCTGCCATTTGTACAGCTTATAGGACTGTAAAAGAAGTCAGCTCTGGATATAAAGACAAAAACAGGGGGCAAATTCAGTAGCTTAGTATTTGCAGCATCTGACATTTAGACATGGCATTATAATCCCTGGTTTATATTTGATTCATTCTTTTCTGTATTGTATGACAACACAGATAGGTTAAATAAGTGCATAAATGTGAGGACTGGTGACACAAAATCTAAGCATTAAGTGAAGTTGGCTGCTGAGCTAAAGTTCATTAAGAAATCTGTTATACTGTGTCTATTACAAACAGGCCGTGCTCCTTCAAAACTATTAGAAAATACCAAAGTGTGGCATATAGTTCAAGCAACTGTGATTAAGGAAAGGATGCCCTTTTAACAAGTAATAATGCACTAAAATGTTAATTTAGCTTTCCTCTTTACTCAATCTAACATACCCATGGTTTGACGACAGCCTGCTTCCCTTAGCCAGCTTAGCCTGTCATTAGCCGCTGTTTGTTTTCATTATATACTGTCGTTTAGTTTACAAATTCATCTTTCTTTAGTCGCACGCATACTATATGGACCAAAACATGTTCTGAGGACAGAATAACGTTATTTCACCAGCAAAAACACACTCGCATGCTGTTCTTACCCACTTTCTGCACACAAGTCCAGGCTAGTTTCAATGGCTGGCGCGCTCTGCAGCGTGAACGCGCACGCTCAGCGCACGACCTAAACAGCATACCAACTATTGGATACCGTTCTGCCAATCAAACATCTCGTCCAATCATTGTCAGGTAGGCGGGATTGTTTATGTGAGAGGCTCGGCACCGGAAAAGGGTCCTTGCTGCATGAGAATGCGCTTTCTTCTTCACAGTCTTGTTATTGTTTTCTGTGAGACAGTGACACAGCACCAGCTGCTAGCACCGGCTACCTCAGGCTGTTTTTAAAAAAGATACACTTGCTACCTTTTTATTGGACATTTTATATACTCTACAACCTGTTACTTTTCCGTTCAAGTTCTACGATAAACTTTCTGATAAAGTTTTGTTTGCTAGCCACCCGGTAAGTTAGCACGCCGGGCTTGTAGTCGGTGGATGTGAGTCAGCGAACTTTGAGACAGGGTTGCTGCTGTGGACGTTTTGAAGAAAAATTTATTTGTCTGTGTCATATCATGGACCAAACCACCTCTTACCCTGTGATGCTATACATTTATGACTTGTCTAGAGGCATGGCCCGTCAGCTCAGTCCTGTCATGCTAGGTGAGTACCTGATGAGCTACCTGTTCATTAGCTTCATGACAGGGCGACTGATGCTCTGTCCAGGCCTAAGCTTAAAACCCCTGAAAAGTTATCACACAGAACAGCTTGTTATATACCCAATCTGATTAAACTCTCTGTTTTTGGCACAGGGAAACAGCTGGATGGGATTTGGTGAGTAGAGCGTCCTATTGCTGATGTTTTAACTCTAAAAATATGTAGAAACCTGCTTTTATCGACGTTGTTTTCATGTGACTAAGATGCTGATGTTCCTGACAGGCACACTGCTATTGTGGTCCATGGAAAGGAGTTTTTCTTCGGAGCAGCAGGCATCAACAGTTGCCCACCTGTAAGAGTCAGATTGATCCTTTTTTTCACAGTTTAAATCCTAATCCCATTAGAGTTGGGATGCTGAGGAAAATGTTGGTAAAAACAGATTCTGATGGTTTAAAAATTATCTGGAGCCTAGATTAAACTTTACAAAGGCAACATATCAATTATTCAGGCTAAATACAATGATGTGACAATTTGTTTCTCTGCTTCTTGTTGCTGAGTCATTCTACAATTTGGAGTACATTTCAGGTCAACCAAAAACTCAAAATATCAGTATTCTTTTTTGATAAATAAACTAGATGGTTCTATGATATACACTTTCATAGGTATATATATGAAGTGCATATTTATGTGTGTATACGTGTATATAGGTATAGGTATCTATATAAGGTCTTTGTATCAGTATTATTGATTTGTTGCTTATTCGTGTTAGACTTTGGAGCTTTGGTTACTTTTTTGCAACAAATAATACAAATAAGCTAAAAAGACTCTACCTATTCCTTTTCAATCTCCAAGAAAGGGTGAATTTCTTGTCTAAAATTTTACTGTATGTGTATTTGATCGAATAAACAATATCTCTCTCTCAACTTTTGTGGAAGTGGGATGTGTAAAACACACAATAAACCATTTGCCATTTTTATTATTGTAAATGAACTTAAAATTTCTTAAAAATGAGATGGACCACTGCACATTTCCAAAGTTTTGGAAAAGTTTAACCAGTTTATGTGTGTATTTGTGTGGTTTATCCCAGAGTGGCACTCCCTTAGGTGATCCTGACTCCATGGTGGACCTGGGCTCCACTGAGGTGTCTGAAGAGTTATTTATGGAGTACCTGACTGCACTTGCAGAGTCGACATACAGGTGAGTATGAAGGATTATCACAAATATCTAAACCCCAGTGCAATGAAAGGTCAAGGGTCACGTGGGAATACATACAGGTATACTTGACTTACTCACTCACTACAATGTGTATCTTGATGATGCATCCTCATCCAAAAAGTTCTCATTTTCAATTTTTAAAACATTATTCAATTTAATCGCTGCTGTTTCAGAAGTTGGTACTGATAAACCGCATTTAGAATTGTTATTTTATATTTTAAAACAATTCCAAGTTCACATCAACAAAGCAACTCTGAGCTGTATCATTATGGGTATCAAAGGGATGCAATGAAATATACATTATGATCTTCTATGAACTTCAGTACACATGAAACTATTGTTCTTCATGACCCTGTGGAATATCACAGTATGCCAACCTGATGACGTTCCTTAAATCTGAGTTCTCCTCTATGTTGACGGGCCTCCGGTCAGTTTTCACTCTTTTATCAAGCACTGCAAATAACTTCAGTTTAGTTCCAACCACAGATCTGCGGCGATTCACACACTCCAAAATATTGCTCTGTTGGGATCTCTATTGAGATGCTGACATCACTGACATCAGCCTGATTAGCGATGCCCTGTGTGTTCCCCTTGTAGGCTGTAGCTAAAACTTGAAGTACTTCAACAGTAAACTGAGTTTGACGCAAAGTTCAAAAACAAAATAGGCAAGTAATTAGAGAAAAATAAATTCTTAATTTCAGACCTTTGTTGCTTCTGGGTGACAAGCTTTATAGCTGAGAGACCATTTTTTACCCAAGGATTAATCAAACGAAGATTTTAAAGAATAAATATTTCTAAAGCAAATGCCCCGGAACTGTTTTTGAGATCTCTACTTATCAGTTCTTTTTGTTATCTCTCCACTATAGTGGCTCCGTTTTGTCCTTCTCATTCAACTACCCTTCTCCACCCTGTCTAGACTCTTCTCTAAATTGATATCTCTGCTGGTCTCTTTGTTTGTTATTGTTGCACAGTGGTGACAAGTACAACCTGTTTGAGCACAACTGCAACACTTTCAGCAGCGAGGTGGCTCTCTTCCTCACAGGTAAAAAGATCCCGTCGTACATCACGGACCTTCCAGCTGAAGTACTTTCCACGTGAGTCAGCGGATAATGACAAACAGTAATCGCTATTGCTTTACTTGTAATTTAATTGTAACACGACTGTATGCTGTGGTTCTTCTTTAGACCTTTTGGTGAGGCTCTCCGTCCTTTACTGGACTCCGTTGCCATCAACCCTGGAGGCAACAACATAACTGGACATCCATAGATGAGCCCCCACAGGTTTATAAAATACTTTGATTTGAGTGTTCAGGTGAGAGGGGGGGTCACTCACCACCAGCAACCAACCTTAATAACACTTTTCTCTTTGCATATCCTTTTAAGGTGCCTTATTCTTATAACAAAGTGTAGTTAAAGCCTCCTACAATGTGCCACATATACCCATATTACTTCACCTTCTTTGGGTGATTTTTATTAACTGTGCACATCCCGACTTCTAAAAAATAACCTCTATTTATCCTCAGGGATGCTACTTGTTACAAATTTCCCTAATGCTTCAGATGTATAGGCAAATAGACACTTTATTCTCCTCAAGGCTTCACGCTCTGAACAGTTTGATTCAAATACCTGCATTTGCTCTTTTTTAACTCCTCCTGGTCTTAATCATGACACACATTGTAATTTTTTGACTAATTCTTGTTATATTTAATGATCGAATGTTTTGTTCTAAATTATACTCAGCAGTCATGAATGTGAGGTGACTGCAGTCCAAGAGAAAAGCCATTGTTAGTCAAAGAGTAAAGCTCTTCATTCAGTGTTTCAGAAAGTACATTATCACTAGTTTGAAGGGGTTGTCTTTGGTGTTCACACGTAACCTCCGAAGTGCTTCATTCAGGAACCTCAAATCAACACAGCGCACTGACTTGTTGAAAAACAGGACCAACCGTTTGTCTGTTGCTCCTCTTGGAAAGACTTTGAAATTGTGCATTTTTCAAAGACAGACTGATGCACACAACTCAAAGTTGTTGTTTTTCCCTCTTTGTATTAACAGTAAAAAACTCTGGGCATGTATATGAGCTAAAGATGATAGACCAGCAGCTACGTAACCTGAAGAAAAATCGTTGTTGATGCCATCAGATTTTTTAATCCTCAGTTTATTCTTTATTTCACTGAATGATAAAATGTTGTTTTAACTTATACGTTAAACTCACATGGTCATGCTTGAAGGGTGTCTGCAGGTAGTTGAAAAGAAAACAGAACTTAAATGCGCCTGAGTCACTCCTAATTCATTGAATTGTATACGATTTGATGCATTCCTCTTTTTTCTTTTGCACTGAAGTGAATATTTCAGGAAAATGCCTGATGCGTGATTGTAATTGAGCAGATTGCTGATCATATTTTTTAAAATATACACAGATTTTTGTGTAGAGATATAAAGAAAACTTCCATGCATAATTATTGCAGAAAGGAGTCTGAAGTTCTTAATGAAAGAGCTTTCTCAGAACTGAACTTGCTCTGACACCCTACACTTTGTTAAACTTGTTATAATAACTAAAGTTGTGACATTAAAATATCAATTGTATCTTAAAATCATTTCGCTGTGACCTGTTTTGTGTTGAAGATCTTCTCAGCTGTATTTAGGGCAGCACAGTTAATCTAAAGGAGCCTACCTGAGTTTTATAGGAACAGGAGTTTGTTGTGTTTAACAAAAAGCTGCTACAAGACGATTGGCAGATACATTTTGCAGGGTAAGATCGCCTCTGTTTCACATGCAGTATCAAAAACAGCCACAGGGTGACACTACAGGCACACCACATCAGAGGCGACGGTTCTGTGCCACTTTGCATCAAGGCAGCACATAAATCTTAAATGTGATTACATTTGAATTCTAAAATTGAAGGGTGAATTGATGGTTACTGGGACATGTTTGGGATCGCTGCTGCTTCAGGTCCCTGCTCGGAAAAAAATCAGAAATATTAAAGCCTCTGTCAGAATGTGGAGAAGCTGCTCAGTGGCCGATAAGGAAGAGAGAAATATTACTTATTGCATTAATATTCACTGATCATGCTGTCATCTTTATCAATACCAAACGCCGTGTACTTTTATAGAAGTGTTAAAAGTGATCAAAAAGCAGCTTTTCTTCTGGATCATAGAAAAATCTTTTCAGTTTCGCTGTTCGTTGTTACCTGGTCAGTTACTTTCTCTGACTGTATCAAGTTCAACATTTCTTCGGTACAAACACAAGCCTCACAATAATTTTACAATCTTTAATGATTCATCTTCAAAAGTGGAATCGGCTTCTAAACAATCCTCAGCAAATAACATTTCTAGAACATTTTGTGTATAAATAAGTTATGTTGTAATGAGTACAGTTACATACAGAATATACACTGGTTCTTATCATCCTGTTATCCAGTCCTGCAGAGGTCCCAGCCTATCTGCTACATGCACAAACGTTTTACTGCAAATCAAATCCATTCTGATCAGTACTAGTTTTTCCTCTGTGTCCCATTTAACTCTGTCACTATTGTGTAAACACACAGAGGAAACACTTGCGATGCCTGAGACAACCTGTCTGCTTTACAGCTGCTTTGTCATCTCCCACAGTACATTTGTGTCACTGTGTTTTGCCACTTATGTGAAAACCCTCTGCAGTAATGTGACTTTAAATACAGTAGGCTGACCACATCCTCCTCTTTTGCACGGACCAGTTAATATAGTTCCCTCTTTGCATCTTATTCCATGTTACTTAAACCCTTAACTTGAAGTAACACACTTTGACATCAACAGATTGTAATAAATATTCTTAGAATAAAACGACTTATTGCATACAGCCCTTATTCAAACAAAATACATAGAAAATTCCAGTATTAAACATATTTACACTATTTTCAGAGCTAAAGTAGAACACAGGAGAGGTTTGCACTACATATAAACTAACCAAAACAAAACAAAAACGTACATAAAACCTCATGTGTTCAGAGAAATTGAATCATAATGTACAGATGATGACAAACATCATTAATAGCAGGAAAAAAAGTTGGGTTTTTTTTTCAATTCATCCACAAAGAACTGAGATAAATTGTCAAGGGGGAGAAAAAGAGAGATTTCGTTTAAAGAAAAGACAATGGAAGCACCCGATCATGCTAAAGAACTAAACCCGAATTGCTTATCAAAAAAACTGAATTTGTGTCTCTTGACCTGCAAATAAAAGCTGTTACACTGAGTATTTAGAGCTAAAGATGCCTGCTCAGAATCTTTAGCTGCATTGGTGAGATGAAAAATAAGAATATCTACGGTCAAAGTGAAGTTTTGTTAAAAATCAGAAGAGACTTAAAAAAAGAGCAGATGTGAACCAGGACACAGAATCAGGTGTGTTGTTTCCTAAGAAGTGTTTTGGATAGAAAATTATGATTTCAGGTCATGAGAAAAGATGTGACTATTAGTTTGTATCAGTGTTTTGTTTCAGGGGGGCACTCATGTCAGGTATTTGGGAGATAAACCTCTCTTAGCAGGGATATTGGGGTGTGATCACACCTTCAATTTACCAGGTTGAACTAAAATTGAACTTTGATTTACAGCAATTGTATTTTCTGTGTGCGGTTTGTCTAAAAGGATGCCGAAAAATGGCTCATATATATAGAATACGTTTTCACGGAAAGACACAGATTTACACGGGGGAGGAAAACTTTTATATATTATCCTTATTAAAGTCATATAGATGCTTGATAAAAAACACTTTTCCAAATATTATTTTTAGGAATAACCGGAACTACTGTTAAAGTAATGGAAGTACCTGTAATCAGTTTTTATACGTTAACAATCAGACGCCTATTGTTAAACAGTTTGTAAGTTTGCTCGGCGTGATAAACCCTCAAAGAATTGACAGTCATACCCTCAGTGACCCCTTAACTCTACAGCTTTAAGCATCTTTCAGCTTAATTGCATCATAGGTGTTCAGTCTCACTTGTCTTTGAGTTTTATTCATTAAAATGCTGCATGTAGGAACTCTAAGTTAACCTTCAACTTGAGGACCAGATTTTAGCCTCTATAGAGTTAGCTGGATGTTAACATTTGGGGGTTTATAAAGACTGAAGAGATTAAAAAAAGATGATTGTAACACATGATCATTTAAAATCATTGTTGTAGATTAGGGATATTTTGCTGTCATGTTGGCTGTATTAGTTGTATGGCAGTGTTCTCAGCTAGCTTTTGCTGCCCCCAATTGACCTAAAAGAATAATGCAGGCTCTTGAACTTGTTAATAACTCTGATAGACGGTCTAAATAACAAGTCTTCCCGACTGTTGTTTATAGAGTATAAATCAGCACCTGCGTGTGGTTGCGTGATTAGACAGGCTCGTACTGTAGACTGAATGAAGAGACGGACAGTATGACTGATGTCCTCTCACATGAGATTTTAAACTTTATAGAGTGACTGATTTAAATCAACACACGTATCTTTTTAATGATGGCACCTTTAAGTGTGTTTTGGGGAGCAGAAAAGGTACAACGCCAATCCTGCAACTCTACCAGCCAGATCACGTCTGCACATGCTTTGGGATTAGGGCAAAAATCATCGCCTGTTGTGGCGTGTTCACTATTTTTTTAATGGAAGGAGATTGTTGCACACTGTCCATACTAATACACGGTTAGTAGTCAGGCATTATCTGGACTCCCTTTCTGCTCCTAGAAGAAACTCTTGCATACAGATTGCTGTTATGGTGAGAATTTTGATTATGTATTAGTAAAAATAAAAAAAATCAGGCTTGGTTGAAAAAAAATGTTTGTTTGTTTTTTGCAAAAAAGGAAAACTTTTCCTTGCTAAAGCCTCAGTGTTTTGAACTGAAGGCTTTGTGAGCACTTCTTTAGTCATTTAGTAAAGCTGTGTTTATCATTTTTTTGTGATTTGTCCACTTCTTCAGTTTTTTAATTGGCTTGGTTTCACTTCTGTACTCATTTTTGCTTGACTCTTCATCCAGCTGTTACAAAAGCCCTTTAACACTTCAACCAAACAAAGAGTTGAACATAATGTACTCCCCTCTTTTTAGAACAAACTTTTTTTTTTTTCCACATCCTTATGCAAGGCTCTTGACACATGTGCAATCATTAACAGTTCACCTCATTGTGCATTTCCTCAGGGTGTTGCAGCCGTGAGCTTTCCTCAGCAAGCACAGTGGACAATTGCACAAACTGTTGCACAAATCAGAGACAAAAAGAGAAATATTTACCGCTGCGGGCCTGAAAATGCCTCAGTAAATCCCCCTGCGATGGTGCTCAGGGGAGGAAAACTAAACACATGCATCTACATGCATACACACATGGAAGATATGACCCAAGCAGCTTCGTAGTGAGAGACCTAGATCCACAGTGACTCCTTCCCTTACTCCCCTCAAGGAAAGAAAACATGCAGCCAGTGTGCCTTTTGTTTTTCTATTTTCTTCTTCTCTCTCCTCCCATTTTATTCTTTTCTAAAGAGTCTCAGCCCCTGGCCCTGACTGCGTCCCACTCCTCCTACTATTCCTTTCTGTGGTCGGGATGGAGGATGATGGGAGCTGACATGATGGTGGCATTGTCCTCCCTGTAGAGTTAATGTGACCCCCAGGGATAATGTCCCTTTTTGCTGGGCCTGATGGCACAAGATGCAGAGCAGTTCATAGTGGAGAGAGGGTGGGAAAGGCCAAAGGGGGTAAGAAAGAGAGGAGGAGAAAACAGGAGGTGTTTTTCGGAAAAATAATAGGAACATACCAAAAAAGGAACGCACAAAAAGGCCTCTGCTGGGCCTGACCTGGATTGAGTTCCTTTGAGATGATTTATGATCACGTAACTAAATTGTTTGGATAGAGTTAATTTGACTAAATTCTTACATCTTCTAATATCAATCCAAATGTTCATGCTTTAATTATTTTTGGAATGATTTTTATGTAAGCCGGCTAAATAAGGTTTGCTATTTCACGGATGTAAATTCAATCAGCCTCCAGAGACGTGGTTTTATAGGTCTTATATAAATATGGACAAGTGCAAAAACTTCCTGTGCCATAATTCTGACACATCAATGCCTCATACCTTTAACGAAATAATGAAAAATGTTTAAAAATGGGCTTGCAATGAGATTTTAAGGGTCCCATAGAAGGAGAATCATGTTTCTATTCCTGTTCATGTTCGCTTTAGTCATCCTCCAGCTGAGCAGCCCTGAGAATGTGACGATAGAAAAGCCTCTGCGTTGTTTCTGTAGCCCACATACTAACAAAAAGTAGCTCGTACATAACAATAACATTTTTCATCCTGTGCTGATGTAACAACAGGAATGGTGCAAAAACCATCCTACTTCCTGGAGTGATTCAGCTCACTCCATCACTTCAATTTTTGCTTCAAGATGTCAAATATTAGATCCATGCCAGACATACCGGCTGCTTTGAGGTTGAATTTGTGGTGCCGATCTGTGCTTTGGAAGATGTCCATCCTCAACCATGACAGATACATGGCAGTGTAGTCTGTTTAGTGTTTTTCAGGCTCCCTCAATGCCCTGTTTTTCAACACGGCTACATCTATATCTTCCTAAAGTCAAAGGAACCAGAAAACGGTGGGTAGTTTCATGTTTTTGGAACAACAACGTAGCTGTTTGTTTTCCTCCCAACGTCACTGATGACTCCTCCACAAACAGGTCAGTACAAGCTGGATTTGCATGTCGACTGTTACTGCTAACTGTAAGTAATATTATAACAGCAGCTAATGAGACAATAGCAAATGAATGCCAACACGGCTAAATGGGGGAGACAAGTGGATGCTTACAGCTTGCCTCAGATGTTTTCTGTAAAGGCATAACTTTCTAGCGATGTGAAAACAACCACATTAGGAATGCGTGTGTCTTATGTTAAACGACTGAACAGCAGCCAAAATTACACTTTTTGGGCCGCAGCTATAAAGTGCTGAAACACAGTTTTTATGGGCATAAATGAGTTTTATGATTTTTTTTTGTGCTGCTAATCATGCAAAGTTTCTCCATAGGTGTCCCAGGATGAAAAAATAAAAGGTGAAAATAAGCAATACGAGTCCCTTAGAACTAAACTAAAACATGTAGCAAACAGCCCAAACACCATCACCTTTAAAGCCTTCAAATTAGACTTTGATATTTTTGATCAAAGCACAAACTTAATTCCGTTACAGAGGACATCCTGATCTACATTAACAATAATATTATTCAAAATAGGCCTACAGTAAACCCACTGCTTTGAGATCAATGAAGAAGAAAATGACTATTCCAGCACTGACTTCTGGAATAAATTCATAAAAATAGATTTAACTAAATAAGGTACAAAAAAAGTCAAATAAAAAAAAAAAACATATAATAAATAAGTTAACTTTTTTGCTTTGCTTGTCTGCCCTTTACTAATATGGACTTCCATTTGTTACTGTTATAGTAACTGGCTTTGAGTTAGATGAGATGATTGGTCCCACTCTTGCCTGGAAGTAGATTCAACGGTGAAAAGCGGCTAGTTAGCTCAGCTATCTAGACTAAAACCGTGCAAACAGATTGATTGGAGACATGGGGACTTTTTTGTGTGCAGTAACTGGGCATTTTTAGCTTCACCATAGATAGCCTAAAGCCGCGTTCAGACCAAACGCGACCTGACGCGACTTGGCGACGGCTCCCAATGCAAAGTCTATGGCCAGCCGCGACCTGACGCGACTTGGCGACCGCCGTCTGCCTGCGACGCGACCTGACGCGACCTAGCGACCGGTCGCCAAGGCGCGTCCCCGAGGTCGCATCGCCGAGGTCGCAGGACGCCAAGTCGCGTCGCTCCCAAAGTTCAAATATTTGAACTTTGGCAGCGACTCCGTGCCGCGACAGCCAATCAGGGCTCTGCTGACGTCAACAAACCGGCGAAACAAGGAAGAGGAGAAGAAGAATCACAATGGAGGAGCAGTTAATCACATCCGTTAGCTACCACCCGGTGCTATACGACGTGGGTTGCGGGCTGTACCGGGACCGCAACGCCAAAGAAGAAGCATCTCAGTTTCGGAGCGCCTGTATTTCGTGTCCAGGCGGGAGATGCTGCTTCCCACCCGGGCGAGGAGGTCCTCGAACTGCGCCGTCGACACACGGAAGTACCGCTGGAAGCGGCCGTCGTCCAGGCGGAGTTCCTGGAGCAAGCGGTGAAATTCACCCAGCTCCGTCCTCCTCCGGATGGTTTCATGCACCCATAAACGCCGGCGGCGTCTACTGCGGATGTACAGATATGCGGCAGCACTGATGAACTGAAAACTGAGCTAGTGACATGGATGACGTCACCGGCGACCAGCCGCGACCTGCGACTGCAGCTTTGGACCCGGTGTGAACACACCAGAGCACCCCGCGACGCGACGTGACCGACCAAAGCGACGCGACGCGACCTGGTCGCGTTTGGTCTGAACGCGGCTTTACAACAGCTAACTGTCCCTTTGCTCAGGTAAATGCTCGATGGTAGGACCTTAATATTTCTTACAGATACAAAAGTTGTAAAATACTTCTTAAACGACTATTTGAAAGAAAAACTGCATCCCTAAAAAAAGGGAAAGTATTCCTGTAAGGGAGTGAGAGCACATTGCCGAGGAAGCTCCAAGTGTAAGGGCTCATTTCCACTGACATATGTGTATGGAGGTGAGTCAACTGGAAGAAATCTCTGTGATATCCAATGTGTCTGCCAAACTCCCTCATGTTATAATTAATTCTTTAATTTACTTTAGCTAACAGGCTGCTTGTTCGCTTGCTAAAAGATAGTTTCATTTGTTGATTGTCAGTGAGTTTGAACGAAGAAAAAAAAACGTGTTTGTCTCGTTCTAACACATGGTGACAGAGTCCTAATGAAATTGTACAAAGTCAGATCTCTTAAAGTCTGACTACAGCATCGATATAATACGGTTAGGGGTTGATTTCCTCTTGCATGTGGTTTGCGCACCAATTGGCTGCGTGATCACAGACAACATCTCGGTACTACTTAGTAGCAGCGCAGGCCCCCATTAAAATTGTTGTTCAGGACTGTGCGCAACATGCTTACTCGTGCTTCCTACCTTCTCAGCTACCGTAAAAACCGTTGTTCGAGTCAACATGCAACATTTTTGTTCTCATTCATGAAACGCCTAAATCGGGGATGTTTCTGGTGACAGGTCATCCAATACAGGGACTGTCCCTGGAAATGGGGGACATCTGGTCACGTTACCATAGTGGGCCTCAAAAGTTCCAAACAGGAGCTTTAACTTTGTAAATGTATTGAGTTTAATAATCCACAGAGAGACCCTGTGACAGTGTGCGAGCAAACAGTACGCTTTCTGCAGCCCATTGATTGTAGGGTGAGTTTTTTATCTTTTAAAACTTGTCTAGTTTTGATTCATTGTGATTCTGAGTTGAACTATTCTGCTAAAATACATCTATGTTTATTTACAGTTGGATTGTCTCCATATCAGTGTCTCCCCTGTGGCTGTAGGTAGTTGTAACTGGCTGCAACTTGTAACTGGTTACAAAGGTCTCTCATCTCAAGGTGAACCTACCAAATTTATCTTAAAGGTTATAAAGTACATTTACATAAATTCAGCGAATAGTGAGAGCTGCTTGATTGCTCTAAACTTACAGATAATGTCAGAAAACGTATGCTCAGGCTGTGGTCTTTGTCAGCTCCAGGCTCATTATGGAATGTTATTCGAGACCAAACCTGCCCGTGAGGCAGCTTGTTATTGTAGCTACATGTACTGCTGACCTTAGCCTAACCATAGTCACTCAGCTAACACACACTCACTGTTTATTCCTGCCAAATATCAGGGAGACTAACCCTCTCCACAGACTAAATGAAACTTGTTAGCTGCTCCAGCAGCTGGTGTGGGTTACATTGCTCAGTTCTCCTGTTCCTTTATCTATGAAGCACAACAAAACCACACTTTAACACCTAAACTGTAGCGGTTGAGTATCTGTGAGGGTTGCATGACCTGCAGGAGCCTGAGAGTGGTTTTAAGCAACCTTTTCAGATTTCCTAACAAAATACCTGGTGCTTTGTCTGCTTTCCCAATCCCACATTTCAAAACACCTCTTTTCATGTAGTAAATGTCTCATTGTTTGGGCAAAGTATCCTAAACTCTGGCATTGAGCTAACTTGAAAGTGATGCAGGTCACTCTCTGAAGCTGTGACACTCAGACGGTCACCTCAGTCGTACTGTGGGTGGAGTAACTCTTCTGTCTTGCATGGTGGTAGTAGGAGGGTTGAGGCGGGTGTTGCAGTGGGTGTTGAGAAGGGTGTTGTTGTTGTTGTCCCTGTACATGGTGCCCATGCCTCAACCCCTCCACTGCTCCTCTGTACATCCCTCCGTAGGGCTGGCTAAAGAGGTCCGACATGTTCTCTATACTCTGCTGCCTCCGGGTCGAGTAGAACTGTCTACGGTTGGAGTTGTGCATGCTGGAGGACGAGGAGGAGTTAGTGTGTGCAGGGGCTGAGGTCTGCCTGTGGACATGGCGGGCAGCGGGCTCCCAGGCTCTGAAGGCTGAGGTGGATAGCATCGGGTGTGTGGTGGTCTTGGGAAGATGTGAGTGCTCCAGGTGGCTTGATGGGATGGAAATGGACAGGGGGGCTTGGAGATCGTGGTGAGCTGACACATGCGGGTGGATGTATGACTTCTCTTTGGGCTGTACGGACACAGGCTGGAAAGCAGGAGGTGCCACCGGCTGATAATGAGAGAAGTCCATGAGTGGGTAGCTCTTGTAGTAGCTCTTCGACGCACTGTGTGCTGCAAAGAAGACAGAAGGGGGTGAAGAGGCTTATTAGGAAAAGTAACAATATATGTGTTCAAAGCATTTATTTATCACTGAGTTATGGGGTCATTTTTATTTTTACATCACTGCTGGGCAACATTTTCTCACAGTTAATGACTTAAATCGCTAATTATAGTGACATGGAGCAAGAGGCATGAGCTGGTTTGTCAGGTTAGCCAGAGACAGTATGCTAATTGAGGCTGCACTATAAGCTGCATTTTAATCATTGTTATAATGGACAACAGCATATCTCAGAAGACTGCCTTGACACAATATTTGAGAAAATTTTCAAATTAAATTTTAATTGTAATAGAAACTGAATTTTGTAAACACACTTGTAGTGATTTTAAATGAGCCTCACACGGTCGCACCAAAATATATGTAGCGATTTGAAATGAGCCTCACAAGGCCGCACCAAAATAATACTGTAGCGATTGGAATTTATAATAAATGTCTGAAGATTAATAATCTCAAATTATGACATTTATGCACTCGTTGAAAGGGGCACCACCCACCCTTAATGGTGGGAAAATAAAGAAAGCAAAAGTTTAATTCAGAAATCAAACATCAAGTCAGTTTTAATTAATCAGTCTCATATCTTAAGTCGAAATTCTAATTTCAGGGACTCCACTTCTGGAAGAACACTAACAGACAGGAACTTAGAAAAATAATGATCTGTTTATTACAGGATAAATGATGGTACAACACACATGCAATAAATGATGATAAGATAATGAAGATAAATAATAATAGGTGAATAAATAAAGATTCTGAGTCAGGCTAGGAGCACTAAAGTTAATGATAGTGAGTGAATATGCGCTAACATATTAACCTACACTAACTTTGGTGTCGAGATAAACTCGGGTGTAGATTCGGAGGAATCTAAGATCACCAGAAATAGGTGGATATCTGAGTTATGAACGCGTGAGACAGCATCAGCCCTGTCTGGAGCTCTGGAGGTTTGCATACTTAAGTGAGACTGGTCCTTGGAGAAGATGGAGCAGGTTCCGAAGGTCCGGGGCTACTGGCGGTTCGAGCGGTTCAGCTCAGAAGACGACTGAAGTCAGCCGAAGGATGAGCCAGGAGTTGCAGCACTCAGGCCCGAAGCAAAAACCAGCGCCTGTGGATCCTGTGGATGCTCGTTTGGGTACTTCTTTAGTCTCACTCAAAAACTCTGGCACAGAGGATGACCTGGGCCTGTTGGATTGCGTTCGGAGGTGACTTTGAAATCACGCAGAAAACTCAGAAAAACGAGGCTCGAAGAGCAGAGAAAACTTTCAAAAATGGCTTCGCGAATTTAAAGAAAAATCAATCAAAGGCTTAATCTTGAATTGCTATGCGCACAAAAAGTTGAAGTTTCAAAACTTGAACTAAGACGATGTTAAAGAAAATCAACGTGAATCAACACGTGGCGTAAAACTTAGAAGACTAAGAAAAAGTTCTAAGAGAAAACAAAGAAACGCACCACAGAAGGGTGTGGGCAGAAGAGAAGGGGCATAAGAGCCGGGGACAAGAGAGTCAGCAGAAGAGCAGAAGCATAAGAGAGCTAAGAGAGCGTAAGAGAGTGAGCAACCCCACTCCACTGGTTTTATCTTCTCACACTGGGAGTGTCTGAGGAGAAAGAGGAGGGGTCATCGGGTCTCTGATTATTTGATCTAACTTATTCTTTTGGCTGGTAAAAGAGTCAGATCTGATACTCACTCACTATGATTAATATCATTGAATGCTTGGTTTCATGATAAATAATTTGATACTAAACACATATGAATGAAGTGTAGGATCACATCAAACATTCTCATTATGTTTTAAGTATCACATTGAACATGCTAAATTACTCTGAAATGAAACAGATAGTAACACATAGAAACTGTGAACAACAAAAGAGTAAACACATGTGAATGAACGTCATCATGATTAATAATGGATTCTAAATACTCACATTCAGATTATTCAGTGACATTATAACCACCTAATGGTTAAGATACTAAATAAATAACTAAAATATAAACCAAACATTTCTAAACTATTTCTGTTACTTAGAGTAAACTTAGGATTCATAGTCAATAAATTTAACTCTTAAAAGTTCATGAAACAGTCTGAAAAGCTGTTGGTCTAAAGAACAAAAGAATAAGGATTTATTCTGTCAGATAAGATAACTTGGCTTCTGAAGCACATAGAAAAACGGGAAACATCTCATTTTAACACAAATTTCATGATTAGACAGATTAGTACATTGCTGAATGCATAAGATGTCATGATCAGTCATTTGTATTCTTTCACCAAAGGAATGCAGTCTTTATCAGTGTATGGTCGAGCAGGGTTTTACGACCGAGGTCTGGAGGTCAGTGTCCCCCCTTATCCTGGGGTCCGTATGTTCACACACTTTAAGACGCTTAATCTCAAATGGGAGATCTGGGTTAAGGTTAATGTTTATTTAGATGGTCAGCAAATGGAGTCAGTTTGAAAGGTAATAAAAACTCTGTCTCTGTTCGCCGAACTGACCAATCCTGAAGAGTCAGAGGTTTAGTCAACCTCCGGTTGGGTCACTTATTTAACCTGAAAGTGCAAACACGTCTGGAAAGATTTATATCCTGTTTCCTGGGACCAGATAAGGAAACTTTCCTGTAAGGAATGTGTGGGTTTCACATCCAGGGTTGTCTTGATTGCTACAGTCCCCCTTCGTCACGGTGGTCCTGTCCATGGAGCATCGGGACGACGAGTAGACAACCATGAAGCAGCAGCAGCAGCAGCAGGTGTATGCAAATAGGACTGATGCGTCTCGTCATCACTATGTGAATCACTAGTACTGCTTTGAGATAAAATTAAGCATGCATTAAGCTATCAAATAAAATCGTCTAGTTGTTAGACTCTTCTCAGTTAACTATTGGTAGACTAATGTGAAAGAAAATCTCCTAATTTTCAATATTAATGAGACTTAGAAAAGCACTCTTTAGTCTGAATGCTAACTGGATCTAAAGCTATAGCTGTTTTTCATGCTTGCTGGAGAAGTCTGAAAGTTCAATTTCAGTTTCAAAAATGGTTAAGACTTAGGTGGAAAAGAAATGTCTGCTATAGACATATTAACCATCTGTGTATGAGCATAGTCAACCTGAATCACAAACATCAAAAGTTTACTGCACAGAGTTTCTCTTAAACTTTGTCTGTTAAACTTGGGGATGATGCTCTTATCGGTTTGACTAATTATCTGCTATTAAGTCTGAAATTTGTCAATCTGAGTCTTAATGACAGAAATTTCAGGTTTTAATCTGTTCATGGGATATTTGACAGCTGACAAGCTGACTATATTGACAGAGGAGAGACAAATGCTAACAAAGAAAGCAGCAACTGGGATTGCAGTCATCAATGTATCACCACAGCATTTGGATATCTTATTGGAGTCATTTAGCTTTGGCTGGGTGACTTCTGCTTTCGCAGGACTCACACCTTCATGACTCCACAGTGTTAATCTCAGTGGTTAGCTGAGTAGTCATGTTTATTCACCTTCAAAGTGGATGAAACCGATTGAGGTGGATAATAAGATCGTCGTTTCTGAGAGTGTGATTTACTCTGATTCTGCCAGTCATTCACCCCCTTTGGTGGTGTTGGTGGTTTTTCCTTTGTCTGGGATAAAACCCACCGTGACGGGAGTCTGAATAACAACAGTTGGTCTCAAAGTTTACCGGGCATTGGTCTGTGTCAGACCTGGGCCTTGGTGTGTAACTTTGACCTTTGTGAGTGTGTTGAGGTCGAAAAGGTTTTGGAGGCCTGGTTAACCACTCATTTGGAGGCTTATCGGAGCCTGAAAATACACAATCTGAAGCTTCGTTCAGCTCCATGGGCAGTGATTTTGTCTCCATAGCCAACAGAGTAACAGGCTCTGCTTTCTTAGCCAAAGTTTGTCGTTGTTTGGCAAAACCTTTTACAGCAAGTTCACGAAGCTGTCGGCTAGTCAAAGTGTTTGGACAAGCTAAGACGCCAAGGTGATGACTGGTGGTAGGGTGGAGGTTCTGGACGAACAGCGTTTTGAAGTTCAAGTCCTCCTCCATTTCTGGTTCATTTCGGAAACCAAAGTAAGCTTCGCGTAAGCGGTTGTAATATTGTTGGGGAGGTTCTGATCTCCCTTGTTTAATAGACAGAGCAGCAGAAAGGCCTGTCTGGGTCAAATGATCAGAAAACTCTTCAATTAATGCTTGGCAGAGCAAGTCATAATTATTTCTGACATGATAAGGCTGTCGTTCAAGGAAACTGCTAACCTCTCGACTTGACGTTGCCTTAATAAGGTAGATTTTGTCATCAGTGGTTGCACCTGGAAATTTCCTCAGGTAAAAGTCAATATCTTTCAAGTAGGTGCAGGTGTCAGTAGCACCTTGGTGCTCAGGTTCAAAGCGTGCTATGTTGCGAGCAATTTTGTCAAGATCCCTATCTGAGGGAGATGGTAAGAAGCCATCATGAGGAGGAGAGTAGGACTCTTGGTTTAAGGATGACCTCTCAGGGTCAAGCAGGGTCCTGTCATGATGCTGAGAGAGATACTTAAGAGTTGGTTTGGAAGGAAGTGATGGCGCTCTCTCAGGAGGCTGATCACCTATCATTTCTTCAAGAAACGTTTGCTCCATGCGTTCTCTTTGGGCTCGACCTGACTGGAGGGAGCATTGTAACTCTCTTTGGGCATCTTCAAGTTCTTTGTCTGTCTTTTCTCGCTGTTCTTGACAAAGAATTAACTGTCTTTGAGCTATCTGGAGCTGGTGCTGTAAGGTAGAAGTTTGCTTCTCCTTAATTTCAAGAGCTTCAGCACGCACTTTGACCAGTGCTTTCAAAGCTTTTACATCTTCTGTTGCTTGCTCTAGTAGGGATTCTGACTGTATCAGATCCTCTGTGGTCTTAGCAAGCTGCTTATTCGTGTCATCAAGTTCTTTCTCCTTTTTGTAAAGGGTCTCATTAAGTCTTTCAATCTTGTCTTTGAGATCAAGATTTTCTTCATGACCTAGTGAGGGAAGCTTTGACGCTTCACATCTGGCACTGTGTTTTTCTAAAACACTTAGAGACTTCTTAGTCTCTTCTAGCGTCTTTTTCAGAGCGCTGTTTTCTTCTTTTTGCGTCTTTATCTTTGCTAAAGCGCATTCCAGCAAGTAGTCTTTATACTCAAGCTGAGAAGACATCACGACAGACATGCGTCTAGTGAGCTCTTTGTCACGAAGTGTCGTGGTTAAGGCTGTTTCCAGTAGGTCAGCCATTTCATCCTCCGGATTGGAGGGTTTGGCCTTTTGAATCTTAGTCATGTACTGAGGTATCAGCTGACTAGTCAAGTTTGCCAACACTGGGTGTATGTCCCTCAGGGGGTCTCCCTGGCTGGACTCTTTTGTGTTAGGCATGTTTGGTTTTGGTAAAGAGGTGCAGCTGATTGGTTGATGAGTTTGAGTTGACTTAAAATGAAAGGAAGAAGCACAATATCAAATTAAGTGGGTTAATCGACTTAATTTATCAGTGCTTGATAAAGAGGAAGAGCCTATCTGAGTAGATATCTAATGGAGAGAAAAATAACATAAAGTTAAATTCATTTCAACGAAAATTGAAATAAAACAAGGTGAAGTAATGTTAAATTAAATTTAACATCAGATACAGAACCATTGAATAAAGGGTTCAGTTTGTCTCCGTGTTGCAGAGATCAGCAAAGCTTAAATAAACTGCCTGGTGCAGTTGGATGAATTGGCAAAATCGATGAAATTGTCAATTTAAGGAATTAACTCTGAAGTTAATTCACAAATTGCAATAAATCCAAAGGTTCAAATACCCAATCTATCTGGAATGTTAAAAGAAATTTGAAATATTAATTAATTTGTTCGTTAATTAATTAATCTTATGAGTAGGGTTAATACATTCATGTATTATAGGGAACAGTAAAACTGCTCACTGGTGTGATAAGTAACAACAGATCAGGTGATTGATTCAAGGAGTTACTTCATCAATACATCAAAATCAATGATCAGTGATTTAGAATAAGCACATCAAACTTCATCAACCAAGTCAATCACTTGAGTTATGTCTGTAGAGTGTTACACACTGACTACAGGGAGGCAGTACAGCTGGCTGATACTGCAGGCAGATAATAGCAGTGTTAGCTCAATACCAAAAGCAACCATGTGGGGCAGTATGGAGTTGGGGTAACTGCACAAGCTCAACACAAGTGGAGAAGAAGAAGAGAAGAAGAAACAGTCATCCAACTAGCCTCTTGTTGCTGTGAGGAGTTGGGAAGTGTGCAGGAAGGGGCCTTTAGGCTCTGCCTCCTTGAAGGGCCTTATCTGCTTAAGGCCAATTGGTCAGTCTCTCCACTGACAACAAAGGGTTAACATTTCACAGCAGGCTGCGTCTGCACCCTCAAACATAGAACTTTACACCATCTGCTCAGGCAGATTGGTTCAATAAAATCATTTACAGGAACAAGGATCAAAGTGGCAAATCCTTAAACAGCAGATTCAACTGCAGACTTAAAAAAATCACAAATGCGGCGATTTGTGATCACGGATTTTGTCTGAATTCATTCAAACAACAACCTCCCACTGTTACAGTGGTTTCCTGTGACAGGTAGTTAATCTGTCAGGGGAAAGGAGGAAATCTGAATCCCATATAATTACTAGAACTTCGTAGCAGACTATAGAGACAAGAATCAAAGTGACAAATCCCTCAATAGCAGATTCAACTGCAAACTTAAAAATCACAAATGCGGCGATTTGTGAACACAAATTTTGTCTGAATTCGATCAAACAACAACCTCCCACTGTTACAGTGGTTTCCTGTGACAGGTAGCTAATCTGTCAGGGGAAAGGAGGAAATCTGAATCCCATATAGTTACTAGAACCTCGTAGCCGACTACAGAGACTTCAGGGGCTTGAAACCACAGCTCGGAGCATCGCGAACACTGGGTTCAGCCAAAGGCCTTAAATACAAGCGTACGGCGACGCAACAATCGTGCACTTAAATATTGGACAGTCTAGACAGAGCAGAAGAAGCAGTCTCACTGCTACTCAGAACAACATTTCACGCTGTCCAGCTCAAACACAGACTACAGGCATGTAGTACAAAAGTGTGTGAAACACAGAGCATAAAGGTTTTATGCATAGATCAGGAAAACATCAGAACTTAGTCAAGCAACTTCAGCAAGCATAGCATTTATTGTGATTAAGTCTAGGATAGCCTGGAAATAAGTTTCTCTCATCAATTTGGAAGGCTAAGTTTTAGGTTGTCTGTTAGTATCCAGAAGTTTTGTTTGAAACGCCTCACGCAGGGGCACCAAAATATATGTAGTGATTTTAAATGAGCCTCACACGGTCGCACCAAAATATATGTAGCGATTTGAAATGAGCCTCACAAGGCCGCACCAAAATAATACTGTAGCGATTGGAATTTATAATAAATGTCTGAAGATTAATAATCTCAAATTATGACATTTATGCACTCGTTGAAAGGGGCACCACCCACCCTTAATGGTGGGAAAATAAAGAAAGCAAAAGTTTAATTCAGAAATCAAACATCAAGTCAGTTTTAATTAATCAGTCTCATATCTTAAGTCGAAATTCTAATTTCAGGGACTCCACTTCTGGAAGAACACTAACAGACAGGAACTTAGAAAAATAATGATCTGTTTATTACAGAATAAATGATGGTACAACACACATGCAATAAATGATGATAAGATAATGAAGATAAATAATAATAGGTGAATAAATAAAGATTCTGAGTCAGGCTAGGAGCACTAAAGTTAATGATAGTGAGTGAATATGCGCTAACATATTAACCTACACTAACTTTGGTGTCGAGATAAACTCGGGTGTAGATTCGGAGGAATCTAAGATCACCAGAAATAGGTGGATATCTGAGTTATGAACGCGTGAGACAGCATCAGCCCTGTCTGGAGCTCTGGAGGTTTGCATACTTAAGTGAGACTGGTCCTTGGAGAAGATGGAGCAGGTTCCGAAGGTCCGGGGCTACTGGCGGTTCGAGCGGTTCAGCTCAGAAGACGACTGAAGTCAGCCGAAGGATGAGCCAGGAGTTGCAGCACTCAGGCCCGAAGCAAAAACCAGCGCCTGTGGATCCTGTGGATGCTCGTTTGGGTACTTCTTTAGTCTCACTCAAAAACTCTGGCACAGAGGATGACCTGGGCCTGTTGGATTGCGTTCGGAGGTGACTTTGAAATCACGCAGAAAACTCAGAAAAACGAGGCTCGAAGAGCAGAGAAAACTTTCAAAAATGGCTTCGCGAATTTAAAGAAAAATCAATCAAAGGCTTAATCTTGAATTGCTATGCGCACAAAAAGTTGAAGTTTCAAAACTTGAACTAAGACGATGTTAAAGAAAATCAACGTGAATCAACACGTGGCGTAAAACTTAGAAGACTAAGAAAAAGTTCTAAGAGAAAACAAAGAAACGCACCACAGAAGGGTGTGGGCAGAAGAGAAGGGGCATAAGAGCCGGGGACAAGAGAGTCAGCAGAAGAGCAGAAGCATAAGAGAGCTAAGAGAGCGTAAGAGAGTGAGCAACCCCACTCCACTGGTTTTATCTTCTCACACTGGGAGTGTCTGAGGAGAAAGAGGAGGGGTCATCGGGTCTCTGATTATTTGATCTAACTTATTCTTTTGGCTGGTAAAAGAGTCAGATCTGATACTCACTCACTATGATTAATATCATTGAATGCTTGGTTTCATGATAAATAATTTGATACTAAACACATATGAATGAAGTGTAGGATCACATCAAACATTCTCATTATGTTTTAAGTATCACATTGAACATGCTAAATTACTCTGAAATGAAACAGATAGTAACACATAGAAACTGTGAACAACAAAAGAGTAAACACATGTGAATGAACGTCATCATGATTAATAATGGATTCTAAATACTCACATTCAGATTATTCAGTGACATTATAACCACCTAATGGTTAAGATACTAAATAAATAACTAAAATATAAACCAAACATTTCTAAACTATTTCTGTTACTTAGAGTAAACTTAGGATTCATAGTCAATAAATTTAACTCTTAAAAGTTCATGAAACAGTCTGAAAAGCTGTTGGTCTAAAGAACAAAAGAATAAGGATTTATTCTGTCAGATAAGATAACTTGGCTTCTGAAGCACATAGAAAAACGGGAAACATCTCATTTTAACACAAATTTCATGATTAGACAGATTAGTACATTGCTGAATGCATAAGATGTCATGATCAGTCATTTGTATTCTTTCACCAAAGGAATGCAGTCTTTATCAGTGTATGGTCGAGCAGGGTTTTACGACCGAGGTCTGGAGGTCAGTGTCCCCCCTTATCCTGGGGTCCGTATGTTCACACACTTTAAGACGCTTAATCTCAAATGGGAGATCTGGGTTAAGGTTAATGTTTATTTAGATGGTCAGCAAATGGAGTCAGTTTGAAAGGTAATAAAAACTCTGTCTCTGTTCGCCGAACTGACCAATCCTGAAGAGTCAGAGGTTTAGTCAACCTCCGGTTGGGTCACTTATTTAACCTGAAAGTGCAAACACGTCTGGAAAGATTTATATCCTGTTTCCTGGGACCAGATAAGGAAACTTTCCTGTAAGGAATGTGTGGGTTTCACATCCAGGGTTGTCTTGATTGCTACACACTTTACAGATTGTAGACTTAAACATAACCATGTAACCCTAATCCTTTAACCCTTAATCTAAACCCTAACACACAAACCCTAACACACAAACCCTAACCCTGTCACCCTAACCCTCTAACCCTAACACTCAAACTCTAACCCTGTCACCCTAACCCTCTAACCCTAACCCTAACACTCAAACCCTTACCCTCAAACCCTAACCCAAACATTCTAACCCTTACCCTGAAACTCTAACACTCAAACCCTCTCTTTTTTCATTTATCTCTGCTGTAAATTTGGAATTTCCCCTTGTGGGACGAATAAAGGCACATCTTATCTTACATTAACCCTAACCCTTAAGCCCCAACCCTCTAACCCTAACACTCTAACCTTTACCCTAAAACTCTAACACTCAAACCTTAACCCTAACCTTAGATCCCTGGTCCAACTTTATTTTATCAACAAACACAGCAGCAGTTTTCAAGGCTGTAAAATTAAGCCAAAGTGCTGACAACCATTATTACTCTGAGGGCCACTCATCATAACCAGGGCTAGAAATAATTGTTTTTTTTTTATCTACACACCATACAAACTGTGAATTGAATATCAGCCCCTGGTCTTATTTTTCTGTAGTCAAAACTGGATTAATTAGTGTATTTTGATGTGATTAAAAAAAACAAGTTGTAAAGACTCGTGTTTTAGTAGCACCAAGTCATTTAGCTGGAAGTCGCCAGTTTACAGGGTCATCCTTCAGATGAAAACACCCGTTGCCCTGAAACAGCTTAGGGTATTGACTCTGGCTACTGAACACGTCACAACCTGACATTTTGAAGCTTGTAACCCCTTTACTGCAGTGTTTATAGCTTGCTAACTTGTCTGAATGGATGGATGGAGCAAAATGCTGCTTTAGTCTCCAAAATGCTCAAGCATTTTGTTAAAAGTGTAGGTTGTAAAGATGGTCTGCAGCTCCCATATTAAACATGCAACTGCACAGCACAGTTCAACATATCCACATGTTTCATGGATTTTCTTTCCCCCTTAATTTATAATTCTGATCCCTTTTTAAAGCTCCTGTGAGGTTTTTTCCGCCTCCTGTGGACAGAGCAACCTTTTCTTGTTTTGTTCTCTACATCTTAGGTTGTATCTTCTGACAAAATAGCACATTCCTCTGACTTTTGATAGTAAAATGTGTAATTTATTGTGAATATTTTTTGCAGAAATTTCTAAAACAGGGCTGTATTTGAAAGGAAAATACTCCACTTGGCAAGGAATTTTCAAATTAGGAAACTTACTGTACTTAAAACACTAACCTATACAGCAGAGATGGTTATTATGTTGGATCATATGCTGCAGCTCTGGCACAGAATCGCAAACTCCCACTGTCCATCTAATGAGCTGCTAGCACTGTTCAATATAAAACTAAAAACATTACACAGAATGACATAACATCGCTTCCGGTGCTCTCATGTGACATTACCGACCAATAAACAGGCTGTATTTAGCAACAGAGGGGACACTAACTTATGTGAAGCCTCTTTTCCTTTTTTATACTGAGCGACATCCACCGCTCCAACCAAACACAGAGCGTCATTAACACCATACTGAACTATCCAATTAGCCAGCCAATGAAGTAGCCACGGGCAATGTTGACTGTATAAATGTATTGATTTAGTGCTGGTCAGCCCCTCCCCTCAACCTCACATCCAAACATACTCACTTTTTCAATACACCAACATAGCAGTGGACATTCACTCTGATGGGTAGCATACTGCAAAGAGCAGCCAAAGATTGTGAGGTCGTGTTACACCCCCAGAAAAAGTTTTAATCTAATTACTTACTTCAAGGATTAGGATGTTGTTTATGAAATGTGAGTTGTCACCACAGAAAGTCAAACAAAGCTGAAGTTGGAATTAACCGGATTAATCCTTTAATTTACTGTAGTTTCCTCTGTTTATAACCCTTCACAATTAGGCCAGTTTTGCAAACACATTCTATTTTTGGCCTCTTTAAACTTGTTTATACTTTAGAGTCATTTTCAATTTGTCACAGTCTGATGCAGTTCTGAGTCACTGCAGAAGTAGCCTAAAATGAACTGCCAATGTGCAAACACAGAGTCAGTCATTTTAGGAACACTGAAGACTGAATCACACTTAATCCCTGATGCATTTATTAGGACCTCCCGGCTCCTAACTGTCGAAAACGTCCCCTTCTTTTCCCCAACAAAGTATTTCAAAAGTTTCAAAGGAAGACGGAGCAACTCTTCAAGAAGAAATTACTTTTTTTTTCTTCCTGCTCGAATGCTTAAGTAGTAAAACCCACACTTGCTTAATTTAATACGCTAAACGGTTTTGCTGTTCCAGCCTCACTTGGTCTGCAGTGACCTGTAGCTTCTGGTGGCCAACATTAGGTAATGTTCGCTATCTTTGGTGAGTTGCTACTATTTAGACACAGTCAGGTTGCTCACTCGACGTCTGTTCTCTTTTAACGGGTTTAGGAGGAAGGTGACATTAAGGGATGGTCTGTTTTTCTTTTAAATTGCGGTTGTATGAAATAAGGATGTTAAAATCAAGCATATTTCTTACAGGGGTTCTCAGGATTGGCTCCATCCCCCTTGTGACCCTGAAAAGGATAAACAGTAAAAATAATGGGTGGATTCATGGGGTTGTTGGTCAGCTTGGCCCCATTGTTGAGAAACTGGTTGCAGAAAAGCTGGCGCAGAGGCAAGGCTATCAACCTGCAGTAGGGGTCAATGCCACCATGTAGGTTTGCTGATTTTAAGAAACTCTTTCATCCTGATGGTGCTCAGGATAGGGTTTTTTTTTTTGCCTAGATTTATATGAAAGTCACAAGTATCAAGTTTTGGCGATGACTTTTAAGCAGTTTAAACAGTGCTGCTGTGTAAGAATTATGAGAGCCCAAAGCTAAGTCTCTCTTGATTCCTCAGTTTTTTCTTGGTTTTAGTGGTTATCAGATGATGTGAATACACCTCCATCTAATGAGATGAATATTTAACAAGCCTGTACTTCAGCTGTCATATAACTGAGCTCCTTTTGCTCTCACCATCTGATCTCATGACCAAGAACTGTGTATACACGTGCCATTCACAAGTACCTCAAACAACTGTACTTAAAATAACAAACTGTCTCTTTAAAGCTCCTAGGGAGTTTTTTTGTTAGGTTTACGAAAAGCACAAAACTTCATATTAATACCTTTTCATGATATTTAAAAGCAAACAAGACCATCACAACAGGACTGATGATTTTTATTTCCTATTTTTTAATGTCTGAAACTGATGTGAGGGGGGGTAGTGTCAACCTATCAACTGGAGAAACAGCCTTGCTTTAACAATCTCATAAGATATTAACAATAAATGAAATTTGTGACTGTCAAAAGTCTGCAGAATGAGATTTTAAAGTCAGAGGACACAAGAAAAGCATTTGGACAGTGAGATAAGAAAAGACTGATTCAACCACAGGGGGGCGCCAAAGTTGACATAAATCAAAAGTTCCTCACAGAAGCTTTAATTATTTATTTAAGTGCTATAAAACTTATTTTCAGTACATTTTCATTCATTTTTATTTATAAGCTTTAAATGTACGAGGAAGAAGCAGTTGCCATATGAATTTTAACAGAATAAAACTGATTTAAAAATATTTTTATGGGTAAAATACAAGCAATTGGATGAACAGCAAAGGCATTACATTTCTAATTACTTAGACCTCCTAGTCAAGAGGGTTTGATATTACAAGTGAAACTGCACATGTGTAATGATAACATTAAATGAGAGTCAGCAGGAGGCGGAGGGCAGCGAGGATGAAAGAGAGGGTTCGAAGAAGATCAAAGAGGAAAGCTGGTGATTTATGTATTTCCAATCGGTTAACGCCCTCAAGGTGAATACAAGCAGCACTTTTTTACTGCCTGATATAAAGAAGGCAGAAGGTATGGAGGGCGATATAAAGAGAGAGAAAGTGAGGAGTGCAACAGATATGGAGGTAAAGGTACGTGTGTTAGAACGTGGGGACATAATGTAGCAGTGAGGGTTTATAAATACCCACGCCCTGAGCCCAGAGTTCGCACGTGTGAATATGCGTATGTGTCACAGGCTAGCAGGAATGTCACAGAGAATTATTTAAATAAACTTAAAACTGAGATGTGTGTGTTTGCCTCACTTTGCTTTAAAGTAAGTGATCCTTACAACATTTGCTGTTTTCATCTGATATTCATTTTAAAGCAGCATTTCCTAAAAATTACAATAAATTGTTACAAATCTTCCCGGAAATACCCGAACAAAGTTATCTGTTTTATATCTGAGTGTTCAGTCGGGCTGTAGAGCAGAGCAAGAACAATGCCCCCCTTTGTGTTTGTTACATGAATCACTGACATTTTCCTGGGACATGCTGTTTCAGATTTCACCTCTAAGCATTGTGTATTCACTAGCTGCTTTAGATCCTTTGACTGGTTCTCATTCATTCATAAATTAAATAACACAAACATTTGAAAACTAGCTGGAGATGAGTTCTTCAGCTAAGTTGTTGCTAACAACAACTCACTCACAAACTACAAAGATGTAAGTTGGATTTAAAGGAAATCAATTCACGAGATATTATGGAAGATTTAGGGCTGCCCTTGCTTATGTAAAATTGAAAGAATATTTTTATTTCCAAAATTACTATTTTTATGAAGTTATGTAGATCACTTGGCTTTAAGACGGCTGAGGAGCTGATATACAGTTATGTGAAAAGGTGGGGTGTTAGTGGTGCTAGCTAAAGGTAAAAAACTTTCTTACCACCCTCAGTGAGGAACCTTATTCACAAAACCTAAGGTGTGTCTGTGTGTAGAAGCTTTTACTCTTTATAACATCTCACGTGTGTGCGAGCTTTATCTGCAGTGTGTTATTTCTTTAAAACCACACTCACGCTCAGATAACCTTTTATGAATGATAAAGAAAATCTACCGTGACAGGCAGTGACTCGCCCGCGGCTCACTGGTGGGGGATCATTTTGTTCCAACCTGATGCCTGAGGTCTGATGTTATGTACATTATTACACCTACTATAACAGGACAACATGTGCACGTGTATGTGTGTGTGTTAGTGTGTGTTTCTGTGTGTGTGACCTTTGCTGACATAAAACAGTTTGTACAATCAGCTGTCAAAAACAGCAGAGGAGCTGCATTTATAGCATAAATATCTAGAGGCATATGTGCAGAGAAGGACTGTATGACTGGGTACATAAAATGCACAATTTTTATTATGTATAAAGAGAAAATCTACAGATCTGATAGATTTGAATTGATTTGTGATACTTTTCAAGCATTTTCAGCATATCAAAGTTTAATCTTAATAAATGGGAACTGAAATGCCAGAGGATCATGCATTTTATTGTTATTTTATGCAGATAGTACTGTGACCTTCACTGCTAAAAAGTCCTGTAGTATAGTATGTATGTATAAGTATAATTGTTAAATGCAAATGTTAGTGTTGTGAATATTTTTTGCAAAAGCTCTTCCTGCAATGACCAGTTTTGATTCTATTCCATGCATGCAAATAAAATGCAAATCACAGTATGGTAGTGAAAACATGTTAAATTTACACTTTGAACGAAAAGGATGGACAATTAGAAAATGATGGGTTACCAAAATGTGTTTTTAGTTCTTAATTCCCAGATACACTCAAGTGATTGTTTTTCCAAGCCAATAAAATTTTACTCACGATAAAAATCTGATAAAAGTTCTGATTTTAAAACGATCAAATTGTGGTAGAAGTATTTAATATGTACTATACAGAAACCACAGCTCTAGATAAAACTGAGTTTAACTGTTAAATATTTAAAGAAAAGTAAGGAAGAGAGGATGGTGCATTCACAGTCACATAGTTTTATAGCTTTAAAGTCTGTCCCAGTAATTTCTCCCAATTCCCAGAAGCTGCGTTTCATCAAATACATGTATTATACAGCTCTGACTGTGGCGCAGACTTGCATTTCTGCCGCGCAGTGATGTGTAATTTATTACAACAACAACAAAAAAGTTCCAACTCTGGCATTCCCGTTAGTCAATTCCCAGGACTTGTAGAAAGAGTTCACTGAAAAAGACTTTGTTACGTCAATCACACCAGAGCCAATTACCAATCACACCACAGTGCCAAACAGGAGCCGCTTGGGTTATGAGATCAACACCCCTGCAATCTGACAGCTCCTGTTCTTGTACTGTACTTGAAAGGTTACTGTGTCAGGTGGAGTCAGCATCATATCATGTGTCTGACTGTTATGACCCATCTTGGGGTGGCTAGAACACAACATGGAAGTGGAGGACTCATTTCACCCACCTCTCAAATGGCCACATGAAAGACTTTAAGGGTTTTAACAAAGGAGTAATTTATTTAGGCTACAAAAACCTCCTCAGGGTGCAACAATGGTAAATAATAACTGAGGACAACTATTAACTAACAAAACGCTTCCTCCTTCAATTGAAAACCCAGCTCTGTAGCAGTCTACCACCTGTTGCATGGGAGTTGAAGCAGCCAATCAGGAGCATGCAATGGCACACCTAATTTGCATACAAAATAGGCAACAAACTCACGACACACACACACATTACACATACACTAGACACAGCCAGGCCAGAAAAAACACACAAAACAATATACAATACTGGAATATTAAGATCGTGGTCAAAACACCGACTTACCCACAGCTTTGAGAGAGGTATACTTGTTGAGTCCCACTGTGCTGTGGTTGCTCTGGGGACGAGGAAGTCCTTGTCCAATTTGCCCGTAGGCGGAGTTATTCAGATGGTACTGTTCTGGAGACAAACAAGCAGAAAAGAGGCAGAGTCAGCATCTTTAAAATGGTTTGCAGGCAGTCATTTATTGTTAAAGAGGAGGATTGTGAACTCTGAAAAATACATCGAACGTTGGGTTTTCAACTCTCAGTGTTGTAAAGATGGAAATGCTTTTATAATCTTAGAGTTCCCAGTGAGCAGGTCCAGAAATTTTATGATAATATTTGGAGATTTAATTTTTGATTCACTGATAATTTTAGGGGTGATATTATTAATTTTCCAACAGTGACAAACTCATTCAAGGTCATAATTCCAAAGCATTTTAGTATCCCTAGAAAACCCTCACTATTTTGGGCTCTGTGATGAGGAAAACAAGGTTCAGGGACATGAGCAGCAGTTTGGCTTTGCAGTCGAGTCACGTGTCTTGTGTGCAGAGGCTGTGGCCTTTGGGGCAGACAGTTTGATTCCAACCGCTGGCCTTTTACCATGTGTTGTTTTCCTGCTCTCTCTTTCTAGCTTCCTGCTCTGTCCACTTCTCTCTTAGTAGAGGCACAAAAATAAACCTCAAAAACAGAATTAGAAATGGTTTAGAGACATAGCTAAGGGACTAGTTTTTAACATTCGCTAAAGAAGAGGAAAGAAAATGGTCTCTTTCTTTTATATTTATTTAGTGCGAGATGCTTGGAAAAGTGTTAATTTTAGCTACTTAAAGGGACATTCAGGTGTAAAATTAATTTAGGGTCAAACACACTGTAACACCAAGTTAGATACCCCCTCGAGAGATGAATGTTGCCGACCGCTTGCTTCTCTAGTTATACCAACGACGACCACTGGCAATACACAGCTGTCTGAGGAGCCATAAACAAACCTCAACCAAAACGCCACTCTATAGCCACAAATAATGCTCAGAACAGCACCTAACTTCATCAACAGTACATATAGGGTCCCAGCCACAGCACTAGCCACCAAACATCTTTTCAACTTTGCCTGATTTCTTTAGCAAAGAGACTAAACACAACTTACCTACTCTCTTCCAGCAGCTGCTTGTTTGCAGCGAGACCTCGGGTCAGTCCATTAAGGACTGCTGTGGGGTGACGCAGCTCAAGGAAGAACATTTATGATCATTTCTTTATCATTTATTTGAAGTAATAATCACCACATTAATCATTTTGCACTGCAGATGTGGTAGTTCTTCTGCCTTAGCGTCTCAGTCTGATAACATTTCCATGAAGTAATGATCATAAATGTTCTTCCAAAATTAATTTTATGCTGGAATATCCCTTGAATATAAGAGGGAAGGGAAAAAAATTCCCATAACGCCTGTGAAAATATGAAATTTAAAGTAGAAGTTTAATGGATGTTTTCATTAGACATTAAGAAAAGCTGAGTTTTCAGCCAGTTTACAACATCACTGTGGTTGGGACAGACATCTTTGAAATATCTTAACAAATGAAGCACAGGGTTATCATGTGACACAGGAAAAGTGTTAATTTTGTCAACAAAAAATGATGCCGAGAAGTTTTCATTGTTGCTATAATTTCTCAAGGCTGTGTCCACTACCAGCTCTTCTTAATTGAAACCAGTCCTTCTAAAATCTGATTTATGATTTCTTCAGACTCATATTCAGACCGGCAAACATTTTGTGTTGTTGACATGTGACTTTTTAAATTAAACTAAAATCCTGAATAAATCAAATTGAGCTCAAGTCTCCACTACATTACCACAAGTTAACCACCTAGCTTTTTATAGACTATTTAATCACACCATAACTGCCAGATGCACATAAACAAACTTTAGATGATAAATAAACTTTAAAAATGCTGGCATTGAACCGTGGCTTGATTTCCCTCCCGGCTTGCCTCGGAGCACAAATGAGCAGTGCTTCTTACTGGACAACACTCCTCCACCCTATGAGTCTGTGCGACCATGTCATCTCCAAGTACACAGCCGAGCATGCATCCAGCATACTGCACATGGCAGCATTATAATTATTTGCCTCCAGCCAAAATTCAACAAGTCATCCTTGAACACTGCAGCCAAAGTTTAAGGGCTGGTAATTTGTGGTAATTTCACAGTCGAAATACATGTTCACAAAAATGCTGCTTGGTCTGTGGCCAAGCAAATCAAAATATGAGGAGTTAGATCTGACTCTTTTTGGCATTTGGCATGTGTATGCACCGGAAAACTAGCAATAAGAAATATGTAACTGCTTGTAAAACTTTCACAAGGATTCAGTCAAGGTAGAAGTAACATCATATCAAACACAGTAATTTTATGGCATTCAACCAGCACAATAAACATTCATTGTTCACAGTAAAAATGATTGACATTCTTTGACATAATTGAACAACATAGTTTTAAAAGGATTGCGGTTTTACATGGGGCTTAGAGAACGGTGTGGTTTGAACAAATATATAAAGTGAAAATGTTGCTTCTTGTCTGAATTTTAACAGCAGAAGTTGAGGAGAAAGAGGTTTGACAACAAGAACAAGACTGGGGGGATGACAGGATACATTTTTGCACTTTGTTCCCTCCAAAATATTGTTGGTGTTTGCTTCTACCTATGATAAGAAAGTGTTAAAAAGGAGAAAAGGGAGTTTGGACCTACAGTAAATTGTATCTCTGGGGTGGTGTCCAGAGGAGTGGTTATTTTAAAATGAACTTATCAGGACATGCAAACAGGTGTCCTCTATCATTTCTTTATTTCAGTAAGAAAACAGAAGGATGTTTCACGGTATTTTTTCTGCCCTCTAAGCTTCAGGTAACCAACCACCGAAACTTCAAAGTGAAGATAAACTCTGTGTTTAAAGTATAAGTCATCTTTTTTAGAGGCATGGTGATTTGGGGTGAGACAGCAGTCTCTCTCTTGTTGGCCTGACTTTCCCAGGCTAAATGAACGGAAGTCAATGAGTAATGGAAACACTGAGAGAGCGAGAGAGCAGAGAGAGAGAAGTCCTAGTTATTAGCATTAATGAAGTCCACTGATGCAGCCAGCGCACTTGATTTCAGCCCCGGGAATAGATGGGCGCACATGCAGCACTCAGGGATGTCCACACAATCACCAGGACAACATGCTTTGTAAGGTCATTTGGATGAGAGCAACAACATCAGAGGTAATTAGCAGCATTAGTTTTGAGATAATAAAGGTATGTTTACAAGTGAGTCAGAGCCTCTATGTGGGTTAAATCAACAGGCATCTTGAATGAATAAAATTATTAATATGTACAACCCAAACAGCGGATTTAGAGGGCTGAAAATATCAGCAACATGAAGTGCAATAAACTGCAGTTCCCAAAGTGACCTCTTGAAGGTGACTCAAGAGGCTGTAAATGTGTGCATGTTTGTGACTCAGCGTTTGTTTGACTTTAACAGAGTGTTTTTAGAGGGAAGCATCAAAGAAACAAGATTTCATAACACCTTATCCTTTAATGTAATCATAATGTTGGCCATAAAAGGGCTAAACTACCAATTTGATATGACGCCCTTAAACTAAAACTGCAACAGAAAATGGCAACATAACCAAAGGCTGCTGTGTTGAGGCGACTAACCCTGGACTTTAAAAGGAGGGCTAAATATCCTTGAGGGGAAAGACAACATGACGGAGGAGGCGTTGAATTCATCCATTTGGATAAGTAGCCTATCACCATATTAGAGGATGTAAGCTTTGAGCTTGTAGATCCACAGTTTGTCCTGCTGTTTTAACACTACATTTCAGATACCTTACTGAAGCTGTACAGCAAAGTTTGTGGACACATACAAGATAATTTAAAATATAGTGGAGCTGCTGTTAGTTTTACAACAGATATTTAAAGCTCGTGTCACTGCTTAGCTTCACTGTAGACTGCATTGATTCCCCTATGTTCAAGTGTAAGCGTACAGTATTGCATGCACACCAGTTTTGTGGGTCTTAAACAACAGTATCAGGTCTGCACCCAAGATATGGGGCCTAAATCTGATCTCAATCGGTAACTGAGGAAGAAGAAGACAAAGCTGTGTATGGGACGACATCTGTAAGAGTCAAACATAACATTGGGCAAAGAGCTAAGACACAGAGGTGGTGAAAAAAAAGAGTGTTAGCGAGAGGAAAAAAGAATTAAGAGGAAGACAGCAGCATGTTCTGGAGTAAATTAGAAAACGATCCTGAAGCCAAAGGGTTGGGAAACTGTCAAGAGTTAGTCCTTACAGTAACAGCGTTTACTCTTACAACTCTGATCCCCTACCTTAATCACCATTCACGCACACACACACACACACACACACACACACACACCACTCCACAGCTAATCAGCTTACTACGTTGTGTTCATGTGTGTGTGTGTGTGTGTGTGTGTGTGTGTGTGTGTGTGTGTGTGTGTGTGTGTGTGTGTGTGTGATCAGTGTATCATCCAGTGTAGTGCTGCAGAGCTGACCTCTCAGCATTTGCCAGATTAGTGGATTATGAGGAAAAAGTCCTTTTTATTCTGTCATCACAGTCATTATCGCCACTTTCATCATCAGCCACATCGTCTTAAACTCAATTCTACACATCATCTTCATTATCTATTGTCCCTCCTTACATCACTGAAGCAACTAGAAATGACAGAAAATGAAACAAAAGTACTTCAATATATGTCATAAAGCTGCCAGATTTCATAGCTCCTCTAAAATGTGATCACAGGCTGGTTGTTTCAGGAGATTTTGTCAAAGGAGACTGATTTCAAACTGGTGTGTGTTTTTCTTTTTGAAGCCAACGATTCTCCAGTATAAATCTGTCTGTACCTAAGGCCTGTACCTATCTCTCCTTCTTCTCTTAGATGAGGCATTCATGTATTTAAAAGTAAGTGTCAGATTCTTCAGTCTGTAACTACTGAGAATGAAAGTGTACTGCAACAAAAAGACTCCATCAGAGAGGGTGTGCACTTGCTTTCTCTCCCCAGTCAGACTGAACATCCCTCAGCAATCCTGACATCTGAGTGGGGAAATGATGAAAACAGAGCAAAACTGATGAAATTCTGCTCAAAGCTCCTGGGAGGAGTTTCATGACATTTATGGAATAGACTTCAAGTCATATTAATGTTTTTTTATGATATATAGAAACAAACAAGACCATGATGGATGATTTTGATAAAACAGCCCTGCTTACATGTTTTCACATAATAGTCACAGTAACTTATAAATTTGACAGTTTAAAGTCAGACCGGTGCGATTTTTGTTGTTGTTGAAAAAACCATTTCAGCAAATACAAGACAAGATAAGCAAAGACTACTTTGTCCACAGGAGGCGCCAAAGTTCACACAAACCAAAGACAAATCAATCAAAGACAACCAGTGCTCAACAGAAACCGCTTTAGTTAACCACCAAAAAACAAAAAACTAGCAAACAATGAATCATGGACACCAACATGTGGCATGACGTAGGATTTACTGATATTTCTAGGTACTCATTGTTTTGGCAGAAGGAGTTCACAAAACCAAGAATGCAGGGAACTGTTGTTTTACATCAAAAATAATATGTTGTGTTTATTATTTCTTATCTAAAGACTGGAAGCTCAGAATCTGCTTCTAGATGTCATAACGTATTCATAAGTATCACGTGTCTAAATGTTTGCACATTTGCTACGTCATTTAACGTCACTCAGCTCTGTGGGTCATTCACTGTCTGTCAGAGTTGGTTTCATTAGATAGAAATCACGATCTTTGATGGTTAATTTCCCTACATGGAGTCCGATAAACTGTTGTACTCCACTGTGCTTCCCTTGCCAAAATGTGCACCCATGCATATGTGGTCATTGTGTACAAACAGAAAACAGATGCAGATTGATTCATGAAAGTCCTTAATTGGAGGCCAATGCACACATCCGGCTTAATTTCGGCTGTCAACAAAATTTTGTGGGAAAAAAAATATGAGTTTAGACCCCGCTTGGATTATTTCCAGTCTCTACTACATAGGGATACACAATCCTTAAATAACCTTCACAGAAAATAGTGTGAAAAGTGTAAATAAAAGGCTGATTTCTCCAGAGGCTACATGCACACACCAATCCCAAAATACAAACAGGACATATTAATGAGCCCATCTGCTTGGCCAAACTCTCTTCTTGGGTACAACTTGTCTGCGTCCACGTAATGGAATAAGTATGTAAGAGTGTGTGCATCTGTGTGTGCAGGCCAATATATTAAACAAGAAGAGAGGGACTCAGGAGAGGATGTGGTCTGGGGTTGTGGATGTTAAAACTCCAGCACAGTTGCACATGTTGATTTCACCATTAAGCATCACCATGTGAGCGTCTAGCAGGGATCTTCGGGTCTTTTTAGTGCAGAAGACGGAGGCAGGAGTGCTGCTTAATGAGTTATGTAATATCCTCCCTCTCAGCAGGGATGGAGGGCGATTAAGGTGAAGATCAGGCTTTCTTTTCTATCACATGTCAAAAGGATTCAGGTGTGTTAAAACAGGCCGTCTGATCTCAGAGACGAAGAGAACGTTTTGGACCAGAATAGACTATTTATATATCGCAGAATCAGTGGCGGCTGCTGGTCTTTCAAGGAGGGGAAGCTCATTTTTCTGGCCTACATCATAATTGTATTTGTTTATTAGTATGTAACAGAACAGAGTCGCCAAACACAACGGCAGTCGTTTTTAACAAAGACAAAAGTCGCTGAGGATCGGTAAAGTCTCTGGAGCAGTTAAGAACAATGGAATGAATGACTTGGAAAATGCTCTGGTAGAGGTTTTATTCTTCAAGATCGCTGATTCGCTTGTTTAGCTGTCAATCAAAAAAGGATTTCGCCTCAGACAGCTAATCCAATCATAAATGCAGAAGCTAGGAGTCCGGGAGAAAGTCGGGGCCGCCCTCTCGCCATAGAACTCCAGTGAAGCTGGGCTTCCATTGGGCGGGACAAAGCCCAGCATTTATCCAATGAGCGTCTAGTTTCGCTGCTGGAACAACCCACTTTAAGCTTCCACATTGAAGTCAGCAGAAGCCCAGCGTCCGGCTGTTTAAAGCGCTGAGGCGCTGCGAGGATGAATGAGAACGAAGTTATGCCGGTTACCTGTGATTATCAGCTTCTTATCACAGTGTCTGAACAAAAGATGAAGGCTTTCGAGTGCGTATTTAGTTAATGAAATGTACACACAGCCGTACGTATTTCACCACTTTTTCTTTTTTTGGGGGGGTGACATTTTCCCTTGCAGTCTTAGAGCAATCGCCACTGCGCAGAATATATATCACAGAAGATTAGGGGGTGTCCATAAAGAGAAAGAAGAGTGTCCCACTTTATTAAAAGTGGTTTTATTTCTGTCAAATTAACCACAGAGAGGATTTAACTAAGTCAGGTTCTCTTATTCTAATCATGGAGAGTATTTAAACAAGATTTCTTTCCTGCAAGAGGAACCAAGATGACACTCTATCAGGTCTGTTGTACACAAACAGAAGTCTTTTTCCTACACCAGGGGGCTTATATAGAGGTGAGACAAAGATCAAAAGTTTGAACAATACTCTGTAGATCTTGTCATCTGCTTTATAGTCCTACCACACTGACTGAAATAAACATAGACATTGCAAACATAGAACTTAAGGTCCACAAATATACGACGGGAAATTACAAAATATTCAGAGGAGAATTTTGACGCACCTGACTATACATATCAAGCACAATGCGATTTTGCGACTTTCCGGAGGGAAAAAAGACGCATCCCGGGTGGAATCGAGAAGACTGACACAACAGCAGACTGTCTGTTTTTCAGTTCTGATTAGACACTAGTGTTGAGATGTCTGTCTGTCATGATAGCATGTACTGAGTCAGGCCCAGTACCAGATAAGCACATTAAACTATAATCCATAAATGTAAGGTAACAACCGAGACCTAATGGTGCTGTGACAGCAACGCCATTGAGTTTGAGACAGTGAAAATACATTTGGTATGTTGTACCTGAACAGGTTAGCTTACGAGCTAAAGTTACTTAGTACAGATAAAAGTTAAAACAAAGACATTAAGCAAACTGTTAAAGCACACAAACTATCGTCATATGAGAAATCCGACGCTATGACTCTCCACAAGTTGTCCTTCAGGTCGTTATCTTTTCTAAAGTTTGTGTCTTTTATCTAAAAGCACTCTGTTCTATGACACGTAAACAATCAACCGGTCGGCCATGTTGGATATACTGGTGAATCAGATGTCGCAACAACATGCAATCTGATTGGTCGGAAGTGGACACACAGTATGCGAAATAAAACGAAACAGGATGGGAAAACGTCGCTGATGTGAACGGTTGTATTGACAGGATATGAATGACCCTACGGGTTCGAAAAAAAATATTGACGTCTGAAATAATCGCACGAAAAAGACGCTCCCAGTGTGTAAGGACCTTTAATCTCAGGAAATTCTTGAGTATTTGTTAGCATGACTGCAGTTACCTTTAAATTCACCAAAACAAAACACCAAAGGGCAGACAAGATGTAAGCTTTTATTTTGAAAACTAGAGGCTCAGAGGTGTGTGGCCACAGGGGGCCATGTATGAGACAGGAGGCTACTCTTGAAACTGAGGGGGCCTGGTCTCACCCTGAAGGAATAACCAGCTGCTCTCTACCTTCTATCACACTGATTACCCAGCTACTCATTAATGAGTTAAATACAAAATATTGATTTAAAGATGGTCAGTAGTTTTTCCTTGGCAACAGAGTCTCATCAGCCTCCCTGTAGAATAAATAAAAATTAAACTGAACATTTCCTTTAAACAGAGTGAACAGGTCTTCTGCTCTTTCTGCTGCTGTTGCATGGATTGCAGGACAGGATGTTGCTCCATTATTCCCTATCAGAGCTAACTGGGGCCTGGTATCTCCTTAGATTGCTTTTATATCTGAACCCTGCAAGTGTCTCTAGTCTCCGACTCTAAAGACCAGCCTGAGAGGGAAACTAAGGATTTTGCCACAGCGTCAACAACAAGTGCTTCTTTATGCGGATTAATTTGATTTAATGCATTTGATCAGATTGTGCCTGGCGTTTTTTATGCTTTAGTGAATTAATTGCCATTTTTATGAGGACTTGATCAATCAGAATTCACAGGCTTTTAGTAAGAGGACACAACACCTCCACCAATAACTAGCTCCAGTGCAGACAAGAGAGAAATCAACTAAAACAGAGGTGTCCAAGAGGGTCTTCCCGCTGCTTCCTGTAAGTTGACCATCCTGTCTTTTTGTGACAGATAAAAAGGCACATAAAAAGGAAACTAAACTAAAGTATGACTGTGACAGAACGATAGAGAGTCTGGGTTTTTATTTTCAAAGAGAGCGTGAAAGAATTTAAAGGTTTTTGAGATGAAAGGAAGCAAATATTTTGGCGTGTTTTAGCAAATGACGCACAAGCAGGAGCGGAGACGTATTTGGATTAATCCATTTTCAGGTCAAAGACTAAAACTAATGAGCTTTTAAGACAAGTTGAAGGAGTTTTGTTGGCTTTCTCTTCCTGCATCTCTCTCTTTACCATGACCCACCCACACAGGAGTTTCCTCACACCTATACCATCAGTTTGCCGTTTACACTGCCTGGCTACTTTCGGTGCTCATCACTATGAAACACTGAGAGTGACAATAAGGCTATCACGCGTCCATGCATATAACGAGTGTACTGCATTCAAAATATGCACCCCTGACTGTGTTTCTGTGTGGGAAACGACATGAAAAGAGCTGTAAGTGCCGTGGGGAAAGAGATAAAGAAGTGCGTGCATTGCATGCTGTCTGTCAGCACTGAGACAAAATGTGAACATGAGAGACTAAAGTGGGAAGCGGAGTACGTCTGTCATCGCTGAGATCATATGTGGAAGTCTTTGTGCATCTTCATTTACTGCAGCGGAGTCACAGCAGACAAACAAATCCTCCTCCCGCCTCCACATATTTTTAAAACCTTTGCTTTGTGCGATCTGCTGAGTCGTGGTACGCATGTCTTTTTGTGAGAATAATCGACGTGACATGAGGAAGAGAGCAAAGATTCAAACTGAGATCATTAACTTACAGGAGTAAGTGGTTTAAATCTCGTGGCCTGGGGGGAGAGTTAAGAGTGTAGGAACACGCTGTGGAGGAGGCGAGCGCTCCAAATACAGCTCCTTAAACATCTGGCTTCAAAACAAAATCAAAGTGTGAGAGTAGAAGGTGAAATTAGTGTTAGGAAGAGTGATGTGTTACTGGGTCATGCTACAGTGCTTCTGCAGTCCTGTTTGATAAATAGGTCAGCGCTTTTGGCTCCAAGCGCTCTTTCTGCAATGACTCATGTTTGTTGATGACTTTTAAACCCCAATATTTCCACTTCCTGTCCCTAGTTAACACGTAGATCTCTCAAACTGTATCTTGTTCTGTAAGTTTCTCACTGTTTGGCATGTTGAACCTGTGAAAGTAGAGTTAATGCGTCTTGGGTGCCGATACTGTCACGTGAACCCCACTTTCACCAAACATGCAGTTAGTGTTTCGTTACCAGGGGAATTTCAATCCCTAAGGTGAGATTGGATGACTTAGCAAATACTGCACGATATGGAGCCGTGGGGAGCTGTTGGCCTCGTTCTTGGATCAGGAAGAGGAAGATAAAGGTCAAATGAATAAATTCCACTTCTGCCACGCAATGTAAACACAGTTGACACCTCATATTTGGATGTTGTGATGCCAGCTACCAGAAGCTGTTAGATAAGTGCTGTTATTACGAGTGGTGGGTAAAAGAGTCACCTTAAATCACACTTGCAGATTAGTGTTTCTGCTCCCAAGCTCAACATGATACTTCTATGACTTATTGAAAATAATAAAGGGGGTTTAACACTAACATACATATATAACAAATGTGTTTTGTATAACTGGTTTGTTACAGGAGATTAATTCCAAGAGATGAGAAATAAACCAGCCTACACATCTCTGAATGATTGAGTTCAGTGTGATGCTACAGCATCAAGGGAGATAGGCCAGTTTAGGTCATGGTAGCATGATTGTTATGATTAAAAGTTAAAAACTCAAAACTTATTTATTTGCTCAGGCTTTTGTTTTATTGTTTTGGGGCTGCTATGACTGTTTAACATTGTTGTCTTGGCCTTTTAATTTATATGTAAATTTTTATTTTTGTCTATGTGAAGTACTTTGTGACTTTTTTGTCTGTGAAAGATGCTATACAAATAAAGATTACTTACTTAATTATTTTGGAGCTTTTACGATCCTAATACAGAGAAAACAAGACTGTGAATAAAGATGGAAACTAGGGTGTCATGTGGTAAAGGGGCCACAGGTTGGACCTGAACTGACATCTACACACATCTACAAACTTGCACCCCGAGATTATGATATATTTCCTTTATCAGAGAGTACAGAGAACAGCTGAGGAGAGACTGAGAATTTGGGAAGTAGAGAGAAAAAAACACAGCAAAGTGTTGAGGCTGGGAGTCCAAAATGAGAGGCTTGGAGTGTCCACTTAGACTGTGAAGCCAAATAGGCTTGTTTGCAGGAAAATTCTAAATCGTTGAATGTAAAGTTGAGGTAAGTGGAGTATTTTTGCACTGACCCCATCGCAGCTGTCAGATTTGTTTTCAGTACAACCTAAAACACACAAAAAATAATAGGCTAAAGATGGGTCTAAACCATAATTTTAAAACCCGTTTAAATCTTGATATGTCCCACGCAGAATTTACAGCTCTAAACTGGGGCTTACACAGGTGACAGCACAGTGCTGCAAACATAAGTTCACTATTACAATCTGACCATGTGGGAAAAGCTAACAACAATGTGTGTTGATACGGGGGAGGAAAAAGGAATAAGGATGTTCTCTAATTTCAACTTGAGGAAAGAACAAAAATGAGGAAAGATTTTATTTCTGCTAGTTTGTTTGCAGCTTTTAATAAAAAATCTACAACTTGAAACTATGTAATAAAAAGACAAAGATCCTCATTCTGGATCTAGACTCAAATGTTCCCTGTACAAGTATTTATACTGATGAAAAAGACCAAACATTTAATTCATATACAGTTGTTTGCATTAAAATCACACCCACTGTGTGGAGGAGTCATGTTGTGGTGATTCTGGTCACTTCTTCGAATGAGACTAGTAGTTTTCCAGCATGAAGACTGCATTGCAAATGAGCTTGGGGTAATTTATACAAGGCCAACTTTTTTGTCCTCATAGAGTGACGCATTTGCTCAAAAACCCCAAACCGTAAGTCCAAAACTATTTTTCTTTTCTACCCAAGCCCTGGTGGAAGATTTTTCCATCTCGAACAGTGTTTTAAAAGGGAATAGTCATACTGCTTCTGTAACAACCATAAGTACACAACCCTAAAAAAGAAACCATCTAAAGAAAAAAGCCCTCTTCTTTCTAACTTACTTCTCATTGCCAAACTTCACAGGCAGGGTGAAGTCTGACCACTTCCCACTAGAGTTAGTGTTTAATACCTAGACTAAAAATCTGTCCCAAACACAGGCACTACGACTCAGCATCAAGAAATATTCAGTCTTTGGGTTTATGGTCTCATTGCATCATGTAGGTAATAAAGAAGCATCAGTGTAAGATCAGCTATTTTAAAATCAGCTGAAAACAGTGTCATTTGAAATGTGTGTTTAAGCATTTTAATGGTGTCATGGTATGTGAATTAATGCCACTTTTTCCCTAAGATATATAGGCTATATTTACAGTATTGTTTGTTATGGAGGATCGGTCCTCTGCGTTGTTGCAGGTCTTCACTCTGCCTCTGTAGCTGAAGTTATGAATTCAACTTTTCATTCATCTAATGGCTGATGACTGAATTTTTCTCAAATGTCACAAAGTCCAACTTAAATGTGAGTGTCCAGCAGAGAGAGAGGGCAGCGAACCTTTTAGCTCTTTTCTCTGATCAGTGCAAATGTATTATTGTGTGTAATGAGCTTTACTTTTTCCAAAGGCCTCTGTCTACCATCTTGTTTACTGTGGAAAAACCAATACTGTTGATCTGTTTTCTGACCCTGCGATCCATGTTGTGTTCTACTTTCTGCTGTGGCTTAATTAGGGGCACATTTTGCAGCACATTTTGTCTCCGCATACATTGTAAGCTATCTTTGACGTGACTGCATTACGGTGAGCTGGGGATAAAGGTTTCTGACTGAGCGAAGTGATTCATGTGTCGACCCCCAAATGTCAACCCACGAGCTTTTTGAAAACCATGAAATGACCAAGAACATATTCACGTGTGCGGACTAATTCCAGGTGACGTATTATCAGACTTTCCTCAGGCAAAGTTCAGCTTGAACTTAACTTTTCCTCTTAGATTGTACCTGTCACAGCGAGTTCTTACATGATGAGGATTTCTGCTTGTTGTTTTGCTGGCACTAAGCAGCCCCGCTGGACAAACATTTTTTTTGCTGTCTGTTTTCACTGCTCACAAACAGCCAGTGGACATTCTGTGGGTGTAATATGCATGAATATGGAACAGATTTGCATCAATAAGTATCTCCATCAACACTGATTTCTCCGCTAAGCCCCCTGCCTTCTGCTTCTGTCACTTCACATTAAGAAGTGGACTCAGTTATGTCCCACTCCCTCCGTTACTCACTTCAACTTTCTCATTCAATCAAAACTTTTTGCTGCATGCTGGTCCTTCTTACGAGTCTCCACCATGTGCTTAAAGAAGATTCAGAATTTGTGGGACGCTCGCCCCCTCAGAGGCTGTTGGATCATCATTTCAATTCTCAAGCCCTCACTGGTTCTCAGCGGTGGGAGATTTAAAATTCGTCTGTATGCTGTTGAAAACTACACGAGACTTTAAGATTTTAGGGCAGCAACAGGAAAAGCAGCAGGAGGGAGCAAAAAAAGTAAGGAAAGGAGTGAGAGAAGAAGAACAGAAATCGAGTCAATAATCGAGTTACTGAAAATTTCACATGTGCTGATCATTTTAATGGGACTGATTTAGAGTCAGTAAAGAGGCTGGTATTTGTTGACATTGTCAGAACAACATGTCTCGATCTGAGGCCAGTGTGTATTTCTCCCAAACCCAGCAGCGGCTTGGTGGCTGTCTAACATAAGTCTGGTCCTTCACAAGGTTTCTGCCTGTTAAAAGAGGTTTTTCCTTGCCACTGTCACTCATGTCAGATGGGAGGGTCAAATCTGTCCCATCTTAAGGTTGGGTCTTGATATCTCATCAAAAAATGAGCGTGGTCTAAACCTGCTCTTTTTTTTTTGAAAGCGTCTTGGGATGACAAATGTTGTAAATTGGAGCTATATATTAATAAAATTTGATTGATTTGGTTGAGAAAAGCCAAAACAGAGGAGGTTTATACCTACAGGGGGCAGCAACTTTGGTTACATGAAGATGTCTGGATCACTACATTTACATGCACTGTTAAATTAAGATATGGTCGTAGCTGGATTAAGTGATTTAACTGGATTATTGTCCTTATCTGAGTTTATGAGCACTGGGCAAGAACTGAGTTATAAATAAAAGCATATCCACCTCCACTACACTAGGAGGCCACATGCACTCGTTCAGCTCAATATCATCGAGTCATCCAGCCCATCAAGTCGTCTTTTGAAAAATAATTTAAAAAAACGTTGAATGATGAAAACACTGTCACTTTTGAAGTTCTGTACTGTTAGTTTGTATGATTGGACCGTGTCCTCTTTTTTTGATGTCATTTCTGTGCCTTTTGGAGTTTTGTTTACCACCAGGTTTTCTAGCACTTCATTTGCGCTTTTCGACTCCAAAAATGAACTATTTTATAGAAGAGTGTTTTTGAAACACCTTTGATTACATTGGTGCTAATTTTTACTTCACATTACCTTTCCCTCATTACCATGTTTTAGTACCGTACTGTGGTCTTTCTTTTGACATGGCAGATTATTAGTCTGTTTGCCAGTTGCTATTCCCTTTTTGAATTCTTGTTTTCTGAAGTTTGTTAATTGATTTGCCATTTGTTGATTTATATGAAGAACATTGCTGGTAAATAAATGAGATTCCTCATCCTGCTATCAAATTGAGACTCATGATGATGATGATGGTAGATTTCTCACTGAGCCAAAACGTAAACATCTGCTCAAACAGTGATATCAATGTGCTTGTGTCTTTCATTAAAGCTCCTGTAAGGGTTTTTTCACTTTCATAAAATTGACTAAAATTCGTGTTTTGATGCCTTTCCATGATATCTGAAAACAAACAAGACCGTCAGGGACAAGACTGAAAAATTTTATATCCTGAGCTTTAATTCGTGAAACTAGTGTGAGGGGGTAGGTGTCAGTCAAGAGGCTAAAGTAACAGAATAGTTATTACCAAGTACATGTAAATATTCATGCTAAATGTGACATTATACTGTGAAATGATAGGAGAATGACAGTTTTTTGTAGAAAGGAGGTACTCAAGCATGTAGAAAAAAAAACTGAGGAGGCCCCAGAACTGACACAAATGAAATGTTTGTGTTGTTGACCTTTAAAACCGCTGCAGAAAACCAAAGTGAAGCTGTAATAAAAGGAGAAAAGAGTGAGAGATAACATGCACATCACCATCTGAATCTTAGCTCCTTTAGCTGCTTTCAGCACTGTATGAATTTTACAAATATTAATCTCAGAGCAAGTTTTCTCTGGATATCAGATAGTCACACTGTGTGCATGATAAAGGCTAATCTTCTGCAACCATGACACATGATTCTGCGTATAATCTATCCACCTGCCACAGCTATCTACAATCAGCAAGCAGAGATCATGCTGGTTACCAAGATCTTCTGATACGTTTCCATAAATATTCATTAATGATGACTGCAGGTCCTTGAAAATGTGTAGGGTTACAAACCAGCACCCTCAGTTATGCTGAGGAATGTATATGTTTAAATCCTTTTTCTTTTCTTATGCTTAAAGCTCGGTGAATAACTCGTACTTTTTTGCGAATCTTTTTTTTGTCCACAAGCAGGAGTTACTCAGCAACTTGGAGATAATGAACCAACAAACTTCATTTTTCTTCTTTCGGTCCAAGCTTTAGTGTTGCCCTATTTAAGTGATCATGATCAATAAAACCCTCCACATTAAAGCGTCCATCACGTACGGTACGTCATGTCATAGCATGTCATTAGCTGTGTGAAAAATTCAACATGGCAACTAACTCTGCATGGGGGCGCTCATATCAAACACTGCACCCTCCTCTCTCTTCTTCCTTTGATACACACACACACATACACACCCACCCACGCACACGCATAAACATGTTCACAGGCTGGCTCATAAATGTGCATGATAATACCAACGTTTGGGGACACACAAGAACAGTCAGCTGCTCTTTGAATGAATCGCAATCAATAACAGTCCAGCTTTTACAAAATATTATGACCCCCTTTTCTGAAATCTGCATATCTGAGTGTGTGTGTGTGTGTGTGTGTGAGAGAGAGAATGTGTGTAATATCCAGAAAGCTGTATCTGCATGTATAGTGAAAGTATGGAAATGGCACATACTGCCTGTAGGGGTGCAGCCTGCTTACATTTACATACTAATTAACCTGTTTCTGTGTGTGTGAGTCTGTGTGTGTGAGTCTATGTGTGTGTGTACCAGTGTTGCACGTGCAACATGCATGTGTTCTACTTACAGATGAAGATGCTCTATTGTTCAGTCCCACTCTGTCGTCTCTACGCCACTTAACTCAAAATTGTCTGATAGAGCAGTGAAAGGTTTGTGTTATGGATAAAAAAATAATAAAAAATGGACAAAAATGTTTCTGGAAAATGTCAGTTGTGCAAACTACATATTTTAATATTAAACAGATGTTTGTCAAACAGCATGGTAGCACTAAAAGAGTAAACTAAGTGACAGCAAAGGGAAGTGGAAAGCTTTGTCAGCCGTGGCGACCACTTATTTTTCTGCTAAAACTACTTCCAAATCAGCCTCTGCTACCACTTATTCTGAGTATTTATTATCAGGCTGTGTTAAATTCTTGAATCTGATTGGCTGACATCCTATAACAACAGCAGCCATGTTTACATGTGCAAAATTTCTTGATCCGATATAAAATTTGAGGGATTGGAAAATTCACGGTTTAAATGGGAGCAAAATAAAATAATCCAATCCTGATATGCGTATACACACACTGAGCTTTATTCAGATTAGAAGCATTTAGATATACGCAGAGATGTCAAATATTCCGATTATTTGTGCCCATGTAAACGCAGCTAGTGATTCATTTTCAGTAGTCAAAGTGGCACCAAAGTCAAGCTTATTTCACACCTCATTATCCTGTTGAGAAGGTGTGTGGCACATTTCACTTGTTGACACTGTGGCAAAGTTGTTAGTCTCTATTCTCAACTTTCCCATTCAAAACTGGGAAGTCTTTGTACTTTAAAAAACATTATTCTGGGTTCATAAATTGGGCAGTGATCGCTCAGTGGTAGAGTTGGTCGTCTCCCAATTGGGGGATTGGGGGTTCGATCCAGCTGTCTGCATGCAGGGCTGTCCTTGGGCAAGACACTCAACCTGTCCTGCAATCCAGGCACCTCTAAGATACTCTAAGATAAAAAGTAACTTAAAACACAAGTAACAACAATGTTTAAAGTTGTGAATTTGAAAAGTTGAGTGAACTGCAAAGCTCCTAAAATAAATAGAGCTAAATGAGAGCTGGGGTGCCATCAAACATATTCCTAAAGGAGAGGAACACAAAAAAAGACTAAAATATGTAACAAGTATTTCAATGTTATTATGAAGGACAAGGCAGGAAAAAAGATGAACATATTTGTTTTTTGTTTTTAAGTTTCATTAGCCCTTTTCAAATCTGTCTTGAAACTCTGGCTTTAAATGTTCATGAAATATTTCGTACTATTGACGCAGCCAAACTAGCAAAAATGTTTAGAAAACGTCCTAAAACTGAGAGCTCTCTCTGCAGTGTTTATAAAAGGCTGGAAGAGCAGGGCTGGTGTAAAAGTCACCTGTTTGGATATTTCATTAAATATCTGATCAGTGCACTGAAACAAGTCTCTTCCTCGCCCCAAACTCTGATACAGATGTATTCTGATAAGATAAGACATTCACAAAAAGCCCCAAACCCGCTGTAATCTCAGATTTGAACTGTGGGTAAGAGGCAAAGAGTGGAAGAGGCCTGTGGGAAAAAATGTTGTGTACACACTTCTTGGTGCTGATTAAACGCTTTAGCCTCATTTGTAGAAGCACCAAAAAGTCATGAAAATTAAATGAAGTGAAATTCTTGAAGAATTTGACCCTGTGAAATGAGATGAAGCGGTTGGTCAACCTCCTCTGAAGTTACAGGAAAGGGATTAACTTCACACACACACACATGCAAACACACACACACACACACACACAACTTCACTGTACTTTACCCCAGCATCAGTACTCACCACTCCTGCTGCGCGGCATCCTGGTGGAGACGCCGTTTGCTCTCCCTACGTTTGGTGAACTGACTGTGGCATTTTCCACTGTGCTCACCTCGGCTCCCTGCTGCTTCAGCAGGTCTGTCAGAGTCCTAGAGAACAACAAACACACTGAACGTAAACCACTGAACCAACATGTTGTTTTCTTTGGTATGATAAACCAGGTTTAATTAAGGTTAAACAAGACACAGGAGAAAGTAAAGACCCACTCTGATGGAAATCCTGTTTTTCAGGACATATCATGAGAAAACTAAATGTGAAATTGCTTTTCTGGGTATTTCTTCATTCAAATCGCTGTGAATCTCTGGCAGACCAAAACAGCAGGTTCCGAAACAGTGAGATTTTATACGTAACAAATCCAAGCTCCGCCCCTGGTGCCCCGCTATGCAGACCACACTCTGCATATAGAGGAGAAATACAGAGGATGAACAAGCGTGTGCGTTACCGGATTGCATTGTTCGTAAGAAAGCTAATTATGATATTAGCATTCATCATGTCCCTAAAGACATTAGTGTCTGAGAGCTGAATAGCGCCTACGTTACCTACTTCTGCTACACTGGCAATGTTAGTCTGTTAGTCTGTGAGCCAGTTTAAGGAGGAGTGTGCAGAGCAGTGATGTCTCCGCCCACGACTCAGAGGCACATTGGTAATGCGATACTGGAGCTCTGCAGAAGAAAAGCCCTTGATAATGACACAGGTAACGTGATTTTGGCTAAAGCTTAATAATCACAATTCAAAGACCACTGAGAACATTTTAAGTAATAATAAAAAAAAAAGGTTGGAGTGGGACTTTAAAGACACATAAACTGAAGGCTACAAAATTGAAGATAGTGAATGAAGTTCACACTTAATGATATAAATGGAGATCCAGAGATGACATAGACACCAATCTGGTCTTATAGGTGATCCTCTACCTAGCTGCAGAGCTGGTGAGTGTATGTTCTCAATGAAGAGCACATCGGCGTGAGAGCCCAGTGTTTTAGATGCTCATTCACGTGTTTGTGACAAAACAAAGCCCAACCTTAGCCAGAGAAGTTTAATTCATAAATGACAATAGTCATTTGGTGCTAGACATCATCTGGGGTCCAGATGTGTTCAGCTGGTCTCCCATGAGGACTCCCCTGAACAGCTGCAATCTGTGAGCGTGCACACACACAGAGCCTCCCATTGACAGTGCATGCTGTCAGAGGTACTCCTGACTTTTTGAATGGAAGGTGTCGAGTGAGTGAATGAGGTTTTGTATTAGACGAAAAACAATCAGGGTTCATTCAATCTGTTGCATATGAGGAGTGGTTGTAAATAAGAACAAATTGGTGAATCTTATACCATACTGTCATATCAATACTTAGCAAAATATTCAGTCTATTTTTCTTTTCATGATTTGTTGTTATTTGTGTTACAGTATCGGGAGTTTGACGACTCTTTAACAAAAGTTTTATCAGTGTTTTCAAAGCTTAATTTGGCATAAAAAGGACTACTTTTGAAAAGACCTACAAGACAGTTTTAACAAACACACTTCCAGTTAGAAGACTTAATAGTAACTTTACTGTATCTATTTAGGATAATCACAGTAGAAGAATACAGCGAGTAGTCGGCCGTAAAGTAATTCTTAGCAGCATCTTGATGAGGATATTAAATGAGTAAAGGAAAATGTACATCTTGATTTTGGCCTGTTCTGCTGTGATTATTCTTTTTAAAGGATTGCACATTAGGAAACTGATTTCTCCTTTGCTTTGTTAGACTAAATTAACAGACCCAGGCTGCAGATTAGTATTTTGAAATTCGTTTACCTTTTTTTAAATTCAATATTCTGAGTCTTTACTGGTTTCACTTTTCCAGCTAATGATTGCACAGAAGTTTTCATTTCAAAGCGGCTCATCTCCCTGTGGTGGGATTTTATTCTGCGTGTCCCTCTGGGATGAATTCCAGTCAGCTGTATTTAACTAGCAGCCTTTCTGCTGAACGACATACGGGGAAAGATTTCCTGCAATATGGTCGTGTTTGGACTCAGGGCTTGTTGATGCAGGAGAGCAGACACACACATTTTTGTCCTTCCTTCTACAAGGACTTTCCATCCGTTTTATGAACTCACAATCATGTAAAGACACATGCTTCCCCGCCACACAAACCTCCTTCCCTCCTTCCCTTTTTGTTTCACACTTACACAGATACAAATCACACACACACACATACACACACTTTCAGGCACACTCTTCACTTTGAATAAACACATTTCTGCTCCCTGTGCATTTGCTGAATTTACAGTGTTGATGGTATTCACTCCCTTGATCAATAATTCAAACGCTGGTGCCTCTGTTTCGCAAACGAAGCTTATGTGTGGAGCTCCTTCTACCACACACACACACCCACACCCACCCACCCTCTCGCACACTCAAACTTCAACTTACACGTGTAGAGAAAATCCTCACAGGTTTAAGTCTGACTGATCTGACAGCAAAGGCCAGGGGCAGCTTGTGTACACACAACCTGCCAAATAGAAAAAAGTGAAACCCTTCGGCCACCTCTCTGATCTCCAAACTGTTAGTGAGTGTGACAAACTCAAAGTGTCTCCTGCTGGGACCCTGCTGGTGGCAGGAAGCATCTTTCCTGTCAGATATCATACTTTTGCCGGATTTACCAGCCATGGGTGTCTCATTTAGACATATGTGCTTATGCAAGTGTCTGTGGTTATGACCTCTTCATCGGACTAGAAGTACATTGGAACAGTATAGAGTATAGATGGTTTCTGGTGCTTTTTTATATCCTGTTTTGTATCGATGTGTCATATCTCATTAAATATCATATTATACAGTGTGACACTGAAAAGAAGCATAGTGCAGCATACCACTTTGACTGGAACCATATCTCATTATATTAAAGTTTATCGAAGGCTTTACCAAGTTCATGAAGGTAAATGTGCAAAGAAACCAATATTTTTGTGTTAGTTTGAACACATTTTCATTTTTATCACCTAACAACCTGTCACTGTGAGACATTTGGGCATGAGTATGTGGCAAAGTTGAAAAATATCAAATTTTTCTTTGACAATTTTCTCATATATGGTAAACAAAAAATTGACACAAGTGTCATTTCTAAATGTGCATAAACTATACCAAACTTGAATTGTCCAAAACTGAATTATTCTTTATTTGAATTAATTATACTGCAATAGGACTGCAAATTTCAAAGATCAATATGATCAATCATGCTGATATGTGGGTTTCACAGCTCTAATTTACTTGCATTTTGTTGGTATGTACAGTATCACATTCTACTATCTCTTTCGTATTGTATTGTATAGTAACATATGGTATTATGTCGTATGGTATTGTAACAAATTGCATTATTACATGTAGTATATCATATTGCAAAGTATTGTATCATGGAGTACTGCATTATATTCTATCCTATCAATTTTTAGTAAAAATCACATCATATTTTGTTATGTCCTATTTTGACATATTGCATCTTATCATATGGTATTGTCTTGTATCATATTTTATCATATTATATAGTATTGTACTGTGTAGTTGTGTACTATATTGTATCATATTTTGTATTGTAAAGTATTGTGCTATATTGTTTTGCCTCATATTGTATTGTATCATATTGTATTGTATAAAATTGTATCATATACAGTAGGAAAGAATTGTATTATATTACATCGTATTAGATTATATTGTGTTGTATCATATCATACGGTCTTGAATCATTTAGAGTTGTTTATATTGTGTCATATAATATTGTATCATATTTCATTGTGAAGTATTGTGATATATTGTATTGTATCATATCATATCATATCAACTCATATGTCATATTGTTCCATCACATAATTTATTTCCTGATTTTTTCGTATTGCATGGTATTGTATAGAATAGTAATACAGGACTACACTGGATTTTGCACCATATTATGTTGTATTTTTCCATATGGTATTTGTTGTACTTAACTGTATTGTTTCATATTAAATCACAGCATATCTCATGTACTCAGACTGAGTAGTTGTTTACCTAAATTACATGGTTCTTGTTGTCGCTGTTGATGATTTTTGGACCATTTGGGGATTTTTTGCGGTGGAAAGATATTCTGGGAAAACCAGAGGATGAGACACACTGATTAAAGAAAAAACAAAAACTGAGAAATTACCACATGGATAATTCATTTATGAGTTGTACTCTATTTCTGCAGCCTTGCTTTGTCCAAGAATATGATATTCATTCATTCAAATCAATTCAGATCATAATCATCTTATTGTGGATCCTTTTGTACACTGTGCATGCCTGTCTGAGAAAAATTTGGACGTGAAATTTCCCTCCTCTAAATATTTGCATTTCATGACAAAAAGACTTGAAACGCCTCCTGATCTTTGTTCCTCCTCTGCAGGGATGTAAATCACTCCCTCTTTTTTTCCAGTTTCCAATTCCTTTTCCTTTCAGTCTTTTTATTCTTTCTTCTCCTGCACCCCTCCTCACCTAAACACAGCCCTAAATCTGTCTCCTTCTTTTCCTCCCCCTCTTTAAACCATATCGATTGTCTTCCTCTCCTCCAGTCTCTCTCTCTCTGCTTCTCATCCTTTCCCTGACTCACTGCCGTGTGGTGCCTCAGGCCTCCAGGCTTTCTTCTCTTGGATTGCCGCTCAAACAACTTGCTGATTTGGACTTTTAATCTGTGACAAAAAAGAAAAACTTCACCTGTCTCCAGGGGATGTGGTGTTTATTTAGCGTTGGCTGTACTTCATGGGAAATTTTGCGAATGCATTGAAAGGCTGAGATGGTTCTGGTTACAAGATTAAGACTGGGAGAAGGCTGGACTGACAAAAATAACTTTAAATAGTTCCAGATCAGAAAGTCTGAACCAGTCACTGCCCTGTTTTTATATGATAGCCTGGATCATTTTAATACCATCATTACTTCATGGTGTCATTGTGATTTGTCACCCTGTTGCTGTTTTAGTCGTTTCTGAGCCTGTAATTGATGTCATCCTCACATCCCTTTAACCTGCCAAAATGGAGGAATTAGTCTGCAGCTTCTTCATCAAATCACAACTGAGTTAATTTATTAACACGCAGACTCAAACTTTAATAACTTGTGCCTCATATCTGACTATCAGTCCTTCAGCAATATCCTCAGTAATAAGACTTATCGTAGTTTCAATCAATTCTTGACATAATTTTCCAGCTTAAATTCATCACTGCTTTAATTTTGGAACATGTTAAAAAAAGACATTGTTTCACTGCAGCTCAACAGAACAGCTTTTTAAAACAATTTTAAAACCATGACCAAAAGATTTTTTGTCCTGGCACTACAAAGCTAATTTTGAGACTGAGACTTTGAGTACCCTAACAAAGTCCTTTTTTTAAGGTGAAAGAAAAGAGTCGGACATGATGGCACACAAAATAATGAGAATAGTCAACAAAAAACACATGTCATCCATTGGTTTTTTAAAAGGGGCTTTAGGGAACTATGATGGGTGCTACCATATTGGAAATGCTGACTCACGCTAACTTTGAAACAACTCTAAAACAAAAGTCATGAAGCAAACTTCATGGCAAACAGCCACATATCAGTAAACTCAGATATTCCTCTTACTGTGCCAATCTCTAAGTATCTCTGACAATCAGACCACAATTAGGCAAACTAACACCTCCCAAAGTGGAGACTTTTATAAATTCCATTCTCTGCAGGTTTGTGTGGCCAGCAATAACGCAGCTTTCTGAAGATACAGACATCCTTACCTCAACTTACACACAGCCAGTGTTAACATGTATAGCACAAAGGCTACCAGCATACATCTGTTCTGTGACTTGATTCACTGATATATTACAAGAAAAACTAGCTATTCTTCTTCATTGTATTGTTTGGTTTGGGCAAATAAATAAACTACGCTTGACAGTTTATAATTATCCATGTCAAAGTACAGAGATGTGTAGTACCAGAGACAACGTTGTTGGCGTCAACCATTTGTTTGTGATGCCAAGTCGTGAAGTAATGATGGGAAGAACAGTTCTTTTGACTGTAGACTCTGTTCATTAAAACAATCCCATTCCATTCACGTCGTTCACTCAGAAGTTCTGTTCTTTTGAATGAAACAGTCATGAACAACACAACACTATTGCGAAGCCTGTCTTTGTCGCCATATTGGTATGAGTGACTCAGCACAACTTTTTCTTAACCTAACATAGATGGGCCTTCAGCCATGCTACTGATTTGCCGATCTTGTAAACTTTATAACTTTGAAAACAAACTTGTTACAAAAAAATCCCTCCATGTATGGTGGGTGCTGCAGGAGCCATGCACGACTCAGATCAAAATGATTTTTGAACCAGGCTGTAAACATGTTACCTTTTTGTTGCTAAAGTTGGCGTTTTAATATGGATGTAAATAGGGATCCCTTGGCTTTTGCAGCTAGCCTCAAGTGGACACTGGCGGTACTGCAGTTTTTGAACATATGAATTATCTTCATTTGTCAATGCCAAGTTGCTGCAGGAGTGATACAGTGAAATTATATCCAAAATAACAGCAACATGCATGAAAATATGCACATGAATAACAGTGACAAACTAGGAGTCTCAAGTATTACAGAAAGAAATGTCTCAGAAGACTGAATAATAATGATAATTGATGTAGCAATCCACAAAGAGCCGTAAACTTAATATATAGGTTACCCCCTCCCTCCCACAGCTGTTTTACTCCATAACATGTTATGTAACAGTAGTGTCCCTCAAGTGTATAAGGTCAGCTCTACCTCCATGCTCTCCAGCTTCATATATATCATAACCACAATGAGATGAGACTTTGCTAATGTCCTGTAGCAATCAATTATTTCACCCTGACTAGAGCATACACGCTAATATAACAGTAATTGTCCAGACAGAGTAATCCACTGTCTTTCTTGCTGCAGCATGATTATATTGATCATGAACAGTGTAAAATGTCCTGAATTCCTATAGCTGAATGCATGCAGGACATACAGTTCAATGGATATTTCCTGTACAGCCTCACAGCCTGTTCATGCATTAATGAGCACATTATTGACCCTGTCGCAAATATGCCCTTTACTCTGAGCATCATAATGTCAAAGATGGTTGATGGACCTGAATGATAAAATATTCAACATATGCCATAATCACAAACACAGAGATATAAACATGGTTTTACCTCACTGTACTCAGCACTTCATCAACATATGAGTGTTTACCAAATTTTAATAGACTCATATAATGATTTTACAATGGCCGAGAACACTTTCAGTGACACCAGCCTTGAACAGATTTATCTGCAGAAACATTTCTTTAAGATACGGCACTGAAAAAGCAAAAAGACTGTGGTAGACATCTCAATGTCACAATCCTTTTATTCCCCCTCTGTTCTCACTGCTCACTTGTCACTCATTCCTCCCTCTTTTCTTCAAAGCTTCAGTTGAAGCTGGCATCGCTGTCACTGACGATTACTGATAGAGTCAGATGACAACTTACGTCTTGAATACACACACACGCAAACACACACACATGGAGGCCTGCATGCAAAGTAGTTTTGTGTGTCTTGAGTGAGCTGACACTTCTGTTTAGACATCTGTCTGCTGTATACTCAGTTGAGACAGATTTGTCATGTCTAAAATTTGGATTTGGGGTGAGATTGTTCTGTTGAAAATAATATCGGAGACATTTTTATCATCCAAAGCATGAAATTTGAAGACAGTCAAACTTGTGAAATGCTGTTTTTAACGCGTTTATATCATCAAAAACAAGTACGCTGTATTAACAGATGCCTCATTTTTCATTTAAGATGAACAAACATGAAAACGATGACGCATTTACACCCACATTTAGATCTGACTGCTCTTTTCTGAGTCATGAAAAGAGCTGACAATAATGAGCATGACAAACCAGATTATTGGTGACATACATAATGTTTTTATTCTGTCTTTAAGCAACCCACCAAACCATATGGGTCATATTGATTATGCTGATTGGGTTTTTGCTTGATGCTAAACTCGGCTACCAGTGATTTTATATTGTAAAGCGTTAAGCATTTATCTTCTACGTTTCATTTTGATGTTTTGACACTAAAATCCATGTTGATTTATAGCGATCTTAAATGAAAAACTCTTACATGTTTAGTTTGTTTTTTTCGTTACCTTGCCTCTGTTTCTATTTGAAGCCACTACAAGAGGACACAATGCAGCCTTACGGTTGTTTACCAGTTTTCAAGCTGTATTTGGATGTCTTTGTTATTTTCCAGCTCTTAGATACCGGCAGCTTCGAGTGCAGATGTGTTTTCATGCTAACAAGCGATTCTGTACTTTTGCCTGTTTAGCATAGAGGAAATGTCTTTTTGCTTATGTGAAGCTGCTTCAAAGGATGTGGTGCAGTTTTATGGTTATTTATTCATTTTTTAAGCAGCCCTCTGCTGTATTTGATTGTCTTTGTTATTTATGTTATGTTGTTCAGCTGGTGTGCAGGCGGCTTCCCGAGCGGCTGTCTCTTCATGCTAACAAGCTAACTAGCTGATTATTCTGTGAGGGTCAGTTTTTGTCTTTTCTTCATCTTCAGCTTTGAATATAAAAGAAACTTGGTTCTTTGTAACCTCTCAAGTAACCATTTACATGTGTCTTGAGTTAGTTTTTTAGCTGTGTGATTAAGGTAGTAGATTTTCTCAAAGTTTTTAAGCAACTCTCTTCTGCATTTATTCAGCTCTAAGATGTGGCCAGTATCTTGTAGAGTTGTTTTGTCATGCACTGAGGTTGGTATTCTTCCTTTTTTCTCCTGCTTCTCTGAATATAAAAGAAAGGTGCATTAAATTTTACATCTTTGGTATCCGTTGCATTTTCCTGGAGGTGTTTTTCAGCTTTAGATGCAGGTATTTTTGGAGGTTTTGTTTTTGTACTAACAAGCTAACGTAACCTTTCCTGAGGGCTGCTGAGTGATATTTCTGTATTTAGCCAGCTTGGAAATGAAAGAAATGCAATCTTGTGCTAAATTAAAAGTTTTCAGGAAGCTTACACGGTTCTTTGGGTTCTTTTAAGCTGTTTTTCGTTCCTTTTTGAAGTTGTAGACAGATGGCCCATTAGATTCATGGGAAGAGGATAAAATGAAGCTACAGGGGCAGACTATCTGTGAGTCTGCTGGTGCTACGAACTTCAGTTTTGACTGTTTTAAGTATGACAGATAAAAATTTCACATGCGAATAAGCTTTTTTTCTATGACATTAAATATGGAAATGCCACCCTCAAGGTAGAACAGATAAGAAGCTGCAAATCTTTCAAGTTTTTAGATGTCAACTATTTAGCTCCACTCTAATAAACAGGCCAACAGAGACAGAATCATTGCATAGACAAACCCTTAAGTCAGTAATCACTGACCCACATTTAAGTATGTGCGAGTGCCCAGTGAAGCCCGCAGGACCTTAGAGGAGCAAGTCAGAGAAGAAGGGAGGAAGGTAAAGTAGCTGGGAGGTGAAAATTGTCACGTCTGATACTGACACGAAGCTGTCAACTAATATGTCTCACTTCTTTGGGGAAAAATAGAGGCAAGTTGCGATGTGCTCGCCTATGTGTGTACTTTTGCACACTTTTACTCACAAGCAAACATGCATGCAGACATGCGCAAACACATCAGCGGCAGGTGAGAGGTGATAAGGAGTGACAGCTCCACCCCGGAGCAGATGAGAAGGCAGAAGAGATGGAGCAGAGCTGAGAAAGTGGAGCAGCAGAAGAGGAGAAACTTTAAGGAAACTTCTGTCCTTTTCCACTCTTCGGTGCAAAACGTGTTTTCTCACATGGAGGATATTTAGGGCTCATTTTGGTTTGATTTGCTTCCTGCCTGAAGAGTCTTTTTCTTTCCGCTCTGAAGAAGTCACAGAGAAACTAGCTGTTACAAAGAGATGGGGTTCATCGAGAAAAGGGATTGTGCAGGAGATGCGAATATTCTCTCGATGTTGATGTGTGTGTATGTGCTCCAAAACATATACTGTATACTAGAGAGCACACAAGGTTACAACAATTCTCTCTGAATATCTGCAAATAAACTGGAAGATGAAGCAGAGTTAGATGAACATCAGTCCGCCAAAACTTTAATAACCCTTTATTGTCTATTTAAAGGACGAGCTTAAAAAATAGCATCGGGGGCCAGTGTTTTCCCAAGTTTATGAAACTTTCATCAAGAAAATAACGCAGTGATGTTGGCCTTATTGAGACAAACAAACAAACAAACAAAAACACTTATAACATTAAGGGTTATATATATGAGGGAATTTTCAGAGTGACCGATTTCAAAGTCTGACTGAGACTGCAGCTCCATAAGATCCCAGCTAAGGCCGGCTCTAAAAGCAAAGGAAACCATTGTAACCATAGATTGTATATACTCTGGACAACTAGGTCCCGCCTTCCGCCTGTATACGGATTTAAAGCTGAAAAGCTCTCAGTATTTTCGGTTTTTTTCTCCATTTCCTGAAACCAACATTATGCAGTAGAGTTGTACGCTTTTGCTGTGGTGACGCTCGGCTCAAACAGCGTATCCCCCGGGTGAGCCATGCAATCTTCGTTTGCCCATAGGCTGTTTCAAGTGTCAATCATAGAAAACATGAACCCCCTAATAACTTTCAAAAATAGAGCTGTACAGAAAAAGAGAAGACTTGAGCACAAACCAGTCTTACAATAGCTACATGTCAACATCACAACCAGGGGGGAGAAAAATGTATATTCTGTGTAATAAATTTCTAAAGTTTGTCCACAGCTCCATTTTTACCGGGTTATCGGCCAAGTACATAAATGGCTTTGGTCCAAAGCTACATTATTTTTTTCTCATTTATGGCAACTGTACCTACCACTCTTGACTACATTAAGGTTCATGGTAATTCTTGATTAGGCACCGTGAGAGGCTTGGTTATTTTACTGACAGACGGGTGTGCTGTTAACTGTTTGCTCATCTTTGGGCTTCAAAACAGAAACTAATGGTTTGAATGGAGGGACAGTCAAACTTCAGGGGACCATTTGTGATGTAATCACACCCCTGAGGTGGAACCCTTTAGTTTGGACCCATACTCAACCCAGCGCTGGGTCAAGGGTTCATTGGTACGGGTTCTGCTCAGATTGTTTGGTGCTTCATTATTGCAAATGAATGTTCAATCAAGCTACTTAAAACAACTGAGCAGTGTTAGTTAGGGTTTTACAGAGAGGTCATGGCTCACAGCTTTGAGGTTGCCATCATAATTGGGCGAGTATCCTTGATACTCATAAGGACAGTTCACCATCCCAGAACAAACATGCAAAACAGATCAAAAACAACATGATCATTTAGGTGTACCCCTTTGTTTTGCACACTGAGAGTCCCACCCCATTTTTCAGAGTGGACCCCAGGGAAACTGACAGTATAGGCCAGAAATAACAAATACTTAAGTCTGGACCTGTCTTTTATGTATATCCATATAAGTAAGCTATGAATTTGCAAGATTCAGATATAAATTACTTGGTCGACTCACTGAAATTAATGCAGTAACAGTCACATTAGACTCCATCTTCTCCTTTTGCAGGCTCTACCCAGCCTCCCTGCTCCTCACTTAAACCAAGTGTTATCTATCATGCGTTTCTGACAGCGAAAACCTCCTGCTGTGAGGCACATGTGTGAACGACAAGTTCCTGAAGATGTCAAGGCCTGAACGTCCAAAAACTATTCAAATGACAGAAGTCCACATGTAAGAGGGGCTTTAGGTTTTTCTCTGTAGATATAGAGACTTGTTTGAAATCAAGGTCAGAGGTCAGGGAACAGTGTAGGGTCTGTCTACTCTGGATCTGGATTATCACTTATGACATTCAGGAACCATTAGAACCCATTTTTATAACTGATGCCCTTATGTATTATTCAACACTGAGAAACCTCAGATTCCCTATCAATGACTAAATCACTTTCTATTAAGTCATCAAGCAGCCAGATATAAAAGGAAGTCATATCAAATGACCAAGAGGTCCTCACTTTCTAATAAGCAATCAGGACCGATTAAAGAGCGGTCACAAGGACAACTAGACAGGATGTTTTACACCTACTTTTTTAGATCTAGATCTTCCGCTTTTATGCTTTTTGGAGATAAGATTGTAGAGGGCGTAAGAGACTGGAACGAGAGGGCTGGGAGTGGCACATGGAACAGGTTGGACTCAAACAGAACAGCTTCAGGTACACCAGCACACCATGTACAAGCCAAACTTGTGAAAAAACACTCACAGAAAAATGTTGTCCTTTTAAACGCCCATTTCTTATTTATAAGTCAAGTATCAATATTCAATCGCAATAAAAAAGTAGAGCAAAACTTCTGACTGAAACGACTGAAGGTTGACTGAAGTTTTATGAGGCAGAGCTATAAGTTAACAGCGCTGCAAAGTTCATACAATTTCCCAAAAGAGTACAACAGGCCTACTCGCCCTCAAAACCTTAAAATGACACCATCTCATTTTATGTCACAGAGAGCAGGAGGGAACTATGACATGGTGATCCCAACCTTTGCGTGCAGTTACAGTCTATATGTTTACCCACATGGTATTGAATATTGCTCATCTGTCTGACTTAAATCAGGACACAACAGTGAAACCCTTTAAGTGACTGTGACCTTCATTACATAACATGAGCGGTGAGTTGTTAACTACGGTGCACACAAACACACACATGTGCACACACACAAACACACACTGGACATAATTACATGCAAAGCAGTCAAATGTATTGATCTACATGCATGCTTGTGCTGTTAATGTTGGGTGGAAACCTTGTATCTCCTGAAATGTTTCTGTCAGTTTCATTTTAAATGAATAAAGCTGAACCGGATTTCTCTGAGCTGATTTCATGATTATCCCAAACTGGTTAATTTTACATACTGTTTTATTAAAATCATCCTGTTTTGGGAGATACAAGGTTTTCATATTGACTGCATCTGGAGTGCAGGGTCATATACATGCATGCACATTAACTCTCACATGACTGACCCCCACACACACTTGGTTCAAACCATGTGACCTCTGCCACCACCATGTTGGTCCTTGGTCTCTCACACTTGTGTTTGGTGGACTTTGTATTGTGGCGCTTTTCGCCTCCCAGCTATATCCTGAACTCTGGCTGTGAGGAGCTGATCCGTGCTCACGCAACCTAAATGCCACCGCTATCCTTCTTGTTGTTAATTGAACTATAAATCACCGGGGTGCATGTATATATAGATATATGTGTGTGTGTGTGCGTGTCTGTAAAAGCATGAAGGTCATCTGTGTGAGTTTAAAACCAGCCTCTCTTCAGTTGAACCTTTCATCAGACATGACACACGTGACCTGAGGCGGCGCTCTCCCTTGCCTTTGTTGGCGGGGAATTAGAGCTGCATGCTAGCACACTGGACCTGGTTTGGTCCACGTATTAGGAGGATATATGTGTGTGTGTGTGTGTGTGTGTGTGTGTGTGTTTGCGTGTGTGCACGAGATGGGAGTGTGATCTGAGAGGAGGATCATTTTGGATTAAACTTTGGAAGCTGATTCAGAAGAAGTGGTGGATTTTAAAAGGGTAATCATGCGCCGCTTACAGGATGTGTGGTGGAGAAAATGAAGATGTGGTGGAAAGAAAGAGACATTTTTAAAGTAGCAGGTGCACAGCAGAGTGTAGAAGTTCTTTTTGTGCTTTGATACATTAATTTGACTATAAAATAGGATGGTTGTGTGTATATTTTCATGCCTTTCACTGCTAAGGTCTTAGTTACACGTACACTCTTGGACCAGGGATTTATGTCAGCTAGCTAATAGCTAAATGAGCGTGCAGGAAGAGCAGTCCAGAAACGCTAAAGCTGTAATCTTGGAGAAATTTGTTTTATCACAAGGAGGAGCAGTAATCTGTTGAGATGGGCTCAGGGAGGGAGGCTGTTTATGCAGCCAGAGTGTTTCTATTTCAGCGAGGTGCTACCCTGCAGGAAATATTAATCCTGACTGTGTGTTAGCCGTAGAGTGAGTTTTGCACCTCAGGTTAATGGGATAGTAGTGCTGCTGGAGTAGTGTGTGTGTGTGTGTGCGTCCACTCTCCCAATTAAAAGAGGAATTAGTAAAAATCGGCAAAGATAAAAAAAACTAAAGACATTTGTTTGAATCCGGCCCCTGCCTCGGCTCTTTGAGAGAGAGAACAACAGGATGAAAGCAGAAGGATGAAGGACAGAGGAGGTGTAGATGAAGAGGTACTTTGAGTAACATGTGACAAAGAAACTTAGCATTGCAGATTTCGAGGAAGAAAATGAGATCAAAAACGAGACGCTCACGGAGATAAGAAGAATTAGCTCCTGATAGAGAATACAGTGAGGAGAGGCGGGTTAGATAGTTTGGGATGAAAGCGAGGGGATTTGAGCTCATGCTGAGCGCCGTTTGTTGTAATGATTTCCTGAGGCGAACAGATTGAACCCTGGACCACATATTGAACCTGACTGTGTATAAGTGTACATGTGTGCATGTTTGTGTGCGTATCCATAGATAGGAAATAAAGTTCAAAACTGTAGAGACTTTTCTTCTGCACAATCAAAAATGGGAAAAACTCAGTTTTTCAACTTATGGTACGGAGGCCCTGAAGGCCAACTGCACATGAAAATATTTAATCAACATGAGAGTATTTAATTCAACACCAAAAATATGATAAAATGGATTCTTTCCTAACAAAATTACGAAATGATACATAAAAAAACAAAAATCTTTCACAAAAACAAATAGAAAAAAAAAAAAAAAAAATCAGGAAAAACAAAAACATTTCACAAAAATCTTGTATGAAACAATATTTTTCATAAAATAAAACAAATATTATGAAAATATTGTTGTATTTGTGTAATGTTTTGCATTAGATGAGTATTTTGTGGTTTTTTTAGGTGTTTAAGTGTTTCATGAGATATTTTGGAGGTTTGAATTTTCTGAAAAGTTTGTGTATTATGAAATAATTTGTGTTTTTGAGTTGTTATTGCATTTGTGCAGTTGTCCTTTAGAGCCACCGTACATTGGAAACAGATTTGATGAGAGTAAATTGTTTTTAAGCTAAAAGTCACGTGAGACTGTTCGATTTGTGTCATAGAAACTCTGCAAAGCTTAAAAGAAAGAGTTATTGCCCAGAAGAAAGCCGCTGTTTGCTCTTCAACACGTTTTGCAGCAGAAATAGTTTGGTCAATTGTTCTTTTTTTTCATTTTTTTGTTTATTTCAAATATAAGTCATGCTTACAAGCAAAGCAAATGGTACACAAGGGATAAAAATACAAAATATAAAAAGAAGAAAAAAGAAAAATGGAAGAAGGAAAAAGAAACAAGCACAAACAAAAATTCAAAATTAGAAACATTCAAAAAATAATGAACAAAAGCAAAAAATGAAGTCTCAATGTTCAACATGCTTTTAAAAAAAACACCAAATCAAGACCATTGGAGTTTTGTGAAATTATTCTCCATCTAAGCAGTCCAAGACTTTTATTTGTCCTCTATTTAAATAAAGGTAAACTGTCAATCAAATCTGATGAGAAGTTCAGTTTAAGTGATTGTTGGCTATGAAGGTTTCACAGGGTTTGGATTTGTTAGTCACATGTGGTTCCACTTTGTTAGAGACTAAGTGATCATTCACACACATGCACACATGAACTCATGCACAAGTGTTAGTGGGACTACAGATATAAATCTGGAGATGGAAGTAGGAAATTACAAGCAGGTGGTTTATGAGACTATGGACTCAAAAGTTTTGTTAGATTTTACACGAAGCCAGAACTTCCTACTTCCCAACAGCTCTGAAATGCATCAGAAAACACCAGCATGCAAACACACACATGCTTGCAAATCATTAAACACACAGACGTAAATACACCAATGTGCAGACACACTTACACACAAAGACTGCAAACTATTAATCAGACACACCCACAGACTCATGTCCATCTATTTCTTGTCCTCTTAGTGTCTAATTGTGCCACACACACACCTGGACAAACACCTGGACACACAGTCATTCTCCTCACCTGGAGTTGAGGTCAGCGTGCGCTGCCCCTGCTGTGCCTCCTCCTCCGCTCCCTCCTCGACTCTTCTCCAGGCCCAGTTTGGTGAAGATGCCCACCAGCACCATGATAGCCACCACGCCACAGATGATGTAGACGATGAGGTGTGTGCGGTCCCGGTCCCCGTCCTCCTGGCCCTCGGTGATGGTTGCCACTGGCTTGCCAGTGTTGGCCCAGATGGGCGTGTCGTAGTTGTTGCAGATTCTCTGGTCCAGTCGCTGCTGTCGAAACTGGCAGCAGAAGCGGTAGAAGCAGGTACCGCAGCAGTAAAGAAAGACCCCGGCGTTGCAGTTGAACGGCGGGTCCCACTGGCCCATCACGTCGTAGTAACCCTGACAACGTGTCCCTCCAACAGGAGGCACGTCCTCATCGTCAGCATCTCCACCACTGGTGGGTGTAGACACCCCTGTCTCTAATGGAGAGTTCTGAGTGGGCTCCACGTAATTTGGAGATGTTTGGTTGAGAGGTGTTGTGGGGGCAATGAACGGGTCACCCTCTGTTATTGTAACCGTGGTGATGGAGGAATCCTGGGTGAGGACAGGCTGAGGAGCAGGGAAAGGGAGGAGGACAAAGAGGAAAAGGTGGTAAAAGGAAAATATGATGGAGGCCATGCTGCTGGGAGAGCCCTTTGGTCTGACGTCCCACCTGCAGGAAGAAAAAAAGTAATGTAGTAAAGTCTCCGCACAAGCAGGAAAATCACCCAGTGTGCTTTTATTTTAAACTCATTAAGGTTAGGAAAAGGTTAAACCATGATGGCACGTCAACATCACACTTAATGAGGCTGAGTTTTAGACATGCAAAGACAAACTTACACCAGATATGAGCATGCACTGACTGTCAAAAACAGTGGCGGTACGCTCTCTGTCTAAATTGATTGACGCTTGTATGATTAAACCCATGATGCTCTGTTGACCCAGCGATGCTTATGGAATCAATAATGAAGAGAGGGTACAGGACGTTTAAACAGGTCAGCCTGAATCAACACTGCAGGCTACACATTGAGACATGATTATCACTAACTTTGAGGTTTGTAAAGACCAAAGAAAGGCAGATTACATTTTTAAAGATTAAGAATTTGATGACAACTTATTTCTTCTAAGTGAGAAACTACAATTCAAGCAGCTGGAGGAGAAAGCATCACAAATGGCACAGCAGCTCTTACCTTCAAAGTGAAGCCGTATACATTTTTTTCTCTCATACTACCATGAAGCATGAGAGGTAAATAACCCTCATTGAGACTTTAGTGAAGAAACTCATCCTCACCTTTTTTCCCTCTGCAGTCTGCTCAGTCGACCCTCCTCTGCGATTCTTTCCCAGAGTTCAAAGGGCTACGAAATCCCCTCTAGAAAAATCCACAAACTTTACTCAGCAGCATTTCTCCCCCTTGGATCTCTCGCTCCCCCTCATGTGTTCTCCATCGTCAGCTGGGGGCTCGATCCTGAGGACTTCACAAACACTTAACGACACGCTCCTCTGATCCTCTTCCTCTCCTCCAGTTTCTCTTCCTCTTTTTCTTCTTTTTTTCCCCCCTTCTTCTCTTCTTTTCTTGTGAGAGCTGCTCAGTCTGCCATGGCAGGTGGGAGTCCAGTTGCATCCAGGACTGTTGGGGATCTTCTGCTGTGAACTGCGTGTGTGTGCATGTGTGTGTGTGTGTGTGTAGGGGGAGAAACTAATTGAGCGAGAGAGAGAGAGAGTGGCAGCACTGAGCGCTGCAACAGTTCAGGAACCAAATGAGATCTCCTCCCCTGTTTACCTCTCGTCAGTGGCAGATAGACAGAGAGAGGAAGAGAGGGAAGAGGAGTGAGAGAGTGTGAGTCTGCATTTGTGTGTTTTGATTGGAGGAGGGGGGTTATATCCAGCTGTATCTCCCATCATCCTCAGGGGGGGAATAAGCCTCAAAGGAGGGACGAAAAACAGAGGAGTGAAAAACTGTAATGTGGAGAGAATGATGTGTGTCGTTTTCGTCAATCGATTTTGGGCTTTTTTGTGCGTTTGCTTTTTGATCCTATTGCTCTGAGAGTGTGTGTTTATTTGCTCCTCTGTCTGTGTGTGTGTTTATGTGTGTGTGTGTGTGTTTGGGGCTGTGTGTCGAATGTGTTTGCATGGCAGACGGGGGGGACACTCAACATCTGCTGTGGTCACTTCTGCTCATCATCTTGTTGTTGCCCTGTCACCGTCTGTGTCGTGCCTCTTTGCATCCCACACACTGAAACCCACTCACACATGTGCCCACACACACACACACACACTCACACACACACTACCTCCCAAATCGCTGATCTCCCATGCACCACCATCCTCCCCTCTCTCATCTCTAAATGTGTCTTCCCCACTGCTCCCTCTGTTTGTTTGCAGATTTCTGTGTTAACCATATGTGCGTGTGCGATAGTGTGTGTGTTTGTATATGTGTGTGTGTGTGTGGGGGGGGGGATTTTGTGACTTTGTTTGCATTAGGAAGATTCAGAAGTCAGAGGGTCCAACTCCAGCTTTGCCACCTCTTTTGTTTCAATTTGAACCTGCACAAGAAATGCCAACATCAGCTGGCACACACTACCGAAGACTGCAGCTCCACTTGGAGACACACACGCACACACACAAATGCATGCTCACACACACACACATGCCAAACCCACTCAGACAAAACTGGCATGAATACAAGTGAAAAATTATTTTAAAATATGTATAAAGATCCGCTAATATCTGCACTAACAGTATTTTCCTCCTCAGCCAGACACCACTTCTGATGCCAATTATAAGAGCTTTTCTCAAGGCGAACGACCACATGTACATTTTTTTAATGGAATTATAAGCCAGATTGACAAGGAGCTTTTTGTTTTCCTTCCCGCTAATCTCCTCTCCTAAAATCCCTTCCTTTATGTCTTGTCAGTCTGCGGAAAAAAAAAAAAACTCCACGCTTCCCCCACTTTCCTCTGATTTTTGCTTTTTTAGCATGCGTGGATACCAGCGAGAGAGAGAGAGAGCGTAATAAAGAGAATGAAAAGAGGAGAGTGAATGTAGGGCAGTGGGGAGGAGGCCGACAAGAAAAGAAAGAAAGGAGGAAAGAAAGGAAGGAAGGAGGGAAGGAAGTGGGGGAGGGAGAGGTGGAACAGTGGAGGAGAAAGGATTGGCTGAGCACCAGAGATGAAAAGGGAGACGCGCGCACATAGACAAACAGTGAGACGGGTTTAGAGGGAGATTTAGGAGGGAGAGTTTGGGAGATTTGAAGATGAAGGGAGCGGAGAGACGACAGGTGATGAAGGGAGAGATGATCAGAAAGAAGGGGAAATGGTTGAGATCGTGAACAACCTTATTTATTCATTCACAGGATGCTTTTCCCTAAACTTTTCAGGCTGATGAAAAAATTTGAGTGTACACAAACAAACATAAGAAAAGTCAGCAAGTGTTGACCGGAGAGTGATGTGAAGGTCACCAAACTGAAGGAAACCTGAAGAGGTTTACTGTCAGGTACTTTATCTTCATCTACAGCTTATAGACGCAACAAAACATGAAGATCAGAAGACTCCTCACCATCTCCACAAACACTTCAGAGACTTACACCATTACAATCGCTAAAGGGATCCTGATGCTGTGTCGGTGACTAGCCAATCAGAGCTGCCGCACACATGTGCTTTCCAAAGAAACTGGATTTTGTTGAATCCTAAATCTGAAAAGACCCTTTTAGGGCCGACGTCAGGATGACGCCACAGTTTTAGCTGGAGGCAAAACTGGAGCGACAGACGAATCACCCCCACAGGGAAGTAGGTGTCATACGAGTCTTCAATGTTGTCTTGATGTGTTGTTGTGTCTAAGAAAAGAAGGAGTGACAGAAATGCCTCAAAACTAAAAATCGTCTATTTACCAGCTGCCACTGCAACATAAACCCAATCATTATTAATAAGTGAGTTTCAGTTTGTTTTCACAGTCTGGTGACATGTTTACAATTAAATACTGATTTTTTCAATACTGTTTTTTTCTCTATCTATATTTCTCTAAATAGAAATTCTTGAGTAAACAACAGCTGAATTCAGACTTTACAGATAATGAACCAGGAGTTGACCCGAGCTGAAAGAGAGAGCATGTTGCCACCTACCATAGTGGAGGTATGCTCATGTCTGGTGCTTGTAAATGATTGGGGCTAAATTTATTAATATTCGATTTCTACATAATGCTCATTTTTGTAGCACATAGCTAATTTTTGCTCTGTCTTACAGTTGCCATGATAACCAACCCCGAAACATGAAGAACCTTACTATAATTCTGTGTTCCAGTTGCACTTGGAAGTCATAATTTCCAAGCTCTGAGTCAGAAATTCATCTGGAACGTCCCCCCGAAGTAGGATTTCCCACTCGGAAAGTCGGACAATCCTCACCAACCCAACTTGACGACAACGTCATAATCCAAGATGGCAGCACAGTGCATCAACTGTAAAGAGTAACAGTAAAAGCTCTCATAATATTTTATTTATCAGCACTTCTGTTTTTGTGAAATTAAAGAAGTGGTATACACTCACCGGCCACTTTATTAGGTACACCATGCTAGTAACGGGTTGGACCCCCTTTTGCCTTCAGAACTGCCTCAATTCTTCTTGGCATAGATTCAACAAGGTGCTGGAAGCATTCCTCAGAGAGCTTGGTCCATATTGACATGATGGCATCACACAGTTGCCGCAGATTTGTCGGCTGCACATCCATGATGCGAATCTCCCGTTCCACCACATCCCAAAGATGCTCTATTGGATTGAGATCTGGTGACTGTGGAGGCCATTTTAGTACAGTGATTTCATTGTCATGTTCAAGAAACCAGTCTGAGATGATTCCAGCTTTATGACATGGCGCATTATCCTGCTGAAAGTAGCCATCAGAAGTTGGGTACATTGTGGTCATAAAGGGATGGACATGGTCAGCAACAATACTCAGGTAGGCTGTGGCGTTGCAACGATGCTCAATTGGTACCAAGGGGCCCAAAGAGTGCCAAGAAAATATTCCCCACACCATGACACCACCACCACCAGCCTGAACCGTTGATACAAGGCAGGATGGATCCATGCTTTCATGTTGTTGACGCCAAATTCTGACCCTACCATCCGAATGTCGCAGCAGAAATCGAGACTCATCAGACCAGGCAACGTTTTTCCAATCTTCTATTGTCCAATTTCGATGAGCTTGTGCAAATTGTAGCCTCAGTTTCCTGTTCTTAGCTGAAAGGAGTGGCACCCGGCGTGGTCTTCTGCTGCTGTAGCCCATCTGCCTCAAAGTTCGACGTACTGTGCGTTCAGAGATGCTCTTCTGCCTACCTTGGTTGTAACGGGTGGTTATTTGAGTCACTGTTGCCTTTCGATCAGCTCGAACCAGTCTGGCCATTCTCCTCTGACCTCTGGCATCAACAAGGCATTTCCGCCCACAGAACTGCCGCTCACTGGATATTTTTTCTTTTTCGGACCATTCTCTGTAAACCCTAGAGATGGTTGTGCGTGAAAATCCCAGTAGATCAGCAGTTTCTGAAATATTCAGACCAGCCCTTCTGGCACCAACAACCATGCCACGTTCAAAGTCACTCAAATCACCTTTCTTCCCCATACTGATGCTCGGTTTGACCTGCAGGAGATTGTCTTGACCATGTCTACATGCCTAAATGCACTAAGTTGCCGCCATGTGATTGGCTGATTAGAAATTAAGTGTTAACGAGCAGTTGGACAGGTATACCTAATAAAGTGGCCGGTGAGTGTATGTTGTACTGCCCAACGTCATGGACACGGTGCTATGGTGTTTGTAAGAGTAAAATACTGTGTTATGCGTTGTTTACGACTGGTATCGCAAACAACAACTAAAAACTGCTGACAACAGCTAACAACAACTGACAATGGCAAATGACAGCTGACAATTGTAAACAACAGCTAACATGGGTAACTGGAGGCATCCATCTTGGTTTTGCGACTTGTTAACTGGAACGCCATTAACTTGGGTGTGACATCATTCCGAGCTCCAACATCTGACTTCCGAGGTAACTGAAACGCAGCGTAAATACTTGTTTTCTATCACCCTCCAAAAATCATCATGCTGTTAACCAACCCTGTTCAATGTATTAGATTGAATTCATGGTAAATATGCGTCTAAGAAGAACTGAGTTCTGTTACTAAGCAGCGACCTAAAGTGAAGCCAGTGCCAAAGCGGAGAAATAGCAGCTCTTCAAGGGTCCCCTTGACCTGCAAAGAGACATGATTTACACTCATGATTGAAAACTCATGAATGGCACATATTTACAATCAGGGACAAAAATGGTTTTGGTCTGAAAGGATGATTTCGACACGTCTAGCTGCCACTGATGAGTGTCAGAATACTGCTTTATGAACCAGTTGGTGATATCTCTGAGAAGCAAAATGAATAAAGAAGGAGGTCCATGGAGACATCAAACCGAATTATTGATTTGCAGCAACAAGACAATTGCTTGTATCATTGTACATGACACAAAAAACAACAAACAGTTAAATGAGTTGTTTTTTGTCATCATGTGTGGGATTTTTCATAAAATCAAATCTGTAGCAGCCTTTACTAACATCTCTTTCAACTGAATTTTGAGTTTTTCTTTAGGGTTGTACCAAACAAATCTGTGTATTTGTGTTTTCTGCTGTCACGCTAGATGTGCTGATAGATAGTTTTTGACCCCAGCTTCCTTTATGATGGACTTTTCTTTCTAGTTTGTGTGTTAATGTTTTCTTTTCTGACAATCTCTTTGCGACCCCAACAGCTTAGTGTACAAATTGAGTGTCTGCAAAAAAGATGTGTTTATTTTTTCCTTCACTCTATATTTTGTATGCGTTGTAGTGAATTGTGGTGGAGTACAATAGCTGTAAAAACTTTCGTAGTTGACATGCACAAATTGCCTCGTCAACCTGAATAGTGGGTGCAAAAATGATAAGTTGCCTCCAATGAAAATGTCACTCTGTGGTTTCACCTGCAGGAAATAGAGGTCACAGTTTCTAAATGAGAAATCGTGGTGTGTTTTTGTGTAACATTTAATAGAGATGTGAAAATGAGGATGATGACTGTGCATGTGTTTGTGTGTTTGTTGGAAATGTGAAGGCATAGGGGAGCTGTTGTCAAGCCGTGAATTCTAAATAATCCTGTTGAATTAATTTTCATCTTGAACTAGATTCTCAAAGTGCCTGCAGGTCTCTGATTTACCAAAGCAATGATGCTTCCTTCATTAGGAGACACTTTGAATATCCCGAACATGTTGAATATTTCATTTGATGACTTCACAGCATCGATGAATATTCATTCTTTGGCTTTGTGTGCCTCCACCGACAAGTGTTAATGGGAAAATCTTAATCCTAAAACACATGTTCACATCAATTACTGCTGCTGTATTTTGCTGTTTGTGGTCCTTGCAGTTTTAGTTTTCTATTTTACAGGCAAATGGTGGAGGTCCTGCATGACTGTATGACCAGCATTTGCAAGAATACAACCTCTGGGCCGTTGTTGTCAGTCTCTGAAAACAATAGCTAGCATGCCTTGAATAATCAGACTCAATTTGAGCTTTTTTGCTCCAAGAGCCTGACTACCAGAAAGGCACAGATGTTAAAAAGGACAAGGTTACTTTTACACCTGAATATGCTCATTAGTACCTATAAATTTAAAAAGAAGGGTCTATTTTCCTGTTATGCACTTCATTGATGACACATATGCTGGCGGAGGTTTTGCAGCTCCAGTTATCCCCCTCCTCATACATCCTCTGAGGCTGGAGTTCATTTCAGCCAAACTTTCACAACATGCATCAAAATAAAGCCAAAAAAATTGACATTTTCGGGAGATGAGTTCATTTCCAACATTCAAAAAAGCCCCAGATGAATGTTGTCTATATGATCAGAGTTAATTGCTTGACCTCGACCTGAACAGAAGTAGTGTATCCATCCCTCATGAACTCACAGTGACAGCAACAATAGTTTGTCTCGTATCTGGCTGACAGATCTCTTTGAAACCCTGCAAACTACAAGGCTGTCCACTTGTGATCAAATCTGTATGAATGTTGATACCAGGTGTAAACAGCTTTGCAGACAAACTAGATTCAAAATAACTTACTCCAGAGAAATAATAGAGTTAAATGAAGCAGACCAACGGTCATCGTAAACATAGCGTTTGATTATTTTTGATGCGCTTGAAGATCAAAATCAAACTACATGCAGGCCAGACAATATTGTTGTAGATAAGGCAAGTTTTTAAAGGTCACCAATGAAACTTTTATGATTAAAAAGTTGCTCAAATACAATTTCAGTGTGGGGTGATCAGTCTCAAAACAATAAAGTTTCAGATCTCTTTCAGCTTTTTAAAAATATTCCCCGTCACTGACTCGCTGTGAAGTGTCTTGCAAGAGTTTCTCATCTTCAGGAGACGAAGCAGATAAAAAACATCATTTACATACCGACTGCTGTACGTCTGTGTGAGAGCTGAGCAAACATAAAACAGAGGTACTGCCTGCCTCTGTTTGAAAGCTTTTTCAGAGGAGAGGTGTCTGACTCCTGCAAAAAGTTGACGATTCTAAATTTGCAGTCTCGAAGGCTGTGTAGGGTCTGTGTGCGTATGTGGATGTTTTGAGAGTGTGAGAAGGAGGGAAAGTGAGTACTCCACTTGAAGCTGGAGAGCTGCAGGGCTGTGATCAGAGGGAAGCCCCTTAATGAGTTGATCCGGGCAAGTCTTTGATGCTGTTCCTCTCAGGGGAGTTTGAGAAAGAAAAGAAGCGAGGCGGGATGGTGGGATGACCTTTCAACTTACGCCGTTACACAAACTGAAGCCGCAGGGTAACATGACAAAAAACAAAGACATTATTTCATGAAATGTGCAATTTTGCTCCAACATTAATTTGTGTGGCTTTCTGAAAATTCTTTCAACTAGTGTTGTGTCGTTCGTCAACAATTTGTTAAAAAAAACCCAAATCTTTTAAGTGAATGTACCGAACCGAATCACTTCCTCGAGTGATTCGTTCGTCTCTCACTTCAGTTGATCATTTTTGTCGGACAAAACTACTTTTTTTTTCTTGCTAAATTGCCACCACAACAACTTGCATACAATAGGACACAACAAGTAGTGCATTAATCCCGCAGCATCCTATCATTGCAGCGGTTTGCGAGGGAACGGTGCATGTTTAGTGTGAATCCAGTTAACAAGTCGAAAAACCAAGATGAACACCTACTTAGCCATTGTTAGCCTTTGTTGACATTTGTCAGCTGTTATTAGTCGTTGTCAGCTGTTGTTCGTCATTGTTAGCTATACCAGTTGTAAACAACGTATAACACAGTATTTCACTCTTACAAACAGCATAGCACCGTGTTCACAGTTAGACGTTGGGCAGTACAACATAAACCACTTTTTTAATTTCACAAAAACAAAACAGAAGTGCTGATAAATGACACATTATGAGAGCTTTCACTGTTACTCTTTACTGTTGATGCTCTGCGCTGCCATATTGGATTATGACGTCGTCAAGTCAGGGTGGTTGAGGATTGTCTGACTTTCTGAGTGAGCTATCTGACTTCAAGGGGGTGTTCCAGATGAATTTCGGACTCAGAGCTTGGAAATTCCAACTTCCGACAACTGGAATGCAGCATTAGAGCTCCTCCTACTGGCTGTGCAAGATCAGCGCATAAGCCCCGCCTCCTTCATATTATCAAACAGACCACAGGACACTGAAAGACCAGTTAAAGTCTGATGGAAGAGTTCATATGACAGAGAAAATCAGCCCCCAAACACTTAATCTGGGTGTGCTAGTCCCACTAAGAGAAGTTTGATTCTGTGCGATTTAAATTTAACACATCTACACAATTTTTTTTTAAGTCCGGTTTCAGGCGTATAAATGCAATAAATGGATTTTTTGAACAACATGTAAAGGTACTCTCTGTCCCCAATAAAGAAATTAATCCAGATGAGGTCTTGCAGTATGTGACCCCGCAGGGTCTCCAGTCTTTTGCAAAATTAAAAACCATTTGTCAGTTTGTCAATCTTAATTGATGTCTTTGTCAGTCTAGACAGTGAGAGCGGTTGAACATGCGCTGTGTGTGTCGCTTTTGCCCAGCTGGGATCTATGACTTCACATCAGTTCAGTCAGTGCTGTTTTTGTCTGAGCACATGAAAGAAGCATGGTTGCTTCTGATGTTTCCTATTGTGTGCTGTCAAAGCTACAGGTCGGACCAAAGTGTGCGTCAGTGTCTCTACGCGACTCTCTGATGCAGTCGCTGATCCTGTTGGCGTTTCATCAATTCATGAGAGACAATTGGGCTTCCTGATGTGTAAAAGGTGACAAACACATCTCAGTCTGAGTGTGTTTGCAATGAGCAGACTGTAAAGACTGAAATTATTCAGGCAGTCTGTCAGTGACAGAAATCAGGACAAGAACAAGACATCAAAAGCAAGCAACCAAAGCCACGGTGTAATGTTTACAACAGACAGAACAATAGAGACCTACATTTGATGACAGTGTTCATGTTTTTATCAGTGAAACACGTAAACTCACAGATGTGCAGACATTTTTGCTGTTTTCATTTGGGAAATCATTCCCCTTCTTCAACCTCAGATTTTTGATTATCCTGTTATGTGTTGCTCTGATTGGATTGCATGGGAGTGGTGTGTGTTTTTCCGAAAGTCCCACCTGATTTTTCTCTGAATTTTACCAAAAGGGCTGGCAAAAAAATTCAAGATGAAGTCAGACTGAGATTTTATCTGTTTTCCTTCACACATGCTGCCCACCACAGACATTTCAGAAACATGTTAGGGGACAATAATGAGGTAAAATTCTTCAAAAGTCAGTGTTTTGCTCATTTCAGCTGCTAAATTAAGCAATTATAAGTCTCTCCTTTAATGTTTCTCATTTTAAGGGAAATTATCTGCGCCTCAGCTGACATAATTCTATCATCAGTGCACTGAAGGTCTAACCACTACAGATGAAACAGTGTCATGAATATGTAACATACATTACAGACACACTAACACAGCTGCATTAGTGTCTCTTAACAGATGTACCTCTCAGCTGCTCTGGCAGCGTTCAGAGCTTTGGGTCAGGCGATTATAAGGTCAGCTCCTCTGGGACAAACAGGCCGACCGCACACTTCAAACAGGAAGCTGATAGATCACAAACATCAGCCCATCGATCTCTGCATATAGAGCGTAATTGTCATGCAACAGGATCATGACAGACGCTCTGAACGCACGCATATTTGACTAATGTATTCAGCGCATATACCAAGCGCTTGTGTGACTGTCCTGGGAGATACATGTTCATGTTTTTACAACATATTGAACTGTGAAATTCAGTGAGGAAAATCAAACAAACAAGAGCACAGTGGGAATTATGAAGTCCCAAGGGCATGGGGTCTGACATTTCTTTGGATTTTTAAGACTAGATTTCCCATAAACCCTGATAGTTTTGTAAGTTTTTTATCTAGTAATTCACTGTTTATTAAAAGGCTTGAGTCTGACTGATCAAAAGTCCACAACGACTGTTACTAATTTTGAACCCGTCATATCAGCAGTCAGGGGACACATTGTACTTCTTCTTGTTGACACTGTAGCAAAACAGAAATTTCTGTTTTTGACTTGACAATCTGTGGAGATGAGAAATAATGGCGGGCACAGATATAAGAGACCTCAGGCTCTATTTTCGTGTACACCGGGTACGCGGCGAAGGGTGGCGGACCCCGCGCAGTTGTATTTTCGTCTGGCGGAGGCTGGCGTACAGCCAGTTTGGTATTTTCGTGGACTGAGGCGCACCGAGATCCGCCAAGCTGGGTGTGGTGGCGTGGCGGGGGGGGGGGGGGTGTCCACAGAATCAGTGGGCGCAGTGACATTTTTGTGCTCTCCACCGGCGTGTAAAGTGTGCTGAAAGCTCGCCGATTCAAACCTGTTCAGCTTTCAGCGCAGGCCATGTTATTGGTCAAAACAGGTCTCGGCTGTGTTAAACCCACTCCACGCCCTCTCTCCTCCCTCCCTACGACTTACACCGCTGGGGGGAGCTGAGTTAGGGAGGGGGGATACTTACGCCGGGCTGCGCCGCTCACCAAAATACCAAATTGTGCTTGGGAACGGCGCAGCGGACCTGACTTATGCCACACATGCACCGTGTCGCCGGCGAGGCACGAAAATATAGCCCCTCGAGTAATGTAAGCAGTATTGAAAACTGCAAATTTGCCTCATCCATGTTCAAAGTGCATGACTTCAATGGGAGTCAGCACCTCTAAATCCAAGGTCATCTCAGAAAACAGCCTGAAAGCAGTGGACTACTCTCTCTGGGTTGGTAGTGAGTCTTTGCTCTAAGTGAAGAAGCTTAAGTACCCCAGGGTCTTATTCATGAGTGAGGGTAAATGGATCGTGGGATTGACAAGGGGGATCGGGAAAGCATGAGCAGCGATGCAGGTGTTGAACTGGACTGACTTAATCTGTGTTTGTTGAAATAAAATATGGAGCAATATTGAGGGACTTTTGTGTGCAGCAGTCACACATCAGAGGGCTCAGTATACTGCTCAGTAAAACTATAACTCCAACGTCAGAGTGCAAAAACAGACTCGATTTAATAGGACTTGGCTCAAGCAAAGGCCCTTTAATGAATACCAATTACATATGTTAATTCAGGCAGTGCTTTATCTGCATTTATATGGTCATGAGTGCACACCAGAGGATGATTTGTATGGGTGTGTGTGTGGATGCATATGTGTGCTTTCATTTATTCAGGTCTTATTGGACCTCATTCTCACGTAAAAGTTTGTTCTCCAGGGAGCTGGAAAAGGTAATTACAAATTACTTTGTAACACACGAGAAAGTGGGTTTAATGCAAACGTGTGTGTGTGTATGTGGGGACTGCCCCTTCCTTATGATGTTTTGTGCAGCATTGTACATTTTTTCACCTGCATTTACGTCAAAAACACAAATTTGGAAACAAACAAAGGGGGAGAAATGAGCAGGTATGACTTGCACTGTTGTGTTGATGTTACATCATTGAGACTGTCAGTTGTTGTTTCATGTGTGAGTGTGTGTGTGTGTGAGTGTGTGTGTGAGAGAGAGAGCTTTCTTCTCTAATCTCTCCTACACTGAAGTACAGTAAGTGCTCTATTTTGAGGCATCAGCTGTCAATCATTTGTCTTTTTATCTGCACAGTTAGCCTTTCTGTGTGTAGTAAGATGTGTGTGTTTTTGCATCGTCCCCAACAGCCAGTGAGAGGGTCTGATGTTCCCGATGCTGCAGGACTGAACTAGTTTGATGGCACAGTGGAGAATATAACAGACAGACAGGCACAGTGTTGTCAGTCAAAGACGTTTAGTGTGCCACATGTTTGGACCAGAGTACATGTTGCTGACTACACAGCTCTCCTTGGGGTAGTGAGTTTTGTTTTGTGGATTTGAGATGTGACGTTGGGAAATATTTTCTGTCTGACTGTGTTCGGTATGCCTGGAGAGTGGTTTGGATCTCTGCTCACACAGAAACATAGCTGTCAAGTATCCCGTTTTGGCCGGCAAACTCCTGTCTTCCCATATTAGTATTGCCCCATTAATCTCCAGTAATATAAAATATGTATTAAAAAAAACATTATTTTGCCTCTCTAAACTGAACTCTGTCACTATCGCAGGTTAAGTACCCACCATCTAGTTGTAGCAACTTGTCATCAGCTTGCTGCACTGATTTAGGGGGTTGGAAAATTTCCCTTATTTTCCAAACCAAAACTTGACAGGTATACACAGAGTACATAAGGTTGTCTGTTCACTGCAGCTTTAATTCATAACCTCAGGTGATATATTGTTAAATGTATTGGTTATTGTTTATCAGAAGGCAAAAGCTGCTGAGATAAAGTCTTTAAATTGGGGTATTGTCACATGAGGAAGGCTTTATCAGTCTCATTCATACTATCCAGGGATGAGTTATCAGGTTTATGTTTTTGTGGTACCAGTCTCTGTCCACAGCAGGTGAGTGTTACAGAGTAAAGGGATACTTGTTTTTTTTTGTCTTTTCTTTAAAGTGAGTACTAGTAAATGGTAAGTGTATTACCTGCAGGAGATACTGGTCAGCTCGGCCTCATTGTTGAGAAACTGCCTGGAGAACTTGTACAGACGCGAGGCCCTTGACTAATGCAGACAGGGTCAACTTTACACATGACTCCACTAACATTAAGAGAGCCTGACCAAAACATGGATGTCAGTGTGAGTGAAGGTCTATCTGGAAATTTGCCCTAGAAATCCACTCTGTTTTTGTGCTATTGGCCAGATACAACCCATACATGTTCCTCCACCTACAGAGCACAGATCAGCCACTGCAGCAATTATGCAGCAGACTATTGTAATGAAAGAGCCATGAGGTTAAGCAGCTAACAACAGTTACCTCTCACAGTCAGCTCTGCATATTTACTCTTGAATCACGTTTGACTGCAAGAGATTTGATTAGGTTTTTTAGCTTTGACAGTCAGGACTCTGGTGGAAAGAGTCTGTAGGTGTGTGTGGTTTGCTGTGCTCACCATATTGTTGCAAACCTCACAGTGTAGGAAACATTTGTCAGACATGAGCACTCTATGTGTAATTTCTCAATGCTCTCTGCCAATTTAAGGCCAACATGAACCTACTAAAGACATGCAAAAAGCTTAAATGTCTGTTGCTTCTATTTTTCTCTGCAGCTTTAATTAAGAGATTATTAAATTAATAATTAAAGCTCGCCTCAGGCATGTTTTAAAACATGTTTAATAATTAGCAGCTTCAACAACATGTCTTAGATTTAAGTGTCTGATATAAGAAATGTTATCTACCTGCTTCTATGGCTAAACCAGGTAATTAAAACATGCACATATAGTTCGTTTCATAAGTTTAACAACTGAATTGAATTTCTCCTGCTAGATTTTGTGAACAGGAGGTTTCAAGTTTTCTCATTACACTTATGTCAATTAAATGCTGGATTATCACTGATTCCCAAAGTAGTAATGTTGTCACACATGACTCATAAAGACAATCTTAGATTAAATGTAAGCACAGAGGTATTTTACTTCTTAAATGGTCTAATTTGAATACATCTTTGAATCTAGCCAAACACCTCATTTCACACAGTAGAGCTTACAATACAACAGTTTTAGTAATCGATAGCAAATTAAGACTACTGGGGAATTATGAGTCTTAACAGCAAACATCACAGTCTTTGTTGCTTTTATTTCTCTTACTGATGAAGCCAAAGTGCAGCAGTAATTTCACAGTCAAGGATTGTACAGATACACTGTAATAAACTCAGATCTCACCAGGTGTATTTGTCTCATTACCAGTAGAAGATATCTCAGAACAAGCCATCTAAACAAGCCCTGATATCGATCTGATTTAAGGTATTACAAGACTACATTTTCTTGATGAGTTTCTGGAAATAAGTACAAATTTCTCCTTTGGGATAAATAAAATAATTCTTATCTTGTATTGTGTTTAAAAAAACATAGTAAGAAGTTTTAACTTGCTGCACTGGCAAAAATAACAGATTACTGTCTTTTGGATTGCAAATTCTTGAAAAATGGTGTATATATTTGGACCTGTCTGGTCAGTTATATTTTGTTTAATGGGATATATTTTGATTGGTGATGAGAAAAATGGAGTTTGTTGGATTCAGACTCTTCAAACTGCTACTTTTTGCAGTGAAAACAGCTTATCATTCTCTACACCACAAATCAGTTTCCAGTTTCGTTTCACTTTTTTCACACATGATACATAAATTAGTCTCGAATGACCTTTAAGTCGAGGGT